TTAAATGATTTTAAATGATTTATTTAATACCTTTCTCAAAATATAAACGATCAAAATGGAGGGTTATTGTGGCAGTAAATCATTGTTTTTATCAATGTTGTTGTAACCTAGCCTAAGGCTAGGGGAGGGGATGACCGACGTCGACCGTAGCTTAACCTAGCCTAAAATTGTTCATATACAGCCTTTTCTGATTTTGAGGTCAATAGAAAACATTCAAACCTTGATATTAGAGTAAGAGATGCATGAAAAGTACATAAGACCATGTAAAAAATTGTCAAAAAGTTGCTAAAATGACTGAAAACGGCTCCGCGTAAGGTCAGGACAGTTCACATTTAAGGACCCCCCCGGACCCCCCTCCCCCCTACCCCCGGTTTTTTATTTTATTTATGCCTCCCCCTTGTCATAGGTACGACGACTCAACAAAGACAGAATGAGGGGATGAGGAATCGTGGAGGGCAGGTGTGTCATGGAGGGCAGGTGTGTCGTGGAGGGCAGGTGTGGTGGGTGGGTATGGTAGAGGATGAAAGAGATGACTGGGACGAAATAGAGAGAGCAAGAGAGGTAATCGGTTGAGTGTGATTGACGGGGACGTCGTCGGAGAGACCCGTGCGATGGTCCACAAGAATGTTCAACACGTCCTGCACGAGTCCCTTTCGACTGCTCTTCCGTTTCTCTCAAGATAAAATTGGAAAAATAATAATCCATAGCAAATTTTTACAATACATCGTGTATGGTGGTTATCAGAGGAGATCAAAGTGTTTTGGTCGATGTATACGCAAAATACTCCAGGCCGCCTGCAGCCTACCTTCGGCTCTCGCCGTTGGACCTTCCCTCTAGACTTCCATTTTGAGCGATCAAGTCTGTCGGAAAATGCGAGCGACGGGCATCTGCGCATCGCGATGATGCGTTTCTCGCCTATGATTGGCTCTTCTCCGGATGCTTGCGAATTGCAAACTTTTTTGGACCAGGTTGCCCAGATCACCTGACGGTCGTGACCGAGCATGTCAAGTTTCAACAAACCTAACGCATCGTCGCGAGCGCTGCTTTGCGATACTCTCTCTGAACCAACACCCCCATCTCCTTCGCGGCCATGAAGTATCCATTCGTTTAAAGCAGAACTCTGCCTTACGACAGTTTCTCTACCTTGAACCCAGCAGAATATCAAAACTATTTGCCTTCGTCGACATGTCAAATTTAGCAAAGCCTTACAGAGTTGACCTTGTTGATTTTCCTTCGCGATTCATCTAGCGTCCTCCGAGTCTCAAATATTCCGTGCGGTTGTCTGTGTATCTTGTCACTGTTCACTCTACCAAGCCTTTTTCTAGGTATGAGGTCTCACGGTCTTTCATGCGAAATGAGACGATGCTCGCTGGTGTCGACGATGCCCCACACTACTCCAGCAATTATCAAAGCATAATCGCCATGACTTCTAACAACGCTCTAGATGTTCTCAGTCTCTCGGTCAACATTCTGTACTTGCTGAATGTTGTCTCTGTGATCTTCCGATGGTGTCTGCCCAGCACGCAGCTTGAGGCCCTCGAAGTCGTGCTCAAGACGGCGCAGAACGAGATCGATGTTCGCATGGAGCGCACCGACAATGATGCTGTATACGCAGAGATCTGTATGGTATGGAAGAAGTACGCACTCTTCGTCAACCCATTCGGTGTGTTCAGTAACGTATTCATCGCTCGGCTTTCACCGTTCATTTTCAGCCTACTCGCCCAACACGATGGAATGTAGTTGCGAGTCCACACGGCAACAACTCTCTTTCACGAGATTATTGAAGTGTTTGACGTATTGAGCTGCAGGCTGTGGCGTTTACGCTGGAGGTTACGGGGCTATGGGCGTGAGCTCGACGACGTTCAAGTAAGCATCCCGTCAAACTGCTCCCTCCACCACGGTGATCACTGACCAAGTGCATATGCGCATATTTCAGAAGAGAGCTTCAATTACAAGTGTCAGTAGCGTACCAGATCGGTAATTGAAGCAACTCACCGCGATCCAGTACGGTGAGTAACAGCGTCCACGCTAACTATGCCACATCAACAACAGCATCTTCATAGATGCAGGAAGGGTAGGAAAGCCTCGTCCTCACATCCTTTTATCTTGACTGCTATCAATTATGGAATCTTTTTCTGTCTTTGAGCGATGTCCATGAATATCACTTGAGTTTCGCTTTGCAGAGATGCCACAGGAGCTCTCACAACGATGCGCACGATTCCAATCGCCCAAATCGAGCCATCTCAGCCTTTTCCCGAATGCGTTGATTAGTTTTGCGCCCACGACATCTATCTGGTCAGGCTTATCCGTGGCTCTTGCATTATCTTTACTTGCGAGCTCTACCTTGTCTGCTGTTCGCGACCGTCAACGTCTTCTCCGAGTACAGTCGCTGTCGTGCTGTCGGTTCAAAAGCCTTGCTGAATATTTGTTTCAGGCATCGCTCTCCACCCTTCCGAATGTGCGCACAGGTAGGTCCTGCTCGCAGCTGAAACACGTTGTTTATGGCTTACCAGCGACAGCCGTTTGCATCCTGCTCACAGTATACGTAGCCCACTACCAAGACCGCGTCCAGCTCTCTCAGCAGCATGCGAGGATCAGTACGATCGGCTCAGAAAGGACCGGCGAGCGGAGAGGGTCATATACTGTGGGCTTTTGCTAGTGGATGGCACCAGTGTAAGTTGTCCGTGTTGTGTCTCCATATTTCCGGGTTCGCATTGTGACAAGTAGCCCTCCATCTCCTTCTTCTCCATCACGATTGGTGTTGAATACTCCTCCAGTTAAACTTGGTTCACTTGCTAGCCGATGTGGTCTCGAGGTCTTCGGCCCGCACTCGGGACCCGACGGCGCGCAAGCTTCGAATATTGCAGCTTCAGGCCGGGTCAATTACTTTCTCGTCCTGGGTCATTCTGCTACTATGTATGTATTTCCTTCGCTTCTATATACTATGTTCTGCTGCGAGAGCAATACGACTTCTTACCAACACTTTCGCTCGTTTTTTCGTTAGACAAAGTCAGTTACTCTCAGCGAAAGTCCTCCAAAGATAGCCTGTGCCTCGGGACTCTGATCTCCGGCTCTCGCTTCCCGCTCGTCCTCGTGGACAGTGCTCGGGATCCACTGCACGCTCAGCTGGTCGACCTCAATGATCTCTCCCGACGACGACATACGTCCAATTCCATGTGCACTCATACAATATAATAGGGCGTCTCAAACGATGCTCGCTTTCGGCCTATACTCCCTACGTTCGCCATGCGCACAGCGTTGAAAGTCGTGTTGGGATCCGGACTGCTGGGTGTCGCGTCCACCTCGGGTATTCCTCGGATTTCGCCTGATTTTCGACCAAGGACCACATTTGCAAAGAACTGTACCTTGAGCCCGCTGGGTGCAGGACAGGACGATACGCCACAGGTTAGTTCTCCTCTATAGGAGCTGCTGTGGCCGTTCGCTGACAATTTTGATGTCAAAGGTTTTGTCCGCTATTGAAGAGTGTGGTCATGACGGATTGACTACGTTCACAGCTGGAGAGTACAATATCACCAGGTAGGTCCAGCATTCGATTGTCAATGACGCAGAAGTGATATATCTCGCCCGTATCTTCGACAGTAAAATGACCTGGGATCTTCAGAACAGTCACGTTGACCTCCTTGGGTTTTTGAGCGTGCGTCTCCGCTTTCAGTGTCTTAGTGTATCCGAGATATCTTGAGTAACATGACGATCCAGTTCCAGCCAGATATCGAATATTGGCTCGACTCGAACAATACATATCGCGTCATCTTCATCCAGGTCTGCCTTCACTCTCTTCAACACGATTTTTCGAGTTTTCGAGTTGATCGGCAACTTTGACGTCTCCATTTAGAACCAAGCTTCTTGGTTTGTCCTCACTGGAAGCAATTTCACCGTCGATGCACATGACACCGGCGGTATCAATGGTCAGTATCATCATAATCCTGTTTACCCATAAAGCCTATGCGCATTTATGACCGGTATTTGACGTAGGAAACGGACAGGTACGACCTTATCTCCACTGCTATGCATTTATCTAGACCAACCTGTCATTGACTTTGCTCTTCCAATGTTTCTTTTATCAATAGACCTGGTGGTCCTACTTTGCCAACCGCACGAAAGAAGACGGTGACGGCCGTCCCGTCTCCCTTACCCTGTCGAACGTCACCAGCGCTACGATTGCCAACTTCCAAATCCAAGCTCAGCCCTTCTGGTGTAATGCAGTCGCTGATTCAGTGGATGTGGTATATGATGGGATGTTGTGTAATGCGACGAACGGAGATCCAGCTTGGTTTGGGACTAAGTACGTTGGGTACTTCTTGTTCCATATTTTTGAGAAATATCTGATCAATGTTGCGCTGAAGTATCGTTCCAAATACGGACGGTGGGTGTGCTTGGAGCATTCTCGCTGACCGGACCGCTCATGTGTTGGGGTATCAGGCATCAACACATACCGATCAGACCAAATCACGCTCAAAAACTTTGACGTGAGCCGATTCAAGTGTCCAGCCACCCACTTGTCCTTACGCCGTCCCTGTTTCCTCTCCTAGATAACCTGTGGCGACGATTGTCTGGCCATCAAATGTGTAGGTGTACCTATGAATATCCTGTTCATATATATTGACAGCCTCGCACTGTCTCAGAATTCGACGAACCTCCTAGCGCAAGGCATCACTTGCAGAGGGGGAAACGGTATTGCATTCGGAAGGTGCGCCGATGCCTATCTACTACCTATCTACGTTTAGCTAAGGGAGTTCCTTTCGTTTGCTTGCGAAAGTCTGGGACAATACGTCAACCTTGTGAGTGTCGTGACTCTGATCTTATCACGCGTTTTTGCGTTCTCATCTAACGGTGTTATAGACCGACCTGGTTTTGAATGTAACGTTGGAGGATGTCCAGGTCGGATTATAATCTCTTTACTACGTGATTTACCTAGCTGAGCTTGCGCGATCATAGTTTGAGCGTTTGAACTCGACAATACAACCGAACATGGTTAACGGTGTAAGCCTGTAGCTCCTCATTGATCGCCATTATCGCTGATAAAGTTCATGACCATATCAGGCTTACTTTAAATCGTGGACCGGCACCGTCAACGGCGATCCTCCCACAGGTGGAGGTGGTGGAACAGGTGAGTGAGCCTCGAATCAGCGTCATTGCCACCATATACGCATACTTCGTTTTTGCTCCCTTCGCTAACCATACGTACGCTCTTTAGGACTGGTCCAGAACATCACCCTCCGTAATTTTTTTCTGAATGACGTGGGCCTCCCCACTCATATTTACCAAAACAATGGCGGTCACTCGTGAGTGCCTCAGTTGTCATCACGTCGCCGTTTTTAACAAGTTGACCTGAGAACGATCTTCGTGAATCGAACAGTGCGGATTTACCTTCGAGTCTCCAATTCAGTAATATCACATGGACGAACTGGACAGGCACAGCTACGGGATCAACATGTACGTCTGTTCTGTCGCCATTCAAATACATTTCGACTCAGACCAGCCAAATTGACCAAATCTCACGTCTCCACTCATAGTGGTCGAGATAGCTTGTAGCCCCGCCGCACCCTGTCCGAACCTCATCTTCGACAACTTTGACGTGATCGTCCCCAGTGGAGCTACAGCTTCGTATAGCTGTAGCAACGTGGCGAGCGAGGAGGGTTTGCCAGTCGGTGCGTTCATGGTAATTTCTCTCAGTCCTTTGACCTGCATAGCTGAGACATACGTGATCGGGACCTTTGCATGGGATGTGAATAGCTTGCGGGAACTCGAGCAGTTCTTGAAGTGGATGCAACATTTGTGACTGGACAATCGAGTACTGTCGATCCATTGAGGCAATCATCAACGATATGTTGTCTATCTAACAATTTATGTATCAAGCCGAGGAGTCACATTACATTTTGTGGAGAGGAAAATGGGATAGAGAGCAACTATACCAAACACATATGCATGCCATAGCAGTGCGCCTACAAAACCCGAGAAGTACTTGCGGTATCCTGCCACACCATGGCTCGCCTTTTCGTTCATCAAAGCTCGCCCGCCACCTAGGCCTAGGGATCCCACCGCACAACGGGAACAATCTCTCTCAGTTCCTCCGCGAAGCTTACATCGACCACTGTCTCATATGCCACAAAGTGCAGCGAATTGAGTGAAGTGGGATGGTCCTGACGTGATCTTCGGTCTCTGAGAAGACAGAGCAATTCACGACGCCACAGGAGTAGATTCGGCTCCCAGAGCAATGTAAGGTCGGTGCAGCGCAACGATATAGACGCCAATTTTTGAAACACAACCGGAGCATGTCCCAAGGCCCCCTCCGCATCCCGACCCAAGAGCACGGTCCGGAGCGCGTCGTGATATGGGGGAGGACCAAGTAAACAAAGATCCAAATCATCGAGGTGAAATTGCTGAACGTTCGGAAATGCGTCAGGAAATACAAATCCTGAGCTGTGTGATAGTGAACCGCGACGTAGTATCAGAGCTTGGACATGACTCGTGTCCCATTTAGCGAGTAGCTGAGGAAGCACGGATCTCGGGGGGTCAATGGATGTATGATGACAATTCCACGACAGAGACATGTAAGGGCGATAGGTAATGCTGGAGATGTCGAGGGGCCCATGAAGGAGAAGGTTGACTGGCCACGCTGTTATTTTGGCGGCCGAATAGGCCCCTCTCGACGGGAAATCGGGATCTATCATCACTGTGCATATGTTTGTGGCGGATAAGGAATGGCCCGCCAAGGGACCGCCAAAAATAGAGGTAATGGGGTGCTCGTCCTCGAGGTGAAGGTTTTCGTTTTTGATCCACATGTGCAGAAATACGGAAGATGAAGGTGGAAGGACCAGCCCAACTAAAAGATCACGAACAGCGTGGGATCTGTCTTCGATGTCAAGGGTTACAAGTTCGTTCAGAGATACGGACTTGATCCCGACCGGTGTGGGATAAGTGTGGATTGAAAAACAGCGGTGAAGGAGTAGCTCCCGCAGCTTTGGAAGGCCTTGGAGTATACTATGTATGTCTGAAGGAGACAGATCAAGCTCCTCATCGCCATCGAAGCGAACAGATTCGGTCAAAGAGAGGCTGGCAAGATTGCTAAATGATGTAAGAGCTCGAGGCAACGGGATGCCCTGTAGTCTGAGGTGCTCTAGTCGGTTATGCCCGAATACAATGGGTGGAATGCAAGCATCGTGTTCGACCTCAAGCGTTTCGACAAGCTCGGGGTCCGGGAGTGGCTCCTCGTCATAGCCGAGCTCGCATAAATCGAGTCTCGACAACAAGGGAGCGGATAGAGAGAATGCGCTTTCCAAGACTTCGCCCATAAGCTCCTTCGTAGTCCGAATAAAGAGGTCTTTTGTGTGCGGTATACGCATAGGAAACATTTGCTCTGCATAACGCAAATCCTCGTAGATAGCGATCGTGTGAGAGATGATGAGGGGTACGCATTGAGCGCGGGAGGACATCTCAACGTCCCAGTGATAGCCTAGATCAGAGGAAGGAGCATTCCATAGGGTGCTGTCATTGACGGATATAGCTCGCCAATGCCGGCAGACATGAGTGACCTGAGTGAGTTCAGTGTTAAACTTAAGAACTTTGTATCGAGAAGTGTATTAACACACCTTGATCCATCCTATGTGACGCTGCCGAGGTAGTTCACTATAACTTATCCAAGTTGGCTCGACCAAACTCCACCCTGGCGGTTTCTGCACAGTCGCTTCCGGTGGGTTCATGAGAGACAGCCACCAAAAGCAGCGTTCCAGCAGCTCTGCAGGGAGCTTATGAATACCAGCCAGCCTGTTCCTACGGGCGGAAATCGCCGATGTCAGTTGCCGGAGGGCCAAAATTTCTTCGTCAAGAGCCTCGATAGTGTGGCTGACAGTCAGTTTATCGCTGTCTAACGAAACATCGTGAAATGGAAGTGTTCGAGGATGAGCTATCGCAGGCCACCAATCTTCGGCGCTGCATCGAAGGATGCTCAACGATGATCTACGTTGAGAGAGAAATGAGATCTTACCGATCTTTGTGTGCGTACATCGTTGGGATGGTGGCGGCCAGTGCAGCTGTTAGACTGGAGTCGTACGTGGGCCACTGGCGGTCAGCAACGGAAACGACGGCGATCTGACTTGATTTCCGCACGAACTACTCACTAAGCCTGTAGTAGAGATCAATACTGCTCTGAAACACCTGGTACGAACGTTCAATGGACTTTGTGCAGCAGGTTGGATGATGGTTGGAAAGAGGCTGAAAGAGGACGTCAACAGCGTGGCACTGGTCATGACCACGCTGATGTGGCCCCTACCGATATTCGCACGGTATCTAAAACGAATTCTTTTTCAACCTCTCCCTTCCTTCCTGTTGTCCTGCGCGATGATACTTATCTTCATTCGAACCTGGTTTAAGGGCACAATCAGGAAGTCCATCGACCTCTGACGACTATCACTGCGGGAAGTAAATCCTGTACCGAATACAGTCAAATCCGGTACCGGGCTTCGAATTACCGGATTTGACTGTAAAATTCTCGCCACGCAAAAGTACCGGATTTTCCGGTATTCCATACACACGTTAGATAGACCGTGAAATAACTGTGATTCAATGCAGAGGACATTGTTACAACCGCATCGGATACTCAGTGAGTGCCGCTGGCCCTTACAAGCATTTTTTTGCATCAATAGCCGGTTCACAGGAAAATACAGTACTCTAGGAAAGGAAGGTGATTACCAAGGTGTTACGCCAGAAGATGATTGTTCATTCAACAATTACAGAAGTCAAGGCAATTAAAATCATTGGCAGGGCATATTAGGAGTAGTCAGAGGGGTTGTCGATAGACGTAGACTCAGATCGAGTGCTTCAGGGAATTGGACCAAGACACTATTAAGACTATTCACTCGAGTAGACGTAGGCAGAAAGCAGGCATGGAGCATCGTTAATTAGCTCTAATATCACTGGTACATGTGCGGTATAATTTTTGAGAATCACTCTGTGGTCTCAATAAGCGCAAGACAAGGGCAGAGTGTTGCAGAGGCTGGTGCCACCAAGGTGCCACATCGGAGTGGCAAACCGGCTGGGGTCGGGAGTTGCCGGGGCGATAACGTGTTTGTTGTTCCTTGTTTTGTCGCTGTTCGTCTTTCATCTCAACCACCTTCATCGCGCACTTCGTCAGTGCTGGTGTTGCGCTCACCAATCTACTTCGGCGTCATTCAAGATGTAGGCTCTTGCGGACCTAAAATACACCTACTCGGTCACCCTTCCCCCCTTGTATGAGGCCGATTCGCTCTTCACGCTGTGGCTACAACGACTCACTTCGCTCCGTACACCTTCTCGCCAACGCGCATGTGGCTCTATCACCCCGAGCCCTCAGGCATCTATGGTGCCTGGGTGGTTTCATTATCTTTAATAATGGGGCATTGATAGGTGAGCGTTATTTAGTTTCTGCGAAGGCTTTCATGGCAGATGTCAGGCGATGAGATGGACCGTATGGATGTGGTGTGAGGTTCGGCGTTTGTGAGGGATGAGAGGGTGTGGATTTGGTGTGGGATGGAAGTAAATGTGAAAGATTTGGATAATATCTGGGCTTGAAGGGCACGAAGCTGCCAATGCGACGCGTACTTGGACGTACGGGGTAGGAGGGATGGGATAAGCGATACGAACGGTATGTTCAATCATCATTTATGCTTTATTTGTTCGGTAAACGGGGCTGCTTATGTGCGCTGCTGCTTCGATAGGCAAGGGTCACAGGGATAATAGTCCACCCTTTGATACTCTACGGTGCTGAAACTTACCCAGAACTTCAACACCGTGAGAGGTACGTCATTTTCTTCCTATCCCTTTCGTTGAGTGGTGCTCTAGATAGCTAACGACCTCCTATAGCTACACCACGCATGCCCGCCTTGACATGTCACCCCCTCTCCGTTCGTCCTCAGCGGCCCCGACTGTCTTCGATATCCCTCGATCCGATTTGTACACACTGGTCTGAAAGGTAAGACCACTGCTTGATATTGTATGTTCTCTTTTGTTCTAGTTTTGTGCCCACGAGGTTCAGTTGCGGTCTTTTCGTAACCGCGATGGATACTGTTAGTTTCAGCTTAGGGATGATAGCACGGTCAGTACAGCACTCAGGTAGTCTACATTTCCCATGTATCCAGTAGTGTACAGGTTCCACCAATGATATAGTCACCGCGACAGCTCTCTCTGGTGAAATAAGAGCTACTATAACGCTCACAAAATGCCTGAAAACGTGGTAAACAGTGCAGAATGCCACAGGATTATCCTGTAAAAAACGAGAATTTTACCGGATATTCCAGTAAGACATACAGACAGATCCTGTATTTCACTACAGGAAAATCCGGTGGTATGACTGTGCTCAGTACAGGATTATCCGGTAAGATGGCCACAGTCCAATCCGGTACTTTTTACCGGTAATACTTCCCGCAGTGTATCTGCTCGACTGAAGACTCGCTGTCGCTTTCTCGCAAGATCAGGAAAATAGACTGGAACACGCAACTTACCCGTCCTGGGATTGATATGCTGCTTTTTTATTGGTCACTTTTCCAAGGGGCTCTGTGAATCTTCTCTCTGGTCTATCTTGTTGCAGATCCTGGCATCGTCTCCATACCATGACGAATGGAAGAGTCGCATTGCCACAGTATACACCGGCCATACAGAAGCCCATCAATCGCTTATTGATGGAACAGGCTCTTCTTGTTCACCGAACGGTACCTCATGCTCTTCCTTCCGACAATATATCTTACGATGATCCTCTCGTATCCTTCAATCAGAACTAGCGTATGGGGCCACTTCTGGCTCAGTCGCTGTTCGTGACACTTGGCTTTGTCCATTGCGTAACCTACCATGGATGAGACCTATTAAACTTGAGGGCATGCGATTTTTGTGCAATATTCCCAGTACTGTTTTTGGTGCATGCTATTATGTCTACCGACGCTCCCCTCCTTCCTGGTCCTCCACCCTTGCTTGAACGTCTACAGATGCTCAAGGACCTAATACCCCTGCGTAAGCCATACTCAGCATTCCTCGCAGAATACATCAAACTTACCCTTCTATTCTATTACAGCCTTCGTGCTCATGCTTGCTCCGTTCAAGCGCGAAAACAAAGGGCGCTCATGGCGACGAGCCCCCTATGATAGCGCCCTCCGCTACATCGCGTCGCGTCGATGGAATCTTCGTCAAAATCTGGTCATCTTTGGCACGAGCTCGACTGAGGCCTATGAGAAATGGGCGCGAAAAAACAAGGTGGAGAGCATTGTGGATGATATCGAGGAAGATGCAAAACTGCTCTGGGTTGGTCCTAGACGTTACGATCGTGTACTGCTTTGGCTGCATGGTAAGTACAGCAGGATCTTCGCCCATTATTTGCCTCGAATCTCATACTGATGGACCCACTTTGATAGGTGGCGGATTCTGTTTGCCGATTAATCCCGACCAACATCTAACATTTCTGTCCGGTATCCAAACCACATTTGAAAACGCAAAAACGCCGGTAGGGGTAGCCGTGCTAGCATACTGTGCGTGCATCAGTCTCCTCATTCGAACTACACAAACGTTGACTCTTAGCGTCCGTGGGGAGACAGCGCTCACACCATCTTCACCGTTCCCGACCCAACTACGTCAAGCCACCGCAGCCGTGAAGCATCTCCTCGCCCAAGGCGTCTCTCCATCCAATCTAATCATAGGAGGCGACTCAGCCGGCGGAAACCTGGCTCTCCAATTCCTATCCCATGCACTCCACCCATTGCCAGGCATACCGCCCCCTCCCACCTTTCCCTCCCCACTCGCCGGCGTACTGCTCATCTCCCACTGGGCATCATTCCACCAAGACTTCCCCTCGTTCAAGCGGAACGATAAAAAGGACAACATCAGCTGTGAGACAATCGCGACCTTCATAACCGTTTCCGCTCGAGGTATAGAGCCTGGGCAGGAGCCGTGGTTCGAGCCGATGGCGTCGGATGTGACGTGGTGGCGAGGATTGGGTGGGTTGGTGACGAGGATGATGAATACGGTGGGAGAGGTCGAGTGTCTTAGGGATCCTATCGAGGAGTTCGCGAAGACGAGGCTGGGGCCGAACGTTCAGGATCTTACGTGCCTGGTGGAGAGGAACGGAGTGCACACGGATTTTTTATGCGATATCGCGGTTGGGGAGGGTGGGAATAATGCAGCGCATCGGGATGTGGTATCGTGGTTGCAGGACACCTTTTGTAAGCCATAGGGTTTTGAAGTCTAGCGTTCCACCGTCAAACATGCTTCCGTTGTCGGTTGATTCCTTCGCAACGCAAGTACGTAGAACGAGCACTCTGTCCGCATAGCCAAACCTCTGGCGCTCCTTGTAGACCCCGACGAGGGAAGGACAAAGCGAGCGAATACCGCCGACAACTTTTGCACTTAGAACCAACTTCGAACGACGATTGATGTGGCGTCCATCCGGCGATTGCCGCACACCTCGCAGTAGTAAACGCCACACAGGGGCTAAAGACTGCCGCCTCGTCATACACTCTTCTGGTCGTATCAGACGATTCGTAGCTGAAACATCGTCGAGTGAAACAATCGGGCGAACTCAATGGTGTGTCTCAGAGACAGCCAACATCATACGAGCGAATTAGAATACTTACTTGTATCTATGGCATGCTCTCCCTTGACTTTTGGCGGAATATCGGGACTGACTTCACACATGATTCTTACATCATCACCATAAGACCTGCACAAAACAATAACATTACACAGTAGCACACGACGACTTCTTCACTTCGACAACACAGTAGCACAGCACCTCAACCCCCTACACCACACCACACCACGCCACGCCACACCAACGCACCACCCACACTATTTTCGCGACAACATGCAACGACAACGACGACTGGCACAGCGACGGCAACGATGGCAATAAAAGTACATTTGAGATTGAGCTTTGGGTCTGACAAGATGAGACGGAGAAATATGCATTGGATTTGATGGAGGTATTAGTTGACAGTCGAGTTCGATGATTGGTTGGAACTTGGATGCGATGCATTATGCGAAGAATAAATTATTGCTGGATGGTGGCGGTCTAAACAAAGAACGAGCGAGCGAACAAAGCATCAGCATGAGGTCATTGAGCAGGAGCGAAACAAAAAATAGAAGACGAGAAGATGCTCACGTCGGCGTCACGGGTGACTTCGATGGTCCTCGGGGGCGAGGTAGAGACGGCAGCAGAGCTGCGGGCGATGGCAGCCAAATCAATGCCTGCACGCGACAAGTAAAGTAACAATAGGGAACAGTCAGCGACTCGAGTTAACCACGATGTAAAGGGAAGGAAGAATGCTTACTGCCGTTCTTGAGGGCGTTCTTACGCACGTTAATGGCGTTCTCTCTGTCCTCGTCGGTGACGTTACTCGTCCTCCTTGCTATCGTCGGCGCCGACCTAACGTCTTCGGAGCGTTTCGCTGAAACAACACCAACAACGCATCAGCTTCATGTCTCAAACTACGGGAGAACCACAAAACAGCGTTAGCTTACCGGCACCAGCCTCTCCCTCCTTATTAGCCTCGTCGAAGTCGTCGGCCTCGTCATCTTGGCCCTCTCGCTCAAACCTGCCCTCGTCATCGAGGGAGCCCCAGTTATGTGCGCCTGCTCCTCCCTTACGAAGAGAGTTGTCGTATCCGTTCCTAGCTTCGGAACGGTCCTTCAAGAGAGCACGAGGGGACGTGGCGCGTTCAGTGCGGGTCATGATGTGAATAGGGGTAATGTGACTAGAGTTGAATTTAGCTGTAGCGTAAGTAGCTTGAAGTTATCAACGAAACCGAGATGGAATGAAGCAGTCAAGGCCTATGGCGGGTGGGTTATGCGCGATGAGTTGGCAGTGATGGTATGAATCAGAATACGGAAGGTGGGGTGGAGAGGAAGGAAGAATGGGGCGTTGGGGAGCGTTTATATAGTGTTTCGGATACGGACGACGTCGTGAGCCTGGCAGGTCTGCGGCTGTGATTCGTGACGGTAACAGTGCTCGTGTGATCTTCAATTCCTTCGCTCGCTTTCCCGAACCGTCCTCCTCACACCGACCGTGACGGCGCAACAAGTCCAGCGCGTTCGAGCCTTGGCCCTCGTTGTTTTCCGATTCCCACCGACAGGTCATTGTTCTAGCCCTGTTTACAATAACGATCAGGTTCTTTCTCCCCCATCGTGCAACCATCGTGTCCTTTGTGATACATGCTCTTTGTTGTGCGAGTCCTGTTATGGACGGTTTGCCTTTGTGGTCGTTGTTGTTCCCGGGTCAGGAGAGGGGTTGAATGGCGTCATAGTGACTCGGAGCGTGACCCCGACAAAAATAACTAAATTGAGGATCCGGGGAAACGTGGGAATTGTGGCGATGCCAATGACGATCAAATGATCCATTGTGAGAAGAATGTGGCACGACAAGCCACCATTCGGAGAAAGCTTTGCGCAATTGCGGCCGAAGCTCTTTCTCCCATTTTCCAGAACCATTGTTGAGGGTATACGTGGAGGGCCTGGAGATACGCCGCGTCCTTCACGCCATAAATGATCCAATTCAGCTCGTGTATTACATGCTACGAGACGTATAGATAGTGATTCAGATACCTTGAAACCCGGTGGAAATAGTGTGAGTAGGTAAAGAAGCGTGAACCGGGAACAGACCTCAAACGTCCACAAGACGTCAAAACAAGCGCGAGAGCATAAGGAAAACACACACATAAGCACTAGCACAAGCACCAGCGCAGACAACGACTGCAACGCACACCCAGCTGACCGATCGGCATCGATAATCCCTGCAGCCTCACCGCTCCCACGCATGGGCCACACCATGCCAGGGCAGGCTGCGCGTCGAGGACGGGTATCAGAGCTTCAAAGTATTCCTTCGAGAGCATACCCCATCCAATCCCAACTCGCCATTACCCTTAGCATCCAATGCGTGGAATGAACAGGCCGTGGAACGTCAACCTCACAGACTCCCCGCCCTCACCCTACCCGTCCCAGCTCCATGGCCACTTCCCCTCCCCGAAATACACCCCAACGAGAACTTCCTCCCCTTAACACTCATCCCCACATCCCTCAACACCCTCTTCGCCTTATCCTTCGGTGAATTCTTTAAATAAGGCTTCGCCGCCCCATCGTCCCTCGTCAAACTATGTCTCGGGACCATCCCTCCCCGCGGCGGCGATGGCGGCACATACACCGGCCACCCAATTCCCCCTGTACCAGGCGCGGGCTCCTCCCACCTCCACCCCCCTCCTGCTCTCCTCGAACTCGAATATTTCCTTCCTGCTTTCCCCCCTCGGCCCTCGGGAAGCACGAACCCATGCACCGGCAGATCCTCAAAGTTTGCGATGTCGCCCAGCATGAAGAACCCGTTCGCGCCGCTCTCGATGAGTCGGATCTGATACACGACCGACCACGGTAGGCGTGCCATTTCGTCCTGGGTGAGCGTCGTCCCCCGACGCGCGACTTCCTGTATTGATGGGTCTTGGAGGGATTTGAGTTCGGGTTCGGAGAGGTCGAGGGAGTATTGGTCGAGGAGGAGGAGACGGTCGATCGGGGAGATGAGGTTGAGGGAGGGGGAGACGAGGTCGCGGAGGGTTTGGGAGAAGATGGAGGGGAATTGGAAGCGGTGGGAGATACGGAGGAGGGAGAGGCGTTGCGAGACGGAGAAGACGGGTTTTCTGGTTGCGTTGGAAGTTCGAATGACGTGCAGCATGCCAATGTTAACGCTTGATGCTAAGTATCGGGTGTGAGATTGTGGACGTGGACTCACAGGTCGTATAAACAAGATAGCAACGCGTTCCATTCCATCTCTGTGATCCCTTCGAGTACCACTGGTGAATCTTCTGAGAGCCCTTCCAAGACGTCGTCCTCCGTAGCATGTTGCGAGAGCTGGAATAGATCGGCGAAGAGTGGGGAGTTATGCGTCAACAGCGCTCGTGAGACTTTATATTTTCGGTCTTCAACCTAGCCACCGCACAACGTCCCAATAGCCCAATCAGTTCACCGCTAGATGAACACCAAGCGAAACTTAATGCTGAGAACATGGCTGCAACGTACCTGGAACACGATAACTACATCATCCACCACTTCAGCCGAATCAGCTTCCACCTTAGATGTCCCTCCTAGATCATCGTGGCATCCCTCCCTCGCATCCCCATCCGCGAGCCCCATACCCGCACCACTCGCACTAGACGATCCAGATCCATACGACCACTTCCTCTCATCTCCTCGCATAGGCGCACCAACCGAATGATCCAACACCATCTCCGAATCGCTGCTATCTCCCAAAAACGGCAGTTCGCCTAAGGGGCCGTACGAATCCGGAACAAAGGACGTCGAGCGTGGGTGCGGTTCTAGTCGTCGAGGTCGACTAGTACTAATACTATGGTGGGCTTCGACGGGCTTGGGCGAGGACACGTCGAGGGCTGAGAGGGATCTGTGCTTGCTGAGCGTAGGTTTCTTCATTCGAGGGACGTGCTCGTGCGCCTTTCGACCGGGGGTGGGTGCGAACCGCTGGGAACGTGATGATGAAAAATGGAATATGGATTGCAGGCCCTGGGTCTCGGACTCAGTACTTCTTCGATTCGACCCCGGAATTCGCAATCGCCGTTTCGTATGCATGTAGGTAGGTACGATACTAGAGGCCAGCAGGATATCAATTGCTTACCGTAGGCCGTGACCAGACGAGAGGGGAATCAGACTCGTAGTTATATCCGGGCATTCTGTACCCGCGCAAACACCTCTTAGTGAGCCTCCGCCCACGGTCTCTGAATCTATTTCCGAGTCGTTGCAACTATTTTGTTCCCCTGATTGGGCCCGAGTGGAGAATGGAAGCCGGATGGGGAGGTCACGAGTGCATGCGGAGGTGCGAAGATAGGTGCTGGACCGGGTGGATGCGTAAACGCCGAGGGAGCCTTTCCCGCCACTGGCAAGTGGATGGAAGAAGAGAACCCAGCATGTTTTTACAAGCAGACATGAAGAAGAAGGGGACAAAGTTGATGGTCTGTCTGTGAGGCCCCGCATAATTATATGTATTTTGTTCCCGAGAGATCCTCTGAAGAGACAAGACAATTAGAATTGAGTTCACGAGAACGTGTGGCGTGTGTGGTGTGGCACCTCCTGGGGAAATCATCCTCATGTGGCGCGTTGGAACACAACCTTCCTGCGGTCCACCATCACCATTATTTGCATATATCCGACCTGTATCATGGGCTATTAACATTGCTTGCCTATTCTCGAGTTACTTTGCACTAGTATCTAAGAAATGCCAAAGACCGTCGCGCCGTTGAAGATGTCCTGCTCAGCGTGCGGAAGAGAGGCTCCTGATAACACGCAGTACAGGATATGCTCAAGGTGTCATTCGGCAGCGTATTGTAGCAAGAAATGGTGTGTTCCCATATTATTCATCCGATACAGTAGGAAAGACATTGAAAGGTCTCTTCCGGACTATTGCCCTGCGGTCTTCAAGCCAAACGGCCGACCGGCGGAAGCATAAGCAGGTCTGGTAGGCTGCTTTTCCTCTGATATGTTCAGGCCTTGTCGGTTCTCTTAATCTATATCAACAATGAATCTGTACACGCTGCTGTTATAGCAAACTTTTGCCCTTAGACAACGCCAGGGAACCGACCTACAGTGCACCTATGGACGCCCGAGAGAAAGAGCACAAGAGCAAGAAGGGTACCGTGGAACGGACATCGTTGCGTTCTCATCTGCAATCCATTTCCTGTCGTTGAGAGATACCATGCTGATCGGTTGGTGCGTATCATACGTCAATAGAAAAGAAATACTGCAGGATCTTACGAAATGGGCGAACGCTCACAACGGGTACGTGCATCTTACCTTCGCCACCGTTCTGCCTCTCTCTTCTACTTACTTCCTTAAAACTAATGCAGATGATAAAATACGACTGACTATCATTTGATTTCAGCCATACCCTTACCGTACTTTCCTGGCACGCCCTCGAACTCCTACGCGACTTCGACCGCCGCCGCACCCACTTCATTATCATCACCCTCCGACGGCGCACTGATTCAAACAACCCTATGACCTTATACTCTCTCGTCGACGCCGAAGTCTTCCCCCGCACCCTCATGGAAGAAAAATACGCCAATATATCAGACTTGTTGCATCGTGATCGATCGATGGCTGGAGCGAGCCCGAGTCCCCTTGAGCTTTGGGATGCGAATGAAGTAGAGAGGAAGTCGGAGTGGGAGCATGTGGGTGCTCTGGGAAGTTGTATGGTTGTGTCGATGGAATTGCCAGAGGGAGATAATAGACCGGTGAGAGAGGCATTCATGGATGTGCGTTGTGTTCCGCCCCTTCGATGTCCGAGTTGACAAGTTGACCTCGCACCATAGAATGGAATGAGGATCTTCCAGCCACTTGGATTATTCCAGATCTATAAAGACAAGCTGTCGCAGTTGCCTGTAGTAAGTCGCCCTTTGTCTCTCGTCACAGAATCAACTCTGGATTCCCAGATTTTTCGCGGTCACTTATGAGGCGTGTATGGCTTTATGTAATTGTAGACGCGAGTCCCTCGAGCTATGTGGCTCACTTGCCTGAAGAACTCGCTCAACGGTGGGTCCTGGAGCATGTACTTCACTCCTTGGACGCCTCCCTCTTAAACTGCGGGATACTTCGATTTCTTTGTCATGCTTTCTTGTGCTCTCTCGCTGCTCTCGCCGTTGTATCTGTACGATTTCTTGATAGGAAGACAAGCTTATTTCGATTCCCCAGAGTCGTATATATATACCAGAATTGCAAGTTTGTACACGAAACCTTTCATGTGCACTCAAGCAACTATGACCGTAGATATCTAATCATCGTCAATAAGTTGTTAGCGGAAGGCCCCTGTGGCCCACCACTGCGCCACATTACAATCGCCTACGGGCGCTTAGCGCTTAGCGGTGACCAGTTTGCCTCCGGTCACCGGTCACTCCTTTCAAGTTCAAGTTCTCTTGCACACACCATCCACCCTCATCCACCCGCATCGAACTAGTTGACTTTCTACTTGTCTCTCTTGCATACCTACGTGCCAACTCTAAACTTGCATCTATCCTCTCATCAACCATGTCGACTTCCGACATTGATACCAGCTGCTTCACTCCTTACTTCCCCGCACCAACAAAGACCTCCTGTTCAGCCTGTGGAAACGATGCTCCCGAGGGCGTGCAGTACAAGCGGTGTGCGAAATGCCACCATGCTGCGTATTGCAGCAAGCAGTGTTGGCACTCGACCGGGGTCAAGTCCCCCCGACACCGGGGGTCAAGTCGACATCCGGCTGCCTCGAGCTTGCAACTTCAAAGAAATCTCCCCCGTTCTTGTTGGAGGGGCCTCATATGACGGCTCTGTAGATGTTCATATCGAGAGTTTGAGCAAAATTCGTAGATTTTTCAACTTGACCCCCCGTGTCCGGGGGACTTGACCCCGGTCGAGTGCCAACACTGGCAGCAAGGAATGGTACGTCTGAGATCTTGCTCGTTCGATAAATGGGCTTGAGAACTCAAATACGTTCGGACTGGCTGTGTTGTGTTCGCAAGCCAAGCAGCGGACTGGCCAAAGCATAAGCAGATCTGGTAAGTTCGACGCGGCAAAAAAGGCGTTATTTTTGGCCCTGGGACGCGTTAGATTGCTGCTGCTGTGTACTGGTACTGAGAGGCGGTTGAAAACGCGTCGGTATAGCAAGTTTATGCTCGCAGATAATGACTTGAACTATGGTGCTCTCAATTTCGGAGAGAAGCAGCGCAAGAGCAAGAAAGGGCCCCCAAAGCGGACGAGGTATGACTCCTATTGTCTTGGACCAGCACCTAAGTATCACGATTGAATGGCATACCTTAGAGGAGAAGTACTCCAGGATCTCCACAAGTGGGCGAATATTCATAACGGGTATATTCACCACCAGAGTCTCTTCCTTCCGGCCAACTAACACCGTCGCTCTCTCTTCATGGTCCAGCGAAGCGCTCACTTTGACAGCCTGGCACGCTCTCGACCTACTCCGCAACATCGACCGCCGACGAACCCACTTCTTCGCCATAACTCTCCGCCGACGTCCCAACACGACCGATCCTCGAACACTCTACAGTCTCATCGACTGTGAGGTCCTCCCCCGCTCTCTCATGGAAGAGAAGTACCACAATACGGGTGACATGCTGCGGGACGAGCGGCCGGCCTCTGAGGTGGGAACTAATCCCGTCTCTATATGGGACATGCAGGAGGTAGACAGGAAGAAGGAAAGTGCGAGGGCGTATGGTGCATGTAAGGTCGTGTCGATGGAGTTGCCAGAGGGGGATAATAGGCCCGTGAGGCAAGCGTTTAAGGAGGTATGTGTGCCCACCTATTAAACTTATATTTATGGACGTGTTATGACCTGAGGTAGGGGATTTGACTGACTGGAGTTCGTGCCATAGTTAAGCGTCCAGTCGTACCAACCACTTGGGCTTTACCAGGCCCACATAGACGCGTTCAAGAGGCTCCCTACTGTACGTCATTCGTGGTTCACATTCTCAGCTCCTCTTCTCGTTCGTCTAGGCCGTGGCTAGATCTGATAATACTTACTGCTATCGGATTTGACTCTTCACAGAACCGACTTCCTCGAGAATTTTGGTTAAAATGTCTCAAGAATTCGCTGGACGGGGGTGCATGGAGCGTAGCCTTCCATCCTCACCAACCTTATAATGGTTAGGACCAGAGCGCATCCACACGCCACGCCGTAGATCTGATATCCTGAGGACGTTTCGATAGAGCACGGTAACCCGTGGAGAGGTGTTTTCTTCTTGACCTGCTCGATTTTCTTGTTGTATGCACTGTATAAATTGTATTATTCTGTATAAAGTCACGGCTGCTATTCATGCGCTCCCCGTCTCCTCTCTTACCTCTCGCTCTACGTGAGAAGGAATGGAAGCTAGAAGTCACCGGAATGAGGAGTTCCCTCGACCCGCTACAAGTCCCTTGGGCGCTTACTCCGTGCTTCTCCTTTTCCTCGTTATACTGAGACCAGCCCGTTGTCTGCTGCAAACTTGACTTGGCTGTGACTCCGCATCGAGTAGCTCGAAAGTCAACCGTTGACATTATAGAAAGAAATCCGTGCAAGTTGTGGCCAGTCGTGAGTCGTATACGAGGATCATTGACCACCGCATGTTCACCAAACAGAACATCGTAAGTTCACATTATCATTATTCATCGCTTTACTGTGTGAAGAAAGGTAGTGGCTGGTGATGAGACGTTAATTGTGAAAAAAAAATGCATCTTCGTCTTCTTGGACGTCGTTACGCAAGAACGTTCAACGCTCGGCGTTCAATCCTCTCTCGTGCGTCAGCTATGCGAACATCTTCTTGAACGCCTTCTTTTCCTTGTCCCTCTTCTCCTTCTTGCGTCTCTGGACACGAGCAAGTTCGGCGGCGATGGCTTTGTCGTCCTTGGCTAGTGTGCTAGCCTCGACGAGGACAAACTCGGCCTCATCGTCCTCTTTGATGGCGATGTGGGCAAGACCTTTGCGGTACAAAGCTTTCGCTGCGGAAAAAGATGAGATAAAGTGAAGTTAGATTTCATGCCGAAATAAGAAGACTTTTGGGCGGTGGAAGGGGTGCGAGATTCACCTCGGTCGGCGTCGCTTATTTGCATTCCCAGAACCCGAGTCGTGGCCTTCAACGCCTCCTCGGCTCCGACCCGACCCTCATCCGCTTTCAACGCCACAAGCGCCACATTCAAAAGCAACGGGACCAACAGCCCCTTCCACTTCTCCTCCAACTCCTTTCTCTCTTCGCCCTGGATATTATCCGGCAACACAGGATGAACATCCAAGTACCTGATCGCCTTCTTCCACTTCTCAAGCGATTCCGCGGGTTTGGGAGGATTGGATTTGTAGAGCTTGTTACCGAGCTCACGTAGTGTGCTGGCGATTTGCAGGGCGGTGGGTGGGTCGTTGGGGTTGGGAATCTCTTGGTCGTCGGGGTAGTCTTCGTAAGGGTCGGTCAGACCAGAGGCGGAACTGGAAGGGTCGATGCTGGGTGGAGCAAGAGAAGGGTCTGAGGGAGAGAGGACACCGGAGGCAGAGATGATGATGGGGGAGGTAGGAACATCGCCGCTCGAGGTGGGGTAATTCTCGACCTGACGAACTAAGCCGAGTCAATGAAAGGTACGGATTTGTGGAACAAATATGCTGACTCAAATAGGATGGATAGACGTACCAACGGATTTACCACGGATGACCTCTCCGAACACGACGTGCTTCCCATCGAGATGCGGCGTCGGGACGGTGGTGATGAAGAATTGGGAACCGTTGGTGTTCGGTCCTGCATTAGCCTGTGGCACGACATCAGCACATGTTCGACCGACGCCACACGTCAAATAGACGCTCATACCATTGACAGGAGGAAGGGCTTCGAGTGGTCGATGGGAAAGGCTTCGTCCTCGAACTTTTCACCGTAGATCGATTCACCACCAGTGCCATTGCCCGCCGTAAAATCGCCACCCTGGATCATGAAACTACCCATCCGTTCCGACACTTTAGATCTCCGTTTAACGAGCCTTTGTTATATTAACGACTCACTTCTTAATTACCCGATGAAATCCGGAGTTTGCATAGCACAAAGGTTTGCCTAAGTTGCCTACACCCTTCTCGCCCGTACACAACGCGCCTACACACAGTAATATCTCGAGTCAACGATAGCATGAAAGACATAAGAAACTTTGGAACGAACGGAAATTCTCAGCGGTCTTCGGTACAAGGTCATTATACAGCTGAAAGATAATACGCCCCGTAGGCTTTCCTCCGATGGAGATGTCAAAGTAGCAAATCGGGCGCTCTGATGCTTGTTCGCTCATCGTCGTCGGCAACAGCTAACTGGTCGAGTTTCCTGGGCAAGAAAATGTAACAGTCTAGTCTAGATGTGAAATCTGGAAGGGATCAGACAAAGAGGAGGCGGTGCGGACTGATTATTTGTCCGTCTGTGCTCGTATTTGGTGCGCCTCTCGAAGTTTCGAGAATCCGCGTGGCTGCATTAGCCGCCGGTTCCTTACGTAAATTTGCCGCTGCTCACTGGCGCTCGTCATAGGGCGCTTGTCCGAGTCCTCTCATATTTAGCGCCCATACTCATCCATAACTCTTCAGACGCCCATGCGTCCATATCCTTTCATTGATCGGCTTTCTGCTTTGAACAGCTCTCGGTCTTTCCTTCACGATGGCCATAGCTGCATTTAGCTCAGCGGACGAGGGGGATTGCAGGAACTATACCATCTTGGACCTCTGGGGCTTGGGTGCTTCCTTAAGGAAGCTTCTCGCGGGTTTACATCTCTGGAGCAACCCTCAAAGCGGAAGCCAGCTGGCACAAATGACCGCTTCTCCGTTCCGCATTGTGTGTCCCTTCACACACCTATTTTCGAGGTGATCTCTCACACATCTATCATCTGAACCATGGTTCTTTTTATTCTTGTTGGCCTTGACCCAACAACCTACCCGAAGTCACCGATCAAGTCGTCGAGCATCAAGACTTTTTGTACAACGCGAGAGCCACACCGTCTCTTCGTGTTTTGCCTAATCTTCCAATTCATTATCCAAAGCGTCGAGGTCGTTAATTTGATCATTGTTCGTGAGTACTCTTTGGCGACCGGTGAGTGGTTTTTGATCAAAGCGTCTCACGATTCCCGAATCCCGGGCAATCTCACGGCGAGAGAACACTCTAACTAGGCATACCTCAGCAGATCACAAGGTCGTCGACGTGCGGCCATCTGCTACCTTTGCTGACAGAATATTTGGACGAGCGTCAATCTCTTTCCAGCGACCATGCGTTTTGTGAAGTTTCGAGTCCTTGTGGATCATTTGTGTCAGTGTCGTCGCCAGTTTGTGAGACATGTCGGAACATGCCCGGTTTTTTTTTTCAAGATACATTCTTATAGGTCGCCGTGTCGAACGTGCATGCATCCGAGCTCGGAGTGAAATGTCGTAACGACTACAATTTTGAGTCTCCATAACTGACACATGTCGGAAGTTGCTGTCACGATACGGCAGGGTTAGTCGACCACGACCGAAGGCTGACTCTCTCACATAGCACCACGTATTCGGAGCAACCTTGAAGTCTGTACATTACAATTATCATCGCACTGATTATACATGTTTATCGTATGTCTCAATCTAGTCTATCTCATCGTAAAAGCACTTGAATTAAGAGCATCAGCCCGCTTAATAACCCAGTCCTACTCTTCGTCCTCGTCGGCATCCCCGGCTCTTGCATCTACCGCCTTCATCGTCAGAGCTTGCCACGCCATAGCCGCCGCCACCATAATCACAAGTACTTCCTGCGTCATGAATCCGGGTACGACCTCATAAGGACCCGTGAAGGCTTTGACGAATTTAAGGAGAGTGATGAGGTATCGAATAACGTCTAGGATTGCCGCGAGACGATGCCTTTATGAGGAGACAGGTGAGCATTCGAGACTGATCAACAAGACCGATGACGACTTACCTACCCCCAAACAGCCCAGTCCTCCTGTTCAGCAGGAACTGGAACAGCTGCCCCACTATATCCGAAGCTGTGATGAGTGCTAAAACGAACCTATTCGGGAACGAAATTTCATCGCCCGTTGGATCCGGAGACATTGACGGCTGTATGATATAGTGCGAGTATGGGTATACCCAGAAATAGGTCCACAGTGCCACGTAGAGCTAAGGACGTCGAAATTTTGAAAGCCATAGTGTATGAGTTGGAAGTCACAATCGTTCGAAAGGACAGGGACTTTGAATATAGGGTCACACTAGCCATGACCCGCCAATTCGTCCTCTTATTTAGCCGTGCACTCGATCTTTCCTTATGGGACTCCCTCATCCTCCTCAACACAGGGACCTTCACCTTTACCCACCTCCACGTCCTTCCAAGGAAAACCCACTCTAATTCCAGTCGGAATACCGTCTTCGCCATGAACACAATCGGCAAGACAGAGAAGACATACACAGAGCTTACGACAAGGTAGGCTATGGCTGTGCGAATCAAGTCTGTGCCCCGCAAGCCTTGAAGGTTCGTGAATTCGAGGAACAGGTGCTCGGTCAAGTCGGCGGCAGCGGAAAGGAGGACATAGAGGACGATGATTGAGGACCCGTAGAGACTAATGCCGTAGGCAGAGGTGCGGGTGTACCAGTAGTGAATGTCCACGACGTGAATGATGGCCATGAGGGAGTAGCTGTATGGAACCCGAACGATACTTTTAGCACAACACGCTGAGAAGAAGACGTAGTAGAGATTTCATACTTCACGACGTCAACCGCGAAGCGCCGTATAGGATGTCTGTTCTCGTCGAAGCGATGACCGGCTATTCCATCTATACCAATGTATTTGAGTCGTCAGTGTATATATTCAGCGAGAAGGTTGCAGTATCAGGACTCACTCATCAATTCCGCCATACCTTGCACCTCGTGGCTCTCGTATTTTGTTTGGATGTCTTTGAAGGCATCCGGGCGTGAGCCAGCAGTGAATGGGGTTCACAGAGGTATATAATGCGGTCGCTTCGAAGAAAATGAAATCTTCCAGGTGACGTCCACATATCCTTCATCTGAGTCTGACGAAGGCCGTAAGCATAGGAGAACCACCACGTCACAGAAGAGACTTACCATCCATAATATCTGAAGGCAGTGAGACCCAATGCTTACTGTTCGCGGTTTCGTTGCTCTCCACTGTAGTCGTGCAGTTCTCCCGATTCACAGGAACAGGAACAAGATCCTAATGGAATGCAATCATGACTATCAGCGAGGATTCGAAAGCGATAGACATCAAAACATCATACCAAAGGTCCTGCAGCCCATGGAGCAGTTAACATATATGGCGGATATACCCATTCCGTCTCGCTCCCTCCATCCTCCTTCGTCACCTTCATCCGCATGTCCCAGTTTCCATTCTCCCAGTAGGCACGAGGACACCACTTCTGCCCCGGACCGAGATAGGTGGCTTCCGATGGGTCAGAACACTGTGCGTTCGAGATGTCGCGCCTCATGAGCACACGTATACTTCGGAGGCACGGCAGGGAAAGGAAGATAACTGACATGTGACATCTTCAGTCGTTTGTATGCAGCGTTGAACGCTGTGAGTTTGAAAGGCCTTGTCTCGTCGACAACGACAAGCTGCGACCTAGTGACAATAAACGGATGGTGTGAAGAGTTCCTAGATTCCCAAAAAAGGCTGTTCGGGCCTCCCATAGTAGATGTCTTGTGGGCTATTGTTGGCGATGCCATGTCAATCTCGTAGTTGTCCTCGAATGAGTCTGTAGCATTCTGTTCCTTTGCTTCTTCTTTAGAGGTAGGAATGGAATCTGTAGGTTCAGTGCCATCTGGAGAGGGAGAAGACTCGGATGAAGAACCGCAGCGTGAAGGGATGGGAAGGAACTCGAGAAGATTCGTCGATATGCCGAAGTGTTCTATGGCTTGGTCTGCTAGTGTGATGTCGCCAGTATCCTCAGAGCCTAACGGAAACCTACAGAAGCCATCCTCAGTCCTGTTATATCCCAATGGTAAATAAACTGCATGAATCATATAGGTGCTTACGGCCATGATCGACGCGGAACCTCGCCCAACGAATTGTAAGCCCTTGAATAATTGTAATTGACGAGTCAGTCTAGCGGAGACGGCGAAGAGGGTATGAGGGTGAATGAGCCTCTGAGGTCCATTAGCGTTAAGTTCTGTTCTCGACTATAAGTAACAACATTGTCAGTCGGATCTGATGACAATCTCGTACGATCAAACACCAGCAGGTAGAAAGGACGTACAATTTCGCTGTGGGAATTCTTAGTGGTACGTCCACCCTTCGATGTTTGTCCGAAAGACTCAAGTTTCTAAAAACCACGTCCGAAAACAGAGGCGTCTCCAAAATCGAGTACTCTGCCTCTCTTTTCTGTTCCTCCCCATCTGCACCTACAATAAGGCTCTCCCTCCACCTCCTCTCCTCCTCCACCCCCGCTCTGATCCACACACTGACGGCCACATCGAACTTCTGATCCTTCCCCACCAAAGGCTTTACAACTCCCCTCTCACTTAATGCCACCGTCCCATTCACCTTAAAGATCATCTCCCCATGCGGATCCTTCAGGTTCTTTATTGCGCCCGATATGAAGAAACCGACAAAGATCGCAATGAGAACTGCAACGGCAAGGACCACAAGGAGTGAAGAGAGCTTCCCGATTGTCCAGCAAAGAGACCAGAAAGATGGGCGTGGTCTGAGCGAAAGTGCACCTGGGTCAAGCATGGGTCTATGCTGATGATCCTGGCCAGAATTCGTACTGAGAGGTCGCCTGGACATGATGAGGGGAAGAAGAAAACGTCGAGAAGAATTTGCGGTCATGAGTAGCCGGAAGGTGTACGCTATAAGTACTAGATGAAACCTGGTACAATTCTGAACAGATGATGCCAGTGTAAGCTGTGTGCAATGTTGATGGAATGAATCTGCGTTGTCAAACGGAAGAGTGGCAGAGATGTCGGAACGCCCGAGAGTGTGCTCGCTACGCGTAAGTAGCCTTCATTAGTTTGATAAATGAGGGGCTCTGAAATCTGAACAAGCTATGCAGAGGGTGTCAATATTAATATCAATCCTGACAGCAATCGGCTGAAAGTGCAGTAAATTACTGTAGCAGTCGCTGGCACTTTGCAAAATCCACACCATGTGAGTTACGCCACAGAGATGTGGCGTCTCACACATTGACAGTGATATAGGGCCGTCAACATGCGACCGCCAGGTTAGTGCGCTGCAATGTGCAACGAAGCTGGATGAAACAGGAGAACGTACTGCCAAGATCACGCTGACCAGAACAGAAGCTGTGTGGTGTAGATATCTAAGACTCAAGAGTCAAACATCGCAGAAAGCGAAAGGATAAGATCGACGAAATACAGCAACGCGTCCACCGGCCCTCCGTTTTACTTATCATCGTATTCACCGTCCTCCTCGCCTCCGTCCACATTCTCATCACCCCCATCATGGTTATCGAGCCGCGTGCCACGTCCAACAGCAACGAATAACGAGTACTTGCACACTCAAATTATTATCGGACCAAAGTTATATCAAGGTTGGGCAATCTGGCAGGCCACCAAGAGTCGAATGAGCAACGTCGGAAAGAGCAGCCAAGATATCGACAGTCGTGCCCTGTCGGTGGCAAATTTAAAGACGAAGAAGGACGAAGACCGGGTTGTGGCACAGCACGGCGGTGATCATCGTGGGAATCTACTACATATATCCATTTCTGAGTTGCGGACAACCGATGTACGAATTCTTGGCTCTGTACCCCCACCATCTAACCCGGGCTGGTTCCATTGCTGGCATCGCTGCGCTTGAATGAGTCCAAATCACGATGCACAGAATTACAGGCCAGCGACGATATCAGAACTAGCAGAACGAGGCAAACAGAATCTATGGGACCCGTCTAAGCCGCTCAAGCATTGGCTGCGCACGGCGGAGGCGCACAAACGCGCTGCCCAAGCTGCCGAGGACAATCGTGATCTGGAGAATGCATTTTTGGAGTATGCGAAGGCGGCGACGATTGTTGTGGACAAGATTCCGTCGCATAGCGAGTATCTTACGGTGCTGAACCCGCTGCAGAGGAAGAACCTGGGTCTGGTGAGTGACTACATCTTATATATGTTTTTATCCTTTCGAGCTTTCACGCTCTTTGTTTTGGAGGTTTCATGCTCGATTATTCTTTTGGTGGACGTTTCTCTGTTCTTTATCGCTGCGTTTTCTGCACCTCCATGCTGTAGTCAAAAGTGTGGCCCAAGGACCTTGTCTTCTCAGAGACTCTGTCAACGTTATGGAACCATCTCCTAATGGCTTAATGGCCCCAGAAGCCATTCCACCTACATTTACCAGGCGGGTCCCTCAAAAAATTGTTCGCCGTGCACTAGTCGGCAGCGATGTCCAAACGTGTGGCCCCAATTCGACATGTGTTGGGGCGGGCTCATCTTAACGTCATTGAATCTCTGTATGGGCCTCGATACACATTTCAACTCCTATGCACTGATTTGTGAAGTCTATCGCTTCCGAAGGCACCATGCTTGCTGTTCTAGGGTCATCGTCCGGCTAATCGTCATCGCGCCTTCGTACTATTGCTCCTCCCGAGCGTCCCATGAACACACATCGTGTTCAAATTAGTTTATCCTACCACCAGCACCTCTTGCGGTGCTGTTCAAGCATGCCAAAGCTATTGTTTCATCTCCTCGGGAAGCATTTACTGGCTGTGGAGCTTACCCATGAACGCAAGCAAGATGTAATGACAACGCGGCAGCGCCCTCAAGCAATGACTGACACGCGCCTCCCTTTGTTGGCACGTTATAGTCAGTTTCTGTCATTCTTATACTTATCAGGGGCTTCTGCAGCTATCGAAGGATCACCGTGCCCGATGATCATGTTCTGTAGTTTGTCTACATCGTCCAACAGTCCATTGGGCTTTTCTTTTCCCTGCAATTTCTAACATCCTGCTGTGCTATCGTCTAACGACTAACGATCTTGTACAATCTAGCATGGCTCAGAACTTCTACAAAGTCTTGGAGAGGTCAAGAGGGTGCTCGTTGACCGATACAATGCTTGGGAACAACGCCAATCGTCTTCATCTTCCTCGTCCCGTCAACCCACACCCTTGACCACACAACCTCAGCCTCGATCATCCGATGGGAATTCACCTGGCGCCGTCACCCCCGTATCGTCTTCTTCCCCTTCCTCAACACCGTCCAGCTACCAAAGCAGGACTTCCGGGTCGGCGCACGGCCATCAAGCTCGAACTCCGTCGCCTCTGCGTAATTCTATGGATGTAGAAGTCGCAAGACGTGCAAGGGAAGATGCAATGGCGCGAGATGAGAGTAGGAGAAGGGAGGAAGATCGGTCGAGGTATGGATCGGGGCGAGTGGAAGGGAGCGCTTCAATGAGTCAGCAGGATTGGGCCAGAGCAGAGCAGATGCGGAAAGATCGGGAACGCGCAGTGGCCGCGAGCAGAGAGCAGGAGGTAGTGCGGAAACAGCATGAAGAGATGAGGAAGCAAGAGGAAATGCGACGGAGAGTGGAGGAGAAGCGCAGGCAAGAGCAGGATGGAATCGCGAAGAGACAGCAAGAATCGGATGCGGCGGCGCGCGCAGCTCGACAAGGCACTCCTTCGAACAGTGTTGGTGGTGGAACGCGACCGGCGATGCCGCAGCCCGCCGCGAGCTTGGCGATGCCTCAACCTGCGAGCTCATCGTCGCCCATCTCGGCGCCTCTTCTGCAGATGCCACTCGAGAGTCCTTCGAGGTGCGTGTCCGGACCCGTCAGATGCGATGAGACGCGTGCTGACTCACGAATGGAATGATGTTTTTAGAGTACCCGATGGTGCGCCAAGGCCTGCGAGAACGTACGTGCATCATCCATCTTGCCTCGTGCCTTCGCCCACCTACTGATCGACTACTCGCAGACCTGTTCATCCCCCAATAACTACGACCTCTCCACCACCAATGAATATGGGCTCTGTCCAGTATCCATCGCTCATGTCGCAACATCAGAAGACGCAAGGCTACACGCCATCACTAGGATCAATGTTCAGACAATCACCAATGCCACATCATCACACGAGCTCATCGTCGTCTGCTCTACTCCTCTTCCCTGGCGGAGAACCGTCGTCTTCTACATCTGGGTTATACGCTAACCTCCTCCCAAAACCTTCTATGCCTGCACCAACCCCACCTCCATACCCCATACAAGCCTCTCAGTCTCACCATCATCCGCCACCTTCTGCTCGTCCGCCTCTACCGCCTCCCCCATCACACGAACCCAGTCACCATCGTCAGGACTCCGCTCGCATCCAACCCAGCAGCGCTGATCCTGTCAATCACAACCTGAAACACGTCAACTTCCCCCGTGACTGTTTGAACAGGTTCCTGTCCATTGCCGCCGTGAACACTTCGATGAACCGGGAGACTTGTGGGCTGCTGTTGGGGAAGGATAAGGGGTCCAAGTTTGTAGTCACGACGCTCTTAGTCCCGAAGCAGCATTCGACGAGCGACACCTGTACGATGGACGAGGAAGAGTTGGTCATGATGTTTACGGAGGAGAGATCGTTAATCACTTTAGGATGGGTACGTCTGAAAACTCTCATTTCTTATTGTGGATTGTAGGACTGAGGTTCTGTTGGTGGGAATTTCGTAGATTCATACGCACCCCACGCAGTCATGTTTTATGAGCTCGGTGGATCTTCATACCCATTCCGGCTTCCAACGAATGTTACCAGAGTCCTTCGCCGTCGTTTGTGCGCCAAAGTCGACCCCCAAGTGAGTTATCCCCCTCCCATTTTGATCGCTCAAGAGATGTTGATGCCGTGGTATAAATGTAGCTTCGGTATCTTTCGATTAACGGATCCTCCGGGACTGCATGCTATCCTGGACTGCAATGCTAAAGAAGCGTTCCATCCACATCCTAACGTACCCATCTATACCGTGAGCATTCCTCTGTCCTCCTTCCCAGGCTGCCTGCCGATCTCATAATGGTTGGATTTCAGGACGCGGACAAGGGCCACGTACAAATTAAGGATCTACCTCTTGAGATAGTTGATTTACGCTGACCCGCGGCTTTCACTCGACTTTTGTCACACTCTATATATATGTGACCACAAATTCACGCTCAATTCACTGACAGCCTGATTGCCTGCATCTTCTTCGGGATGGACCCATCATCGTCCATAATTTTTCGCGTCGATCCTACACACTCTCCATCTGTTCATATCGTACATGCATGCTCGCCCTTTATCTTTTTGCTTTCGCTTTTCTTTTTCGCTGTATAGTCTCGTACGACGATGTTAATGTATCTGCCGTTTTCATCTGTGGATCTACCTATGATAACGTACTGCTCCTCCTCCTGGATAGCTGGTCATTGGCTGGTCACAATAGAAGGCTTCAAGGAAATAAGGCTTCGGCAGCGCCACTACGCCACAGGAGGCGTGCGAAGATCCGCCATACAACGCCAAATAAACGGACCGGTCCGTTCAGCGAGTTCTCGGGACACACATCATCGATTCTGTTCATTATCTTCACTACTTTGCGGATCCCCTTCATCTGTGCTATAGAACTATGGTCAAACGCTCTTCGGAAACTGTAATCGACAAGAAAAAGTTCCGGACTGTTGATGCATACTTCGACGACCATGGAGCTGGCAAGCCAGCTCGCATGCAACACTACCTCTGCATGAATTGCGGTGTCAGACCCGACGCAAACGGCGGTCCATTGAAGAATTGTGTTGCTTGTCATCGGGTTTCTTACTGTAGTAAAGAATGTCAGCGAAAGCACTGGAAAGCCCACAAGTACGTCATCTTCGCATCGCATCCATCATTAATAATTCTATGACTTTGTACTGGCAGGCCTGCTTGTCGGTCGTTTATGGACGCAGACGCGCAATTGAAGGAAGCAATGCCTAAGAACGATCTATTGCCCTATACCAATTTTGAACGTCTAGCCCGGTCCTTTTGGGATGTCCACGCCTTCGAATACAACCAAGCCTTCTTCTGGGCCATAGAGTCCGAAGGAGGCAATGATTTCGACTTCTCCTCCAAGTACCTGCAAATCAAACTTCGTCCTCGTCTTGGGTCTGGAAGCAACCCCAGTCTTCTCTTCACCATCGATGACGCCAAATTCGCATCTTTTGCGGACATTCTTCCTGGATCACCTGAAGCGCGAGCCCTTGAGATCTCTCAGTCGACTGCTCGCTCCAACGAGGAGATGAAGAGGAAGACGAGGCCTGGGTTTATTGGGCAGCTGATGGTGTTATGGGACCTGCCGGGATGTTCATTGTGGACGCTTGCTCCTAGGGACAAATACCAGCCACCGAAGAATGATTCTGAAGTTGAGACCAGAAAGCTGACGTGTCGTGATTGGCTTTCGCGGTTTCAGTTTATGGTGCAGCATGGGTTCGTCATGAGGCGGGTTCCGCCTGAGATAAAGGCCATAGGTCACGCTTTGGGGAAATTAAAGCTGGAGAAGGGTAATGGGACTGAGAAGTGGGTCTGGAAAGAAGTCCCTGACGATCTCTTGAAGAAGATGGGCTGTTCGGATGTATTTGTGGAGAGTGCGTATATGCATTTTTGGTGAGCTTTCTCTTCCGTCTTCACACTATGCCACAATTACTGATTCATACGCTACCAGACCAGCGTGTCCTCATTAGTTGACTGTCATCGGTATTTTTGTACATAAGTCATGACAATGCCTGCTTATTTCATTTTCTGGGATGACGGCTTCACATCTCAGCTTCCCAGATTTTCCACGTTTGCCTTGATGTGACTGCTGGCATACTTGTTTTCTCCCTTTGTACATCTCTATCGGACATTTTCACGCAACAAGTGCCAGCACGGATGACTACGACGAACTAGCGATGAAGACTTCGCGTTGGCGCCGTACCCACCGACCGACACAGAATGGGCGGCCAAGCATCCCTCACATCATGTCTCAACAGGACTTACTACTATCTGCGACTAATTGATAAAGTTTCTCTTGTTTTCGGCTGTTTTATGTTGACGAGATGCAGGATCGGATAGGACGAGGAGGATGGTAACCCTCTGCTTGGTATTCACTGGGCCTTTCTTCGCATATGCGATGCGAATGTTAGGTGAGCTCATCACTGTTGAGGGATATACAGCCTCTTGTGGTACAATTTTATCTTATAGTAAGGGTTCCTAACATAGGCACAGCCGGATGTCTAGCCACGCATACGCACACCGTTTCTCCGCAGTGAGATTTCGTCCCTGTACACACAGGATCAATGTAGACTCATCGTCTTTTCTTGTATTCTAGCCTGGCCTAGTTCGACGAAATTCAGAGAAATGTCTCGTAGGAATAAACCCTGCTCCATCTGCTTTGTAACTTGGCCCCCCTGCCCAGCATTTCCACGAGATCGCCGTAACTGGTGTTGGCTTGCCTCCGTAAGTGCACTAGTCGTGCCACAGGTCTTGATATCGCAAATTCATGGCCTCCCGTTGGTGCAACAGGAAGTCAACAGGGAGATCAATTGATCTTCCACTCAGCAATTCGGCAATCACGATCTAAGGATGTGTTTGAGCGAGTTCACAGCTTCTTGCGGCGCGTTGTTTCTGACTTATGTGCGTATGCAATTGACTACACGACTATCATGACCAGGGCCCCTGTGACGTGGCCTTGGACGAGTTGCTCTTACAATGGCGTTCTCATTCTCATTTTAACCGTATTCAGTGAGTGGCCACACACCCCACATGCGTTACCCATCTTGCAGGATGGAGAAAAATAAGCTGTTTTGTACGTATGTTTCGCCCTTTCGTCACTGACCCACCGCGGCCTCAGCAGACATCCGTCTGCACCGCATCGTATAGTACCCATTCAACAGTTGAATCCGAGGTCACTACCAGCTACATAGCGACTCCGTTCACTAGGTGAACACTACCCATGAAGTTTTCGTCAATAGCATGCAAAATTTGTGCCTCACGACGCACGAGACCACAGTGAGGCTCTCCCCTGATTTCTATTCAGCGTCCTGGGATTGGAGATGCCTGACGATCAGTAATACCCGCAGACGGACGTTCAATTTCGGAGCACGGCATAAACATGGTGATTACTACTCTGCACATCGACACTCAGGTATCATCAATATATCTCACGTGACTTATGAACAGGATTGCTAATTCTTACCTGTGTTTCTCGAGGTATTCATCCACTGTAAAGGTATATAAGACCATACGATGTAGGTGGGGATTCTTCAGCAGTGTCCGACCTCTCAGGCCCTTATTCTCTCACTAGTATCAAGTAGAACAATCCACCTCGCCACGCTTTCTATTTTCACACTTTTCAAACTCTTCACGATGCGTCTGAGTCTCTATTCCGCCGTGTTGACGGCCTTTGGTGCGGCCGAGGCTGTATCTGCCTTTGGCTACATGCCTAGGGATAGTGGGATCGATTTTGTGGATTATCCGTGGCAGGCTCCGGGACCGAACGATCTGAGGTCTCCTTGTCCTGGTTTGAAGTAAGTCTACTGTCCTCTCCTGGTCGTCGTCCGGCGGAATACATCACTTACCTGAGCGGCCTGCGCGTAGCGCCCTCGCCAACCATGGTGTTCTGCCCAGGAACGGGAGTAACATCACGATTCCTGCGTTACTCCAGGCCGCCAACGGTATGACATATTCATTGTGAAGATCATCGTGTTGCAATGCTCATCTGTCCGGAATGCTCGTAGATGGATACAATGTGCAGCCTGATGTTATCTTGCTGGCTGGTAAACTTGCATTGCTCGTCAGTACCGAAGTGGATAACTTCTCGCTAGATGATCTGAACGCGTACGTGCCCCCACTCTATTCTTTCTACACACTACGGCTACATATTTTTATCTTATCAACACTTCTGTGGACATTCTTGCTACTATAGGCACGAAAATATCGAGCATGACGCTTCCGTCTCCCGCTCTGACCACTACTTCGGTGATAACCACTCATTTAACGGCACACTCTTCAACCAAACGCTCGCGCAATCCAATCCTGGTGTTGACTATTACAATGCCACTTCTGCTGGCCTTGTCATGAAAGCGAGGCTCGAAGATTCCATAGCTAGAAACCCGGATGTGATCAGTACGAGTAAGGAGTTCATCCTCAGAACGGGAGAATCGGGTTTCTACTTGAGTGTCATGGGTAATGCGACCACCGGTGTTGCGCCGAAGGAGTGCGTTCTATTCTCCTTTATCCTCCGCTCCCCTCTGCTTCTCATCACCAGTCTTAGGCTGCTTACTGACCGGATTGTTTTGGACGGCTATGTAGTTACGTCGACATTTTCTTCCGCGAAGAACGCCTCCCCATCGCTGAGGGCTGGAAACGCTCCGACGTGCCTATCACGCTTGCCCTCATGAGTTCTTGGTCTGGTCACATCATGGCCGCCGCGGAATGGCAAGGTCCTACCCAGGAAGATTCGTATTTGGTTATTTCTCCTGATGGATTCATTCAGACACTTCTGCTTCCTGGGGATGGGGATGGACAGAATGGATTAAACTAGTGGGCATTATGAATTGGAGACGGTGGCAACTGACGATGAATGGAGGGCTGTTGTATTTATTCTGGCATGATCCAGCCTGTGTGCAAGTTTCTGTGTCTCGGTCTCGTACGCAGCCTGTGGACTTCAGGTTTTATATGCTATTTTAGTGGCCATATCGACTCGCAGTCCGAGACTCCCCGCTTAGTGCATGCGCATCCTGGAGAGCCGCATAAGTCTGCTATGCTCAGTTCCCCCCTCGACGATCTAGATTGTGACACGTTCGCTCGCGCGGGCTGCCCGACGTGGTTATCCGATTGGTGCAATATCTCTTGTGTTTTGGTTGTCGAGAGATCTGTGAGTCCGTCTGCGATTGGTGAGCGTGGATTTTGCTTTCATTCGTCGCGGACGACCCCTTAAATATGAGAAATATTTGAGAGAACCCCTTAAACATTTCCCTTCACTCCCTACTGAGTGATATAGGGTTGAAAATATATCTGTGGGCTCTAAATGACAACCGAGTCTCGCGATTCTAGACGGGTTCCGCTCAACCTATCACGCTGAATTCCGTGCCACATATTCAGGTACGAAGGCCTTCCTACACAAAGCCAGACAAATAGCCCTAATTCGAGCACCTTGAGTATTTATCGTGGTTACTTCAAGCATCGTAGCAGCGCAGTATTGCGTCTATCCACTCGTTCAGCTATACTACCAAAGATCTCCTTTTTTACTGGACTTCGGGGGTGACCATGCGAGGTTGGATGATTCTAACTGAGTTTCCAGAATGATTTGAATGCATCGTACTCGGGGAATAAGGCTACAGAACAATATTCGGGTTCCTTCTGGACAACTTCTGGAGCCACTTCACACTCGTGTAACCACACCCTTTTGCCGTGTCCGGGCACCGATGTGCTATAATTCTATCTTGTCTCAAATGTATACATGTGTCGAGAGGCTACCTTTATACAGGCTCAATATAGCCTGTGGAGGACGCAGCACGACATCCACTGATCGATAGGACGAACCGTTCCTCCACGCATGTGGCGCAATAGCGGATGGATCAAGACGATAAATTTCGCTTATGGTAGAATGAGTCTTTATTGACCATACACGGTCATGCTCATTCGCTCATTGGCAAGATGGGTCGCCGAGATACGGAAGTGAGAAGATCAGGACGTTCGACGTCATTGTACATCGATTGACATCTCTTTAGGCTTCTCTGCGGAATGAAAGACATCGTTCCCAGTTGCACAACATGGAAAAGAGAAGGTCTTCGGTTCACGATCACGACTCTTCGAGGCAGTCTGGAACAGTTCGCATGTTTGGGAAGATACCTCTCCTTCTCAGAATCTATGGATCCTGATCTGAGATAGAAGTGAATAAAACATGGCGCCGTCTCCACATCTAACGTGAACAGAGGTCAAGGATGCGTACGGATGGAGCCAGGACGCACTGGTTCGTTCTAACGACACCCTTCGAACCCGTATTTTGACCATGTATAATTCCTATTCTCCTGCGAAAAGAATGGTAACAGCGACTAAACGATGGCCTGCAGACTTTCGCGAATAATGTGGACATCCACGAAGAAGCCGTCGCTGATGCTAAGGAGAGATCACGGCATATGATTGTAGATTCTTGGCCGTCCATCTATGCCAAGATGAGTATCTGGCGAGCTAAGGTTCGCATATTCCAAGAGTTTTGAACGGGGAAGGAGACAGTAGTTGACGAGAAGATCGACGCGGCGTTCGTTGGCTGGTTTGATGTTCTTCTGATTTCTATGTCAAGCCCGCAGATGTGATACCGAAGCCAGAAGTAGCACTCTTCGGATAAATAATGAGCGTATAAGCGCCGCTTGAGCGCCGCCAAACATTTTCTTGCAAGAACGTTGACGAGACAAGAACCATTAGGAGATGAGAAAATCTAGAGGCAGGAAGTGGAGGGAAGTGGGGGCGTCGCGGTGCCCACGGGGATGGACGGTCAAGTGTGGGAAAGTGTCACCCGAGTCTTCCCGATCGTTGGAACAACAGCACGGCGGTGGCGTCGCTGCGGACCACCACCACCCATTCTCACCCCGTCGACGTCTCAATGATTCAACAACGGGGAACTTGATTGCTCTCTTCTATGTGAGGTCCGTTTACGAGCGGTACCGTGTTACATAGTACTTTCCCGATGCCCTGCGTCAGATTGGGACTTCTTACGCCGATTATTGATGTGTGCGGACACTCACAGATGCAGGAGCTAATTTTGTCTGACCCTCGCGGTGTACTCTTAGTCTAGCTGGAAGCTCTCTGTATAGTCTGCGTGAGACATCTGCTTCAATTTGGACCTCATCTCTTCACCGTCTCCGGGCTATCTATAGGAAATTTCTCAGCAACACCGTCAATTTTATGTATACTTTGTGTTCTGCGACGACTGGCGTCGTCTCGTACAGTGTTGCTTCTCGAAAGGTAGCCCTCCATAGAGTGTCAATTACGCTGTGCAGCTGCTCCTGTGCTGTGGCTGGTAGAAGCCTCTCATGGTCAGGATACTACTTTTAACGCATCAAGATGAAGATGGAGTTTTTTTATTCGTATATTAGCAGGTAACAAGATTCCTGACTCTCATATCATGATTCATGGTAAGTATATCTCAAACGTGCGTGGCCCGCAGAATCCTAATCCGCGACTTCGAAGGCTGCACATTCATCCTTGCCGCCTGAGCTCGACTCCTTCGGGCGGTCCGCGCGACGGGTTCTAAATCCAGAGTATCGTGGCGCTCATCCTGCGGAACTCGAGCTCGTTGATGTACTTCGTCGAGTGAAGCTTTTCATCTACTAAGTATTGTGATCCTGCCCCGCTGTCATACTGATCGACATCTTTTCCTATGTTCACGGCAGCAGTGACCAACACAATCTCCGCAAAATGGGGTTGCATATGCCCGACTCACAGTCCTACGCTCCGACGTTCACATCCATCCTACACCCACCTTCATACACGCACAACAATAAACATCATAAACACCGACCACCCCTCCGACCTCAACCCTAGCAGTCCAGACTCGTCAACCTCGCTCGGCCCAACGAACACTCTCACCAGCCTCACCATCATCGAGCCGTCTGCGGCTCAATCTGTGGACGGAATCAAAACACAACGGGTCATGTATCCAGGGCATCAGTAGACGAGAGCTCGGGAAATGTTCTGGTATTGCGGGCCAGATAGCTAGCGTTGTGAATTCACAAAACCGCCGAGCGGACTGGATCCGGGGAAGGTACAAAGGAGATGGATAGGAGTAAGGGTCCAGTCTAGAACGAACGTGGGTGTTGAAGTTGGTCATGGGGGAGCGTATTCGTGCGTTGGACCCAGAGTCATGTTGTCGTTCAAGACTCAGTGCGAGACGACGACCCGGGGCGGGTCGTGAAATCTGTCGGAAAGTGGTGCTGGCTGAATGCTTCGAGTCCAGCTCTATTTGTACGCCTGTCAAAAATCATCCGGATCCGCTCTGTGTGTCTCCTGTTTCCTACATATCACAGGCAATGTTAGGAAGAGAAGAGAAGACACCCGTTCGTTCACTTGTCGTACCGTGAGCAAGAAGACCTTCCACGATTCGACAGTTCCAGAGCCTGAGAAGTGCCTGACATCAAGACATAATCGAAGTTGACGAGCCTCCGAAGGTCCCATCCAGTCCCATGTCTTCTCATGTTGATATGTACTTATCTCAAAGCCGACAAAACTCTCTCAGGCTCGCCTGCTCGGTAACTTTCGAAGATACGGGGTAGTTAGCCTTGTTATGCGGGGCAGAGGAAGCGTTCGAACGTAAGGAATTACATAGCACGACCGAAGCACGACATGGTGCAACTCCACAGCGCTTGGAATGTTGCTCGCGATTGCGGTTAGCCTGAGATTGTCCATGGACTTCGTAACTTGAGTTACATTCGGCGGCCGAGGTTCGTAAGTATAAGCAAAAGCAAGAACTTATCGTGAATACCGACTGCAGTACGCACCTCGACGACTGAAACGACCCTCCTCTCGCAACAAGACACCCATGAAAACCCGTCCCGATCCTCCGACCAATTCTCCCTCTGAATCCCTCCCAAATCAACGAACCCCACCCGCCAATCAACGTCCTAAGAAACCCAAGCCCGTCGGACGTACAAGAGTCCGCTTACTTACATAGTCTGCTTTTGGGGTACGTAGCTATAGTACGAGCGACATGGCGGGCCGGTGGTGAAGGATTCGAACCCTTGCGCCTTACGATTCCAGGGGACTCCGGAGTCGGAGCTTACTCTCTCTGCGACAAACAAAACACCGCCAGAGACCCTGCGCATTGGCCATGACGGTGATGCCGGAACTTGTACGATGAGAAAGGGACGGGGGTCAGGGTCCGGGAAGAGTCTAAGCGCGAGAATTGATTGGATTGTGGAGAAGGATTGTGGAGAAGGCGAAGGAGTGTGGAGAACCGAGATATGAGAGGGTGGGGAAAATTGAGCTTTGAGGTTTTTGTGTCTCGGGAGACATATAGGAGTGCTAGGAGCTGTAGGAGCCCGACGACGTTTTCGTGGGTTTGGGTGTCTGTCTCTCGTGCCACATGTGGCCTTGCACAGAATCAAAATATCGTGCCACTCACAATTGCCACTGATCAATGTACTGTCGATTCTCGAACGATATGCATGCTCTCCAGGGACGAGCGAAGGATAAGTCATGCCAGGAACGACAACGGACGATGTGGGTGGGCGTCATTTTTGAACACCGGTAAAAGAGCTGCTCCAAATTGGGGGTGACAATTTGACACCGTCAGAACGGGTGTACACACGATTGCGCATGGAGGTGAGATGGGGAACTTAGCGTCTCCGTTCCGTCGACCCGCTCCGAAATGTTGTTGTTTTGCTGCGCCCGTCGGCCCTCGGGGAATGTGGGGAGTCAGAAGATATGTATTGATACGATTTTTGTGACTGGTCGATGAAAGCTTCGAGGCTCTGACAAGCGGCGAGCACGAATAGGCTTTGCGGGATGGGGCATTGATGGGGAAGCGTAGGTTTACATACCTGTACCGTGCCTTTAGGTTCGGGTGCGAGAGAGACGAGAAACGAGGGGTCAAACAGTGTTAGATTGATAGCGGCTCGGCATTGGAAACGCTGAACTCGAAGGATGGGTGTAATGGTTCGCACAGGGTCTCAATACCAGCGCCTCTTCTGTATGAATGTCGCGAGTTTCAGTTATCCATAGCTCGCATACGCTACAGTTTCTATAAATGGCGCAAGAGGGCAAGAAAAGCGACGTATTGTCCCAGGCCGGAATTAGGAAGACTCAGCGAAGAAAGACGTCGACGGATGATGATCAGAAAATTACAGTAGTTTCTTCTGGCGGACTGAGCCGATGGAGAGGAAAAGGAAAAGTTGAGCCTGTAGCTGAACGGCATGTCGTCATATCAAGGCACAAACATTCTTCTGCGCAAGTCCGCAAAGCGCTTGATCGCTTTGAGTGTTTCTGCCTTGTTTTTCGAGAGAAGATACGAAATGACAAGGGGAGCGGGGAGTCGAGCCAACTTCCGAGTGCCCGCGGTGCACGCCACACGCAAATGCGGCTCTCGGACCGATCATGCCGACAGGTTACCGCCGGGATATCAAGCGTCCGCGTCAATTTTTGTGGGAAAGTGTCGTCATAGGCGGGTGATCTGAGATGAAATCTGTCTTCGAGGCGGAGTGCTTTCGCTTGCGGTGAGCCAACGGGAGCTCGTATTCACGAGTAAGCTGTCCCCTTTGCACGCTCTTTTTCCTCTCATTTCTCGTGCATTTCCACGGGTGGCTCAGGAGACTGTCTTCACGGCTGCTGTGGGCTTTGGGTTAGCGTCTGATTCCAGTGATAAATCGATAAGTTGCAGAAAGGGACAGAAAGCTGCCCCGGATTGGAGCCAGATGACGAACACCCTCAAATTCTGGTGTTGTGTTGCCCCCACCGCACGCGTGTGTTCGAAAAGATTTTTGACGCGCCGACAGCCGTCCCCACAACGCCAGAAAGCGTCCCGGTTGAGCGTTTCACCCGGATGGTTATCTCCGCCCGTGCCCTTGCTTTCGTCAGAACCCATCGTTTACGCACTTGGCGCACCACCCCGGAATATCCGTAAATTTCTCTTCTCTATATATACCACCCCGCCGACGCACCCTCTCGCCTGTGATACGAACGTCCCGTCGTCCCCCACCTCTACCCCGGACAGCACCCTCCACTTGTGCCTGTGCCCGACGTCTTCCCCCACGCTTTTTGTTTGTCTCTTTCGACGCACCTCCCTTGTGCAGTCACCGAATTATATTTTTTTGATTGACGCAGTAACGACCACGACCCTACCCCCTCTACCTCTCTCCGACCATGTCTGAGAAAGAAGCAGTCGCCCCGGTACATCACCGGAAGAACCAATTCTTTGGTTTGACGGGTGACAATCTCATCCGCGCCATTACCATGACCGCTACGATATCGTACACCCTCTTCGGTTACGATCAGGTGCGTTCATTTTGTCGTCTTCTGTGGTTTGCGTTCATGTGGGGCTGACATTGCGTGCGATGCTGCGTGTAGGGTCTCATGTCCGGTATCATCACTTCGGACCAGTTTAACACCGACTTCCCACAAACGAAGTCGACTGGTTCCACCGATGTCCACCACGGTACTGTTCAAGGAACAGTCGTCTCCATCTATGAAGTCGGCTGTTTCTTCGGTGCCCTCGCCACCTTCATCTGGGCTGAACACCTCGGACGGTGAGTTGATGAGCTTATCATGCCTTGAGATTGGAAGACGGAAAGCGGTGGCTCACACCTTATCATTCAGGCGGCGAACGGTCCAAATTGGCTGCGTCCTTATGGTACTTGGGACGATCATTCAAATCACCGCTATCCGCGGCGCACACAATTTCCTGCAGTTTATGATCGGTCGAACAATCGTGAGTTCCTCATTCGCACAATCCCCATCGTGTGGCGCTCGTTTTGACGCGCTTCCTTCCGTCATTCAGACTGGTATTGGTAACGGCGCCAACACGTCAACTATTCCGGTATGGGTCGCAGAAACGACGAAAAGTCATAACCGTGGTTATCTCGTGTGTATGGAAGCCGCTATGGTCGCTGGTGGCACCGTCATTGCGTACTGGGTCGACTTCGGTCTCTCCTACGTTCCCAGCAGCGTCGCATGGCGTGTTCCCATCGCTCTCCAGATTGTTTTCGCCGTCGCTCTCTTCGCTGGTATCTCAGTCTGTACGTTGTCCAATTCATCTTTTGATTTTGCGCGAATATGCTGACGATATGCATGTTCCCACGCCACAGTGCCCGAGTCTCCCCGTTGGCTGCTTACTCACGGTTACGAAGATGAGGCTGGAGAGATTATCGCAGCTCTCAACGATGCACACCTCGAGGACGAGGGTACCCAGCGTGATATCCGTATTATCCTCGACGGTATCCGTGCCGCCCAACAGGCCAGCGCCGGCGTCACGAACAAGGATCTCTTCCACGGCGGCAAGAAGCAGCATTTCCGTCGTATCCTCATCGGCGCTTCGAGTCAGATCTTCCAGCAGCTCGGTGGTTGCAACGCCGTCATCTACTGTACGTTTACTGTCTTCGTCGTCTAAAAGGGCTATGCTGACGAGATGTTGTTTCAATAGATGCTACCGTTTTGTTCGAAGACACCATCGGCCTCGAGACCCGTCTTTCCCTCATCCTCGGCGGTGTCCTCTCCATCGTCTACGCTCTCTCCGCCTTCACCGCCTTCCTCGCCGTCGAACGTTTCGGCCGTCGTACTATGTTCCTCGCCGGTACCTGGGGTCAACTCACCGCCATGGTGATCATCTTCGCATGCCTCATCCCCGGAACCCCAGGTCCCGCCAAGGGCGCCGCGTTCGGTCTGTTCTTCTACATCATGTGGTTCGGCTCGACTTGGTTGCCTCTGCCCTGGTTGTACCCCGCTGAGTTGAACCCGTTGAGGGTGAGGACGAAGGCGAACTCGATTTCGACGATGTGTAACTGGATGTGAGTTGATCCTTCTATTTTGCCTATCGAGTTTTAGGACGCGGAAGAACGGATGTTGACATGTTTGGTTTTTCTGTTTAGCTTCAACTTCTTGGTCGTGCAGGTGTTGCCGACGATGACGACTTCCATCGGTTGGGCCACCTTCTTGATCTTCGCCATCGCCAATGCCATCTTCATCCCCATCATCTACTTCTTCTGTAAGTCTCCTCCCCTTTCCCCTTCCATCGTCCACGATCTTCTACACCCATTTCTCACCTTCACCTGTTTTTTGCGCCTGAACAGACCCCGAAACCGCCGGCCGCACTCTCGAAGAGATCGACATCATCTTCGCCAAGGCCCACGTCGAGGGCAAGAAGCCGACCCACGTCGCCAACGACATGGAGAAACTCACGCAGACCCAAGTCGAGCGCGTCACCAACGCGCTCGATATCCACAACGTCCGCGGTGACGATCTCGAGAAGGGCGGAAACCCCGCTGGAAAGCTCGCCAGTGGAGACTCGACGCCGAGTGAGACGAGTACACCGAATGCGACGGGGTCTTGAGGTGTTTGAGTGATATTGAGTGATCTGTTGAGTGGATAGGAAATGAAAGGAAGTTTGATCTTTTTTGTCTCGATTTCTTCGGGGCCGTCGGGTTTTTCGACGTGCCTCGCATACATACCCTGCTGCTGTATCTCCCACATTCATCTTCCATCCGTCTGACGCCCTCATGCATTCCACTTTTTGCTTCATCCTCATCCACCTATCTCCCTTCTCTGTCAATTCATTAATCCATTCTATGATGCAAGCAACACCCTCTATCCTGATCACCAACCACCTTCGCATTCTGATGATACTTATTCGTTTCGTCTATCCGCCTTCACCACCCCTGTACTTATAATTCGCCGTCTTGGCACTCCATCTCAAGCGTCGCTCCATGGTCTCACGAACCCAAACTTACTTGCGCATCGGCATACGTACTGACTGCTCGCATGATTTCCTCCTCTTTTTTCGACTATCACACACCTACAAATTGTAGCTAGAGTTTTTAGACTATAACGTACACGGTCAACGTTCGTCGCTCGTCTGCAACTTTTCGTAGAGTTTTAGGTTGTCGTCACATCATGATTTATCGATTTCGTTTTACCTCTTGGTTTTGTGTGAACTGGAGCCTGGATTGGAGGGAGATGGCCTGATGAGCAAAGGAGCGGCGGTGTGGCACCCCTTGTTGGTGTGGCGCCGGGCAAATAGTGACAAACAACTCAAATGTTGGACACCACGCCCAACCGACACCTGCCCTCATCCAGACTGGTACCCACTCTATATAGTTGCTCTATAACGGGGTATATGATGGCTGCGCGAGTACAATCTTTGTCCCTCGTCTGCACTCTCTTCTACGATGCTGCGTTTCAGAAGACAACGACAAAGTCGCAACTTCTGGACTGGATATCTTGACATCGCCTTGTCATGCATATCCTCTGGCAGCTACGCATCATTCGATTTAGCTTTACGGTGCCCTTAGATGCAATACTCAGGGTGATGTTGACTTTAAGCTTGCATACGTCTTACCCTGATCTTTCCTGTCCTTGATGAGACTAAGTACCCATTCCTGGACTGTTTTTTTCTAGAACCTCGCCATACAACGTGTGACAGCATCCAGACACGCCAGTGCTTCTTTGTACGGTATGTACCCACCGCTTGTGCCGGACGTTCTTGATTATGGCATCACTGTCTGTCCAGCTGACTCTAAGTTCTCATGTAACGCCACTGTATTGCTGAGTCAAGCTAGATAGATTCACTTCTTGGTCAACGAGGATTGGCGACTCGGGATGCTCTCCCTCAAAGTACACGATCTACATTAGACTCTGGCCTTTTCCTTCCCCCTATAGAGCTAGAAAGTATTCCGACTTCTCCTTCCTTACCGAAGAGGCGAAGGATGCACGATCCCGCCTTACGTAGAGCGGCATCGATCTAAAATCTATCTTCATCGCCATGATATTGGCTTGTTCCCTACAGCTTGGAATCACTCACGCGTATAAAAGACCACTTCGACATCGTGACGGCTCACTGATATCTGATTCCTCTTCATACCGGTAATCCCTACAGTGTATCAGCTCTATACATCCCAATGACTCCCGGCATGGTCCACGTCTGCGTGCATTGCGGACAAGCAGCACCTATTCAGCACTCTGTGTGGTATGTTGAGATGGTCGAGCTCGTCGTAAGTTGCTTGGTTTACCGTAAGTTTTGCGAGCACTTTGACCATCAAGCCAAACCATACAGGTCAAGGATACTCTTTTCAAGGTCCCCCGATTTATCTTCGACGACCACCTCCAATCGTTCACGAGGATGGTCTCGCCATCGAGGAATACTACAGGTATCCCTGGGCCCAAAGGAACCGTAGACCTCATCGTACAAAGTCACGATCGTTCGTTCAGTATTTCTGATGACATTACCGTCGACGAAATGGAGAGCTTCTTGAAGGCCTTTATACCGAAGTGTGTAGTCAAACTCTTTTCAACTCGTCTAATGCCGCTCGCGACACGTAGGACCCCCATTTGTTCATCCAACGTTGATTGTAGGTTCTCGATCCCAAAAGGTGTAGAACTCACGCTCAGCGATCATTTGTCCGTCCTCAAGCTCGCTACCAGATGGGGCTTCTCGGAGCTTCGAAATCAGTCGATTGAAGCAGCCACGCCACGCTTCAAATATCCTACTGACTTGATAACTTATGGGCAACGATATATGGTTCCTCAGTGGCCAATTGAAGGTTACAAACGCATCATCAAAGGGACATATCCAAGCCTAGAGGTCGCATCCAAACTCGGCTCCAAACCCTTCTACTATCTTATGGCTGTTCGCGACCAATATCTGCAGACGACACCCGTACCGGCGCAAAAGGCGCAAAAGCTCTTCGCAAAGAAAGGAAGTACGAACTCCCTCAATTTCGATTTCGACACGAAGATTGTCGCGCTCATTGACGCTGGATATCTTGAGGGTGCACTTCCCCCTGATTATCCTGCTACCTGTGAAACATCCACCGACTCTGACATGACGATCGATGGGAACGGTGAGCGAAGTTTAGACATTCTAGGTCTGCTGGTAGTGACTCATCTACATATACACTCATCTACACAGGCAAGGAAGATTACGATAAAACCATTGAGGTGGCTATCTCTGCTATCTACCTGGCAAGTTTGAAGAGCGCACCCCTCAAGCCTTCGCGGCTGTATTGCATCGAGACTGCCACTTTCCTCGTACGTATTGTCATTTCTCGCCAGCTCCTCATAGATGGTTCACATGAATTTTAGGCGGAAAACACTCTGTTCTGTGTCCCCCGCTTTCGCCTTGTCGAGAATAAGGACTCTCCTTTCGCCAGCATGTTCACTCTTCCGCTCGGAGATGTAGAAGCCGAGGGCACAAGCTCAACAAGACCGATAAAGTTACCTCCTGACATAAAGGACACAGACTTCGCCAATTTTCTAGAAGTATTATATCCTGAGTATATCCACTCCGGCACTACTAGCTCTTGAATTTTATGTTTAATCGGGTTTTTTCATTTACAGATATATCTCATCACCGTATCTGACACCGTCGATGAGCGACGCTTGGACCGCAATCCTCGGACTCGCCACGCAATGGCAGTTCGACGATGTTCGCAAGAAGGCCATCGATGTATTAGGAGATCAGGAGAAAAATGCCATCCGGAAGATAATACTCGGAAGGCAATACTCGATCTCGAGCTGGCTTGTTGCTGCATACGTCGAACTGGCGGGTCGAGATGACTCAAAACCCTTGACAGTAGAGGAAGAGAAGGTGTTGGGAGACGCAACGGTTGTGAAGTTACTCAAGATTGAAGCGGAACGTCGTAAGGGGGAAAGGGAGGGAACCGTTTGTGATTTGACGGAGAAAGTCAAGGAGGCGTTTAAGGACGAGTTAATGGAGGACGAGGAGTATCGGCGCAAGGCTAGTGCACTGGCAACGACGGCGGCGAGTCCTTCAGATACTGCACCTGTTTAGCTCGGGAAAATGGTCAGATTTATTGGTCTACAATGTACATATAGCTCGCTTCTTTTCCATCTTGCCTCATATTTCTGGAGAGTTGTTGGATGGTGCTGAACCCTTGCTGAGCCCTGGCATCGACAGCCTTCAGGTGTATGGCAAGCTCGCGCCACTCACCGATTTTAAACTCCGTCCAGCGCTTGTGGCGACAAGTTGGGCCACAGTCTGCTCTTACCATTTACCATCATCTTGGAAACGAGTTCGCTCACCTGTCCTCTTCATAAGGTAAAATTGAGCCATCCAGTACGTTCTATTTCATGCTTTTAGTTCTATATTCTTTGAATCAATTGGCTCATCACACGAACCTGTGTGTCTATCAAAGGTGAACCAGTGCATATAACGACCTTTGAATGGATATATGCACTTAGAAGTAGTCTTCCGATATTATGAGCGTGTATGTACTGCACGCACGGTGATATCAGATCCTGGAATGCCGTTCGTTACAGAGGTCGCAAACCACTCTCGACGTACCAGAGAAAGCGCCACATCATCGACTAGTGTTAACGAACAGCTTCATACACAATGGGATTGATTCCATAAGGTCTGGTCTACATTTTGCTGCTTATATCAATATGAAATACAGGTCACAATTTCTAAGTATACGTTCATTCACTACATGGAGTCGTTACACCGAGTTTCTCCAAAGATGCACGTACAGGCATTTGTTCTCCTTCATTTACTCATAGTCATCGCCCACACTCACTTTTAGACCCTCACATCGCAATCAGCTCCGCCAATTCCAACTTCTGCCCACCACTCTTCAACGAAGCCTCAATCACCGCAACGTCCCACAACGCCTCTCTCGGATTCTGCACGTCCTCCTTCTCGGTACCACTCACAGCTGCAAAGAATCTCTCCAGCTCTTTCTCCACACCAGACGGCTTCTCTTCATACACCACACTTTCCTCGACACCTTCAATCTTTCCCTTGTCATCTCCCTCCTGGACCTTCTTCACTTTATACACGGTCACCCTCTGCTTTCCCTCGGGTGTAAACCGAACGTTGAGCCAGCCGAGCGTACCGGTCAGTGTGATGCTATTGGAGGGACCGATCTCGGAGAGGGATGACGGAGCATTTGCAGGGCCAGAGAAGGAGATGTGGAGGGTCCCACGGATGGAGGTGTCGACCGGGTGATCCGGGTGCTGGGGTTCGTCCGAAGAGGCAGGCTGAGGCGCAGTTTGGAGGATGGCCAGAATGGAGTCTGCGGGGGCGAGGTGGGCGAAGGATAGGGACGAGAAGGAGCTCAGAGAAGTAGGGATGGCGGGTAGGATAACCCGAAGAGCTGCCGCAGTGTGCTGTGAGGGGCAGATCGGATATCAGGAGGGTGACTAGGATGAGAGAGATGGCAGAAACGTACAACACCACCGTCAAGCTAGTGGAACAGATGAGTTGTCTGGTGAGTCAATAGTTGGTGGACAATAGATATAGAAACATACAAGAAATCCGCCTTGATACTGAACAAGTTTCGTTAGATTAGAACGTCGAAGCAGAGATAGACCGACTCACGTCTGGAACAGTCCTCCATGGCGTCTTGTACCACTTGTTATCCACGTCAACGTACCCCGCAGCTCTCGCTTCAAACGTATGCACTCTCCCAATTGTCCCCGCTGCTATCACATCTCGCGATTTCAAGAAGCCTGGCTCGGTTGACCAGTTTTCCGCGACGCGCCACAATAAACCTTTCGGTTTGTATTTCGTCTCATACGTGCGGATGATCTCCTTCGCCTCAGCAATCGACGGAGCAACGGGCTTCTCCGACAAGACGTGTTTGTTATGTGAAAGGCATTTGAGGACTATGGACGGTTGAGTGGTGATAGGGAGCATGATGAGGATAGATGAGATATCGGGGCGAGAGAGGAGGTCATCGAGTGTGGGCCCGTCATCATGGTAGACGTCTGGGGGAGCAGAAAGACTGAGAGTGGTGACAGCCGTTTCCGCGAGCGACGACGCAGACGATTTCGAGCGCGAGTAGACTGCCTTGAGAGACAGGGCGGAAGTACCGCTGATATTCTTCAGGGAGGGGAGATATGCTGTGGACGCGATGAGCCGTAGGTGCCAAGACTTGCAGCAAGGTGAGTGCTAACCTTCCTTGGCAAAAATGCCAGCGCCAAGAATGGCATATCCTGTCGTCTGTTGAGAGGTCATCGTGGTTGGGGTGAGAGGACGGATTGGGAGGAGAGTCGAATGGACGTCGGAAGGCACAAGTGTACTCGATATATCGTATGGCGTATCTGCATCCTTCGATGCTCAAATCGACCCAGTCCGGAACTGACTTCACGCGATTTGTTCATTTGACAGAGACAAGGACCTATTCATGCTCTCGTTGTCGCATGTGACGTGCTCTGCGGCAGAGGACGGCATGGTGGGCGTGGATGAGGGCGTAGAACATCAGAGGGCCTGTCGGCGAATTATCCAAACAGACGCTTTGCGGAGAATCCTCGGATGCGGGCAACATGCACGCCACCGTGGCCCTCTCGATCAGGCATCACACCCTCTTCCGACCTCAACTTTCTCCGTGCTAGTCTCTAGACTATTGCTCGTGCTATTCACTGCGGCGGGACATTCTCGGTCTGTCTTACGCGAATTCATCGCCCTCGAGATCTGACATCCATATTACGGACCTATCGCACCTGTCCGAAACCCATATAAGCATGGGATGTCATCCCCGCCGAGAGCCTTTTCCTACTGCCAGCTTGTTCTCTCCGGTGCCGCTCGCTGCCACGTATATATACTCCCCAATCCTGGTGATATACTCTGCTGTCACTTGTCGTCATGATTACCTCTGAAGCCCCCGTGGCAAAGCTACCCAAGGATTTCATATGGGGCTTCGCCACAGGTATTGTTCACCCTGATATAGTCTGTCCATCTTAGCACTCATTATTCAAAATTACCCCTGCTATCAGCGTCGTTCCAAGTTGAAGGTTCTCTCGACGTCGATGGCCGCGGTAAATCCTTCTGGGACGACTTCTCTCACATTCCTGGAAAGACTCTCGACGGAGGCAACGGAGACGTTGCTACCGACTCTTACCGGCTATACAAGGAAGACATAGCGCTCCTCAAGTCCTACGGTGTCAAGTCTTACAGATTCAGCATTGCGTGGTCAAGAATCATTCCGCTGGGCGGAAGGAATGACCCGATCAATCAGAAAGGTATCGAATGGTACAGCAATTTTATTGACGAGTTGTTGAAGAATGGGATCCAGCCATTTGTGGTGCGTCGAATTATTACTTTCTTTGAGGAATGGTTGATTGGTATTTTAACCGGAGCACTGACGGAGATTTGGTCATCTCCCCAGACGCTCTACCACTGGGACTTGCCACAGGGCCTGCACGACAGGTACGGCGGCTGGCTGAACAAGGAAATCGTTCTCGACTACCAGCACTATGCTCGCGTAGGCATCTATTTTGCCGTTCTACTTTGACAGCTTAATCTCAAGCGATTCCGTGAACAGGTCTGTTTCCAAGCTTTCGGCGACCGCGTCAAGAACTGGTATGTGGCATCTCTCAGACTCGTGTCTCCCCGTATCTATCCCTCTACAAATACGCACCAAACGTCACACTGACCCCGTATCCTACATATATCCCCCGAGCTCTATTTTCTACTCTGTACTGTTCCCGATGCGTTCATCCATCTTTTCACCAACCTGAGGACTCGTTCATCCGATCGCTGTTCTTGTCTTCATTCCGCTCCGAGTAAAGCATGCGTGTGCTAGGACTGTTCTTCCACTGTTCTTCTTCTCTTGGCGCCCCGTTTCCATCCGCCGTTCTTCGGGACTGTCTGGAAGACTGATCCACCCTTCACCCAACGCTTTGCCGACCATTACCCTGCCACTGCTTATTCCTATTCGGGCACCGTTTGTGCTCGCTCTCCATTCATTCGTGCTCGGTATCTGTCCGTGATGATGTCTTCTCAGCTTCCTTCACTTCCGTCTATGACGGTGTTGGCTGGGCTCTTTTCTTCATGTCCGTCTCATACGTGTTTGGCCTAGAGCCCTGGTTGAGACTTCAGTTTCTCCGAGCACCATGACGCCATCCTATCTTCACATACTGTAGTCCGTTGAGATACTCTACGGCAGTGCTACATCGATCTACTTGCCATGACCTACTCCCTCTGTCGTCACCGTTAGACCCTTCTATCTTTATCCTGCACGCCCCGTATCATGCGAGCCTTGCAGTGCCACTTCATCTTATCTTAATAAACTACCATAGTCTTCTCTTCCTGTCCCGTCGTTCTGCAGTTCACCGCCTGTCACCTACATATCCATCTTCATATCTCCCATGTTTACGTCGATTTATGTCCACCTTCCTACCTCTACCACACTACACACCGACAATGCCTCTATTTACCTTGCTAATACCTTCCACTCCCACTTTCCTACAGGCTCACGATGAACGAACCCTGGTGCATTTCCATCCTCGGCTACGGACGCGGCGTCTTTGCACCAGGCAGGTCTTCCGACCGCAACAGGTCGCCCGAAGGTGACAGCTCTACGGAGCCTTGGATGTGCGTATCCTCTCTTACCACCCACACCCATCCCCACACCCCGAGCTCAACGAACGTCTGCTGATACTGTACTTTGAATCCTACAGCGTCGGCCACCACGTTATCCTCTCGCACGCTTATGCCGTGAAGATCTATCGTGAGGAGTTCAAGGTAGCGCAAGGTGGCCAGATTGGAGTTACGCTGAATGGGGATTGGGCTGTGCCTTATGACGATAAACCTGAGAGTGCGCACTTTTCTGTCGTGTGCCCAAGTCGTGGTCTGGTGGTTGGGTATCACCGTGCTAACGGCAGTGTTTACATGCAGATATCGAGGCGGCTCAACACGCGTTGGATGTTGCTATCGGTGAGTTTCGCCTCGTGTGATTATTAAATATATATGGAGGCAATGCTGATTCACGTTCGCGATATAGGCTGGTTTGCTGTACGTTACCCCCTGTCCCGACCATCAATTCTACTCGGTAACGACAGACTCACCCAATGAATGAACATACAGGACCCAATTTACCTCGGCCACTACCCTCCCTACATGCGTACCATGCTCGGCGACCGTCTCCCTACGTTCTCCGACGAAGAACTCGCCGTCGTGAAAGGCTCGAGTGATTTCTACGGGATGAACACGTACACCACTAACCTTTGCAGTTGAGTCGTCTCTCCCAGTTTCCACTTCCACTCTTTCATTATCGGCATATGGATGAGAGGGTGGAATGCTAACCACAGGATTTTGATTTTGATTATACAGAGGCGGGTGGGGACGACGAGTTCCAAGGTTGCGTGGAGTATACGTTCACCAGGCCCGATGGGACGCAGCTCGGAACGCAGGGTATGTCCTTTCCCTCAGTACATCAGTCTGTGGTAGAGTCGACGTGCTGACGGATGGACGGGTCGTTTTACAGCGCATTGTGCTTGGTTGCAGACTTATCCGCAGGGATTCAGAGACGTGCGCTTTTTCCTTTCTTCTGTGTTTTGAGTAGACGTGGAACTGACGTATATAACCTCCTATCGGTGATTGGGGTGTAAAGTTGATGAACTATCTGTGGAAGGTACGTCGCTCTCGCGATCTTACTAAACTACTTTATGGCCACAATACTGATCCAACGCCGTGACCACTTCTTCCCTCCAGAGGTACCAGAAACCGATCTAGTGCGTCTCCTCTCTCCTTTCACCTCCCCAGCCCTCTGACCTCTCACTTATCCATAACACTCGCGTCGCTTACAGCGTGACCGAAAACGGTTTCGCAGTCAAGGATGAGCACAACATGACCATCGATCAAGCCCTCCAAGACTACGACCGCGTCGAATATTTCAGGGGTATGACCGCTGCTATCTACGGCGCGATATTGGAGGACGAGGTGCCTGTTAGGGCTTATTTCCCGTGGAGTGCGTTCTTCCCCCTGTGACCACTATCTTCTGCCAGATCATCTCGGCATCGTACTAAAGGTCATGGTATTGTAGGTCTGTTGGACAACTTTGAGTGGGCGGACGGCTACGAAACGCGTTTTGGGGTGACTTATGTGGATTATGCGACACAGAAGAGGTACCCTAAGGAATCGGCCAAGTTCCTCGTCAAGGTACGGTACCCTCTCAGTCTTTCTTGCTATTCTCTCCGTATTGATATTAGTTCAACCCACTTACGTTCTTCCACAGTTTTTCGCCGAGAACATCGAATCCTCCGAACCGAAGCTCCCACCCGTCGGGCAAGTTATCGAGAACAACAAGCTCGCGCACGGACAGGGCTTTGGCGGTGGCGTTTCGGCGCTCGTGGAGAGCGTGTCTGCATGACTCGTACGGCTGGTCAAAGGTAAGAATGGGAAGGGGGCGAAGGAGGTGAAGACGGGTGGGAGGAAGGTGCGTGTGGTGGGTTAGGTGACAAGGCCTTTGACCAGCCTGGATATGTGCCGCTGTGATATCCCTGATGGGAGCAGCTTGACGCACATGAGACTTCGAGTTTAGAGACGTGGACTGTGTTGCGTGGCTGTGAACTGTGATTCTGAGCTTGAGTGTGTACGTATAGAGGGTGATTGGGACGAGGTGGGATCATGTACGACTAGGTTCCTTTTCTTTTCTTTTCTTTCCTTCCTACTGCTCTCAAGACTGTGACTTTATTCGTACCATGTATACCGGCTATGGCTTCGGGATTCAATGCGCCGATTTTGACCGTGCTTACTCTCACCGCTCTTACGCACTTACCGTTACGATGCCGATATCGAGTCTTCCTGTCATCGTTTGTTCTACTCTTATCTTCTTGTGAAACTCGAACTATGATCGTCCACAGGTTGAACCACTCTGGCCAGAGTAAACTAAGGAAAGGCCGTGGTTTGAACTATCTTCATGTGCTCTGTTTTTGAGTCGATCCGCAGTGCACCCGAGAACGACCCGAGCGCCTCGAGGATGGGGATAGCAGATGACGACGGGAGGGCGACCGGAAAAAGAACGTGCGGAGATAAACGAAGGAAAACGAGCGTCAACAAAGACTAATGGCGACCGTGGGAGCGTGGCCTCCTTGTTGCAAAACGTCGCTGACAGCGCAGACCTCCTTTTCGTCCGTCGTCGTCGCCAGACCTATCGTCGTCGCCGCCGTCGTCGACAGCGCTCTGACACTCGGGTCCAATTGCTCTCTCAGTTTTCTCAGGCTTCTCGTCCGTCCGCTCTTGTTAGCGCTCGCCTTTCTCACAAGACCACATCTTCGGCGCACCGTACTTTTCCGCCCGATATCCGCCTTGCAATCCCCATTCCAGGTTCCTCGTCTCTCCGATTCCAATCCGGCTCTCGTTCGTAGAACGAATCAACTCTCGAAAAAAAAATTAATACACCCAAATAAACACGTCCATGTCAATATACACGCACGACCCGAACCGCCCGACGGCCTCGTCCTCCTCGTCTCCTTTTCTCTCTGGCCCCCCAGCACCTCATTCTTCTACAGACCCCTCGCAAGGTGGGAATGGACACTCTAGTGGCTCGCAGGGCCCTGGGGGTGCTGGTACGGGAGGAGAAGAGGAGGACGGCGAGGGAGGGAAGAAGAAGAAGGCGGGAAAGAGGAGGAAGGTCAACCACGCTTGTCTGTATTGCAGGAGGAGCCATATGACTTGCGACGAAGGCAGGCCTTGTCAACGTTGGTGCGTTTCGTCGTTCTCTGCCTCTTTTGTGAAGCTGAGGCCTCCGGTAGCATCAAACGTGAGATAGGCCACTTGTGCCATGATGAACGGCGGCCGAGCAAAAGCGACAAGCAGCCGTCGGCAGGCCCGAGTATGTCCCAGCCTCCTTCCCAGCACCAGCAGCAGCCTCAGTTGGTTATGCCTCGTACGTGCACTTCCTATTTTTTTGTTGTCCTTGTGTGGTTTCTTTTTTTCTTCGATAGCCATGGAGAGAGTGGCGTCCGTAACATGTCAGGGTCAAACATATCATGGCGCTGGAATTTCGTTGACGCTGCCCCTGCGGATTTATTTGGGCTCTTCAGGCCGCTCGCAAGGCGTATCAGGGACCTCACACCCTTTAATATCTCCAGCGGCCTTCACGATATATGTAGTAACGGCGGTTATGCTGCTACATCGGTGGCAGTATAATCCTGGACGCCGTGCTGATGACCGAAAGGCAGATCCGACGGTCGTACTCACGTGAAAGGCGTTCACGAAACCTCATCTGACTATAACTGTTCATGTTCAACTGTGGTCCCGAAGGCGAAAGACCTTCGCCAGTACAGTATCAGGCGCTCTCGTCTATTATTCGCTATTCTAATTCCGCTCGTGAGATGGTTGGTGTACATGATTCCATGATTGGCGCGTCGAACTTCGACCACGACGGGTATGGCGGCTAGGACTGAAGTAGACCAGGCTCATTAGTACACCAATCCTTCGTCGATATTCGTCCTTGCCGCATTTTATATGGTTTTCAGGTGCTTCGTACACCTTGTGACATCAAGTTGCAGAGTTCGCTACAGACTTTGTCCGTATACATGCACTGGCGGATTCATTGTGGTTCACTTGAGTGTGACGCCCAATCTGCACCCTGACGCTCTCTCATTCTGTATTACCGACCAATCAGCGTGCATTGCACATCTGTTCATATCGCCCCATCTGCTTACTCTTTCGAGGTCCATACTATGCCTCATGGTCACTTCCGATGCTCACCACTCGTCTTCCTTCTCCCACAGCCACCGCGATCCCCTACCCGCCCATGGCCAGCCCTGCAGCGATGTGGCCGAGCATTGCTGTCCCACAAGGAACGTATATGTACCCGCAATTCGAGACGTTCGGAAAGGAGTTCTCTGTGCTCTCGTACGTTCCGTTCTTCCCTATCTCGCACATTCCCCAATGCCATCGCACTCTTCTCGGTCTCTCCAAATTCACCGCCTCGCACCACTCTGACGACCACTACTATGGATCCATTCCACGCCTTTCTTCTGGGTCGGCTTTACAGAGATTTTCTGGATACGCTCGATGAGCAGTCGTTCTTCAATCCGAATGCTCAGCAACAACAGAGCGTCAATCCGTCTTCCCTCGTCTCGCCGCCGCAACCTCAATATATACAGCCTGCGCCACCACCACCGAGGCAGCAACAACGCCAGATCGCGCCACAGCCGCAGCAGACTCAACAGCAGCTCGAGGCGAACCTCGACCCGGCTCTCTTGCAGCAGTCTCAGCAAGCGCAACAGCAGCAACAGTATCAGGCCCAGCAGCAGCAACAACAGCAGCAACAGCAACAGCAGCAACAGCAGCAGGGGCAAAGCCAGGACCAGCCTGGCATCGGAGTCATCGATCCCGCTCTTCAATCACTCCAGCCGGGTTCATCTGGTCTCTCCAACACCACGAACGACAGCACAGCCGGCGATGGTCGTCAGGAAGACTCGCAACAACAGACCGATGGTGGTCAATCGTCCTCGTCGGAAGAGTCTGAAGAGCCCGTCCTCCCCGCCGCCACCATGACCGAAAAGTTCCTCCTCACCGCGGCGGACCAAGAGCCCGGGACGCGCGACGAACGGCTCAAGCGCGTCATCCGCACGAAGTACGAAGCTGGGCTGCTGAAGCCGTACAACTACGTCAAAGGTTACGCCCGTCTCTCGCGCTGGATGGACCGCAACGTCTCGCAGGACTCGAAGCAGCAGATCTTGAGGCCGCTGAGCGTGCTGAGGCCGAAGTTTAGGGCGATCGCGCAGAGCTTGAGGGATATAGATTTGGTGTTTATTGAGGAGGCGTTTGAGAGGTTGTTGTTGGATTATGATCGGGTTTTCTCGGCGATGGGCATTCCGGCGTGTTTATGGAGGAGGACGGGGGAAATATATAAGGGGAATAGAGAGTTTGCGGAGTTGGTGGGCTTGGACGGGTTCATGCTTAGGGATGTGAGTTGCTTTCCCCCTTCTCGTGCTCTCTGACCTAGTTGCGGTTGTGTAGAGATATGAGGGAGGTCAGCGTGCTGATAGATTTCTCTGTTTTTGTCTTTGTTGTTCGATAGGGCCGGTTGTGCATCTACGAACTCATGGCGGAAGAGTCGGCCGTCAATTACTGGGAGGCACGTTCTTTCTCTTCCCCTCTTCTCGCAGCTCGACTGTCTCCTAACCCCCACTTCTCCTTACAAACAGAAATACGGCAACGTAGCCTTCGACTCCACCCAAAAAGCCGTCCTCACCTCCTGCGTCCTCCGCTTCAAACCCAACATCCAAGCCCCCTCCGGCTCCATCACCCCTGCCATCCGACGCACCGCCAACACTGCGCCCATCTCCTCGTCCTTGCCCATTGCCGTCAGCGCTGCTGTCAATGCCGCGAATAACGGTAACGCAGGGGCTGGGGCAACGAGTGGTGGCGCAGGAGCGGCGGCGGATGCGAAGCCGGGACCGAATGAGGAGGGGTTTATTAATTGCTGTTTTTCGTTTACGATTAGGAGAGATACGTGGGGCATTCCGAGTATGATTGTGGGGAACTTCATAAGGTGTTGAGGTGTATGGTAGTGGGTGGGGGTTGGAGTGGTAGAGGATGGTAGGTGTATACTAGGCGAGGAGTTTGTTGTTGTAACTTATAGAAGGCGGGGAGGGAAGGGAAGGAATAGTGTTCAAAGAGCGGTTTGCCTTTCCAGATTACTCCGATGTGTTTGTTTACTTCTTTTTTATCAGTATTTTCTTCTATCTTCGGGTCTTTCTGTCCGATTCTGACTGGTCCGAAAACCGTTGAACATTGGTTTTGAGGGCAGTAGCGCAAGGTTTCACTTCTGCCTTTCGCTCACATCTCATTACAGGACGACTATATTCGTTAGACCAAGTGCATCATGGCTCCCAAGGACTCGTCGGCAAAACACCGCTCAAGATATCCACTCCGTCCTCGGTGATCAATATAATATCCTCATGTCGCACTCCAAATACGCCCTCGATATAAATCCCGGGTTCCGCGGTGAAGACTATTGCCAGCACGTAATCGTCAGGATCGCTCATATACTCAGGAAGGCGGACCCTCAGAGAGAACGAAAACGTACCCATTCCAGGCTTCAACACCGTCCCCGTATTCCCCTTGTTCAAATACGGCGGCTCATGCGCCTTGATTCCGATTCCGTGGCCTAACCTATGCGTGAAGTATACCCCATAGCCTGCGTCGGAGATGACGCCGCGAGCGGCGAGGTCGATGCTCGATGCCGTGGCGTCGGGAAGGGAAAGGGCGTGGATGGCTGCAGCCTGAGCGTCGAGGACCGTCGACCAAATGGATAACTTCTCTTCGAGTTCCATTTTCGTCGACGAAGATGATCGATAGGAAGAGGAGTTGCTGCTGGCGAAGAAGGTCCGACAGACGTCGGAGCTGTAGCCGTACAGATGGGACCCGACGTCGATGAGGATCATGTCTTCGTCTGGGTTGAGGATCACGTCGGGACTGCTGGAGCAATGTGGACAGGCGGCGTTTGGTCCGAAGAGAACGAGGTCGAAGAAGGGATCCATCCCTGCGCCGCGACGCATGACTTCGTCGAGGGTAAGGCTGAGCTCGAGTTCGCTGATGCTGGCTTTGGAATGTTTGGCCTTCGGGGTAGATAAGCCGGTAGCATGGAAAAACCGGGAGAAGAAGGGGGTGGAAGTCCTGTCGCGAGCGCTGGGAAGTGAGAGGAATGAAGGAAGGCAGTTATGGACGGCTCGGATGGCGGTGATTGTGAGCGTGTTGACGGCGCGCAGGAGAGCGATTTCTCGTGGTGATTTGAGTTGTTTGACGAGTGCGTAGGCGGCTGTGTAGGAATATGGTACGACTTCTAAACCGCTGGCGACCAGGCCTTGAGCGATGAAGAGACGCATTTCGTCGTCTGCTACGACGAGCGGTTTCGGAAATATAGCAGCCTCTTTTTCTCCATCCCGGCCACTCGTTTGGGAGAGACGGCGTGGCTGGATGCGCGTAGCAGCGTAACGATAGAGATATTCAGAAAGGATCGCGAACGGGTCTTCGTGTTCTTCCCAAGTTGCGTATGACATCGTGCCATTGGCGAGGGGCATGTTGAGAGCTAGTGCACGTTGCAGTTCGAAGGCAGGGGTTAGGAAGGTGGTGCGTGCGACGACTTTGGGTTCGGAGTTGGTGGTGTCGGCGATCCCTAGAACGGGTTCGACGACCATCAAGAAAGGACGCTCTTCAGGTTCCCATGATTCCCATTGAAATGAGGAAAGGTTGGTGTAGTAAACCTCTAATGCAAGGCATCATATTATTAGTTCAGTCCACAGAAAGATGCGATAGAGAAAGGAAACCTGTGCTGACCTGTAAATCCTGGTTCACCGACAAAGGCATCGAGACCTTCCTCTACCAAGGCTCTTGCAAGTCTATCCCTTCGCTCGATGTACTCTTCTACGGGAAGAGCCTCGACGAGTGGTTCATTGAGAGCGCTTGTATCGTAAGCTGCAAGAGAGCACTCGAGGAGACTGTCAAGGCGATTGTCACGTCCTACGTTCGGAGCAGAGTCTCCAAAGGGTGTTTTATAAAGCCAAGGCAACACCGCAAGGGAGGAGAGGACGGCAAGCAACAGAACCTGACCAAACTTCGAGTCCTGGTTGCAGATAGCCGGTTCAGAGTCCTGACGACTCTTCATGTCGGAAGGGGTAGACATCGTATGCGATGGTGGGTGTGCGCAAAGGGCCATTTATTTATTCAGCACGAATACTTATGATAATAATATTGCGGGTCGACCATGACGGCGAGAGGAAGAAGGGTCGCCGGCGCCGATCCTTCTCGGCTGACTCCGGCCTCGTGTTGAAATTACTTCCGCCGCGGCCTTCCAACCTGCTCATGACTGCCACCGCCTGGGAGGCCCCACCTCTTTAATGCCGTTGTGTCTATGGAATACTTTCGCTTGGATTTGCATGCCCTGCATGAGTAGCGAGTACTTGGTCAAAGCTCATATTTTATCCAGTTGTGACCCGGTATTTTTCGTTGCTCCATAATAATACCTGCACACAAGTTGAACTTTGCGCCGAGCGCCCGAGATGGGCAGTACCCATCATCCTTCTTACGGTCCTTGTCCACGCTGGTATCGGTATCCTCTGGTATCCTCTTAGACATTCAGGAGCTTATCTTCGTGTAGCGATCGTGTGCGTCTTTATCTAGGGACGCTCTTACCCCAAGGGCAGCTGCGCTGTAACATGACTTGTTTAAAGCTAGAGAGAAGTTTCACCATGAGCCCTAGGCCTTCCTTTCCCCGAGGCATCGACTTGACCAGCAGTCCTAGGTACGATGGCTTCCAGCGAAGACCAGCCAGTTAGCTTTGCCCAGAGGGCAAACGCGATCTTTACCGTTTGGTTCACTGGAATTGCTATTCTCTCCGACGGTACGCCCCTGCTAACAGTTCACAATCCTACACAGCGATGCCGTTTCTAATGTTCCTCGGTTGTGCTAGGTTATAATGGTGCTATTATTGGGAATTTGGATCTCATCTTCACGGCTCTATATCCTGAGTCCTTTACTACCGACATCTATACTCGTGTCAGTCATGCCTTCATGATTGGAGAGATCATCGGTGCGTTGTTTTTTTCTCGTGATGTTCGAATCTGTCTCTCATAAATAGATTCTAGGGATGTGTGCTTTCGCGGTCATAGGTTGGCTCCCGTATTCAGATCGCTTGACGGTCCGCCAACTGTGCTAATATTTGAGCATCTCAGTCGACAGAATTGGACGAAAGGCAGGTGTCGTAGCCACGACCTTGATCCTCATCGTCGGTGTCATCCTCTCAGCAGCAGCGTCCGGCAGAGACCAGAATGGCATGTTCTGGATGCTAATCGTCGCTCGTGGTTTAGTAGGAGTTGGAGCAGGCGGAGAATATCCAGGTTTGTGACTAAAACGAATTCTATACAACGGGTTCGACCTGACCATTTTATGAAGTTTGCGGTGCTAGTGCTATCGAAGTCAGCAACGGTCCACTGACGAGGAAGCGGAGAGGTCTCATGATGAGTCTTACCTGCGATCTCATGGCAGACTTGGGCTTCGTCATTGGTGGAATGTGCGTGCTCCTTGCCTTATGGACGAAAAGAGACTGACGATCCTCCTTATGACAGCGTCCCACTCGTTGTCCTCTTCGCTTTCCACCAGAGCCATTTCGAAGTCGTGTGGAGACTTTGCCTTGCGATTGGCGCGGTTCTCCCCTTGTCCATCTTCTACTTCCGGCTGAAGATGATTTCAAACACGCAATATGAAAAACATGCTCTGCGGTCGAATGTACCATACAAGTTGATCTTCAAGCGCTGTAAGTCTCTCTTGGAACAAACTGGTTCAATGTGGCGTTAATAGTTATTCCCATTCAGACTGGAGGTCGATTCTCGGCACGAGCATCCTCTTCTTCCTTTACGACTACATTGCCTGGGTATGTTCCCTATTGCTCTAAATACCTCTTAACATCCGAACCCTAACCACCAAACCCGCCCACAGCCCTTCTCACTCTTCTCCTCCGTCATTTTCTCCCACTTCAACGCCGGCGAGTCCATCTGGAAATCAATCGCCTGGGGAACTCTCGTCAATGCATTCTACGTCCCGGGCTGTCTCATTGGCGGTTACATCGCAGACACCAAATTCGGTCGTCGCAAGACTATTGCTATGGGTTTCACGATCCAGGCGATTTTGGGTTTCATCATCGGAGGTGCTTTCAATCCGTTGACGAATAATGCGTTTGGAGCGTTCGTGTTCTTGTATGGGCTTTTCGTGGCTGTTGGTAAGTGTTCTCCTATTTTGTTGGTGGCGTTGACAGAGCTGACAGACGCGTTCGTTGGTATGTGCGATTAAATTGTAGGTGAGGTCGGGCCGGGATCTTGTGTGATCCTCGTCTCAGGCGAGAGCTTCCCTACCCCCATCCGTGGCCGTACGTATCCTCTTCTTATATTCATCTCCATACACCTGTCTTACCTTGCTTTTCCTAATTCGCCCTGATAGACTTCCTCGGCCTCGCCTCTGCATTCGGAAAGGCTGGTTCCGCAATCGGCTCCACAGTTTTCACCTCCATTCTCGCCCGATACTCCAACTCCTCCGACCCGAACAAAGGGTCCCAAGTCGCGTTCCTCATCGGTTCAGCATTTGCCGTGCTCGGTGCAATATGTGCATTGTTATTGCTTCCCGACACGCCGAAGGATTTGGAGGTGGAGGATGAGGCGTTCAGGGAATATTTGGAGGCGAATGGGTTTGACACGAGTCAGATGGGGATGGGTGTTGCGAGGCGCGAGAAGACGACGGATGAGGAGGTTGGGGATGAGAAGGTGGTTATGGAGAAAGGTGAGAAGCAGGTGGTTGTCGCGGAGCAGCCTGTCGTGGGGTATTGAGTAGAGTAGTCGTGACTAGCTTCGTACTCTGTCATCACATATATTTAGACCAGAGGGCGATATCTATAAAAGCCCCTTCCCAGTGTATATTTCACTCTAAGAGTCGAACACAGTCGACCCAATCGTCGTGGCTGAAACCCAAGATAATTCCCATTTTGATACACAAACAATACACGGCTTCTAACACTCTACAACAAATCAGGAAGAAAAGAGCCCCAGCTCCATCCTCTCCAGCACTTCCTCCCTCCGGTCCCATATTTGATCGAGAGAGCTGTACCCAAGCAGGCCAAGCACAATCTCGGCTTCGCAGAGGAGGCCGCGGATGACCTCCTCGACACCCTGTTCGCCGCTGATAGCAAGACCATACATGTATGGGCGACCCACTGTAGAAGTATTGGAAATGAAGTCAGCTTGACTAGACGCGAAGAAGCAAATCGAAGCTCGGAGGTTGGGAGACGAAAGGTGGAAGTTGCGATGGGACGTGATTGGAGTGAAATGAGGACTTACAAAGGACGGCCTGGGCACCAATTGCGACGGCCTTGATGATATCGGCGCCACGACGGATACCTGAGTCGAAGAGGACGGTGAATTTGCCTGAGTGTTGGGCTTCGCGGATGCGTGGGTGGGCCGTGATCTTCTCCAGTGCGATCAGGGCCGGAATGGTTCCGTCGACCTGACGTCCACCTATTATACGCCGAAGAATACAGAGGTAGGAGTTTCTGTGAGTACAAAGATGGACGAGTAGACTACAAAGAGACGTTAACACTCACCATGGTTCGAAACAACAATTCCGTCACATCCAACCTCCAGCGCCTTCAACGCATCATCCACATGCAAAATTCCCTTCAACACCAACGGCCCCTCCCAATGCTTCCTCACAAACTCCAACTCCTCCCAGGTCCTAAACAACCCCGAATGAATCTGCCTCGACCAGTTCCTCCCCAACACCTTCATCTCCTTCTCATGCTCATCCCCAAGCTCCCTCTTCGCGTCGCATACGGCCGGGTCGAAGGGGAAGGGAACGCGCTCGTCGTTACGAGGGGCGAGGTTCTGCGTGGCCATGAAGGCGGGGTCGGAGGTCCCGACTTGGATACCGACGCCGTGCATGAAGGGAAGGTAACTTTTGTCGAGATCGTACGGGCGCCATCCCATGCACATGGTGTCGAGGGTGACGACGCATGCTGTGAAGCCTGCTTTCTTGGCCCGTCCGAGGAGGGATAGAGTGATTTCTTCGTTTCGCGGCCTATGTCAAAATATTCATAGTCGCCTTGTATTAGCTCATTGACGGATAGCAAGATAAACCAGACGAATGGAGTGGAGATGGAGATAAAGAAAGAGTGGCGTACCAGTAGAGTTGGTACCAACGCTGACCATCACCGTTGGCAGCAGCGCAGTCTTCGATGGAGCGGGTCGAGGCAGAACTCATGATGATGGGAACGCCGACTTTGGCTGCTGCTTTGCACGACGGGATTTCGCCATGGACGCTCAGGAGTCCGTGAACGCCGATGGGGGCAAGCAAAAGTGGGGACTTGTACTTGACACCGAACAAAGTTGTCTATAGATGAATGCCACCATCAGTTCGAGCGAGCTTAGACCGCCAAAATTATTGAAAACTTACCTCAAGGTTTCTGTCGGATGTGTCTACGAGCATCTTCGGGGTGAAGCCCCATCGCTCGAACGCTTTCCTGTTTGCACGATCCGTGGAGCAAGACCCAGCGCTGCCAAAGACATAGAGGAAAGCGGCTATTTACACAAGTGATCGGTGAGCACATTCCGTCCTCTTGTGTCTGGTTCGTGAACGAGAAAGCTCACATCGAGTAGACGCAGTGACCTCCCTCGCCTTGGCTTCGAGTTTGTCCGGGTCATAGGAACCGATGGAGGGTTCTTTCCTACCGTTGTAGACGACATTCATGTACTTCGACCAAGACTCCGGAGCATCCTTGTCGGCCTCGAGAGCAGCTTTGAAAGCCATGCTGGTGTAATGAACACGAAGAAAGAGATCGCCACAAAGCACGAGTGTAGTTCGAGAGAGTTGGTTGGAGGTAGTTAACGGAGTAGCTTTGACCACTGCGGCGCTGGTAGACCGATACCTCTCGGATTTTCGCAAGGTATTTTCAAGATAGAAGAAGCTAGCATTATCGATGACTGCCAAATTTCCGCGGGGAGTCAGGACATGTTCGCGGGTCGGTCGAGACGTTGGACCAGGCAACCCAAAGCCATCGAAAGAGTTCCGCCCCGAGCACCTTTCGTTCAGATAACGAGAAACAAGATCTGAAGAATGCAATGGGATCGGTCAGGAGGCGGGTTGGTCTACAAATGCGAGATAAGTGGATGAGCGGATGACATTGACAAGCGGAAGTTCCTGGCAAGTACCGTCGGCGCCATAGCAAGATAAGATACAATCGAATAATTCGAGAGTCCGCGCCGGCGGATCAAGTCCGGAGGTTCCGCGTCGGCGGAAGAACGAGTTAAAGCAGGAACGTCGTTTACAGCACCGAGCGAACACGGTAAGTACTTGTAGAATACCTCTCACAATCAATCCACTTAACTCATACGTCGACGTCGACATGGCCTCCTCCAACCCTCTCGTAGATGTTCACACCCGTGAGTTTCGCCCTTCAGCCTCTGCAAAATATAACTAAGTCTAATTCGAATAGACGTGTATCTTCCCCGGTATGCGGATTGGCTTCGCTCGAGGTCTGCTGCCCCAAGAGTCTACACGAACGAGAAAGGCGAAGAACGCTTGTTGATCTTGGACGATGAGGTCAATATTTCGTTCTAACGACAGGCTTGACGTTTAGCTAACCTCGGTTTCGGCCCACAGCCTAGTGGTGGGCGTCCTGTTGGCCCTCAATACTGGGATCGGGATGAGAAGCTCAAGTTCATGGACCAGCATGGTATCGACATCTCAGTCGTCAGGTGCGCGACACCTTTTATTGGAATGCTTACTTGCTCCATTCACTGACAAGTATCTACATCAGCTCTGCCAACCCATGGCTAGACTTCCTTCCACCATCCGAAGCCCACGAACTCGCACTTGGGTTGAACGATGACCTGGAGACATACTGTGCTACTGGCCCGGCATTCTCTGATTCCTCTATCCAGCGACTATACGGCCTCGGGCTCCTCCCTCTCGTTCCCGGAATCTCCATCCCAAAAGTGCTCGAATGTGTGGCCCAGATCGCTGCCGCACCTCACTTGAAGGTACGTGCGCCACAACATCTTACGCCACATCTCACTTCCACTCCCAAGTATACAAGTCTGACGACGTTTCTCTGTGAATAGGGTTTGATCATGGGCACGAAAGGCATCGGTAAGGGTTTGGACGATGATGCCCTCGATCCCGTCTGGAAAGCCATCGAGGCTGCGGGTCTCCTCGTTTTCCTTCACCCGCACTACGGCGTAGACAGTTCGGCCTGGGGCGAAAAAGACAACGGTCACGTCCTTCCTCTTGCCCTCGGCTTCCCCGTCGAAACCGCCGTCGTAAGTCCACTCATCATCCTATTCAAACCTCCTTATCGTTTCCTTCTCGCTCTGTAATCCATGTCTCAAACTCAGACACTGACCTGTCATCTTGTTTTGCGGAATTAGGCCGCGACCCGTTTCATCCTCTCCGGCGCATTCGACAAATACCCGTCCCTCATCATCCTCCTCGCCCACTCCGGCGGAGCTCTCCCGGCCCTCTCCTCCCGCCTCGCATCCTGCATAGACCACGACCCCATCGTCGCCGACCGTCTCAAACACGACGCCCGCTACTACCTCGGTAAATTCTACTTCGACGCCGTCGCCTACGGTCCCGAAGAGCTCGGATTCGTAAGCGAAGTCGTTTCTCGCTCGACCCGGTTCGAGGCCGGGTTCAAGGCGGGACAAAAGGGAGGGGAGACGGATCGGAAAGTGGGGAGTCTGAAGATGTTGTTCGGAACGGACCATCCGTTTTTCCCGCCGTTGAAGGGACAGGTGAAGTGGAAGAGCGTGGTTGAGAATTTGGAGGCTATTAGCGAAGTGAGTGGATGGGGCGAGGCGGAGAAGAATGCGGTGAGGGGTGGAAATGCGTTGAGGATCTTTGGGTTGGGGCAGTGAGTGCACGAGAATTCAGTGATGCGTTGTATTTTCGTAGGGGTCAAATTATTTTCTGGGTCGTTGATGTGGTATATAGAGAAAGCGAATGTATGTCGAGAACATGTTGTAAGAAGGCTGTATTGATTTACTTCGTGATCTGTATTGGTTTGCTGTGGGACCGAGTCTCGACACAATGTTGAAATCTGGTTTGTACACGGCAGTGCCTCGTAAAATAGTCGGTTGGCTCCCTTGAAAGGTAGCCAAACGCTGCGCATGTTCTCTCCACATATACGACAACACTACTCATCGCCGCAGAGCGGATGAAGATCATCGCGCTCGGGCACAAAAAACAAACAAAAATAAAACAAGAAACCCCATAGATCATACTGTGCGATGGGTGTTGTGCAACAAGTACAAGTTTCATCTAAGCGCAAATCCTCGCTGTAACTCAATAAATCACGGCCATGCGTAACTCGATGCTACAAACAGATCGAAACCGAGTCAGCGAAACGTTCGGACGGGGATATTGAGGAAACGGGACCGACCTTTCTCGAGGTTTACCAAGTGACTTTCTCTCTTCGTCGATGACTATCATGGTATTAGAAAAGAACGCAAGGGGTGAGGACGGATTGAAGAACTGCTTGGATAGGGAACTTACACGCAGTATGAGCCACGCATCTGATGTTGCCTCGTTCAGGTTCGAGAGCTGTTGGACCAAGACAGGGAGGATCAGTCGACGAGATTAAGTAGAAGAGACGGGCGTGTGAGTAGGGATGCCTTACTGTTGTCGTATTGCCTAAATATGAGTATGTCTTCGGGGCCTTGGTTGCGGATGTACACCCATTTCATGTTTTCTAAATGATTTATCGAGTCATCAGGATGCGTTGCACTCAATAAAACGAGAATAACGGACTGACCGTTGTACTTGATGAAATATCCGCCGCCGTACTGATGGAGGACCATGTTCAGGGGGAAAGAAGGTTGAGGCTGTAGCGAGAACATACTTTGTCAGACGTCCTCTCCATATCCTCTGGGTTAATCGTTCGCGAATCGCAAAGAGCTAAAGGCGCATCCATAACCGGACCATGAAGCGGCCTCCAAATATTGCTATAGACGAAGTCATTCCACGTATGTATCAGAAACTGTGAGCAGGAACATAAGTAAAGCGACGCTAAAACTGCTCACAAGATCGCAATTCTGTCCTTCTCACTGTACTCAGAACCATCAAATTGCGACAGAACACGGGCAGAAGCACGCTCCCTGTTGATGTCGACGTGAACGGCAGGAACGGGCTGCATGCCGGCGTCGACGGAAACTTCATCCTTGTAGTTCGCATTGGCGTCTTTGCCGTCTGTTCTCCGTCTGAAAGGGTCATGGTCTCAGTATGGTTCGTGAGATACGCTGTATAGGAGGACCGTGGTGAATCGAGTCCGTCACTTACCTGATCTGATAGTTGGTGCACTTGCAAACTCTCGCGCCGAGGTATTCCTTCAGCCATCTACAGAGTCGGAATCAGATCTCTCGTTCGTTGCACATTCGCACAACAGAACTAATATTGAACGCGACTCACTCGCACATCACCTCTTGATACTTCTGTTCCCAACCCTTCTCCCCATCGAGCCCCTCAAACGGAACCTTCTCCCAACTGAAGCTCTCCACATCTGTCGACGGCTTCTTCTCCACCTTTCGAAGATCATGCATCGGAACCTTGTACGGACGGAGGTATAGGGGCCCTCCCGACCTAAGATGGGTCACAAAGGGGAACTCAAAAGCATCTGGCTCAGTCTTTTCAGCCGCAAAGTTGAGATCGACGAAGACAGGCTCGGGCTGCGAGGATACTGCGACAGGCATGGAGATAAGTCAAGGCTAAGGTAAGGACAGCGTTAAGGGCTTGTTTGTATAAGGATGACTGCTTTGGTGTCGTAAGTATCAGTGGGGGTGTCCCGGTACCGCAGAGATGTGGCTTGTTCGAGGCAGAGGACAATTAGTACGACGCCCACAGGAACAAGCAGCTGTTCGGATATGCCGCGCAAGGCACCAACGCTAATCGTCGTTCCTGACGAGTTTCTTCCATAACAAGCAATCGTGGAAAAGGCTAGGATGAGTTCCGTCGATAAAAGTTGTGGGGAAAGTGACTCTCAACGGCCTGGCCGGGCGGATGCGGGCTGTTCCTAGTGGCAATGGCTTACTTAAGCCGCATCTTATCGCCGGAAGCAACTCGGGGCGCTGGCATATTGCATTGAACTTGATCCACTCGCACCGCTAAGACGCCGCGTAGGTTCCACAATATCTCAGACCTCAGCCTGCGGCGCTAATAATATGAATGACTTATCGCTGATAAGTGCTGTCGCGAGACATTTCCAACCATCACGAAGGCTCCCGAAGCGAAGGTAGAAAGAGGATGACGGTCCCTGCATGTTTCGAGGAGGCTCCTTCCCTTCTTCCCGCCCCCAGTAGTTCCTCTACGCACCCGACTTGAACAATCATGCTCGCCGGGAACGAAGCGTTTAGGTCTATCCCCAATGCTGACTCCCATCTGGTACGTCTTGAGAACTATTCACTGTCTCACGTATCATCGCTCACACGACCTTTATATAGCATTGGTGGAAGAACGACGGTGAATATCGATACAAATCGACGCGCTAAGTGAACAACGACTGACTCTGTTTGCTAGGTTTGCGCAAGCTCAACCTTCTCCTTTGTACCATCTTCGTAAGTTTTTGGAGGTCGAGGTTACTACAGTCTTCTGACGCTGACTCACTCGCTATTCCCCCCAGATCGCCCAATTCCTCAATGGCTACGACGGCTCTCTCATCAGTGGCTACCAGTCCATGAAATCTTGGATGTCAGGTCCGTCAAAATTCGGGCCTTGTGTATCTGCTATAGACGTCTCACTGACTGAGCTTTTTTTGTCTAGCTCTTGACCAGCCAAGTTCAAGTGACATCGGCCTGCTCAACGCAGCGACGTACTTGGCGGGCCGTATGTCTCTCTACTTGTTTCTCTCGTGGCGATATGCTAAACCATCTCCTTCTCAGTGTGCACAGCTCCCGTCGCCGCGTATGTTGCGGATCGATGGGGAAGGAAGTGGTGTATTCGGTACTCTTCTGTTACGAACTTGATTGGCACGGCTATTGGTGCGGCATCTGGTGCTGGCAATTCGAACGGCTACGCGATGTTCATCATTTCTCGGATCATTGTAAGCACCTGTTTCTCGTTCTTCGCGGTGTGCTGCAAATTAACGGCTTGATATCTTCGTGCCGCGCACTAGATCGGCTCTGGTATCGCTTTTGTAAGCTATATTTTGTACTAGCATTCATCGCCTTCATGGATGGTCGATGCTCATCATGCACATGGTTTCATGAAGGCTCTCATGACTTCCCCTGTTATCCTTCAAGAGCTGCCTCATCCGAGACACAGGACATGGATGGCTGGGTTCTTCGATGTATCATTCGTAAGTGGTTCTTTTCTTCGTACACGCGGATATCCGTTAATCTCGGATTATATAGATCATGGGTAACTTCGTCGCCAGTTGGTAAGTATTTTTTCGTTTGTTGAATACGTGCAGCGAATGCTGACCTTTTTTTAGGGTTCTCTTTGTATGCTAATTTCCCTAAAGAAACATTGAAGATGGGCGTCGAATACTGATATCTGTCTCCTTGTAGGGTTGCTCGCACATCACAAGCAACTGGGCATGGCGTGAGTAAATCCTATGCGTTGTTTCATTGAAATCATTGCTAAGACGTACCTTTTCTTTTCCCCTATAGGTATTCCTTACATCGTGTGTATACTTTTCTGTGTGGGCTATTCATGTTATCGCCCTGTCTCACATATACTCCCCGCAATCCTAGATCCATCTTGGTCCTGCGTTCGCCATGATCATCCTGATCACCTTCGTCCCCGAGTCTCCCCGTTGGCTCAGTACGTTATCTACCCAACCCTTGTCCCTCGCACTACTGCTCCACAATAACTGACACCAGCCATGCACTCTGTACAGTCAAACAAGGTCGTCACGCGGAGGCCAAGGAGTTCTTTGCAAAGTACCACGCCAATGGCCACGAGAACGATGAGCTCGCCGAGTTCGAGTTCAATGAGGTCGTTGATGCTATCAATTTCGAGGCCATCGCTCACCAGGACTCGTGGAAGGCGATCCTTACGACGAGGAGCAGTCTTCATCGCCTTGGATGTGGTACGTTTGCAGTGTCTGCGTTTTGGTCCTCCGATCTCGTGACTCACGGACTTTCTCTTTAGTTGTCTTAATTGCTGTTTGCCAGAACCTCAGTGGAACGGCTATCATCGCGTACTGTAAGTATTTCGTCCTTTTCCTAGGTTATTGAGCCTTCGTTGATAATTTGTCTTTCTAGACTACACTTCTAGTACGTTTCATTGTTTAGGTATACTTTCCGGTGTAGTATCCTAACGAAGGGAATTCCCTCAGTCCTCAAGCTCGTCGGGATCACGAACAGTACCACCCAGACTGGTATCAACGCCGGCCTCACATCCGTAAGTCACCACTCTCTAACGCCACCCTCTTCCCACGCCACTAAACTAACCCATCTTCAATAGTTCACCGCCCTCGTCGCCCTGTTCGGTCTCTACCTCACCCAACACATCCGCCGTCGCCCACAAATCTTCATCTCCTGGACCGGCGTCCTCCTCGCCAACATCGGTCTCACCGTCTGCACATCCATGTACCAGAAGACAGGGAACACCGGACCCGGTATCGGTGCCGTCGTTTTCGTGTGGTTGTACAACGGGATGTTCTTCATCGCGTGCGGCCCGATCTTCTTCTCCTACCCGGCTGAGGTGCTCCATTACTCGATGCGGGCGAAGGGTATGATGGTCTGGGCGATCACGGCGAAGTGTCTGAGCGTGTTCAGCTCGTACACTAACCCTGTTGCTAGTAAGTGTCATCTCCGTCAGTTGCAAAATGGATGTATTGGATGCTGACTGGGGTTTTCTACTAGTGGCGGACATCGGCTGGAAGTGGTACACCTTCTAGTAAGTCCCTTTTCGTTCTCGGTCAACCACATTATTTCGTTCCTTCTCTCTGCCTACAACATGCTCACCCTAACGCACTCCCAGCCTCGCCATCATCGTCGTAACCTTCGTCCTCCTCTACCTCTACATCGTCGAGACCAAAGGCTACACCCTCGAAGAAATCAGCGAAGCCTTCGAAGGCAGATCACCGTCTTCCAAGTCTTACAGCAGCGACCCTGCCCACCCTAGCGTCCTCGACAAGAAAGGAGGCAACGGGAGCGGACATTCGGTCAGCGTGTCGGCTGTCGACGAAAAGCATGAGCTCTGAGTGCTTAGCGCTTGAGCTTCTTTTGGTTTTGGACGGAGTTTGGTTTGAGTTGTAGGCTCGACCGATGGGTTATATTTGGGACTGATTTGGATAGGATGGCATGGGGTGGAATGATCCCATGGATGGACACGATGTAGCCTTTATCTATTCTTTTATGTTAGATTTTTCGTTTCGGTTTTTTCTTCGCGCGATAATCTGATCTGAAGGGTCAACGTTGTCAACATCGGTGTGAGCGCCTGGTGGTGTGAATGGCCTGCGTGTCTGAAAATGTTATCACGCGTCTTGTGGAACAGAGCGCAACGAACATGTCGGGTATTCTCAGGGTGTTCAAATCCTCCCCATAAGGCCTACAAGGCCCCCACAATTTCTTGTGGTACGTTCAGACTGTCATGTATTTTGCAGGGTTTTACCATGAGTAACGGACAGCCCCTGTGGCGCCACGGGCCACTCGTCCGACGCCCGACCTACCCCAACTCGCAATCAAGTTTCAACGAACTTCCGTACACGCTGCTGTCGACAAAGAGGGAGAAAGAGACAAGACATATATATAATTTGCGCTACAAATATACCGCTATATCATACACTACACAAGCTTACGATCAACGTACGAAGCCACGAAGCCGCCGAACTCCTTCCTTCCCCGATTTGATCCCCTGCGCGCCCAAAGCCCCAGACAAAGAGAAATTAAGACATAAAACATATAGCATGGAACGAAGACATGAGACAAAGGACAAAGAGTCTATCATAGCCCGCCCCCTCACCCCTCACCCCTCAGCACTCAACCATCCCACGACTCACAACTCACGACGACTCCGCGACCTTCGCCTTAATAACCTCCACCACACTCGGATCCGCCAAAGTACTCAGATCGCCCAACTGATCCGCCTCACCCGCGACGATCTTCCTCATGATCCTTCTCATGATCTTCCCCGAACGGGTCTTCGGAAGGTCGCCCACGATGTACACTTTCTTCGGCGCCGCGAAGGGTCCGATGACTTTGCGGACTTGGATGGTGAGTTCTTTCGTGAGCGCGGATTCGTCGGAGGGGTCGTGTTTGAATTCACTGTGGGTGGAAAGATGGGGTTTGGTTAGTGAGGTGTCTGTAAAACGGGGAATAGGAAGGGACATACGGTTTGAGAGTGACGAATGCGAAGACGGCTTGACCGGTCAGCTCATCCGCAGAACCAATAACTGCAAGAAATGTCAGCAGCTGCCAACCTATTCATCAATCAAGGAGGGAAAAAACATACCAGCAGTCTCAGCAACACCGGGATGCAAGATCAACGCCGACTCGATCTCAGCCGTACTCAACCTATGTCCGGACACGTTGATGACATCGTCCACACGGCCTTTAATCCAAATATACCCATGCTCATCGCGTCCCGCGCCGTCGCCGGTGTAGAACACGCCCGGGTAAGGCTTCATATACGTCTCGAGGTACCTCTGGTGGTCTTGATAAACCGTGCGAGCAATAGACGGCCAAGGGTTCTTGATGACGAGCACACCCTCGACATTATTCCCCTTCAGCTCCTAAAAGTAGGAAACGAAAAATTACCACGAAGAACCAGTGTCAGCTGCACGGACATCGTGAGCGTTGAAGAGAAGAAACACTAACATCCCCGGTCGTAGGATCTAAGATCGCCGTCTCAATCCCAAAGAAGGGCACCGTCGCGCTTCCTGGCTTCGTCTCGATGGCCCCAGGGAACGGCGTCACCACGATACTCCCTGTCTCCGTCTGCCAGAACGTATCGACGATGGCGCATTGTCTCCTTCCGACGTGGTCGTTGTACCAGTGCCATGCCTCGGGATTGATGGGTTCGCCTACGCTACCGAGGACACGGAGCGTTGAGAGGTCGTGGTTCTCGACGTGATGAGAGCCAAGGCGGCGAAGGAGACGGATGGCGGTAGGTGCGGAGTAGAATTGGGTGAGTTTGTGTTTCTCGACGGTTTGCCAGTAGCGGGAGGGAGTGGGGTAGACGGGAGTGGATTCGAAGACGGTAGTGGAGACACCGTTGGCAAGAGGGCCGTAGACGATGTAACTGGTAAGTGCGAGAGCGAAGAAAACGTAAGTCGAAAATAGAAAAAGGAGTACAAACGAAGAGCACGTACGTATGACCGGTGATCCAGCCAATGTCGGCCATACACGCAAACTTGTCCTCCGGGTGAACGTCGAAGACATACTTGACGGTCATGGCCGCCCCAAGGAGGTAGCCGCCGGTAGTGTGGACCACACCCTTCGGCTTTCCGGTCGACCCGGAGGTCTACAAATGAAACCATAACAAATGTCAGAAAGTATACATGGAAGAGGTAAAATATAGAGCACGTACGTAGAGGATGAACAGAGGATCCTCGGATGCCATAATTTCCGGTGGGCAGTAGTTCGGTACCTTGGCCGTCTCCTCATGCCACCACTTATCCCTCCCCTCAGTCCACGCAATCTCGCCTCCTGTACGCTGCAACACCAGAACATGTTCGACATCGGGGCATTGCTTCAGCGCAGCATCGACGATTGCCTTTGTCGCGATCGTCTTTCCTCCACGTTTGCCCTCGTCCGAAGTGAGAAGGACTTTGCTCTTGCAGTCGATCACACGATCGCGAAGAGACTCGGCCGAGAAACCAGCGAAGACGACGGAGTGGACGGCGCCGATACGAGCGCAAGCGAGGAAAGCAGCGACGGCCTGCCATGTCATGGGAAGGTAAACCGAGACGGTATCTCCCTTCTTGACGCCCAAAGACTTGAGAACATTAGCGATACGACAGACTTCACGGAGGAGCTCCGAGTACGAGACATCGCGTCCCTCGTTGGGTTCGTCGGCTTCGTAAATGATGGCGGTCTGTCACAAGTCAACAGTATGGTCATGCGCAAGATGGACGAAACAGATGGGGTTAGCGATCATTTGTTTGGGGTGGGATAATCGATGAACAGGACAAACTGTACCTTTTCGGGGTGCTTGTACGCCCAACGGTCGACGCAGTTGTACGACGCGTTCAGACCGCCCTCAGGGAACCATTGGATGTCGCCGGTCTCAAAAGTCCCTGCGCGGACGGTGTGGAATGGACGATGCCAGTACAAGGTTTCGCGAGCCATCTACCGATCACGGAACATGTTCCGTATCAGCCGGCGAATAGGGGCGGACGAACAAAAGTGAGGAGACAAGGGAGAGACTGCATACCTTGGCCCACCATTTATCTGACTCGTGACCGACAGTCTCAGCATGAGCGTCTCTGTACGCTCGATGGTCAGGTCCGACATGGGACTTCTTGTGGTGACCCTTGACTCGAGGAGCAATAGGATGCATAGGAATTTTAGGAATATCTTCAGCCATTGGAAAAACGGGAATGGTGTGAGTTGAGGAATGCAAGGGTGAAAGGGCGCGAGATGATGGGAAGAAGAGAAGAAAGGGGGAGGATGGTAATCATGGTCTTACGGCGGTGGTGAGCGTTATATAGCACGACCAAAACGGGCGCACTTTTGAAGTCTTTTGACTTTCCGATCACGCTATTCCCCTTTCCCCCGCAGCGCGTGACCGCCGTCCCCTAACACGTGAAGTGTGGGGAAAATGCAAATAGGGCCTCCATCCAATCCGCGCGCCTCCGTACGTCCGTCTCCGCCTCCAAGAACAACTTCACGGAGCACCGACTGGCCAATTCACAGTCGAACGACTCTTGTTTATCTGGGGGACGCCATCGGGATGACTAGGACAGAGTCGAAACACTCCGTATTACCCCGCATTATAGCGGTACGCGATGACGAAACGGACGGCAGATGGCGACGACCGGGAGTCCGGCAGGTTCTCGTCCAATGAGCGCCTACAGCGGTCTTTAAGGACCAGGCCTAAATGCACTTTCAGCGGTGCTCAACTCCTGGGGGAGCGGCCGCAGGAGAATACACCTGCGGTCGTTGGACGATTTCTTGTCGTGCAAGTCCTGAATGCTCCGAGCATGTCGGTTTGTAAAACAAAACATAGACATCTCATGGAAGAGGATCAGAAACTGATGGTGGGAAAGACAGTTGGGCGTTGAGTCGCCGTAAATGATACCCGTCAACGGTCGGAATGGTCCTCCTGACCTCCTCCTGAATTTGTATGGATCGAACCCGACAGCCGCCGTCAGATGCTGTATACAAGGCGCTCGGTCTTACAGCCTTGTCTTCCCGTGACATCCAAGGTATGCTTTATAAACGCCCGTGTCCCGAAGCAAAGGTTTCGCAGGGCGTGTAAACAAACGCGTGAAGTTTACTCACGCTTATCGACCAAACGCACGCCGAGGACGATAGAGCGCGAGAGAGTGAAGTAACAACAAAACGCACTCACCTACGAACGTAGACAAGCTTTGGACAGGAGGATGGCAAGGAACGACGTCTGCCAATCTGCGTGCGAGCATTCCAAGCTTTCTCATCGCAGCATCCGCTTGGCGGTGTCTCAGTAATGTTCGGAGCATGCCAACATGACCATAGAAAACTCACCAAAAATTAGGAGGGATGGGGGTATGACTTTGCGGCGTTCGAATGTTAGAGCTTGTCTCCTCATATAGCAACACAATCGACGGCGTTTCAGGAGCGTTCAACATTGAAGCTGAACGGGCCAACGTTGAAGTCGCGTCGGGTGGCACCGTAAAGCCCCTGTGGCCCGGAAGCTTGAACCATGTTCACGGCGGCTCCGGAATGCGGAGAAACGCGTATTGTGCTCTATTCGCGTTCAACAAATAAATGCCCCGATGCTTCCATCGGATCACACCTATCAACAATCCACGGTAATTTTGTCGACAAGCAACATGAGGGGGGAAAATCAGTCACAAATATTCGATCCGACAAGGGCCGGCCCGAATCGGCTTCGGCCCGCCATGGTGCGCATCGGCGTCAAGACGACCGCCTTCAAGTTGTCAATCTCACTCAACTCTCACTGTGCTTCAGGCGGACGCGTTCTAAATCCTTGAAACCAGCTCATTCTCACTATTATCTGTCTGTCATGTCGACAAACACGCGTTCGACGCGTAATAAACGTGTCTCCGACTCTGGGACGGCGGCGACGCGGTCGAAATACTTCGAATCTGATGACGATGAAGACGAACTGAAGGGGGCGACACCTACCAAAGCGAAGCCGCGGTCTACGAAGACTAGCCCTGCGAAAGCGACTCCGACGAAGAGTAAACCCGTGAAGACGAAGGGCCGTGCATCGCCCGCCGGTACCAAAAACAACAAAGCCAGCCCGCCTCAGAAGAAGCCCCGTAAACCAGTCCAATACGACACAGACGACGAAGAAGAGGATCCTTCCGAGCTGAGCAGCATCGACACACCAGAGCCAGATGACGTATACGCCGAAGCAGAGCCATCCGAAGCCGAGGACGGTCACCGTGAGGGTGAGGAGCTGGACAGCGATGCTCTGGATGAGGATACGGACGATTATGATATCCATGCTGCGCCGAAGAAGGCGCCTGGAGAGCCGGATAGCGATTCGTTGGACGAGGACGACTTCGATTTCGAGGGCGCAAAGGACGTGAATGGGAAGAGCAAGAAACGCAAGCGTGTTTCGGCCTCTCCAACCAAAACCAAATCGAAGAAGTCGACGAGCGCGACCCCGAAGAAAGCGAGTCCTAGGAAACGCCGAAAGACGAAGGATGAGGATGAGGATGATGAGGAGTACGATGAGGAGGATTTGGGAGAGGGGCAGGAGATTGTGGGGAAAGTCGTTAAGGCACCGAAGACGGGCAGAGGTGCGTGATTTTCTCTTCTCCTCACGGTCGTTGTCCCGTGTTCGAATATTGCTGCAAGTGTGTTGATTTTCATCGCGGCGACCGTATACGTAGTTCCGGCTGGCCAAATATCACAGAACACGCTCAATTTCTTAGGCGAGTTAAAAGTGCCGGAGCATAATGATAGGGAGTGGTATGTCCTTTCCACCAGTTGTCATGTGTTTTGCGCATATTGAACTCCTTTATTCTGTAGGTTCAAATTGCACGGTCAGTCCTTCCTCACAGACTCGGGCTTTGTCCATTATTCGAATCGTTTGGACTTCTGTCTTGGTAGAGCCGGTGTACCGTCTCGCCGAACAAGAATGGAAAGACTTCGTCGAACAATTCACGGACGACTTGATCGAAGTGGACCCACAGATTCCCCCACTCCCGCCGAAGGACGTTATTCACAGGATATATCGCGACGTATGCTTACCGTTCCAATTCTTTTCTTGCTGAGCGTGCTCCCCCTCAAATTGATCGCGGTTTTGTAGGTACGATTTAGCAATGACAAGACGCCTTATAAGACAGGGTTATCTGCGAGCTTCTCAAGGAGTGGGAGGAAAGGTATCTTTGCTGGGTGTGAGTGTTCTTTAACACGAAGTTTGCTATGTACATCTGGACCGAGACTGACCTATTGTATGCCAGATCACATGTAAGCACCGGGTTAACCGTTATGCTCGGAACGTATAGCGTGAACTAACCATGTTGTCATTACATTCTACACAGAGCCAGTATGTGTTTCGAATTCCCGTCTAAGTTGACGTTACTCAATTCCCTGTCCGTTATAGTCAAACCAGACGGCGAGTCATTACTTGCCGCTGGAACGTGGTGTCCAGGGAAGAACGAACTCGCCACCATTCGGTACGCCTCCTTCTCTCACGCCCCACCTCCCAAACCTAGCCCATCCATTCTATCGCTCTCTGCTGTACTCCTTCACTTATGGCTTTATCTGTCCTACCGCGCTACTAGGTCACACATCCAACACTCCCCCACCCGCCTCCGAAAAATCATCACTAATCCCTCCTTCGTCAAACTCTTCGGAGAGGGCAAGCCTCACCCGAAGGGCGCGAGACGTAATATTTTCGGGATGGACGACGAGTTGAAGGTGGCGCCTAAGGGCGTGGCGAAGGATCATCCGTAGGTTTTCTTCGTCGATCATACTCACCGACATGAGAACGCCAACTGACTATCCGAGGTAGGGATATCGACTTGTTGAAGTGTCGTTCGTTTGCGGTTGTTTGTCGGTATGTCACTTTGTTGAGATGAGGTGAGGTGAAATGGGACGTTGAGGCTAACGAGGGAGGGGTGATTTGTTAGATTCACGGACGAACAGGTTCTGAAGAAGAATTTCCGCGAGGAGTTGAAGAGAGTCATTGAGATTACGAAGCCGATGGTTTACTGGTGCGTTCATCATTTGCTAGCGTGTCTGTTGGAGGTAGACGGTGCTGATACGAATCTCAGCTTAAATGATTATATGACGGTTGGGGTCGGAGATGATAATGACGATGATGACGACGAAGATGATCAAGGAGGTAATGAGGGCGGAGACGGAGGCGAGGAGGACGACGATGAGTAGAGAGGATGCAGTATTGGTGGACGCGTTTCTTTATTTCATCGGTATTTTTTCTTTCTTTCTTTCTTTCTTGGGTTTCGGGATTTTGGATATGTACAACACACGGCTCCCGTTCGGATAAAGGCGAAGATCGTGACATCACAAAGTGCCGTCAGCTTCGTTTCATACTGTGGCGCCCAAGGCTTGAACAGACCGTCTTGGCAGCGTGCAGTTTTGCAAAGTACTTCCATCTCATCATAACGCTGGCGCTAGCGCTAATAGTAGTTGAACTGCTCTACACGCTGGCCTCGTGATCGATTTCTGGCGCACCCTGCATAGCTTGTTTGGTTCCCCGAGTTTCTCTTGTTCTCAACTTCTCATATGTCAGACTAGTGAGCCCGAGACAGCATGCGTCTCGGCGATGCGGCTGGCTGTGGGTGCGTGAATGAGCACTTCAGTTATTCCGACATCTGTGTTCCTTCTGATCGTCGACGGTTTGGCACTTTGTGTGATCACCCAGGCTACTGCCGTTGACTCACTGCATCGGTTTAGCACAGCTTGCACCGGCTCATCACCTGTTTTGATCTCCTTCAAGTTGCATCGAGTACTTATAGCGCGCACATTTCGGCCACTCGTGTGTGTGTATCCCTCTTGACCTTCTTCTTTTTCCCCTCATCATGCCCGAAGGGCCTCCCGGCGCGACTTATGGTCAGCTTCATCAGCAACCTGTTCTTGACCCAGGCGCACCCTCGCGCAGACCTCGCCGCTCTTGCTGGTCTCTTTGCTGGACAATCGGAAAGATATCTTTGCTCCTTGTCGTCCTTGTTGTTGCATTGCTCGTCACGATCTTTGTCGGTGGGCTCATATTGGGCATAATCAAAGACGTGAAGGATCCGCATAGGGAGAAGATTTTTGATGCGAATGGGACGGTGGCATCGGGGATCGTGAGGCCTTTGGTGGGGAAGGATCAGAAGTTTGATGTGGCGGTCAGTGTGTGGATCCGGGCGGGGGTGGAGGAGGAGAGGACGTGGAGGGAAAGCCTCGCTATGCATGCGGATGGGGAGGAAGAGAAAAGAGAGGTTGAGTACTCGATCCTGGAGAAGCCTCTGTTTTCGGACGTTGTTTTTAGAGATTTGAGTGTTTCGGACAAGCATAGAAGGGTGGATGTACCCCTTAGAATTCCCACAGCAAAGTTGTACGTCCATTCTACTTGTTCGTGTTCCGATCGTACGAAGCTGTTATCAAGTCCGACTGACAATGATGTTACTTGTAGTCGAGAACAGAACTTGACACTAATGGACCTCAGAGGTTCATTTATCCTCATACCTTCTTCGCCGTCTCCGCTAGACAGACTCGTTAATTATTCAAGGGCTTACAACTCATTGGATGAGGTCCCACGTCGATCATGGCCGTACGTACCCTTCTTCTACGTGCACATGATATATAGTATGATGTAATGGGACTGAGAATGGCTTTTGTAGGTTTCCGCTAGGCTCTGAAGAGATTGGCGACGCCACACTAGCAGACCAAGCCATAGAACACTTCGGCATATCGACGAATCTTCTCGAGTTCCATCCCATCCCTTCACGCTGCGGCCCTACCACTGAATCCTCTGAATCTCCCTTCCCGAATGGCACTGAGCCTTCGGACCCTTCCACGACCTCCTCTGAAGAAGCAAAAACACAAGAAACTACAGACTCGTACGATGACGATGATGAGATCGACATAGCGTCACCAACAATTGCTCCCAAGGCGTCTGCTACCGGACGCCCGAACACCAATTTTTGGACTCCTAGGAATTCTTCACACCATCCGTTTATTGTCACTAGGTCACAGCTCGTCGTGATTGACGAGACAAGGCCTTTCAATCTCACAGCGTTCAACGATGCATACAAACGAATGAAGATGTCACATGTGGGTTCTCCTCTTTCTCTATAGCATTAGGAGATTCGATTCCGACATGTATAGATGTGCTAATGAGTTATAACATCTCGGACGCATAGTGTTCTGACCCATTCGAATCTACATATCTCGGTCCGGGGCAGAAGTGGTGTCAACGTCGATACTCGGAGAATGGACACTGGGACATGCGGATGAAGGTGACGAAGGAGGATGGAGAGGGCGAGACGGAATGGGTATACCCACCGTCTTTGTATACAGCGCCATGGGCTGCGGGACCCTTGGTATGATGTTTCGATGTCTGTTGTTTTGTAGCTCTCGCTGATAGTTGTGGTTCCATTCGATTAGGATCTTGTTCCTGTTCCTGTGAATCGGGAGAACTGCACGAACATGGTTGAGAGGAACGAAACCGCAGACAGCAAGCATTGGGTCTCGCTCCCTTCGGATATGGATGGTAAATCTCTTCTGCGATGTAGATTTGGTGATTCTCCTGTGCTTATGGCCCTCTTCAGACACAGATGAAGGATATGTGGACGTCACCTGGAAGATCTCATTTTCTTCAAAGCGACCGCATCATATATCCCTGTCGTCCCCATTCGCCGCTGGTTCACGTCCGGATGTCTTTGCACACAATCAGACTAAGTACGAGAGCCACAAGATGCAAGATATAGCGGAATTGATGAGTGCGTCCTGATACTGTAGTCTTTTGGTCTGATATAACTCATACTCACCGGTTCGAACACAACGGTATAGATGGAATAGCCGGTCATCGATTCGATGAAAACAGACATCCTATACGGCGCCTCGCGGTTGACGTCGTGAAGTATGAATTCTCTACTACGTCTTCATCCTAGTAATTTGTGCTAAAAATATCGTTTGGGTCCCATACAGCTACTTCCTCATGTTCGTCATTCACGTCGTGGACATTCATTACTGGTACACCCGCACATCCGCTTTCGGTATAAGCCTTTTCGGGTCCTCAATCATCGCTCTTTCTATCTTCCTTGCTGCCCTGGTCAACTTGATCGAGCATATCGTCTCCGACTTCACAAACATCAAAGCCCTGAGAGGCACAAAAATAATTCAGAGAGCTGTAGCCTACCTTTTTACAGGCTCGCTGTATATCTTTGCTGTGTTGCCGACGGTATTCATGACGAAGACCGTATTCCGGCTAGAATTAGAGTGGGTCGTTCTCGGAAGGACGTGGAAGGAGTTACAGTGGGTGAGGGTGAAGGTCCCGGTGTTGAGGAGGATGAGGGAGTCACACAAGGAGAGGGCGAGTGCACGGTTGGATAGGAGGACAGATTGGCGAGTCATGGCTAGTGTGAGTTCATCAAATTTCCTTCAAAGTCGCTGTCCTTTCGAATGACCGTGCCTTCCGACTGATACACCATGGCTTTCGCTTTTTTGATATGTATAGCTTTACGTCGCACTTGCGGTGTATTTCTTGTTCTACCCTTACTCACACTATATCCTTGAGCCGTCAATGTCTCCAGATCCGACGGGCGATGAGCTTTCGTCCATGAACAGGTTCAGCTCAGCATTATCCACACCTCCGGAGCTAGTGGGGCCTCTGTTCCAGTTCCTGCTAAACAAAAGGACCGGCCTGTTTGGGGGCAGGTAAGTCGTTCCTTCGTCGATTCGATTATCACTGCTATTGTCTTCTCTGTATCGCATACTTATCTTTGACTCTATATAGGCATCGTATGGCGGCAATCCTAGATTTCGCTCGATACATCATCACCCTCCTCAAACTGGTGAAAGCCTTCACAGGTCCGTATGAGGTCGTACCTGGTTTTGTGGCGCAGGAAGTGCTTCTGATTGGGGTAGGAGCGGCTATGGCGTGGCAAGCTTTGACGATGAAGGCGGTGGACGCAAGGGCTGGGGATGCTGACGAGGATGAAGAGTAAGAGTAGGGTCGATTGTTCGATGGACTTGGTGGAACTTACGATAAATAATTAGATATTACGATATGTATAATGGATGCAACGATGTTGTAGTGCGCGGGGTCCTCTTTGAGTTTAAATGTTTGCCGTCTATTTATCCCGTGTTAAATATATTATATATACCACGATATAGACGAGCGTATGTAGAAGGAAGAGATGTCACTGTACCAGAGCAAGAGCAAAGTTAGCAGATGCGTTCCTACGATGACTACGATGACCCTCGCTTGCACGGTTGAAACGTTGAAGTCCCGTCCACTCTGCCTTTGTGAGACTGCTCGACGGCCTGAACGGTCAGGTTCCTCTCGACCCATCAGAGTGTGAGCATGATATCCACATAGAAGACTCGTCAGTGGAAACTTCTATGTAAGCATTTCGTGCTCTCCACCCTGTAACGAGGTGAAAGTCCTCGAGAATTGCACGAGCCTACTCATGCCATATGCTCGGGATCCGACTATCAATGCACTTGTGATGTCATTTCATGACTATCCACGAGCAATACCAAACGACTGATCCTCCCCTCGGAGGAGCCTCAGCTTTATTAGGAAGCCTGATTCGATGGAGCAACGAAGGAACTCGGGGGAGCCGATGCTGGAGGGTGTTGCTCCCGGAGAAGGTAATGTTACGCGGGGTCGCCTTAGTTGCTTGCTTCTTGATGCTCGCTACCGCTGCCGTTCAGCAAGGAGCGAACAACCTAGTGGAAGATGCAGCAATAAAATTTTCCTGTCCGACGGACCCTTACCACCAATATCGAGACCATCACCTTTCTCGTAAGTACATTCTTCGCTCCAAACGGCTCTCAGGTACTCTCGTTCGCCTGGTCTGAGCAGGCCGAAGACATGCTGTTACCGTGTCGTCGCCACGACGGTGTACGTTGTATTCATATACACAAACAAAAACTGCGGGATGTGCGGTTTAAGTATGCTTGTCAGGGTGTTGTCCTTCATATGCGGTCAACGCAGAAGTCGAAGGACCCAAGCAAATTCGATCGACGTTCCTACCTGCAATCCGAGTTCACCCGATCCCTCGAGGCGCTGGCGCGCCATAGAAACAGGATCGGCGCAGCCGCCGCCAGCGGAGAGAGATGAAGAAGATCATGCTACGACGTCAGTCGCATCCTCAGCTTCGCTCACGGTTGCGGTTAGACAAGCAGACTTCGACGGCGGAAGAAGTGAGCAAACAACGATTAGAAAATCGCAGAAGCTCGGAGCAGAATCCTCGACAGCAAGATGGAAATCTGGGAGAAGGGTACTGGTGAGTCTAATAGATGCTTGATACGTGGAGAGGGATTTGTAGGGGAACTTGAAGGAGGCACCGTGACTGTACCCGAGTACGAACAAATGGAGGTTCGGACTCCGTGGGGAGCAACGCTAGTAGCTCGCAATGCTGAAGTTGAGGCTGTGGGTGTCAGTGGGTGGCTCATGAATCGGTCGCGAGGCTGTCGCAGCTAGGAGACCGATGTCGGTTTACTGACCGTACCGCCGCTGTCAACTTGAAACCAGTGTAACTGTGAGGTCGACCCATGATGAGACGATCCGGTCCGACGACGCAAATAGCTCCTGAAAGGTTGAAAGATATATCAATCCTCTACATAATTCGGGGGAGTTTTTCCAGGTCGACTTCAGTCTGTAGGAGGAACGTAGGTTGATTCGGAAGAAAAAGAGGATATTTGCTTTTGGCCAAACCACCGCACCCGTTGTGGCGGGGTGCGCAAATATATACAAATACTCGCCACGGTGGCAGTACCGCCAAGAGAAAGAGCTTCCCACTTCATCTGCAGCTTTCCCATCCGGCGCACGAGTAACGACGATGTCTCTGTCGTCCGACATCCTCGACGGTCGCATCATATGCTCAGGGAAATTTGTATTCTGCGCAGTATGGAAAACTTCCAAGTTGCCTGAACACGCAAAAGGGACCTATCGATGCGCATGCATCCCCATCGCATTTGTACTCGATCTTTTTTCCACTACAAATACGACGATTTTACCCAGGCGCCGATGTTGTTCCACTACAAATCGACTACAAATACGCACCTCCATCTCCTGATTCTGCTCCGGCCCACCTGCACAAGCTCCGAGGGATGTCTCAAGGTTTCCTCGATCTCACACTGATCATCCAATAGGCTCGGGCTTCCCTCCTGTCCCCCCTTGATTCGTCCTGGTTATTTGTAGTGAAGAACTTCATGAAACGCTCGGATGCTCAAAGCATGTTCTCGCCTCTCCGTCTAGATGCTCTATGTGCGTCTAGCGAGGGCGGGTGGCCGTACATTTTTTTACAGTTCAAGGTATCGTGCTCGGTCCCTGCAAGCGACGCCAAGAATATATATCGCTTCCGCCAGTCGTCGTTCTTTGCCCTCTTCATCTCCCCCGCCCCCACTTCCTTACCGTGAGACTATTATAAGACTACCCGCCCCACACGTCCTCCTCCAGCATACGCCATGACTGTCTCTCAGAGTAACGGATGTCTCACCCAGACGTCGGTGGCGTCGACGTCGCTCAAGTCCATCGTCACTGCACCAGTAAGTTCTCACATATATTTCAACCATTCCTTCTTCTTATTTACGTCGTCGGCTCCCTTTGGCGACGCTTTCTGTAGCTACCGAGCTCGTCGTTGCCGATGCCAAGTCAAAATGAAGAATATTGTGGTCGCTCACAATGGTCCTACTCAACAACTGTCGGGTCTCCATCGAGTGCGAGTTCGAGCACAATGTCTGCCTACTCAGAAACTGTCACTTTCCTCGTACGCTTGTTTTTCTCATCTTGAAAAAGACTCAGGACTTACACCGCTGTCTTCCAACTGGTTGTAGGCAGAGAACACCATCTTCCGCGTTCCTCGTCGTCGTCTCGAATCAACGCCAGACTCCCTCTTTTCCGGGATGTTTCTCCTACCCTCAGAGGCGCACGAACCTGAAGGCAGCAGCGACTCAAACCCGATCCACTTACCCGCCACTATCACTGCCAAAGACTTTGCGTTCTTCGTTGAGGCTCTCTGTCCCGAGTGAGCCAATGCCCACTGCTCAAACTGACGAATCCGCCCTGACGAAATGGAGGGTAGGTCTATCTCGATGCCGAGTCTGGACTCTAACAGCGACGGCTGGCTCTCTGTGCTCGCGCTCGCCACACAATGGCACTTCGACGATCTCCGCAAGAAGGCGATCGAGGTGCTTAGTAAACAATCCCGAACGGCGGTCGACAAACTTGTCCTCGGGCGGACGTATGTCGTCTCGAATTGGCTCGTATCCGCATATCAGGATCTCGTCACCTCCGATGCGCCACTCACACCAGAATCGGAGCATGCGCTCGGTGAGTGGGCGGTTTCGCACCTTCAGGAGATCAAGATGGAGCGGCGACAGACGGAGCGTGCGGGGGAGAAGTTCGATGTGTGTAAGAAGGTGAAGGAGGCGTTCGAAGATGAGCTGATGGACGATGAAGAGTATCGAGAAGCCGTGAAGCTTGAGAAGAGGTTAGTCAGAATTCTTCGTTGAGGTCCTCAATCACGCTGACAAGTCTCTTCGCCGCTCATAGTCTCAAGACAAAACCTCTCTGCTGGCCGTGGACGATGATGCGCGGCATAGGCGTCTAGGGCCATACTGTGTGACCAGGAGTCGTTGTATTCTTTTTTTTTTTGGCTCGTGGGTTCCCTGGGATATTTTATCTATCTTAATTGGTCTGTACTAGTATACAGATACCCTAATATCAGTGCCTATCAGTGCTTGGACTGTTGAGTGCAAACTTCGGTTGGTTGTGGCGGTCACGGACATTTACGCCACCGGCATCGGCCGTGTGGCTCAGCTACGAACGACTCGACCTCACAAACTCACAGGTCGTCCTTTTCCTCATCCTGCTCTCGGTATCTCGGGGGACATTGTGTTATTCTTCGCAGGTTCGTGAATCCCTGCTCCTCTGGAGAGGGAGAGGGTTTACATGATCAAACGCGATGGCTGCATGGGAATGGACAATCTGGCAGAGATACGGTGGATACAACTTGGAGTAACAACTTGGATACGATAGCAACGAGAACGAATACAAAACAATGACAATGACCATCAAACAGGTTCATCCCTGCGCTACGCCTTCCTTCCCTTGATCAACCATGACGCGGGGGCCAGTGGTAGCATGGGGAAGCCGCCTCCCCGGGATCGCGAACCAGAATACTTCGTCTACACCAGGACGCTCCAAGCCACACCATGCACCCTGCCCGATACTGAACTTCTCCTCTCCGGGGAGAATTTTTTCTTTAGAGAACCCCCACGCCTCCTCCCACGACTTGAGCCGGTCGTTGTAGAAAGGCCCATTGTCGGGGTATTGAGAATAGAGGACCCAGTCGTGAGGACTGTTTTGAGCGAGACCGGATTGAGTGTTAATGAAGTCGAGGAAGTATTGGCCTTGCGCTTCGAGCCCGCCGTCCCAAAGGCGAATCGACAAATCACTGTCGGGAATCTCAAAGAGGCGGACACGCTCGCCCTTACTGGGTTTGAACTAAAACAACATACCAGGCCGTCAAATCAACCGTGCACGGAGCCGTAGGCGAGAAGGAACGACTTACCCCCATAGTCCGGATGGTTTGAGTCGGGAACATAATGTCGCATTGTTCATGGTAATGTTTGCGAGCAGCAGCAAGCTGGTCCTCTGGGATGCCCGAGACACGGTTGATCCTGTCCAGCTCTGCATCGCTCGCGAAAGCCGAGTCGGGAATGTACTTTTGAGGTAACTTGAGCAGAGCGCGCTCAAAGTTGTTTCTCGCTATGCGTGTGCCTGGAGCAGCCTGAGGGTCCGATTGAGGTGTAGGGATCCCCTGCAGAATAAACCTGATGAGCCAAGAACAAGACGGTGGCCGAAGTGTATAGGTATAGCGTACGGTATGGTCCCCGGTGCGAGGTGAGGTAGACCGGGACATTGCGATGGGAGGGGTAAGAGTAGGAAGCAGAGATTGTGTCGCCAGCTAAAGAAACGTAAGGGAACGACTGTCTTCCCGTCCTATAGGTCTGACTGTGGGAGGCCAGAAGAAACGTGTATAATATGAGCAAGCGATCAGAACAAATAGTTGGTTATGGTTGTGCATCCAACAAGTTCAAAGAAGTTCAAGTTGAGCTGTTGTGTTACAATTGTGTAGTGTTGTGTCCTTTCTCACACGGTGCCACACCCATTATTGTTGCCACAGCTGCTATAAGTCGTCCTCGCCTTCAATGTTTCTATTGAACAGTACCTTGTCAGTTCTGCCCTGTGAGCTGAGTTGCTGCCATTCAAGTTGTAAGAATGGGGCCGACAAGTTATAACGCTCCGGGTTTCAAATATTAATCACCTTAGTGGGCCACAGCTTGGCATGTCGACTTCACGTGACGGAAGAAGTTGGCGGCCTGAGGATCAAGTCAGAGTCCAATTCCAGCTCTTGTGCAAGAACAGTACCCCATCAGTTGCCAGCAAGACCTTTGCGGACGGTCCCCACTCATTTTCGTGTCCGTGAGTCCTGCGAATTGGTATAAAAGAAAGTAAACTCTTATCGGCGTTGAACTCCGTCGGTGAGTACAGGTTCAACCCCGCATTATACTACTGCTTCATGCCTGAACGCGTTCAAATGCATTCATTTGTAGGCTGTCCTACTGTTGTGGTGACTTTTGGCTCTCTTAGAGCCTACTATCCGACGCATTCTGGTCATTGAGGGCGAGGCTCGAGACTTCGTCGCGTAACTGTTCTTCAAAGCTGTCGGTACGTTCGGGCTGTCCTGTCCATATGAGCTCATCCTGATGACCTTGGTACCTCAGTCTTATACCTCGGTGGTGGCTTGACCGGATAATATGACTTCAATGCACCGCAGAAAGTCTAGTAAAGAGGAGGACGACAATGTGGTCATTCTACCGAATGGAGATGCGATTGAGATTGAGGTAGACATTGGGAAGGAGATGAACGGTACGGCGGACAGCCACGAACACAGCGAGCGCATCCCCATCCCTCGCCCACGAGTACCGTCAACACCGACCTCGAATGGTGTCTCGGTATCCCCACCCTCTGCCGGTTCATACCGCAACAGCTTTCACGGCGGAACTAACGGTGCCAGCTACCCCGCGTCAGCATCTCCATTCCGTACCTCATTCTCTGCACCGTCACATCTGCACCTCAACTCTCCCTCGCACGCACGCGCCCGTTCTGTCTCTGGTGGTTCGTTTTTACCCCCATCACCTTCTCCGCTTTCGTCCTCGTTCCCCTCGTACTCGACAGACGGTTCGACACCCCCACCACCGCTCCCTAAATCAGCCACAGCGGCCAACTTCCCTCGTTCAGTGCACGGTCATTCCCGCAGCTCGAGCAACTCACCCTTACCCCCTTCCGCCACCGCACCCCAACTTTCCAACGGAAGTTCCCCACATACCCATGGGCGGAATGGCTCACTCTCACAAAACCCTCTGGAATCTCCTCTCTCACTCCCACCTTCTTCCTCCGCACCATCGCCCTCCAACCGGAGACACTCCCGCCTTCACTCCCGTAATTTATCGATATTCTTTCCTCGCCCTGGCTCCCTTCCCCAAACCTCCATTGCAGAAGACGGTGCCCAGGAGGTCGAGTTTAATGCAGATTATCAGGACGCCTCACTCCCCAGCAGTCTTCCCATGCCAAGTGCATCACCCAACGTCGCGCGGCACAAACTCGGAGAAGGGTTCACCTTCGGAGGCCGCCCTCCACCCGACGCCCTTCCCTCAACACCTTCGTATTCTTCCAATGGATCCGCGGGCCCCAGCGGTCCCCGCGCCTCGAGACGAGGCCATCATCACAAACATTCATTGTCCCATAATTTCTTTTCTTTTCTCGAACCGGGTGCCGAGCAGCAGCTGCAGAGTCAGCCTACGCCTATGCCCGTCTCGCCATGGACGCCTTCCGCTTCACAGTCTTCCGTGGCTATTTCTGCTTCTTCTTCGTTCAACACAAACACAAATACAAAACTTCCGTCTCCTTCGACTTCAAGTACTTCGCTTTCGGACTCGAGGTCCGGATTGCCCGTGGCGCAAAGTGGTGGGATCAGGACCGAGGCGGCGATAGCCTCGATAGGGTCTTTTGCTCTCGGGGCGTGGATATGGGTCGCTGGGCAACAAGTTGGGGCGCTTTCGTGTACGGGCCTGGGTTATTGGGTCGTGTTCGACTCGTTCGGAGTCGCTGTGGGTAGGGTGTTGCCTGCGTACCTGAGCAAATCATCCAGCCAGTCACCGTTGAGGAGACCATACGGGTATGTGAACTAACGTATTCTTGGTGCCTATCAGAGACTAATTTGTGACCGTTGTTTATTTGTTTGTAGGAACGCGAGACTGGAGACGGTCTTGATATTTTCGCAGGCTGTGTATCTCATGTTTTCGGCGGTGTACGTGTTCAAGGAGACGGTGGAGCATGTGTTGCTGTCTTCGGGTGGCGGAGAGGGTCATCACCACCACCCAGGTGACGAGGACGTCGAGCTCTATGGGTAAGCTCTGATCAATGTGTTCAGTATCACGCTTAGGACTAAACAATCATGTTTACAGGATCGACTTCCCGGTTATTCTGACGTTCGTCGCTTTCATCTGCATGCTCGCGAACGGTGTCCTCTTCGGAACACACCGAAAACTAGTCAACAGTCAGTTATTGTTCTCTATTCTCCTTATTTTCGACTACTAACTCCTGAAATTCCTGACACGGAAAACAGTCACAGGCAACCATCTACCCTCCCTCCAATCCATCCTGAACCCCACCCGATCAAAATACGCCACATATCACCACACAGACCCTCCATCACACCTCACGCGAACGCTCTCGAACCCATATTCGCTCGCGCCTATCCTTACAGCTTTATTCGTCTTCTTGGTCCCGAATCTTGTTTCGCCGTAAGTCTACCCACTGGCCCTTCTTCAAACAGTCAATCGCACACTTATTCACTGAGCTTGTTTGTTGGCTAGAACACAACACAGGGCATTCGACCTGCTACTGGCCACAGTAGAGGCGGCCACGATGTTCAAGCTTGCGTATCCGGCTTGTGTGGCGCTCGGTGCGGTTCTATTGCAGATCTCGCCGCAGAGAGGGATTCCGGGAAATAGGATGGAGAGTTTCTTACGTGGGATGCGCGAGGTACGCATACCTCTTCCTCTTTACTTGACATTAATCGGCTCACTGCTCTACTCTCCAACGACAAAACAGATCGAACGCCACCCTCAAGTCCTACATCTCCCGCCACCCCACATCTGGCAACTCACCCCCGCCGAACAAGATCCTCTCGCACATGGCACGGGCGCGCCAGCTTCACAATCGCTCGTCGTTACACTAGAGCTCAGAGTGGCGAAGGAGCTGGACGATCGGGAGGTGGTGAAGTTGACGAGGTGGGCTTGGGAGCGAACTGTTATTTCATTGGGGATGAATCCTGAGAGAGACGGGGGTTTGGGTGAGGGTGAGGGGCTGGGAGTCACTGTTGGTGTTGTTAGGGCTTGATTGGTGAGATACGGGACGGTTTGGTTTGTACGTCGTGGAAGGAGTGCGGTTGTCCGGTGCGAGGATGATACATTACTGGCTGTGATTATTGGTATGTTAGTGCTGGATCGACCTTCGGATTTGCTTGAATGGCGATCATGGGAATCGCTGATGACGCTTTGTGGTTCAACCTGCAAGTCTACCGGACTTATGGAGTCGTCATGAGTTCGATGCTGAGCCTCTGAGCTCCCTGCGGACTTATACAACGCACTAGATGTTCTTGGTGGTTGTTCCTTGTTCTTCCTTGTCCTTCATACAATGCGGTCCGCATTCCGAAGTTAAGGAGAGGTGTCGACCATCCTTCTGTTTTCTTTTTTCGCTAAGATATGTTCTTCCTGATGGAGTTGGAGCGAAAGAGGTCATCTGGGGACGTACCCGAAAGGAGAAGTGGCCCGTGACCTCAGAGCTGTGTGAAATCCGGATAACCTCGTGTTTGTTTCGAGACGATGTACCGAATCCGTCTTGCGGTGAACCTCTCCACGTCAAAAAACCTTTTTGTCTGCGATGTACCGTACGCTGTACTTCTGCAGCCAGAAATGGCCGGAAAATCATGGAATAATACTACGTCATGAGCACCGTTCTGGCCCGGCCTTACAGCATGATTTCGACCCTTTCTTATCATATCAGGACGATCTGAGCGTCCGGAAAGACGAAAAGAGACGAATCCGGACTTCCGACCCGGGCGATATCCAAGTTCGCTCGTTGGGCGGGCAGGACAGAAATATTCTGGATGTTTCGCCCTGCCAAACGCGCAAATGACCTTGCTTCTTGCGTGGCCCTCATGACCGTTCCTCGACCCATAAAAGAGGCCAAGCGCTGGGCCTGCTCTGCTGACCAGCTACCCCGCATTTACTTCCCCATACTTGCTCGAGGCCCTCCTTGAACGTTTGAACATTTTCACTCGTCTACTCTTCTCCCGCGCTCTACTCCGGTATTGCCCTGCGGCTCACTCTCCTCCACATACATAGCATACGACTACGGCCCTTTTGTTGACCTCCCGCCATGACATATTACGACCCGACCCGACCAGCACCGGCTAGAAGTGAATCAGTAACATCCTCAGACAAACCGACCGAACGACAACTGGAGGCCGCACTCGCAGACAAGACCGAGAATGGAGAGATCTCCGAGCTCACCGTCGTCGCTGAGGGCGAAGAGCGGGTGACATGGTTCATCTGGATATTGATTGCGTGCAGCAGTATCTCCGGTCTGCTGTTCGGTGCGTATAGCTCATGATGGCTCTCTCTGCGCTCTGTTCTTGAAAATTGATGGTGTGGTCTGGTTACAGGTTATGATACGGGTGTGATTTCGGGTGCGCTTGTGACTATCAATGGTGACCTTGGGCCAGCAGAGCTCGCGACAGGACAGAAGGTGTGTTCAATTTTTGCATCTCGTGTTGTCTTTTGGCATCAGGTCGGGGACAGTATGGCTCTTCGTTGGATGATTGCGCAGCGCTTCTCGTGGGGACATAATCCGTCGAACTAGCTCGATGCAGTTGTTCAGGGCCCGGGACACTCCTATGAGGGTTGCCCGAAGGGCAACCTCAAAAACATGTAAAAATACGCAATTTTGGCCTGGCGAGGGCTTAAAATACGCAAATTCCGGGAAGGGTAGGGCGCCTATTGGCGGGTTTTGTGTGGCGAGGCAAGCTCGATCTTACCCTTATAGCCTTACATAACCTCAACTTATCCTAACCTAGCCTAATCAGGACCAACTTCTGTGTCTCTATCGTGCTGCTAGTGTAGGTTAGGGGAAGTTAAGGTTAGGTTAGGTAAAAGTTGAGGTTATGTGGGGGCTCACACCAATAATACGCAATTTTTCGGGAGACCTCGGTGCTCCTGGGCATAAAATACGCAATTTTTCGGGAGGGCTTCGCCCTCAAAATTGCGTAAAAATACGCAACTTGACCGGGGAACCCTCATAGGAGTGTCCCGGGCCCTAGTTGTTCCCTCACCGTTCCGGTCAAGTCTGTGTCAGACGACCGGTCATGCGAACGGGGTACGACTTCCAGTCTGGAACTCGCACTTCTATCACCTGCGAGACTCGATCTACTTCCCAAACCTTTCTCTCCCTTGCGACGTCGCATTGTCGTTCTGACCTTGTGAACCAAATTTATCCTCCAGGAACTCATCACTTCAGCAACGACACTTGGCGCCCTCCTCGGAGGCCTCGTCGCCGGTGTCCTCTCAGATGTCATCGGCCGTCGTCCCGTCATGGCCCTCGCAGACATCCTCTTCATGGGCGGTGCAGTAGGTCAAGCCGTATCCAAGACCGTCTGGGACATGATTGGCAACCGGTTCCTCATCGGCTGGGGCGTCGGTATTGCTGCCTGTATCGCACCGATGTACATCCAGGAGCTCTCACCGACACGGTTGAGGGGACGGATGGTGGTGATCAATGTGGTGGCGATCACGTTGGGTCAGGTTATTGCGTATGGGATTGATGCGGGCTTTGCGAATATGAGTGGAGGTTGGAGATGGATGGTCGGGTTGGGAACCGTGCCATCAGGATTGCAGTTCATCTGTTTGTGGTTCCTGCCAGAGTCGCGTGAGTGCAACATCTCCTTGGACTGTGGCGCGTTTGAGAGGCTAACTTCGTCCACAGCGCGAATTCTGCTCAAGAGGGGGAATGTTGATGAGGCTCGCCGTGTCATGGGGAAGATCTACGCGCACGCAACCTCAGACCAAGTCGACCTCAAGGTACCTTCCCAACCTCTCCCATATCCGCTTCTTTCATGCTTACACCCACACGTATACTTTAGGTCAAAGTCCTCCAAGCCGCCGTCAGCCAATCCATCGAAATATCAAACAACACCACCTTCTTCCAACGCTGCCGCTCCATGCTCACCGACCCCGTCAACCGCCGCGCCGTCATCATCACCTGTGGCATGCAAGCCTTCCAACAACTCTGCGGCTTCAACACCCTCATGTACTACTCCGCCACGCTCTTCAAACAGATCGGGTTCAACCAGCCTACGGCCGTCGGCCTCATCGTCTCCGGGACGAATTTCCTCTTTACGCTGTTTGCGCTGAAGTATATCGATATCATTGGGAGGAGGAAGATCATGCTGTTTTCGGCGCCGGGGATGGTGTTTGGTTTGACGTTGGCGGCTATTGCGTTCTATTGTGAGTCCCTACCCCGTGAATTAGAGCGTTGGATGAAGGCTAACGCAGCGACGAAGATATGACGAAGGGGACGGGTGGACAGTTGATCGATGGGACGGATTATGCGCATTCGTGGTCGAGTGTGATCATCTTCGCCATGGTCTTCTACGTCGCGTCCTACGCCACCGGTCTCGGAAACGTCCCATGGCAACAAGGCGAATTCTTCTCCCTCGAAGGTATGTGTTTCCTCTCCCTCTCTCCCTCTTTTTTCTTCCACTGAGCCATCAACTCCTCATTCCGCCCCTAGTCCGCGGCATAGGCACCTCCCTCGCCACCGCCATAAACTGGTCCGCCAACCTGCTCATCGGATCGACCTACCTCTCCCTCATGGACAAAATCACCCCCGCCGGCGCCTTCGGGTTCTACGCAGGTCTCTGTTTACTAGGCTGCTTATTTGTCGTGATTTGTTTCCCAGAGACGGCGGAGCTGAGTTTGGAGGAGGTGAGGATGGTGTTCAGGCATGGGTTTGGGGTGAGGGCGAGTATGCGGTTGAGGGAGGAGAAGAGGATCGTTAGGTTGGGTGGGGTTGTTAGCAAGAAGGAGAAGGGAGAGAAGGAGAGTTTGGAGGAGAAGGTATAGTGGTTGGTGGTCGTTTGGTTTGTTTTGTTAAGGATGGTGGTGCGCTTTTTCTTTTTCTGGGCCTTTAAGGGTCTTGTGTGGGTAGGTTGACGGGATGGGATGAGATGGGATTTATGGGTGTAATGAGCTAACGACTCGTCAGTCAATCATATGTACGATATCATACCACGGTGCTGCTCTCATGTTATACGATCTTATTAATGAAACTCAACAAACAAATTTCAAAAACTGATTCATTCTCTTCGTGCCATGGCCTGTCGACAGCAACAGCGGCTCCTCACCCTCAGTTCTTCAGCATCATTCCGTGCTTGGTTCACGATGTCGATGAGGAGGCGTCTCCGAGTCCTGGTGCGCACCACCAACTTGTAGAGCGCCGTGCTGTGGGCGCTTTGAATCCTCATCTGAGTCGACCGTCCGACCTATCTCTCGAGTCAGCACCCCCAATACTCTCCATGGCTCGGTGGCGTAAATGGTCAACGCGTCTGTCCAACTTACAGATTTCACAGAGTTCTCAAAGTTCACGGAAGGTCCTCAGTTCGAATCTGAGCCGAGCCAGTCAGTTTCACTCCCTGTGGCCAATATGTTTTGACTTGGGTAGGAGGGTGTAGAGACGCGACTTGTGGTTGATACACTCGATAGGAAGGAAGGAAGGCAGGAAAGAAGGTGTCGACGTCCATGGACCCAGAAACGCTCTGAGCAGCTTGACACACTGGAAGGGAATTCATCTTCAGGACCTTGTGGCACTCCATTGATACTCCCGCGTTTCCTCTCGGAGCACTTGTGTAACAGTTCGAGTACATCGCGTCTGCTGTCATGAAGAAACCTCCAAGCGCACGATAAGTAGTTCCATTCTTGCTGGCTGAACGTCCATAACGTTACAGAAGACATTGGCGCCTGCTAACATCGGGCTCCTGCCCCTTATATACAAAACAAAACATACCGAAAGGAGCTCGGGAATTATGTGCAGAGCCTTCTGTGCGTTATATCCGACTTCCGTCAAGGTTCGCCATCTCGGGGGACCCGTCACCTTGACGGCATGGAGAGGCGCTGACTGTGCAGATGAAACACTGCAGATATAGTGTACCAGGACCGTATCGAGCCACTATACATAAGTACTGTACTAGCCCATCGTTATCTCCTGCCTAGCATTGCGAACGACTTCAAAGCTATGTATTGTGCCACTCAGTGGCTTCGTAAGCGCCCGCACAACCCTCACACATCGCACGGCCCATCGGTAGCCATCGACGCCCATGAGTCCGTCCATCTCGCGGTCCACCTAGTACAAGCAAGCGCCACAGGAACTGCACGCACGTACGAGGCATGGACGTAGCATTTAAGTTTTCGTTATAGATGGACGTCTCAGCTTGAGTCTACGCAAGTCTGAACGCGCGTCCCGTCCGACTCGAACGGTGTAACGATAATGACACGTACGCCTGTATAGTTGCAACTGGCGTCAAGGTACTGTAGTTATCATTTGATAGATTGATTGAACAAAGAAAGAGGTCCACCGCCACCTCCTCATCGATCAGCCCCTTGCTTCCTCGCTATGCTCGGGCCAAAATCGGGTAATCGGCCACGGTCACTAATCTGGTTTACGCTTCCGCAGATCTATCCGAATGTGTAGCGATCGAGATTTGAAGATTAACGTGCATACGGATTGTGGGCTGTTTATGACAGACATAATTGAATCGACAGTGACGGCAGTGAGTTGGAAGAGGAACGATGAGGTATGGTTAAGGGCGTATTTTTGGAACAGTGTCGACCAGCGGTCCACGGGACGATGTGGAATATGAGACTTGACTTGAAGGGGAAGATCGCTGCTTGGACCGCTGGACTTGAATTCTGAGTCAAGCTATGGGAGATAATTTTCCTAAGGGTGCAAGATTACGGATATATATGCAGCTTAAAGCCTAAACTTCACATGACCGAGGATGAAGGAAATATGGCGAAAGGAGCTCTCGAGAGGACAGATGCATAGGCTGGGCCACGGTGGCGCGTGGCTATTTCCGGTCGGAACAAAGTGCAAAGCGCTTATTACGCCTCTACGCTTTGCAGTCCTCCGAGTTTTTTGATCCTACACTGGCTCTCTCTATGTACACCAGGACGACATGCTCTGTTATCGACTGTGTCTCGATGCAATATTTAAATCCCCTATCTAGCTCTTGGCTGGTTGGACCAATCAGTATTACGGGATCGGTCCATTGAGACCGAGTTGAGGGCGCCATGTCGCTGACGCGGTTGATTTGACGCTACGGCCCAGAAAGTGACAAGGACGTTGAAATTCCTTAGTCAGGACATTTCGACGAGGGCGCCGGATGGACACGCCAATCGTCTTATGCACCGCCGCTCCTCAATCGCGGAGATGTCTTAGCTCGACTAGCCGCTCCTATAAAGCAAAACAGACCGCAGACAAGTTCTCCGCAGGTCCCGCTCTCTTCTTCCGCCTCACTACGCTCTTCCCCACCCCTGCCACAGCTTAGTTTCTGCTTTCAAGTTTCAACTCGTACTTTATTTGTCGCTCGCTTTTCGCGATGTCCGACCCAGCACAACTAGAACGTATCAGGGAGGACGAGGGGGCCATCACAGAACTTCCACCAGACCCAGCACACACGGTTGGCGCGTACGCTGATGCCGCCGTTCATAACGCAGTCCACGAACACTCTCCAGTCTCTCCACCCGTAACCCGGCATGCGCGTCGGGGTTCAACTGCGTCCCATGCCTCTCACGTCTCTCTCGACTACTTCGATCCAGTTGGAGTCAACGAGCTCAGACGGACACTTTCCCAGCAGCAGGATGAGCTTCGGAGAACAATGTCACAACAGGCCACCCACAACGCGAAGAAGTCGACCTCGAGCCAGAACTCGCCAGAGGGTGGCAGTAAGAAGGGTGCAGGACGGTCGTTTGATTTGGATTCAGAGGAGACTTTGGCAGTCGGTGACGGACCGTTCGATTTCGAGAGGTCATTACGGTTGACGATGCGCAAGTGAGTGTCGTCATCAATGTTCTTACCATCTCCACCGACTGTACAGGTCCTTGATCGTGTGATCCGTTGCCACGGCTATTTTGAGTTCACCGCTGACTTCTCACCGTCCACTTTAGGAGAGAGAAATACCAGATCGCGTCGAGAGAGCTGGGTGTCTTGTTCAAGGACCTGAGGGTCGTTGGCTTGGGCTCGGCTGCGAGCTACCAGACTACGTTTGGCTCTCTTTTCGATCCGCGTATCATGGCCGAGAAGTTCAGGAATTTGCGCAACCCGCCCCTGCGTGATATTCTCTATGGCTTTGAGGGAGTCGTGCGTCCGGGAGAGATGCTTCGTACGTTTCTTTTGTTCTACTTTGCATCTTATATCTGACCTGAATCTTGTCACAGTCGTCCTCGGTAGCCCTGGCTCGGGATGTAGTACCCTTCTCAAAACTCTCGCCAATCAGCGCATGGAGTACCATGCCGTCGAGGGTGACGTCCATTACGATTCCTTCAGCCCGGAAGAGATCAACAAGCACTATCGCGGCGACACCGTCTACAGCATGGAGGACGACGTACACTTCCCTATGCTTACTGTCGACGACACTCTTTGCTTCGCCGCCAGAATGCGTGCCCCCCAGACTAGGATCGATGGTCACTCGCGCGAGGACTACATCCGCGGTACGGTCGATGTTCTGGAGACCATCTTCGGTCTGAAGCATGTAGCTAAGACGCCAGTTGGTGATGCGAGTTTGAGGGGTGTGTCGGGTGGTGAGAAGAAGAGGGTGTCCATTGCTGAGGCGTTGGCTATGAGGGCGTTGTTGGGGTCTTGGGACAAGTGAGTACATTCTCCGCGCGTAGACTTTTCGTTGGAATTCATACTGACTGTGCTATCACTACACTAGCTCGACCCGTGGTCTCGATGCGTCGACGGCTTTGGAGTTCGTTCGTGCCCTGCGCATCGCTACCGATATTTCTCGTCTGTCGACCATCGTCTCGATTTACCAAGCCGGTACGTTCTCTATCTTTGAATGGTACGGTCCTATGTCTCATACTTCATCCTGTCAATTTCACAGGCGAGCAGCTGTATGAGCACTTCGACAAGGTCTGTGTCATCTACGAGGGTCGCATGGCCTACTTCGGGCCCGCAGACTCCGCCCGCCAGTACTTCATCGACATGGGCTTCGAGCCCGCCCACCGTCAAACCACGGCGGACTTCCTCGTCGCAGTCACCGACCCGAACGGACGTATCATCCGCTCTGGATTCGAGTCCCGTACCCCTCGCACTGCCTCCGAATTCGCAGAGCGCTTTCTCGCCTCTCCCGCGGGCGACGCCAACCGCGCCGACATGGACTCTTACCGGTCCGACTTCGTCGGCAAGCCTGATCGCGCTCTGGACTACAAGACTAGCGCGCGCGCAGAACACGCGAAGACGCAGAGCAAGAAGAGCCCGTACACAATTTCCACGGCGATGCAGGCAAGGGCGGTCGCGGCCAGGAGGTTGCAGATCATCAAGGGTAGCATGGCGAAGGAGGTCGTGCAGATGGCTACTTTCATCATCCAGGCGATCATCATTGGGACTGTGTTCTTGAACAGCCCCGATTCGACTTCGGCGTATTTCTCTAGGGGCGGTGTGCTCTTCTTGTGAGTCTCATTCTTGTTTTCTCGTTCTCGCGCGTACGGCTTTACTCATTACGGAAATGAATAGCGCCTTGCTGTTTGCTGCCCTTTCGTCTATGGCCGAGATCCCTGCTCTGTTCGCTCAACGTCCTATCGTCATCAAGCACTACAAGTCCGCGATGTACCACCCGTTCATCGAGGCTGCCGCGATGACTCTCGTCGACATCCCTATCACGTTCATCACTCTTATCGTCTTCGGTGTCATTCTTTACTTCCTCGTCGGCCTTCAAAAGTCGGCCGGCCAATTCTTGTACGCCATTTCCTTCTTAATCCACCTTTCGTCCTTTTACTAAGCTGTTCCCGAAATCGTAGCACGTTCTTCGTTTTCGTGTTGACGATGTCGCTCACCATGAAAGCCTGGTTCCGCGCCGTCGCTGCCGGTTTTGGTGCTCCCGCCCCCGCTCAAACAGTCGCCGGTATCCTCCTCCTCGCTCTCGTACTCTACACCGGTTACGCCATCCCCAAACCTTCAATGATCGGCGCCCTCCGCTGGATATCGTACATCAATCCACTGCGCTGGGGTTTCGAGGGCCTGGTGGCGAACGAGTTCCACACGCTCAATGGAGAGTGTGCGACGCTTGTGCCGAGTGGAGCGGGGTATGAGAATGTCGGTATCGCGAACCAGGTTTGTACGGCGGTGGGAAGTGTTGCTGGCAGCAGCACGGTGGATGGGAATAGGTTTATCGAGTTGAGCTATGGTTACTCGTTCGTTAACGTTTGGAGGGTGCGTTTCTCTTCTCCTTCACTTTTTCTGCGCCTTATTCAACGGACTTTGTGGGATTATTTAGAACTTCGGTATCGTCGTCGCCTTTGGTGTTGTGTTCATCGCTGGCTACCTCTTCTTTACCGAATGGAACACCACCTCGTCGACCACAACCTCTTCTATGCTCTTCAAGCGCGGCACTACTTCCCCTGTTCTCGAAGAAGCCATCGCCGATGAGGAAAAAGGCAAGCCCGTTTCCGAGAAGGCCGCGATCGCACCGTCCAGGAGCAACGATCCCACGGTCGACAAGGCCCTCGAGGGTACGATGGCGATGAAGGATGTCTTTACTTGGCAGCATTTGGAGTACACTGTCCCTGTGGGTGGAGGCAACACGAGGAGGTTGCTCGATGACGTGTCTGGTTATGTGGCACCTGGGAAGTTGACTGCTCGTGAGTACTCTTTCTTTTCTCGATTTGAGAGCGATGTATTGATAATCGGTTTGATAGTCATGGGTGAATCCGGTGCTGGCAAAACTACGTTGCTCAACGTCCTCGCTCAGCGCCAAAGCACTGGTGTCGTTACCGGAGATCGCTTAGTCAACGGCTCGCCCCTCCCCGCAGATTTCCAAGCTCAGACGTACGTTCCGTTTTCCTATTCATAACAGACTCATTCTCACTCGTTTTCTTTACCTTTCTCAGCGGTTACTGCCAACAAATGGACACCCATCTTCCCACCGCCACTGTCCGTGAAGCCCTCCTCTTCTCTGCCAAGCTCCGTCAGCCCGCCTCCGTCCCCGAATCCGAGAAGGAAGCCTACGTCGAGACCGTCCTCAAGATGTGCGGCCTCGAGAACTTCGCGGAGGCCATCGTCGGCTCACTCGGTGTTGAGCACAAGAAGCGTACTACCATCGGTGTCGAGCTCGCTGCGAAGCCGAAGTTGCTCCTTTTCTTGGACGAGCCGACTAGTGGATTGGACTCGCAGAGTGCTTGGGCTATCATGCAGTTTTTGAGGAACTTGGCGGACCATGGACAGGCGATTTTGTGCACGTGCGTATTTGTTCCTTCAGCTCCTCTCTGCTTCGACGCAGTGCTGACATGAGTTGGGCAATTATAGGATCCATCAGCCTTCGTCTGAGCTGTTCCAGGTGTTCGACAGGCTTCTGCTCTTGAAGAAGGGCGGTCAAACGGTTTACTTCGGTGATTTGGGCCCCAACGCAACGACGCTCCTCAATTACTTCGAGAAGAGCGGTGGATATGCTTGCCCTCCCACGGCCAACCCCGCTGAGTATATCTTGGACGTCATCGGTATGCTTCTCCCCTCCTTCTCATCGAAGAGTTCTTGTTCATTGCGTTCACAGGTGCCGGAGCTACTGCGACAACGGACATCGACTGGTACAAGGCGTGGAAGAACTCGAAAGAGGCTCTCAACGTCGAAAAGCAACTCCAGGAAATTATCACCGAAGGCCGCGCCCGTCCCCCGGTCGCGACGGAACTGCACTCCGAGTTCAGCACCAATTGGTTGTTCCAGGTCAAGACGCTCCTGAAGCGCGATATGCAGCGTCATTGGCGCGACACGGAATATTTGATGGCGAAGTTGGCGTTGAATATCATGGCTGGTCTCTTCATCGGGTTTACGTTCTGGAAGGCGAAGGATTCGATCCAGGGCACGCAGAACAAGCTTTTCGTGCGTTTCTTTCTTTCCTGAGGTTTAGTCTGCACTTGTGCTTATTCGTTTGACTGTACAGGCTATCTTCATGAGCACCATTTTGTCTGCGCCGCTCGCCAACCAGTTGCAGGTTCCGTTCATCTCCACCCGTAACGTCTATGAAGTCCGCGAACGCCCCAGCAGGATGTACTCCTGGACGGCACTGCTCACTAGTCAAATTCTCGGCGAGATCCCGTTGAACATCGTTGGGTACGTCTAACTTCTTCATTGAAGTTCGCTGCGCCATAATCTGATCACAACATCCGTCTAGGTCGTCCATCTTCTTCATTTGTTGGTTCTGGACCGTCGGTTTCCCGTCCGACCGCGGAGGATACACCTACTTGATGCTCGGTATCATTTTCCCGCTGTACTACACGACCTTCGCCCAGTCTGTCGCGGCGATGAGCCCGAACCCTGAGATTGCGGCGTTGTTGTTCAGTTTCTTGTTTAGTTTTGTCATCAACTTGTACGTTTATCCGTGTTTTCCCCTCCCCGAATGCCGACTAACTTTTCTCGTGATGTCAACAGCAACGGTGTCCTTCAGCCTTTCGCCCGTCTCGGTTGGTGGCAATGGATGTACCGCCTCTCGCCCTATTCCTACCTCATCGGCGGTCTTCTCGGCCAGGCTATCGGCGGTTACCCCATCACCTGCTCCTCCACCGAACTTGTCACGCTTGTCCCACCCTCCGGCCAGACCTGCGGTGATTATCTCAATCCGTTCATCGCGACGTCTGGAGGATACATCACGGACACGAACGCGACAGACTCGTGCACGTACTGTGCAAGTGCGACGACGGACCAGTTCTTGGGCGCGAGCTTCAACATTACGTACGGGACGCATTGGAGGAACTTCGGCCTGATGTGGGCGTACATATTGTTCAATGTGAGTATTCTCTTCCCCCTTTTGGTCGTCGTGTGCTTGTGACTAACGGACTTTTTGATAGATCTTCTTGATCTACAGCTTGACGTGGTTCTTCCGTATCCGTTCAGGAAGCCTGTTTGCCCCTTTGAAGCGTTTGGCCGCAAAACGGTCAAAGTCTTCGTAAACGGTTTCGGTCCTGTTCTGGTTCTCACGCACAGTTGCTTCGGTTCACGACTTGGACTTTATCGCTCGACATTAGACGATATATCGTTACGCGCATTATGTTATGTCTCCACATCTACCTCCATTGCCTCCTCCCCCACACCGTCTAGATCTCTCCTATGCCTATGGACTCTCTCTGAATCTTCTTCCCGGTCTGCTGCTGCACATCTACACCCGTAAATTGCATTTTCATCCTCCTTCAAATTTGAATCCACGTAGATATCGTCCGTTCCTTACCATCTGTCTAGTACTTCTCTACCTACATCTCCATATTTTTCACGACTTTACGCATACATTACCTGTTTCGTCCGTCCGTCCGTCCGTTCGTCCGCCAAGTCATTTCGTTCTTCGTTGGTTGGTCATCCCTATTCTTACTCGATAATATACCTGCTTGACACGGGGTCCGTGCTCGCATCCTCCATTTCCGTTCGTCTGATTTCGGGTTCATGAATGAGTGTTACGATATGTGCGAAGTCTGCTACGTCTATCTTGTTACAGGAACTGGATTGTTTACATGGAATATAGAAGTCTCCTTTGAAGTCATCGCATGTCCCCTCGTCGGCGTTGTTCTCAAAATATTGAAAGAAAGATGCCGCCGGATCTGGCAGGATACACACAAGTGAGATTCGCGGGGGAGGACGGGAGCTATAGTTCGTAGTGGGTCTCGAACACCGTGTAAATAGCTCCCCTTCAACGCACCGTCCACGAAGCTGGAGCGGCCAATCATGAACACTCTGCGCCCCGTTTATAAAGCCAGAATCGATACGGCCAAGCTTCAGAGTTATGATTTGACTAAAGAAGCTCTTTGTATGTTTGTGTACGGAACTGGCAGGCACATTACCTCTGAGTTCTCTCGGGCTCAACAACGACGGCACCCTAATCTCTTGCGAGGGTGATGGAGGCGAACATCGAGAACTGAAAAGCCTAAACGTTTCGGGCACACCTCTTCAGACGCTTTGATGGAAGTCGCAAGTCGGATGGAAGCAACGGGCGCAGAAAGCTCAGTCTTCACCGAAGCGAACGATTCTCGAAGTATACACGCAACAACGTTAAATTTCGTAAAATCCCAAAATACAGAACGTATAACAATTTCGGCCCCGCAGTCAAAGAATCCTGTCTGGGGTTTTCCGCATTTTCTGGAGCTGGAGAAGGATATGCCTTCAGCACCATCGTCGTACAAACTCGGATAAAAGTCCATTCGCTTACCTCGACAAACAAAATCAACCGCAGGACATAATACCCAAGTTCTTTGCTTTGAATTTAGAGGAGGCAAAGCTATGATGGTAGAACAGACGTGAGTGACCGTTATAATCGCTCCGAAGACGGATGAGAGGAAATGGTGTAAGGTAGAACTTACCCCGAGGAGGCAGAGATCACCGCAGCACTCGCTGTCAACGGCGCAGGACTGGAGAAGAGGCTTGCACTCTCCCAAGGCGACGTCGGCGGAGTCGATGATGTTCAATGACTGCAAGGTGTTGACGAGGTGGGTGGTGGTGTCGTCACGCTTGGTGGAGGCAGCCGAAGCGATGGGCAAGAAGACGGCGAGGGCAAAGAAAGCGGTCTTCATGGAGAACTGCATGGTTGATGATGTGAGGAGGCTTTGGATGAGTGAGCTGCTGGAAGTCGGTGCGGCGGATGAGGAAACCAAGATGGCGAGGTTGGAGAGGCTTTTATACCTTGCAGACCAGGACCCGAGGGTCGGATTGAACTGGAAAGCCTGGATGATAGACCACCTTGACTCCGTACATGCTCCAAAAATGCGGTATAGGCCAGGTCCTGGATGGTCATGAGGCGAGACGGTGATTAAGTTCCAGTGTCTTTCTCATGAGACGGGCTTCCTAGGGAGGGAGAACGGCGGGAAATTTTTGGCGAATGAGCGATGTCCACCGTCTAGGTGCTGACGCCCCAGAACACGCTGGTGGACATGCGGCTAAGAGAAATGGATCACCTATACCAAATATTTTCGTGGAAGAAAGTGAAGCTATATTCGTAGGCAGACGCCCAACTGTTTGGCGCCTAGGAAAGTTTCCATCCTGAAAGAAAGGAAAAACGTAACCGCACTCGTTGTAGAGGAGTGGAGCCAACGCGCTCGCTCATTGTTACAGAAGACTGTATGTGTCTCGTTCCGACCCACACGGAATGTGTGGGAGCGAAGTGTGAAGGTTACTGCTCACCTGAGCCAAAGACGTGAAACATCCAGAGGGTCTTGTCCGCGGTCTATTAAAATCCAGGGATCATCCGCGGCAGGGTAGATTTGGCCGGTGTGGACTGCAAGCCTCGAGGCTTCATCTGAGTGCATATATTGATGGAGCTCCTGTGAGAAGGTCAGTCCTCAAGGAGCGCCTAAACCAACAGAGGGTCGGAGAGGACAAGAGGCGAAAGCGCATGGAGAACAAATATTGCCTTTTGAACAACTATGCCGCTCTGGAGCCACTACCGCCGGAGTGGGTTCTCTTGGTTCAAGACCAACAGCAAAAAAGTTCACACATACGGCCACATGAGTAGGTGGCGCGGTTTAAACGTCGGAAAATTGATGTGTCGTGTGTTCTTTGCGAGTTATACCAAAGAAATCATCGAAGCACTGCAGCCCCCGTAACCGTATATATCGGCAGGGCACCTGAAGAGTTCTGTAACTCTCGAAGGACCAGTGAATGAATGGCCAGTGAAAAAGAATACGCTTACTTGGTCGGGGGCCCAATGTCGTTCACTGGCCAATGAGCGACATGACTCTTTCATTTCGGAGGCCACTCCGAGGCTCTCCGAGGTTAAATAGCTTTCAGTCTGTGAAGTCAGTCATCCACTGAATGGCCATTATGAGGCCTTTAGAACGCTCCCAAACACACAGACGAACGTCGGCTGCTCTGCGGCTCAGGTTTTCACGGCCCAGTGGGCCCTTCAGAGTGCCGAGATCCCTACGGATAGCTATCCACCGGTACAGCTTCCGACACAACTTCACCAACAGATGATCAGCGTGTTCTTGGTGATAATGGCAAGCAGATCATGGAGATGTCTAAACTTACATTTGAGGGTTGGATCAACGTACTGTCAGTGGCGTCCGTGCGGCCCCACCGGTGCGTGTTTAGTTAGACCAGACGGCAAACCTTACGTGAAGTGAACAAAACCCATAGAAAACTTGACAATGCAACGGGCATCGTGTGCGTTGGTACCCAAGACATGGGGGCAAAAGATTACCCCAGCTAAGTTCGGATATGACGGTGAGATGTGAGAGCATCTTGGTCGAGTACTGAGAGCCTAGAGAGAACTGAGGGTCTGGAGAGGAAGATCGCGGCCAATGGCCCAACGCAGGGCTTGGAAAGTTATATCCGGAAATCAGAAGAAAAATTCAAGCGATAGAATATATACGGTTTTGTCTCTTCAGCTTTCCAACAGCGTGACGAAGAGACCCAGAGGGAAACGTCCGATGTGGTCGAGGACGGGCTTCGCGGCGGAAGCCTGAGGGATGTGGCGCAGCTCCCCAAACGGAGTTGTTTGTGCTTGTGTGGCAAAGGCTTCGTACCTGAAGTCCGAATTGGTCATCGCATTGTTGCGTTACACCTTACACCTCTGGCTTTCGTTCCGCGACCGATTCGCCTTCAGTTCACTTCTTATACACAAAATGGTATGTTAATTTGACACAATTAAACGCATGGATATTAATGCAACCCTGTCTCTAGGCTCGTAATGAGGAAAAAGCACAGTCCATGCTCTATCGCTTTCGCGAGGCGCAAGCCGCAGAGCTTGGCCTCGGTACACGAAGCGATCGTCGTCCGCGTATGGCGAGCGCGTGCAAAAGCTTGAGGGATTGCGAACGGTGGCGTGGAGAGATTCTGCGCGAGATCAGTCGGAAAGTGTCGAAGATCCAGGATGGTGCGTCTTGTTCAACGAAGATGCGAGTTCGAGCACGAACTCACTTGCCTGCATTTTTTGTGGCGGTGGAACAGCTGGTTTGTCGGACTACGAGGTTCGAGATCTAAACGATGATATCAACAAGTTGATGCGAGAGAAGAGGCATTGGGAGAACCAGATCGTTGCGTTGGGCGGTGCGAATTATAGGAGGAATGTTGCTATGACGGATGATGACGGACGCGAGGTTCCTGGGACGAAGGGTTACAAGTGCGTTCACTCTCCTTTATGGTGACATCATCTAGCACTTACACCGGTCGTGGTCAAGATATTTCGGACGAGCAAAAGAACTTCCTGGTGTCAAGGAACTATTTCAGTCACGCAAAAAGGAAGAAGACGAAGAGACGGCCACACAGGGCTTTTACAAGCGCTTCACCAATCAGGGACCGGCTTACTTTGGGGATCTCGATGAGGTCGACGGCGAGCTGCTGAAGTACGAGCAAGCGGCAGAAGAGAATGGTGCGGTTGGCACTCCTTTCGCCCCCACTGCGTGTACACTTTCCTACAAAGCTAACGACCACAATATTTGGGGTAATACAGAGTACGAGGAAGCATGCGCAAACCTCCGCGAAATTCTCGGTCTTTCTGCCGACCACCCTCTACCTCCACTTCCTCGCGCCAATCCAACCCTTCCACCATCCCACCTACCAACTACTAACGCCCCTCCACAATCCGACGGCACCAAGCGTAAAGCCCCAGATCCGTCCGAAGACCAGCAACCATCCACCGACGACGCATCAAAGCGTACCAAAGCAAATCCCTCAGACGCCGCTCCCGCCACAGATTCTACTGTGGCATTGTCGAAAGCCACAGAGAACGGTGATCCAACAAACGAGGAGGTGGTACGCGCCCATGCGACTGCAGCTGCGGCGTACATCTCGTTCTTACAGCCCGAGAATTTGATGCCCCCGGTCATGCCGACGAAGGAGCAGATGGAAGGCGTGTTGTTGGATCTGAGGAAACGAGCCTTGGTGGATGAGTATTTCGGAAACTGATGACGGCGGAGTTGATGCTTCTTAGTGCTTGCGGCGCTTGTGTTGAGTTTGCGCTCAGTACGTGTATCATTATTCTGCGAAATCGATGACTGTTCGACATTCCTCTTTGTCGCCTTTTCTTGCTCGCGATATGTCTTGCGCAATCGAACATATTTTGGCAATCTGAGACATTTCTTGACTGAATTGCCACTGGAGTCTCGGTGACTGATCGATAGAACCCTGCCCGCGTGCCCAAGGTGAGTGATATAATTCATGTGGCGTGGCATGGGTCTGTGCCTTCCTCACCGAATTTGTCTATCAATTGGTTTTCTGATAGACTCGCGTCTCGTTGTCTCACTTACTTTCTCTAGAGTTTTGTGCTGCAAATCCATAGCCTGTCTGACATCTAGCGACCTTGAAAGCTTGAAGGCTACAGCTTAATGCTTTCAATATCTCCGATATCCGACGGTAGGAGCGTGAATCTCTGATTGTGTATTTATGTGGCGACGCCTCGATGTGCAAGAAGGCTTCCGAGTTGGTGCATGGGCAAAACGAGGCTCGTGGGGGTCCACCATATAGCTCGTGCGTTCACGATTGCCTTGAAACCTCGCTTCCCGCTCGCAACTCTTTCTGCCACCTCCCACCTATTGTCCTACCAAAACCAGACGTGCACAAAAATGCAGCTCGTCGATGTAGAAACTGATTCGAACTCGACTGAAGCTGCCCCTGATTGTCCTATTCTTAATACGCCACCCGAAGGCGCTGAGCTTGGCACGCTTCCATCACTTTCTTCATGTGTTGACTTGAACTGATTCTTTCTCTTTATCCCGCCAGACACCACCACGGCCGCCGCGGACGATGCGGAGCCACTTCTTGGCAGTCTTGCGAGTGATACTACGAGCGTCGGCTTAACACCCACCGAACCTTCTCTTGAAGCAGTATCTGACTCGTCTGACGATGACGCCCACATGACTGAAGAATATACGATAATACCTTCGCCGACCGCCATGTCCCGAACTCCAACACCTCCGCCATTTGGCTCGAACGATGTTCCGACCATTATACCAGATCTGGACCTGGGCTCGCTGTTCCCGGAAGTAGAGCAAGTTGGTGGTGTAAGTCGGAGTTGCTACAGCATAACAGATCATGATGCTCAAAGCTTTGCGTTTTTTCTTTGCAGCCCCTGGCTGGTGTAAATGACGAGGGATCGGTTGACGAGGCCGACGGTGCAAAAAATCAACAGTTTGAGGCAGGTTTTGTTCTCCGTCTACGTCTATCCTTCTGGCAGCGTTCGTGACGCGCTATTCTTTCGCACAGAATACTCTCGGACAGGACGATGTACCAGAGAGGCCTCGCACACCAGCAGACCAGAGCAACTCTCGTTCCGACGAGTTAGATCTCTTGAACTCGATCCCCAATATGTACCGCTTGCTCGATCTAGTCCTCGAGCAAGGCAGCGGTGGCCTCGGTATGCTTTGGTAGAACTATCTATTGACGACCGTGGCTGATAGCACATACTTTAGTTGACAAAGTCATTATCGCCCAAGAGTCACTGGGCAAACTCATGAATCGGTTATGCCCTGGCGTATATGTCTCTCTCACAAAAATCGACTTCAAAACGCTCGACTCGGTGAATGATTGCCTTCTTTCTTCACATAGGTCATATCCGGCTAACGATTGCTGCAGAGGAAACTAAAGCTTATCGGAGCGTACGGTAGCAAGTCGGCCCTCGTGAAATTTCTCAAAGACGTCGCAGTTGTGGACGATGACCTGTACGCCTTATTTCAAGTGCTTATTGTAGGAGATGGATGGACTTAGCTTTGATGCATCTTCAGCGCCACCCTTCTCTTAAAGAAGCACGACAGCCGCATCGAATCTTCTCGCCCTCACCTGCGATCAGGTTTATACTTCGTCTTAGATCCCGCGCATGCCACCACCAACCCCGCTCGCGCATTTGTCATCTATTGGCCCGAAGAGGAGACCTGGAACGACGATGCCTCGTCCTCCGTTTGCAAGAATCGTGTGACTTTCATGCGGTAGTTATAGCTTTGCATCGCCGAGCGACAACTTCTATGCTAACTTCTTGTCTGCAGCTATCTCTCGAAGCTGACAGACCAGACTATGGCTCTCATCTCCCCTGAGCACTCTCGAGCGCTGGTGTGGAACGACGAACAAGACGCCGGACCTCAGGACGATGAGGACGATAGTGCTGAACGAGTCGACAGAATGTTTACGTTTGAGGTAGCCAAGACCAAAGAAGAAGAAGAGAGTATAGCACCCCAGCCAGGATTCACCGTACGGAGTTGTTTACCTGCGCCAGATGTCTTCTGATATATTATCATCCATAGGTTTATCTCCCCAGCATCGCGCAGAATACCCAGGACGTAGTGGATGGTCTGCCGTTGCAGCCGCCTATACTCATTCCCGGAGAAACCCAGATGGGGTTTATGACACACATTCCGAAACCAGCGACGATACGGAAGTCTCCATTTTGCCAGACTTTACACAAGAAACAGATCGAGATTTACTTGCAGTTTGTTCCATATTTGCTCTCTGAGCAGAACTACACGCACTGATTCCTCAAAACGAAATCCAGGAATGAAAAGCGCCGTATCGTATTGGCTGAACGACTTGATGACGACGCTCTCCGTTGTCTGCTGAGGCACGGCCTGTATCAGCGATGTGGTGATATCTGCCGGGACTATCAACAGACTTCGGCTGAGATCAAGCAACACCGTCAAGAGGCGTCTGTTAACTTCTCTGCCGCGAAAATGATAGTCAACGAGGAAAGTGATGCTGCACTGGCTCAGGAGGTGCTCATGGAGAAAGCGCGAGAGCTATACCCGTACGTGTCGTACTGTGTTGTGCTCAAGTTGTGACTTTCCTGTTTACAAGGGCCATCCTGCCAGATCCCTCTTTGCGGACACTAGAGCTGCAGTTCCTGCACCGAGCTGTATGTTTTACTTCATTTATCGTTTTTCAATCGTACTGAAGAAGCACTCGCAACATAGCTACCTCAAGTAGCACACTTGCTGCAGAGGAGAGGAAGTCCATTTTGCGTACTACTAAGGCTGTCACCTCTGCTTTCGCAAAAATTAGACGCCTCTCTGATCCAGACTACAATCGCCTCAAATATCGGATATATCTCGCGCGCAACTATCTCCGCACATACAATCCACCAGGAGATCAGCTGCGTACCATCGTCGACAACATCCTCGAACAAGGCGGCAAATCAACCGAAATTCAATCAATCCCAGTCGCTCATCCTCGCCTCTTCAGCGCCGCAATGGAGACGGTGAGGTCCTTTGCATCTGCGGTCCGAGGTCAAACAAGCGCTCCATCTTCGGTCGGCCCTGTCACAGTAGCCAGAAACCAAGCGCACGACGTCAGCGACAGAGACTTCATCGCCCAGTTCCCTGCACTCGTGGAGGCACACCCTATTCTTCAGAGGGCGGCTGATGATGTTCGCTCTCTTGTCTCATCGACCCTTCAGGAGGGCATACATCGCTATGCTGTTCAAGCTGCTCGCGAGGCCCACAAACTTTCCCTTGAACAACTTCACAATGAGTTCCAGCTTCGCAACGAAGCTGCGCATCGTGCTGAGGATCAAGAACGCTGGCGCTTATTCAAGCAGAGCGTAAATACGTGCCTGGCTAGTATAGGAACGTACGTCGGACTGACTACTGCTGCCTTGAACAAATTGGTTCTGAGATATTATTGACTGGACAGGGCGACCTCGGCGATCGTCATTGAGTCTGTGACCGAATCGGACAATGGACGCACCAGCGGTAAGCTTATGCACCTTCATCGCGCTCTTGTTCTTTTTTGAATCCCATGTTTTAAGGTCCAGTGATCCTCCGCGGTTACGCCGTTCATGACATCCCGCCTGAGAATCGATTCGAGATCCATCCTCTGAGTCTGACACAGGGTGACGAACATTCCATCCGTCGCAACCCCAAACATATCCCCACGCCTATCCTACAAGAATCTTATGTTCAATCGTTCTACTTACGTGCTCACCAGACCATAAGGTACTGTTAAAACCTCCTGAGCATGCACGTCTATCAGCCCAACTGATATCCAGCTCACAGGATGATACAACGCGTCTCAGAGACGAGGTATCTCATTCTCGTCGATAGCGAGGACCATTGCGGAGTATATCTCGAGGATATTCTGTCATTATCTCAAACTCTCGCAAAGGGGAAGCCAAAGAAGAAGATATTCTTCGCCAAGCTCTTGAACACATTTGTCTCAGCCTTTGATCAGGCTCGGAGAATGTTGGCCATATGTGGAGCACCTCCCGTGAGTGACAATCATCGTCCATCAAGAGTGCCACTCACATTTGTGCTATCTTTTAGGACGCACCATCGGACCTACAGTTGCAGATTTATATTGCTGAGGAAGACTTCTCAGGATTAAGCGCTCGAGGGTCTCCCATCAAACTTGCAAGGTGGTATGACGAAACTCCCCAGCTTCACTCGCTACTATTTGTTACAGGGACGGAGGAGCTTTGTTTTGTCGAGGCGTCCGGCCGTGTACGAGTCTTTTCTCTTGTGACGGAACAATTTCGGTATGTGCTAGGACTCACTCTGTGATTTTTGATGGCTCAATTCTTCTTCCAGACCTGCCACCATACACCTCCATCACCCTCCTTACCAGGTCATGGCGACGCCCGATGGTTCATGTCTCCTCTCAGTCGATAAACAAGATATGCACGCGGTCATCACCGCCTACCACTGGGCGTCCTTTGGCTCAAACCCGAATGGGCTGAGTTTCACCGTTGAGGTCCCTCCCGACGCTTGTTTCCAAGTCACCGGCTTGGTCTCCCGCTCCTCTGTCCATGTCCTTGTCTTATCGTCACACAGCATCCACTCCGTCATCCTCCAGATTCAGCACCGTTCCAGCGAATTCACCTTCAAGGAGCGTGAACATGAGGTGCTCGATTGCAATAATCGTCTTCAGGCGACCCACAACAGCCTTCTTGATTGCCACTTAGACGTTTGGACTCGATTCCCCGTTCACGCTGCCATCCAGCGTGATACAATCAGCCCGCTCGGTCGTCGACCGCCAGTCCTTATCTTTGTCAGCGATATTCCCGATTCTCCCTTTGGTTCTTATTATCGTAACCTTGTCGCCTCCTTTACCCGGACAATCAAGAAGCCGACTGCGGGGATCTTAAACGCAACACAAGCTTCTGCTGTTGCGTCTTCAGAAGAGGTTCTTTTGGGATGTGACATATCCGAGTTCTTCAGTGGACAGTGGATGGTGGAGCTTCTTTGTTTGATACCCTTGCAGCTCGCTATCACCCACCAGAACCGATTCGTTCCGCTCAAAGATGGTGTTTGGAGCCCAGAGCAAGAGCGAGATTTGCTTGGCGCCGACGTGGACCAGATCGTCGGCGCCCTCAGTTTGGGTTGGTATGAATCATTGTTCCAATCCTACATGGCCTCAAAGGTTCGTCCCACTAACTACCGAGGTGCTTGCGTATGGTGACTCACCACGCCTGCTTACTGCTCAGCCCGTTCGTGTCGTTAGTTCTATGGGTAAGAAGTACCTTTCGCTTGCTGTACCCTAAACTACTGAGTGTTTGTCGTCCCAGGCGAGCAATCCGTTGGTAAAAGCTACTCATTAAACCATTTCGTGGACACCTCTTTTGCGGGATCTGCGATGCGAACGGTGACAATTTTATGTCTTGATGCCCAGTAGAAGTTTGGCCTAATTTGTGTGTTAGACCGAAGGTGTATGGATGTCAGTCACACCCACCAAGAATGCCATCATCGTGGCATTGGATTTCGAAGGTATTCTCCACGTTCTTTCGAATCTCGGCATAGTACCTCAGGTAAACTGACGTTATCACCGTCTTAGGCGTCCACTCCCTCGAAAGGAGCCCGCAGGAGGACGCATTGCTGGTAGGTTGTTTTGCTATCTGTTCATTCCGGAGTTGTGGAACTCGATGCCTTGCATGACTGACTGCTCATATTTTAGGTTCTCTTCAACACCGCTATCTCCAACCTGGTGCAGACATTTCAGCAACCTTGATCTAATATTCTTGTTGAACCTATCCATGCATATCTTGTACAGGTTTTCTTCCGCAACAACTTCGCGTTGTCCAGGGATATTGCGGGCCTTTTTACGGTCAGTTCCCAAGCCTCTTGTGACGGTAATTTCTTGTCCGAATGTAGTGACTTTATCTAGAGCTTCCAATCATCTTCCGCCATACTGGACCCGGCTGCCAATCCGACTCTATTCAATGGCTTGTTGTGCATCGTAATCAGAGATGTCGTCGATTCTGACACCAGAGAGATCGTACACGAGTGAGCATTAACGGTTTTCCTTCTCGGGCTATACTTTAGTAGTTTAATATTATCACACAGGTTTTCTCTCAAGTTCCGTCAAATTGTCCAGGATGAACAAGAGGAGAACTTTATCAGCAGGCTTCATCGGGGCAAGATCAACATCGTACCATGGTCAATCCATGTTTTCGAGCATTGCGTATCTTATGTGCTGAGTCTTTTTTAGGCCTGTGATTAATAGCCCTCGTTTCTATGGCCTTTTCAATGAGGTGAAGAGGCAATTTGAACGGCAGGAGGTCACTCATGGCTCGGCTGGCACTTTTCTTCGAACGATAAAGACACTAATGGCGAAGCTCAAGGTACAGTTCCATATCAATCCTATGAGAGGCGCTCATCATGTTCAAACCTTTGATATTGAAACACTGATATGCACAGGCAAACGACTGGGGAGCCCTCAACCGTGAGTCCAGTATGATGTTCCTGACTACATCCTCCGTTAATATACTTCACAGAGAATCTGGCTTCATATCGCGCACAACATCTGTCGAGGTCGTTATCTGTAGCTCTGAGTCATGGCGCGAGTGAACTTGAACCCATGCCCGAGCCTCTGAAGGAAAGTCTCGAGATTATCAACACACAATCATCCTCACATATCTTCTAAATTATAGGACATCGACAGCGACATCGAGATCCCGAATAATGACACCGATTCTGTTTTCCATGCTCCTCACACTTCGCGCAATTTCGAGTCTGACTGGGATGACCGCCAGTATGCGCTCCGCATTCTGATCGAGAAGAACATCTCCGTTATTCCTCAGAGGTATACCGTTTCCGAGGTCGACTGGATGCAGCAGCTTCAGGAAATGCTTCGACGGTTATTGGAAGCTCGCCTTAGTCATGTGCGCCAATGGCTTGGTGCGAACACCGATAGATTTCGTGATCACGAAGATATCAAGGCCTTAATGCGTAGTGCAGGGCATCTTTTTGCTGAGATGGAAGGTGCAGTACGACTATGTGGATCACGCTGTGCTGAATGTCATCTTTCCTGTCTTCGTCCGAGGCACCATCCGCTCAGCCATGATTGTCAAACTTCTCATCGATGCTTCGGGGAGTGTGAAATGTCTGAGGAGCACCCAGCCCCCGTGCAGTGCGGGCTTCCGTGAGTCTTCAATGTCCTTCGAATCATCGACATGCACGACATACTGATACCATGCAAAATTTTGATCATGCAGAGCGGGTCACAGCAGTCGCCACATGTGAGTATATCTTCTGATTGCCACATTTCACGCCCATAGCTGATGAATTTGTTCTAGGTGTGAAGTAAGCGCACACTCTTGCGGCCAACCATGCTTTCTCCAAAACCGAAGAGGCTGTTTGCACAGTTGTAGCCTGGTAAGTCCTTTGTGTTACTTGATTTATATGGGTGAAATTCATTTTGAACGTCTACAGCCACTAGACCACGAAGAACCGCACCATATCTGTTCGACCCGATCGCACTTCTGCGGAGAGGTAAATTTCTCTCCCTCTGCCTGCTACTGTAGAATTCTTACAGTTATTATTGTCTTAGGCATGCGCTTTGAGCGGCATCTCTTTGGCAGATGGTACGTCGTATACCTGTTCAGGACGATGCACGATCTCCTGGGACGAGGAACACGAAGAACACATCTGTGAGCACTCGCACTCGTGTCCATTGAAGTGCCAGCTGTAAGTCACAATCATGTATGTGTGATGAAAACACTGACGAAGAATCCGTATGTAGCTGTAACCGTCAGTGTGAATCTGTGGATCACCTTCACGGCCTCGACTCGACCAGCATACATCTGTGCGGGTATGTACCACTCGACTATTATACTATTCCCAAACTTGTTCAGATCTTGGCTCTTAGAGTGCCTCATCCTTGCGAGGAAAAGTGCGAGCTTCCTGGTATATGTAACATTGAGACGCAGCCCTCTAAGATCGTCGAGGAGTTTCAAGGGAGACACGAGACATTTTCTTACACGAAGGTAAGTCATTTGTTGGCCTGCAGGATTTGGGCTGTTATAGATGACAAACCTACAATCATAGTACACGCAAGTGGCTCGTAGGCTCGGATGCGCAGTTACGATCCCCCCGGGCTTGTTAAATCACGCAGGGGCGCATAAGCACTCCGTTGACGACAAGCCATTCCATTTCTGTCAGGCTCGCTGCGGCCAATGCGAGTATTTCTGTACTCTTCCTCTAGGTTTTTACTTTCCCAGATCTTCTTTACAGCGCGTCACTCAAGGGTGTCTCCTTTCATCATCTAAAGGTCACCCTCAGACATTACATGAGACGTTTCATGGATCCATGTCTGCCGCGAAGTGGATGGTTGATTCTGCAGATGACACTATTGAGTTGGATGGTCACAAGTTCGGCTCCGGGGATGACGGAGGTCCCATGCTCTGCAATCTTGTAAGCTTTTTGATGCCGACCTCTACCATCCCTCCTCACCAAAGCCTTCCTACAGGTTTGCGCGTCTCAAGGACGCCACGCCCATCTTGACCTTTGGTAAGCCACGGTTTTTGCAAGTCATTGCGATTCACATTTATATTAGATATAGCCGTGCTACAGCGCATGGTCGTCCGTGTCAGGAACCGGAGACCGAGCATATCACTTCTCCGACTCAGAACGCTCCCGGCGTGCAAAAGAAAGATTGGATCTCACATCGACTGTGCTGGGCCAGACTTGGTACGTGTTTTTCTCATATCAATCGCGCTTATTAGCCATGAACTGTTATATATTTGAACAGGTTTCAAAGGTAACACATATATGATATGCTCTAGTTGGACACTACGAGAACGGCTGATACCTTCAAATTCTACGATAGATCCTTATTCTAAAGAGGAGCAAGCGGAGTTTTCAAAATGGTCAGTATCAGGAGCATCCGCGCCGGATGAGGACTAATGTCAGTGCATAGCGATTCGATGTGCAGTGGCGTCGAACATGCCGCAGCCGCAAGTCATCCCGCGCAACCGTCTTTCTGCACCTTGAATATATTCCATGACCCACAACCACAAGATGCTTGTCCAACTAACGTTACGGGATACGTATCACACGATGGCCATGTATTTTCGTGCAGAAACCCCGTTGCAATGCAGCGATCGTTCCATGTGTAAGTATAAGTATAGATGCATCCTTATTGAGATGTCCTATGCAAATAGCTGATTACCCTCTTTTTAGGGTCTTTGTTGTCGATAGGTAATTACTATCGACATTTTTATCCTGTGATCCAGCTCAGCAGGTTGCTTCTTGCTCGACACTAGTTCGGGATCCATGAAGAACGCAGACCGAGTGCCACTGCCTGACGCACCGTCAAGTGCTCGCATTAGACAACGTTCAAACAATCGTTATGGCGCCGTACTTTCTTCCTTATATGCGTTTTGGAGCTCTCGTCAGGGAGCTATGCAATCGACCTCTCTGGGTGCACGTGGAGATGCGTACTCCGTCGTCACATTTGGCGGAAATGCATCGGTGAGAATGTTCCACCTTTGAAGGCGCATATACTGACATTATCTATTCCGTGATAGACGCGTGTCGAGAACGACTTTACAAAGGATCCAGATCAGCTACTGAGTTCTATCTTGACAAGGCAGGGAAATGGGGGCACAAATTTCAAGGCTGCTCTCCAAGAGGCACAAAGGGTTATAGAGGTTAACTGGAGCCCTGAACGGTCCGTGACCCTGATGATGGTTCTATCAAACCAACTAACCGCTCATTTCTGTCACCGAAAGGCCTCCGGTGGTCATTTTTCTGAGCGACGGAGAGTGCGACCTGAAGGATAAATACATGCGAGACCTTTGCAACAAGGCAAACGTTTTAGGGTATGTTTACATTCGTCGACTGCTTGTCAGGTCTCAATCGTCATTCGTCACCAGACAATCTCTTTCATTCCATGCGATCTCTTTCGGTCCTGATGAACGCTCTGCCACCTTGCGACGTATGGTGGAAATTGCTCGGGAAGCTTACAAGAGTGGTCCTCGCGATCCCCTAACTTCGGCCGCTCCATCTGCTACTGAGGCATGCGAATTTTCCAGGGCTCTCGACACGGTCTGTTTCTATCTACTCATGGGCAAGGTGACGATATACTCATCTCAGCCCTTCGTAGATTCAATTGGCCGAGACATTCCTAGGAATTGCTGCCTCTCTGCAGAAGACGCGAGCATCCCTTGTGCGTACGTAGGCATGGATGCGGAGTTGTGTGTTGACGCATGTATCTTCTGGACTTTGTTGATGGACAACTGACTTTCCGATTTCTGTATGTCTGAGTTGTTTTCGTCGCTATGGGTAGCCGTTGTGTGTGCGTTTCTATCTTTTGCTTGTCTCGTTGCTATCTTTCTATGCTGTGAACTGTACAATACTTTTGTATGCGAATTCTTTCTGACTATACATTTCCAAGTTTCGTCGACTACCAGGCTAGTCGGGCAGGTTAGAGACTGGCAAGTAAGCCTTCGTCGTGGGTTGGGGCCGCTTTACTACCATCGCATGAAAGTCCGAGTCACAAGTATTAGGGATTGCGAGCTTTATTTCTGGTCAACTTTGCTAAGGAACGGAGTGATTTACAGTTTTTAGCGGACAGTAAATTCCTGGTGTCATATTGCAAACTACAGCGAAACATGAAAATCCTGAATAGCTATTATTGTCATGCAACTCAGCGTAAGTGGTCCGCCCAGGGATAAGTATCACAACACGTAGAACAATTACCAAAGCTATATCTTCGATTCGTCTAGCTCTAAGGATACAAATTTCCGATATCTCAAAATTATTCTCATGTACAACGAATCGGAAGACTACTGCCCGTATCCCCCGACTCAGGGTAAGAACCCAATCGCCCTCCAAGCCCTCAGCCATTTCTTCACATTCGCCTCGCCAAGCTGCGGTGCTTTCTCCCTCAAGGTCTCTGAAACCTGAACCGCCTTCTCCGTACTCAACCTCGCCACCGCCACAGGCTCCCACTCCGGTCCGACCCTCGCCGCACGGAAGAAATCAAGCAGACGCAGTGCAGGATTGCGTTCCAGGTGTTCGACCTCAGAGATAGAGGTGTCTACAAGATCGTTCTCAAGGGCTTGGACCCAATCGTGGTAGGAGACGAGTGGAACTTCGAATTGTTTGGCGATCGGTGTGATGAGGGAGGTGTAGGGCACGCCACGGGGGTGGACAATGTGAAGGGTTTGGAAAGATGATTCACCCATCTCGATGAGCGCGGAGGCGGCGTTGTCTGCTGTGATCCATGCAACAGTCTGTATAACCGACCAACGAAATGAGATCAGTCAGTTCTCAATCGGTTTCAGAACGGAAAGTATATGGGACGTACGCCTTCGAGGTCAGGCAAGCATTTCACGGAGAGAGCAGACTTGACGAGCGAGGGGAACCACTCTGTCTCGTTCCACGAGCCGGTGACGTCCCCGCAGACTTGGCCGAGACGGACAACGACGGGTTGGAGTGCTGTTTTCTCGGCAGCATGATCCAGGATACGCTCAGCGATCCATTTGGATTCTGAATAGCCTGTTCCAACGGCAATTTTGGAATCTTGGAGGATCTCCTCCGCCACAGAGCCCTTGTTGTCGAAGTCTAATAAGTCAAAGAGTGAGCGCAGTAAGCATATGAAGGTGAAGGCGCGTACTCACGAATGAAGACTGCGATGGAGGAGACGAAAACGAGACGCGGAGGCTCCGCTCGTGGTGACGACAACGAGAAGTCAATCAACTTCCTCACGCCGACCACATTGCTTTCAAACGACATAAGCGACATGTTCAGGTTGATGCGCCACGCTATGCATCACGCAAATCAATATCTCAAGTCTCACATGTTCGTGGGATTTGGACGTACCACTATGCACAATGTGCGTCACCGAAGTCTTCATCTCCTCGTACGACTCCTCACTTGTGCCAAACATCGGCTCGCTCAACTCACCCTCCACGAACACCACCTTCCCCGACTCCAAAAGCTTCACATCCAAACCCCTCTTCACAAACGCCTCCCTCTGCCTTTCCAACGAACTCGCTCCTCTGGAAGGCCTATTGAACGCATAAACCTTCACCACGCTTTCTTTCTCCAACAGCTGTGCCAAAGTATTTGACCCCAAACCACCCGTAGTCCCAGTGATGAAGTAAACTTCACCCGGAGGTGCAGAGAAGCCTGAAGCCGGACTATGCGCGGGGAAATCGGAGGTATATTTGTTGACGATGGCTTGGAGTTCGGCGCCCCGGGTGGCGAGGTCAACGCGTTGGTCGAGATGAGGATTGAGTACTGCACGACAGATGTAGGAAGTCATTTGGTTGATCGTGGGGTAGTCGTAGACGAAGCTTGTGGGAAGACGTTTGGCCACTTCCGGTACACTATCACGAAGAGCGCGAAGGATGGAGTTTCTGATCCAAGTCGCTTGCAAACTACACCGCACACCAGATATTATTTTTCCGGGAAGGCGTTCCAAGTCAGTCTTGACGGGTGAGGGTGTAGTGAAGGGAACTACGTCTACGCACCTATCGCAGCCGCACTGGAACAAATCGGCGTCATCCGATGCAGAGCCTTTCAGAGTAAGAGCCACAGCCTGTCGGACGAAGTCCAGAGTTTCGAAGGGAGACCATTCGGCTGGAGCGGCCAGGTCGACCTGTGATGATTCTTCAATCTCGGTGTACAGTGTATTGATCTCAGCCTCGTAGTCTTTAATGATGGCCTGACGTCTGGTGGTCATTTTTGCGGTATAGACGAAGGGTTTGGAGGGCAATGCAACCATGATCATCTGTACGCAACACATTTCAGTATGAGACCGGGATGTGATGAAACGAACTTCGATACACGCACTTCCTTGAACAAACGAGAGTGTTGTGGCGCGTAGTTGTTCATCCTCTCCACCGTCGGCCTACGAAGTCAGCGAACGTGATTAGCCAAACACCCGGGCACTCACATCAACGGAAAGCCTCACCAGATAGCATTTCTGAACTCTTCTAGCTTCTGCTTATCCGCGGGATCAAAAGCAAACTGAGGTTTCGGGTCGATGATGACACCGTTCTGGAACCTCCCACGACCGAACATGACGCTGCCCTGAATATGCGGATCTTGGTTCAGGATGCCCTCTAGAACGAGCGAAGGGACAAGCTTTCAGTCACGCCAAAACATCTAAGGTCCAGTAGTACGCACCGAGAGGACCAGGGTTCGTCTACAGGCCATAGAACATACGAGGTCAGTACGAGACGAAAAGACATGCACAGAGAAGAAAGGGTAGGCTGCACCTTCTCTCCGGTCGAGAGCATGATTTGGTCGTCTTTTCTACCGAAAATCTTCCAGAGGCCTGGCTTGGTAGGGTGTGGCATCAACAGGTCCGATGTGGCGTAGGCATCTTGGCCGTTAACTTTAGTGTTCAGGACGACTGGGTGATGCGAGGGGTGGTCCTATTGTAAATACCGCTCGTATCACAAATTACGAATGTCGAAAAAGGCGATAGAGACCCACGATCAAGACAAGCTCAAATGTGCCGTCTTCTTGAGGTATAAATGTAGGCTGACAGTGTGGCGAGATCATAAAGTACTCCCAGTCGTCACTTCTGGAATGCGCTGTTCATGGTCTCAGCGGTCAGCTCCTTACTTGAGATAAGTCTACACCAGACCAAGCGTACCAGGAAGCACAGTGTTCATGACTCCACCTTCCGAGCTACATGAACAGATCGTCAGCGATGGTTCTATCGTAACTTTCGGCCGAATCTGCAGCTCACCATCCATACTGACTATGAATGGTCACGCCGTTTTTTGTCAAATGATCTCCAACTTGCTTCGGGAGGGGCCCTCCACCCCACATCTACGAACAAAGAAAGCATTCACCCGTCAGACCCCCTTCGATTAAACGCGAGCGGTAAATGTAAGCAAACTCACGAGCGCCTCCATACCGCCCAAGAATTTTACGGCTTCCGGGTTATGTGACCAGACCTAGAGAGAGCACGCGTAGCGCCAAAAGATCAGAAAAGATGTGGAGACTACTGATTGTGGCGACCTACCTCCAAGAATGTGGGCGCTGAAGCTCCTAGGGTACACTTCGAGACCATCATTCCCTCAAGCACGTTCTGAGGATTGGGAAGCACGGCGGGAAACTGTGGCTTGAACACCGCCATGGACACACCGGATGAGACCTACGGAGAAAACATGAGTGAGCATGGCGTTCGGGGAGCGGAAAGCTAACGCAAAGGGGTAAGGAGCAAACAAACACAAGTCATGTTGGCTGAAGATTGGATCAAGGACGTACCACGAGCGCCAGTTGGAGGAGACCCATACCGTGAAACACGGGCATTGCGTGACAAGACATGACATGGCCACAAAGGTCCATTTCGCCGTACCCTATTTCGGAAGGTTATGCCGCGCCCATGGTGAGAAGACGATAAGCTGGAGTTGCTTACAAGGGACATAGGTCAAAGTGACGAGGTTTCTGTGCGACCATCGGATGGGCTTCGGGAATGCCGTAGAACCTGGTTGGTATGTCAGAGAAGACCTTGGAGGTATGCAGATCAGCCGCACTCAATGTAACGCACCGGAAGAGTGGAGAATAAGAGCAATAGACTGTGGATCATATCGGATAGCAGGATACATCCTCTCTTGTTCGCTGGATGCATTGGCCGGATATATGTCCTCGAACACGGGCATATCAAGCAAGGTCACATCGAAACTCTCGCTCTTGCCATCAGGTCTTCTCAAGATCTCGAGCGTGGCGGCAGCAAGCTTTTGTAGCATGGGCTCCTTCCCGACCATAAGATATTTGGTCCCCGTCTGCTTCAGCAGGTGCGCAATTGCCTCTGGTGAGTTGCGAGGCGAGATAGGAAAGACTCCAAAGCCAGCACGCATGATTCCGACTTCTGCGGAGAAATACGTTACGGTATCTAATACAGATGTGAACAAGTCGTCAATATCGTTGCAAGGTAACAACTAGATAAGACAAACATACCGGATGCTGCCAAAGTCCCAATAGTCACGGATTTGCCATCGATAGCATCCTGAGAGACAGACGAGGGGAAGAGAGACGCGACGAAATGAGCTGCTCGGTGAATACCCTGAACGGCTTCGGCCCAGTAAATAGTCTTCAACTTTCCAGGCGCCTCGTCGTAGATGAATAGGGGGTGATTAGGACTCTGAGTGCGTTGCCAGTCATAGAGTTCGGGAAGCAAGAGAGACTCGTCTTCGAGATGAGGTGCTTTGAACGTTGTACTGTTCAGCACCTGAGTCTTGGGGAGAACGACCATCTGTGACGCTTCTGACGCAAGAGGGGTAAGACAAAAAGGCGATCAAGAAGGTACCAGGTTCAGGCGTGCGAATGGTATATATGACAGAAGCTACGAGCAAGAGGTTCCGACGGTAATCGAGTGTGCTGTACAAGCAGTGGTCATCTTTGATAATGACAACGATTTGGATTTGTGGTTTCTGGAAGCCGGCGGGGATAGGAACTTCTTCCACGCCTCGATTGACGACCATTGGCTGACCTCATGATGCGATGGGAATGGATGCGCACTGCTTGTTTTAGTTCTTCATCACTGATTCCGAGCAGAAAGAGAATACTCTTATGCACGATAGAGGTCTGAATATGCATTTTTTTTTTTCGAAAAAATATGGATTTACGAGCAGGCTTGGCCGGACGACTGAGTGAGGGGTCAAAAGAAAAGCTTTACAATATCTTTCGGTCTCCGTCTGAATAGCGTGTTTACCCACGCCACCAGTGTGGCCGGCCAATCACAGCTTAGATGACTCCGACGATGCAAGCTTACGAGCAACAGCGCTTTCTTTGTCGTTCATCGACTTCATCTTCCTCACCGTTTGGGCCTAGGAAGAATGTTTACTCTCTCTATCTGCGACGCTGGCCAGCGTCTATCATTCCTCAAGCATAGCTCTCACAAATCCTGTCGAAAGCAGGCATCTCGATAAGCAACTCTCAATCAGCTCAGTACTACTAATAGTCTTCCGAGTCTATGGCCTACGGTCTCCTACGGTGTTAGACATTTTCCGCGAACTGGAACATCCTCTGGTGACGACAAAGGTGTCTACGAACCTCTGTGCTTTGCTTGCACTACGGTGCTAATATGTAAAGATGTTGCATACCGTGATTGTCGGTCTATTTTGCAACGTTTCTTCTGGTCGCAGAAGCAGAGCTTCTTGTATGATGTACTCGTCCTGATTTCTCGGCAACCTAGTGACATAGTGCTCAACTGAACACTGCTTGGGGTCTTACTTGTTGCGAAGATCCGACGAGCGCCTCTCATGCCGCCTGATACGATTGTGTAAAAAGGCCTTCCGAAGCTTGAGCCAGAGGTGCTGCCGGTAGGTTCGGTGACCCTGCGCGGGCACCTTCCTGGACACAAAAAAATACAAACCTCAGGTACAGGGCTTACAGACTTACCGGACACGCAGGACCTGAAACGACGGCGGCAGTGTACTGCCACTGATCAGACATATCCAGTGAAAGTGAGCTGTAGACTGTTTCCTTGATAACGGAGGACATGGGCTTACGCCTCCGTCTGATGTTGACTCGTCGAAAGGGGAACTGGATCACAGCAGCGAGCGGTCCCATCGGCGGCATGCATAGAAACCCGCGCCCTGGCCTCGCCGCGCTCCCTTTGAGCAATCAGCACATAAAAACCTCGCCGGTCGGATTGCTTTCCAAACCAGGTTTCGCAGCATCCCCTCCTGCACTCTCCCCCCCATTCTCCCCCCCTAGTCTTCCTCATATACGCACCCAAAACACGACTACCACGGTTTCATACTCTTAACGATTCAAAATGCCTTCAGCTACGACTCCCCTCGTGAACGAGAAGGGCATTTCTCCCCCTCCCCAGGAGAAGGTCGCTTTCCCTCTGGGCTTCTTTAGCCCTAAGGTCCGCCCCTACCTGGAGTTGATTCGTCTCCACAAAGTCAGTAGTCATATCGTCTTGTTGTTCTCTGATGCTCTGTCATATCAACCATCGCTGACATGGAACTATCCAAATCAGCCCACAGGAACAATCCTTATGTTCTGGCCCTTCGCCTGGGGCTTGACTCTCGCCGCCTACAAGAATGACCTCCCTCTGCATCGTTACTGGGTCGAGCTCGCGAAGTCTGCCTTCATCGCTGAACTCGTCCGTGGTTCAGCATGCACAATCAACGATATTTTTGACCGTAAATTTGACGCCGGTGTCGGTCAGTAATCATATCACCCTGCCTCATCATCTTGTCATCTTTTGACAAATACTGATTATTTCTTTTCTTATCTTTGTCTCTTGTCCAACGTTGTGTACAGAGCGCTCCAGGGGAAGGCCTTTGCCCAGCGGCCGTGTTACCGTCTTCGGCGCCCTTGTCTACCTCGTTGTCCAATACCTCATCGGCATCGTCTTCTACTCGACCTACCCCAACACGCTCTCCATCTATGCCGGTCTCGTTCAGCTCCTCCCCCTGTAAGACTCATCTACTTCTGTTTTTCTCCATACCAGGCTCTGATCTATGTTTATTTCCGGAAAATAGCTTCTTGATCTACCCCCTCATGAAGCGCATCACCTACTTCCCCCAGGCATGGCTCGGTATCGCTATGAACTTCTCGCTCGTTGTTGGCTGGGCTTCCGTCACGGGTTCGCTCGACTATGAGCTCCTTTTGGTCCTTCTCGTCGGCGCCTGGGGCTGGACGATGCACTACGGTCAGTAGCCCTACCAACTCATCATCATCGCCCTTCCAGTCTCACTCATCCTCCTTCCCTTTGAACCAAACAGACACGATCTACGCCTGCCAAGACCGTCGCGACGACGTCAAAGTCGGTGTCAAATCCACCGCCGTCTTCCTCGGTGACTACGTCGGCCCCGTCTGCTTCGCCCTCGCCATGATGTTCGTCGGCACGCTCTATTATGCCGGTGTCCTCAACGGCCAGTCGCACTACTATTTCTGGATCTCCGTCGGAGGGTCGGCGGCACATATCGTTTACCAGTATGCTGTTGTCGACTTGGACAGCCCTCCCAGCTGTGGACGTGAGTACCCTTTCTTTCATTCTACCGCCCGATTTTTGGACAAATGCTGATGTGGACGGTGGGACTTGTACAGGTTTCTTTGACCAGAACGGACACATGGGTCTCATCACCTGGGCTGGCATGATGCTTGACTACCTTGTCAAGATTGACGCTCTCCCCTTCAAATTGCCCTTCTAAACGACTTCTGACGCCTAGTAGTAAGAGCCCGAGCGTCTGCGTCGACGTCGACGTCTCGGGCGCATCGTACGTTTGCATGACTACATATCTTTGTTTTTGTCATCAGTCAGATGTTTCGATGCCTGTTGTGTTGGTGGCCGTTGTTGTTTGTCCGAGGAGAGAGAGATGGAGGAAGAAGAGTTGGGAGGTATCTAGATTTAGCTATTGTTAATTATTGCATATTTCCTTTTACTTCGTCAATCTCCGACAAAACAATCTCATTCTTAGAGTGGCGGGGGTTTGTACGTTTACTTACACATCATATCATCCTCAGTTTTTCTCATTCGCAAATTTTGTCCCTATTTTCTTTAATGTTATCGTCCACGAATCCGTGACACATCTTTTTGGACTGAGTGGAGGAATAGACATTTACTTATCAGAAAGCTATAGGCCTGTGTGTGAAAGGAAAGATATGGCATGTCCTCGCCACACAAGAAAGTTGGAGACGCAGCCCTTCACAATCCCCTATTCCTCTTGATCATAGCGTCCTGAACATTCTTCTGCACATCTCCGTTCTTCCACACACCCCTCAACGCCTGTGCCCCTGTCGTCGCCACTGGTGGCACTGCCGTGAGCTTCGCCTTCGCTCCCCACGCCGGCAGCATCCTCCCAAATCCTCTCAACGCCGGGACGACAGCCACCCTCGCAAACCACGGCGTCGCCCAAACACTAAGGACCAGCCTCGCAGGCAACAACGCCTTCGTGACCGCCCATGCCGTGGCCAACTCCACGACGATCCTCACTGTGCCCTCTCCCCTTCCCCACCACACCGCCCTCTTCGTCTGTATCCTCTCCCCCACTTTCTCAGTCACGTCCTCCTTTCTTTGCTGAAATCTGTCAAATAACTTCTTCCCGAGCCCTTCAACTACCTCTCCCGTCTCTGGATCAACCTTCTGCACCCTCTCCCTAACCCTTTCGAAGACCCTCTTTCCCAGACTTCCCTCCACGACCTCTCCCGTCTCCGGATCGACAGAAATAGTCTCATTAGGCCCCAACACCCCCTTCTTCCGCAGATAATTCCCGAATTTCGTCACGCCCTCGGCGATGTATTTGCCCTCAGAGAAGTAGGGAGGGAGGTAGGACGTGTAGTGGAACGTGAGGAAGAGCCCGGCGAGGGGAATTATGGCCGTCAGTTCATGGAGGAGAAGGAAGGAAGTTATGTGGGTGATGGGCGCATTGCGCAGGGAGGTGGCGTATTTGTGGAGGAATTTTGGAACTGTTGTACGCAATGTACAGAAGTCATGGACGCGTTATGAGTTGGAATTAGCCGAATTAATAGAGAAAAAGAGGCGTACGACGAGCAAAGATACGGTCTAGACGAGATCTTGAAGCTTCGGCTTCAGGACCTGTGGTAAAGAAACGTGAACGGTTCAAGTTGGTCGGACGAGTGAATCGACGAGATGTTGCGTTGAAGGCTGCCTGTCGGCCCAGAGGCCTAGCTAGCCCAGAGCGGAACATGATACGGCACAACAATAATGTAGCTCTTTATACCAGACGAACGAGCTGGTTATGCTTTTATATGTCTCCCTCAAAGGGCTGAAGATAGACCCTGTGGGAGTCGTGCGCGAAGGATGAATCCATGCCGAAGGATGTCGCGTCGCGATCGAGGCAGCAAGCAGCGTTATTTATGCAACAGAATTTGGGCCACACGGGAGCTGTGGCACATCGACGATCAGCTCTGCTTAGCGTTAGAAATAGAGGTGCATGGTGGACATATCCAGGTACAGAGACCTTACAGGTGCGTTATACAGTGACATGCAGCTCACATGTCTTTCATTTCTTACAATCGTACATGGTGCCATATACAAACTCGAGTACTATAATATGTGACCATCGCCCATAGCTCGGGGCTAAACTCTACCACCTCAATCAAATGGCACAGGCCTGATCCCCTGCCCAACAATCCTCAGGCCATGCTCCTTCTGCTTGTCCGCCTGCGCAGCCGCGAAAGCCGAAGGCACCGGGATTCCACAGCAATCTCCCCACCCGACCTCTCTCTGTCCCGCTCCTCCCAGATCAGCACCAGGATGTGCGTGTGCGTGTCCCCAATGTGGGTCGTCTGGTCCTACTGGTCCGTTTGCTCCCGTTCCTACCAGCCCTGCTGCACCCATGGGTATCGAACTCGAGGCGGTCGGTGTAGGAGTAGGGGACGACGATGGAGGAGGACCGGTGTAGGGAAGGATGGAACCGAAGAGGAAGTGTTGGATGACGGGGAGTTTGCCTAGGACTTCGGCTTGGTACATCTTGATCATGCCCGAGTTGACTTTGTCCCATGATTTGACGGCGGAGATGTCGTCCAGCATGGGCGAGTGCCATCTTAGCGAGGCTGTCTTAACCTGAAAATTGTGAGGTAGTTCATCAGCGAACGCAATCCGCAGACAAAATAGATGTCTTATATCTGTGACTTCGATGGTAGAGTAATGAAGGGGAGAGACGTACAGAGTTGATGAACCGAATACAAGCGAGATACATATAATCCTTCGAAAATTCCTCGAGGACCTCCGGGTCGTGGATCGACTTCGGTCGAAGATATTTGTGGGTTCGAAGTTGTGCCGAGCCGAACAAGAAGGGCAGGAAGTGATAGTCGTCCAGTCCCCATACTCCATGCGAACCTGCAGGCTCTAGCCAATATGTGGACTGCAGCGTGCGCATGACTTGAATGTATCTGAGTGGCATTCGACCGTGAGCATCCATACCAGAACAATCCATAATCTTACACGACACTCACCTCCAGAATATTCGGACGACGATCGCGGCATGATCACTCTCTTGTAGTACGCCCAGTCGTTCCAAGCACATCCTACGCCACACACGCACACAACGTCAAAACCCAGCGAAATCGAAGAACACGATACCACTCACAACCAGCACAAGAAGTTCAACTCCATCCCACTCCCATAATCGACCCTCAACCTGTTACCCCATGCCTCACCAAAGTAGACCGACACCTCCTGGATGGCTTCTTTCGGAAGATTGGGTATCGACTCGTGAAGCGAGGTTTTTGCCTACGTGTACTTCCCAATCAATTGTCTTCATGCGATGTGGTATGTGAGTTATACGGACCTCTTGAATCTTGTCATAGAATACCTTGAAGGCTGGGTTCCCGAACCTCGAAGCAGAGTTATCCACAGGTGGCGTCTGCTTCGCGATCTCCTCCACTTGGTCCAGGACCTTCAATAGCGATGCCACACCCTATTCGCCGGAAGACATCGACAGCCATTCAATACGAGCCGTGAACCTCCCTAGAATGAAGACAGAACTATGAGAGAGGAGCAGTACTCACCGCCGACTCCTCGCACGGGTCAGTCAGCTTCACGCCAACTGTGGCGTTGTTCAGCGTCTCGATGTATGATGTGATATCTTCGTAGGTTTTAGAGCTTTGGAAGGCTGTTAGTTGTTCTTTTGTGAGTATATACTTCTGTGGGGGGTGGAAGCTTGATTCAGAGGTCATCGTTGAGTGTGGTTGAGCGTCAAGATGAGAGCGAGGGCCACGGATGACTGGGATGGTACTTTGGGTGGCGCATTACTGTATTCACACGTTTGACCAATGGCAGTAAATTTGGTATTTTTGCATTTTATCACATTATCGCACTCCGTTCACTATCTCTTTCTTAGGATACTCTATATTTTCCGATTTCAAGCACGGACTACTATTGATTCACTCCGTCCAGTCATCGTTTGGAGAATTCGGAACTAAGTAGTACGCTCAACTCAACTACCCGCTGTGGCACCAATCCATCCTCATAGATTACTCAGAGAAAACGCATGCTCACTAGATAACATTCAAGATTGACACCCCAGCACCCCAGCCGTCCAGCAGTGATACGAAGAATAGCGCCTCCCGACAGACCTTCTCCCCGGCAATCTTTTACACATTCATAGTCCGCAGCATACTGGCATCCGACTCGTTACAATTGGACATGCAGATTCCCATTTGAACGTAAAGTTATTGCTTCATAGAGTCCTCGTGGTTATATAGCGCAGGGCTGTTGCACCGATACAAGTCAGCACGCGGACTATGTTTTAGAAATAAAAGATGATCACGTCAGTGGAAGGATGGTGGCTCACCAGTTTATCTTAAACAATCACAGTTCCTCGACAAACCTTCCTCCCAGCACATCCGGAGACGTTCATACTTCTCGGGATATACCTGCACCAAGCACTTGAGATAGGAGTCCTGTCCGGATTCCACGTAAAAGCAAGAAAGACGATGCACAACTCGTCCATCGCTCGATATAGCCCCGGCCGGCACGCGCCATCGGGACTCGACGACACGGACCATGTTCGACGCATAAGCTAGCTGCACGCTGCCCTCTTGTTGCATACGAGGACCATGGAACATGTCCAGCCGAAGGTGTTTGAGCGCTGGGTTTTGGCCACGAACAAGCCGGCCCGAATCGTCAAACTGAAGAATTAGGTCGGGCAAGATGTCATGCGCCACTTCGCTGACGACGATATGCGTCACGGTGAGGGATTTGAGGCGATGAATGAGCGCAATAGCAGATCGAATTTCACGACACTCTATGGTATGGGCGGAGACCGTCAAGGTGTACAGCTGTGGGGCGTTGTTGAGAAACCATGTGCCGAGCATTGCACCGATGGGGTCTGTACCTGATCTCTTCCTCGCGTTAAAAGAGAGCGATTCCAGAGAGGGTACACGGATGGAGCTGAGGAATTGTGCGATCATTGTGAAGGTGGGGAGACATAAACTGAGACGTTGAAGATGCAGCAGCGATACGGGCGACGCAATATCACCGCCGAAAAGTGCACCGATTGGGGATAGGTCGATAACTAATGTGGTCAGGTGTGAGCAATTTTGTGCGCGCATAATCAAGCTATGCATGTTGAAATCAACAAATGAGTAACTGGAAAATGCGTATTTGCGAAGGGCGGGGCTCAGAAGTGTTTCGACTTTGGTGATGTGGCGAGTCAAATTCCCGATGAGGAGTGACTGCAGCTTGGGAGCGGCATTTAGCCTCTGAAAGAGAGAGAGGGTCCACTCTGGACAGGGGTGGGGTTGGTCAACATATGACGACGGCAATTCGAGGAGTAGTTGCTCGAGAACGGGAAGAGTAGCACCCTGAAGTGCCAGTGAGAGGGACTCCATAGCACTATCATCGGCCAGCATGAGACGGGCATCCGACCAGCGTTCTGAGTAAGCACAGATTTCACGAATGTAGCTGAAATCGATCCCATCCTGCCTACGAGGCCAAGGATGCACGCGGAGCCGAGGGTATGACTGTGGACGGATATCGATGGTAACATTGATGGGCAGCGGATGAGACGATGCGAGCCATGTATGCAGCGTTGTCGGGGTAGGAAGACGATCGATGTGGTCCGAGTCGTCCCTGATAACGACCGGAGGTAGGTAGATGTTCGTCCACAGCCGCGGTATTCCAAGAGATACTTCGCGCCAGTCCCGACAAACTCGTGTGAGGAGCAAAGGGGCATCTTGAGGATGCATTGGACGATCATCGTGAGGGAGGCAAAGAAGGAATATTTCAGTCGTTATCTCGAGCGGGAGGGGTAGCGATTCCAACATGGTGTGACGGATAGTGTCCTTGCGATTCCTAGCGCAGTATCAACTGAAGTTCAAGTTTGATCTATACGCACGCGATATACGACGGTAACGGAAACAGGCGTACCTATGAAATCGATGTCAAGGTTTAAAGTAAAGGTTTGAAGCACAGAATACTAGTCTCCCACAGACAGACCTTTGGTTTGGTGTCGAAGATCGGCCGTTGATCGTGTCCAGAACAATAGGAATTTGCCGGCGAAAATTAAGGCGGAGTCAGTGCGGAGCCTCAATAAGTTTGCGCCACACCGCCCGCTATATATTCTATCAGAGCTGCAGGACGTATGATGTTCCTACTCATTCCTACTGCCGCATGCTCGTCTAACAAACCTCACAAATCCTGGAAGAACTCACGATTTTTTTCTCTTTGCCAGGATGCTGTATTAGGGGTGCTGGGAGGCAGAGGACCGACGTGATGCAAACCGGAGATGTGGCCCACTCTTGAGAAGAAGAAGAATTACACTAACACGGTTTTCGTAATAAGTAGCCTACTGTATCTCCCCAAACACAAACCCAAGCCCAAACATAGGAAACCAGTAAAGGCTTCGGATATAAGTAAGATACTGTAACTGTAATGAGGAATCAGGGAATCGAAAGTCAGAGTCCAGTGCGTGCAGCAGAAAGAATCCAAAACAGCCCATCCCTCATCTATCCCACATAGATCAAAGCAAGCAGAGACAAGCCACGAGTAGCGACACACGAACCATCGAAACACACTACGCGCACATGCACACACCAACACCACCACCACAGAAGCAAAGTCACTGATAGGCTATAGCGTGAAACTGGCCGCCTCGCGGTCATCCGCCCACAGCCTCGCATACTCCAGACATAATCTATAAACATATGCTATGAATCCCAAAAGTGAAAAAAGATCACAGCGCCGGTCAGTTCCCCTACTAACGACGAATGAATTAGAGAAGAAGAAAAACGCACCCTCCATGTCGACCTGCCTCCCGATGGTCTTCTTCCACTGCTTCCCCGCCCTCGCTATCCTTCGAAGCTTCCTATCTCCATCCAACGACTTCCGTTGTGCTGGTGGTAGCTCCAACGCGGAAGAGTTCGAGGCGAGAAGGGCAGATTCTGAAGGACCGGAGAAGAACGAGTGGATATTGTAGATCTCTTTGTACGAGGACGAGAGCGGGATATAGTGCAACCTATCATACAAGCACAAGTCAATCAGTAAACAAACACCGATTCAGACAGAGGAATAATGGCGAAGAGAAGAGACGGAAAATGAAATGGGAAAGTAGGCTCACCAAGGCACCAACCAATCGCTCCAAAACTCCTTATAAACACTCGCCTTCACAACCGCACTATCGCTCGCCAGATACGCGAAAAACTTGCCCGAATAGCTCGCCCCATCCAAATCCAGAACATACTTATGCGCCCAATAATCCCTCAGCAGCGCCGCGTCGTCGAACCTGTGATCGGCCTGCTCTTGCGCAAGCCCGCCGGGGTAATGCGTGCTGTCGACGGACGTGACGAAGGCGACGTCCATGATGTCGTTGTTGAGCGATGAAGTTGGGATCTTGGTGAAGATGTAGTTCGAGGAGGAGGGTGGGTCGGCGAAGACGACGGTTCGGTTTTTGGGGGTATCGTCGCTCGCCATGCGCACCAATCTATCGACCACCACCACCACCACCACATAAGTTCAAGCAGCCAGTCCATTTGCTCAGTCACGGAGAGAGGCGAGGCGAGGGACGTACCGATGCCTATGATACCCCGCCGCAAAGCCCGGAGGACTACTCCCACCACCCGTCGTCGCCCCCCTCCAAAACATCTTCTCATCCTTCATCTCCCACGGCATCTCCATACTGTCCAACGCCCTCATATCCAACGTGACCTCGTCCCACGCATACGTATACCTCCTGGTCGTCCCATAATAATAATGGCTCGGTATCCTCACATCGCCAAAACCCTCCGCCTTCGCCGGCGACAGAATCGGATACAAAATCGGCACCGTCCGCCAATCGCTGAAGAAAAGTCCTTGATTGAGGTGCGCCCACGGGTTCTCGCAGAAGTAGTTGATGTCGAGAGAGCCGTCGACCGTTCGTGCGAATTTGAAGTCGGGGCCGGGAGTGGCGGGATAGGGAGAGGCGAAGTAGGGTGTGGGCGATCTGGAGGGGGTGCGTTTGGAGGAGATGAGGCGGCGGGCCGGGGAGGTCGGGGGACAGATGCGGCGGTAGGCTTCCCAGACGTTGCCGTGGCCTTGCCAGTCGGCAGTATAGAGAGAAGAGGATATTGAGTTGCTACCTAAAAGAAGCAGTGAAACGAGATACGGAACGATGAGTCAGCGTCAGGAGGATGCGAGGAGAGGGAAAGGGGATGTGGCGGTGGCGACTCGGTGTAAAAATAGGGGCGCGCCTTAAACTAAAAATAGTTGAGCTGAGACGCGTCCAAGAACCGTGCTCGACGCGATTTATATCCCTCATTCAACACGATACACTCGCACAAATGCCACCTGTCCACTGAGCCGGGATGTCATCTCGACGAGCCCAACACGTTATTGACCATACGTTCGTCAGACAGGCTTGCCCAGATTCCAGTATGGACTCATCGGTAAGAATGGGACTCCGGGAGGGAAGGCTCAATCACAGCTACGCGAGCTCATCGGGCATCGTTGGCTTGCAACAATAGCACAGGCACCCTCGTGTACTTCCGAGCACCATCGTACCAAGATGCGCCCCTATCAGGTACGGGACGACTTCGCGTACGCCTTCGGGACGAAGGAATCACACAAAGGCAAAAGTCTCACGTAGACTCGAGGCGCACGAAAAGGACGAGAAAGGGAGAGAGAGGGGGGGGATGAAGTACTCGCCTACGAGGTCTTCCAGCGTAATATTTGGATTTTGACGAAGCTCCCATGGGACCAATACTCGTCCTTCCGACCGTGCGTTCACCGGGAGATACATATCTGGAAGCTGTAAAACATTGCCCACTGCAATGAGCCGACTAGATTCCATAAACATGCAAGGCGCACTGAATGAACGTACCAGATGCTCAAATTTCCGAATCATCAACAGGAAACCGCGTCCTCGCATACTGATATCGTCGTCTTCGTACTCCGGCTTGGCATTATATGCCTCTGCTTGTCCGTTCCGTATTTGAACCATGTCTATTGATGAGAGTTGACCAGCCTGGGTAAAAACATGGAAGTTAATATCCCTTCTGCGTAAAGTTGTCTGACATTGAGGGGCATGGATGTGGAAGGGTATGAACACGAGGGGGACTGTGAGAGGTTCGGTGTGTCAAGTGATCGTTGTGTCTGAAGAGGATAACACTATTGAATGGTAGAAGCTATACCAGTTGCGCGTAGAGTTCGCGTATAAGTGTCTTTTATGCGGTTGATAACGCCTTGGCTCTTTGTCTGGCTTCTGCAAGAGTGAGACGAGACAGTCCAATGCCAGCGCGCACGGTGTCTCCTCCACTCTTCTTGCGCGCACGACCCTTATATCCCAGTCCACACTCATAATCACACCCAGCTCATACCATGCCTTCAATCAACTATCCAAAACAACACTAGAACAATAACAAAACTGGCAAAAACTCACCTCGGCCGCCCTCTCCCTAAACTCCTCACCAGTCAAACTCCAAAACGGCTCCAAGTCCTCAGAAAGCCCATCAAACTCATCCACCAACCTCACCCCATTCTCCACCGCGAACTCCCACCACTTATCGAACCCAGCCGGTGGATCTCTCCCATACCTCTTCTTATACTCCGCCACGGCCTGTTTCAACGTCTTACTCTGCTTCCCCAACAACTCCCTAAATTTCTCCTCCGCCTCTTGCATCAGGACTGGTATAGGATGCTCGGCTACGTGTCCCAGTATGTGTGTTGCTGGTAATGAGGAGGAGTTGGTGTTGGTGGATGAGGATTGTTTTGGGACGACATCGTCAGGGAAATTAGAGGCCGAAGAGACGCGAGAGGCGTATATGCCAGCCTGTGCGAACACAAACACGAGAGCCGCCACAGAGATATAAAGCGTCCGTTGTGACCAGCCCAAGTTCAAGCCTGTCCTGGCCTCCGAGAATGTGCCGTTCGGTTTTTGGAATGGTATTGGCGGCGGTGGCGACGGTGGTAGTGAGGTGCCCGGCATCGGTATCGGTAAGGTATAAGAGCCAGAAAGAAAAGAAAAAGAGCGACGAGGAAGAGAAGGAGGGGAAGAGGAGCGTATCGCTCGTTGGGGGCTCGACGCTGTTCCTGGCGGCCTTCGAGTGGCCCTCGCCGTGAGCCTATATTCGTCCCTTGCCTTTTATAGCAATTCTCCCCTTGTGCCCCGGCCCGGAGTTTCAGGCCTCCAAGACGGTCTTGAAGGAGAACATGCATCTCAGACAGGAGACATGGAGGACAAGTTGAGTGTTGTGAAATGGAGGGGAAGACGAAGAAGTCGTTGTTGTTGCCAGAGCGGGCTCTTACAGCGACGTTTCGCATGCCTGTCACGCTCAGATCATCGACAATCGTTGCTCTTTTGCGAACTAGGCAGTTCCTCTCACGACACTTCATTTTTGTCGACGGGTTTAGGCGGTGATAGAGCACAAGGGCCATGAGACCTACTTCTTGAGTGGAAGTAACAGAAAGTGGCCTTGAAGGGGATACACAAGCACGATGATACAGTAGATCATTGACAACAAGAGCACTACAAACAAACAAGGAAAGCTACAAGAGATCACGGTAGCGTCAAAGCACCATCTACAACCACTTCACTCTTGTCCTCTGGGTAAATCTTATAGCGACAAGAGCTTACACACCCACTCACAGCTTCTTCGTCGCGGTCCAGAACGCAGCATGATACACATACCCCAACATCCCCTCGCTATTATTCACATACGTCGTGTCGATCGTCCTTTCGTTCTACCGCCCGAAGTTAGTACACGAATCAGCCGCGAGTCAAGAGCAAGTGGAGGTGATGCTAAAAGACAGAAAGAAAGAAAAACGCACCTTGATCTCGAACCCGACCAACTCCGCCAACCTCTTCACCTCCTCCAGATCCAACTCCACCGACGGATCATGCGAATTATTATTCTCGAAATGCCACAGCAGCGGTCCGAGGTTGATCCACACTCCACCGGGCGCGAGGATGCGATGGATGACGCGGAGGTAGTTCACTATGTTCTTCGCCTGCTCAAGTCGTTCTTTTAAGTATTATGCGAGAGATGGAGGGGGTGGAGAGGTGAAGTTGAGGAACGTACGGTGTCGATGAAGAAACACGTCATGATCGCGTCCCACTCCCCAGCATGCGGCTCTTCCTCCGCACCCTCTTCCTCATCTGGAACACCATAGATCTCCTCAAAGTCACCTATAATGACGAAACAAATCAGGAGGGCAGTTGTCTGATAGCGATGGAAGAACGGACCTGCAACGAGCGAGAAATTAGCCCCGGTGGGCAGGTCGCTCGGTAAGACATCGGGTATCGAGACGGAGCGAAGCATGGCTTTTTGGTTGGGAAGGTTGGAGAAGGAGTGCACGTAAGGGTAGAACGTGTGTTCGTTGATGGTGGTCGTCCTGTCGGTATATCCAGTCCCCGGTCAGGAATGGCAGGAATGGGGTCGAGGGAAGTGGGCGTGGGCATACCGGTTGAGAATGAAGAACGAGGCGAGGAGCATATAATGCGAGAACTCATTCCCTTGACAGGCGAAACCAAGCTTCGCGATATCGTACGCTAGTCTGCCTAGACCCGCACCTGGTACGAGGACACGAAAGTTTCGTCTTCCAAGCCCCAGCTCACAGCGTTAGCTTCAGGATGAAGATTAGAAACTTGAACGTGGCATACCGTTCCTCCGGAGGAATGTCAGCGAAGTGCTTCACCAAAGCTTCTTTCATAGGTCCGTACGCGGCTTCGCGTTCGTCCCTTCCCTGCACAAATTGCATCAATTCAAAAAACAAAATACTGCGTCAACATAATACTTTCGACAACGACATGTTCGAGTGCAAGGGAAATACCATACCTCTACGCTCCAATCTCTGACGAACTGCTTCATCGTGCTTCTCAGCTTATCCATGTCGTATTCTGTAGGCCTATACCTCTTGCGTGGCGTAGAAAGTATCGTGGCACCACCGTGATGACTATGACCATGACTTGAGCTAGGATCGGAGTGCGAGTGCGAATGGGCAGCGTTGTCGTGACTATGGGCGGGAGGAGCATCATGGCTATGGACGTGAGGAGCTCCATGGCTATGGGCGTGAGGAGCGTCATGGCTATGAGAGTGATCGTTTTCGTGTGGATGTGAGGTAGGAGGGTCATGGAAGCCCGTCAGTCGTGGTGCGGCGGGTTGCTGCTCTAAGTCCATGTCAATTCCTTTCCGTCCATTATCATCAGGAGATGGGAACGAACGTACCGTCTACGACTCGTGTGCTCTGTCCTTCAACATCGACCTTTCCATCTTCGGCTGTGCCATCCTCACCTGTACCCTCGTCTTCATCCACCTCCTCCTCCAACTCATGTCCAAATATCTCCGGATTCGCCACAATCTTATTCAGAAACTCCGCATTCTTGAGTATCGCCTTGTCCACCTCCGCAAGCTTCTCTTTATAGCCCAGCTGGGCAAGGAGCTGCTGGTCCTCGAGCGGCAGAGTGAAGAAATCCTTGCGGCGGCGGTTATTGCCTGCTAACTACACACATCACGCATCCGAGTGTCAAATCATGGAGTCAGGAATGGTATGAAGGTATTAGGCGTCCACTAGTAAGTCAAAATATCGACTGCGATGAGCAATAGACGAACGGACTGACCGTATAGGGAGCATAGCGCTGGAACGTCGTGATAACATTCTGGAAATGAACCTGTTCTTCCTCGATGTCTTCGGGTGATACACCATGTCCGTGGTCGTGTCCGTGCTCATTCTCATGTCCATGTTCGTGAGAATGAGACATTACTGTTCGTTTTTTGGTTTCTTGTTCTGTAGTGCGAGCTCAGGGGAAACTTTGTGGCCCAAACTTTGCGAAGTCCGCGTCGCCGGCTCCGGCAACGGCCGAGTAAGTATCATAGCTCCGCTATCAACTCCGCCACCGGAGGTCAAAGCGTGTCACCGTCGCAGACTCGCCGTCCCTCCTTCCTTCCTTCCTTCCTTCCCATCGCCGCGTCCTCAATTTCCCCTACCTTGCTACTCACTGACTCTCACCCTCTCGCGCACCATTACCACGCTCACCAGCTAATAGGTCATCGTCACGCCATGGACTCCCTTCCAGTTCCGTATGAGTTATTGGCGAAGATATTCCTCCTTTGTCTTCCTGAGGCCTCTGTCCCGATTGATCCTGACGACGCTCCTCTCATACTCACTAGAGTTTGCCGAGAATGGACCAGGAATACTTTCCCCATATCAAAGAGCTTTGCAGTCATTCCGATCATTGGTCGAAAATTCTTCTAAGGATGGACGATCATTCCGAGCCTGCTCTCAAGTTTTTTGCCACATGTCTCGCTAACCAGCACGCAACCCTCCCCATCTTGGAACATCTATCTATGGCTGGAGGACCCTCTGATTTACGCCTCCCATGGGTCAACTCATTCTTGGAACGCCTGGAGGCTTCTCCACAGCTTCATTCCCTTCACATCGCCGACTGGTATGAGATTGTCGCGTCAGACCTCCTTCCGTGGCGCTCCATTCGTCAATTTCGTCTCCGCTACTACTATGACCGCAACACCGATGGCGTCGACTTAAACTTGAATGGTATCCTGAAACGCGCAAAGGAATGTCCTCACCTCACCATGCTGGATATCGGTACTCTCTGTATCTACTATCTCGGTGATAAGATCAATCCGCCCGTACCTCTGTCGCACCTCCGGACGCTTAAGCTATTCCTCCCACACCATGAAGATTTCGTCACAATCCTTCAGTCCATCAAAGCCGTTCACCTAGAATCACTCATCCTCTGCGTCCAGATGATGTGTGCTTATGAAAATCGTCCCCCTCCCATAGTGGCGCAGTGTCTTGATCACTATGCCCTTACGCTACGTGCTCTGAAGATCCCCGCTTTCATCAGCACACATCCCGACGAAGTCGGATCCGCTTTCCAAAACCTGCGCAACTTGGAGTCCCTTACGCTACTGGATTTCTTCGTTCAGCAGTACAGTACCAACGCCTTGGACTCTCTCATCTTGGTGTTTGACGATTCGGGCCAGTTGGTCCGGGGAAAGAATCTCGCGCTGAAGCATTTCGAGATCGACTTTGTCGGGTTTTGGCCCCAAAAACAGGTCAATGATGCCTTTGTTGCCAGCTTACTTCAGGTTATCACATCGCGATGGTATATACCGGTTGGTGCACGGTCCAACGATGGACAACCCATTCAGCGTCTCTGTTCCTTCCACGTAAAACGCGATTCTCCTCTTCCTCTCGATGGCCTGCTGCAGGAATATCCTGTGGAGTACGAGCGTATCAAACAGTGCTGGAGGGAAGGATTAACGAGGGAGTTTGTTTCTGAATAGTAATTTGGTAAGCACATCACCATATTCACTGGCGTGCTGCTTTTCTACTTCGAAGTTCGTGCACTGACTCGGACTTGCATCGACACAGTTGCCTTGTATGAGTGAACGGGTCTACTCTTAGGCCTCAGTGAAAGCTGGGGTGAACTGGATGCGCATACTGTAGACTAGTCTTAAACGGTGTCACATATGGTCGTGCTGGTGCGATGTTTCGATGATACTCTATTTACGTATTCAGCTCTTTAGCATTTTCCGTGCTCACGGACAAGTTACTCCTGACAGGGCTCGATCTATGGAAGAATTTACCACCATCGGGCACGGTCGCTATGAACCCAGTTTCGAAGCTCTCGGTTAGACTTGAGACTCGGAGGACAGGAATGATTATACACACGCCGAAATACAGACTGCAGTGACACGAAATAAGAAATATATTTGAACAAGCTGTCTTGAGCCTATCCGCCACATAGTGAAGGAATACAGGAAGAAAGTCTGGCCCCAGATGGGTGCTAAGTAACTACGGGATAATCGAACTGTTGAGCGGGGTCAGTGCAGAAGAGAAGCATAGCAAACGTCAACACGCACCTCCAAGAAGACGTGGATTGACCAGTGACACCTTGACCAAACACCCTTCAAGTTTGACCGAAGGTGATATGGCCGGAGGAACTCAGACCAAAGAGACTCTGACCAGTGACACTCTGATGGATGGAATTTCGGTCGAAGACATCAGGCCGACCGCCCAACCCTTCATCCCAACATTTACAGACACGGCGATATGACTCCGGGTTGCAATTTTCCCAGTCGTCCACCCATTCGCCCCCCATGTGGAACAAGGACAGTCGATGAATCGGCGAACCATCGGAGCAAGTTGCATCAGGAGGAAGGTCCCACCGTGAGGCAACAAGATTCGCCAGGGATTCAAAGAAGCGGAACTGGAAGGGCTGCGAGTAATTCTCGTACTGCCAGCCCTGCTCACAGCCAACGTACAATTGATCGAGTACGACGTTTTGGGCAGAGTGAATGAACATATTGTCGGGAGAGACGGGAAGGGTGAGAGAATTGAAGAGAGTGATGATGCCCTCGGTGAACCATACGTGGTCCAGTGTAAGTGATGTCAGATTGCGAAGATTTGCGATGGCCGAAGTGACAGACGGTTCACGGTATATGGTACGTCGCAGAGACAATTCGAGATTTTTTAAGCTCGGGGTGCAATCTGTAAGCATCTGTGCAAATGGAACGACAGATTCGGGTGTATACATGTCGACCTGCACTTGGAGGCGTAGAGCTTGAAGGTTGGGTGTGTATAATGCGTTGATAACGTCTGCGAGGAATAGAAAGTTTCCGAATGAGAGGCTCAGCGTTTCCAGCCGAGGCAAATGAGTCGGTGTGGCTACATCCAGAACGAGGTGGGAAAGAGCAGTCATCTCTAGATGCAAGGAGGCGAGATGATCACAATGTCGTAGAGTGCCAGTAAGCTTCCCCACATCGAATGAGGTATTGGAAATCGAGCAACACCACAAATGGCGAAGTGATGAGCATGGCAGCTGGTCGAAGGTGGCAAACTGTCTCCAGTTCTCGATAGCGAGGGTTTCGAGATACGGAGAAGAACGCAGCCTCTCGAGAAGCGTGAAGTTCCAAGACTCGGTCCTGATCCCGGCATAGTGCCGTGATGTCAACACTCTCAACTCTATGCATCGCAGGATTGGAAAGGGATTGTCGGGTAGGTTGGCGTTGAAGATTTCTAGTGACGATTCAGAGCGCAGAATCAATCGTACTTGGTGCCACCGTTGTGAATGTGAACAGAGTATCTGTATGTATTGTCTCTCCGTTCTGGACGATATAGAATCTGCAGGAGACGTCGTCAGGATGGCGTCAAAGGTGAGTGTAAGATTTCCCGATGCCTCCAGCCATATCTGTAAAGCAGGTATAATGTCGCTCCGTTCTGTGAATGGCAAATGAAGTGTTGACCAGAGCTGCGGTATGGCCAGTGCTGTCTCTCGCCATTCTCGACATATTTGGCTGAGAAGAATGGGTGCTCGGCTGGGATGGAGCTCCTCATCGTCAGAGAGGCAGAGGAAAAAAATCTTGGCCATGATCTCATAAGGAGCGGGAAGAGTGTCCATGATGAGACCTTGCTCTGATCTGTGCGAAGTGAAGTAGAGCGTTAATTGATGACCAGAACAAGAAAATACCGAAGACTGGCCTAGGGGTTTCGAGTTGGACTCGAAGATAGGTGTGGATGGAGGATTACGACCCTGAGTATAAGTCCCAAGTATTTCACTGTGCTTGTCCCTCGTAGGAAGGAGTAGATGCGTCGCGGGCGAGAGAGCAGCTGTGAGCAACCCTGAGCAAATGCGATCGGGATCCCCCGGTTGTGGGACAGTGGCGAACGCTTATTTTACCTTTTACCTCTTCGTCCCCATCGTAAAGCATATCAAGCAAACCTTTCGATAACCTCAGCATTCAGACTTCACGCGAGGTATTACACATCATGAAATGACGATCCACATTATGAGTTCGTCGATGTGCTAGAGTCGTCAAGTATGACTGGTACAAGGTATGCGGTAGAAGTACAAATGAATGGCATCACTCCAGTCGTAACGTGGACCGTAAAGTGACATGAAAAAAAGTTCGTTAAACAATGAATGGCGAAGGCTACACTAGGTTATGCTCGTAAAAACCGCAGGAGAGCATGAGTCGTGATCGTGAGTTTAGTAGTACCAGGGAGTAGGTGGTAAGTAACCGTGAGTTCGTAACAGAGGAGGGGTGAGTAGAAAGAGGTAACGCAAGGCAGAAATACAAAGAGAAAAACGTCCAGCGGGAAGACAGAAAAAGACATGAGGCATGGTATAGGGGCGCGCATGAACAAGTCCGCGAGATGCATGAAGAAAGTAGTACAGCAAAAAAAAGATGACGAAATAAATCAATCAAAAATCACTCGCCACTCCACTCTCCGCCACTCGCCAACTGCTCAAACACGCCCCGCCGGGCCATCAGAGACTCGTACGATCCCTCCTCCGCGATCCTGCCCTCATGCAGGACGATGATCCGAGAACACATACGCATCACAGCCAGCTTGTGCGTCACCATCAACGTCGTTCGACCCTCCTTCGCGTTCAACATCGTCTGCATCACGGCTGCCTGGTTTGCGCCGTCGAGTGCCGAAGTGCATTCGTCCAGGATCAAGACCTTGGACGGCCGCACGAGCGCACGCGCAATCTGGAGCCTCTGCGCTTGACCGCCAGAAATGAGAGATGCGTTCTCGCCGAGCTTGGTATCGTAGCCCTGCGGCAACGACATGATGAAATCGTGTACGTTCGCGTCTTGAGCTGCGCGTTGCACGTCCTTGTCCGAGACATTGGAGGCACCGTACGAGATATTCTCTCTGATGGTGGCGTCGAAGAGATGCGGAGTTTGGCTGACGACCGAGACGTGATCTCGAAGATGCTTGACTTCGAGAGAGCTGAGATGCCATGGGCCGATGGAGATGGAACCGGTGGCAGGTTCGTAGAGACGTTGAAGAAGCGAGGCGATGGTTGACTTGCCCGAACCTGAGGAGCCAACAATAGCAACGGTCTCGCCGTCACTTATGTCGAGGTCAATGTCCTTGAGGACAGGTACATCGGGTCGCTCGGGGTAGGCGAAGCTGACATCGCGGAATGAGATGGCACCTTCGATCGGGGGGCGAAGATGACCGTGGGATTCGGTTGTATGGGTAGATAGCTGGAGGAGCTTGTTGAAGTCGCGAGTGGCCTGTATCGACTTCGCTATCCGTTGAGCTGGAAGCCAGGTGGTCAGCTGTCTGAAGAAGTAGAACAATAAGAGAGAAAACGTACTGAAACCCATGAGCTGGGAGCCGATACTGACGGTGAAAATGATCAGGTTCAGCGTCTGTATCATCTGAGAGTAGCTGTAGGTGCCTTTGGCGACGAAGATGGCGCCGACGTAGAACAAGATAGCCTCGGAAAGGTAGATGAGCGAACTCGCGACTCCGTAAGTGGCTCCCTGTACGAAGGCACCCCGCACCCCAGTGGAAAGCGCACTCTCGACCGAAGCACTGAAGCGTTCGAGGAAGATCCTCTCAAAGCCCATAGAGCGGATGCCGCGCATGTTAACGATGACCTAAATGATGACAAGTGAGCAAATGTAAAAGAAGGTGAAATGCGAGGACGTACATCGTAATACCCTGTGGCAACCTTCTCACGAGCCCGCTTGCCCCTATACTCGCACGTCGCCACCAAGTTCGCCTGAACGGCCATGGTGATGATGAACACCGGCGCGATCGCAAACCCTACCAACGTCAACTGCCACCCGTCGACCAATGCCCATATCAACCCCACGCTCAACATCGTCAGCACCACGATCGCCTGGTTGAACACCGTCGCGATCAGCGACCTCGCATCGTCTCCATCCTTGATTAAGATCGACATAAGCTTGACCGGGCTGTTCTCGCTCTTGTCGAACCACTTCTTGTCCTGTGCGAGCACGAGATTGAAGCAGTACTTGCGGATGCGAGTCACCCAAGACATGGCGAGGATCTCGAGAATAGAGAACTTGGCGCCCATGGAGAGGCCGTCCAAGGCTGCGATAGCGAGGATAATTCCACCAAAGGTGTTGATGGCATTGAGATCTTTGGCTCCGGAGGAGACTTCGACCATGAGGCGAGAGAGAATGGCGGAGAAGACGGGAGTCGCGGCGCCACTGATGGCACAGAAGATACCGCCAAGGAAGAGGGCTGGCTTGTTTGGAATGGTAGGGTAGATCTCCCGAACGAGACGCCAGAACCCGATCTCTGGTTGAAGAGGTGTGGTCTCCTGCTGAGGGGATTGTTCCTGCCGCTTGCGAGGAACACCGCCCTTGAACTGTTCCATGTGTATCGACTCCGAACGAACATGAGATGCCTCCTTGTCGACAGAGGAACGCGTTCGATGATGACCCAGACGGCGTTGTTGAGTAGTAGATCCGGCATGTGTGGATAGGTCTTTGAGATCATTAAACTCCGGTTCGTCCTCGCAGACCGTGGTGGTTAACGAAGGAGCCGTAGGCGAGGTCGGCGAAAACTGTAAGCTGAACTGGCGACGAAGATAGGGGTGGACAGCGGGCAAAGGAGGTGGAATCTCGATGGCGACCGTGGACGGTCTCCGCGAACGATCCCAGTCCTCGAAAGGATCTGACCCGGGCCCGAACTCTTCCACAGCGATGAGACGATTGACCTGTTCCGGCTGGCGAGCACCGAGTAATGCGGGTTGCATCACTCCGTTGCCGTTGCCAGTCAGCTCGGCCACCGCATCGAACATCCACTGACCAGTAGTAGGACCTGGAGCAACCGACGCCCGAACCCCACTCCGATGCCTCGTCGCCTTCGTCCCGCCAGTCTTCTCCATAACGAACTCGATCCCATTCTCCTGCTCATGCACGATCTTGACCGCAGCCTCATCGCGTGCCTCATTCGCCTCTGTCGAATACGGATCTACCTGCTGCTCCGGGAACCCGCCGGTAGCGGCCTGCGCCTCCATCATGCGGGTGAACTCGCCCTTCGAATCATTCTCGAGATCACGACGGAATCCGTTCTCAGCGACCTGACCATCCTTGAGGACGTAGACGAAGTCTTCGGCACCGATCTGGGAGAGGTCGTGGGTGATCACAATGGTGGTTTTGTTCCGCCGCCAATGCTTGATAGCTTCGAACACAAGAATCCTGGATGTCGCGTCCAGCGCGGATGTAGCTTCGTCTGAAAAGGAAGTGTTCAGTATATTTGAACCAAAAACGGTATGAGAGCGGAAAGACGCACCCAATATAAGAACAGTAGGATCGCGCAACTTCGCACGAGCGATGGCCAGCCTCTGCTTCTGTCCTCCCGACAGATTCGCACCTCCAGTACCCAACTGCGTATCATACCCGTCAGGAAGATTCCTCACAAAGTCGTGCATCAGCGCCGAAGTGCACGCGTCGACGACTTCCTCCCTGCTCACGTCCTGCGGCCGCCTAAAACTCTGTGGCCCCTCCAGACCCATCGACACGTTATCATGCACGCTCATGTCGAACAAGATACAGGACTGAGAGACCACGCCGATCTGCTGTCGCGTCCACGTAGAGTCCAAAAACTGTACGTCCTGGTCGTCCAAGTAGATCGACCCCTGCTGAACATCGTACATCCGTAACAGGAGATGCGAAATCGTCGACTTTCCGGAGCCAGATCCACCGACGATGAACGTCGTCTCGCGAGCAGGAAGGAAGAGCGTGACGCCATCGAGAACAGGAACAGTAGGACGAGAAGGGTATGCGAACGTGACATTATCGAGCGTGAGCCCGCCAGCGCACTTGTTCGGTACGATCCCGCGAAGCTTAGCCGACTTGGAACGCTTTCCGGGGAGAGTGAAATTCACCGCGCTCGGTCGACGCGTACCGGGAGGCGAGGGCGGCTGAGGTGGCGCAGGACTGGGGGTCTCGATGAGAGCGACCATGGCCGACATTGCGATCTTGCCCTTGTTGAGCGTCGCGAGTTCCGTGAGGATCATGCGGAAATTGCTCATGGCGATGAGACAGGCCCAGAAGACGGCCATGACGTCCCCTGGTTGGAGCTTGCCGTCCCGGACGAGCTTCGCACCGAACCAGAAGCCTTGAACGAACATCGTCATGCTGACGAACTGCATCGTGCCACTCGTGAAGCCCCAGACTGTGTTACACCTGTCAGCGGCAGCACGCATCTTGTCGAGACAGGCAGAAAGCGTGGAGAGTTCGTGTGCAGAAGCGTTGAAAGCCTTGACGGTGGCGATGGCTGCGATCGCGCGATCAACGAGGGTGCCGGCGACTGCAGTCTCAGAACGTTCGACAGTCAGTGGGCCTATGCCGAGGTTGTGAGCAAATCCGTCGATGATGAAGAGGGCGGGAACAGAGGCAAGGACGACGAGGGAGAGCGCCCAGGAGCGAGCGAACGCCAGGCAAAGACAGGTAATGATGGTCGTGAGGTACTGCACGACCATTCCAAACGCAAGGCCAGACGCCATCCTAACTTCCTCGGTTGCTCTACGCACCACCATCTAAGTCAACAAAGAGGTGAGACGGGATAGAAGGACAGAAGGGACGCACTTGGCGAATTGTGCCATCATTCCTCCAGCACCGATAGGCCCGGAGGCCTCGGTTGTCTGTACAGATCCTTCGCTGCCCATCCTCAAATCGAACCAAGTCATCTCTCGACCACTGACAGACTCGTATATCCGTTTCCGGAGCTTCATGGTGTTCCGTTCGCCAGTCCAGATCCAGAGACAGGAAGTAATACTGCTGAGGGCCAAGGCAGCTACGGAGAGGCCTACGAGTTCGAGAGCGGATATACCGACACCATGAAGAAGAGCGGTCTTGGCTTCTTGTGGTGGGTTCGAGGTAAGAGGGAATTGGGAGAAAGAGTCGAAGACTTGTCCTACGACAAAGGTCATGAAAGGAGCAACGCCACCGGCGATGATGGAGAAGAGGACTGCTGGTAAAAGATATGATAGAAGATCGCGCCGTGAAAGTAGAGTGTAGAGGAGTCGGAACGTGGGTGCGGGTGGAGTATACACTGTCGATGGGGTCGTAACGGGGACATTGAGAGCTTGGGTGGATGACTCGGGAGTCCGAGCGAATGAAGTCGTGGAATCGTCGGGGGTCATTGCCAGGGAAGCCTCAGTATCGACCCCCAAGGCCGTTTGGCGTCGCATGGTGGCGAGAGGAGGCGGAAGGGAAAGTTAGAGGAAAGGAGTGTGGATGGGGGGGAGAGAGTCCATCGCCTTTTTGTGAGGTCAATTGTTCTGCTCTTCATTGTGAACCGGCACTTTGTCTCGCGTCGCTTATGTAACAACAATAAAAGTCGGCCTCTTTGCGAACACTTTCTACGTCCCGAAGGCACGGCACGTCGTGTGCCCTGATTGCCGCCATCGGACAATCCGGTCCTGGAGATGAGACAGAACAAGCATGCGCCATTGGTCGTCGACTGAGACGATGAGGGCGAATGCTGAGAAAAGTTGAACGGACGTGACAGCCGATGCCCGTCACACGTCACAGCGTTCCAAACCGTGTGACGCTTTACGTAACATCTGAGAACAAAGCCAAAACAAAACCACTCTTGTGCTCTTCCCGTGGGGTATGGTTGTAGGAAATGTATACATCAATCTACTAACAGAAACAGGCACAACTGTTAGCCATAGAGACCTCAGACAGTCACTCTTCCCGAGCAAGACAACATTAGGTCCTAGTAGGTCCCGCTCTCATGTCCTCGATGTCGGCGACATCGATGGATGTGACTCGTCGACTCCGCACAGATGAGGCGAATGCTTCATCCGCAGTTGAATGAAGGGCATATCCAGGAACATGGTGCAGAAGTGAAGGGGCCTTTCATTGCTCGGTCAAGAGAGCTGTGGCGTGCGATGTAGGATCAAGGGGAGTAGAAAGTAGAAAGACAGTCGATCTATGCGCGCACAATGGATCACTGACGAAGAAGAAGAACGTCATCGTTACTGAGGATATCTTGCGTATGTCTCTGCGGCATGGTGGATGTGTAGAGAAAAGTTGGAGAATATTCGCTCGTGGCACTCAGGGGCTGAAGATGCGCGCCACCGCCACCAGGCAGTCGTATCACCCCCCGAAAAATTCAAATAATGCTTCAGAGCATCTGTGTTGCAACGAGAATCCAGAGTTCTCGCTAAACATAATGTGCATATTCTCTGTATTATCCTTCGGTGGCGGGTAACCTCAGCGCGAAAGATTGAAGCCACGCAGCAGACAGAAACCCGCCACCGGTCTACTGGGAACAAGGATGGGATGACACAAGATTTGAAGCACATACCCAGCGTATGTCTTTGTCACTGAGAGCAACTACTGCACCGCTTCGAGTCCATCTGAATATCTGACACAATTAGTGTAAAGATTAGACTGTGCGCGAAGGCCACGACTATACGAGGCACTACTGCTGTGCGGAAGGCAGATGGCAACACAATAGAAACAAAAACCCTGGATCGTAGTAATATATGCACACACACCTGTCACCATTATCTGTGCCATAGTCATCCATGATCCATTGAAAGACCAGAGCGCCGCCAGGACCTTCGATTCGGGCCACCCGGCTCACTGGTAGAAACAGCATTCCAGTCGAACGCAGGATTGTAACAACACAAGCTGTTGAGAGAAGTGGGAGATGGAGGAAGAACTGGAAGACATTATTTTCAAGCTCAGCAACGGGTCTCAATTCGCCCAATTCGGCGTCGCCACAAAGAAACAATAGGTGAGAAACACCTTCCATATTTGGATCTCATATCACGCGGCGGGGCCTGGCGGGGTGAACCAGCGGATTGGCGCGCAAATATTCCTTGCAACGCTCTCCAACTGACTGGACTTTGTATTTCGGCTGAGCTCACTGTCTCCGGTATCTCTAGGCCTGGCGCATCGTATACCTGGTATAAAGGCTTACATCAGACTGTCTTGAAATGCCGACCGCTCCTGCGACGCTTGCGGCGTCCCTCGAAAAACATAACGACACCTTCGAGTCCCTTCTCCGCCTCATACCTGCAAAATACTACCTCATCCAGGAGGATACTGAAGAGCAGGTGCGTCCAATCCATCATTAATCCTGGTCCATATATGTCTGAAGGATATACTTTGCCCATCTTGACGGTGTACTGTAGGCTTCGAAGTACCACAAAAACAAGAAAAAGCTGGGAGAGGGTCCGAAGCAAGCTATAAAGGAGGCAACTAAAAAAGCTCGTCGGGAAAAGGTGCGTGACATGTTCTGTCTGTATTCTGGTTTCTTCTTCTTTTGGTTTCTCTGGGTACGGATGGGTTGGTATATAATATTAGCGTTTGGGCGCTAGAGTGCGGTCAGCTAGGCGATGGAATGCTGGCTGTTCGTCCTCGCCTTGAAGGCCGCTCTCGAGAGAACCGAAATCCAGCTATTTTGCTGAGGAGAGCTAGTACTTCTTGTGCGCCCAGCCATAATCCCTACGGATGTTCGCACCCGTTGTCATGATGCAGATTCTTCGTGTTGTGTGTAGTCCGGTCCGTGGTTGATGCAGAATGCATCTTGTTTTGCAGTGATCCGACTTCACTATTAGGTTTCGGCTCTAACGTACGCGATTTTACATTTGTGCATCTACGCCCACGACGCCACAGACCTAGAGGAGCGAACAAAAAAGATCCCTACATGACTTGGACCCACACACCCCCATCCACACCCCCATCTCGCCCATACATCTCATCTCACGTCGACTCGTTTCGAACTTTGATTTCCCGCCTTCGTCTCCACTTCTCTACCGCCGCTATCGAACTTTAACTCAATACTGACCGGTCATTTCCCCCTCTAGCTCGATCCAGCGAACAATAAGACCCTCGTAGATCTCCAGCGCGAAAAAGCGCTTCTCAGCACCACCACTGCCGAATCCAAATCCAAATCCAAGAAGGGCAAGGATAAGCAAAAGGCCGTTCCGGAACATGATGAGGACGATTCTGCGGTGGAAGATGAAGGGATGAGCATGGACGTCGATGTTGATCTTTCTGATGAGGACGACGATGATGGTAGCGAAGACGATGAAGACGATGAGGATTCAGGAGCGGGAATGGACATCGATATCGTGCCCATGCCCCAAGAACAATCCATCACCGACCTCCGTGCTAAACTTCACGCTAAGATCGACTCAATACGTGCGAAGAAGAGGGGCTGGGGCGGTCAGGATGGAGGTTGGCAGGGCGGGGCTGTGGGTTTGCAGGGTGGGGTAGCGGGAGCGGGGAATAAGGACGAGTTGTTGGAGGAGAGGAGGGTGCAGAGGGCTGCGATGAGGGAGAGGAGGAGGAAGGAGACGAGGGAGAAGATTAAGCGGGAGGAGGAGAAGAAGGGGAAGAAAGGTGGGAAGGATAAGGATGCGAAGGAGAGAGCGAAGGTGCAGGGCGCGCCGACGAAGGTTCGTTTTTTCCTTGTTTCTCCCTTGACTCTCAACCTTGCTCTTGCTCTTGCTCTTGGTATTTTGAAGTTGAACCGCGGCTGATATGATGTTGTTCATTGTTCGTTGAACAGACACAGCTCCTCGTGCCAGACCAGTCCTCGTCCTCAGCTCGTGGTCATCACGATCCTAAATCCAACTACACAAACATCACATTCTCAGCCCTCGCACCCGACGCCGCCGGACCCTCCAGCTCAAACACCAAAAAGTCACACCAACGACTCAAAACCTCCTCCAATCCCAGCCAGGCACTCGAACAGCTATCCTCTCGGAAAGAGAAACTCGCTGCGATGCCGGAGGAGAAGAGGAAAGCGATCGAGGAGAGAGAGAAGTGGGAGAAGGCAGAGGCGAGGATGGAGGGCGTGAAGGTCAGGGATGATGAGGGGAGATTAAAGAAGGCTGTGAAGAGGAACGAGAAGGAGAAGCAGAAGAGTAAGAAGGCTTGGTACGTATATCTTCCCTCTCTCCTCCTCTTATACTATGCTTTGCGTCGCGGCGCGCTCATATTGACGTTTTTTTCACCCTTTTCTTTATCAGGGAGGACCGGAGGGAGCAGGTCCAACATTCGATGGCCGCGAAGCAGAAAAAGAGGACGGACAATATCGCGACCCGCAATGAGCGGAGAAGCGACAAGAGGAAGGGCGTGAAGGTCAAGAACAAGGCTAGACCTGGGTTTGAGGGCAAGAGCTTTGGGAAGGGTGGCAAGGGAGGCAAGGGCAAGGCGCCTGCTAAGGGCGGCAAGAAGTAATGCCGACTCTCTATCTGGCGGCTCTAGATTTTCTTTGCGAGCTGTCTCCTTTGCAATCGAGTGGATGGGTTTTCTCCTTGCTATTTGTTGTGACACGACAGATCAAGGGGCATGAAATGTGGCGATGCCAATGACGGCCTCGCCGGTCCACCCGATGAGGCCCCACGCCCATGCGTATAGTGTCGGTCATACCTTTTACTCTTGATCTAAGTCCAGGTCAGCCTTTTGCTCTGCGTCCCTACGCCCACGCCTGCCTGCCGAACGTCGCAAGGAATCGTACCTGGTCAAAATGATGTCCTCCGCGCCAGCCGAACATTACTTACATGCTCTATTTTTACGATTTCCTCTCACTATCGCTGCGCTGTGGATAGAAAACTGCTAAAATTGAGCCCTCTAAGGAGCTGTAAGAGCTCGGAGAGCCGAAGTTTGCGACGAATAGGAGATAGACAGCTTGGGCTGTGGGCGCGGGTTGGGAAGACCGTTCGCCGTTCAAACGTTTAGGAGCAGCCTCGGTGGCTCCTTTATGGATTTAAGTAATATAAGTAGGAGATAAATCTCCGTATAGAGATGATCTACAGCAGAATAATGACCAAATGGCTCTCTTGGATACGGAAAGAGTATTCTGTGATGCTTGGCGGGGGAAGGGCCACAGTGCCACAGGAACGTTAGATGACAAAAGAGGCAAGTTTCCACCGCGTGGGAGAGAGCCGCCGAGGCAGGGCAAGAGCCGTGTGGAAGGTCACCACGACGACTTCGAGAGCTTTCCTTTTCACCCTCAACATCGTCACCGACGACGACGACAACCCTCGCGCGACGACGTCGCTGCCTTTCTAGCGGGTTGAACGCCGCGACCATTGTTCTTCTACCTTATACTTTCACCTTCTTCTACTCTCCTTCAGCATCCCCCATCCCCCACTTGGCCTTCCGAGTCTTTTCCCAACGCCTTCGCCTGGCATGGCTTCTAACAGGCAGTCGACGCTGATGCACCAGCGACTCGAGGCCGTCACCGACCTCGCGAAGCTACCAAATGTGTCCGACGATGTCATCGTTTCCTGTCTCAGGGAGCGGTTCATGTCCGACATCATCTACACCAATCTAGGCACTTCGTCACTCGTGGCCGTCAACCCGCACAAGTATGTTCCCAGCAACGCCGACTCAGTCATGCACAAGTACGCGGCGGAACATAGGAATACGGTCGAGGACAAGGAGTTATTGCCACCGCATATTTTTCAGCTGGCGAATAATGCGTATTACCACATGAGGCGGACGACGCAGGATCAGTGCATAGTCTTGAGGTATGTGATCAATCTTCTCTGGAATTGCTTGGGCGTTATGGGACACGGTTCTTCTGGGGCGCTTTATTCTGTGGGCATGGTTCGTACTCGGCAGTATTTTTATGTGATTTGCAAGAACAGCAAATTCAGCGGACTGTGTGGGAAAGAAGCGGCGGGCTCGCCCCAGGCGCGCCAGCACTGCTCATGCATGAAGTCCCTTGAGGCCGCTGTGGGCTATTGATTTGATGTCGATAGTCATCGCATCGTCTTCTTCATCGGCACACACACGCCAAACTACTATTCATGTAGTCTGCTCGCCACGGATCGTCTGCCGACGACCCCTGTGTGATGCTTTTTGGCACGCCCATCATACCATATAACCGGAGTCATCTGCGGAAGGCTTTTGACTTCAACTAGCATTATGTTCTTTCGCACCCGCTAGCGGAGTGAGCCATGACTTTTCTTTGCGATAAACCCCCTGTATGGTTTGGCTTGAATCATCCCAGGGCACAGAATATACGTCATCTCATTCTAGACGATGATTATCGCCTCGTGATATCTCTTCGTCTATTATCTCGAACCGTCTCTGACCTATACGTTCCCTCCTTAGTGGCGAGACTGGCAGTGGCAAGTCCGAAAACCGCCGACTCGCCATCAAAACGCTGCTCGAGCTCAGTGTCAGCAACCCAGGCAAAAAGGGCTCTAAACTCGCCAGCCAAGTCCCTGCCGCCGAGTTCGTCCTCGAGTCCTTCGGTAACGCTCGCACGCTCTTCAACGCCAATGCTTCCCGGTTCGGCAAGTACACTGAGCTCCAGTTCACCGATCGCGGTCGCCTCTGCGGCATCAAGACACTCGACTACTACCTCGAGCGGAGTCGGGTCGCGGGCGCCCCGTCCGGCGAGCGCAATTTCCATATATTCTACTATTTGGTCGCCGGCGCTTCTCCTGAGGAGCGACAACATATGCACCTTCTTGACAAGACAACTTACCGTTACCTTGGCCAACGTAACCCGGCTCCTATCCGTCAGAACCCCGACGAGGATGCACTCCGGTTCGACCAGCTCAAGCTCGCTCTGAAGAACGTTGGATTCTCCAAGCGGCATGTGGCGCAGACTTGTCAGCTCATCGCCGCCATCCTTCACCTCGGCAACCTCGAGTTCACCATCGATCGCGCTCGTAACGAAGATGCTGCCGTCGTCAGGAATACTGACATCCTCGCCCTCGTCGCCGAGTTCCTGGGTGTCACGACTTCGGCTCTCGAGACAACGTTGTCGTACAAAACGAAGATGGTGAAGAAGGAACTCTGCACCGTGTTCCTCGACCCGGATGGCGCCTCCGACAATCGTGACGACCTAGCGAAGAACCTCTACTCGCTCCTCTTCCAGTGGCTGAACGAGCACATGAACCAGCGTCTCTTCAAGGACGACTACGTCACCTTCATCGGTCTCTTCGACCTTCCCGGCCCACAGAACATGACCAGCCGGCCCAACTCGCTCGATCAGTTCTGTATCAACTTCGCCAACGAGCGTCTGCATAATTTCATCCAGAAACGGATGTTCGAGGCTCACCGTGCGGAGTACCAGAGCGAGGGCATCGCACAATACGTTCCGGAGGTCCCTTACTTCGATAACTCGGAGTGCCTTCGCCTTCTTCAGAACAAGCCGGGAGGTTTGATCCACATCATGGACGATCAGGCGAGAAGGTCTGCGAAGAAGACGGACCATACGATGGTGGAGGCGTTCTCTAAGCGCTGGGGCCAGCATTCCTCGTTCAAGGTCGGGAGCGTCGACCGTCAGGGGTTCCCTACGTTCACCGTCAACCACTTCAACGGTCCTGTCACGTACTCTTCCGATGGTTTCCTGGAGAAGAACGCGCATTCGCTCAACCCAGACTTCGTCTCACTTCTCCGTGGTATGAACCATCACGAAGGCGGAGAGGGCTCTGGATCTGTCAACCCATTTATTCGTGGGCTGTACAACAGCTCCGCCATCGCGACGCAGAACCATCCACGGAACGAGGATACCATCGTCGCAGCTGCACAGCCCGTCAAGCCGATGCGTGCTCCCTCCACTCGTCGCAAGGGCGGAACCATCTCCCGCCGTCAAGGCGCCCTCGGCGATATCGAGGAGAAAGGAGGTGACGACGATGCCGAAGGCGCCTCTTCCAGCGCATCCAACACCTGCGTCGCGGGCACGTTCCGCTCCGCCCTCGATACGCTGTTCGAGACGCTCGAGGAGACACAGACGTGGTACGTGTTCTGCATCAACCCGAACGACTCGCAGTTGCCGAACCAGATCGAGGGTCGGGCGGTGAAGGGGCAGACCAGGAGTATGGGCCTGACAGAGATCTCGAGGAGGTGTGTGAACGTGTTCGAGGTCGGAATGACGCCGAGGGAGTTCTGCGATCGGTATAGGGAGCAGATTGCGGCAGTGGGGATTTCGGAGGGCGAGACGAGAGAGCAAGTCGAGCAGATGAGGACGGCATTGGATCTGGCGGGTAATGATTTGGTTCTTGGGCAGTACAAGGTATGCTCCATGAGTTATTACACTAGTCGACCGATGGACTTCTCATACTGTCTGCGCGATGTTTTAGGTCTTCCTGTCCCAACGCGCGTTCCACAAGCTCGAGGACTACCTTCGCGCCAAGGACGTTGATGAGCAGAAACGTAACCGCATGCGTGAAGCAGAAATCGACGCCGGTCTCGACCCTAGAGGCGCCAGCAACGACGTCTACGCTCCGTACCGCAACCCAGATGCAGCGGAGTTCGATACACCGCAGGTTGGACGTGACGTGCCATATGGTGATCCTTTCAATCAGTCCACCGGTGCTCTTCCTCTCGTATCCAACGCTTCCCCGTTCCAGCGTGCCGAAATGTACGACGATTACGACGACCGTGGTTCTGTGCGGAGCGACGACTTCGATGCTAATAGTCGTCTGACAAGCCACCGTGACGAGACGATGTCTATCGGTACCGAGTCGTACGCGCCATCTCGCAACATGTTCCAGAACGCGGATAAGAAGGCTTTGCTGGAGAAAGAGGCGCTGCCAGGCGAGGTCCAGGAGGGTGAGACGACGGAGGTGATCAAAGAAACATCGGCCAGGAGGAGATGGGTCGCTCTCTGCTGGATGCTGACCTTCTGGGTTCCGACCCCCTTCCTGAGATGGTTCGGTCGGATGAAGCGTCTGGACGTGCAGCAGGCCTGGAGAGAGAAGCTCGCTCTCAACATTCTCATCTGGTTCATTTGCGGTTGTGCAGTCTTCGTCATCGCCGTCCTCGGTAACTTGATCTGTCCGACGGAGCACGTCTTTAACACGAGCGAGTTGTCATCACATTCGTACACGAACGACCCGGATAGTGTGTATACGTCTATTCGGGGAGAGGTGTTCGACCTTACGGGCGTTGCGGCGACGCATTTGAGGATTATCCCTGTGGTCACTACGACGACGATTCTCAAGACCTATGGCGGGACCTCGTCGGACGATATCTTCCCGGTCCAGGTATGTCGCCATATCATCGTGGTCGTTCCATTTTACTGATGAGTCATCCTCAATTGTTGTAGGTCAGCGCACTGTGCAATGGTATCGACGGCTCGGTCAACCCCTACGTCGCTCTCCAATTCAGCAACAATACAGACACGAATGCTCAATACCACGACTTCCGAGTGTCCTCGAACGACTCTCGTCCTGATTGGTATTTCGAGAGCATGACCGTTATGCGGTGGAACAACCGTGTCGGCTTCGTCGGATACACGCCGAAGGAATTGAAGAGCAAGGCAGCCGCTGGTAGCTCCCTCGGTATCTACAATGGGCTCGTATACGACCTTACCGACTACATCGCCTTCCCTCCCATCGTCAAGACTCCGACTGGTACCTCGGCACCATCCGGTATCACCACGCAATTCATGGACTCGACCGTCCTCGACCTGTTCAAGTTCAACTCGGGCGAGGACATCACGAAGAAGCTCGATAACCTGGATATTGACAGTGACACCCTCGCGCGCCAGAAGGTCTGCCTTCGTAATCTGTTCACTATCGGAAAGGTCGACAACCGTAACTCCGCCGCTTGCTTGTTCGCGACGTACATCCTTCTCGCGCTTTCGATCATCATGGTCAGCGTCATCGGTTTCAAGTTCATTGCCGCTATCAACCTCTCGGGCTCCCGTGCGCCTGAGGATCACGACAAGTTCGTCATCTGTCAAGTGCCGTGTTATACCGAAGGCGAGCAGTCTCTCAGGCGGACGATCGACTCGCTGGCTCAGCTCAAGTACGACGATAAGCGCAAGCTCTTGCTCGTCATTTGCGACGGTATGATTGTCGGTTCAGGAAACGACAAGCCCACGCCTAGGATCGTACTCGATATCTTGGGCTCTGATCCGAACATCGATCCCGAGCCGTTGAGTTTCCTTTCCCTCGGTGAGGGAGCGAAACAGCACAACATGGGCAAGGTTTACTCGGGATTGTATGAGACACAGGGACATGTCGTTCCGTACTTGGTGCTCGTCAAGGTTGGCAAGCCTTCGGAGAGGTCAAGGCCTGGTAACCGTGGAAAACGTGATTCGCAGATGATGGTCATGCATTTCTTGAACAAGGTACGTCCTCTTGTCTTGCTACGAACAGGTATGTTTGTTGATCATACTTGTTGCAGGTTCATTTCAATTCTCCTATGAACCCACTCGAGTTAGAGATGTACCACCAGATCAAGAACGTCATTGGTGTCAACCCGACGTTCTACGAATATCTCTTCACCGTTGATGCCGATACGACTGTCGAGCCATACTCTGTCAATCGCTTGATCTCTGCGTAAGTCGCTACCAATTATATACCGCTTCTAGGCTGACCATTCATTTAGGATGATCCACGATAAGAAACGACTGGCTGTTTGCGGAGAGACCTCCTTGTCCAATTCGAAGCAGTCTCTCATCACTATGATGCAGGTCTACGAGTACTTCATCTCCCATCATCTGGCCAAGGCCTTCGAGAGTCTTTTCGGATCCGTCACCTGTCTTCCCGGTTGTTTCTCCCTCTACCGCCTTCGCACACCAGACACGCACAAGCCGCTTATCATCTCCAACCAGGTCATCCAAGACTACTCCGAGAACCGAGTCGACACGCTCCACATGAAAAACCTGCTCCATCTCGGTGAAGATCGATACCTGACCACGCTTTTGCTGAAGCACTTCCCTATGTTCAAAACTCAATTCGTCCGTGATGCCCAGGCGTACACCGTGGCTCCCGACGATTGGCAGGTCTTGCTCTCGCAGCGTCGGCGTTGGATCAACTCGACCGTGCACAACCTCGGAGAACTCATCTTCCTCGACAGGCTTTGTGGTTTCTGTTGTTTCTCCATGCGATTCGTGGTCATGATTGATCTACTATCAACAATCGTAGCTCCGGTGACGGTTGGCTACGTACGCTCTTCCCAGTTTTCTCTTGGAAAATTCGATAGCTGACTTGATGCCATCTCCTTGTTCACAGATCGTCTATCTCATCTATCTCGTCGCGGGCGAAGGCAAAAGTATCCCCACCTTGTCGTTGATCATGATCGCCGCCATCTACGGTCTTCAAGCGGGGGTGTTCATTCTTCGCAGAAAGTGGGACATGATCGGGTGGATGGTCTTCTACATCCTTGCCATCCCAGCCTTCTCGTTCTTCCTTCCACTGTATTCGTTCTGGAAGATGGACGACTTCTCTTGGGGTGCCACTCGTCTCGTCTTGGGAGAGTCTGGCAAGAAACTCATCGTTCACGTACGTCCTTGCCTTTGATTTCTCTGTTGCCACATAAGTACGACTGCTGATCTGCATGCTGAAACACATAGGACGAGGGCAAGTTCGATCCACGTTCTATTCCTCTCAAATCATGGAACGACTACGTGAGTACTTTAATTGTAGATAGTCATCCCTTCGGAACCTAACGTGGTGTGTTGCAGGAAAATGAGCTATGGGACAAGGAATCGAACCATAGCATCGGATCCTGGGCACCACCCAACAAGCTCAAGAACGACGGATATGCGGAGTCGCGCACGTCTGTCTACGGACGCGAGACAGTCTACGATGCTGGATATGCTCAACGGACTTTCTCCCCGTCGCCGTCTCAGCATGGCGGCATGGGCTTTGGTGCACCCCCGGGATATCAGTCCGGTCGCAACACTCCTCTCGGTGGCTACGGCTACGGTGCTCCTCAGATGCCCCATGCACGCACAACAAGTATGGCGATGAGCGATTCCGGTCCTCTGTATCAACCCGCACCTTCGAGGCCTACCACGAATTACCTCGACATGCCCATTGTATCGTCGCAGTCGCCTGTCCAGCTCGGAGACTTTGGCCTGGGCCCTTCGGATGCCGATATCGAGTTGGCAGTAGACGATATCCTGCGCGATGCGGACTTGAACACTGTGACGAAGAGGGAGATTCGACGTAGGTTGGAGGAGCAGTTCCAGACGGATTTGTCTTCGCGGAAGTCGACCGTAAATGCAGCGATCGACAGGGCGTTGATGACCAAGAGTGCCATGCAGTAGTTCTGGCGTAATGTTACGTGTATCTATGAGACTTTTTTCTTCTTTCGCTCTCTGTCCGTACGCCCGTGTCTATCTCTATGTTTGTGTCGCTCTGGTGTGGATGGACTTCGCATTGCTGCTGTCGGACTTCGCGAACTTCGGACCTCTTTTCTTCTTTCATCTTCCTGGCATCTCGGAATCATCTCCACCCAACCCTCAACTCCTTACGAACGCCATAACGTCGGCCTCCCTTCATTGCGCTCCCCTTCGTTCGTCTCTTAGTTTATAGCCTGTAGTCCTTCAGACGGATTCTCGTAATACCCCCCATACGCTCTTATACACCACGTACTCTTAGCTCTGACCGACATCTTCGTATATGGACTTCGCATCGCATCTACGTACTCTTTCCTTCTGCTACCGGTAATGATCAACTTGATGTATATGCATATACTTCATACAATCAGTGAACTTTGGTTTAGTATTGCACATGAGTTGTACGAGTGAGGTCCAGGACCGGTGTGGGCGAAATGCTGGACCGTGCGTGCTGCAGTAGCGACGAATACAAATAGCGTCGTTGGGGGTTCATGCAGAGCATTGTTCGGAGAACCAGACGATAAAAAGGTTGTTCCAAGTCGCGTTCATTGCATTACAGCGAGTTTCGAAATGATACGGACTTCCATCTTTCGCGTTTTGGCTCAGCCACAGCTCGGCAGCGACGGAGCTTGCGACGGCACGGAGGTCTCCGCGAACTTGTCTGGACCGTTTTGTATAACCACTGTGGCCCAACTGTGGCCATCCATGTTTCTCGCTCTGTCCGTCAGTGTAATCAAGAAGAAAGCTCTGTAAAATACATCCATAAGTACAAATGTCTATACGGCAATATTTTCACAGAAATACGACCTTAGAAGAAACTGTCAAGTGATGACTTGCCCCATGCTTGTCGCCAGAAGCCTGCACGCATACCAAAACCTTTGAAGAACATTATGTGAATCTAGCACTCATCAATATTCTATAATTGGGTAATTTCCTCCCTCCCATATGTTCCTCTCGGTTCCCTGTTTATTTACGCACAGGAATTTGAAAGGTCATCGAGCACTTTGTGCATTGGGCCACACACAGGCAAGCCTTGCGGAAATTCCCGTGCCGCGCATGATCCGTCGCTGCCGAGCTGTGGCTGAGCCAAAATGCGAAAGATGGAGTTCCGTATCATTTCGAAACTCGCTGTAAGAGGGAATCGAACCCCCGGCGGGTCGATGGCAACGACCCAGGTTACCACTACCCCATTAATGCTTGTAAATAATAGAATTTTGATCATCCTCAATCTTATGGATAGTCTGTGTAACACCTCCAACTATTTTGCTTACTTCTTCCCGCTTTTCAATGTACTCTACACTCCCATGCCACCTTGGCGTCTACTTTTGCTGTGACTTTGCCAACATATTGCAACCTGCCAAATTGTCACCCAGAACTGCTTACAATAGCGGATCAAGAACGGCTTTGTTTCCCGTCGTCGCCTGTCAAGAACTCAACAAGAACCTGTTGTTGCTCACTCCGCGCCAAAAACGAAAAGCCCTAATGGGCTTAGGCCCTTCATAACCGATATCTTTGGGAGGAAACGGAGGGTGCATGTTTGTTGATTCTGAAATACTCCCTCAGTAATCGAGCACGAGTTCACAGTTTGTGCTGTACCTTCAAGTATATGCGGGTGCGTTTCCTCTTTCTCGTTGTTCTCCCTCCTATCTGGTGAGAAGCTTACATCTATGAAGCTCCTCAAGGGGTGGTGCTGATATATATGGACTAGAGACCTCAGACCTGCGATCATCGCGGAAAGTGGCGTTCTTGAATCTGCCTACGTCCTCTTGTGATTCGTCTTCCGCGACATACACGGACCCTATCAGCTCAGTAAGTCACTGAAGGCGCTCTTTATAAAGGTCAGCTTTGCGGGTATCCCCAAGGTATGCGAAGCGAAGTCCCGTGTCCACTCGAGGGAAAGAATGAAAGACTTGCGCAGGGCACGAGAATGGGTACCAAACTCGACGTATCCGAATCCATCATCACAAGATTGTACGCTCGCAGTACTCGATACCCTCGTGCAGTCTTCATGTCATTATTTGAACCCGGGGTTTTTGGATCGTTCCTCATACAGTAACTGAAAAGTCTTCAGCGGTTCAATTCGGCGTAGACTTGAGCTTTTCGGAGCAAGTCGGATAGCCGGCAGGTCATGATCGCTTGTGACACACCTGCTTTGACCGCAACTTTGATGTCTCTCCACCACGAGCGCACAGGCGGTTCCAGCACGGACGAGTTTTAACGATACGGGCCTAGCGATAGTGAGTCCCATCAATGCGTTCACACAGGTCCTCTTTTGATACAAGTAGTGCAATTCGCTAATCGGGAGCCGTTATACGCAGCCATGGGCGGCACTAGGCGTCGTGACCATTCGGGATGTCGCTGACCACTAGAGCGCCTGGAAGGGGCTGTATAGACGCAACCATACATGTTTTGGACAAGTGATGCATGTACTGTCATCTACTGTTCGTCATCGTGATGCTTCAATTCCGCCCGACGAGCGCAACTAAAGCGCGATAACTCCAGCAGGAAGGAGTGGCATCGGAATGACGACAGTCCAACTCAGAAGTTTTTCAACGAATATCTGGGATAAGGACTCATGAACCGCCTTTGAACTATATCGTGCAAAAGTGTTCTTCCGGTTGAGGACATTATATCCAGCCTCAACAGATTCAGGAGACACTATCGACTACTGACGACTCCGGCGAGAAGCCTATCCCGTGGAGGCTGACGAAGAGCGGTTGACGCGATTTCCTGGAGTTCCCAGGCTGTGATCCGCCAACTAGGTTAGTTGTCACGCCCTACCCCGTTCGGTCATCTTTGCAATGCTATTCGTGAAGTGGTCCATTCTCAGAAGAGGAGTATAAGACCCGGAGCACTGTGGGCGGCCATGTACGTCCCTCCGCTACTTTTCTTCGTCGCTACCTCCCAGTCTCCCTCACCATGGCTGAACCACCTCAGCTAGATCCTATTAGAGAGCACGATGGATCTTCGTCTCATCTGCCTGAAGATCTGAGCGCTGCTAATGCGTACGCTAATGAGGTCCTCAACAGTGTTATTCGCTACGAGCCCCGATCGGAGACTCCTATCGTAGTACGCGACAGGCGACGCGAATCTTACGCCTCCCACGTCTCCATTGACTACTTTGATCCTGCTGGTGTTGATGAACTTCGACGATCGTTGAGTCTCGCGTCGAATTCGATTCACCAAACTGAGGACAAAGAACGGCCCAAGTCTCCGGTACCGTCAATTGCGAACTCGGAGGCCACACTTGCACCAGGCGAAGGACCATTCGACTTTGGAAAGTCTCTCAGACAGATTATCAAGAAGTGAGTCTTCCATGCTTTTGATTTATCCTCAACGACCTAATTGTTTGTCCTCAGGAGGGACAAGAGTCAAATTCAAGGACGGGAACTTGGTGTCCTCTTTAAAGACCTCAGGGTTGTCGGCCTAGGAAGTGCGGCCAGTTATCAACCAACGCTCGGCTCCCTCTTCGACCCAAGAGTTTTCCTTGAAAAGTTCAGAGCATTTCGCAATCCACCACTCCGTAACCTTCTCGAAGGATTCGAGGGCGTTGTCCGTCCTGGCGAAATGCTTCGTGCGTTTGTCTCCTAATCCTCCATATCATATCCGCTACCCCTTAGACTGACGTCGTTCACTATAGTTGTCCTTGGTAGCCCTGGGTCCGGGTGTAGTACCCTCCTCAAAACACTTGCCAACCAGCGTGCAGAATATCATTCTGTTCATGGGGAGGTCCACTACGACTCATTCTCTCCAGAAGAAATCGAGAAGCATTACCGAGGAGATGTCATCTACTGCCCCGAAGATGACATTCACTTCCCAACTCTTTCTGTCGACGACACTCTTTGCTTCGCCGCTAGAATGCGTGCTCCACATGTGCGCCTCAGCGATCACTCGCGTGAGCAATATATTCGTGGCATGGTCGACGTCTTGGAGACGATCTTTGGTCTGCGGCATGTCAAGAAGACTCCAGTAGGAGATGCTTCGTTGCGTGGCGTTTCGGGAGGAGAGAAGAAGCGTGTCTCGATTGCTGAGACGATGGCGCTGCGGTCGCTGATAAACTCATGGGACAAGTGAGCGAGGTTTCGTTGACTACATTATGTAACAAGCAATGACCAAATCTCTTTTCGTTTAGCTCCACAAGAGGATTGGACGCATCAACAGCACTAGAGTTCGTTCGGGCTTTGCGCATCGCTACGGATGTTGCTCGCGTTTCGACGATTGTTTCTATCTATCAAGCAGGTCAGCACCAATTGTTGTTCATGACCTCTGGTGTTCCGACGCTGACTATCGTTGCAGGTGAACAATTGTACGATCACTTCGACAAGGTCTGCGTCATCTATGAAGGTCGCATGACATACTATGGGGCAGCTTCCAGAGCTCGCGAGTACTTCATTGACCTTGGCTTCGAACCTGCTCCGAGACAGACGACAGCCGACTTTCTCGTTGCTGGCAAGTTTCCTTCGTAAATCGAGATACTCCATGCATTCACTGACTATATTTTCTGGATCGTTCAGTCACGGATCCGAATGGTCGAACCGTTCGCTACGGCTTCGAATCCACAGCCCCTCGCACCGCCACGGAATTTGCAGAGCGTTTCCTTCTGTCAGATGTAGGAGAGTCCAACCGCGCCGATATGACGGCTTTCCGTGCCGAATTCGTGGGCAACCCGCAGCGAGTGGAGCAATACAAGAACAGTGCCTACGCTGAACACGCGACCACACAGAGCAAGAAGAGTCCATACACGATTTCGACTTTCATGCAAGCGAAAGCTGTTGCAAACCGGAGATTCCTTATCATCAAGGGAGCGTTGGCCAAGCAAGTTGTTTCAACGGTTATCTTCATTATACAAGCCATCATCGTCGGTACCGTCTTCCTTAAATCTCCACAAACAACGGCTGCATATTTCTCTCGTGGGGGTGTCATTTTCTTGTACGTCTTCTATCCATGACCAAGGTGTTTACGCGAAGCTGATGCTAGCTCTTACTTTTAGCGCTTTACTCTTCGCTGCTCTATCGTCCATGGCCGAGATTCCTGCTTTATTCGCTCAGCGCCCCATTGTAATCAAGCACTATAAGGCCGCGATGTATCATCCGTTCATAGAAGCTGCAGGTATGTAGCTCAGAATTGCAGAGACACAAGCCAGATACTGACGAGAGTTGCAGCACTGACACTTGTGGACATCCCTATCACTTTCTTCACTCTCGTGTTTTTCAGCATCATCCTTTACTTTCTGGTCGGCCTTCAACGTACCCCGGCACAATTTTTGTGAGTATTTTTTTATTCAGTCTTTGCATACCTTCTTTACTTCGCATATGCTAAATTTTTCTACTTAGCACATTCTTCTTGTACATCCTCACGATGAGCTTGACAATGAAGGCCTGGTTCCGTGCCGTTGCCGCTGGATTTGGTGATCCTGCTCCTGCTCAGAGTGTGGCTGGTATTTTGCTCCTCGCTCTCACACTCTACACCGGCTACGCTATACCCAAACCGACCATGATCGGTGCCCTTCGATGGATAACGTATATCAACGTGAGTCTCAAGCTCAATCATTGCGAACAGATAGTAACAAAATACTGACGCGAACAATCCGAATAGCCCTTGAGGTGGGGTTTCGAGGGCATCCTGTCGAACGAGTTTCATACTCTCAATGGCCAATGTTGGTTCCCATTCTGTCCGTACCCCGAAGCCCACTAACGGTGTCTGATTTGTCCCTCGAATACAGGCTCCACACTTGTGCCCAGCGGCCCAGGCTACGAAAACGTTACGATTGCAAATCAAGTCTGTACTACGATCGGCTCAGTCCAAGGCTCCGCCACCGTGAACGGTAATGCCTACCTCTCAGCCTCCTATGGCTACTCGTACAGTAACATTTGGAGGGTGAGTGCCTGCCATCTTACATGCCACAGAGCAACCACAAATGAAATGTTCTTTATTAGAACTATGCTATCACTATCTCGTTCGGCATAGCGTTCGTCATATGCCTTCTCTTCTTTACCGAATGGAATACTACGACGTCGACCGAGACAACCTCCATGCGATTCAAACGCGGCGCCACCACTCCACCTCAGACGCACGATCTAGCCGACGAAGAGAAAGGTCCTAGCTCGTCGGAGAAGGCGGCCTCTGGTCACGATGACATCGAAGAGATACCACTGGACACCCCAGCGATGAAGGACGTTTTTACCTGGCAGCATCTGGACTACACCGTCCCTGTCGGTGGCGGGCAAATGCGTCGTCTGTTAGACGATGTCTCTGGTTATGTGGCGCCTGGCAAACTCACCGCGCTCATGGGCGAATCTGGCGCTGGAAAGGTCAGATTCTCTGCTGAATCGGCGCTCAACAATGTATTGATTCATTCTTCTTCGGATTATATCAGACAACCCTCCTCAATGTCCTCGCCCAGCGTCAGACGTCCGGAGTAGTGACCGGTGAGAGGTTAGTAAACGGACAGGCTCTTCCGGCAGATTTTCAAGCACAGACGTAAGCGCTATCGATCATTCACTGTTCGATCTCAGTAGAGAACACTAATAATATTTACATCCATAGCGGCTATTGCCAGCAGATGGACACGCACCTGCCAACTACCACAGTCCGTGAGGCCCTACTGTTCTCGGCCAAGCTCCGGCAGCCTGCGAGTGTTTCTGATCAGGAAAAGGAAGCCTAGTAAGTTTAAATCTACTCCTTTGGGGAAGCTTATGTTTGACTCTGTCTATGCACGTCACAGCGTTGAGACGGTTCTGAAGATGTGCGGCCTGGAAAAGTTTGCCGATGCCATTGTCGGTTCCTTGGGTGTCGAACATAAGAAGCGTACCACTATTGGAGTCGAGCTTGCCGCGAAACCGAAGCTTCTCCTCTTCTTGGACGAACCGACGTCGGGTTTGGACTCTCAGAGTGCTTGGGCAATCATGAGGTTCCTTCGAAGTCTGGCGGATCGTGGTCAGGCGATTCTTTGCACGTACGTCTTGTCTCAATCCTTTCTCTATAGCTGCGTGCTGAATACTTTGTCACGACAGAATCCATCAACCCTCGTCAGAGCTATTCCAGGTGTTCGACAGACTTTTGCTCCTCAAGAAGGGCGGACAGACGGTTTACTTCGGTGATTTGGGACCTAACGCGATGACACTGCTCAACTACTTTGAGAAGAACGGCGGCTATCCTTGTTCTCCTCAGGCGAACCCGGCTGAGTACATTCTGGACGTCATTGGTAGGTCATCCTCTGTCTCTCATGTATCTTGTCGCTCACCAGTATCCCAGGTGCCGGAGCCACTGCGACGACAGACATCGACTGGCACAGTGCATGGAAGAACTCGGACCAAGCCCGCATCATCGACAAGGAGCTAGAGAATATCCTCGCTGAGGGTCGTGCTCGTCCTCCGGTCACGACCGAGCTGCACACCGAGTTCACTACAAGTTGGCCGTACCAAGTCTCCACATTGTTGAGGCGCGATCTGCAGCGTCACTGGCGCGACCCACAGTACCTGGTATCGAAGATAGCACTCAACATTGTCGCCGGACTATTCATTGGGTTCACATTCTGGAAGGCAAATAATTCGATCCAGGGCACACAGAACAGACTCTTCGTTAGTCCTTCGAAAAGTTCCTCATCCCATTAATATGAAAATAACCTCGTATTACAGGCATGCTTCATGGGCATGATCTTATGTGCTGCACTCGCTAATCAGATTCAAGTACCCTTCATCGCCACACGAAATATTTATGAGGTTCGGGAGCGTCCTAGTCGCATGTATAGTTGGACGGCACTATTAGCCTCCCAATTGCTCTCCGAACTCCCGTGGAATATTCTGGGTATGTTCCCTCCACCCTTGTGTCTATTCACATCCTTCGCGTAGTCTAACCACCTAATAATCAGGCTCAAGCTTGTATTTCCTGTGCTGGTTCTGGACCGTTGGTTTCGCCTCCGACCGTGGCGGATTTACCTACCTCATGATAGGCATCGTTTTCCCATTATTCTACCAAACGTTCGGAATGTGGGTGGCATCCATGGCGCCTAGTGCCGAGGTCGCTGCCCTCCTCTTCAGTTTCTTGTTCTCGTTTACCATCAACTTGTACGCACTTTCTCTCGCTTCTGCTGCATAATACGTACTGATCATTTCAATTCTAGCAACGGTATCGTCCAGCCATACGCTCACCTTGGGTGGTGGAAGTGGATGTATCGTACGTCGCCACTTACGTACTTCGTTAGCGCTGTTGTCGGTCAAGGTCAGTTGAAAACCTTTGAAGCTCCATGAAGTCCCATCTAACTATCGTTCCACTCTTAGCTGTGGGCCAATACTCGGTTGTCTGCAAGGACAAAGAATTGGTGCACCTCACCCCTCCGTCGGGCCAGACCTGTGGGGACTACCTGAGCTCGTACATCAACGCCTCCGGCGGCTACATCACCGATCCCAGTGCTACCGACACTTGTAGCTACTGCTCCTCCGCGACAACGGACGAATTCCTCGCCAATAATTTCAACATCTTCTACTCGCAACGTTGGCGCAATTTTGGCCTTATGTGGGCCTATATCTTTTTCAATGTGAGTATCATTGCGCGTTTACTAGCATCGCCGATTACTGACGACGACATACACGTGGAATCAGATTGCCGCTATCTATGGTTTGACGTGGTTCTTCCGTATCCGAACCGGGAGTATTCTTGGTTCTCTGAGACGTTTGGGGGCTGGAAAGACAAAGTCTGCTTGAGGGAGCTTGAGGGGGCTTGCGCGATGGACATTTACGATTTTTGAGGTCACGAATGGCTCATGAATACTTATATCTTATATCTACCTCGCTGGTGTTGAGATAGCTCGCCCGGTTACTGTCTTGTTATATCTTACTCTGCTACCCACGTTTTTCCTGCCTTGGCGCCTCCACGTCCAGATATTATCGTGCTGTCTGGAGAAGTTGACGCTATGAATTATGCTATGATGCCAGTGACGATTGGTTCACTGTTAAAAGCGTGAATGCCCGAACCATCACCCATCAAATACAGTCGCCACTGTAACAGTGGCACCTCAAGGGTTCTTCTCACGATTTGCAGGCCACGTCACCGCTCGATTGTGCTCAGCGCTCGGGTTGACTTTACTTCTGAACCCACTACTTCTGAGGTCGTCGCACTCAAGTCGCACTGGCACGGTGGACATTTATCCATTCCGGCTGGATTGGATTGCTCACTCCTGCATGGACTCATCTTACTCCTCAGATTTCCTATGGGTGTTTAGCTTCGAACACCTCCGACCCAGGAGCCTTGAACTGAGCAAGTTAGATCCATCCAGGCTGGCTCCTGCATGTGAGCGAATTCTCTCGCGAAGTCCGTCTAACGGCCGTCGACGTCTATGCTCATCTACGTTTTGATTGTAGGATGATTGAGCCAGATCCAATGTTTCGATGTATCTGTTCCCATGCAGCCGTTCTCTCCGAGCGTCTGTCATCCTTTCACTCTGATCCACTTCCCAGGCTTGCTTTGTCCCCTCTTCCTTGGTCTTTTTCTAGCGAGCCGCATTGTAAACTCGTGTACATCTGTGCATGCCCGAGGAACATGCATTTCCCGTCGCAATCAGCGAAAGGCGCTGATAGCTTCCTTGTGACACGAGTTTCAGCTGAACGTTGTACAGGCACGCGTACGGTTCAAGAACAGCTTAGGGCCTTGGAGGCCATCCAATACCGGTTCTCGAGTACAACGGACCTAGTGACTTAGGAGCTTTTTCACAATCCCTCACACGACCTGCTATGATTCTGACGTGCTCGCTGGTTGGCAGAGGATATCGGGCTAAGACGGGGTTTCTTGAGTGGCTCACGGCCCCTCTACTCGGTAGTCCGCTGCCCGAGTACTAGTTTGTTTATTACCTGCTAAAAGTCGAATATACAATCGATAAGACCCGACGCATTCGTTCCTCCCTGCCTGGATACTTGATCTGGATTAGTGTTCATAATTGATGCGTTCCGAAAGCAGTAATGATATCCATCTTTCAACATGAGGCTGGTGCGTGTCCTTCGATTGCTAAACTTATCGCTGCTTTATATGGCGTCATACGCAGTAGGACCTGCCTCCTTTGGCTTAACGGACCGAATAAGTACTCGAGGGGTGCAGCGTGTACGCCGCATCCTCTCAAAGCGCCATCTCTATCACTCCAAACTCTTCAACCGGCCCTCGTTCGAAGCACCACCCCATACCTCCAGCTTCGACTAGCATTTACGTTCTCAGATGCTACCTACACCTATGCACCCTTCAATGATGCCCTCACCCTCATTGTCCGCGAGTGGCGTGATGCCGTCGCCCGTCCTCGGCAACAGAGCAATTTACGATGGATCTCTTCCCTACAGACGCAGTCCCAGCGTGGATTTCGAAATCGAGCATGTTTCTAATTCACCGGGAAAGTCATCGAGGCCATCTCTACGACGGGGACGGTCGGATTATACGAGCGAGGCCATGCTTCAGACCAGCGTCACCAGGATCGTTGGGTCGAAGACTTTCGCCGTTTCCGGAAAGATTCCCGTCGATCCTGCAACTCTTACTCTCTTCTTCCGTACCAAGGTGCGTGGTCAAACTTGTGGATATTTTCGATGCGAGTAATAATCTTGATGGCGATGATCACCAAGAGTGGCATAACCCATTCCCTCGATTTCCCGATAGATGTGGATTACGATACCCCTCCGGCGCTGGACGTCCTCATAGCTGCATGTCGGCCTCACGAGCTCCCCGAAGGCGAATTCTCCGACTGTGAATCTCTCTTCTATCCCCCGAATCTCCCTCTCACCACCTCTCTCGAAATCGCCAATCATCCTATCCTTGAAGCTGTGCGGAGTACACTCTTCCCTTCTCTTCCCGGTGGGCACTACATCACCGCTGTACGAGACCGCCTCGAGATTGTCGCCACAGGCGCTCACATGCTTGCGCAACCTGCTCCGACCGATCAACGCGTCGCAACTCTCATCGTTACCCTTCCCGTACGATTCCGTGGTGGTGAGCTCGTAGTACGAAGCTTCGAAGGCGAAGAGCAAAGACATGGTGGGCGTGGTGGGAAGAATGGCCATCTGGAATGGACGGCGTTCCAGGCAGATTGTGAGTACGAGATCGCAGATGTTCAGAAGGGCTGCAGGGTCACGATATCGTATGCTCTCCATGCGAGGTCGTTTGGACCTGCCGGTATGGTCCCCGACCCCTTGATCGGCCCCAGTGATTTTCTCCTCGATCAGCTTGCACCGATCTTCAACATTACTCGCGGGCGCATGATCGCTTTCTATCTAACGGGAGACTACCAAGTTAACCCCGCCGAGGTACTTGCAGAGTCGTTGGTACCATATGTACGTGCTTTCTGGGAATTCGTTTGTGATTGTTGCTCATTTAGTTGCGTTTTCTAGTTGAAGGGCGGAGGTATGTCTGGACTCTCATGCCAGCGCGAAGTTTGTTTTCTGACGATATTTATCAGATTCTCTTCTTTATCATGCCGTCAAGCTTTACAAACTGGCTCCGGAGCTTCGTTGGACTGCCGGCGGATACATTTGGCCTGTCGACCGTACTGTTGAGTGTGGTCCAGAGCTCGAAGGAAGCCCGTACAGCGGTGGAAGTGGTGGGCGTCGTTCTACACGCTCTCGGGCCGCTGCTACTCGGTCGGTCTACGGCGGCTACGGCGATGAAGTGGAGGGAGCGGAGGAGGAGATTATCAATTTGCGCCACCGGGTGGAGGATAGCGGTGCGATTCCGTTGATTGAAGCTGATATAGCTGTCTTGACGGACAAGACGGCAATGGTGGGTACAATTTCGAAGGAGAGGGTTCCCATTGTGGTGCACGGCGCTTTGGACATGCTGGTTGTGAACATTTTGATGGTCGTCTATGTTCCTTGAAACGTATGTTTACTCATTTTCCTCCTTTTCGTGTCGTCGCGATTACTGTCGTTGTACTCTCTTCCGACTTTGTAGTAGGTTTCCTCTGGCCTGGTGTTTGTGCACTGTACTAACTTTTAGCATTGGGTGTGATACGGGGACTTGTTGTACTATAGCATCTGTACGGTTTATATTGTCTTGAATTCCAACGCAGTTTGTCGATATCTAGTAGTTGGGCCGTCCCGATATTGCTGGACCTGCTGCTTTACGTCACATGAACGTCTAAGTGGTATTGAATCGTGGGAAAGTTCAAATTTGTCAACAGGCGCGACTGTCCGAGTCCTGCACGTCGCACGATGAAGAAAGGTCCGTTTTGGAGGATATAAGTATCCTTGGTCTGATTGATAGCACACCTAGTGACTTGCTGGAGTTGAGTAGTGAGTGCTTTATCATGCCCTGCTACTGCGAGTCGCCTTCGGACTGACCGGGCCCACAGTGTCTACATAGCCTAGTACAGTACCATCGATGTCGAGTCCGAGTCACCAGGTCATACTCATCTCAGGCCGCACCATCGTCCCATGATGTTGTCATTGAATAATCTATATAAAAATTATACCCAACTTCTTCGCGCAATTGGAGAACGCTATCATCCGAGGTGCTTCTGCCTCGTCGAACTTCGTTATTAGAGTTCGCAGTCGCCGCCTCCGAGTCGACATGGATTCGAGCCTGCCCAGATATGACAGTGAGTTTCCGCATTGTCATTCTTCTCTTTTACAGCTAGTTACTCCTGCTGATAATCTTGGGACTTGATGAAGCGAATACTATCGGCCATCTGTCGTGGCCCCGGACGAATGCGGTATACCTGTAACGCCCCTCAGCGATCACTGGTGGCCACCCTTTTCCTCTTCTGCAACTTTCTCTTTCATACACAATTTCAGTGGCGATATGTGTGATCGATGCTCTAGGTCCATCCAATCAGAATGACTTACACGTGCAAACCCTAATGCGCCTCTTCGTATAAAGATGATGCTTACCCTATGCCCGCGCCCCGTTGACTCGCCCCCCTGTTGTGTGTATCGTTGCATTAACCTGCATTAACCCAGTCCCACCTATCACCATGAGCAACAGTTTTGCCCAAGTGAGCAGTCCTACGGACGTTCTCAAAGCTATATTGCGAAGCTATCCGCTGGGAGTCGGCTTGTTTCGCGAGCTTCTACAAAATTCGGACGATGCAAAAGCGTCTAAACAAGTAGGTGGCTCATAGCTCCCTTCTTTGAGGCTAGGTCGCATCGACAGTTCCGTATAGGCCTTTATACTAGACTATAGAACGCATGCATCGTCCAACGGCCTCGAGTTTGCGAATGGACCGTCACTTTTGGCGTACAACAACGCGAAGGTCACGGATGACGATTGGTCGGCCCTCCAGACGATCAATAGCTCCTCAAAGAAGAAGGATACGAGGTGTGATGTTCTTTCGCCCCCTTAGCACCTCCGCTGATTAACTCACGATGTATCCATTATTGGAATTTTCAGCAAAATCGGGAAGTATGGTATCGGGTTTAGATCTTGTTTCCACGTATGCTCCTGCCGGACTCTGTCATTTTCGTGCTCTTATTTATCTCGTTAAACAGATCACCGACTCTCCTGAGATACTCTCAGGCACGGATATCGCTATGTTCGATCCGCTCAACAAATTCACCGAGACTGGAGGACGTCGCCACACCCTCGCCACGTCTCACGATCTTCTAGCAGACCATCTGTCCGCATTCTCGCCCATTTTCGAATGGCGTCTCAATGAAAGTTTTGATGGGACAGTGATTCGATTACCCCTTCGGCCAGATGAACAGAGCGAGATCCAGCCCAAGGCTTTCCACCCACACGATGTCAAACAGCTATTCCTGGACTTCATTCATCAAGAACTCGACATATCATTGCTATTCCTCTCGAACTTATCATTCATCGACATATCGGAGATCGACAGCAACGGTACTATCACCGTGTTGGCCAAACTCAGCATCACACGCTCAAACCCCGTGACGTCTGGGTGTTACACTTCGTCGACGGCTACGGTCGTGGTGGAGGACTCAGCTGGAAGAATCATCAGTCAACAGACGTGGCTCAAGGTCCACGCTACTGGTCTTCTTGACGATTATGCGGCCGCACTTTCGACATCCATGGGATACGACGTGCATGAAGACCTTGTGCGAGAGAAGCTGTCTCCCCATGTTGCCTTGGCTATTCCTCTTGATCGACAAGTGTCCGCGCCCACTACGACTGGGCGACTGTTCACCTTTCTGCCCCTTCCTCTAATCACCAGATTTCCATGCCATATTCATGGTCTCTTCGCGTTGACCATCGATCGCCAACACCTACGGAATAGAGACGAACATGTCGCAGAACGCTCCCTTGACAGGTACGGTAGAATCAATCATTTGAAGAATCAAGATCTGCATCTGATGCCATTCATTGTCTTACAGACTTCTCGTCCACTGGAACAAAATTCTGTTTGAGAGAGCCATTCCTGAGGCATGGGTCGAACTATTGCGGAAGATTGTCCAAGAACGCCGTGGGCAAGACGTCTTTTCTTTTTGGCCTTGTATGTATCTAGATACCCAAGGCGACTCCTGCTATTGGAGCAATATGGCGACACTCGTTATGCATCGTATCTTCGACTCGGAGGTCGCAATCTGGCCAGTCGTCCAGTCTGAGGGCAGCTCTCCGAGGTACATGGCGCTTGGCCCCTCCACCCTCGTATGTAGCGCTTCCGACGAGGGTCCCCATATCTCCGCTCTGGCTCACGTCGGAGTCAACATCATTCGCATACCTCCGGAGGTTTACACTATCGTCATGAATTCCAGCATTCCTGTTGTGGTGATGAACCCAGAGTCAGTCCGACGTGTTTTATTGGTCTGTACATTCCGTTCTGCGCAGTTCTTCAACCGGCTCACAATATTTGCTCAGGGAGATCCCCGTGCTCTTTCGGACGCACCACACGACTACAAGATGTCCATCTTGCTCTATCTAACGGAGCCCAATGTTCTCGATTATATCCTTGATTTACCCTTACTTCCCACCATCGTCGGAAACTACGTCTCGTTGAAATACGCGGATGTTGGCTCCCACCGTCTGCTTACAGCTTTCGAAGCATCCCTATTCGGAACGCACGCGCCAGGTGCAATTCCCGTCGACCGTCTTCCGGGTTCTCTATCTTCAATAGCTCCTCGCCTCATGTCCGAGGGCTTTAATGTTCGACCTCTACACAGCCGGGACGTCACCGAATACATTGGAATGGCGTTCTCCTCGCACGGACTCGCCCTTGACGATCATACATCGCACTATCCCCCAATCACATTGGCTGCCTGGCTCACTGAGCTTTGGATGTGGGCCGCAGCCCAAACCACACATGTCCCAGGCGATTTGCTTTCCTCGATGGCCAAATCGCGAGTTCTTCCCAGCGCATCCGGCCAATTATGCCGCGCGATTGATGGTGTCTTTCTCGCAGCAGATCCCTTCAGCGACCTCGCCTCGCAAGCAGTGCTCGAGAGGCTGGGATTTCACTTCCTTCCGTCTACAATCTCACCCGCCGTTGCGGGGTACCTTCGTCATGCAAATCACGTTCGACCGATATCTGCTGCTAACGTACTGGAGAAGCTCGAGTACGACATTGTCGCCAACCTCGACCACCAAAGTATTGATCAACTTCAGTCCTTTCTCTCGAAAATCCCTCCGCCATTACAAGAGCATCGTCAGCTCCTACGCGCACTACCGGTATTCCCTTTACTGCCGCCTGGTCAGACAGTGGCAACGATGCATATAGGGAGTGTCCCTCAAGTCGCTGCCCCAAAACTTGTGGCTCACAACTTTTCTTTACCTCTGCCCATTGTCCCTGACATTTGTTACATTTCCGATTCTGCCGTCGGACGAGCCTTGGCCCATGCCATTGACCCCGAGATCGTCACCCTAAGCGACCTAGACATCCTTCAAATGGCTCTCAATCAATTCGTCGCACAACCGGCGACTGTCCAGCTCTCGTTCGTCGTGTGGATAGCAGAAAATCCGGATTCTACTCCGAGGAAGCTCATTGACACTCTTGGGCAGATTCCTTTTGTCATGTCCAGAAACGACGCCTTTATGAGGCCCACCGAGATTGTTGACCCATCTTCGGACCTTGCTCGAGATCTCATGGAACCCAACGACCCACACCTGCCTCGTCTAGACAGCGCAGCGGACCTGAAGATGTTATCCAGTCTCAAAATGTTGAACCTCGTAGTCGTGTCTCTCACTCCCGCTATCGCCGGTAAATTGATCAGGCGAATTTCTGATGTTTCCACCGACCTCGCATCCCGACGTACCTTGTCAAAGAAACTCCTGAAGCTCATGGATCAACACAGATTTGACGCATCAAGCGTGAACCTGGATCGTAACCTTCGATGGCTCCCGATAGAGGGAGGCGAATTGTGTTCGCCCACAGAATGCCGAGACAGCATCGAGGACGATGACCATCCGACCAGGAGTCGTGCGCTTTTCGATATGGTGCTCAAGGTCGCCAGAATCTCCATCACATCTCCCTCTTTTCGCAGGACACTCGGCTGGGAGTCCGCTCTGCCTTTGTCCATCATCAAAGGCCAATTTCTGGCGTGTGCTGCTGCATGCGAGTCAATCCCTGCTCCCACTCTCGAACGATGTTTCTCCGCTTTGATCCGGGAGTTCGGCCGACGCTTCAGAAAGTTGACGGCCGGCGACCTCGATGAGCTTCGTGTAGCTACTGTCAATCACCGATGGATTCCAATAAAGTCTGTTCTATGCGAAGCACGATACACGGTGTTCTCGCTCGACAGCAGACTCCCACCGTTCAAAGTCTTTCATCCGTCGAATATAGGAGAGTATGAGTTCTTACGTGCTATGGGATGCACTGAAAGGTATTGACTCCTCCCGCATGTTTTCCTCAGGTCACGCATCTGATTCGGTTATTTGGTACAGTCCTTCACCGTCAGCAGTTCAAGATGCTTTATTATCCATGCCGAACCATGTAGGAAATCACTCTCTCCTGAGCCAGGCTTTGAGCTTGCTCTCTTACCTCGCTCCCCAAGTTGACTCGCTGAGCAAAGAAGAGCGCGCTGCCGTCTTGATCGTAGGGGACGACGATGGTCTTCACTTGATCGACAAGGTTTTTTACAATGACCTTGGCTCCCGTGCTGCACTGGTGGCTTTGCCAAATGAAGTCCGACTCGCTCACCGTTGCATAACCGAAGAGTACGCCCGAGCATTCAGCCTCGCCCCATTGTCTTCCCTCCACATCACGGATGAGGCCGAAGATGACGACGATATGGGTGAAGCACTCACCGCCCGCATCGGTGGTGCTCTACGTCAATACAGACCTAAGCAGATGTTCACGGAGTTTCTCGCCAACGCTGTCGACGCAGGGTCTAGAACCATGAGTATTCTCCTTGACCAAACGACCTTTCCGACCGAATCCATTCTGTCACGGTCTATGGCTCAATTTCAAACGTCGCCTGCCCTCGTGTTCCACAACGACGCTGTTTTCACCGACGCTGACTTCCAAGGAATCAAGAGGGTCGGGACGGGTAGTAAGCGGTCGCGTCCAGGAAAGATTGGGCGGTTCGGCCTAGGTGCCCTCTCCGCGTACCATGTCACTGAGGTTAGTTGAACCCTACCAACCACCGACGACGACAGTTCCTTACTCATTGAGGCTGCCAGGTTGTCATCATCGTCTCAGGGGACTCCGTGCTATTCTTGGACCCGTCAAAGAAGTACGTGGCTCCTACCGAGCGTCGCGCTGCTCGGCTCATCAAGATCAAAGCGATGCGTCGGTGAGCGGTATTTCTTTAGACATCTCGATGAGACGACTGCTGACCGAGTGTACGCACGCAGACTTTTTCCCGATCAACTCGCGCCTTTTGAGGGGCTCTTTGGTTTTTCTGTCTCAGAAACCGACTACTACAATGGAGTGCGATCATCTTTCCTATCTTTCGTGCCACAAGGTCACACAGCTGATACATTTGCTCACAGACCATGTTCAGGCTACCGTTCCGTAACCACTTGCAGGCCAAAAATAGTCAGCTGTCGACGGCCACCTTCGATGCCTCCGACGTGCTTACGATGATCACGTCCTATCAGGTTAGCGCCAAACAGTCGACCACATTTGTGGCCATCGATGAGTTGTCTTGCCACCACCGAAGGACCAAGAATGTTACTTCGCTGTTGTGGTCATTGGGTGTGTCTCGTAAATCGATGCCGGACGAGTTTTCCACCAATGTCGCCCATCAGATGTTGACCATCGACACGAGGTGCTTTTCTTCCTATCCAACCGGTCGCTGCGCCCGCGCTTCGGAGATGATTCATGTGGCCATCGAATCCTTTTCCAAGGCGGACACCCCACCTGCGTTTCATCCACTCTTCGACAAACATATTCTACCACAGACCTTATCTGTCGGTCTCGGCTTCCATCTTTCAGATGCTTCGGAGTTACTGCCATCGAGGCTCTTTTCATTCATGCCATTGCCCATTGAGATATCACTTCCTACACACCTCCATGCGTCCTTCATCATGGCCGACGACCGCCGCACGATTCGATTCGATGATGGGTGTGATCCAGCTTCGGAGTCAGCCTATAATAGGTGGCTTCTCTCTAGTCGCATTCCCCAACTATACCTTTCCCTTCTCCATCATTGGCCAACTTCCGAACCGCATCATCTATGGCCTTCGACAACAGGCAAAGACCCATATTCTCGACTCGTCGCACAGTCCTTGTATGTGCTGACTGGAAATGAGTCCCAGAGACGAGTTTGCGAGACCATCTCCGGTCACAGAGTTGCTCCTACTTCTGCTACCCTGCTTGTGGCATCGCCTGCACCGGATTCCGATTTGGCTGGAATCCTGGAACTTCTGTCGCCAGAGGACCTTGTCACGCGGCCTGTACACTTGTTACACACAAGTATGCGACGCGTCGACCACTCTTATGTTCGAGACACCGTCTATGCCCTACGGGAACATTTCGTAAAGCTTTTCGATGAGGGGAAGATACTTCCTAAACACGCCGAGAGTGTCATACGGTACCTATTGCAAGATACTAAGGGACGCGGGCCCGCTTTGTTGCAGGACCTTCCTCTACTGCCATTGGGAGATGGAACCCTTTCCACCCTCGGAAAAACGGACCGTTCATCGTCAACGATTTGCTGGAACGTCGGAAGCGTGTCCACAGTAGATCCAAGCCGCGTCTTCTCCCCTACTCGCTTCGTTGCAAGCACAGTCAACTCTTCATATCGAACCATGCTCTTATCCCTCGATATCGGCCTGGTTCTCCTTAATGACGAGATAATTGCGGAGTTAGTCTGCCAACGGATCGCCGAAGGAGATGATCGTATACTTACGAACGAAGATTCCGAATGGATCATATCGCAATTTTGGCCCACCTTCGACGCTCTTCATTCAACCAAACCGTTGACCGCGAAGTTTTGCGCTTTACCGCTTGTACCAGTCGCCAGATGCGAGAATCGGTTCGTGTCGATTGCAAAATGTCGTGGTCCTTTTGTGTTCTTGGCCCCGGAGCCAAAGGACCGATGGATCGTAGACAGTTTGGATCGTATTGGCGCTCTTCAGGTCGAGAGGGACGCACTACCACCACCCCTTCAACATAGACTCGAGTTCTTGCAATTTTCCATACACACCGTTCTGGACTTCCTTGCACTTCCCGATACCTCACTGGCCGATTGTTTCGCCCACATGTCTACCGAACAAAGTGGTCAGATGTGTTCGTGGCTCCGTCAGCAGCTCAGTGGACTTCCTTCGAATAGGCCTGTTCCCCACTCGGCAAGGCCTTTACCTATCTGGCCCGCTCGCCATATATCGGATGGACTCCCTCACGACGTTTTATCCACTGCCGACACCATTGAAATGCTACCACTCGGTGTCTCTTTGGACGATGCTGGCCTGTTCCTTACCGCTGGACAGTATTCTGCGTTCGACCCCGTTCTCAGAACCACTCTCGGCGTTCAGCCTATGAATGTCTCCACATTTAGGAATCGTTTATCCTTGCAATCGGGCTCTATCATTCCCCTCCGCGATCTAGACGCATTTGGCCGGCTCCTTACTACAATCATTCAATCCTCTAAATCTGATAATCAGCCTATCCTCGTGCCCAACGCCTCCGGCGTGTTGACTCCAACCAGCTCGTTATACGCTCTCAGCGAGCCTCTCTTCAGCGCTGCGTTCGCGACTCGACGGCCGGAGGTATTCATTCACACCGCGTTGGTTGATCGGGAGGCGTCTCTTGCTTCATTTGGGCTACACACAACCGTCGACTTTGAGGCGTTCAAAGCCTGTGCCACCGCTATCCACGATGCCGACGACTCTGACACGTATCGGGAGCAGAGCGCATCAGAGGTTTTCGAGTTCTATCACCAGCGTTTGACATGGGATCCTCATACCAGATGGGAGCAGGTCGATTTCCTTCAATTTATCCCTCGTGCAGCTGCACGTCGTAGGGACATGCCTGAATTTGACGGCTATTCCAGGAATCTTCCCAAAATCGTCTCCCCATCACAACTCCTGCGACCCGAGTACGAACGAGTCGCATGGACCCAAAGAGGCCTGTTTAAATCCGCACCGGACGACCGTCTTTTATTCGGACACAAGACTTTAGGTATTCCGACAGTCAAGGAAGTGGTATGTTTGTTCTACATCAATTGTTATTCGAGGGACTCATGTTGATTATTTTCAGGTGAAGCATTTCTGTGTGCTTCGTAAGATCGCGCAGGATCATCCCCACAGCAAGCTTCTCGTTGGAGACATGCGAGCCACCATGAGCTACCTTCAAGAGCACGTTGATGAAGCAAGACAAGACCTTATACAGCTCAATCAAGAGGCTCTATTCCTCAACGTCAAAGACCCGAACCGCGACATATGGAAATGGGCATCCGCATCTGTGCTCATCTTCAACGCACCTGACGGGGAGGGCTTTACAGCAGTTCACTCGTTTCTCAAGCCATACGAAAAGCTCATCCTCGCCGCAGGGGGCTCAAAAGTAGAACGCGTTCGACCAGCTCCTCTTCCTCCCTCTGCGCCTGAAGAGATGTTGGCGGCCATCCGGACATCTTTTGAAGCGCTTCGACAATCCCATACCTTGACAGATGTCGCATTCGTGAGTGAATCCGGGGATGAACATCACGCCCATCGTGCTTTCTTAGTTGCTGCTGGACCGTACTTCAAATCGATGTTTTCTGACTCTGGGACAAGCGAGTGTCGTAGTGCTGGTTCTGAAGATCCAGTTCGAGTCGTTATGCCTCAGTCCTTTGGGTCGAACTCAATTCGATACACGCTAGGTGAGACTTCTCGTGTGCGTGTCAAGGACGTGCCCGGCATCCATTGCTAACTTGAGTATCTTCAGACTTCGTATACACGGGAAAGCTGTCAAAAATCGAGTACGATGACGTGCAGGATCTATTGGAGGTATTGGATCTATCTAACGCCTGGGACCTCGACCTGCTGAAGGACGCCGCGCAACATGATTTGGTGGAGCACATCACGCAGGCGACGTATCGAGAAAGTATGACACTATCTTCATTGTGACGCTCTTTCAATCGTACTCATATTTATTTATTTAGTTAAGGAATATGCAGAGCATGCAGAGGCGAGGACGTTACTGGAGAAGTGTGTTGAGTTTGAGCGGACGAATGCGGCACTGCTGAGGCGAGGAGTTTAGAGTCAGTACAAGGTTTGATCTGCACTTTCTTCCGTGAGCTGTCGACGTATGTTGAAGATTCTCACGAGAGTTTTGAAGGGGTCGTATCACCTATCGTTTCCCGTTCCATCTTACAGAATCACGTTCTTTGTATATTCGACTTGGGTACTAGGCAACTAGAGAATCTCTTGCTAAGGGAGCGCTGGTGCCATCATGGCACCGCAAAGTCTACTGGAAGTGAGACAAAGAAAAACACCGCAGGGTCTACAACTTATCTTCTCGAAGCAGCCTAGATATATTATCTCCCGGTCAGCTATTTTTACCCGTATGAGATCCTTGCACCCACTCCCGCAACACTCTGCAGATCAAGTCCACCCAGACCCGACTCCCACATATCTATCAGCGTCATGTACTCTTCCATCGCATGCTCTCGCATCAGTCTCAGTTCCGCAGCCCCCGTCTCAAATGTCTTCAATCCTTCCGGTGCGAATGACTGGCCAGTCGGATGCTTAACTTGAGTACCATCAGAAATTTGGGGATAGCGAGATGAGAGCATCGTTACAAGGGCAGTGAACGTGTCGGCGAAGGATACAGGGGGTTCTGCAGGCGGTGAGGCTTTACGTTTCTTTGTGTTGGTTTCGGGCTCGGGATCGAGGTTGTGTGGTGCGCGGAGACTGATTGAGGTGAGGTTGACGTTATTGCCACTTTTCAGGACCACATACGACCCTTCATCCCCGGACGCCTCCTCGAACTCGAGCGTCAGGTCCTCCAAGAACCATACCATCTTCTCATCCTTCCAGTCCACACCCGTTAGAGTCAACGACCGTAAATCCTGCAAGTCATACACAGCCAGTCTAACCGCGTTCGCAGGGGCAGAGTCTGCAAAATACCCCTCATGCCAAAGCCGAGGCCACAGGTTCGTCTCGAGCTCTGTTAACGTAGACGTGCACCCACGTATGAGCCTCTCGATCCCTAGACCAAGCTTCAACGAAGCCAAGTCATCCGAACGAAGAGAACCCGAGTCAGGGATTGAAATATTTGGGCCCCTCCCAGTACGATCGCCTTCTTTGGTTTTATTGCCGTTGTTCGTGTTCTTTTCGGTGCTCGCGAGATCTGTCGTGCTAGGAGGAGGCTGTGCTGGTCTCTCGACTTCCAGCTTCAACGTCTCTAGCCTCGAACAAGAGAAGGCCGAGATGATGGCTTCCATTGTCTCCATGTCATCCGTCATCAGCTTGAGCTCTCTCAACTCGGCGAACCAAAATCTCATTCTTCCAATAGATCCCGCCGGGCCGATCTTTGTCTTTGGTTCTCCTTTTTCAGCCTCGCCCGCATTCACCCCGAGACCACAGAGTGACAACTCGAGAGAGACGAGACGCTCACAGCCAAGTAATTTGCCAAAGAGCTGGAGCAAGTCGAGCCCTGTTTTCCTCAGATCGGTGCGTGATGTGAAGTGTGTCAACTGTGGAAGGGGGAGTAAATCCAGATCAAATGAGCCTTCGAATAGTAGGATTTCGAGACGACGAAGGTTGCGTGCGATGGCGGGTTGGAGGAGCTTGATGGCGGGCAAGGAGAGCTCGGTCCATGCAGCATGTGTGGACGTAACGAGGGGGCCTGAAAGTGAATTGTTGAAGACAATGGTCTCGGTGGTGGTCAGAGTGAATTCGGGTATAGCGAATAGTTGCGGGAGAGATGTGAGCTCGAGGGTGTTGGGTGGCGTTTCCGCCTCAGAATCCAAGGCTGGGGAGGGAGAAGGGAATGGTTCGGCTGAAGACATGAGGTAGGCAGAGAGGGAGACGCGAGAAACCCAAGAATATCGATGCTTCAGCGAACGACCTTTTTGAACAGTTCGGGTAAATGCGGATAGATAAACGATCTTTGCATCCGAGAGGAGTGACACAATCGATCTAGTCAAAACAAATAAGCGCCCATTACTACCTACTCAACTATCAGTTTCTTCGGTTGCGCGGCGTAAGGGTCAAGTGAAGACATACCTTGAGACCAGTCACCGTATAAATCAAGATAAATCACCAGCTCGATCACGATATCATATCAGAGTCGTCTTCCTTCTGACTCGGCAGGTCTTTCTCGCTGGCCAACTTCTGCAATCGTCTCTTCTCGGCCCATTCCTTCGCGCGGGCTCTCCTCGCCTCCTTTCTCGCCTCTTCGCCCACATCCATAGTACCTTTGTCCTCCTGCACGACGTCTACGGGTGCAATATCGACTCCAGCGTTTGCCGCGTCGTCCACGCCATCCATGCCTGTAGGCACTTCAGACTGCTGCCCTTGTTGGTCTCCATTGTCCCCCTTCTCTGCATTTCCTGCATTATCACTATCCTCCTCGTCTGAATCATCGTAAGCCATCAATCCACCCAACCCCTTTCCCTTGCCTTCTTTTGCTTCTTTCTCCTCCCTTTCCTTCTCCTCCATCTCTTTCCTCACCTTAGCTTTCATCACTGCCCAGGTCCTCTTCCACCGCCCCTTCAGAAACGCGAACCTCGGATCTGCGCCATGGTTAGCCAAAATCCGCATCTCAAGTTGGGAAGGATTAGGTGAAGTGAGAATGTGGTTTGCTGTGCGGCTCATTATCTGCCTCTGTGGCTCTGGGGGCTACGAGAGTATCAACGTGCGCGAACCAACAATGTGCAATAAATATCACAAGAACATAGGTCAGTTATCAGAAGCCTGGAGAGGGTAGATAATTGGTGATAAGAAGAAACCAGGACAGACCTCCTCGTCGCTTCCACCCCATTCGTCTTCTGCCTTGCCATTTCCATCGTTCCCATCTTCTTCCTGGATAGCCTTCATCCTAGCCTTCCTGTTCTCTTCCATCAGCCTCCTTCGTTTCACATTCCGATATTCCTCTACTTCGGAGGGTTGGAAGAAGAAAGTGTCTTCGGAGTCGGAAGGGAGATCAGACCACCCTGAAGGAGAGGCTGCGCGGGTAGCTAGTGTGGCGGTGGCGACGGTCGAGGTCGAAGGTGTCACGGAAGTGGAATGAGGAAGTGTCAGAGGCGATGTAAGGAGAAGTCGAGCGTCGTATCTGTATAGCGTCACTGTTAGCAAGGCGTCACTGAAAGGAAGAAGAAAGTGTGAAAGGGGAGTACCGAAAATCGAGAGGAATATAGTTCGATTGTTAGTTTGTAACTGCTACGAAGTCAAGGATCCCTTGATTGCAATCGCGTCATACTTGGCCCGCTCATATAGCTTGCACCAGTCATCCAAACCAGAGCCAACTCAAGCTCTCATGAACCACAAGACGCCTTAAATCATCAATAAATTTCTTAGAAAATATACACACCTATCTACCCACACGGCGTCGGCCTCTCCACTATTACTTTCCTTTCCCTCCTCATCCACATTCTTCGATGAAACCAGATCCCACTTGATCAACCCACTTCCGATGCCACCCCCTTCACTTCCACTACCCATTTTGACCTCCAAGGCGGCCGCCGCATTCTCCGCGTGCGGTCCACGTATCACGTCCGCCTCATGCGCGACAATAAAAAGCGCTGGGTCGGGCTCTGACCTCGAAGTCTGCGCTGGATTCAGCTGAAATCTCGATTCAGAACCCGATGGAGGATATGGATGTTGGGAGCGAAGAAAGTTGTTAGTGTAAGCACGATCGGTTGGGTAACGACCTGGACGGTTCTTGCGTTTGCGCGAAGACATCAGAAAAATCCTAGTCACAGCAGTCTCCTTCCGGTACCGTTGCCTGCTACAGTAAAAGCGAGTTGATCCCAGAGAAAAATATCGGTGAGCCGGATTCAAGCAGCACTAGGTACTAGGGTGTCATGGATGTCCAGGAAAGACCCGTTGTTTATTCAATTATTGACACGCACTAGCCCCTCTTCCACGTGGCTCGTGTGGCGCGCGCGAAGGACCGATACTGTGGCCCACTACGAACTTGTATCTGAACGTGATTCCACTGTGTAGTCCCCACAAGCAGAGCTGTCATATAACGTAGGTGTATTCGGATGTCCAGTACCATAAATCTAAATATCTTGGGCGGGTAAGTCACCATGTTGAGTGAAAATCTCCTCCCCCACGAATCACGATCCTCTCACATCAAGACAGACAGCGAAAATATGTTCCATATGTTGACCAAAGAAAGCAGTCTTGATTTTGTACAATGGTCCTAGAGTGCACATCCAGACGACATCCTTCTCGCAAGCATCAGATTTAAATAAACAACATCCACTCTTCGTGACCCCAGATTCAACTCACATCCGCGGATATCTGGAGATACAGTAAAGAGGGACATTGGAACGTCAGCGTCGTGGGTCGAGAAGATGCAATTCGGACACAGTACGTTGCTCGCGGGAGAACTTGAACGTCCATGCGTTGTCCCCAGACCGTACGTACTCGCAGGAGCGATTTCGAAGGCGGGACACCCGCGGACAGTCATCGGGATGAGAAACAAGACGAGGAAAGTCTGTCATACACATGAGGCAGCGGCTTACCCGAAGTCCCCTAACGATCGAGGTGTTGTCATCGCGGACACGCTCGACGGCCTGTGAGGCTGAGACACGCAGCAGACAAGAACGAGAGCGGGGAAAAGACGAGTCCATAGAATGTGCCAACACTACACAAGAACACGCCCTAAGAGAATCGAGACTACCTTTATACAAACACAAGATGTGCGAAATACCGAGGAGATACTATAGTAGATAAATTCAGTTCAGACAGACTCTGCTCTACTGCACCAACTTCACGCGCAGAGGAAGATATCCGCCCTTCCCATCGACGAAAGGCTGCAAAGTCGGCGAAATCTTGGTGATGACCTTCACGCCAGTGTCCGAAAGCTCGAAAGACCGGATCAGCGTCGCGAGAATCATCTTCAACTCAGCGATAGCTAACGACCGCGAACGACATCGCCGAAGATATCAGAAATGCTCGTCAGTGGTTCTCAACAAAAGGTGCGAAATGAAGGAGCTTACCAAGTCGGTATCCGATGCAGTTCCTTGGTCCGTCGCAGAAGGTAGTGATGTTGCCCCATCCGTGAGGGAGTTCGTTAGCAGGCTTGACACCGCCGACTTCGATCCAACGTTCGGGTCGGAAGGATGGCCCATCGGGGCCCCAGACGGCGGGGTTGATGTTGAGAGCCGTAAAGGGAATTTGGAAGATCTAGTACCACACATAGTCAGCACGCAGCATCAAGGGAGTATAGTAATCGGAGGGAAGGAAAGCGTACCTGGCCTGCCTTGATGGGAACAGAAGTGATGATGCGGCCATCAGAGGTGTGGATTGGAGTGCTGAGCGGGATGATGTCGTTTTCGAGGGCAACGCGGTCAGTGCGTGGTGCGGCAGGATGAAGGCGCAATCTAAGGATAATAGAACACGAGGCCCCTGGTAAGCAAAAGGAAGGTCGATGGTAGATGAATTGTGGTACGAACCCTTCTCTCACAACCGCGTCGAGATACTCAAGCTTTTGCACGGCGTCAAAGTCGAGGGTATTGTCACCGAGACTGAGGATTTCTTCGCGGAGCTTCTGTTGAGCGGGCTGATTACGAGCGAGGTCGAGGAGAGTCAAGTTCACTGCGTAAACGTTTCGTCAAGGTAACGTTAAGTGAACGTATAAATATCTGTATACGTACAGGAAGCAGAGGATGTCTCGTGGCCGACCATTCTGGCACGGGAGGCGCAATGAGCATGATATAGAAAGAAAGAAAGCAAAATCGAACATACATCATCGTCGCGATCTTGAGTTTCGGTAGCAACAATGGTCATTAGTCGAAAGCCCCATAAGTGCGACAGGAAAACGGAGCTCACGTTGTTGAGAATCTGGTCCTTGGACAGACCCTTTCCATTGCTAAGCTTGTTCGCTCTCATCAATAAACTCAACATATCCTTGCCATTGCCGCTAGGCCTTTCCTTCGCGTCATTCTTCTCGTCGACACTTTGACTGTCCAACATCTCCTCCCTCTCCATAAGTTTGCCTGCCAACTCGAACGCTACCCTCTTCGTAACACCCTCTCCGACGTTGTTTGCGATCCAGGGGAACATGCCAATGATGAAGGGAGCAAGGAACCCGGCGAAAGTAATGCCCATGTTGACGTCCTTGTCCCATGAGTCGCGGATGAGCTTGGCTTCGTGGGATTGGCCGGATTGGAAGTCATGGCCGAAAGCGACGCGGCCAATAATATCAAGACTATGAGGGAAGGGTCAGATATGTTAGATGAAGCGACTAAAATGCGGAAGACGATTATACAGCGAAAGTACATACGTGCAAGCAGAGACTTGAGGAGCGATGTCGAGGGTCATCTCACCCTTATTGGACTCGAGCAAGCTCATGAGTCTGCCTTCGAGCTACAACACACGTGAACAGAAATCAATTTGCCTTCCCATGGGAGGTTAACGCTGACAGAAAACACGAACCTTCGCAACGGATTCACAGATATCATCGGCCATTCCTCGGACGCTTTCGGTACTACAGCGTAAGTGTATCAGTGTGTTGTTGAGGATGACTGATATCAGAGCGTGGAGCTTACGTGAAGGCTGGAGCAAGGAGTCGACGCTGGATCTTGTGTTCGTCGCCTTCCGCCCATGGTAAGCCCTTCCCAAGCAGTTTCACAATGAGTGGCCTGGAGTACGACAGCTGTCAGCACTGAGCGTTTAAGCTTAAGTGTATAGATGACATCCTACCGGAACGCAGGCGCTTTGACTGAAAGGCGGGAGGAGAACAAGTGAGCAATCAAGTAAATGAAAGCGACTTGAGCGTTTACTGACCGAAGCGCTCAGAGTATTGAAAGATATGCTGAGCCGCCGCATTGTCAATGACAACAATCTGTGAAACAAATGTGTGAGTATCGTGCCACGTAGAGTGGAATGCGTTATACAACTAACAGCGTCCTGGCCAAAGAAGGCGGTCTTGATCCTATAGAGCGATCCTACCGAGCGCATCCAGTCGACATACTTCTCGCAGGCCTCATGGATGAATAACGAATATTCGTGTCCCCATATCCAGCTTGCATCTTTGGAGCTCTAAATGTCGCCAAACAGCAACAGGAGGTCAGCGTTGTTCTGATGGAAGATAAATGGCTCGGAAACAGTATGTTGCTCACGGGTACGGGGAGAGCCTGAACATCCCTAGGTTGTTTTTCTTTTAGAGCTGAGCGTATGAACAGAACAGAGAGAATAGAAATCGAGACAAAGACAGTAGGTGAAAGGAGCGACATGTTTGTTGTTGCTGAAAGACGGAGAGCAACAGAGTAGAGTGTTCAAGAATCAGGAATTGGAATGAACACCTCACCGTTCCGCTCGGTACATATGAGAAGGTAGGAGAAGGCTCCGACACGGCGAAGTTGGGTTTGTGCCAATAAGCGTGGTTTCACCGGAGGCCGTCGCCGTGGCTCGACGGGCTGGTCGTTGCCCAGACTCCCAGTGCCCTCATCGGCGGTTATTTCCCGGAAGGAGCTCGTAAATTTACTTGTGGGAGATCACAGCGGTGCGAAATTTGGCGAAGCGGACGGGCGTGGGAAGGCGTTGACTTCTACTGATTTCGGCATTTTCCGCAGACGAACAAACTTGCACCGCACGCCACGAGGTTCTGATCATTATTTTATCCATGTCGATGAGCCTGGGGGAAGAGGAGACTCAGACTGCTCGTTCAAAGACACAGCTTGCCTCGAAACATCTCTTTCAATACTCTCGAACCTGGTTTGAAAGTGCATGGTGGGCTCATAGTAACCACTCAACGCAGGCCCCAAATTTTTTGATGGTCCAGGCGGGAGTCCTGCGGCAACGGAGACCCAAGCGGGTAAGTGTGTTTGCCACACGTAACTTATATTAAATGAAATCACCGCTCCTTCCTTCCGTACTGAAATGAACTCCTATTCTAAAACAATAGCCCAGATTTTATGAACGTTTGCGCTGAGGCTCGTTTTTCTTGGGTACGAGCGCCCTTACGCTTTCGCCGCCCAAGCACGAGCTATCTACGATACCGGCCGCTTCCCATAGTGGGCTCCTATGTAGCCCGTATTCTCTGTCTCAACATATAAAGAGCGGAGCGTATACCTCGCGGTGCCTGGTAGTAGTTATGAGATGCACGCTGCGCTCGGCTATCAGTCTTGAAGGCCGTCAAAAATGTCCGGATCCGTGTCCTGGGCGGAGTAAACCTGGAACAAATCAGACAAAAATGGTGTCTGATTTTAACGCAAAGCTTCCTATGGTCATGGGATCGATGGCCTCAGAAGCGCTCGCCAAGGTTCAGTATACGTTCTTCTTTCGCCGACTTACACGCTGTCCGAATATAAACATTCCGCTCCTTACCAACCTTCACCCCCCTTCCCCTCCGAAACCCTTCAGTCTGCGTCGCGCTCTTCGTGACCATCTCCTCTGCCTCTACTCTAGGCCTTGTTCTCTCGACCCCGTCGCAGAATATGGTGAATTGGCAGTCTGCAGCGGAGTTAGCGCACGATGCGAGTGAGTAACTGTTCCGTTAGCGGATTTAAATCGACAGGCTCATGTTCGGCATTTTTCAGCGGCATTCAATAACCTCATGCATGTCCTGCTTGGGCTTTATATGTGCGTCCCTGTTGCTCTCCGGCTGTCCTCAGGCTAATCAAACACGGCAAAACGAAGATGGGAGTGGTTTACCAGTTTAGACTTCGATTTTCTGTATATTTTTGGCAAACGGAAATTCAGATGGCCTATGGTCTGTTTTTTGTTGCTTTCAGTGCCTTCATTATGTTGATATCCTGACCGCCCGACAGATCTTTTATTTCGGAGCTCGCCACTCGATGGTCGCTGTGATGATCGGACTGTATGTCGGCCTGATACGTATTCCCTGTCCGTGAAGTTTATTAACTATGTCGATCTCTTCAATCTCGCCCCGCAAAAGTGCGATCTCGTTGAATGTAACAACGTGAGTCCAGCTCTGTTACTGTCACCGTGATTTGAATTTATTTTCTGACCGTTGTACGCCGACTGCAGAGAGATCAATTGCCAGTCCCTGTATACCTATAACCAGCTTGCAGGCAACTTCGCCATCGGTCTTTCCAGCGTCAACCTCTCCATCCGATGGTTTGTACTCCCGCATTTTCAAACATCACCTGCAGCACGCCAACAACTGTTCCTTATTTATAGCATGGCAGTCTGGGGTCAAAACATCAAGGTCGTCATTCCTATCTGCATTATCATCGCCGGCCATTGGGCCGTTCTCCTCCGTAGTATCATCGTCGTCAAAGCCGCCTGGGTCCCTGGTGCGGGATGCGCCATCACTCAGACCAGTCAAGCCTGGCTTTCGGCGATTTATATCTACACGATGTGTTTCGACGGGATCGTAACGACTCTGCTGACAGTCAAGCTCCTGGCGCCGGTGGTGAAGGGGCAGGTGCAGATGAATAAGTTGACAGAACTGGTGTTTGGTGACGGGTTGATTTATTTCGTCATTGCGTGAGTTATTGTTCGATTAACGAAGTTGTGAGCTGTTTTCGCTGACGTTGCCTGACAGGTTCTTGTCAAACACGGTCGCTGTGGTGCGTTTAATTCCTGTCTCTACTTCTCCGCTGTTTGACGAAGATTGTTTATCGTTGCGACTTACAGATCTTCATCTACTTGAACCTGAATGCTGTGATGTCAGTCATTGCTGAAGTACCAGCGGCTATGGTATCCGTTGTAAGTAATAACCTCTATCTGATCACACGAGAATCTTCGTGAACTGAGCCTGTGTACCTTCTCCCTCAGATCGTCGCTTGTCGCGTCGTCCGTAGGTTATCCAACTACGGCCAAGCAAGTACCTCGGAAGTGTGAGCAGTCCTTTGTCTAAATCGTCCCTCGGATATTTACTGAGTATTCTTTCTTGATGAAAAAAGTACCGGGGCATCGACATCGCAACGGGCAAATATCACCGGCTTCAAGCACAATCAAGCCGCGAGCCGGGGCGTCCACGTCCAGGTACGTCTCTTCTGTCACCGTCCTTATGGCTCAACGTCTGACAGTGTTTATTGTAAGATGCAGATGGAGACGTTCAAGAGTCCAGACGATGTAGAAGCTATGCCCTCGAGTGATCATATCGCTGAGTCTGACAGCAACAAGTACGACCACGACTCGGTATCGAAGGCCCAATTGAGGGATGATTTCTAAAGGCATGGATCTAGGCAGATGTTCTTTGGCGTATGGACGAATCGTGCGCCCTATCGATAAAAGCTCCGTTTTATTCTGAAGAGTACGCAAAAGAAACCCCTACTCGCTTCTTACCTCCTTACCTTATCCTTCCTTCCTCCCTTCCTCTCACAACCCATACTCATAAACCGCTATTCCACGCGTCTTTCTCGGTCTGTTATAACCTTCCGTACAGGCTCATTCCCTCGCTCATTTATCTGTACTACCGGTCGACTGAACCGACGTGTCACCTCATTATACCTTGTCCCCGATCTACCAAGCTCTCTCTTTCCTCTGTTACATAGGTTCCTCCGTTTGGTTTTCATTCCCGCTCGTTTTCAACTTGTCTTTCTTTCGGTATTGTTGGTTCTTGGTAGAGGTCGGAAACAATGTTCTATCTATTGCTTGACGTGTACGCAAAGATAATCGTGTGCATCACGCAAAATCGCAGGCACCACACCGTTCTGTCAGAAAATGTACTTGTGGCTGCCCAACGATCTTGGAACTTTGCATCTCTGACTGAATGCCCGCCCAAGGACACGGTGACACCGCCTGATGCAAACCTGATGCTTTCACCAAGGAAATCGTACTGGTGTCTAACTTATCATGGGGGAGGAAGAGCCACCGCGTCGTGGTACATGATTCTAAGGTTGTAGGGGAGTATACTCATGAAATCCCAAAGGAGAACGCGATCAGGAGACGGATGCCAGTCGTTAATACCAGAGCCAAGACTGCCAGCGGAGTGAATCAACATCATTTGAGAAGAGCGCGCATCGTGCAGGCGCGGTGGCTCATAGAATCCTTCGTGATCTCTCGATGAATGTGAGTATGAACACCCATTGTGACTTAGGATGACACAGAATTCGTAGCTCGTCGCACTAGGACTATCTTATCCACTCACCCATCCGTTCAACACCCTCAAAGCACGCTGAAAAAGAAGCCAAGAAAAAAAGAAAAGATTTATGCATTATCTGGATCATGTACTCCCATCCTCCAAGCGTCGACAGCGATATATATATAAAACGAACCAAAACACCCCCCAAGACATCTAGCGTATCGCAAGCCTCAAGCATACGAAGCCTGCGGTGCCTTCTCATCCTGCGAGAACCCGTACGTCTCCGCCTTGACAAACGACTTCGTACAGTGTGCCATCGTCACCGACCTGCATCACGAGAACCATCCGTCAGTATGGATTTATGGACCAAGGAGAGCAGAAGAGAGGAAGCAGTGAAGGAGTGAAGGGACTCACGCTCTCGAGATCGGATCCGTCTGGTAGAAGTTTGAGATTGGTTTCTGGAACGGCGCACCAGTGACCTTCGCGCCCTTCGTATGTCTCTCCAGCGTCTTCAAACCCTCCAGAGCAAACTCGGTGGACGTAGGCTCCAGTGAGTCGTACCTCACCAACGTTGGTGAGATTTCCCACATGCGATCCCGGAGAGACAGGACATCGTCATAAGGCAATGGCTGGCCAACAACTTCCGACAACGCACTGCACAAATTATACCACATACCAGCATCATCATCAGCATAAGTTCGCTGATCTAAAATACGTGAAGAGTGAGGGATAAAGACGAACCGAATGATCTTCCAATCCTCCCTCGAGGCCCCAGGTGGTGGCACCGCCGCTCTCCCCAACTGTGCCCTCCCCTCCGTGTTCACCCACGTCACACTCTTCTCCGTATACGCGGCCGCGGGAAGACACACATCCGCGAGCTGAGCACCAATATCACCGTGATGGCCCTGGTAGACTACGAATGCATCCTTGGGGATCGACTTGGGGTCGATCTCGTCAGCATTGCAGAGGAAGATGAACTTGGGGTTGGCGGAGGCGGCTTTTTTAGTCGGGACGAAGCCGATGTCGTAGGCTGCTGCGCGGGAGGCGACCTGTATGTAACGAACCGTGATCAACACAAATTCATAATGGTGAAGCAGGGAGAGGAGATGTGGAGAGAGTATCAAAGACGTACCCGCTGCAGAACCGAGAAACCGTTCCACTCCGGCGTGACCAGCCTATCCTTGTTCTTCTCCACGAACTTCGCCAACGCGTTATACACCGCAGGTCCATCCGCGTGTTCCGAGACCGCACTCCCCACGATAATCAACGGTTTCTTCGCCGCCTGGAACTTCTTTGCGAACTCTCCCTTGCCCGCCACGAAATCCGCAAGCCCCTTCGCGTCCGCACCAAGGTAATCATACCCATATGTCGTGTCCGCCCTCTCGCCCACGAGACCGACCTCCAGCCCGGTATGGAGCCACGACTTGCGGATGCGAGAGTTGAGGACGGCGGCTTCGTGACGTGGGTTGGTGCCTACAAGGAGGATGGCATCGGCCTCTTCGACTCCAGGGATGGTGGTGTTGAAGAGGTAGTTAGAACGAACGTCGATACCGGCGACAGGTGGGGCATAACCTCCGGTCTGGTCGAGGGCGGTGTTGTCTGAGCCAAGACGGTTGACGAAGTCCTTCAAAGCGACGAGGGTCTCCGTGTCCGCCAAATGACCCGCCACGGCCTGAATCTCGTCGCCCTTCGCGCCTGACGCCTCGAGACCTTCCTTGATAGCGACGAGCGCATCCTCCCATGAAGCTGAGACAAAACGGTCGCCGCGCTTGATGAGGGGAACCGTAAGACGCTGGAATTTGAGACCATCGTAGGCGAATCTCGTCTTGTCGCTGATCCACTCCTCGTTCACGTCGTCGTTCGTCCTCGGCTGCACTCTCATGACCTGCACTCCCCTCGAATCGATCCTAATATTCGACCCAACCGCATCCATAACATCCACGCTTTCCGTGTTCTTCAATTCCCATGGCCTCGAATGGAACGCGTACGGCTTGCTCGTCAACGCACCAACGGGACACAAGTCGACAATATTCCCGCTCAACTCGCTGTCCATCGTCTTCTCGACGTACATCCCGATCTGCATGTCGTTCCCACGTCCAGTCGAGCCGAGCTCTTCGACACCGGCGACTTCGTTGGCGAAACGGATGCAGCGCGTACATTGGATACAACGGTTCATGGAAGTTTTGACGAGTGGGCCGAGGTCTTTATCTTCGACGGCGCGTTTTCCGGTGATTTCGTGGAATCGGGAGCGGTCGGAGCCGTAGCGCATGGATTGATCCTGAAGGTCACATTCGCCTCCTTGGTCGCAGATGGGGCAGTCTAGTGGATGGTTGGAGAGGAGGAATTCCATAACACCCTCGCTAATAGTATATTAGAACTAGTATATATAGAAGTTGGATGGCATGCACTCACCGGGCTTCGTGGACGAGGGGAGAGTTGGTGAAGACCTTGGACCCTGGCATGGCTGGCATGGCGCAGGATGCGACGGGTTTTGGCGACCGCTCGACTTCGACAAGACACATACTGAAGCAACGTCAGCTTCAGACATCACGTACGGCTGAGTGGGATTTACCGGCAGTTACCAGCGATGGCGAGGCGGTCATGGTAGCAAAATCTGTAGTGACCGTCAGTCTTGGTACGAGAAGCGAAAGAAGAATACATACCGTGGTATTGTTGCGCCAGCAGCCTCGCAAGCCTGAATCAAAGCGGACCCTGAGAACAATTCAGTACTGGAGGGGGCTTCAGATTACTGCCGTCTCTGAAGTTGGGTGACAGGCTCGTCCCCACGCGTTGCGCCCCTGTACACTCCCCAACATCCTCGATTCGACTTGGCAGTAGACTTAAAGATTGAAAAATACCGGTGCACGACTGTCTCGATGCTTTTCAAGCCGTTGCCCGCCACCCAACTACAGAAACACCACAGGAAGGGAAACGACATACCTTGGGGAACCGTGACCTCCTTTCCATCGACGGTGAGGGTAATATCGGCGGAACGGCGTGATGACGAGGCGAACGTTCTCCGTGCTTAGAAGCCAATGAGTCGATTAAGCAGGAAAATAGATGGCATAAAACGCACTTGTTGAGGGAGAGTTGCAAGTCGAACAGATAGCTTTCCCGAGCGAGCCCTTGGACGCCGGCTTCGACGCAGAAGACACCAGCCTCAACATTGTGTACGGTGCTCCTCTAGCCTGCGGAGATAATGACGAAAAATTTACGAGAAAACGACGACGGCGACGAAGCGAAAGAATTGGTGAGCAGGTCGTCGACGACGTTCGACGCGATGACGGACGCTCGGAATTTGCCCGTGCCCGATTCGCCAGCCAATCGCGGCGCGCCGGATTACAAGCCTTCGGGCTTGCCGTGTTTTCCCCGGACTCGGCCGGCCATTCCCGGGGAGCGCGTCCCGAGGTCCCGTGACCTACACGCGTACGGGCCACGACGCCACGTCGCTCGACCGTCTTCCTGCCACCAAGACTAACGATGGATCTCTTTCAGTCGCAGCTGGCGAAGCTGCAGACACATCTGTCCTGGGTGACGACAGAGCCCATCGACTGGAAGTTCTACGTGCTTGCATTCTCATGGGCGACTTGTCTGTGGGAATCATACCTCTTGTATGTTTACTTTCGACTGGCATCTCTATACCTAATCTCATATGTTGGGCTTGTAATAGGCTTCGTCAATATCCATTATACTCAAAAACCGAGCCCCCTGCACTTCTCGCTGAACATTTCACACCTGAGGTCTTCAACAAATCCCAAAAGTATGGCAAGCACAAGGCCAAGTTCTCCCTCGTCTCTGGCCTCTACAGGCAGATCCTTGACACCGTCCAGATCCAGTCGGGACTCTTCTACCCTTGGGCTTGGAAGGCTGCTGGTCAGGTTATTGGGTATTTTAATTACGGCCCAGAATATCAGGTCAGTCTTGAATTTTGTCTGGAGGGATTCGTGGCATTGGCTGTGACTCTGTCGGTATACCCGCCCCGCGTGTGTGGGCGCCTTTTCAGGTCTCATGTGGGAGGAGCTGTGTAACTGTTTCGTGGATCTACCGTGGTGGCACACGACGGCAACACGACGTATCACGACGCCACATTTGTCCCACGCCACAATCCAAATGAACCAAGCCCCTGTTGACTTTCGCCGCTCACTAATGTGGTTCATACTTGCAGATCACTCAATCACTGGTCTTTGTGATCGTCCTCACTATCATCTCCACCGTCCCGACCCTCCCCTTGAACATCTACCAAACCTTCGTTCTCGAAGAGCAGCATGGCTTCAACAAAACCACCCCCTTGCTATTCGTCACTGACATGCTCAAAGGCTGGGCTGTCGGTTTCACCCTCGGACTTCCTCTGCTCGCTGCGTTCCTTTACGTTTTTGAGTGGGCAGGCGATAGGTTTATTCCATGGCTCATGGCACTTTTGTACGTTCACGCTCCTGTATAACTTTGCGTTGACACTTACTGACTTCGTGTGGTACTCGAAATAGGTTGACGTTCCAGATCACTATGGTCTTGATCTACCCGACGCTCATCCAACCGCTCTTCAACAAGCTGTCACCGTTGTCTGAAGGCGACCTCCGCAAGCGTATCGAGGCCTTGGCTGGCAAGCTCAACTTCCCATTGAAGCACCTCTACGAGATCGACGGCTCGAAACGCAGCTCGCACAGTAACGCCTACTTCTTCGGTCTCCCCTGGGTACGTTCACATTCTCCCTCCCTATCCTCTCATGCTCCCTAAAATACTCACACGTCACGCCACTCCTCGCAGAGCAAACACATCGTCATCTTCGACACCCTAATCAACCAAGCCGCCCCCTCCGAAGTCGAAGCCGTCCTAGCGCACGAACTCGGCCACTGGTACCACGCCCACCCCACCAAACTCCTCCTCATCTCCCAATTCCACCTCCTCTCCATCCTCGTCCTCTTCCCCGCCTTCCAACACTCCTCCCCGCTCCTCCGCTCCTTCGGCTTCCCCCCCGAGGTAGCCTCCTCCCCCTTCAACGGCCGCAAACCGCCCAGCGTGCTCGCGTTCTTGTTGTTCCAGATGGTGCTATCGCCGATGGAATGCGTGGTCGGGATGGGGATGAACGCGGTTAGTAGGATGTTTGAGTATGAGGCGGATGTGTTCGCTTGGGGTATTGGGGACTTGCTCGCTTCGAAAGGGGTGATCAGCGAGGAAGAAGCCCACGCTCCGTCGACTATCAAGGCCGTCCCTGAGCCTTCCATGGACGCTGTGCCGGTGGAGACGGACAAGGACGCGAATGGTAAGGCGGAAGGAGGCGAAGGGATGGGTATGGGCGATATGGGGAAGAGGTTGGGGAGGGCGCTGGTGAAGCTGCATGTGGAGAATCTGTCGACGGTTTGGGTGGATTGGTTGTATTCGGCTTATCACCATTCGCATCCGACGTTGACGGAGAGGTTGAGGGCGCTGGAGAAGATGGATGAAACGAGGGAGAAGGAGCGGAGGGGCAGGGAGAGGAAGGAGTTGTGAGCGTGCGAAGAGGTTTGGTTGGTCGATTCTCGTGTCAGAGGACTGATCAGAGTGGGTGGAGGGACGGACCAAAGGACGATGCCGCCTGGCTCATTGGCTTAGCTTAGTGAACATTCTCGGTGCGACGCTGTGTAGTCGGTCGAAAATTGCGTGCAGTTATTTATTCCAAATATTCTCGTTTCGACTGAACTCGATAAGAAAGAATTCCACCAGATTCTTCGCAGAAGCAACTTCGAAACAAGCTGGTTCATTCAATCGTCTCTCATCCATGCACGCGGCTCGGGCATACGAAGTGCGCGAAAGAAGAGGTGGATAACATTTCCGGGTTTCGGCGCAAAGGAGTCTAAGGGTAAATAACCAGTGTAACTAGCCGTATTGTAAAACAAACTCGACTGGAGGACAGCTCGTGTACTCGTCAAACCGAACGACTACCAGAACCTATCTTCTCCATGAAAGCTCCCACTTCATGCCTTTCCATTGCGGACTACGCGTAGCAGAAACAGCCAAGTCAGCGACCATATAACAAGCAGATTGAACAAAAGAGCGAATACATCCACCCACCTAAAGTCCCGCAGAACAATCATCCGCCCATTCCAGCGTATGTCCAATATCCGCCTCGTATCTCGTCCAGAGGCCGCCCTCCCTAATACACTCTTTCATGATCTTCCCAGTGTCCACAAACTCGCACGAGAACGCAAGTCCTTCCTCGACAAAAGGGCCGAATGCCGCTTGAAAAGCGTCTCGGAGCTGCGCCTGATGGGAAATATCATGCGTCTTGCTCATGAAATAGGGCTCGTATTGGCCCATGCGAAGGTGCATCTTCTGCAAGGACGGTAATTTGGGTGTTACGGGCGGTTCGCGGGCAGGGCCAACCGATGACCTGGCCGAGGACAGAACATCCGGACCTTCCGATGGTTGAATGTGAGAGTCCGTTGACGACTGCGTGTCTGAACCGTGCGCCATGAGCTCTGCGACGACATCCACAATAGCCGGGAATATCTCCGAGAATCTTTCACCCTGGACGTCCAGCCACAATTCCTGAATAAACGCGACGGAAGCAGTAGACGGATCTGCTTTCCTGTTCGTATAATGCTCGAGGAGAGAATCTATGATATCGAGTCCGCGTTCGTGGTGGATCCGCAAACACTCCATGTTTGGCAGGTGACCCCACAGGCGTGGAAGCGAGTGCAATATTGGGGGAAAGGGCCACGATATGGTGCCCCCAAGGGCCAACGTCTTGACGGTGGCTGAATGCCTACTGAGAAAAGGGATGACGATATCGAGCGCAGCGTTTTCCTCCCATTGATCGACGAAGAATTCGGCAAGGATAGGTGTGGAGAGTGAAGTCAGAACTGTGCGGAGGATGGTGATGTTGTTCGTCGAGACCGAAAGATACTGTAGACAGGGAAGTTTGATTCGGCCAGTCGGGAGGGGCTCGAAGTGACAGTCGTTTAAATCGTCATCGTCGGTGCAGCGGTTTTGAACGCGCAGCTCACGAAGATGAGAGCATTGCGACAGCACGTCCATGACGTTGGGGTAATAGTCGGGATTGACTTCGTAATCCAATACGTAGAGACTGCAGCTGTGCCCACGGCAAGGACCAGGCATGGAGGATAGGTGAGGAAAGGACGACGGCCTCTAAGAAGGGTGCTTGCTCGGAGGTGAGCGAAAACCTCAGGCTCCTGGGATCGATTCCCCACAAAGAGATTCGTTTTAGATGCGGGAAAGCGGTATCCTTGGGTACGGAGAGTCGTTTCATGCGGTCCCAGTTAGAGCTCTGGATCAGCACGTCCGACCAGTGGTGCACATGCAGGAGGAGACGCCTGATAAATGGGCGAAACATCGTGATATGGGACTCATCCTCTAGGTCTGCTGGCAGACTCAGAGTATAAGATAAAGGCACCGTCCGCGAACACTCCAGCCACATCGAAAATTTATCGAGGTCATTACGGGTTTCTTCACTTCCTATGCATGAAACTTCGAGGTGAAGGCGTGCCCAGAGGTGCGGTGTGGCCAGCGCGACAGCTCTCCATGAGCGGCAGACAACCGTCAGTTTTGTCGGACATGTCCACTTCTCCATGGTGGGAAGAGGTCCTGCGATGCACCAGGAAAAGCATTCTCCAAGCACTTCAGATGAAAAACGGGACAACGCGGATGATGAGAAGGACTGGAGTTCGCCGTCCATCGCTGCGGCGAGAGGCAACACCGCACAGGATGATGGAGTCGAAAATCGTCGACTACTATATGTATAATCAAGAGGAGCGGAGTAAACGAGAATGGTATCGGCACCGATGAGTTGGTCTGGGGAGAGCACCGTAAGAGTCGCCGTCGTCGTCGACGACGATATTGACGTGGTCAGGATGAACGTGGAACGGGGATGAGCGCTCAGTGAGCCCGCGTGTCCGGAGTATCACGGAGCGGGGTTTGAAATGACAGCCACGAAGAATCAGACAACTTCAACAGACTTCAACATGTCGAATACCGAAGATCTATTGACAAACTTGTCGTTTTGCCATATCGCATCCTTACTATGATCTGGATTAACACCTAGTTTAACATCAGTTACTGTGAGTAATGTTTGAACGATTCGTCTTCAGTTCTCCTTCAGCACCGTGGCTCGTCCAATCAAAGACTGCACCATTTCTATGCTCATCTTCTTATAGTTATACCAGCGTCGTTTTAATGGCTCCCGTAGATCCAACGTTGCATTAGTAGTACCGAAAAGCTCTCTTCGGTCAAGCCCATCATTGGAGGGGTGTGAGCCTGACACACCTCGTCTAACCTCCTGTCGCCTCATCACTTCCCCTGGTCCAAACTTTGGATTTCAGCCCTGACCTTCTCGTGGCTCAAAGAACTCCTATGCAACTCAGGTTTTCAACGATACATGCACCTAGGTATGTAGCGTGCCTTCGGGACTTCCCCCCGGTGGTGCAAGATCCGAACCGGTGATCTGCATACTAACCCGATTATCCCTCGTATCGAACATATCACAACCTCCTTCCAGCATAAAGACATACCACTTTCATCGACGTCATTTTTACAGGTAATAATTCAAAGGGACTCTATCCAGGACTCATCTACCGTGCATCCGGTCATGTTCATCTCGCTCCACCTCCCAGCTCGTCCCTCATCCGAAATTTACGCCTGTTGAAGCCATGGACTAACTCGAGTACTTTTTCCGTGCTTCGCATACATCATTTTCCCGCAGCTTCGAGACCTCTGTACAAAAACGTCATCATATTCGGGGAAGGGCTCATGGTCGATCCACGCGTGTTCAGTGCGGCCGCATCGACGCTCAGAAACCTCGACATAAGCCTTTGCTTCGTTGATCATGATGTACTCGCAGAACGAATCCGGTCATTGACATCGCCTCCCCGTCTCTCCCTTCCATATGGCTCGTTTCCCGTGACGTTTAACAGCAACACCGACCCTTCATCCCAAGCTATGACCCTAGGACCCAGTTCCGGCGAACGGATGCTCAACGGTCAGAATCCTGGATGTTGGCGGGTATTTCGATTTACCATCGCTTCCGTGGTGTGGAGAATGAATTGGTGAATATGATTGAGTCGAAATGGGAAGTCCCCGAGGGCTGGACGACGGTGGACTGTCATCCTGTACGTCGATTGTTAGAAGTCGGACTGGAAAAGCTTCTCTAAAGCATCGGATATTCATGCGGAGGAGGTCGATGCCAGGCTTCAATTGTCGATTGAAGACGTCCTTAGGATCCGCTCCATATATTCCTAAGGATTATATATCCGTTTCAGTCTCGCTGAATTCGTTCTGTAAGTCAGTCACTGGTTTCTGCTAGTATTTTTCTTGAATACCGACCACCATTCAAGTGTAGCCATGTAGATCACTTTGTGCGCCATAAATGGAATTGCAGTCGTTGATTCACTGAGAGTTTCGGTCGGTCAAAAAACGCTACGTGCTTGTGTCTCATTGTCCTTTGTCTTCAGGTTTGAACAACAAAAGCGACCACGCATGTTGGCGTCCCTGAAGGTCTCTCCTCAGAGACATATAAAGCACACCGATAATCATAAGCTCTGTCTAGATATCACCCCGCCATTCAAGCTCAAGGCTTTGCCGACTGGTACGTACTCTTTTCTCCTAATAGGTCTTTGCTGAAGTCGCGCTACTAGATCATCTTCAGGACAATGGACCGAACTGCCCGTATTCCGCCAGAAATACTGTCCATAATATTCCAGTTCTGTCTTCCGGGGCCTCAAGCCGAATTCAGTCCCTCTCTGGCACCCCTCCTCCTCACCCGTATCTGTGGCCATTGGCGTCGCGTTGGCCATTCTACCCCTCAACTCTGGATGGAACTCAATGTGCCGAGTTTCCAATGCGAACCCTTCCATGTTCGCGGCAATGCCCTCAAGTTCATCGATGTCATCGAATCAACGCTTCCTTTATCTAGCCCGTCAAGCCTATCTTTTTCCATGGATCTTGGGGATTTCCGATTTCGCAACGACGACGAAGAGAACATGGACGCAGCGCTGAAATGCTTTCGCCTGTTCTGCCAACACTCCCACAGATGGCAGACCGCGTCTCTAAGCACCGTTTCTTTGCGGACTTTAGCGTCGGAACTTCATGCGGGTGATCTTCCTTTGCTCGAGCAGCTCGTGCTAGTGGGCGTCTGGGAGTCGAATGACTCCGCCATGGTTCGGCATTTGCTCCTCTCTGCACCCAATCTTCGACGTCTAGAGTGTTACGACGTATATGACGAGGAGTTCGACCTCACCCTGCTCCCGCTTCCTACATTGACACATTTCGCTGGATCTTCGCGGCAAAGGCGTATTGATATCACTCGACTCGCGTCCGTGATCTCTCAATGTCCTCGACTCACTTCTCTGGACCTGAGGCTCGCTAATTTGGACTCAATAGAGGAATCTCGAGCTCAGAGATACCCAAATCAGGACGATGCTCGCACTCCACTCCCCCGCATCCCAATTCCGACCCTTCGCCAGCTCACACTGCGCACGAATACATTTTTCTCACTCTCCAAGCTCCTTTCAAAAATGACGTTTCCTGGCCTGCAGTCTCTGATACTCGCCATCGAGCCGTCGGAAACACTGGACATCGAGAACTCTGGCGACGAAATCGCTGCCGTTGTCACAGGATGCGCATCGACATTGGAGCACTTCGCATGTAACTTCAACTGCTTCTCAATTTCCAGGATCAGGACGGCCTTACAGTCCGTGCATCACCTACGATCCCTCACGGTGCGAAACCTCGAATACAACGATGCTCGAACCGCAGATAGTCTGAATGACCTCGTGCTCGATTTTGCCCCGGACGGTACATTACGATCTGGTTGTCATCCCCACCTTCAAAACATATCGTTACACGGCGACTCGAAGTGGTTGGATGAGGTTGCGCCTGGGAAGTGTTACATGGAGGGCGCACTGGCGATGGTGGATATCGCTGAGTCCCGACGTAGGCTACCCTACGATGCACGCGACGAGCGTGGCCAGGCGATTCTGCCTCTGATTACGTTCAGGACGGGAGAAGACGATCTTGAGAGGCTGGAAGAGGCTCTGGATCAACAATACGCACGTCTTGAAGGGTTGTGGAATGAGGGGTTGGGTGGAAGACCTGTTCATATCGAATATATGGAAGGGTATGGACGTCGAGGTCAGGATGGGATCCACGGGAAGGAGCTTCAGCTAAAGGAAGCACTACGACAGCACGAGGAGATTGTTCGTCAACGTGCTGCGGGTGTACCATCGGATGAAGGCGAAGTGGTAGTTGGGACGGATGACGATGAAACTGAATCAGAGTATGAGGTAGAGATGGGGATGGTAGAGGAGAGTAAAGAGGAAGTATACGAAGTCGAACGAGAGGGAGAGAACGAGGACGAGGAAGGAGGTGACACGGCGTACAATGAGGACACCGAAGACAGTGAAGGGACAGGAGAGGACACGGTGTACGAGGACTCGGAGTATAGAGTCCGGTTGGGAAGAGAAGGGGTTGAGTATCAGTTCCGACCCGGGAAAGCAGAAGACGAGGACGCCGCGGAGGACGACTAGGATCAGACTGCGAGTACACGAAGCGCTAAATGCGCATGGGCCGGGCCTATGAGGGTTGAACCGAGAATTCCATGTAGCAAGTATAAGTACATTTTCATTGATGTGACATGGTGATGCTACTAGGTATTTAAATGCGCAATAAACAATGAGCATCGGGAGGAGAACAGAAGGCACGACATCACAACAACAAAAGCGGCAGAGCAGTGACGAGGCTGCAGAAATCGTGGTACAGTCTGGGACTATTTTTTTTTGTTGGTCGTGAGGATATAATGCGCGCGTGTGAGAGAGAGAGCACATAAAGACAGTATCGTACCGGTGTACTGACGTCGAAACCAGAAGGTATACACACCACCCAAGAAAACGTACAACAAGAGCGCGCACTAACCGCTCTGGACAGCGAACGCATCAAACAGCAATCCTACGATTGTTGCCTCTTGAACTCCATCCGGATCTTCCTCGATCCGTCATCACCGTACATGTCCGCGCTTCCAACGTCATAATTCAGCACCCTACCCTCAGTATCATACTGCAGTTCCGACTCGACGTCAACATTGTATGTCGTCTCGTCGTGTCCGATATTGTACTTATGCAGGTCAGAGGTGCTGGGACTGGGGTCCGAACCAACGTTAGTCGTGTCGCCCGTCGTTCGTGTGTTTATGTTCAGCTCAATATCGCCGTCCATGTTCCTGAACGTCTCGGTGTGCATCTGAAACGGGAAATTGTGATCAATGTCAGAACGAAACAATTAGGAAGGTATGATCAGATAAGGAATAATAATGGAAGTAAGATGAAAACGTCAGCTGCAGAAGCGGTTTGAATGAAACGCTGTGGTGTGACAGCCTTGGACCACAGAAGATGTCCTTCGGGTTGAAGCGGAGCATGGTGCTTACCTGGACGCGAAGATTTTTGGGGCTGTGTGGCGCCTTGGCGGTAGAAAAATCCACTCGTTGCCCACCAGTCTCGAATTTCAGGGTGGTCGTCGGTATATCAGTACTGCAGAGGGCGGTAAAGGAAGTGCAGGCGGCCGCCGAGGTATCCAGATGTTCGAGTGTGCGGTACAGGAACGTTGAGAGTTGAGAAGACGGAGTTTGTGAAAAAAACGACAGGAAACCGCGGAATATCGGTGTGGGGTGCGAAAAATGGGGAAAACGTCAGTACCGAGGTTCACGGCGAAATTAGAACATGCAAATTTAGATAATCGTGGACCGAGGACTGGGTCTCTCGTATAGGAATATGTTTAAGGTTCGGCAAGATGGATTATGCGGACAGGGATGGGAGGAGAGGAAGGGTGTATGTTGAATGTAGAGGGAGTGCCAAGCGTAGAGATTGAACCGGGCAGACGACGTACGTGAACATTTCTGCTCCGGCAGTACCATGCGAGAAGTTTGCAAGCCGCCTAACGACACGGCATGCCACGATCTGGGAGTAGAGTATATCAGCGCTGCTTCGTGTCTCTTCGTGCCGACCGAGAACTATTTTGGAAGAGACATCAAGTAACGGAGTGTATTTCCGCGGGTGAATATGGATTCGCATGGTGAAAAAGATCGTGGAGAGAGGATGTGCAGCGAGGAGAACGGTGTGATCGCTGGACACCAAGGAAACGGAAATAGAATGCTCACGGCAGAAGCCACCGCAGCTGGGACCTCAGCGATGACAGACATCACTGCGTTCAAGTCCAGGAAGATGAAAATCTGCAGAATTCCGTGCGTCAGCCCAGGAACACAGAAACAACTCAACCTTCGGAAACATACCACCGCGATCAAATTCGACAAGAAACTGGTTTCGTACTATCAGTATTATCCACAGCGTACAAAAGGGAATAAAAACAGCTCACGCAATTAGAAAATAAATCAAACCGTCTCCAAACACCATTTCGGTCAACCGATTAGAATGCGATCGAGCTCCCATCGCCGGGCGCAACAACTTCCATGCAAGCAGAACGGTTACGATTAGATCGAAGCACATTGTGTAGATGTATATGGCAGAGAGCCATGACGTGTTTGTCGACGTGATGGTACATCCACCGGAGGTCCATTCGACCTTGACGATGACGATGCTTCGAAGGAGTAAGAACCAGTGGCCAATGATGATGACTGAGAGTGGAACAACAATCTTCATCGATTGAGACCATACTGCGATTCTATAATTGTACGAAGGTGATCATTAGATTCATATTGGACAGACGGGACACATACGTGCGGAGGGAGAGGTTGATGCTGGAGAACCCAATGGCGAAGTTACCGGCAAGCTGGTTGAAGGTATACAAGCTTTGGCAATCGATTGGTCTGTTTTCAATGAGGCAAGACACGACGCGTCAGGGGCGCTAGCGCCGATATAACAATGCGGCACTCACGTTGTTACGTTCAAGGAGACGGCGCTACCCAATTCGCAACAGAATTAGCCAATGCCTGACCCCTAGCACTTTGTCGCTCGTACTCACAGTCCAATGAGCGCGGCAAGTATAGAGTACCGGTCGAGGAAGTAGAACATCTGGGGTGTTGGTATGAGTATGACTACGCCTAGGTATGCTCATAATTCCATACCAGTGGCCATCTGAACCTCCTTTTCCGCGAGAGAAGTGCGAATTCAAAATCGAGAGAGGCTTTGAGGACATTTCGTCAGTGTAAGGAAGGGCCTGACACTGTGGAACACGCATACTGAACCACTCCCAACTAAGTCGAGCACTGATTAACACGAGAACACGTCGAAAGAAACCTACGGACGTACATGTAGAGTCCAAGCAACGCGTGCATGAAGCTGGAAAACGCGGCTGTTGGGGAATTACCATCAACTGTGACGTTCATCAAAACGAACAAGCATCAAAGGCGAACCTGAATCATGTGCCAATTCAACTGGGGATTGCCAATCAACCATCCTTGAAAAGAGCGTGCTTTGGAGGTGGAGGTGGTAGGGAAAGGAGGGGCAGGGGTGGCGGGCCAAAGGCCCGTGGCAGTTATACGTGTAAGGAAGGTGGTTGCTGCGAAAGAAACGGGGAAGGCCTTGGGACGATGGGGGGGCCCATGAAGCGCTGGACTGAGGTAAGACTTCGCACATGGAGGTTGGATAACCTAAAAGCAACAGTTGATTTCCCGTGGTCGTCCGGTCTATCCACATCAAATCCACATCCTCCCATCTTCGCTCTCAAATGTGGTCCGCTTGAACCACCTGGCCGACCTCGGCGCCTCACTTTTAGATCTCAAGCGTCTATACAAAACCACCGGTGGCCGGTGGCAGATGCTCTGTGAGGACGCAGCGCAAACAATTGACCCATACTATTCGTACTTGCTTGGAAGTCCACGAACTGTCTTGGTGAGAAATAGGAGGACAAGTAATTTTTGTGCTCCATCGGAAGGACGGTGGAATAATGAAGCTTCTCGTGCACCGAGACTCTTCTCTTAGAAGGCCTCGAAGCGGTGCTTTGCGGGTATCATTTTCACCGTCGCTAGCAGCATGCAATTGTTGAGTATAATAGTCGTGAGAACTGACCTTGGCTCCGTGTGGAAGACGTACGGCATGGACACAAGAGGGTGCCCAACAAACACTGGTTTTTGTCAAATCTAGATGTCCGGAATTCGCCGAAGCTCCGCCACATCCACAAAAGGTGGAAGGATCCCGAATAACGGCGCAGCACTCACACCACTGTCCCTTCTGAACAGATCACATTTTGCCGTAAGATATTCATGTGGCCCATCCTAACCCGCTCTAGCTCTTCTCATGATATTTCCGAGGAGTTAAGTATCTGGAGTTATGGTTGTTTATTGTCTCCTTATTTACAACGCGCTCCAGCTTTGAAGAATCGCTTCAAGAGAGGGGGGCTGTCGTTTAACTGGTCTCTCTCCCTCATTTCATCATCAACGTCAGCCCGCCTCGGGTGTCAGCATACTCACTCTAGCAAGGCTAGACATCTAATACTGCAGCTACTTGTAGAGACTTGGCGTGGCTAACTCCGGCGATGGAATGTCTGGCATCTCCCTCCGTCATCCTCTCGGTTTCCGTCCTGTCCGTGCTGCTTGTGCGCGTTGCTGTCGGCACTAAACAGCCCAAAGACGTTCAGACTCTCTCTTCACCGGTAAGCGGAGCTAACTACACTAGCTCCTGCAATTCCGATGCCCCTCTGATATAGCAAGGCTAATCTACATACGATCATCACGCAGAGCGCCAAAGAAGCGAGCTGGATATGGGGACATGAGCGTACTCTATTCTTGCACCAGGCTTGCGAGAAGTACGTCGATTGGATGCGCGAGCTTGGATCCGTATACAAGATCAAAGCTGCGTTATTCGGCCAGGATGTGGTCAGTGTGCCATGTACGATACGAACGATGATCAGGAGGCTGACTGTCCATTCATAGATTGTGATTGCTGATAACGCAGCTGCCCAGCATATCTTCCAATATACAGACCGCTACAGTTAGTCTGCTCTCCGAGTTCTCTTCATTGAATTTTGTTGACAGGCGTTTTTGTTCTCTATGTTATTCAGCCAAAGCTCCGGCATTCCGGTAGTGTGGGATCCTTATTTTTTTCGAGTCTGATTCTTGACAGTTTTCTCTAACAGACCGATTATCGTAAAACTTCTCGGAAAGAGCCTGGTATGGGCAGAAGGCGACGAACACAAGAAGCAACGCAGGCTGCTAGCCCCGGCTTTCACGTGAGTGTCTTGTGGAGTACAATGCACCTTCCCAGTTTCATGTACACCTGCTCACTTTTTTTGCAGACCTGAGAGCGTTAGAGGAATGTCCGATGACATCCTAGAATCAGCGCAGAAGGTTCGTCCTTCTCTGATTTTGACGGCTATATTATTAACGCTGCCGTACGATTCTAGCTTGAGAACCGGCTTATGAACAAGTTGGAGTCGGAGAAAGGAGATATGACCATTAATATCTGTCCTCAAGTCTCAGCATGCACGTATGTTCATTCAACTTCGACATTCGTGGTGCAGAAACTAATCTTCCTGCGTCAGTTTGGACATCATCGGTCGTGTCGCCTTCGGCCATGACTTCCAATCTGGTCAATCGCCCGAAGCCAAACTCATCACAGACTCCTGGAACAAAGACGTCAATATGGGTATCTCTTATGCAGGCTTCTTAGCACCCTTCGTCATCGGCATGTTTCCTTTCATTGCTTCTAGCATCGGAGAGGGTGTGACGAAAGGAGTAGTTTCGAGGTTGGCCGATGTCATCCTGGAGCGGGAAGAGAAGGAAGGCGGTGGAAAGGAGGAGGTAAATGGACATGGAGTAAATGGTGGGCGGAGTGGGAAGGATATTTTGAGTTTGTTAATGCAGGCGAAGAGGAGGAATAATGGCCAGGGTCTGTCGAACCGGCAAATCGCTGACAATGTGAGTGCATACTTTTCTTTTAATGTCATTGTATCGCTGACATGGCTATCATGATGTGCCATAGGTTGCCACATTCATGTGAGTCCATGCTCGGTCCCGTTCTCAGTACAAATTCTGATCCGTCACCAAATTATTGTCAACCACAGTATGGTTGGCCACGAGACATCCGCTGCTTCGCGTACGCTCTCCTCACATTTGCACGTTTGATGCTTGCCTCATGTCCATCGTCTAGTGACGTTGACTCTACTCGACCTTGCCAGAGACCAAAACAGCCAAACCAAGCTCCGCAACGCAATCGCCAGGCTAGGCGACGGTGAGCTCGATTTCGATGCTGTGCAGAAGCTTGAGTACCTTGATGCAGTCGTGAGAGAGGGGTACGTGCTTTCTTCCGCCACCAACTGTAAATATATGCCCGCTGAACATTCATTCTCCCAGACTTCGGCTGCATCCCGCTGCACCGCGTACAGACCGTGTGGCGCTCGAAGACGACGTGATACCTCTCAACATGCCTGTCCACACCTCGGATGGCCGTATTGTAAACACTATACCCGTTAAAGCCGGACAGGTATTTCTCTGGTTCCACTCTCCCACCCATCCCGTTCTTTTATAAGCACCGAATCGGCCGTTTACCTGCATATGTAGATATTCCAAATCCCCTTCGCCGCCCTCAACGTTAACCCCGCAGTATGGGGACCCGACAGCCAAACCTTCAAGCCTGAACGTTGGATCGAAGAAGGTGGCGTCAAACCGGCAAGCGAACTCCCCCACGGATGGGGAAACATCACAACGTTCTGCGATGGTCCGCGGAGTTGTATTGGATATCGGCTTGGTAAGGACCCTTTCTCCCCTCTCATTTCTCCCCTCACTACCCCCCTCCCCTCGTACCTGGTACCTAGTGCCTTCCTCCTCGCCGAGGATTTTCCACCGCTAACGAAAATTTTCTGCGCGGTTAATTTTGGGGGGCATAGCTGTAGCAGAGCTCAAGGTCATCCTCGCCACGCTCATCCGGTCGTTCGAGGTTTATGATACAGGTGCGAAAGTACGTACGGCGATTTCGCCGACGTTGCAGCCTGTGACGGAGGGGAAGGGAGGCTATCTGCCTCTGAGGCTGAAGGCTGTGAAATATTGAGGCGGTGTGTCCGTTGACCTTTCGTTCTTTTATCTACAGTACAAGCCAATGATGCTGGATTTTCGTTCTCTTCATCATTGCGAGCTTGCTCAATTTACCAGCCAAATATCATATATTCATATCGAAGTAGTTATTGCCGATGTTGTTGATTTTATCTGTATGTACTCTGAAGTAAATGTGGCAAATTGTTAACGTCGAATATTCGATTTTTTTCTCTGACGTGTGATTCGGAAGAGATCCACATGTGGGACCATATACAACCGCGGGCAAGGACGAGGTCGAAGGGGGGTCGGTTTCTAAGATGCTACGCCTACGGAGGAGTCGGAGGACTTACGAATTCTTTTTGAGCATACATCGTACGGTGTAAACAATTTCTGTCGTCAGTCGCACTATCCATTAATATCAGCGGACAGAAAAGAGCAGCAAAAAATGACACAATAGGAAGCACATTTTGATACAGGATGAACTACACGATCTTTAAGTTAGTGAAATGCGAATACAGTCACTAAGATGCCGGCAGTATCTTCCGGCCACTCATTGTGGCACCGATACAACTTCTCCGAAACGTTTCGCTTAAACTTGAACCTCCGTCCAGCGCGACGAAGGAATCGGGTCCGTCACTTCAACCAACCAAAAATGAGCACACACGATCAGATACAAAGCCGCGAAATTGAAACTCACCTGAACTCTCCATATCAAACCTATACCCCATCATATTCCACCCATTCGCCTTCATCTTCGCCGCCCTTTCCCTACTCATCCTCCACCTAACCAACCCTGTCGAAATTTCGCACCTCTCCACGCTCGTCAAAATGCACATCTGGCCCTTCGCCGAGCCGTTCCCCCTCTTACCGTCCAGCAGCTGTGGTATCTGGCGGACTAGTTCGTTGGGATCGACGTTGGCGACAGGTTTGAAGAACATGATGGATACGATTGGGTCGAGAGGGGAGAGAATCTTCATCGTTGTCATCAGGTCAAACTCTTCACGCGAAAGGTGGACTTCGAAGGTGCCTATTTCCGTATGCGACGTAGCAAAGGAAGGGTGGTGCAGCGAGGCAGGGAAGGGGAGGGCTTCGTAGGCTGTGGCGAGAATGTTTTCGAACTCAATGAGCCAAGGTTCGAGGTTGATCTTGCGCTTAGGTACGCGACGATTGAGCTCAGTGAGTGGAATCGGGAGTTCACCCCGATATGGTGCGACATCGGTAGTAAGGTTGTCCGAAATGAGTACTTGGAGGTATTCGGACAGCCAATGGCACGGGAAGCCAACGTTATGGAGATGAATGAGCAGGCCGACGAAAGAGACGAGGTTATTGGGGTATCTGCAGCGGTAAGACTCGCGGGAAGGGTGCCCTGGGGCGAGAATATAGACAAGGGTCCGGGAGAGCCATGTGTAGAGTTCATCGCGAGTGGCAAGTTCGGATAATGGTCGAGGTAGCTGTTGGGGAACAAGAGTAATGAGCCCCCAAGCGGGTGTCATGTTGACAACTTCACAGCCGAGGAAGCGAGGAGCATCTACGATACGAAGAAGAGTATAGCTGGCGCAGGATGTCAGCAGATGAAGGTGCAGGGACAGATATAGATATGGCATACAAGTGGAAGAATTCTTCGCCGCCGTTCCAGCAGCCTGTGTTCAGGAGACAGTTTGCTGTGGCGTTTGCTCCGGGTTGTACTTCGAGGGCTGGCATACTAAACACCGCGGTGTTCATCGGTCCATGGGTGTAATCGCTGCAAAGGCAAGGTAAACACGTCATCAAATGAACGTTTGTGAGCAGAACGTATAGGTCACCTACGGTACATTACTGAGCCACATGCGCATGAACTTCCGTGGAAATTCAGTCGGTCTTACCACTGCCCCAACCCGTATTTTTGAGAGCGCCGCACTAAGATCGTCGTGTATAACTTCGAGCACGACACGTCCTTTCAATGCTCTCACGGCCGTCACGACATTATCGAAGAAGACTTCGCCAACAGAGAATGAAGGATAGTTCTTGTCAACGTCTCCTTCGAGAGAGTCGCGATCGCCGACCAGACCCATCCGAATGTTAAAGTTATTGATCTCCTTGACGGCCTTGAAAGGATCAACGTTCATGTCTGGATAAGTGGCTCCTTGACTACGATCCTATTTGTGCCACAAAACACCATCAGCAACATCACAGGGCCTACGTTAGGAAGGTCAAAGATCACTGACGAAGAGCGACGGATTCGGTTTGATTGTCTTTGCCATACTAGCAGCGAACTTTAATTTGTCGATGTCTCAGCTCCCGCTACGCTCATATTTTGTCCCAATCATGATACACACATTGATCTTTAGCTCATCTGCGGCCGGCCCTTCATGTCGTTTTAGATCTCTGAAACCGGTCCAAATATCTTCGAGCGCTTCATGACGATGCCATAACATCGGATGTGGAACAAATATTTTACTCTGACTAGATCGGTCAAACGGTTGAGCAATCAGGGGCTCTGCATAACCAGTAGAATATGTTTAACGAGAAAGACTCGCCGGTAGAACAAATCCTCTTTCAACATCTCCGGTTTCGTATCTATACTCCCAAGATTATCATCCGTCATCAAATCTATCAGCAGTTTTCGCGTTTCTGCCAGCCACTTTTTCTTCCCAGCTGGGTCGGGAGGACAAGGCTCGTGGCCCGCCAGATTCGTTCCCTGTTCAATGGCACCGATTCGGACTCGTTTAACAGTTATCATACGGGTGTGGGTCAATGGTGAGTGACTCACTAGACCTATAACGTCCGCCTCTGAATAAGTGTCTAACTGCGATTCGATCCAATTCCGGTCCTCGGCCTTTTTCTTCTCCATCTGATGTCTAAGGGCAGGCACGGTATCTTCGATATGGGAAGGACCACGGGGTACATTGTGCATGGCGAGGGAACCCTTCACTGTCTTTTTGCCAAGAGAGGTCTCCCAATATTTCAAAGACGACATGATCCCCGGAATGGACTCTGGAAGGACATGAAACCATGAAGGAAGATCGGGAGGATTGGCAGCAAGGCGGATCCGGAGATCTTTAACGACATCCATCCACCTTAAAGATGAGAAACGAAGAGGGGTTTAGTCTCCGAGAAATGTCGAGTCGGACGAAGTCGCTCACTTGGTATAACAGTAAATAGGCATCAGCACTCCGAGATAGGAGTAAAATAGAGTCGCTTTGATGATGATCGCATCTTCTTCGCCGACAGACCCATTCATCAACTCCTCAAGCAGCATGAACAGGCAGAGGTCTCGAGCGAGGGCAGTAGGATGGATATCTATGAGCGTCATGTGTGCCTTGAAGATGTCTTTTCTTTGGTCATCGAGTTTGGCATGCGCCTTATGGAGGCCAATGAGTGAGCCGAAGACATGCCGTGCTATGTGATAGTTTTCAGTGAGAGTTGTAGTCGTAAAAGTGAGCGCAGAGCACACGTACCATCACCGACACCGCCGAAGACAAGAGCAAGAGGCTGCAGACAGGACAAAGGGAGATCGCTCAGTGGTAATGGATCCTCGCTTCCCTCGTATACCGATTCAGGACCCCAGTCTTCGACGATGTTGATAACTTCATCGTTGCCGACCTACACAATGTACGTCAGAGCAACGCAACATGCACACGGCGCCCAGTATATGCATACAGAATAAAATTCTCGTTGTGAATCACTCTCACTGCAACATATATGGATCAGCTAAACTCCATCAAATCACAATCGTAGTAAGGAAAGCTTACGCTGTTTGACGGAAAATTGGAAGTCGTGCCAGTCGTTTGCGAGCTTCATCAGCCTCTAGCGCGACTCTATTCATATCTGCCTCAACATTCCTCCATTCATCCCACACGCGACGGGCTTCAATTAGAGAACTCGAGGACTCATCACCGGCATTGCAAACCAGAGACCTCAATCTGTCCACGACATCTGCCCCCTTTGCCACGTCTTCCGATGCGATGGAACCAGAGCGTACACCATACCTCAAGCTTTTGGCGAGACGTATCAAGAGACGCGTCGAAAGAGGTGATTCAAGCTCCTGCTCCGTCAGAAGACGGCTTGAACGACACACGGCCTCGTAGGAGCCTTTATAATCCCCGAGCTCGTATAATGCGGCACTTAGGTTGGAAGGATAGACAGCATCTTGAGGAGCTAATGTCTCTGCCTGTCATGCATTCACGAGTGAGTTCCATGTGAAATGTGGTCGAATAGGGGAGCAGGCAGACCTCTGAGTAACATTTCACCGCTCTTCGCATGTTACAGTGAAAAGGGTGGCGCCGCGGTAGCGGGTCAGTTTCGTCTGCAGTCGGAGTCAATCGAGTCCGCTTACTCGGCCAAGCGGCCACTTTTGAAGAGTTTGTTGCCCTTCTCCTTCAAATCTGCCGCGTGTTTCATGGCTCGATAGATACAAGGCTTCGTGGTTGGTGAATGTCGTGGTCAAGGGCAAACACGCCACGATCATGGTCGACGCGACGCGTCGTGCCGGTAAATTGGCCACAGGTGATGTCGCGATGTCGCGTTTGCGCTGTGGCGGCCAATAAGAGACTCGTCAAGTTGGGCCACACAATGAACCCTCCACGCCACATTGGACTTTTGAGTTTGACAATAGCTCTGTTGGTCACCCCGAATGATTCGAAGACAAACAGTGGGACAAAATTCATAATTTCATCGGAAAACTGTCCACAGCCAGCATCTCACAGCGAGCAAGTTCATACAATCGGAGCGGGTATCAACGTCAAGTCCGTGTTCTTCTTCTTTCTACCAAAACTTGCATCCCCACCACCCCCTCCTCCTCATCCTCCTCTATACGAACCATCTCGCACATCAATTCGACGTCGCAGAAGTCGAGCCGGTAGTAGCAATACCGAACCGGTTCTTGGACGAGTCGTATACGGTGTAGAACCTCTCGAGGAAGGCCTGTCCATCGATGAAGTCAAGGCCAGAGCCGGTTTTGGCTCCAGAATCTCTGACGATGAGGTAGATGGTGCCGGGGTCTCCGCCGATGGCGCTGCAAACGGTTCAATCAAAACTGAAATCAGCACATGAGGTAGATGTCGACTGCGAATGGAAAGGAAGGGAAGTTGAAAGGGAACTTACCTGTTGAGCGAACGCGGCCAGATTTGAGCATTAGCCGTGAGCCCGAACGTGGCACCGCCCTACACACACAACACATAAAGATTCTAATCAACAAAACATGCAGAGATAAATTGGCCACCAAAGGATATAGGACTCACGATCTTGAAGTTCAACGTCTTCAACGCGCCATATTGCGCCGCAGTGATCGTATAAAAGCCCGTCGGAGCATCTTGCTTCGCCCCGGTGGCCTCGACATATCTGTTGAACGCCTCGGTTGCGATGTAGAGGAGGGTGGTACCGGTATCTACAATGCCTGCTGTGTTGGTGAGAATGGAGGTAGTACCGTAGGTGATCGACTGGTCGATGCCCCAGTACTTCGAAGCGGGGGCGGTGCTAGTCAGGGGGCTGGAAAACGAAACGAATGTCAGGGTTGTGAGATTTAAATAGAAAAAAAAAGGAATGAATGGATGGACCCCAACTCACGTGTAGGTGATAGAACCGGTGTACTTGCTCGAGTCGGTACCGCCGAAGGTGAGCTCTCCGTTCGCCGAGCTCTCGGACGTCGCGGGGGCAAACGAGACACCGATGACCTTCGACGAGATGATACCCTGAATCGCATATACATATCAACATCCCACCGAGCAGAAAATGAGGTGCAAACGTTGAGTCCTTACCTGAGTTAGGAGGTTGTCGGCGACAGTCGGAACGGTCGACGTGCCAGAGACAGTGTCTGTTGCATCACACACATGTTATTATGATGCAGCAAAATGAGTGGCGCAATTCACGCAGTACATGCCTTCGGTCAGGTCGACGGGGCCAATACCGAGAATACCGTCAACACCACTAATGCCGGTGACACTGCTGGCGACACCGATGCTCTGCTTGGTGATGACTAACCCAGCACCGAGGGTGACAGTGTCGGTGTACTCCGTTCCTGTTGGGTTCATAGTCTGTCAGACCGAATCCCTCGAATAAGACATGAGAGGAGAACAAAAGCGTACCAGAAAAGCTACCGGAACCGTATGGAACGCTCTGTATCGATACAATTCGTGAGTGACACGGGTCGGTATATCTAACAGGCAGGACAGCTTACAACACTCTCTCCGGTGCTAGTCGAAGTCGAAGTCTTCACATATGCCGTACCGGCTCCAACCCAGGTATTAGAACTGCCAGTATCAACGACCAAGTTGTACTTCGTCGGCGGAGATCCTGTAATCAATTTAGACGGCGTCAGCCCAACGTCGACCTCATAAACTGTGTAAACTTCAAAGTTAACTCACCAACGCCAAGCGAAACGATATACGAAACCACCTGGTTCGTCACGGGGACAGAGCCCACATCTTCCTGGAACTCAGTATCACCATTGAACCTCGCAACGAGTTGCTTAATGCGGGCCTTGTCTTGCTGCACGATAGTTCCAGAACCGCTACTGTTGATGTGTTTCGCGAACGGAAGCGTGATGAGCGTGTCGCGGACGGCGACAGGCGTCGCCGCGACGCTCATAGCAAGCAGGAGCAGAGAGGTGAGTGCGACTTTGGGGAACATGATAAATTCCGAGACAGAGATTGTTGAGTGGAGGAAGGAGGGAGCGATCGAAGGAAGACCACGGTGAACTGGGAATGAACGAGGCCTGCATTTATAGTGAGAGGCAGGTACACTCGCGTTCAGGAATGGAAAGCTAGAGACAAAGATAAGACACAGTGTTAGATCGAGACAACCGGAACTTTTGCACATAAATACCGGATGTAGGACCAGCACAAAGACGAAGCAAGTCGTGATCGTCTGAGAAGGACAGTGCATCCATACGTGTAGCAGTATGGATCCGCTTGCTGATGGTCTACAAGTGCAAGTGCATGGCGCAAGAACTTGCTTCTTGACAGAAATTGACCGGAAAGACAATCGTTATACTTCCCAAGATGAAAAGACTCTCCAGAGAGTGGCACCCATCCCATAAAGGCAAACGCGAAGGCATAGGCGACATGAATCCATACGCTTTACTTGAAAGGTGCGATGTCACCTCGACGTGACGCAAAAAGAATCATACATCCGGGTACAGGATCAGCGTCGTTGAGGTAGGGGCTCATGTATACCGGGGGTCACATCACTCTCGAAGTCGTGAAAAGCCATAGAGATCCTTTTATGACCGGAGGGGCCTCAATATATCCCAACGCTTGATCTTCTCATCGCCGCGCCCGAAGACCCAAGCGTACTGCGTCAACAAGCCTCCCAAGAAGACGCATCGCGGTAAGCATCAATAAGATCCCCGCTGCTCCTTCAGCATGAGATTTCCCGACCGACATGCGACCTCGTGCAAGCCGTTTTAGTCGCCAGTGCTGCACTCAGTGTTGAAAAATATGCAGTACCTGTAGAAATTAATGTTGATCTAGACCAAGTTGATATGTATCATAAGGAGCAGCAATAGCATCCTGACCAGGGACGAAGCAGCGCAGTCCATGCGAGAGCGAGAACAAACCGGTGATTGGGCCATAAACCGAATTTTCTCTCGCCTCGATGGGGTATTGGTCCTGATGGGCCCGTATTGCACCCTGAACAAACCTTTCTTCCTTCCGTCCGATCCGAGGGACATAGCAAGACAGACTACAGTAGAGCGAGGGGATGCGCGGAGTTCTGAAGCCTGACGCTCCGATTGAGGAAGGGAAAACACCAGTGGGAATGCGCTATGACAGCCCCAGCCCATGGAGCAAATACAGACACCAATGTGGGGCGAGTCTCAACATCACTGTTATGCCATCGACTACCTGCTATATTCACAAATAAAAGCGGTCAGCCGTGAGCCGGGGACGGAGCACAAAACTGCTCACCCGACTTAGTAATGATGCGATGTCCTCGTACCATTCCTCCACTCCTGCCATTCCTCAAAATTCCTCTCCACATACACATACACCAAACTCCAATCCTTACAAACATACTTCGCCCCCAACCCCTCACCCACATCACTCGAGCCCTCCTCCGGAAACTCCTCCTCCAACGTCAAATCCGCATTACACAATATCGTCTGCCTCAAATAATTCAAACAATGGTCCGAATGGTCTTCCTTCCAGTGCTCCTTCCCCGACGAACCGAGGTTATGCTCCCCGTGCGGGTTCTTGCCCTGGATCGCGAGTCGCAGGGCGTCGAGACAGTGAATTTGGTGATACATGGAGAGACCGAAGAAACGCTTCTTAGGCCCGAGACGGACGAAGCCGAGAGAGGAGGACGGGTAGATGGATTGAAAGTCAGCATCGGAGGTGGGTGAGGAGAGAGTGTAGTGGCGGGAGTTTTCAAGTGTCATGGACACGAAGGGAAGGTCAAGGGGGAGTGTATGAGGGTAATCGTCGTTCATCCACGCTGCAAGAATGTCAGATATTTTTACTGGTGCTCAAGGACTGTACGCACTGTACTCGCGTGTGGTCTGCGACAACTCAGGCTCCCGTCTTAATACTGAAGGAATGTCTGCGGGTTGGCTATATGATCCTGTCGACTGAGCTTTTAGAAGTGTCCAAGCGCTAAAGACCTGCATAAGACCAGACGAAAGAAGAAGCACAGCACTCGAGATGAACATCGTTCGTGACGAAGCCATGGTACCAGTGTTGAACCTAGCGAAGAGAGATGGCATGTCGTCGACGAGCAGAGAAGCGCCAGCACAAAGGGTCTGTGAATCGGTCTCAGGAATATGTTGCTTTGGCGGCTACAGAAGTCTTCATATCGGCTTTAGAGCGAGTTGAATGATGGCGGCAGAGGTCTCGTCGATGTTGGCCCCATACGATTCCGTATCGGCCCGCTCATTCCCTCCAGTGGGTGCCACAGTGGCGCACGTTTGCGGCCTCGGTATCCTTTCTAAAGTTCCTTTTAAAGTCACACATAGAGTAGATCCGTACAAACGTGTTCCCGTTTATTCTCCAAGAAACCGTAATAGAGTGGTGACCGCAATACATCCTCTAACCGTGACAATACCGAACAACAGGAGGGTATACATGCCATTGCCAAATTGAATACCAGTCCGGTCCCGCCAATGTCAAGTCCGTACATTTTTTTGACCCCAAGTCCCAGCACCATATTCACTTCTACACGGCCACTCAGTTCGACGTGGCAGTGGTCGAGCTGGTCGTAGCGATACCGAAGCGGTTGTTCGTCGAGTCAAAGACGGTGTAGAACCTCTCGAGGAAGACCTGTCCGTCGATGAAATCGAGGCCTTCGCCGGTGTTGGTTCCGATGTCGTTGACGATGAGGTAGATCTTGCTCGACGATCCACCGATGTACCTATACGCATTGACAGGGTTATTAAGACGAACGTGAGCGAGTGACATGTTGGAGAGAAATACTCACGTGTTGAGCGAACGGGGCCAGATCTGCGCATTCGCGGTAAGACCAAAGGTAGCACCGCCCTACACACCCATCACAAAAATTCATTGTTAGCAAAATACTCCAGACTTATCTACAAACAATAAACGACTCACAATGCTGAAGTTCAGCGTCTGCAACGCGCTATACTGTGCCGAAGTGATCGAATACAAGCCAGTCGACGAATCATACACCGCGCCAGTCGCCTTAGCGTACTTGCTGAACGCGTCGCTAGCGATGTACAGGAGAGTGGTACCGGTGTCGACGATGCCCGCCGTGCTGGCCGAGATCGTGGTGGAACCGTAGGTGAGAGCCTGGTTGATGCCCCAATAGGCCGAAGCGGGGGAGGTGCCGGTCAGGGAACTGAGAGGCGATATGAATGTCAGTTTTGTGAGACAATACAGATAAACGGAGTGGATGGTGGACTATAACTCACGTGTAGGTGATAGAACCGGTGTACTTGCTCGAGTCAGTTCCACCGAAGGTGAGCTCGCCGTTCGCCGTGCTCTCGGACGTCGTAGGTGCGAACGAGACGCCGACGACCTTCGACGAAATAGTACCCTGAATCGCATACCATCAACATCCCGCCGAATAGGAAGAGAGGTGCAGACATTGAACCCTTACCTGAGTGAGGAGGTTGTCGGTGACAGTTGGGACGGTCGACGTGCCAGAGACAGTGTCTGTGGTAGCGCACACAGGTTAATCCAGCACAGTAACCCGATTGAAACAGTACATACCTTCGGTCAGGTCGACGGGGCCGATACCAAGGATACCATCAACGCCACTGAAGCCGGTGGCCCTGCTGGCGACGCCGATGCTCTGCTTGGTGATGACCAACCCAGTACCGAGGGTAACAGTATCGGTGTACTCGGTTCCTGTGAGAATTTGATGTCAGTCAGACGATATCCACGAAATAAAGTACTAGATGAAAACAAAAGCGTACCAGAGAAGCTTCCGGAACCGTACGAGACGCTCTTCATTGAGATAACACGTAAATGACAGGCGCCTGCATAATTCAGCGAGACAATAACTTACGACGCTCTTGCCGGTGCTGGTCGAGGTCGTAGTCTTCGCATAGGTCTTATCAGCTCCAATCCAGGTGTTGGAACTGCCGGTATCCACAATCAAACTGTACTGCGTGGCCGGAGATCCTACGATCAATCAAAAGCGGCATTAGACTGACTTCTCCCTCATCACGCGACCTCGAACAAACCACTCACCAACGCCAACCGACGCGACATACGAAACCGCCTGGTTCGTAACAGAGATGGAGGCCGCGTCCGCCTGGAGCCCAGAAGAGGCAGTGCTGTACTTCGCAACGAGCTGCTGAACACGGGCCCTGTCCTGCTGCACGATGTGACCAGAGCCGGTGCTGTTGATCTGCTTCGCGAACGGAAGAGTGACGAGCGTGTCGCGGACGGCAACGGGAGTCGCCGCGACGCTCATAGCGAGCAGGAGAACAGAGGTGAGTGCGGCTTTGGGGAACATGATGAAACTAGAGGCCGAGGAGCGTTGAGCCGAGGAAAGGAGGACTGGGAGGAAGTGACCGAAGGAAGACCACGACGAAATATGGATGCGCCATGCTTGTATTTATAGTAAGAGAGTGGCATTCAGGAATAGCGAGACGAAGATAAGAGACAGAGATGGATGGTGACGACCGGAACTTGATCAGAGCAATGCCGAGTGTAGAGGAGAGTAAAGAGCACGAAACTCGTGATTGTACAGAAGGATGAGATAGATGAGGTTTCCATGCGGGATGGAGGAAGAGCAGTATGGGCGAGGTTGCCTGATGGAATCCGAGTGTCGGTCCAGGGCGCAAGCCTCCCGCTTCCTGGGTGGAATTTGACTAGGCAAACGATCGTCATGCTCCAGAGAACGAAAGACTTCACAGGCGGACAATGGCAGCCGTCCCATTGCAGAAGAAACGAAGGCGTAGACGATATGCTTCCATGCGCTTTACATGAAGGTGCGATGATAATCGGCCATGGCGCAAAAACTATCAGTCTTTGAGGCTCTGGATCAGAGATGTTCGTCATGGAGCTCGAGCTCTTGGCTGTCGTAGCAATTGTGGTGAGCTCACAATCCAAGGAGATTGTCCGAGAGACAGGTGAGTAGGGCAATCGTAACGGCTTCGCTCATAGAGCGCCATTCAAGACGGTACAATGGCAAACGATGGTGCATGCTTCCTAAGGTGTTCTGCGAACGATTCGAAGCCCCTACTTCGGCTATATTTAGATCATACAGCCCACGGATGAAAATGAAATAATTGAAGGCTCTTAGCGATAATCCTCGAGCACGAGTAGCCACGAGGGTGCTAACCAGGAAGAAACAGGAAGAAACGCCGGGGCAAAAGGCTTGGCGATATCGAAGTCGACGGTGGCGGTGCGTACATATTGTGGCCGACCTTGGACGACCACCAGTTCAACCCCATGTAATTACAGATGCGGCAGATAGGGCTCGCTCTTCTGTTCGTGAACTCGAGCAGAAAAGACGATATTACTTAGCGATTGAAGCGTTGCGGTGTAGCATAGAGAGAAACGCGTATACAGCAGAAACCACCGGGACTTTTGGCGAAGGGCTGGGGGTTTAAGCATTGAGCATCTACCACATGGTGCGCGAATTCCGCGAGGCTCACGCCAGGGCTATCTTCAAGTGAAGGAAACAGTTCGAGACCTCCTCCTATTAGAGAGCTCCTGTACGGTAGTTCATTCTCCGGGTTTCCCATAACCGTTGATCATCGGGTAGACACACACATGGAAGTGGTGACTTCATTTGCCCTGGTGAAATAGAGATGCGATGGAAAGAGATGGAAAGCAGACCGCGATGATTATCCTGTGTAAAGCCATGAAGTACCTCCCTGTCCTTCCGTGTTCTCCTTTGCAACACCCTGACCATAGTGACCATCTGTCGTAGAATATTGTGCGACTTCTTGAGGCCCGTGGCGCCTTGATATTTGATGTCGGTCGTCTTTCTATTCGACAAAAAAAACAATAAATACGATCATCAGCTTTCTGCAGCCCATTCGAACAGACTTGGAAATCAGACCGTTCGAGGCGCGAAGACTCTGGAAGCGGAAGAAGTAAGCCAGCCGTGGGTCTTGTATGTCGAAGACGATTCACTGACACCGGCGTGAGGTGCTATGCAGTGATCCTCAGGCTTTGTAGCGTTCTTCCTTCGAGTGGGGGACTGCCATCCGAAGACGTTGACCTGCCTAGGGACCCCCATGTCGCCAGTGTTGCGAGTTACAGAGTACGGGTGGCGCCATGAATTAGCCGAGGGAGCAGCGGCCAGGTCACATAGTGGAAGGCGATGGCGCGAGAGACTAGGTGTAGCATGTGTCGAAGAGTCCACAAGATGAGAAGGAGTGGGCGTGGAAACGAAAAGAGTAGGAGGATCTGGTGGTGGTTGTATAGCATGTGGCGTGCGTGATGCAAGGGACGCTGGAGGGTGTAAGGGGATAGAAGAGTCGAAACCTCGAGTATGGGCCTGGTCAGCACGAGCGAGGGTGTGAGACTGAGTGTGATGAGCGTGAGCATGAGTGATGGTGTTCTGAGGCAAAATTGATGCGAGGTTGGACGAGAACGAGTTCGAAGCCGGAGGCACATTCTGGCGTCCAGCACCACGAATATCGAAAGAAGCCTTTTCAAGCCAGGACGGGATGTTTTCGTCTCTCTTGGTCAGGGACCCCGTACTGTTCACCTCTGCGGTGCCAGCATCCACTCCCACTCTCCTCTCTAGTTCGTTACTCTGCCTGAGAGCCTCGAATCTCGGATTTAGTACCATAGCCATCGTCTCTTCAGTCCCAGCAGAACCGCCAGCTAGATACGAGTGTTTCGAAGGATAGCTAGGCAGAAGTGGCGTGCCCCAGAACAAAGCTTGGGCGGGCTGGAAAAGAACAGGGGGATCGTCGACGCAGATAGCCTCGTCCCGGATGGTATTGAAGAGGCCCTCCTCTGAATCGGTAAGATCGTAGTTGTCGCCCGCAAGCTGGTCACTTTCGCAGATGATATCGTCCCAAATCGTAGGCGTAGAGAAAGACTCGGATTCGGATTCGGATTCGGACTCGCAGGAGCCTGCCTGGTCGTCGTCCGATTCCAAGTCAGAGCCGTCGCTTTTCCACCGCACGCTGGAGCTGACACTAGAGTCGCTCGATGCGTAGCTGGTCTGAGAGTACGTGCTCGACATAGTAGTGCTGTAGAATATTGACAAGAGTGTTCTAGGACCGTAATAGCTTGAGAGTGTCGTTGAAGTTGTTCTGAGAGTGGTTTGAATCGAGTGCCACCGGATGAAAACGTTATCTTACGTAAGCAGATCGACGCCACACAAGACTGGCGGTTGGTTGAGCCAATGGCGCGAATCGTGGCCACCAGAGAAGGATCGTTGTACTGGGTAGAATAAGTGTAGGACAGTATCTATGGAAGAGCGAACAGTGTGAGTATATAATAGGGCTCATAAATGGAAAGCATATGGACGTAGTATGTAGCTAAAGCATCATCCAAACACAACAACGAAGTGACGCTGTAAAGAAAGCAAAATTGCACTGTCCTTCGTCCCCGAGTATTAGTTGTAAAGGTCCGTAAGGGCGAAGCCGGGGTATATGCAGGATCATATGTATGTATTGTACAGTATACATCAGCGCCGTGTATACGCGCCTTCGTATGATTCACCAGAATCGATTCTTTTCTGTTGGGTGGCCCTTCGCCATCCGCAGCATAACGAGATGAGCCGTGAAAGAGGACCAACCATTGCCCAGAAGAACGTCTGCTCGTGTTCCAATCGCCATGTCCACACCTAGTGAGATGCTATAAGTATCTCCATCTAACAAAAATATGAAGATATAGAAAAGACTCACTCTGCGCGACATATTTTTGCTCCCAGTCCAACACCAGATCCCTACTTCCCGTCACCTCATCCCATTTAAACTCTTGATCTGCCTTCAACGCCTTCTTCAACTCATCAATCCAATCCTTCTTCCCATTCGTCATCACGTATATCCTCCTCAGATGCGTGTGCTCCCTTCTGATCTCCTTCACCCTCTCCACGATGCCCGGAATCTCAGGGAAACACCTCTGGGCATACAGCACCGCGTTCCCTAGAGTCAACTTCCCCCACGGCGCGTCCGGCCTCTCGAACTTATCTGGCATCCCCTCCGACGCCAGCTGATTGAACCCTTGCCATTCCGCAGTCCATTGTGCGAGGTGCAGACAATGGTCGTCGAAATCGCCGCGGCGGATGTGAAGCACGAGCAAGCCGGGAATGACGTCGAATTGTTCTGCTTTGAGAGTGGAGAGGGCAGAGCTGGGGATACGTGAGGGTTCGTAGGAGATGGGAGCGGAGAGGTGGGCGAGGGAAGAGGTGCGTGGGAGGCCGACGAGGTGTTTGTTGGCTTCGAGACCGAGGAGGACGAGTGGGGAAGAGCTGTATTGTTGGACAATGGGTGAATCTCGGAGTAAAGGCCAGAGGTCGTAGATTCGACGACTCCCGAAGAGCCTGTGATACGCGAACTTAGATAGGGTGTAAACGGGAGAAAAAGAATGCAAACTCACCACATCTCGAAGATATGTGTTTTGGAGCCTTCGTTGGATATGCACGGTGCATCGATGGATTTAAGCTTCTCTACCCATCTCGTGAAGAGTTCAAGGGCTCCGTATTCGTTCCCGAGGTCAAGTTCGATCTTAACCTGGTCGTTATTGATGTAATGTATCCCTCCGAGCGTCTCGCAGACCTCGTAGAACTGGTTTTTGGGGACGGCGCGTGGTGCGTAGTCGCCTTCCGGGAATTCCTCGCCGAGGACAGGGCCGTCGAGGAGCACAGATAATGGCATTCGGGAGTGAATGAGCTTGTCATTGTAGATAGTCCACTTCACTTCGGGTTTGTAGTTCCAGGTGTAATCGTCCCAGACGAAGCTAGATTTTATGGACTTGAATAGGAGAAGCGCGAGACATAGAACGGAAATACTCACGAACGGTTACTCTCATGCGCCAACAACGCATTGACCAGTAATTCCTGCACCGCGTTCCCCCATCCCAACCCTAGTATATGATTCACATTTACTCAACCTCCGGAAGTGCAAGTAGACGAGACTCACCCCAGATATGTCTCGCAGGGAAGAAATACTTCGTTCCCGGCTCATGTGGTCTCGTCATCTTCGCCTCTCTCGCCCAGTACTCCTCATAGGTCGGTGGTAATCGCACATCGGGGTGCTGCCGTATCCACTCCTCATAGGCAGTGATCTCCGGGTCGACCTCCTCCTCTGACCCTGGTAAAGATAGCGGTATACCATTCTCCGGGCGGAAAAACACGAAGAACAGCACGACGCAGACTACGCCGCATATCGCAAGCCTATTTGCTCGACATCGCCGGAGTGGGGAGCCATTCCGAGGCCGTATACCGCCCCTTGAGGTCGGAAGATCATCACCGCGTTTGTCTCTGTGCTGAAAACGCGCAAACATGAACCAGGGCCGGGCTCGGTTAGAGTACTTTTCGGAGTTATAAGCCTGACTAGAAGAGTTGTAGTAAGCAATTGATGTGAAGTGGGTGGGTGGTTCGTCAAGCAAGTGGAGACTGAAGTGATCGTCCGAGTGAGAGATATGGAAAGACACCGGTGGCCTGAGGCCTGACGTGGTAGTGGGAACTTTGGAAGGGTGGCCTGAATTCGTAGAGGGAAGAACCCTTTTACTAGCAGGGCTTCACCCACTTGTAGTGACATCATAACGGCAGCTTTCGGAGTTCCAATATCTTGAAGCCTCGGCTGTTTCCAGGGTTCAAAGGTTCGCTACGATTATCTTGTTGGACTTTTTTTTACTGGACTTGCACGAAAGTTTTTCCTTTCCTTGATATCTTCTGCCACGAACGTGCATTGGTCCTCTGACCGCCCATTTGCTATGTGGCGCAGGGGTCATGGCGGCATGGGTTGACATATTGATGCTTGCGTGAAGCTTGCCACGAAAGGATGAAGGAGTGGCCTCGCGGATGGTCAATGCACATTTCCTCTCCTTCAACCCAATCAACCACCACACAGACTACACTCTCGTGGTATCCCTCAAATGAGTGCGACATCTCTTAAGGAAAAGGGAAATGATCATTTCAAGAGTGGTCGTCTGGCCCAGTGAGTTGTATTTCTTGTTTATCATCCAGTAGTAACTTGCAGGCTGAAATTCTTGTACGATCGCGTGAAAGGGCAGCAAAGTGCTATGCACAGGTGCGAATACTCTACCTTATACCATGATTTAATCAATCTTATCTTGACCAAATCCCACAGGCGGAGAAAGCAGCCCCTACGGATGCTGTGTATCCTTCGAACCTGAGCGCAGCACTTTACGAGCTCGGCGACTACAAAGGCTCGTACGAGGCGATATGCCGTTCTGCAGATCTTTTGACGAAGGAACAATGGGAATCTCCTCTCGCGAAGCGTCTTTCTGCGAGAATCGCCAAATGTCTGCGGTATGGAGTACGCTCCGGCGTAATAACTCCCGACATGGCGGAGAAAGCACCAGCAGTCTGCGATAAATTGAGATCCATTAGTCGTCAGCCCTCAGGCGACTCTGCACCGGGCACTGCGGCAGACGCTGCTTCTGCTTGGGATGAATGGGACTTTGTCAAGGGCGAGATGAATAAAGTGACTGGTAACGCTAATGATGCACGCGGTCGGCTCGCTCAAATGCCAATCTTCCGAAAGCCTGCGTGAGCTATCCCTTTACCTTCAGCTCAGACAAACCTGAAACTTCTTCACCTACAGGGATACAGAGATGTTATATTTTCCTGTATGTCCTTTACATGTTTTGCCCTTCGAATTGCCTCTCACCATTACGTTTTGTACAGATCGGGCACGATGAGATCCTCAACATCGTGGAAGACTGGGGTCCAACCTACGAAGGCAGCCACGATCCGCTACCGCTGAATGATATTCCTATCACTTGCTTGAAGCCGTTGGCTCTTCTCTTTGGTGGTGTCGGTGACGGTCAGGCATCCGGTTCTCAGATCATGTACAATCGACTCATCATAAAACTACCTTGCAGCTCGGCATGTCTTCGCCTCAATTATCGGTCTCCAGAAGGCTTCAGCTTCTTCATTAAGCAGAAAGCGGAGCTTGACACTCAAGGCACACATGACGCTGATAGATGTCCAACCGACCATTCTCGCCCGCAATCTCTGTCTGTTCATGTTGTTGGATGAATTGATGAACAGATCCGTTCTAGACGAGAACACGATAATCATCAAAGCTACTCTCTTCTACGCATATGTTGGAGTCTTGATGCCTGACTACTGTTATACCAAGTCAGTCTCCTCGGTTTTTAACGACGTGTATTAACTAACCATATATCTTGAAGGTGGATGAGCGTCGTCAGAGATCTCAGGATTCGTCTTGCCCTGAGTCCACCCGATATACCTTCTTGGTTCCACGTCTCTCCCGACTCCGTTCCAGGCATCATCTCGTGTTTTACCTATTGGGAAAAGGGATTGACCAAAAAGACCGCCAAGGGCTCTCTCTCTATGCACATAAACAATGATGCTCCTCATCACGGTGCAGACAACATGCCAGCGTATAACGTACAAGTGAAGAAGAATAAGGAATCTATGCGGATTTGGGCCACATCGGAGGTGGACAATCATTCAGAGCAATATCTGATGAAAGCGGTACGTCATTTACCACTATTCTCGCGACATACAACCGATTGAACGTATTCGTATGCGTCACAGGGGAGGGATCAGCTTGGACTCGAGCCTTGCCCCACGGACTTTGCGGGAAAGAGAGAGTGGTTGGCGTTAACGCGAGAAATGCTCACAGAATTCATGTCGGACGCGAGCTCGGGTTTTGAGCGTCCCGATACGCGCTTGGAAATGGTGAACGAGGACTATTGGTATCGGTCAGTCAATTCTCAACGTCCTTCTCTGCTTGATGGACGTTACCCTCAGCTGATGACTCGACTTTATTCAGGAAGGCTCATGTATTCGTACCGCATTCAGCCTTGTGGCACCGGCATGAAGGCCTCGAGGCCTCATGGACTAGCTACAGGGATTCGAAGCGACGGAATATTACCCAGCTTCAGAACAAGGTCGGTAGAGTGCCTGTCCACGATGTAAAATCTGACTGAACCGGCCCCATCTCACAGTTCGCCTCGAACGTGGCAGGAACATTTAAGCCCAATCCTTCGCTCTTTGTATGTGTCAATTTTGTATACGAGTACACTGTACTTGACCCACTAAAACCGTGCCCATCTGTAGGATCGCCGTCGTCACGAAACTAAATACCCAGATATGAACTGTGACGCTTTCACAACTGTCCGTCAAATCAACATCTTCAACGTTCGTATGGATTTGACCGGTGATCGAGACTCAGTTCGGGGAGATGTTGAACGAGATTATCCTGCCTTCTCCGTTGGCGAAACATTCTTCGATGCTGTGGTAGACGCTTTGAAAGCGTTGAAGGGTCGCATCATGCTCGAGGTTATCCACGATGATCTTAGCAGTGGGCTGCTGAAGATACGAGCACGAGCAATGGACAGCCGACCGGCAGAATTCCCAAAGAAATTCACTCGTATGTGGTTAAGCAACGTACCGTTAGTATTCTCCGTCTTCAGCGTGGTCCTCGCTGACTAGTGGCGCTAACCCTTTCCCAGGGACTATACCCACGGGCCAATGAATACTGCGGTCTACGTCATGCCATCTCTGGAAGTTGTCCCGGGTGCGAATGCCACAGCGAATTGTCTCCTGAACACTGGCTGCTGGAACAGCGGCGAAGACTTCTTCCACAAGTGCGTGTCAACGACTGTGTCCTGTCAACAACTACTTACCGTCCACGTATTTTAGTTACACTCTCCTCCGGGTTCGCGATGCCCCTCGCTTTCTAGGCTGTGAAGTCGTCAACATGAAGCCCGCTTGGGGCCTGATCACTCTGGCTCCGACGGTTCTCCCCCGCCCACTAGCACAGCTGGCGTCTCGTGATGAACTGTATACTTGGCTCACCCGTACCTTGCTATGCACGCTGGTTCCTGGATATCCTTCCCAGCATGCGTATCGCTGCCGTCACCCAAACAACGTAGTATCCTTCGTCGGACTGGTCATTCACCTTCACGCCGTTGGTTTCCCATCGCATTGGCTGTCCGAATACATGCGAACCCTTCTCTCAAACGACCTCGTCACCGATGTCGCACCATATCGCGGTGAATTACCTGTCCCCGTCTCCGAGATCGGCCGTCGCGTTCAAAAGCGTAGAGTTAACCTCGATCCCTGGTTCCTTGAGTTCGAAAACATCATCGCTACCTCCTACGAGTCTCTTCCTTTCCCCATTTCGCTTCCTCGCACTCCTTTCGCCACCTCTCATACCGAGATCGGCACTTTTGAAGTCAAGATACCATCCAACGAATTTGAACCAGCGACATTTACGAAGTTTCTGTCAATCATGGATCCAGTCATCTCCCTCATATTCGTCAAGGCAGGGGCGACCTCAGATCCAATGGATCTGGTGAAAAAGGTGCCACAAATCCTGGAGGGTAAGGGAGGAGCTAGGCCGGCGTGTGGAGAAATCTACATCTTGACGGGTGTCGAAAGGTTTGAGATGTCAGCGGGATTGGTGAGTTGGAGGATGAGCAGGGACAGGGTGAAGAAAATGCAGGCGAGTGGGTGGTTCATGATGGCGTATAGGTTTGATGCAGAAATTCCGGGTGCGTTAAGGCTTCCCTCTTCCTCCAATATACATGAAAGTGCTAAATAATTGCTGGTACAAGTGGTCTGTCCCATCTCTTCGACGCGCTGGATGGAGAGCCGAGTTTGAAAGACTAGGTGATGGACGGGGCGACCGCGAACTGTACTTGTACCCAGCTGTGCCCATACCCACTTGTAAGTTCGCCACTGCGCCAGCACTTTGACTGTATTGCTTCATCATGTCCCACACCATACACGTTTCACAAGTGTGTTATTCCTTGATGCTGTCGCATCCTGACTTTCTAAGGATAGCCTCTCCGATTGCCACGTATGTCATCAAAACCATTACACGTCGCGAGGGTTCAAGGATAAAACTATAGAATACTGTCCAAGTCCAATCCATCCTGACGGGTAACACGGAGGAAATAATATTACACTAAAGAGTTCGTCGCTGGCGGCGCCGTCAAATTCCGGTAACACAATGAATCCCGTCACACGCATTGCTCCCTCCACATTATGCTTTGGCAGCGCCATTGACTCCAGGCTGAACCGGCGAGAGTATCAACGGCATAGAGGGCTTCGTGCCGCCCGAGACGACCGGTGCAGCCACAGGACCCATTATCCAGTCAACCTGCGTCTTGCTGGGCGAGAGGTAGAAGCTTGGAATGAGGAGAGACATAACGATCTCTGACAATGACAAGGCGATTTGCGGCCAAGTGATCAGTTCCGTAGTCGCAGCAGCTTTGACGGGGAAAGAACGTACTCATCTCCATCTGCGAGAACTTGAAGCCACTGCACGAGGGATATTTAGTATAATGGCCAAACGAAGGGAAGGGTAGCCGAACTCACATGCAGGCTCTTCCACCTCCCAAGAATGTCAGCCTACTCACGGTTAGTCGAGAACGGTTGCTCATAGTCAACGAGCAAAAACATACATGTTAGAATAAACACCGGGGATACGGGCGTTCGTTACACTTTCAGGTAGAGGTGACAGCCACCTCTCAGGTTTCCACTCAGCAGCATCCGGCCCCCAAATCTCGGTGCTAGTGTTTACAGCCCTGATACCTATCAACACAGTCGTATTCTTGGGGACGACAATCTCGGATATGGTATTGCCGTCGATACCCGTGAAGGGGGTGCTCAGCGGCAGAATGGCATCCTTGCGCGCACTGTCAGGTTGGAGATTATAGTAAGCAATCAGACGGGACATAAAAGAAAAGACAAAAGAGATTGTCTACTCACACCCTAGGGATATGAGTCACCGGCGGATAACTGTATCGCGGAAGTAAGCAACAACAACGGCAGTGATAGAACATCAGACTTACACTCGAAGCGTCTCCCGACAGACAGCCTCCAAGTACGGCAGCTCGTGTAGGGTATCGTAGTCCAGGTCGCCTCCGGCTTCCTTTCGAGCAAGGACCAGTTCCTCGCGCAGCTTGTCTTGCACCGTTGGGTTCATAGCCAAGAGGAGGAAGATACGAGAGAGTGCAGAGGATGTCGTATCCATCGCAGCAAACACCAGTGTCCTGTAATTGTGAGATGAGTGTCAGTATGAGGCAAAAGTTCGAGGGCTCGATCAAAACGTACGTCATCTGCCCGAGTAATTCGGAATCGGGCAGTCGGTCGTCTTCATCAGCATTCAGATTCGATTGCACTACGAATGAATGATACTGTAAGAAATGTGCCAAATTCGCAGGGATAGACTGGTCTCACATAGAACGCTCATGATATCCCTTCCCTCGCCGATCTGGTGAACCACGGCGTCGTCACCTTTCTCCAAAGCTGCCTTTTTGTGGTAGAAAACAGTCTTCGACGTCTCGTCCATGATGTCTGTTGCATCTATCAGAAGCTTGATATTCTTCGAAGGCAGCAACTGTAAAAGCCAGCGGCGAAAAGCTGCTGGTCCGATATTTGAAAAGTAGGGAAGAAGCAGGCGCGGAAGCGCCAGTTTGGCTGCCGTCGGGCTATTTTACGCAGACAGTAAGCGTCAGAAAGTGTATGAGAACCAGAAACCAGAGATACTTGCAAGAGCATCTTGACCGCCTCAGCGTAGCGGTTCGACTTTTGCTCGTCGAGGGTTTCAAATGAATACCCAAGCCCTCCTTGACCAATGAGCTCCAAAGCAATGCGAGTCATCCATTCGAGGACGTCCAGTTCGCGTGGTCCGTTGCTAACCTTCGCCTTCAAGATGTCGTCGAGCTAAGTGGAACGACGGGAAATATAAGGTTCCTACTACCGATTATAATTTATACCGAACTGCGCTCACCTGGTGTGTGATTTTGAAAAAGGTGGGAATCATGTACCGCATGTGGCTTATGGAGAACACTGGGTTGAGGAGTTTCCTCTGGCGACGATGATGTTGTCCTGGAAGTAACGTGTGAGCCTAGTGCCGCTCATGTACCACCACAACAACTCACCGAGAGTGCTCAGTAAACCCATACCAAAAAAGAGTTTGTTGGACCTTCGTTAGGTAGATCCCGTCAATTCCGGTGGGCTTCAATAAAAAGACAGGGACCTTACTCTATAAACATGTCGGTCTCCTCGAATAGTTCTTGTTCCTTAATCAGGATGGAGTAGAGGGCCTTGGGGTCGCTGATATAGAGTCGAGCATCCTATAAATTTGACGGTGAGTGGTGTAACAGAGATAAATCTGGAGGGACAGCTACTTGCCCCAAAAAATCCCCAAGTCCTGATAACGCTTCCATACTTCTGCACAATGCCATCGAGGAAGCCCCAGCCTTGCAGGTCGAAGAGCTGTTTCAGGTTGCCTGAAGACGAAGGTTCGTCAGACAAGGATATCCGCTTGCATGTGAAAGTAACACTACTCACCAAATGCGAACGACTGCGCGGGAGGCCCAGGGATATTACGCAGAGATGCTTGCTTATACCAGAGCACGACTACGTATAGTATCAGAAATGCGACAGACGATACCACTGCTGTGGACAGTGCGATCACAGCCGATATTGCCAACGATTTGTCCAGCAAAAACATCATAGGACAAGACTGCAAAAACGTTGGCGATAGTAGAGTCGGTGTGGGTACGATGCGGAATGAGAAACAAAGTGAGACTTAGCCTGACTTTATACTTAGTCCACGAAGGGGCAGAAGTGTGAACAACAAGCACTGATAGTTGGGCGAACACTGGAAGTAAGTTCCACAGCGTGCGAAAAATCGGATGATGACTGGACCTCTTTACAGACCGACGGGCCCGCGGAACGGGATCTTCGGAAGTAAATCCTCGTGTTGTCCAGCAACTATCCGTGAGATGTCCACCTTGATGATAAAGGTGCCCACACTGTAGTGGACACGCACTCCGGAAATAATGCGTACAAGCACTCAATGTGACGGACTACCGGAGTGGATACAGGTGGCAAATGAGTTCATCAAAATGGTCAAGGTCTTTGACATTGCGTACCGAACAGGTTTATCGACAGCAACAGCCGCAGAGTTGATGAAAGGCGCAGTGTGCACGAGCACTTCGTGTACGGTGGACTGAACTCGATCTTGTGAAGATCTACTAGAAGCGGCGAATGGGCCACTGACACACAGACACAGTTGGGATGGATGGAGGGAGGAATCTGTTTAGGATATAATGGGGAGTGGCAACGAATCAGAGGACCCAGAGCTGTTGCACGCTATACTCAAGCTATACTCATGGTATAAGTTTGTCAACTGAAGACGACTCGATGTTGACACTTTTCACATTTGACCTCAAGACTCCCAATGTCCAGAGATTGTTACATGGGGAGCTCGAAGAGGCCTCCTTTTCAAGCGTGCCAGTCGAGTGAGTATCAAAGTGTAAGAAGTCCCAGATGGGATCCTTGCGGAACAAATTGGGAACAAATGACGGGAAAATCGAGGAAAGCTATCCTCGGAAGATGCCGGCAACGACCGTTATGCCACTCGTCTCGGTTTTATCTCAGCTATGTAGGGGCCACACAGATCCACTGTGCCTACAATGATGTAGCACTGGACTACATCAAGATCACACAAATATTTGAGATATCTGTTCAGGCGCTTCACTGGCTGTCACATTTGAGAGCATAATAGGAAACGTAGCCACCACTCGAGCAAATTGGGCTAAAATGTGTCACCGCCCCTTGAGTGGCTCCAGCCCGGAGGCCTCTGACCAGAACGGTACAAATACTTCACCTTGTCCGAGAACCAACAAGCCTTCCATCCATATCATATACTCGTCTTGTGCCCAATTTTTGACCCAATGAGGATGTTGATGTACATAAGACAGGCATAGCAATTCGCGAATATCAGACCAGAAAGCTCTACTGCCAAAGACTCGCTGTCTTGACGGCAGTCCATGTTATAAAGAGATTGATCCAAGTAACAAAGTATAATTAGTTAACTGCAGGGAAGCTACGTGACAACTAGTCCATTGAGTACGCGCAGTGCCTCTCGCCACACGCAATATTAATTAGATATTAATCCTTGACTATAGCGCACGACTAAACAGTCTGAACGGGAGAAAGCATCAATGGCATGGAGGGCTTAGTACCGCCAGAGACGACCGGTGCAGACACAGGCCCCATAAGCCACTCGATCTGTTTCTTGGTGGGCGAGAAGTAAAAGCTAGGAATGAGGAGAGACAGGACAATTTCTAGAATCATGAAGCGATTTGCGACGGTTGGTCAGTACTCCCACAAATTAACGTGAATAGGAGTATGCGTACTCATCTCCATCTGCGAAAACTTGAAACCACTGTGTGACCAATTCAGTCTGATTACAGAGGAGGACAGGACCAACTGGCTTACATGCAGGATCTTCCACCTCCTGAGAAGGTCAACCTATCAGAAATAATGTACGATTAGTTCAGATTGGTCACTAATAAACGGTTTAGGGATGAATCAAACATGTTGGAGTAGACGCCGGGAATACGAGCATTCGTTACGCTCTCTGGCAAAGGTGACAACCATCTCTCAGGCTTCCACTCAGCAGCGTCCGGGCCCCAAATTTCGGGACTAGTGTTTACCGCGTGAATTCCAATCATGATGTTTGTATCCTTGGGGACGATTATTTCAGAGATAGTACTGCCGTCGTTACCCCTGATAGGAGTGCTCAACGGCAGAACCGTGTCTTTGCGCGCGCTGGTCAGTTGCAGGCAAAGGTCAGCATCCACATCGTCCATACACCGGTAAAAATAATCAACATACATCCTAAGGAGCTGGTTCACCGGAGGATAGCTGAAATATGAGAGGTAAGTCTTGAAAAGAATGACCGTTGCGATAGATGGTGAGGCTTACACTCGAAGGGTCTCCCTGCAAACTGCCTCTAAATATGGTAGCTCGTTTAGACTGTCGTAATCCAGATCGCCTCCAGCATCCTTTCGAGCATCGACGAGCTCGTCACGCAGCTTGTCCTGTACTCGTGGATTCCTAGATAAGAGCAGCAGTATACGAGACAAAGCGGACGATGTTGTATCCATAGCAGCGAACACCAAGGTCCTGCAAACGTGATGCGACTCTTGATCAGCGTGCCATGCAAGCCTAACAATTGCATGAGACTCACGTCATCTGGCTCAGCAACTCAGACTCGGGCATCCGGTCATGCTCATCCGCGGCCAAGTTTGATTGCACTGGCGTGGACGAGAACCATAAGTATAGATCATTAGGCTGACCAAAGATATCGGTCTCACTCAAAATGCTCATGATGTCTCTCCCCTCGCCGATCTGATGAACAACTGCATCATCTCCCTTCTCTAGAGCCTCCTTCTTGTGGTAGAACACTGTCTTCGACGTCTCGTCCATGACGTCGGTAGCGTCAATCAGAAGCTTAATGTTCTTGGACGGCACCAGTCGTATGGCCCAGCGGCGGAAAGATGCGGGTCCGAGGTTGGAGATGTACGGAAGAAACAGGCGAAGAACTTCGAGCCTACCAGCCGTTGGGCTACGTGAGGCAGCATCGGTTAGACAGGCGGTGCTAAAGGTAGAACCAGAACACATACAAGAGCATCTTGACCGCCTCGGCGTAGCGGTTCGATTTCCCCTCGTCTAACGTTTCGAGGGAATATCCTAAGCCGCCTTGACCGACGAGCTCCAGCGCAACGCGGGTCATCCATTCGAGGACATCAAGCTCCTGGGGTCCATCAGCGACTTTAGCCTTGAGGATGTCATCGAGCTAGGCAAAACGGCAGGACAGTCATGAGTTTTGTTTTGGATTGAGGTTGTCCGGCAGTCTTTCTCACCTGATGCGAAATACTATAGAAGGTAGGAATCATGTATCGCATATGGTTGGTGGAAAAAACTGGGTTCAGCAGCTTTCTCTGGCGACGGTGATGCTCCCCTAGCCGTACCGTTAGACACGAATGTTTACCATATAGCATAGGGACGAACCGAGGGTACTTAGTAAACCCATACCAAAAAACAGCTTGTTGGTCCTGCATCAAGTAGACAGCATCAGTCTCCGCATTGAAGTCGAGAAGAAGTCTCTAGATAGTAGAGATAGTAAACATACTCGATGATCGAGTCCGTCTCCTCGAATATATCATGGTCTTTGATTAAGATGTTGTAAAGGGGTTTAGGATCGCCTATATGGAGTTGGGCATCCTGAAGCAGGTGTTGAGTTATGTGACAGAACCGATCGCGAGAGGACGACGACTCACTCCAAACAGCCCCCAGATTCTAACAACTCGTCCATACGTTTGCGCTATACTTTCGTGGAAACCCCAACCTTGTAAGTTGAAGACCTGACTTAGATTCCCTGGGAGCAAAAACGCATCAGACGACGACATGCCTGAAGGTGGTAACGACAGTGCTCACCAAATGCGAACGTCTCCGCAGGTGGACCAGGAATGTTACGCAGATGCGATTGCTTGTACCAAAGCCGCACTCGCGATAGGATCAGCAGAGCGGCGCATACTGCCAGTATGGTAGGTAATGCGACTAGGATAGATGTTTGGAACGATTGTTCCAGCAAACGCATTATAGGTCAAGTGTTGAAAGTTGGTGGTCGGGGATGTAACAAGGGATACTGTGAATTGAACTGGCCTCCGGACCTTATATATAGTTCACGAGGAAGTGGAGTGGCTGCTTTCCGTATTGAAAACACCCGTTACTGGGCGTTATTGATCCTGCATGTGTGTCGACGATAACCAGGAGTTACATGTCGATGGGTGCGGAGAACTCGCACAGGTATTTGCGTCCAACAGCGTCCACAAAGAAGATGGAAAATTGTAGCGCAGTGTTTGCGCACTCTAGACGCCGTACATCCGAGCAACTAATGCGTTATGAGTCGGGGGATCCACAGACGTTTGTCAGGTCAACTGCACAGAGTTCCGAGTCGAAGAAGTAATCTGAATACTGCGTGTACTATGGTACAGCGTACACAAGAACGTCGTGCACGCGTGCTGATTTGCACCGACGGAGCGCCAAAATCATGACGTGACGCGTGGGAATGCCGAGATGATGCCGTAGAATATGCCAGGAGACGGGAGAGATTTGTCACCAGAATTAGAATAGAACGCAAACTTGCCCTATGGTGCGAAGCACTTAGTCACCGCATAAAATATTCAACCGCCAAATTTGTGCCCGGGAGGTCGAAATTCCAGTTTATTGAAAGAAAATTCCTGGAGCATATTTAAAAAACCCGGGACTCTCATAAATAATAAACAATTCTATTAAATATTAATTGTTTGGCGGGAGAAATTGAAACCCGCCAAATCTGGTGGGTGGGAACTTTGAAAGTCCCTCAGATTTAATTATTTTGGAAATCTGTCTTGGGGATCTCTTCCTTTCATCAAAAGGAGCATTTTGACAAGACAGATAAGTCTTAGAGGCGAATTTGACCCTCCTGTGACCGGGTCTTCCCGGTGTTCGACTTATGCGGTGAGTAAGTGCTTCGCACCATAGTAACTTACAGTTCTGAATGCTCCGGATGTAGGCTCCGTACTTTCGAATCTTACAGGTTCTTGCCTCTCCAACCTATACTTCTCGCTGATCGCCAACGAGTCCTAATCCTAGTCTGCGTTGTGCCCCAAAGAAATATCGATGAGTGACTCCGGACAGTGTCTGACACTGTTCGGAGGAGGACTGGTCTGAGAGTTCAAGGTCTACGCCACTCGGCCCTGGATCTCAGACGTCGAGACTCAAATGGCCATGTTTCCCGCACGCACGGACGAGACCTCTACTTGTTGAAGATGTTTGTGGGCTCCCTATAATGACACAATACGTCATGAACACCATACTTACAATATTAGGGACTACAAATGGGGATCTGTCAGAGGAGTCACCGTTAAAGGAGTGTCTCGAAAGACGGATAAGTAGCGGAGCGGTGCACCATTACATATTAAGTCAAAACCAACAAAGACAACAGGATGCTTGTGGTAAAAAAGCTATTTATCACTTGTGCAAGCAATCATCGCTAGCTATCAAATGTGCTGAACTGAGCGATGAGTTGAAGTGGCTGGGGACAGGGGCAACAAAGATTATCCTACACGGATAGATTTTCCAACGTCAGCGGATAGCAGACTAGCGAAAAGAGATGGTTGATACGGAGGCAAGAAGATCAGAGGGAGCCGCCTGTGACTAGATTGTCAACCATGTAAGACGAACCTGGTTCCATTGCAATCCCTTCAACATCAAGCAGCGCGTTTAAACCCAGGTTGGACTGGCGTAAGCACCAATGGCATAGAAGGTTTCGTGCCTCCCGAGACAATTGGGGAAGACACAGGTTCCAAAAGCCATTCGATCTCCTTCTTGCCGGGTGAAAAGTGGAAGCTAGAAACCAGGAGAGAAAGGACAATCTCTAAAAAACGGAAGATCGTCAGCAGTTGACTAATGCCGCTACACACGCGCAAGGGACATAGACGGACTCATCTCCATCTGCGAGAACTTGAAGCCACTGTAAAGCAGAGTTATATCAAGTATAAATAAGGATAAACGCGATAGAGCTTACATGCAGGACCTTCCACCACCCAAGAATGTCAACCTTCGGGAGCGATACAACCGTAATCAGTATAATAAATTTAGTCGGTCGTGTGGTGGAAGACAAACATATTGGAGTAGACTCCGGGGATACGAGCGTTTGTGACGCTCTCGGGCAGAGGTGACATCCACCTCTCGGGCTTCCACTGAGCAGCATCCGCTCCCCATATCTCCGTATAAGTGTTCACTGCCTTGATACCAACCATAACGGTCGTGTTCCTAGGGATAGCGATCTCCGAGATGATGCTATCGTCATTTCCTCTGATGGGGGTGCTCAAGGGCAGAATTGCGTCCTTTCGCGCGCTGTTGAGTCAAAAGAGGGATGAGGATCCTGACGTGATATAATAGTATTACAGTTAACTCACATCCTAGAAACCCCAGTACCCGGCGGGTGGCTATGGTTTGATAGTGAGAAATAGATCCCATGACAACACAAGGGCTGCCTTACACTCGAAGAGTCTCTCGACATACGGCCTCTAGGTACGGCAGCTCGTTCAAGGTATCATAATCAAGATCGCCTTCGGTTTGCCTTCGGGCATTGACAAGCTCCTCACGCAATGTGTCTTGTACTTGTGGATTCATTGCCAAGAGGAAAAACGTACGAGCGAGCGCAGTAGACGTTGTGTCCATGGCAGCAAAAACCAGAGTCCTGCAACATATAATGGTTAAGTGATCAGTGCTAGTGTGACACTTCAGGTCTTAGGAACGCACGTCATCTGGCTCAGCAATTCATGTTCAGGCAGCCGGTCGTCCTCGTCAGCATCCATATTAGATCGCACTGCGGGCGAGAAAGGAGTGTTAGAATGAGATACAGGCCGCAGACTCCGGAAAGGTCTCACTGAGGACGCTCATGATGTCCCTTCCTTCCCCGATTTGGTGTACCACTGCGTCATCTCCCTTTTCCAAGGCCTCCTTTTTGTGGGAGAACACCATCCTCGACGTCTCATCCATGACATCAGTAGCGTCGATCAACTGTTTGATAGTCTTGGATGGCATTAATTGTATAATCCAGCGGCGAAAGGCTGCAGGTCCGAAGTTGGCTACACAGGGAAGTAACATTAGAAGGATCGGGACTCGGGCACACGCCGGGCTGTGTTGTGCATGGGAAATTAGAGGTCTGTACGAGCATCTAGGAAAGAAAAAATACGTGCAATAGCATCTTTACCGCCGCTGCGTAACGGTTTGATTTGGTTTCGTCAAGCGTTTCGAAGGAGTAACCAAGTCCACCTTGGCCGATGAGCTCCAGTGCAACGCGAGTCATCCAGTCCAGGACGTCTATTTCCTGTGGCCCGCTGGTGACTTTGGCCTTCAAGACGTCCTCAAGCTAGACATAATGGTAGAAAAATCATGGTCTCCGATGCTGGTCAAATCCATTAGGAATCACGCTAACCTGGTGCGTAACTTTATAGAATGTCGGAATCATGTATCTCATGTGGTCGGTAGAGAACACCGGCAGAAGTAGCTTCCTCTGGCGACGATGGTGTGAACCTGCGAGCGACAATCAAGCATGGTCTTCATACTCGGAAACGAGAAACTGACCAAGGGTACCCAGTAATCCCATTCCAAAAAAAAGCTTGTTGGACCTGGGAAGCCAAGTTATACGTTTGGACTGCGTACTTAGCAAGACAAGAAGAACGTGGTAATCTTACTCGATGAACATGTCCGTCTCTTCGAATATGTCCTGATCTCTGACTAAGATGGTGTGAATGGCTTTTGGGTCACTAACGTGCAGTTGAGCATCCTGAAGTCAATGGTGAGCCACGCGCCACGAAGAAGTATCAAAAAGAAGAACATTACCCCAAATAATCCCCAAACCCTCCAGACGCTCCCATAGCGCTGCGCCATATCAGCGTGAAAGCCCCAACCACGCGTGTTAAAAACCTGTTGAAGATTGCCTGAGAACGAAGCTAAGTCAGATGTTGGCATTCACTTGGACATGTGGACGGGAATGCCGACCGAACGCTAGTGACTTTGCGGGAGGACCAGGGATGTTGCGTAGGTGTGCCTGAGTGCGCCAAATCCTAACTCTGGACGATATGAGGTAGGCAGTAGACACTACCAGTAGTGCAGTAAACGCGATTATAGTCGACATTGCGACTGATATGTCGGCAAGAAGCAGCATGTGAGGAGGGATTGTTAGAGATGTTGGCGATTGTAGGGCTGATCAAGGTGCGATGAGGTCAGGGTATGGGCTGCGACGTTCGCAGTCTTACTTTATACACAAAGAGGTGTGCGGTCGAGAAGTCCCGCATATCTAAAGGTCCTCGTTTATCTGTCTTAAGAGGGGGAGGAGATTGACGTTATGCACCCGGGGTCCCTAAGGAAACCGGATGTGGCACAATTCAAGGCATGGGCGGTCGTGGCAGAATGGCGTGCGGAAAAGAAGATCGTCTTCACAGTTGGGGTGCTAGGGGTGTGATAACAGAGAAGATGCTGAAGAATGCGGTGCGCATGTTGTGTCATGCAGTTGAGGCCAAGACACTGAGAGAACCTTATGGGTCGACAATTTCATGAATCTGGAGGACTCGAAGCCGCTGAACTTTTCTGCCAGTGTTGTAAAGGACGGTGATGATAAAAATCTGAACAAAGGACAGCAGTCAAGGGGCAGTAGACTCCGGGATGGTAAGGATTTGTCGGTGCCGATATGTCGGTCATTCCACAGTTGATGAGCGTCTCTCGAAGAGCTTCGAAACCACCGTAGTGTGGGTCGTCTGAACACGAGACACTGGGCAAGCGACGTAAGAGAGCGGAGGACCGAGATGGTAAACACAAAATCGTAAAACTTCAGATTCGGGAGATGCCGCCCGAGCCTGCGCCACACGTCGCCACAAATTGGTTTCTGCTCCTGTTCGATTCCTCTATGGCACCGGTTCAGGTCAACTTTTTCCAGAGTACAACGTCAGAATCGTCCATAGAAGTAGCGAGTCGTTAGCCCAAACCTCTTATATTATCCACGCAGAGCTACAGGATACGCTGAATAAGTATGCCGGATGGGTGCATCATGGACGTCGTTACGAACATCGCTGCGCAACATCTGAATTGTGACTTACTTGCATGCTTGGAGTACAAGAAATGGCGAGCCATCGGAGAGCTCTATCTCTTGTATATGTATATATATATATAGCATGGAATGTTGAAAGTGACCATAATTGCAAGAAGAAGAATGCGACATCTATGTCCATCATTGAGAGAGCAACAGCAACAAACCACAGCGACTCGGCATATATATTCGAGCAGGTCAATTACAAGATAAAAGAGTTACATTACTCGCCATCATACACATTTCTCTATGACTGAAATACTGACATGGAACGCCCCGTCTTCCAATTATTAGAGCGAATGAAGCCTCAGCACAATCCTCGACAACAGGCAGCAGTCCGTGAAAAACCATCTCGCAAGGCCTACATCGAATAATCCCTTGATAGAACATCTAAGCTTCCGCACCTGCTATCCTCGAGACAACTAAAGGCATGGACGGATATCTCTCTCCAGAGACCACGGGTGCAGCCACTGGGCCCAGAAGCCAGTCGATCTTCTTCTTCGTGGGTGAAAACTGGAACAGTGGGATCATGACGGAGAGGACGATTTCTAGATAAACGGAAAATAAGAGTCAGAGAGGCAGTCAGGAAGACAGGCGAGATGAGCGTACTGATTTCCATCACGGAGAACTTGAAGCCACTGTCACCAGGGTAATCGCAAAGATCAGCGATGGTAGAAGATCGAGAAAGAGGTGCAGAACTCACATGCAGGATCTCCCTCCTCCCATGAAGGTCAAGCTACCGTTGTGAGCAGTGATGAGTGCCTCGGATGTACCTCTGAGAGGCGATTACTTACAGATTGGAGTATACTCCCGGAACACGAGCGTTAGTGACACTATCCGGAAGAGGCGACAGCCATCGTTCGGGCTTCCACTCAGTCGCATCAGGCCCCCAAATGCCAACGTCTACGAAGTAACTATCAGGTGAATCCCATATACCACTGCACATAAATCAAAGGTTTTTGAGACGTACCTGTGTTGATAGCCTTGATTCCGACGAAGATACTTGTGTTCTTAGGAGTGACGATCTCATTGACGGTTGTTCCATCGTTCAGTCTGAGTGGACTGCTCAGCGGCAGGACGGTATCTTTGCGGGCACTGTGTGGAGTTGTGTAAGGGTTCCGTTTTATAGACGTGAGCAGCTATGCGAGCGACTAACATTCTCGGAATATAGGTGAGAGGAGGGAATCTACGGTGGAGAATCAGTATTGAGGTCCAGCCATGCTAGAAAGACAACTTACACGCGTAGGGTCTCTCTGCAAACGCCCTCTAAGAGTGGAAGCTCTTGGAGAGTGTCGTAGTCCAAATCACCCCCTGCTTCTCGGCGAGCAGTGGTAAGCTCCTGACGCAACTTCTCCTGCACCTCTGGGTTCAGAGACAACATTAGTAGGGCGCGTGACAAGGCGGAGGATGTCGTGTCCATGGCGGCGAACATGAGAGTGCTGGAGAGAGGATAGGAACACAATCAGCATGTAAGAATTGAGTACAACTGCAGACCAAAAAACTTACTTCAATTGTCCCAACAAATCAACGTCCGACAGCCGGTCAGCTTCGTCTGCGGTCAGATTTGCTTTCACTGTTCAAAGATCCGTTAAGAGAGGATTTGTGAGACTGAAGGATTGGGGCTTACGCAGAGTGCTCATGATATCTCTTTGCTCGCCCATCTGAGCGACGGCCGCATCTTCTCCCTTCTCCAGAGCCGCTTTCTTCTCCGCAAAGACCCTCTTAGACGTTTCGTCCATGATCGTAGCTGAATTGACCAGAGTGTTGATGTCCTGCATTGGGACGTATCGCACAGCCCATTGACGGAATTTTGCACTACCAAGCTTCGTCCAATAAGGAAGCGATTGCCCTATCAAACCTATCTTGCCGGCTGTAGGGCTTTACGAGGCAGTAAGCTACCCGGTCCAAGACGAATATGGGTATAAGATGGCGTACAAGAGCATTTTAGCGGCCTTGACGTAACGGCTATTTGCGGAGTTCGGGTTGAGGGCATCAAACGAGTATCCGAGCCCGCCTTGCCCAATGACTTCCAATGCGACGCGAGTGATCCAGTTCAAAACATCCACTTCTTGAGGACCCTTGGCAGTTTCAGCTTTCAAAACATCCTCGAACTGTTTGAAAAGATACGGATTCCCCTGTAAGCCTTATCATCCGTGGCTGTTAAGCAGGAGATTCATACCTGATGAGAGATTTTGTAGAATATGGGAAGCATGTATCGCATATGGTTGATGGAGAACAGAGGGCCGATTAGCTTGCGCTGGCGGCGATGATGCGCTCCTAATCGAATTCAGGCGCTGAGATATCCCCTTGGAGAACATGGTGACGTACCGAGCGTGCTCAACAGACCCTGCCCGAAGAACAACGAATTGGACCTAGTTTCGTGGGGCGTCGTTAGTGTCTCTAGACAAGCAGACGCATCAAGAAAGGTGCCCACTGGATGAACGCGTCCGTCTCTTCCCAGACGTCAGCATCTTTGATCAGGACGTTGTAAAGCGGCTTGGGGTCACTGATGTGAAGCATGGCATCCTGGGACGAGTGTCAATAGATGCTTTTAGAATGACCGTAAAAGAACGGCATACACCAAAGAATCCCCATAGCTTGTAGACTCTTCCATGCTCAAGCGGCATGCGGGCATGGAAGTCCCAGCCTGGCATAATAGAATGAGTAAGATCGCGTTTTGGACCTTCATCTACTCACCCTGCAAACTGAAGACTTCTCTAAGATTGCCTAATATCGGACAGTGGTCAGTATACTATGAAGGGGAAAGGGAAATTAAACTCTACTGACCGCACCAGTATTTCTGCAAGGCAGGCCCGGGTATGTTATGCAGATGAGTCTGCTTAAGGAAGTGTGTCAAGTTCCAAGCGATGAAAAGAGCTGCGCAAATGGACAGGCCCGCAGCCAACGACATGGCGAAGGAGGCTATTATCGACAGCAGTTTCGACCAGAACATCGTGAAGGGTGGGGACAAGTGGCAATGGGGGGGAAACGAAGAACGCTCGGGGGCATACGGAGACAGATACCACGCTTTTGAATGGGACGCTAATATATAGCGAGCGTGGTCGCACAATGGGATGAATTACAGGGCACTTCCCACGTACAGAGCACTGGGACGAGCGGGAAGGACGTTAGAGTGACTGTGCCGGTCTCAAGTAATGAGGATGACAGCAGATGCTTGAATACCCGACTACGAGAAAGGGCAGTGGAATACTATGCGTGCTCACAGCTCCGAAGCGCTATGGAGAATGTGGGTAAGTGTATGTATCTTGCGCGAAAACAAAGGCGGCGCTCTGATACAAGGCCCGATCTCCTGCCGTGAACATCCATATTGGTGTGATAATATGCGCCATGACCCGAAACATGTCCAAATGGATGGATATGAGGTATAAACCTGGATGCAGAGGAGCGCTATAAAGTCTATATGTGGTGAACGGCGAATTGCTGTCTAAATCTGCTATGAGTGCCATGAGTAAGCATGGGCTTCGATCGAGGGCAGATAATGATCAGCAATCCTTCGCTTTGAGCATGAAAGGAATGATTGACCTCCAGTAGTCGAGTAGAGATTTCCTCCTGTGTGTGGAACTGTCCACAGGATGGCATTAGTTGACAGGCATAACAACGATGTGGAGCAAGATACAATACGCATTCCCCCTGCCAACAAGTTGAAGATCGCGCCTCAGCATGCGGTAAGGTCAAGCCACCATGGACTCTCGCCAGTTCTCGTCATATCAACTTACAAATGTCTTCCATCATGGCCTGCAATGCCGTGGAAGAGTGGAATCGAACGCTGGGCCATTGAACAAGCGACCATGACACAGAAGCTCTGTATTCGGTCGGGCTGATTCATATCACTGGTCCAACATATCGCGCTGGAGAAGGATATCGTTCCCCATAGACTCGTTAAGGAAGTTGCACAGAGCGTGGAACCATCTTCGGACCTGAAACCTGCGTGAGGACGACCTTCGAGGAGGAAGGAAGATGGAACCTTGTGGCGGTACCAATCTCGCGGTACGGACGGAGCTCTAACGTGCATTTTAAAGTCCGCCACCATACCCGTGGGCCACTCGCCACATTTGCAAGGCTTGACGACACTGACAGAGTTCATCCGAAGGTTCTGCTCCGTCATCGACCACGTCTCATCGACCTCGCCCCTCTGGAAGCCGGGGATCGCTCATCCAAAGGATTTATTGTAATGCGAAGTAACGCTGCCATGTTCTCGACCAACTGAGGCAGATCCACAGATAGTACAACAACTACATCATGTTACATGTACAGTGATGGGTATAGCATGACAAGAGCTGTGACCAGTCCACTAATTAGTCGTCGAAGTAGTGTAGTTCGTGGTAGCAATCCTGAAAGATGCGAAGGTGGCAGTTAGCTCAGATAGTCCTATTCATCTTCTGAAGAGACCGACATACCCGAAACGCTGGTTCGTGGTGTCAAACACAGTGTAAAACCTCTCCAAGAATACCTGCCCATTTATAAAATCGAATCCTGATCCACTGGGAACACCCATGTTGCCGACGATCAAGTAGATCGCGTCTGTTGACCCGCCGAGGAATCTTCGACGTGGCACACCTGTGTTAGAACAGACTTCTAATATAATACTAGAGATGATGCGACTCACGAATTGAGGGAACGCGGCCAGATCTGTGCGTTCGGTGTGAGCCCAAAGGTAGTACCACCCTATAAATAAACTGATCAGCAAGATGATATATTCTCAATAACTTAGAAATAGCTTACAATGTTGAAGTTGAGCGTATCCAGCGCAGCGTACTGCGACGGTGTGATCGAGTACAGGCCAGTCGCATCATCAAGCACACCGCCCGTGGAATTGATGTAGCTCTCGAAGGCATCTGAAGGGAGGTACACAAGAGTTGTACCCTGGTAATACATGGCTTAGTAAGTAGCACTTTCAAACGATCAAACAGAGAAGAGGACCCACAGTGTCAACGATTCCTGCATCGCTAGCCATGATCTCAGTCGTCCCGTACGAAACAGTCTGGTTGATACCCCAGTATTCGGAGGCAGGGAAGCTATCCGTCAGCGGGCTATATAAGACGATATTGTTAGCATACTGGACGTATGATCATTTGAACATCTTTAGAGCCTCACGTGTAGGTTATGTTGCCGGTAAACTTGTCGGAAGATGTACCACCGAAGGTCAGCTCCCCGTTAATGGACGTGTTTGTTGTCGTGGGCTGGAAGGACACCGAGACCGACTGTCCCGTGATAGTTCCCTGCGTTGAAGAGAATGTGTCAGTCAAGTCTCTAGACTTCAGCTCGCCAATCATACCTGAGATTTCAGGTTGTCCGTCACTGTAGGAATCTCTTCGTAGACTCCCACGAGCGTACCTGCATGTGACGTCTATCAGCACTTAAAATGAGATGGATATCGAGTCAAAACTGCGCACCGTTGGTCAGACCAACAGGTCCGAGGCCAAGAATACCGTTCACACTGTCCTCGAATCCGCCCCATATGCTGGCGACACCAATACTTTGGTTCTTGATGACCAACGAATCCGAAAGAGTGACCGTATCATAGAATTCGCTCCCTACGGATAAAATAGGACAATTGAGTATGAGACAAGATGATTGAACCAAAAACAAAACACACCGTTGAAGCCACCTGACCCATAACCTACAGACTATATGATCAACGAATCAGCGATCGGACGTCCAAAGCAAACCGCGGGGACTACATACAATTGGCTGGGTAGTGTTGACAGACGTCGAAGTGGGGACGAAGGCTTTATTAGCACCGACCCATGTGTTCGAGCTGCCCGTGTCTACGATCACATCGTAGTAGGTGGCAGGAGATCCTACATATAGCAAAGCGTCGTCAGCCAAGAAGATACGCTGAACAAAGACATAAGCCACTCGCCAACGCCGACAGAGGCGATGTAAGAAACAGCCTGGTTCTCGACGGGGACAGGAGAGGATGTATTCTGGTCGAACCGAGAAACCGCGTTATGTCTTGCACCAGCTTTTGAGAGAAGGTGTTTGAGGCGAGCTTGATCTTGTTGCACGATGTGCCCAGGGCCAGATATGTTGACCTGCTTCGCGAAGGAGACGGTGACAGGCGAGTCACGAATAGTGGCAGGTGTAGCCACAACACTCAATGCGAGCACGAGATTTGAAATGAGGATGGTCTTGGGGAACATTATGAAACTAGACCGCGAATGGGGACGAAGGACCAAGACGGTGAAGAAAGATGCTGTAGAGTAGACTCTTCATCCTACTTCTAGTATATATACTGAAGCGTACAACACACATCCGTCGATGTTGTTAGTTGAGGACAGGCGCAAGAACAGCAGCCTGTGACGCTGTAGAAAGGATAAATCATGGTCGAACCCCGGGTAGTATCATCTGTATTTCTTGAGAGTTAGCGGGTATGAAGATTTGGAAGCTCTTCCCATAATTTCAGGGTGGCAACTTAGAGATCTCGAGGTCATCACTGCTGCTAGCGACGGCATGCTCTGACGGTGCTTCGTACAAAAGAGCGAGGTATGGCCGAGAGTGAAATAAGAGAGGGCCCCTCGAAACAGTTGTGTGCTTGTGGTCGATACAACAAGAGCTCCTGAGCTTTCTACAAGTGAGATCCTCTACCCTTGAAACTTTGTTCAAATTTTCAATTGTTCCTCCCCTCGAAGACAGACCTACGGTTGAGCAGATCGTTGACGTTGTCCCAGCCGTCTTCATCCTCGAATTGCATAGTGAACAACATGCACACAACCGGGATTCGATCTTGTTCGGGACAGCCAAAGACACCGATTCATGGAAGACCAAACTAAAGAGTCCGGTTGAGTGTGAGAGTAGCGTGCTTCCCAAGGTATCGAAAATAGCTGGATTCTGACGAAGATGACAACCAGCTATAGCTCGATGACGGTTCAAAGCCGGAACACTACATCCGCACGTCAGCACGAGCGAGTCATCGTCATCATTAGCCATTCGGCTGAGACGAATTCATCCTGAGAATATTGCGAGGAATAGGGAGAAATAGACGCGCACTCTCGAGGTGCCTCACGATTGTTTCACTCAACTCGTTTCTACTGTTTCGCCTGCCCAGCGCTATAGAGAAAGTGAAGACAGTCAGTTATCAATCTGCTGCACGCAAAATATTCGGAGACTCGTAGGGGCAGGTGCTCACTGTTGACTCGCTTGCAAGCCCGCTACTGCTTCGAATAGGGGGTCTGCGAGCAGTAGATGTGATGTCGGACTTAGTACAAGGAAGTGGGATGTGGCTGCGCAGAACATCACGCTGAGTGAAGCCCCTACTTCAGTCAGAGAAGCAGATCATCGGTTGAAGTAGACAAGAAAACAACAAAGGCTCACAACCCTCGACGTCAGTGTCCTCGTCGAACGGCATCCACAATACATCCGCAGTTCTTCGAGCTCCGTGAGAATAGATAGTGTTAGCAGTAAAGTCAATGAAAGCTCTTGGAGTGTCTGAGATGGCCAAGGCAACATCAAGAGTACTCGCCTGGACTGATCAGCTACAGCAAAAACAAGAATGGTCGCACCGTTAGATCATGAACCCCAAGAGACTGGCAAACGACGTGGAACTCCATCTGCGGCCTCCAGTCTGAGATAAAGCATGTACACGGTGGTAGTTCAGTGAACGGAGGGAGTAATTATCTGAGGCAGCGGATCAAGCTATGAGAAAGAAGGCCGGGTGCAGGGAGAAAGAAGCAAACCCCAGATGTACGTGGAGAGGGAGTCACCAGCTACTCTTTCTTGGTCGTGCGGAGTTGGAGTTCAATCCAAGAAAAGTAAGAAACAGGAGTACAGAGCTGGTCATTGGTTCGCAGCAGAAGAGATACCTTTGCGATAACGTTTGCACCTTCTCCCACTCCCAATTAGAAGCCTAGAAAAAGCCCGAAAACAAGTACGAGACCCTAACAGGAGCACCGAGCGACATTTATCCGGTGGCTGCTTCTGCACTTCGTTGAACACGGAAGATCGTAGTCATTCGAGGGTTTTTGGCGTTCACAAATAGATAGACAAAGATTTGAACGGGAAGGAGCAATACGGCGGTGAGATGGGTCACGGTTGGTCGTGCAGGCGAAGGAGTGGCACGTGCCAGTGGTTCAGCTTCGGGAGAAACCGGAATAAAGCAAGATGACGGGGTTGAAGCAAAAGCGCAAGAAGGTCATAGTAATTCGTCAAGTTAGGTAGAGATGTCAACAACGAAACAATCGATAGTGTACTGCACAGCGAGGAAGTGAAGCCCAAGAAACAATATCGTACAGCCTCATAGATACGGCGGTTACTCGATGCTGAAGGATCGTAACATAAATCAACCTCAGCTGAAATTACTTCCTCGCACTCCCAATCCTTGACCTTGTACTCCTGGAACCACTCGCCTGAACGGTCTCCCTCTCGGGCTCACTCTGCGCAGTAGCCTTCCTCGTCCTGGACACCTTCGCCGCTGCAGGCGCAGGCGCCGTCTTAGGCTTTGGGTCGGGCTTTGCTTTCTTCGGTGCATCCGCCTCATCCGACATATCTTCCTCCTTCACTTCGATGTCCGGGGTATTCTCCTTCCCATCATCTTTCTTCTTCGATGTCGCTCCCCGCCTGGTCGTGGCTGCGGCAGATGGAATGCCTGTCTTCTTGGGCCTGCCTACTCGAGCTTTGGGGACTGGTTGGGCCTCTTCCTCTTCATCATCCTCGTCCTCGTCCTCCTCAATGAACTGTGGGATCATTCCACGCTTCGCCCTAGCGGTAGCCGCAGGTTTACGACGAGTAGAATCTGATTGCGAAGACTCCGCCTTGTCGATCGTATCCAACGGATCGTCCTCCGAGTGTGTGCCTGCTCTGCTCCTGCTCCTAGTACTGGTACTAGTGGTCGCCTTCGCTGCTCGTTTCGGTGGTCCGACCTTTATAGGGACGTCCATGCGGGTTGTGGCGCTGGCCTCATCATCTGTTATCATGAATGACTTGGATACGGTACGGGTCTTTCGGGTGGCGGAGGGAAGCTTCATTCTGGTAGGAGGTGGCTCATCGTCGGTAGTGGTGGCGATGGCGGTACGAGTTCGGCGAGCAAGAGGCTTCGAGGGTGCAGGAGCCTGGGATTCTTCTTCACTATCTTCTACTTCCTCGTCGTCGTCGATCGGCTTAGGCTTCACTTTAGAGGTGCTAGCCTTCGACTTCGGAGCAGGTTTGGTCTTCGTCTGTAGGAAAAGTATATATCAGTCTTTGTGCAGTCATGCTCAAGGCGATAAGAACTTACGTCGGCAGCTTTACGACCCCTTGCGGCTGGTTTGGCAGGCGCTGGTGCAGGAGCCTCGGTCTCTCCCTCGACCGATCCTTCCGCGTCAAGTTCATCATCATCTCCGTCGTCCTTCGCCACACGTCTACCCCTTCTGACTACAGCACCCCTCGGCGCTCCTTCCTTCCCCTTCCCGGCCGCCCCACTCCTAACGGCGCCACCAACCTCCGGCGTCAGCTCATCGTCCGCCATGGGGGTGTCAACGTCCGGCGATCTCCTCGATGAGGCAGGCGTTCGTCGAGTGCTACGAGAAGGTGGTTTGGTCGACTCTTTGGTGGCCGGGGTCTTGCGCCCTCTGGTGCCGCGGCCCGTTAATGCTGGGGCGGGCTCGGGTGTACCGCGACCGTTCTCCTCGTCGTCTTCCTCTTCAGGAGGGGCCTCAGGAGCTTGGAATTGACGATATGCAACAGGCGTGGAGTACATCTCTCCTAAACTCTCCAGCGCCTCTCCTTCGCTCTCTCGTGACGTGGTTTTTGGACGCGAAGGATGAGGTTCGTTCCGGAGGTACATCGCCTTCACCCCATCCATCTTTGGTGTTCCCATCTCCGCGACTCGTTTTTCCTGTTCGGCTTCCTTGAAAAGGGGGCGGACACCGGAATAGCGAGGCGTAGCTGGCGCCATGCCCTTCGCCGTAGTCGAGGAAGAAGGCCTCGGCTCCTCAGTGTGATCTTGATCTTCGTCACCATCGCTGACGTCCATGGCCTCCTCATCCATATCCCCTTCTTCCTTCGCCTTTTCGAGGGCAGCGAGCGACTTCCTCCTCTCATCCTCTTCCATCTTCAAGCTCCTGCGCCTCTTCAGCACCTCGACCATATCGTTCATCCTCTCCAATAGGACGCTCGTGTCCTCTTCTTCGTCTTCCTCACGTATAGTGTTACCCTTGACAGGCGAATTAGATCGACGGGCGAATGGACTGGGTGCAGACATAGTAGACTGGGTAGGGCGTTGAGGCGATTCCAGAACGGACGGTCTGGAGCCAGGGATGCGATCGCCAAATATTTCGTCGGTAGTGTGTAACGTGGAGCGTCGACGCTCCTGGATTGCCTGCACACAAAGATATTTTATATCAGCCACGTTCGTACCTAATAAGGTAGAACAGAAAATCTGAACAAACCTGTCTTTCTGCCGCACTGACACCCGTGCGTCCCCTCCTCTCGGGAGAAGGAATGACGTTCGTCCGCGCATTAGCTGGAGACAGCGGCATAGGAACAGTGATGTCCTTGAGTCTCCACGGTTTAACGACAGGGACTCGTCTTGCACCGGCGGCGTCAGCTCCACTGAGTGAGAAACGAGGTGGTTCCATGGCTCCCCCCATTCCGCCTTGGAGAGACATGAATCGCTGAGGGTGGGGGTGGCGCACACGTTGTGGCGTGAAGTCTGTAGGATTATAAGGTTGCTTCGTTTCCTGATCGTTCCCGTCGGTTTCATCCTCGTGCTCAGCCTAGAGACATAGTCCGGATGAGTAACAGCCATGATTACACGAAGAGAGAAGAAACGAACGTCTGTGATGTCTTGCTCGTCCTCTTGAGCCATCTTCTCAGGCGAACGCGACCTTGACCTTGAGATAGCCCTCACCGGCCACGCCACTGCTTCCGCCACAGCACCGAGACTCTTTCTCCAGCTAGAAACTGGTGCTGGCCTCGCTTGTTCCTGCTCATCCTGTTCGTCCTCGTCGATGCGGTCCTCCACGTCAGCAACGGGCCCCATATCCTCTTCATTTTCGAACTGTTGTGCCGCCTCACCGTGCCCCGGGGCCTCCTCCGGCTCTTCCTCGTCTTCCTCGAGGACCGCGACACCAAGCCCACTAGCCACCTCCCTCTCTTCATCGTCGTCGTCCACATGGGCATCCTCAACCTCCATCTCAGCCTTCAGTTGCGCTCTCTGCGCCGACCTGAGTAGCACAGCACGATGCAACGACGAGCGAGGCTGCCTCTTCGGTTGCGGGGTACGGAACTGCTCCTGCTGGTTCTGCTGTGAATGTTGTATACGAGCAGGCGGATTGTAGGAACCAGTAGCTTGTCGGACCCGCGGCGTGCTAGGCCCTGCAGCACCACTAGTAGTACCAAACTGGGGACGTTTCAGAGCTGGGGCGGGGAGAGGTTCTGGCTCGGCCGGAAGCATGACGTTTTCGACAATGACGAGATCCCTCTCCTCCTGAAATACTTTTGGTTTATCGCCGTCCACGAGCACAATCTCTTCCTCCTCTTGTCCAGCGGGGTAGGTAGAACGCTTGAGGGGCGAAGGCTGTCCCGTCTTAAGGGGACTTTGGAGAACCTTGAGGTTCTCCCGTGCGTCTTTACTAGGGCGTGGTGTGAAGACTTTGGCGCTTTCGATCATGCTGAGGCGTAGACCCTTACGGGGTGCGTGCTTGGAGGGAGATGGTGTCGAAAGGAGCATTGGACGAAGGTTCTTCGGAGGGTAAGAGAATTTGAAGTGTTTCTTGTGGATGGTTATGAGCGTATTATTCGGAAGGGGAATTGTGGTGGGTTTCGGGTTGTGTGAAGTCGAACCGGTCGGAAATACGGGGCAGTTATCCACTTGGAGCCCGTGTGCGCCGATTACTTCCAAGAAAGCCTGTACAGTCGAGATCAGCTGAGTCTTATGAACAAACGTTGCATGCCAACGAGAGATAACGCATGAGCGAGGAATGATTGCTCCTCAGAGGTCACAGCCTAGGCACGGCTTTATAGTTATCAGGCCGTGCACTGGCAGCTGCCACCACGACTGATGCGTGAGCGCGACTGATGAGAGGATGCAGCATTGCGCCTAACAACACATACATGACATCGAATATGATAGCAACAATCTCTTCACTGATCAACCAAAAACAGTCTGAAGCACTGTGCTATCGCAACCAACAATTGTCGAATTGAACTAGAACGCACCTTTGACTCCTGGAAGAAAATCCTCGCATGCATGCCACTGACTGTTGGATAGTATAGTCTGATACTGCAGTCTGGATTTCGGCCAAAAGTGACCTCCTCGCTGTCGATGGGGAACGAAGTGACCTCAGAGTCGGGTTCCTTGCGTTTCATGAGACGAAGGACACCGTAGCGTCCGACTTCAGAGGCGTCTTCCATGCTGGCGAAGGTGTTGGTGGATGATAGTGCTGATTTCTGCGGTTAAATCAAGAGTAGATATATATATAAGAAAATAGAATCAACGATGAGCCCGATGGAGAGCGCGCCGCCACCAACGGAGAGAACGGCTGGTGAGAGAGTCGAGACGATCGCGTCGAACAATTGCGACCAAAGAGATACGCGGTTGAGCTTGGCCACGTGACCCTGTCAGCCCCGGCATAGGCCGGTGAGCAGAAGTAATCAACAATTTCGACACAACGTTAGCAAAACGTTAGCTTCTGATAATTTTACCGAGCCGTTATTCTCTACTTGTTTTATTCTGTATGGTATACTCCAATCCTTACTACATACAATATAGTACAGGGTGGAGGCAACACGAATTTCTCGCGAATTTCAAGGATTGTTCCGGAAAAGGCGCCACACGCTAACATAATCCGATCAGCATATGTACGCCACACCATTGTCGATCCGGAAAGCGATTCTGGTTCTTAAACTAGACAACCACCAAGCTAAAGTGGATTCACACTGCGAAGCGGGTTAGCGTACGTATCCCTCTCTCTTATTTTGAAGGTTTACAACAAAATGAACTTGTCTCCTGCTGGTCTTTAATCAGGCACTTTTATAGCACAATGACGTCGACCTCTTTCCTCTCATCTTCACGCTGCCCCATCGAACTTCTCTCAGAAATCTTTCTCCACTGCGCGGAGTACCCTATCCTTTCCGTCGTGGACGGTCGATTGGCTCCATTACTTCTCTTACGAGTCTGTCGACGATGGAATGAGGTCGCACTCGCAACTCCTCGACTGTGGTCAGATTTCCATGTCGCGATGCATAGTCCTGGCTGGATGAAAATGGTAGAGCAGTGGGTAGACCGACTGGAGACCGCAACGACAGAAGAGCGCCAGAATATGCTGGCCAACCAGCCAGAAGACGATCAAGATGCTCAATTTCTCAACTTCCAATTCGGTGCCTTTCAGCGTTGGATAGAACGCTCGAAATCTGCACCTTTGGCATGCAAGGTGCTTCCAGGCGATTTGACTAGCCCTCTGCGACAGGACATATACCGCCAGTATCTATGCGTACTCATCAGAAATTCCTGGCATTGGGGAAATATCACATTACTGGCACTCCCGTCTCGCCTCCCAGAATGTCTTTCCAGCGACTCTCCTGTCTCCAAGCTTCGCAAAATATCGTTACTTCCCGAAGGCTCTATCGTTGCAACACAAGAAGGTCCAGATCCTTCCCTCTTAAAGGCTTTACAATCCGCTCGCCAGCTCCAGGACTTCTCCACGAAGAGTTACAAATCATGGACGTGGACTTTGCCTTGGACTCAGCTCACTCGACTGAGCTTCAGTACAGTCAGCGTCACAACGGTGGATGCTGAGTTGATCTTCGACGTGGTATCGGAGTGTACGGCGCTGCAATCCTTCTCAATCCAAGTCATCTCTCCTCCGCCCCTCCCCTCAGTTGTCCGCGACATAGGCCAAAGAGCACTAATCCACCCCACATTGCAACAGCTTTTCATCTTCGCAAACACGGGCCTCGTCCATTCCATGCTCAATCGCCTCACTTTCAACTCGCTCCGAAGTTTGGAGATCGCCGAGGCCAACTTCCTGGACGAGCCGCCTGTCCCATTCCCGTCCATTCTCCTAAGCCCTTTCGGTACCTCGTCTTCTACTCTAGAGCGGCTTCACCTACAACTGTGCCGAATCGCTCTCGACGACGTGGTCGAGGTCATCAAGCCATTTCATGCTCTCTCCTGCCTTTATACCCCGCACTTGGACGTTCCTGACAATCAGAACGCTCCTAAGTTCGTCGAGAGCATGACACTGCGATTTGACTCCAGTGGTCGCATGATCTCTGGCCAAAACCCATTGCTTGAGACATTAGATGCATCCCTCTCTTCCGCCTTCTTTGACTTGGAAGATCAGTTCGTCGATATGATCGAATCTCGTTGGCGGCTCCCGCCATCACCTGTAACCACCGATGGCCGGCCGGTACCTCGCCTACGCCAATTAAGGATCGCGTCGTACTTCGCCGTCGAGCTGAAGAATAAAAGGCCTGAAGCATACAAACGGCTACGCTCGTTCAAGGACGAAGGGATGAGGATATCGAGGTTTGGTGGGACTAATGCAAATTGGTGAAGTGAAGGAGGTAAGCGCTATTGTCTGGTGTCCCGATTGATTCATTCTGATGACTAGGAAGTGGCTTTATGTTTCGCATAGATCAGTTTATCTTCTGTGTCCACTGTTGGCTCGTGAGGAAGTGCTTCATGAAATCATAGTCTGTTCTGAGGAGAAATACAATCCAACAGGGCCTTGCGATAGAAAGGCGGGTCGAACTGTTATGGATATGAAAGGTCGACGGTTTCAACAACCCCTAGTAGCCGCCGAAGTACCTTCTCATTCCATTCATGGACGCGATTTGTCAATGAGTCAGCTGAGGACCCGTCCTATTTTGGCTCGCGTTTTGGGCGTTCTCACACTCTCACACTATCATTTTTCTCTTCCTTGCCATCTATCATGACAGAGAAAAGCGTGCCAGACAGCGAATACGACATCCTAATCGCAGGAGGTGAGTCTGAGTTACTACCCATTCTCCTGTATTTAACCTTGCATGAGAGTCGTAGGCGGCACTTGTGGATGCGTAATCGCAGGCCGACTCGCTTCCCACCCCTTTCTGAGGATACTGATCCTCGAGGCTGGTCCATCCACTCGAGATGAGCCCAAGCATATTCAGCCAGGAAGATACATCCACAATCTAGCAGCTAATTCCGATGTGATCAAATACTATGCTGGACAGCCTTCTGAGGCTCTAGCAGGTCAGTAAGCAACTTGATACGTTGTATTTTGTTTTTTTTTTGGAAGCGGACGAGCATATATATGCGATTACTTCTTTAGGACGAACGCCTCTTGTGCCCACGGGACATTGTCTCGGAGGCGGATCGAGCGTTAATCGTGAGTGAGCTCCTCGACGGCAAGTCCTCTCTCTAAATGACCACGGCTAATTCACTGTTCAGTCATGATGTACACTCGAGCGAGTGCCTCTGACTATGATGAATGGGAAACAGTCCATCAGAATCCAGGATGGGGGTCCAAAGACCTCACTCCACTTCTACGGAAGGTGTGCTGTTCGCCTCATCCCAGGAAGTAGAGACTGACGGTTCTGTCATTCTGTCTAGGTCGAAACGTATCAAGCAGATCCTAACGCCGCGACCCATGGCTCCTCGGGGCCTATCAAAGTCTCTTCCGCTGGCGTATACTCCAATGTGGCGCAACAATTCCTGGACGTTGCGCGAGAGTGGGACTCCGATCCTGAGCGTGTTGTGGAAGAAGATTCTGACTCAAACGATCTTAGTCGGGTGAACGTGTATTGCGTAGGTTGGCCCCGGCCGATAATTATTTTTTGAGACTCGACCTTGGGCTCAACTCATCGGTTTCTATCAACAGAAATGGCAGAAGTGAGTATCGTTCGCTGAAACATGGCCGGGAAGACGATAACCTATGCTATATCGTAGGTGGATTGATGGCCAGTCAGGCAGACGTTCGGACGTCCCACACCACTTCATTTACAACCAATCCAACAACCAGAACCTTCACGTCGTGACAGGAGTACACGTCAAACGTATCCTGTTCGAGTGAGCGTTGGGATCTTCACGGTACATGCGATATATGGACTCACAATACTTTTCTTTTGATGATAGCTCGAATGGGAGAGCCAGCGCTGTCGAGTTCCAATGGAATCCCGCGGTACGCCCCAACGCAGACCCGTCGTTCACCCAGGTCGTCTACGCCACCAAGCAAATCATCCTCTCAGCAGGCGCTTTTGGCTCTCCGACCATCCTGGAGAGGTCAGGTATCGGCGCACGCAGCATCCTCGAGAAAAATGGCGTCACACCTGCGTTTGGCCCAGAATATGAGCTCCCTGGGGTAGGGCAGAATTATCAAGGTCTGCTGGTCGTCCTTTCTATGTTTTATGTAGATAGCACCCCTGACTAGACGGCTTTGATCGTTCAGATCATCACTTTTTATTCTTCCCATACAAGGCCGCGCCAGAAGCAGAGACGTTGGACGCAATCGTACGAGGAGATGAGAAAGCACTCGTAGGTACGTCCCCGCCATGTTACTCTTTGACAGGTACTGCACCAAAACAGGCCTTCAAAATCAGAGGCCTCCAAGCAATGGCTCGAGACCGGACAAGGTCCACTCGCATCGAAGTACATACTCTCAGATCGACTTCCGATAGTATGAACGTCAGCCTGACAAACAATCATGCCGTTAGTGGCATAGACGCGGGCATCAAGTTCCGACCTTCTCGACGCGAAGTGGAGGAGATTGGACCTGATTTCAAGTTGCGATGGGACCAACATTTCGCGAATGCGCCCGACAGGCCTGCATTTATCTTGGCACCGGATTCTTTGTATGTTCTTCGGATAATAGTCCTTGGTGGCTTGTGGATGCAGCTCATCTTATGCATCCGACAGGTTCCTCGGCGATCCAGCTCTTGTGCAGCCGGGAAAATACTACTGCATGGAATTCTTCACGGTGCTTGCTCTGATGTCTCATTGGTCACTCCCCATAATATCCTCCTATGCACTAACTCTTAATTGGACAGACCTACCCCATGTCTATAGGACACGTTCATATCACATCCCCAGACGACCCGACAGCCCCAATCAACTTCCGACCCGGCTTCCTAGAGGAGTGAGTTCCATTTCTCCACTTATTTCTTCCGCCCACTATCTGACACGGATTGGACGTAGTAAGGCAGACGTACAGCTCTTGGTATGGGCCTACAAGTTCTCTAGAGAATTAGCCCGCAGAATGCCCATCTTTCGAGGAGAAATCGAGGGAATGCATCCCAACTTTGCGGAAGAGAGCGAAGCGCGCGTCGTCGCGGATGCGGAAACTGCGTTTGGGATGGATGAGCCGAGAGTGAAGTATACAGAGGAAGATGACGCTGTTGTCGAAGAGTTTGTCAGACGAAATGGTTAGCGTGTAGTTCCAGCGCTTGCATTCGTGGAAGTTATCACTCACCTGAATCGTTTGACTTCAATGGCTCGCTAGCTGCTACAACTTGGCATTCAGTACGTTAGATCCTCGTCAGCGCGAAGGGAAACTGACTGAGACTGACACTTTCCCTGGTGCTACGTAGCTCGGTACCTGCGCTATGAAACCGCGCGAACATAACGGCGTCGTAGACAGTAGACTGAATGTCTATGGTACAAAAGGTTTCAAGGTCGCCGGTACGATCTTCCCCTCCAAAGCTTCGTCCCCAACATCTGCTAAATCTCACCGCTTGGTTACAGACATGTCAATCTGCCCGAGCAACGTCGGTTCGGTCAGTCGGCTTGTCATACAACTGCTTCGGTAAGAACGCATGATGATTCAAACTAACTGACCTCTCGAATCGGTTGGTGTAGAACACTTACTCCACCGCGCTGGTCATCGCGGAGAAGGCTGCCCTCCTCATCGCGGAAGAATTGGGGCTTAATATATAGTCGTGGCTTTATTTCTGTACCATCCAAATGTAGTGGGACTGAGAGCCCTTTCGTTCTGTTGGAGAATTGTGCCGCAGTCTCACTTGTGCTGGCATTGACCTCAAAGTACGAGCGATACGCGCTCGTCCCTCCTACCACTCCTAGCGTAGACTAACTGAATTCGATACCTTCTCCGCAGGTACTCATTATGAATGAATGATACATCATATACACTCCAAATCCTTACTGCTTCCAAACTCCGCATCTATGACATCCAACGGTATTAGTGAACCTAAGCAGCACACGGCGCCACAACCGAACATACTCTCGCCACTCCGTACTGAGTCGTCCTCTCCCGATCCCGATCCTGATTTCTAGCTATAGCCTGGGTATCGACACACCAGCTACGGTACTCTTCCTCCAGTGCAACGACCCCAGTAATACCCTCATGGACGATAACGCGCTCGTTCTCATCCAAGTCGACAATGGCTGAGTCGATCTCGGGCTCGAAGCCAAAGTCGGCGGTCTCACATTCCGACACTGCGACGCCACCAAGGGGTAAATCAACTCGATCTGCCCCAAAAACCAAGGTAAAAATCACTCACGTTTCGAAGGGACGTATGTCCGCCTCTGTCCACCGACACACCCCACGCATCTCTTCGTCAATTCCTTCTTCGACTTTCTCGCCTTTTGCTTGCTTGACCCTTCGATGCGTTCGATGTTATCTTCGTATAAGTAGGCTGGGATAGCCGGAAGAGGCGGTTCGTTCATGGTGAAGGATGGGAGGCCTGTTTGGGTGGGAGGTGCCGTTGTGGTTGGGAGTGATCTTTTAGTGTAGGAGGCGGAGGTGAGGGGGAGGCAGGGCATAGTGTAGTGTTATGTAGTGTGGCTTAAAGGAGAGCGTGTAAGAGGGGAGTCACAGCTAACACCACGACAGATGGTAAGGAAAGAGCGTGGTCAAGGAAGAGGAGCGACTGGTATTGAAGTCCCATATTTGCAGATGACGACCCCTATGATGCCCAAGGGTTGCGGAAGGCAGAACGTATAGGGATGACCATAACCACCATATCGGGCTGCCATGTCGGAAGCAGTAGAAATCGGACGGTCGCTACAAGACCTATTTGCTGCCTGATGGCTGCGATGGACGGAGTTTCGTCCGCCGTTGCGGCTGAAAAGCACTGAGACAGCGTCATTAGCTATCGGGCGCAGTGGACGGCGTTCGATGGCAGCCATCTTCGTTTGCTTCCGTCGCAGCCGTAGACTCGGATGCAGGCTTGATGTTGTACCGAAGGGTGGAATGTAGCATGAGAATAACCGCATCGAATAACAACTAACGATCTCGTCAATGAGGATGAGAGTGCCGAGTTTCAATTCTTCAAGGCACGGCAGATGAGTAAAGCAACAAAGGCCGCATGCTAGGCGATACGATTCACAGTTGACGAGGAATACAGTGAGACAGGAATAAACATAGCTGATTGTCTGGTACGTTCCAAGAAGAACAGCAAGCGGGGGAATATAGTCTCGACTAGTTACGCAACCAAGCCGTCTTCGCAATCTTCTTCTGTTTCTTCTGTTCTTTGAATCGCTCCTACACCTCCATATCAGCAAAACAAGATCCACCATAGCCGGTTATAGAGGAATAACGTACCACATCCTTCTTACTCGGTCTCTTCCTCTTCTTACCCGCCTCCTCCTCTGCCGCCTCCTCCTGCTTCCTCGCCTCAACCTCCTTCTCCCACGCCCCCACATCAAAATAAACCTCACTCATCCTCTTCGCTCTCTCAAACTCCGACAAATGCCCGGGATCCCGGGCGTCAGGCCGCGCAAAAGCGCCCGTTCGAGCGTTGAACTTCGCAGTATGATAGTAGCCTGCTCCCGACGCTCCAGAGGGACCAGCCAATGATGGGTCGAGATACGCGAGTGAGGGGTCGATACCTTGCGCGGCTGCCGCTTCTTGAAGCGCGTACATCTGCGCGAGGGAGGCCGGTGTGGCGTCGGCGGCGGAAGGGGATGTGGATGTGGCGTCGGGGGCAGGAGATGCGGAAGTGGAAGGGTCGGCGGAGGCGGAGGTAGAGGTAGAGGCTTCAGCGGCTGGGTCGTTGGTCGTCGGTTGAAGAGGGTTCTCCCATGTCGTCTGTTGCGTGAGAGAGTTAAAGAAATAGTAGGCATTGTACTGAGGAGACCAGATCGCCTGCCAGGTGTCTGCAGATGCTGTCGCCGTCGGCGTTGACGAGCTCTCTGCGTCGGCACCATCTTTCACAGCATCAGCTGAGGAATCGACCTCAGGTTCGGCCGAGTCGTCATCAGCATGCTTTGCGGATGTCGACGGCTGAGCAGAAGGAGAAGCAGGGGTAGAGACCGAAGCTTTAGGTTCAGCAGAAGTGGAGGCATCGGCGGCGGCCGCAGTATTCGGCTCGGGCGTCGCGTCGTGCGGTGGACTAGGACTCTTGCTCGCTGTCGGAGACATCGTGGGCGATGATGAGAACAGCGAACAGACGTCCTCGGTTTATGGTGGCACTGCCCAGTTTCAAAGCCAGCCGCGACTTGCCGGAGCGTCTCCGGCATGGTGTGGCCCCGATATTGCGTGGCCATCGTTCAAGCCCCTCTCACCAACGCCTCTGACGCCGGCGATCACGACGACAACAACCTCCTCATCCACCCCTTCATCATCCACAACGGCGTCCACAAAGAGTTCGTATCGCGAGAAGGCGCCGACGATGTACGCGCCTGTACCGTCCATCCCGCTGCGGTCGGCGATGAAGCACCCCTCGAGACCGGGGACGCCGTTGGCGGGCACCCCACCAGTCTCGCCATATAACTTCACGACTGCCCTCCCGTCGACTTCATCTACGGGTATACCAGTGCCGTACACCCATACCCATTCCAGTCAGAGTCAACACAGCACGATCGCATCAGGCTCGCCATCTGAGCATCTCTCCCCCTACAGCACACAATCGCAATCACCCACAGCTTCGACTATCCATGCACCCCATGCGCTTTCTCAAGGTTATACGCCCAAAGTGTCGTTCGATACGTTTGAGAACCCGGCTGCGTCCATGTTCTCGTTCACTTTGTCGGTGAAGTCGGATGGGTATGTGAGGAACAGACATACGAGGGTGTTTTTGTGTGCGGCCAGTGCAGATGATAGCGGGAGACAGGCTTTGGATTGGGCAATTGAAGATCTGGTGCAGGATGGTGATGAGCTGGTCGTATTCAGGGGTATTGACCAGGAGGACCTCGGTATGCATGTCCAATATCTTGTTCTATTCGCCATCTGATCAAATATATTTCGTGCAGACAAGGATCATGATATTGTACGTGAGGAGGCCCGAGAACTTCTCCTTCGTATACAGCAGAAAGCTATGGACCTCGATCACAACCGTAAAGTGCGTCCGTTCATGTCTCGCTCATGATATACACACTAAAGCGACGCCACAGCTCTCCATCATCGTTGAATTCATAGCCGGCAAGGTTACCACCACGATCGACCGTCTCATCGCGCTCTACCGTCCCGATAGCGTCGTCGTCGGTACGCGGGGAACCCGTGGTATGAAAGCATGGGGAGCGGCGTTCGGCGCTCCCGGCATGGGTAGCGTGTCGAAATACTGTTTGAGTCACTCGCCTGTGCCGATCATCGTCGTGAGGCCGGAGAGTAAGGTCAGGAAGGCGATGGAGAAGAGGAAGGCAGATCCGAAGAGGGGGAAGCACTTTGACGAGTATGTGGCGCTCTTATTGTTCGTTCTTTATGGATACCTTTTGCTAATAATCCCTTGCTTGCTTGTAGCGGAACGAGGTTGACTGCCACACGCAGCAATATCCCGTCGGTGCCGATGATGTCAAGTGTTACCCGATGAAAGTCCCCTGATTCTGTGCACTGAATATACATCATCCTTTGCATTCTCACGCACCACCTTGTTGCTCTCTCGATTTCTTTCTTCCGCACGTCGTCATCACCTACCAACACCAAATAACCTCACAGTCGTCTTTATTCTCTCCATCTCTCGGACTCCAATTCCTTTTCTTTCCATCTTGCTCTTCTCGGTCACATTTCTCTGGTCACATTTCTCTGGTCACATCCAATGTGTTCATAGCGTGTGCTCATAGGCTCTCTTTTTTTTCCGTATCCCTTCCTCCCCTTGTCTCTCAATACACCAGTCGCCATCTTCCCCGTGTACGTTTCTTTTCTTAGACTTGACCCCCTTTCTCGATTTTGAAGAATCTTTGACCCCGACCTCCGAAAGTGTATACGTAGACCTATCCTTCTGAATTCTCGATCACGATCTCACATGCTCACTACGCCGGCTCCGTTTTTCGTTTCTCGCCCTTTACCTTTGACTCTCTCGCAGCTCTGAACACTTGCTATTTTCTTCCCTTCTCCTCCCTTTTTATTCCTTTGGGTGTTTCGGAATATCAACGTGGAATAATACCGTTGCTGATTGTGTCTTCTTCTATCTTGTGAGTAGTGATCATCAGAGTTCGGTCAGTGGAGAGCTGCCACCACGAAGATCATAGGTATTCGTATACCTACGGCTACAGTTCATTTACCCGCTACACTGACCCTGTACAAGGAACAGTGGCAGTCGCCTTTCACGCCTTGTTTAGTCCGAGATCTTCCTCAATAATCAGGAAGGCTTTTTCTGCGATCGTCAGAGCAGTCGTGTACGTGTTCTACGCAAACACAGCGTCAGAATAACTTGGGTATCGGCTCGAGTGGATGGACAAATGGAGAGTGGAGGGACTCACCGAACTGACGTTGCTTGGCGCGATCGACATGTCTATAATAACAATCAATGTCGGAAAGTGCATCATGAGTTCGCAGGACGAAATGGTCGAGGTATGATGGCTGAGGAAGGAAGAGGGTAGAGACGTACCAGCGACTTTGAGCCCCTTGGTTCCGTAGACGTTCAATCGTGGGTCGACGACGCCGTTCTGAGAACGGGGTTTCATGGCACAGGTGCCCATCTATCGATATAAACGAAATCATACACCGTCAACCCGACCGAATCAGTCAGTCGTAATCAGTCGATCGAGCTGTCGTGTTAGGTTGGGTATTGTGTTCAGTGGTCGAGACGTACCGAATGCCACGTCGTCGAAGCTGCGAGAAAGACATTCAGATGTTGTGTTCGACCTCCGTGAACTAGTCACAGAAGCAGCTGAGTATAAGACTCACCATACTCCCTAACAGCCGCATCCACCGCCTCCTCATCCTTCTCATCATACACGATCCTCTCCCACTCGCCCTTCTCCTTCTCTGCATCGCCACCCGCGTGACCGTTCTCACCCCCTCTAAAAACCAAAGGCAAAGCCGCCTCGCAGTCCTCGATCGCCGCCGCTTTGCTACCAGGCGGGAACTTAGGATGCATAGCGGTGACTTCACCCCTGAAGAGGGGCATCCGGCGGGCCAGTTCGCGGGAGAATTTGTAGGCGAAGGAGAGGATTTGGACGTCTGCTTTGCTGTTACCACAGTAGCCACAATAGGTGAGTGGGAAACGGAATATGGGGAAAGGGGGATTAGAGAGGAGGGAGCGTACTCGTCTAGGAAGCCGGAACGGAAGTCGAGAGGTGCGGCGGGATCGGTGGCGGATGTTATGTGGACATGGCCTATCGACATAGGGTACGCCTTTTCACGTTGCAATGTGAGTGACGAACCCCAAACAAGTGGTAATCTTCACAAAGGTGCGGGGGCACGACTCACGGAGTAAAATGCCATGCAATAGAAGTTCCTCGCCGGTAGGAGCGTCGGGTCCGCAAAGTTCCTGTCAGACGAATGAGCAGGCGTAGAAATATTAGAGCGCTAGAATGTAGGAGGGCGTACAAAGAGGTGGGGACGAGGAGGAAAGCCGGTTTGTCTGGCGCATCGGCAAAGTGGTCGTTCCACCTCTCCTTGAATTCCGGGCCAATCTGCTCGAGCTCGCGTTCGGTGGGACGGAACTTGATGCCAGAGTCGATACCACTGTGTCATACATGACAGGAGACGTATCAGGATCGGACACTGTGGGGTATGGGAAGAGAACGTGAATTGGGTATGCTTACTTGGAGGCAAAGACGCCTTTGCCTTGTTCCGTCCATGATTTCAAGGCCTCTGGTCGATATGTGAGAGCTCAGTCAATACGAGCAAGACAGGGTACACACCTTCGACCTTGTCCGGTTCGCCACGTATAATAGCGTCCAGTGTCTCGGCCTCAGGCGCCGCATTATAGGGCCAGAACATAAGATGGTGATCTACGCCCACAGATTAGTACCGGCCTTCTGCCTCACTTGCCAGGAGAAGAACGTGCTTACCCCGATAATTTTCTCCAACCCCCGCCAACTCAAAGTCGCTCCCAAATGCGGCCTTCACACCGTTCTCCTTCAAGACCTCCTTCGCCCCGATTCCGGATCTTTCGAGTATACCAGGAGAACCGAACGCTCCGGCTGAGATGACGACCTGTTTGGTGGCGTTGACTTTATGAACTTGTGAACTGTCTGCGTCGGGACGAATGGCGGTATTGTATTGAAACTCGACGGTGTTGGGACGGCGATCCTCGCTGAAAGGCGGACGGTAAAGAGGAAAAGTTAGGGTGAGGTGAGAAAGAAAGAGAAGAAGATGGAAGATGGAAATAGTGTCATACTCGAAGAGGACGCGTTTGACGTGGACGCCAGTGACGATGTGGAGATTTGGATTGTCAGACTGGTTATAGATGAAGTGGTGTGGTACGTCCGAGCGTTTGCCCGAAACGCCATCGATCCATCTTAGTAAGCAAAGTATTGTCAGTATTCAAGACACTACGATCGACAGAGTAGAAGCTGACTTGTTCCATCGCTGTGTATATAAGACTCATGTCAATGAGAAATCAAATGTGTGAAGGAGCTGCAGACGTACACAATACACGTTCAACTTCTTGAGGTTGTTAGTATCTGCATCCTCATCCAACATACGGCCAGGATCCATATATTTCGCAACATCGAGAAATTGCTTCCCGACATTGGAGTAGATGCCACCGCGCGAGACATTCAAGGGTCCCGACGTCCCATGTGTTTCTGCGCCGGGATTGGCTTGGTACGTTTCGACCTGCGGAGCCGTTAAGGTCAAAGAAGCAGTAAAGCAGTGGACTTCGATAGTGGGACAAACCTTCTCGAGTAGGGGGAGTAAATCCTTTGATCCCCATCCTGGATTATCGTACAACTGTTCCCAATCGTCATAGTCCGAAGCACTCGCTCGTGTATACATCATGACTAGGCGTGGATATTCAGTCTTAGGCTTTCAATTGAACAAGTCAGAAGGGAGTTAACTAACTCACAATTCACGCTCGATCCTCCACCAAGGCACTGGCCGCAGGGCACCAGAGGGGCCCGACCTGGGATAGCACGTCAGCATCGTGGGATGTTAGCACGAATACTAGACGCTCAATGCGTACCTCCCAATGCCTCTGAGGTATGCCCGACATGATAACGCACGGTGTTCGACGTTGGCCATAGGTGACGGATGTACTGTCCTGGCCTTACATGTTTAGGATCGTCTCGCGTCGTCGGACCTGCTTCGAGGACCAAAATCTTCAATGTGGGATGAGCAGCCGCGAGTCTGCCGGCGATAAGGCATCCAGAGGTTCCACCTACAACACGAAAGTGGCAGTGGTCAGATGGTATGCAGATGGAGTCAAAAAATAGTGAGCGGTATTAAGAGCCCACCTCCAGCAACAACAATATCGTACGAAGAATCGGGGGAGTTTTTCTCTGCCATTGAGATGGTGCCTATGTCCAGGGAATTTTCGAAGAGATGAATGCTTTTCAAGATGAACCATCGTACTTATGGCGCCGCATGATAGGGGACCGTGTGAGATCACAGGAACTGAAACAAGAGATTGCTGCTACTCTCCTGGTTCAGCTGACTAGCAGAGATCAGAAACAAAGACACAGCTAACGACATGGAGAAGCTCCGGAGCCCAAGGATCAAGGCAATGGGAGGAACGTGATAATAACTGTAGACGCAGTTTCCTGTGGCCGGGCCAGGTGGGAAATGGCATCGATGAACGTTTCACCGGTATTGTTCTCTTTCTGCAAAGGCCAGTCCATGGCGAAGAATGTCCCTTTTCGTAGCGCGTTCCTGAGCACAAGTCTTGGCAACGAAGTGCGAAAGGAGCCAAAAAAAAATCCCGTCTCGGTAGGCGTAAGAAATTAGGTTCTCTGGATATGACCTGTACGGATGTAGAGACCCTTCGGATTAACGAATACTATCATGGTGGACGGAGAACGAACCGCTCAGGCGAGAGATGTGCAGACAAACGGGCCGCCTCTGCGGAAGATGAATCGCCAGAGTTAAATAAGACGATACATAGAGAAGCTTTTGTTTTCCATGATGCGCCACAGAGCAGGTCATCATCCTTGGGACTGTTACTGAAGGGTTCGAGACTATCTGGTAAGCGATGTTACAAAGCACTATCAGTAAGTTCTTGTGAACAACAATCCCAGATTCATGCGTGCACGGCAAAGGGGCCAAATATACGCACTAGATTTGTAAAAGACACCACCCGTCGCATATCGTTTCCGGTATCCGCCTCGTTTTGCCGCTGGCACAACTCTCTGGCTCTTACGCACTTTGCGATGGCCGAGAGCCTACCACGACGACATCGTCAGTGGTGGAAGAGCGGACATATGGCGCTGCTTCGAAGCGAATAGTTGAAAGCACCCTCTGATTGCGTGCAGCATTCCACGTTGAACGAGCCGAGTCGGAATGTGCTTCCTCTGGTGGGGTGTCGTGCTAGTTCCAATTGTGTCTGCTTGTCCAAACGGTAGCGAAAACGACGCCGAGGATTGAGACATAATTATTAGATAGCAGCACTGCGGCACCTTTTTCAAAACCCGCGTTACTGGCGACGAGGACTAATAGCGCGATATTCAGAAGGACCCTAGTTTTAAAGCAGTGGTCAGTAGTGTGCAGGTTGGCTAACGAGCGAGGGGCTCACGGAAAGACAAAGCTCCCAAGCGCAACAAGGAAAAGGGACCTGATCCGACCCAATAGGTCACCTACATAGAAGACGGCCGGGGTTAAAGATGATTGTAAAAAGAAACATACAAGGCTTACGACCGCGACGCGGGCCCAGAGATTTGGTTGCAGCCTGAAACCGGCGCAATTTGCTCAGGAAGAACAGAGTTGCAAACCTATAGTCATGTCGTCTGTTCAGGCTAAGTTCGGGGCAAGCTAGGCATAACTAGAACTCACCCATTGTCGATGACTTCGAGGACTCGAATGGCAATGTTATATGGATTCCCATTCCATGTGATCTCGGCAGCAAGGAGCATGCTACCGTATGGTCTGGCCGGGTGTGCAAGCGTGTTGATGTAAAGACAGGTCACCAAGATACGACCACATTTGACCGTCAAGGGAAATATGAGGATGGCGATATAGGTATGAGTCAGAGTGACTCTACGAGGAAAGAAGGCAAGCAGACGGATAAGAAGAATAGAGTCAATAAAGATGGTCGCAATGGAGGTGAAGAGGATGGCGGCAACGAATGTGGTGGAAGAAACGGCCTCCAGATCGGTTGGGTGAAGGATACTGCGTCCTTGATCGACGGATACTAATCCTGCTAGACATATGCCGCTACAGCATGCGAGTACATTGAGGATGAAGACAAGGTGGCGCCGACTTTCGCGAGTGGAGAAGAATAACAGAGTGACGGCAACAGGAATGAGAATTGATCCGAAGGCAACGTTCAAGCAGAGAAACTCGAGATTTGCTTTGAGCGCTACAGCGCTACCTGGAAAGGTAGAAGGCCCTATAGAAGATGGTCCAGAGGTTGTGGTGGTACCAGACGACATGTCGAATTCTTAGATTCGCCCTAATGGACTGTCTCCATTTTATGAACAGAACGAAGCACTGAATTGATTGTCTGAAATGTCAAGCTTATAGACGTCAAGGGATACTGGTGATGGGATTCAGCTATAATCGTCACGAATACATCAGTATCATGATGGTGATCATCCCAGAAAAGCTTCAAGGAGTATGGTTATACCTCCCGGCACGATCAGACTGCGCGTAAAATCGTGCGTGCCAATGCCCAGTACTATAATACTCCTCGTGCCCGATAGCGACATGCCCGAAACATCATCAAAGATGGGGCAAGATGGAATCCTTGAGAATGATGAATGAGAAACGTTACGGAGCGTACGAAGATTGCAAGAAATGATCACTTGCAGTGGCACGAAAAAGGTCTTTTCGAAGAAGAGCGGCCCGTCGTTGAGCGTGCCAAAAAAAACTTGAAACACAGCCGGCTTTTCCCACCACCCGTGTGAATAAAGACGAGAAGGCGGCCACACGATCCTTCGCATGCTTCCAACATGCCCCATCTTCAACATCTCCAACATGGCACCGGAATATTCTCAAAGCACATTGGCGGCCATGTCTTTGACGATGTTCTGCTTGATAGTGTGGTATCGAAGCAGAGGCCCACCAGTAAGCATTGTTTTTACTTCCGGAACACGGTTTGTATCGACGAGAGTTACCCAGTTGGACCATATCCCAAGCATGGGGCCTACAGCACCTGTAGCTGCGTATATAAGTGCCATTTACTTCCTTTTCAATGCTCCCGCAGTCGTTCAAAAAGGTTACGAGCGAGTAAGTCCGTCACTTTCTAACAACAAGCTTCGTGCCAAAGGTGTTGGTTCTAGTATAAAGGGTCCTTGTTTAAAATACCAAGGCTCAACTACTGGGAAGTCATGGCTAGTGGATACGAATCCCTTGAAGACATCCGCAAGGCTTCAGACGATGTCCTTTCACTCGACGGGGCCCTCCGTGAGGTGAGCAAGTCAAGGGTTTAGACAGAAGAGTATTCTAATATCAATGATGCTACAAGATCTTGCAGACCAAATATACGTTAGGCTCTAACATCGCAGATGACCCGTATCATATTCCAATTATCCAGTCTCAGCTCACGAAAAGCATTCCCGGGTTTTGCGGTGACATTCATGACGAGATCGTCGCGGCTTGTACGGAAGCTATTCCCTGCGTGGGACATGGCGAGTGATGTATTTCCTCAATTTTTTTCCTGGTGACTATTCTGAGCGCGGAATCCAATTTTAGAGTGGGTAGCTGTTAAGTCCTTCCAGACTGTGGTAGAGATCATGTGTCGCACGATAAATCGAGTCTTCGTTGGTCTGCCTCTCTGTAAGTTTGTTGTCAATACTATCAAGCACCCATGTAGTGCTCATCCTCGATTTTACAGGCCGTGATAACGATTATAGGGCGCTCATATCCAAGTTCACAGTAGATGTGGTAAAATGTGCCTATATCATACGAATATGTCCAGACTTTTTGAAACCGTGCGTTTTCCTTAGACTGGTATGGTCCATCATGCTCTAACCCACTTTTGCAGTCTAGTGGGGCGACTGGTCACAACTGTTCCTTCGGCTGTATTGCGTGCATCTAAGCACTTGGGTCCCCTCATTGAGGAGCGTATAAATACATCAGACAGCACCGATGCTGTGAAAACGGTAAATATTGCGTCGTATCATGTTAGTACGACTCGTTGAACAGCTTGAACAAAAGGATCTCTTGACCTGGTTGATCGAAGGCTCTCAGGACGATGAGCGGTCCATTGAGATGCTGTCCCGCAGGGTACTTGCAGTGAATTTTGCAGCAATTCACACTTCTTCGATGGTACGTTCTTATGTCTTACGGCGTAGGCTGCTTCTGAACAGAGGACACAGATATTCACCCACGCTCTTCATCGTCTGGCAGCACATCCTGAGTTCGCCCAAGCTTTGAGGGAGGAAGTGGAACCTGTCACCGCGGAGTTTGGTTGGTCCAAGACAGCACTAGACAAGATGAAAAGGGTCGATAGTTTTCTCCGAGAAGTTTTGCGCGTCGATGGTTTAGGAATGAGTAGGAGTCATTCATCTCACAGACATGGCTCTTACACTAATATTGTCTATCTCTGTGATCAAGTCGCATTACCTCGTCGCGCCCTCAAGCCTTTTACTTTCTCGAATGGAATGTCTATTCCGCCGGGAACCACGGTGTCATGCTGTATGAGATCAACCCACTTCGATGAGGAGTATTACGACGATCCAAACACCTTTAACCCCTTCCGCTTCTCTGACCCACCATCAAATGGGGCCAACACCTCGAAACAAGGCCATAAGCAGATGGTTTTGACTGGTGCTGACTTCTTGTCCTTTGGACATGGGCGTCATGCATGGTGGGTTCTGGTCTTGCTCTTGCTCGATGACCGATACCATCTCTTACCATTTTTCCGATGATTGATAGTCCAGGACGATTCTTTGCATCTGCGGTGCTCAAAATGCTGCTCACTCACGTTGTCACCACATATGATGTGAAGTTTGAGGGAGAAAAGGTACCCAGACAGTTCTTCATTAATGGCGTCTTGCTTCCAGGCAGAGGGAATGTCATGTTCCGGAAGCGATCTGCAAGTACGTAGTAGTAGCCTGCGTTTTGTGGAATAGGAATAGGAATACCATACCCATCGTTAGAGTACTGTTGTGGTATGAATATGTGCATAGTTCAATAAATTATTCCCGCTACTTAGTAGTGGGTTCTTAGGTGCAGCAGTCTGTCCTCCTCGCGCTTGGTGTTCTCGCAGAACCGAAGGAATGGGAAGCGCAGTATAGACGTGCCAGTGCTTCATTCACGATGAACCTGATAAATTACTATTTTGCCTCCGTTTCGCAGACGATCAGTTTTTCGGCGCTGAATGGGTGGCTGTGCTGCTCAGTTGCCTCCGCCCTTTCGTTCTTGAGACTTTTAAAATGCTATTTGATCTATTGTCTTCGAGTGCTGGAAATTCCTATTTGTAGCGCCTTTATGGCGGCCACATTATCATCTTACTGCACGGTCCACTTCGAGGTTGCCGCGCGGGCTGCGTAGCGGGCGTTGCCACCTGTGGGCCGTGGCCTTTCCCGTGATTATCATGATGTGTTTTCGAGGCTGTTGGTGACAAAATTTAAGCCATTGTTCTGATGCCATGTCCAGGAAAACAGTACTTTGAGCAGCTTTGAGCATGGGATTGTGGCGCGCCACCTCAGCACGATGACCGGGAAAATGCCGAGTGGCACAACACGGACGCGTCGCACGCGTCGACGGGCGCTTATTTCGTCTCTTCTCCCCATTCATCCTCGTCCTCTTACATTGCCTGAGCACTCTTTGTCTTCAAATCTATCGTTAATCTTGAAACTGGGGGAAATACAGGTAAATCAATTTGCAACAGAAGTGACTCACTTACTCCGCTAATCCAGCTTCTAAGTAACGCATCCAATCCACATTCCGATCGACCTGACCATATCATCTTGTACAAAACTCAACGTTCTCGCAGGTATTATCTATCTTTCGATCTCTCTCTTTTAGGTGGAGATACCGATTTTGGGTTTTCTAATGATATTCTATGGCGAATACTTATCTCAGCGCACGCGATCATCCACCATGGACATGGAGATTGAAGACATGGACATGCAATACGCGCTGGAGGCGTCGAACGCGGCCACATCCTTGTCAGACAAGCCCCTACGACCACTTGTCAAAATTGACGATGCGCATCCCTTTGATCTTGATGGATATATTTCTGGTTACTCTGGTGCGTTGCTTTACCATTTACGTTTAGAATATGACCGAGATCAGTCTGATAGCCACCCCCTAGGCCGAGCGGCCATTGATCGTCTAAATCATATCATGAACACCGCACCATCTCTCTCCCCTCGAGCTTTGACCACCGCTTTGTCACTTCTCACTCTCCCAAACCAACGTGACACGCATCTCTACCAACTCCTTCTTTCAACTTATGATCATGCTGTCGCAAGCGACCCATCACTCCCGCCGTTGGTCGATGTCATCCCAGATCAGTCGCCATATCTTCAGTGGATAGAGGAGACGAACGCAAAGAACAATGCAGAACGCACAAAACTCGAGGTCGAGCTGAAGACATACACGAATAACATGATCAAGGAGAGTATCAGGATGGCCCATCGGGATCTGGCGGCCCATTTCAGGAGTACCGGAGCTTATGAAGCCTCACTGAGGCATTACACGAAGTCGAGAGAGTTCTGTACGACGAGCCAACATGTATTGGAGATGTGCATGTCTGTACTGGAGGTACGCCACTTATTCTTTTGTCTTTCACCAGGGTGTTTGGCCACTAACGTCTTCACGCCAGCTACTCATCGAGCAACGCAACTTTGCACACATTCCAACATACACCTTCAAAGCAGAATCTGCTCTAGAAGCTATTGCTTCCTCTGCCTCCAATTCTCAACCCCAGTCCGCCACTGCTATTGGCGCATCCGGAACCACGGGTGGCACATCATCTTCTCGCAAAAGCGAACAACACATCTCGAGTAACGCCAAACTCACCCTCGCCACTGCTCTCTCACTCCTTGCCCAGGGTAACTATCAGAAGGCGGCCAGCAAGTTCCTTTCACTCCCTCCCAACCCGTCGATGCTATCTCCGTGGGCGGGAAACGTTATTTCTCCCGGTGATGTAACGGTATACGCGACACTTTGCGCCTTGGCGACTTTGGAGAGAGGTGAGGTGAAGAGGAGGGTTGTCGAAGGTGACGGCTTGCCAGGTGAAGGTGAGGGAATGAAGGAGATTGTTGATGCGTGGATGGGTAGTCGCTTCAAGAGTGTATTGGAACTGCTAGAGAAGTTCTCTGTACGTCATTTCTCCTGTGCATGTTCGCGAACCATGATGTTTTATCCCTGTCCTAGGCCCGCCACATGCTCGATCCTCTGCTCGCGCCACATATTTCTGCGCTCACGGCAAGCATTCGCTCACGGGCTCTCGTCCTCTACTTCCAACCCTTCGCTACCATCCGCTTGGAACGTATGAGCAATGCGTTCGGCTGGACTATCGAGGAGACGGAGAAGCAGGTCGTATCCCTCATCCAGCGCGGTGATATCCATGGTCGCGTAGACAGTCAGAATAAGGTCCATCTTACACCATTTAACCCTTTTCTCCACATCTGTCGCCACTTTTACTATCTCTGATGCACACCGCTACTTAGATCCTGAAAGCGAGGTCGACGGACCAAAGAGCTCAGTTGTTTGCCAGAGCTTTACAGTCGGGCGAAGATATGCAAGCGGCGACGAGAAAGCTTCTGCTTCGCATGAAGTTGTACGTTACTCTCCACCTCACTCCCCATCTCTTGGTCTCCTTCACCATGCTTCTATCGGCGGTGATGTTGACGTGTCCTCCTTACACAGGCAACAAGCCGAACTGGTCGTACGGAAGTTACAGAACTCGGGCGGGCAAGGCACCCAAGACTAATGAATTTTTTCCGAACCATGTCGATGTTTTCTTGTAGCCGAACTTGTAACACCACATCGCAAATGCAATTGCTATTGATCGAACGTCTTACCCTAAATTCGCACCTCTGACCGCGGTCCGCCGTGCTTTTTTAAACCGCACTGCTCTCAAGCATCCAGAGAACAGTCTCATCCTCCTACGATCCTCGCGATAGCCTGCCGCTTACAAGCATGTTCCTATCGAAATGTGTGTCCCTATGCTAGCGGTTCCTTCCAACATTTCTCACATCATAGCTCACCGTGCGCACATCATTGGCTGCCGACGTCGCGTCGGTATGTTCGACTCGGTCTCTCGGGTTTGGCGGGACTCTGGCGGGGCTAGCCTGGGAACATATCGTCAGCATTCCAGATCGGGGCCGAGGGATTCAGAAACTTACTTGAGCAGTAGTTCATTGGTGCACTGCTTGTGCATGTTAGAGTTATCGTTTAACCTATCTCTCAAATCTCCCATAAAGCATGGGAGGTCGTCGAACCGTCCGCGTCGTTTTCCCTTCACTCGTCTGCCATCAGGAGCTGACCGCCATCTCACGACCCCCACGCCTCTGAAACACGGCTTCCTTATGGCCCGACTTCTCATTTCCCCGTCTCTTGGCATGTTTATGATATGCCTCGCGATGCTGCTATGTTCGTACTCGCTATCTAGCAATCGATAAAGTCGGTCCACGATGCTGATTCTCTCTTTGTGGTTTACAGTCGGGACAATCACGCCCGCATATGCTGGTCCGCCCACATACACTGATTACACCCGGCCAGCCACAGGTACGTCGTATCCCATCGCGATGTCAAACTCTCGGTCATGCTCATGTTCATGTTGTTTGACCTAGACATCTTGGATGCTTTACAGTGTCCCTTCGGCCCGCATAATACCGCCATTGCTCCGCCAGTTTCGTCAAGTTCAGCAGCCTCTTCTACGGCTAAAGCATCTGCGGGGAGTAGAACGAGAGTGGCTTTCGAGAATGTGCTACTGCTATTTCTGGGGACATCACTGTCTGTGTTTGTTTGGTGAACGATTCATGGACTCATGGATCATGCAGCAATAACAGCATGCAACAAGAGCTAAAAAAGCCATTTTGACGTTTATGCTCTATCGAAGACCCTCTTGGAATTGATTGAAAGCGAAGACAAATGGGAGGAGCTGGACGATGAAGTCAGGCCGTTCGGGATAGGGTGTTGACATGTGCTGAGAAGGTCCCAGGCAAGGCGGGGAAAGCGAAGGGAGATGATGTGACCGCATTTTCTTTGAACGCGGATGGACAATGGGCATCCTATAATGGCTGATACATATGTAGAGTTGACCACTTTTAAGGCACACTATACGAAGCACTCGAGGAGCCTGGCCAACGTGATTGACCACGGAAGTAGATATGTTGGGAAAGAGAACCTGGTTGGGAGTGGACTCCAGTCAGTAATTCTGCTGTACACATCAGCTTGGGTGAATGTGTACATAGACAATAACGAACAGACTTGCCTTGGTTCACTTCGTATGAAGGCGCATGTCAAATGTAGGTATAGCGCTCTTTCTATCAATCACGATTTCCCCTGCAGCGATTCCCTTCATCACATTGTCCGCTTCATTGATCGCTCGACTCTCCAGCAAGTCTGCGTCAGCGAGGTTCAACTTGATGATCTCGGCACGCATCAGCCCTTCGACCACAAGCTTCAGCCAAGTCCTACACCTGAAATTTGGATCGTCCTGAACAATAACGACATTGTCGACGACCTCGTTGATACGACGAATGGTGGCAGCATGCTTGCTGGCTTTGAACTGGGCGAGGGTAAAGCGAGCGATGAGGCTGATGCTCGCGAACATACTGATCTCGCCCTGTTCCTTGTACCATGGGACAAGACGAGTGTCTGCCTTTCTTGGAGTGGATGGAACATTTGTTAAATGCCACCGATATGAATCGGGCGCGTGCGAAGTGTCCTCGTCCAAGTCCGGGCTGTCTTTGGTAGAGAGAACAAGAGCCCAGTGGTAACCCGGCAGTTCAAAGCGGTGGTCAAGGGTCAAGTAAAGATATTCTGGTTCGCTGCCAAAGATGGATGCTAACATCTTGTCCTTGAGCATAAAGGTGGATAGTGGTGATCGAGTAAGCGAATCAGACTCTACCGCTGACGAACCTGAAAGTGCGTGGGAGGATGAAGACAAGATGGTCAATTGTTCAACTCATCGGCATTTAGCCGAGAGTTGTGGCGCGCCACATACTGAAAGCAACGCTTGCAGGATATTTCCAAAGAATGAACATAAGCTTGTGTAAATCTATACCGGATACATGTTTCGAAAATGCTCTACATAATATAGACTCAGCTATGTGATGCGAGCAACATTGAAACCTCAGCAAGTACAATAAAGTGAAGTCTAAATGAGCCTGAAGCGACGGTGCTCATTCTCTAATGGACAGAGTACTGTTGATCTGAAAGCACTGGAGGGACATTGGTTTGTAAGACATGAGGCTCAGTCGTCGCTTTCCTGGAGAATGAAAAGAACGTTATAAATCAAGTATAAATAATATGGTGAAGCACGCTCACCGAGAGGGGTCCCGAAAAGTCTAATTCATCAAGTTCACGCAGCCGATCCTGCACAAAAGCCCACCGCGATGGGCGGCCGTATCTGAATAGCTCCTCGAAATTTGGTCCCGGAATGAAGTCGAACACAGCCAAAAGTCGCTCGCCGTCGACAGATCGAGCATCTCGAGGCAGGGAACGCCGCGAGCAGGCCATGTCCACAACCGCTCCAAGAAATGTCTCGACCTCAAGGTCGTCGAAGTCATTGCCTGTGATCCCATCGACCAGGTCAATGTACACGCTCTTCAGTATTGTGTTTTGTTTGAATTCGAGTTGTGGGCCACAGAAGAAGTCGAATGAGAAGCTCCTCAAAAGCTCGGTCAATCCAGGGAAGTAGGACTGGCTGTGCAGAACGAGGTGTTCAAGCGCGTAAAGATGGGCTATCGCTTCCCGCGCCTCTACGTGCTCGATTGTGACAGCAATATCAAAGCGGATATCGAGTAAACGCAACGTGGACGCACAGTCGCGCAAGACGCGACTGAATATTACGACATGTTCGTCCTGTATCTCGGTGTCTTGCGAGTCACCGACTAGCCCGACGTGCAGAGAGGTCAACTCGGGCATGCGGAAATGAGAAAGCATGCAAGTCATAGACAACATATCGGGTGTGTCCAGTCTAAGTGATTGCAGGTGAGACAATTCGAGTGTCTCTCTGGAAATAGACCCATCGAGGCGACTCGTGGAGTCAAAATATAAGGTCAGGGAGGCTAGGTTTATGAATCGTGATAAGAAATGAGCAAGAGTCGCCAGGCTGTAGGAAGTGATATGATATCGAAGGGACAAACTGAAGTCGCGAAGGGAAGAGCAGAACAAGGGAGTGGGTGACGTTATGATGCCATCCCAGTTTGACAACGACAAAACCTGCAGAGCGGGAGAGGATGCAAGAGCTTGGGTGAGGTGAGGGGTCCATGAGGAACGACGATCGTGGGGAGTCTCAGGGATAGTGAGTCTGAAATTCTCGAGTAGCGGAAAGGATTCAATTTTGTGAACGAATGCAAAGCCATTTAGTAGGCCCAAGACCGGCATCGTGGGTCGCAGGCGCAAGCGAACATCCCTCCACCGCGCAGCATGGCTACACAAAGCCAGGATGTACCCGACCTCCAATTCATCAGAGAGGTCGTCCAACCAGCGGAAATCTAAGCTGAACGTGAGAGGGAGGGGTCTGGAACAGGACAGCCACGAGTCCAAGGCATGGAGCGTAAGAACTTTATCATCGGGTCTGGGAAGTTGGAGGTTCGTCCATAGGCGCGGCATGGATCGAGCCAATGTTCGCCACTCACGACAAACCTGGGTGAGGGTCAACGGCGCCTGGGTAGGGTCAAGCTCGAACTCTGGATCAGGAAGGCATAGAACGAATATTCGGGATATGAGCTCCGTCGGTAGGGGAAGGGTGGACATTTCGAGGATGGTGTGCGCGAGCGTAGACGGGCGGACTAGTCTGTGGAAGAGGTTAAAGGATGGTACTGGGCAACTCCAGAAGGTAGCGTACCAGTAAGTTGTTCAGAGTAGATGGGATGGCTGCCTCTGAGCAACACATGCGTGCTTTATAACTTGTAGCCAGCTGGCCGTAGAAGATCACGCCATAAACAAAGGCCTCGATGTTGGCATGACCTCAAGCGGAGAGATCCGAACAAAGAACAGCCATAGAGTACAATGTTTTACCAGCATGAGAAAGAAAAATATTGATGAGGCAACAAAGACAACAAAGGGGAGCTGAAAGGGGGGTGATATAACGGAGAACATTGACCATTGTGGCGGAGCCCATGATCATAGGAAGGCTGAAAGGGCGAAACTGAATGGGGAACAAGCTGCATAAGAATCACCAATGTAGATCAGCGTAGCGGCTTGCAAGACGGTCTACGAGAGTTGTGACTTGGCCATTCGTCGATGGGAAGGCGTTTAGTGTTGCCACTGTGCCTGGCAAACTTATTAGTAGTAATACCATGGAATTATCCTTCGGGAGATCGATTCGAGCATACATGCATCACAAAGTACTCAGTGGTTGTGGCTATGAACGAATTGAAGATGGATAGGGATGATGTCGTGACTGGATAGTGCAAAGAGTGGAAACAAGAGTGGAAACGGGACAACAAACGGGACAACAAACGGGACACTCTTGCACTGCTGACTAAGCACATCCGGTCATTCCCGAGACCGCGCGCCTTACCTCCACACCAGCATGAAAAACACATTCGGAAAGAAAATATACTGATGCGAGTAAGTATATGTTGTGAGTAATGACACCATATTAGCTCCAACGTGCTAACCCTGACGGTCTTGATAGTAAATACGTGGCGACTCTATAAATGGCAAATTCGCCCCAGAGAGACAAAACTTGTAAACCCGGTAAAATTAAACTTGTTCATCAGCCTTCCTCTCTTCTCTCGTCGCTGGAATCCAAGCCCTCCAAAAATCGTCAACCAACGGCCAATCCATCGGCAGATCGTGCCTATAAAGCTTCGCAAAGTTGTATCCCATGACGAAGCTATCGAGAGAGCGGACGGGTCTGCCCCTCGCCGGTATCTGACCCATCGAGACAGCTTGCCTGGAAGTCAGCAAGCATATAACAGACACCACCAGTTGTTCCATGTCTCGTAGCAGTTCCTCGTCGTATTCCAATCCATGCGGACCTTCAAGACGTCTGGCCGGAAGAGGAGCTAATTCCAGTCTGAGGGTGTGCAGACAGACGTTCTTCGTCTTCATTATGGAGTGAGTACTCATGTCCATTGGGCCTTCGCCCTCCGGGATCGGAGGCTGAAGCGTCATACCCTGGAAGAATCGGGCGTTGGATGGCGAGAAAGTCATGTTATCCATACCGAAAGAAGTCAAGGCGGATAATCGGTAGATCGCTCGCCGTGCAAGTGCGTGCTGGAGCATGGTGTCGAAGCCTAGCTCGAGCGTGTGTAGAGTGCGGCGGCAGGTCTCCAGAAGAGAGCAGAACGAGTCCACGAATAGGGCGTCATCGCCGCCGCCTTCCGGATCTTGGGATTCTGCGACCGACAGCGTGAGGGCCTGGAGGTGGGGAGTGAAGAGCCGTTTGAAGAGGAAATGAGCGAAACCGAAGCTGTGTAGGTTGAGTTTGAGCGTCTCGAGATTAGGGAGTTGGGCTATATCTCTCCCGGTAGTGAACCGATGGGCGCGCGGTAGGTCGATCTCCAATCGAATGAGGTTCGGACAGTGTCGTATACAGTTGATGAGGGCACCCATGTCGAAGGGCAACGAGCCCTCGCCTTGAAAGGATATTAAGAGGTTACGGAGCGAGGGACACGTGAAGGGGCCGAGGGAAGTTATCTGGTGCCATTCCCAAATCCCCAAAGATTGTAAGCTGACACAAGATTGAAGCCTGTCGAGTATAGGCTGAACCCAAGGCCTATCCACACCGCTGTTCACATTACGCCACACAGCCAGATCCAGCTTTTGAAGACGGGGAGTAGTATCGGTCTCCCCGTCGAGGCAGGACGAGAGTGCCCCCAGGGCGGCCTCGCGACAAACAGACAAGCTTACGGCATTCCAACGCCGCGAATGAGCACTCAAGGCTTTAATGTAATTCTTCTCCATCTCCTCTGTGATTGGCTCCGGATAATCCAGGTCGGCAATGAGGGTGAGGGGACGAGTCTGGGACGCAGAGAGCCATTTATGGATCGCTGGTATTATCGATGGATGGTTGCTGGTCGGAAGACGAAGATGCGCCCACAATACCGGCGTCCCGAATGCTATGGCCCGCCAGCTTCGAGAGATACGAGTGAGAACTAGAGGGGCGTCATTAGGGTGCAGCGGCGCATTCAACTCTTTCGGGAGGCAAAGGACAAAAATGTGGGACACAATCTCGAAGGGAACACGGGAAGCGGGCATCGAATGGTTTGCTGGAGCAATGGCAGTAAGTGTCCGACACGTTTTCAGTGCAAGGAAAGAGACTGATTTACTTACGATCTTCTGCTGGGATGTCTTCCTGTCTCGATGCAAGATAAAGGTTGTGAGAGAAGAAGATGAGACTCGTGTCGCGGCCCACGCGTCCTTAAATAACTCCGCTCGAGACACGTCGGAATCAGCCGGGCTTTTTGTTCATTGCTGATTAGGCAATTTTGGTGTGGCGTAAGCGTGGCGTCGGTGTCGCGGTGTCCCAGGTTGGCCCAGCAGACGAGCACCTCCCCAGTGAAGTGATGAACGTGGAGTATGTCTGTGTTGTCTAGCGCGAACATGTTCGAGGGGACCCGATGCCAGATACAATGTTTAGGATAAAACGAGCTACTCACTGAACGGAGTGCCCTTAGTACCTGTTCCACTTCCCACGGCCGCTGCTAAAACCAGGATCAGAGACAAAACTCAGAGGCAACATTTTACAACCATGAACCCTACTCAGTGCATAGGGAATGGGTACAACGCTGGGACGCAAGCAGTTGAACATTTACGTGGAAAAAGAGTATGAGACTACCCTGCAAAACGTGCGAAGGCGGCAAGCGGTAGATGTAGCAAGCAGATGGTCCCCTCCGCACAGAATCGACACCAACACTTATTTGACCACCCTCAACTCGATACTCCATAACTGATCCATAAGCTTAGTCCAACGAGGTCGCGTTTTTCCGCTGTTTTTACTTTTAGATTCTGTCACGCCATCGCGAGCGACAAAACATAGTGCAGCATACACACATGGCATAGATGACATGGAAGAAGACCGATCGGATATGAAGATGGGAGAGACAAAGTGCAGGCGCAGGTAGACACGGAAGACAGGGGAAGGGATCCAGAATTTACTCGGCGTCGACGACGACGGTTTGGAGACCCTGCGTACATAGATCGAAGACAGAGGTCAGTTCGGATTGGTTCCATAGAAGTTCGGGAAAAAGGGGAAGGCAACGGCTAATGTAGATGTAGAGCAGGGAAGTGTAGGATGGGATAAGAGACGCACCTTGAACTGTCCTGCGGGAACGTAGATGTGCGAGGCGTAGGTGAAGAGCTTCTCCTTGGCGTTCTCCTCATCGTTACGCTTGCCTGTAAAAACAAGCCGGGCAGTCAGCACCTCCGTCTAGATAACGACCTCTCGCCGGTGTCGGGTGGGCAGTCCTCTCTACATCATTCCCTCATCCCCAGATCTCAACACGACGGCCATCCTATTACCCAGTGCCTTGAGTATCACCTTCTGCCTTCTATCAATATCCACCAACCACTCAGAACCCCTCGCACCAAGACTAACAGCTTTGCCACCCAACGCTTGACTCGAAGAAGAGATACGAGAAAACACTCACGCTCAAGCTTCACCCGTATCCTGTGAGGCACGCTCTTAACACCACGCTCCCAGACAGCCTGGTTCAGCTTGGGGTCGATCCTAACATCGGTGGTGCCCATGGTTTTCTGCGCAAAAGCGATGATAGCCTTGACGCCGCAGGGTGCACGCTTCTTGAAAGCCTTGCCGTGGACGTGCTTGTGGAGGTGGATGGTGTACTCGCGGGTCACGACATCCTGGAGAGCAGAGCGCTGCTTGCCACCGGTCTACAACAGTAAGTGCGATTGTCAGAGCCCGTAGAAGAATCACGTCTGAATTGGGTAGGGGTAATGGTGCGGATGGGCGTGAGGTTGTACCTTGCCAGTCTTTTTAGTGGACTGTCATGGACAACGGAGAGCATAAGATCAGCATCGTCTACAGCGACCAGCATATTGTCGGGAATAATACGCACGACCATCGTTACGAGTTTGATCTTGAGGAGGGGACGTCGTTCGGTACTGTGCTCAGCGCAAATGCAAGCCTTCGGCGTTCAGCCACCGCAATGCCGACGTGCCGAACATCCGCAAGGTTTGCGGTGGCTTGCCAGCTGTACAGTTTCACGGCATCTTCCGAGACCAACGCCACTCACGCGTCTCCGCCGTCCTGTTTGGGAACAAAGGACAATTGGATTGGGTGTGTAAGATGGCCTTGTTCTGTAGATGGTGATCCCTTACGCCCCTTCGGCTCCTTCGTCTAAGGAACGTTCGTTGGCCAATGTCTGGAATCCTTCTTGCTAATGCCCTCACGGTCGCTCAGAACAAGCGGTTCCTGCGTCTTATCTCGAGATACAACCAAATAAGAGGTATGGTTTATTGTATCTGCGTTCCTCGATGGTGAGGGCCATATGCTAGGATAGTCCACTTATATGCATCAAAGTAGAACTTATTTTGCCTAAGATGCTCTTTTCCGCTGTGTGGCGCTTACATGCTGTATCGTCTTTACTAGAGAGAACGGACCCGTGGGCGTAATCGACGTCGCAAGCTGAAAAGAATCGTAATCTCTCGACGCATTCCATTCATTTCAAGGCAGAGCATGAAGTCTGCTCTCCGAAGTCGAGACTTTGCTTCGGGCCTTACCTTTCGCCACACGAATGGACCTCGACGTCTGACAGTAATTTGCTAATTTTTTCGTCAAAACTCATCAACATCTCTCTAAGTCGCACTCGACGTCGAAATGTCGCCTCACGTCGCATTCACATTTCCCGTTCTGGCCGTGTGTTTGTGACCTCACCGTGCCTGTCGAGTAATATGTAAGGTTCTGGACCCGCTCATTGGCTCACGCCTATCCATGTTGGGGATTTCCAACACTCCACACGCGACCTCGAACGCCCTCATCCAACGGCATTCGACTCCGTTCCCAGCCCTCTTTCTTCTCTTCCCACATCAGATACTGCTTCCTGCCGTACCCTCATTATAAAACGCCGGTCTCCCCATCGCATTCCCTCTTTCTTCCCAACGCAAACGCTCTTGCCAAGCTCTTTCGTCCGCGCCACCTCCTCCCTTCGAACTTCAACTCAGCTTGCTCAAGCAAACCACTTCTTTCTTCACCACCACATACTCAACATGCGTCTCACTGTCTTTGTCCTCGCCAGCGCCGTCGCCTCCGCGTCTGCTAGCCGTCTCTTTCCTCGCCAGTCCTACCCGAGTACGTGCCGTTTCAACTTAGCTCCCCTTCATAGCTAGCCGTTGACCAAGATAACATTCATTCGAATGTGCAGGTTGTGCACTTCCCTGTTTAGCTTCTGCCGACTTTGCAGGCTGCGACTCCTCTGACTTGACCTGTCTCTGCAACTCTTCAACCTTCGTCGACTCCACCACCGAGTGTATCGCCGGTGCTTGCTCGGGAGACGATTTAACTCAAGCCGATAATGCTGCCGTGTCGGAATGTGAAGCCGTCGTACGTCTTCTTTCCCTTTCATCCCTGTTCTACGCATCGCTCTCGGCCATCCCCTTTATCGCTCTCCATTCTTCACAATCTTACCCCCGGTCCCCCTTCATGCGTTCGATATGTCTCTTTTACGCCACACCCTGTTCATTGGTCATACCCAATATAATGGAATGATGCCTGGACTCATGGACTTACGATCTTTTCAAACTCTCAGGGCGTAACCCTCACCTCTACCCCTGCCTCATCCTCCACCGCCGCTGCATCCTCGTCAGCGGCAGGTTCAGCGAGCGCCAGCACGACCTCTGGATCCAGCTCCGCCTCCTCGACCTCGACCGCCGCCGCTTCCACTTCTTCTTCATCGAGTGCGAGGAATAACGCTGCCGTGAACGTTTTGGCGGGCGCTGCTGCCCTCGGGGTCGCTGTCTTGGCGCTCTGAATCTGAATGTGTTCATAAGCACACACATTACTATCTATTTGTCGAATGAAGAGCGCACTTCGTTCGGCATGGAACACATACCCCTATCCCAATCATCTACAATTCGTCTTGTATCGTTCAGTCTCGCTCTCACATCCCTCGCTGTCTGTGATTATACACCCCTACACATTTCTACCTTCTCTTTCGATTCTCGTTCTTCGGCCTGCGCGGTCGTATTCTTATCCTGTTGGGTTTCGGAGTTGCAAGTGGCATTTGGTGGCTTCGGAATGTTTAGATGGTTAGTTAGCGTGATGGGTGGATGGATGTGGAAAAGGTGATCGACGTCGCGTGCTTTGATGCGCCACAGGGATGCTGTTCTCCCGTGGCGTTGATGAGAGGAACGAGGGCCCGGTCTAGCGAGGGGCTGACGGGGGTGATGTATTCAGGAGGGGAATGTCGCTGCGATACCTCTCAGGGTGTTAAACTTTATTACCTACATACTATCTTTTCTGGCTTCGAGGACTCCTAACTTCGTTGTGTATACTTCGTTCTTTATTCTTCGGCCTTCGTCTACCTACTCATTTGGCTCTGTTCTATAGGATTTGAGCTAGCCAGCTCGTGCGTACATCTACTCTTCAACCTCTGGTGCGATTGTGTGGGTGTGAGTGGCTTCGGGCTCGACGGTGACCTGTAAAGCTTGGGACGAGGAGCTCCTGTCCTCACCAGGTGGACGAATAATGAGACTGTAGAAGAATCCTTGATTGGAGGCCTCGATCTAAATCAACGACCCATGAGAAGACAATTTAAACTGAGTAGAAAGTCAGGATGCACATGTTCGGGCACTGCGACCTGACTATAAATGTATCTTCCAGATTATTGTTTTTACCAGTGAGGAGGCCGGTTCCAACAGAGGCGAACCTCAGCTTTTGTTCGTGGGAACGTGTGGCGATGGCTCATCAAGGCTCAAGCTCAGGCCTGTTCCGCCTTCCTGCACCACGACCTCCATGATGAATATAACAGCGAGTCAACCACTCACTCTATCGCTACAAAATGCATATAACCCGCAACATCAAGGGCTCTTCTGAGCTGAAAGTCCACGCCTGTTGACGCACCAATATACCTAAATGGTTTGTTCTTTTTTTCGCTGATTTTTACAGGCCAAATAACTGAGCGCTGACTGCTCCATGGCTATATCAGAATACGTCCGAAACGTACTGGAGTGTAACCAGTATCAAGGAACTGGAGACTGAAGCCACAGCCGAGCTTCCACGTCGTGGTGATGACGCAGGCCCCCCGGCACGATCAGAAGGCAGCGGCAAAGATGGATGTCAGTCGATATAAACGTGGTGAGTGGTTTGATGGCCGCAGCTGGCACTTTGTCGTTCAATTGCGGCTTCCCGATATCCAGCTACTGGGCAGAGGGCCAGCATCAACGTCCGTTTCGTATCAGACAGACCTGAACCATCGTTACTGTGAGTGCCACTGTTCAGCTTGATTCAGAGAGCTGAGATGTGCTGAGCTCCTTGTCTTGGCAGTCGCGTAACGTATACCGACTTTGTGGTCGCTCCTTGAGTGCAGACGACGAGCGTCGGATTAATACTCCAGTATGTTTCTATCGACTGGTAGTTGATTCATGAACTAACCCGCACTCCTCTGTGGACTTGTCTTAGACGTATAAATGTGTACAGTTAGCATGGCCCTAGCGGGTCCAACCCTTGGATTACCCCTCGAGGTCCTTTGCAAAGTCTTCCACCATTGCCAACCAGACGAAGAAGATACCGCATCTCCCAAGGATTCTTCCTGGCGCATGCACCCCGATGTCGCACCACTCCTCCTTCTTCGCGTCTGTCGCACATGGAGAACGGTCGTCACATCAACACCAGAGCTCTGGTCTTGTCTCTACCTCCCTATCCTCCACCTTCCCTTCGACAATACTCTTCTCTTCGAACGCCGTGCCATCGTCCATGAAAGTTTCATCAAAGCCCTCAATACTTGGCTTTCACTCTCCAAATTCGCACCCCTATCATTCGACTTCGCCACGGACAATTCACCATTTCTTGCTACGACTATTTGCCCCTCTCTTGGTGCCCTCGTGTTTCAAGCCTCCCGCTGGCAACGCGTCAGAATCACAGTCCACAACTTCTGTGCCGAGCGCGTCGGCCATACCATCCTCCACTACCCCTTCAAGCCGCTCGAACTCCCACTCCTCGAGAGTTTCACGTACCAGCAGTACGCACATACTGATGTACGGGCCTTCGCAGCTCCGGACGATACGACAGACAACCTCACTGCGCTTTTGTTCGGGTTGGCAAATTGCGAGAGGCTCAGGAAGGTGCGCATACGACTGCCGCCGAGGGGGTACTGGAATTGGGCAAGATTGGTGCTACCTTGGGAACGTCTCGCGCATCTTGACCTAGGTCAAGCGTACACCCACCCGCAGACCGAGGCGCTCGATCTTCCCGTATTCATGCATAATCTATCACAATGCCAGAACCTGGTCTCACTCGTCCTCGACATGCCACCTCAATCTCGCACGCCGCTCGGTGACGATCCTTCCGCGTCTGATGATCTCTCCGTATCGCCTTCTACGTTCACGCTCCCACATCTGCATCGACTCTCCATTCTGCAAATAACCGAACCTGCCGTCCAGACCGCCCAAATTCTCCTCTCCTCCATCATCGCGCCACACCTCCGCGAACTCCGTTGCACATTCCACCCAGACGTTTCGGAGGCGTACGACCGAGCCCTCGACAAACCTATGACTCAACTTGTTGACCATTGTGCCAAGGAGCTTCGAGTGTTCGAGGTCACTCATGGGTTGGGCGACTCGGTTTTGATGAAGATACTGAATAACCTCAGCGGTTTGGAGTTGTTGGTGCTCGGCTCGGGCGAAAACTTGTACCTCTATCCTCAAACGCTCAGATCCCTCATCTTACATTTTGACTCCGGCGACGTCCCCTGCAAGTGTGGAACTCCCAAACGACGTTTTGTAGGCGGTTCGTGCCCACGGCTCCGGCGTCTGACGATCAATGCTGAGGCGGCCAGCTCGATGCCGATGGGCCTGGGTGTCATTGTGTCGATATTGGAGTCGAGGCGGAAGATGGATGGTCATATTTGTGCAGTGGCAGGTTGTGAGGAGGGAAGCGTGGACGATACGGTAGGAAGGACCTCTGAACAAGTGGGAGGCTTGGAGGAGGTCGATATTCTGTCGGTCGATACGGAGAAGAATTTCGTTCGGGACCAGCTGGAGTCATTGAAGAAGTACGAGCAGGAAGGATTTAGGTTAAGATGGTCGGAGACCTGAACGGATGCTCGAAGTCGAGAAGTTGTGTTGCTTTTGTGAGTACAGTCTTGGTCTGCAACTGCGAAGTCGTTGGTCTAACGTCTGTTACTTTAGTATGAGGTTTTCACTCCCTTCATTAAATTCTTGGATTTGTGTCGTGTTGAGTTTGTCACTCGTACAATCAGCCTTTGTCACAGCTGATCTTGCGTCGCAACTCGTCATGTACGACCCTCGAGACCAGCTCCTCATTGACGCTACTACTTATTTGACGGTATAATTTATTGTGCTCAAACCAGGGCCGTTGATCCTGATACCGCTTGCTTCATTCAGACTGCGGCGCGCGCCGACTCAAAACGGCGTCAACCTCCGCAGGTGACTCCAACGTGTGCTTCCTTCGCCTCACGTCGTGGAGATGGCCTCATCTCACCCATCGTTCTCGTGCGCTCCTTGCTCCACGTACAACTCCTTGCAGCTCCCCGGTGAGCAAGCCTGGACTCCGCGTCCAAATCGTCATGGTTACAACACCACAACATGAGTGTAAAGGAGTATACTTTGATGCTCATGACGCAGCAGTTCGGTTGTACCTTGCCAGTGACGTCGCTACTCCGAACGCATATTCACTATAAAGTCTCGTCGAGCAATGCGTACTTTACTCACATCTCATCCCATCTAAACACCTATCCAACTCACTTCATCCACTCATCTACATATTCAACAATGTCCGACCAACAACAACAAGGCCAGGGTCAGGAGGACTACGCCGACAAAGGTACGTTTTGTGCCCATCATCCATCGTGTCTTGACCGTCTTTCTTTATACGTGCTCGTGTAGGTTTGGGAGTTTTTGCACTGACTGCGACTTCGTTTTGTGGTCTAACAGGTCTCGACGCTGTTGAGAAGAAGGAGGGAGTTCCCGAGAACCGTGGCGTCAACGAGAAGATCACCGACACTGCTCGTGAGGGGTTCGAGTCTGCTACTGGGTGAGACCCTCGTCGTCGTGCTGTGACCACATGGATGAGCACTAGTACTAATAATGTTCTGGATATTTCCTCCTGCAGCGACAACGTTCCCAGCAAGGTTTCCAACTAGGCGTCAATGGCTGTATCCACACAATGAAGATCAGTAGTGTATTATAAATGGATGTACTGGATATCAACACCAAGGGTTATGCGGACTTTATTCACGTCTTTGCGTTGTAATATCCTCCTAAACCTCGCGTGGTAATCGCAGCTGAAGAGGTTGAAAACATCATACCCTCTGAGTGCTAGGATGTACGACCACACATCAACGCTGACCCGTAGCTGTATCCAGCGTAAAACTACGTCGTATCTTACGGTTCTGTGCATATATTGACACTGTGGCAACTACATCTGAGCATAGAGCATAATCGAGAGAATGAATAAATAACCACTGATCAAAGCTACAGCGAATGGAGCCAATGAGTCTTCTCCCTCGTCTCTTCTAGCGACTTGGGCCACGACGGCCTCACATCCCAGATCCTTCCATCCTTCCTGATGATATGATAATCGCACCATCCTACGTAGTCTCGTACGGGTGCCCTAGACGTCCTTATACGATGACTCCCCAGAGTTGCGGAAAATTGGCGATACAGTCCAATAGTGTGCAGGAAAGGACTGAGTTCCTTGGCCATGTACTTGATGATACGATGCTCTCGGGGGTCTACGGGCTCGTGTATTGATCCATGGCCATCTTGAGAGTGAATACCCGAGGAACGCAATGAGAGGCGAAGGTGCTTGAGGTTGCGGAGCGGACGAAGTGCGTCCGTGTAGTCGGTCTAAGTGAATGATCAATTTAAAGTACACTTGGATTCTATAGCGAAACAGACTGACGTACCAATGAGAAGAATGCTGACTGCGCCCCGCCTTCGTCGATGAACGGTGCTTTGATCTGGAGAGTCTCCAAGTTTGGGAATGTGCCGACGATGAAAGAAAGAAGTGTCGGCGTCAACACAACCTGGAGTATGACACTAAGATCCGTAATCGAGCGTCTTCGCCTGACGTTCAGTGCCTCCAAGATCTTCACAAGACCAGCTTCGTCCATCGCTCCTGTATGCGGGACGGTAGGCGCGCGCATGGCCGGTATGATGCTTTTGAAGTGGATGCCACGTACTGTGTCTGGGAGAGTATAATAGATGGTGTCGTCCGGAACGGGATTCGAGGTGCGGAAGACCTGCAACTCCGGAAACAACTCCGATACGAGGTCCACAGTGGCCCGCGACGAGTACTCGTCAGACAATGGAGGAAGTACGTGAAAGTTGCTGGGAGAATTCGAGGGGAGGCTGAGAACGAAGCTGATTTCCCGAAGGGCACGCATGCCCTTGAGTTTGAGGAGCGAGGAGGAGGAGGAGACTGACGAAGTCCCGTGGAATATGAGAGTGACGAGATTGGGAAACCGCGCCTCGCCTAGTACGTCAAAGTCGAACAATTCGATGTCCAGCTCAAGATGATGGAGATCCCGCAAGGTCGCACAGATTGTGGAGTGTGCGAAAAGGAGCTCCTCTTGTGCGCGAGAAGTCCTAAGCGACCTTTCAAATTGGTGTTGGGCGTGATTATCGCGGGGTAGGTATGTAGTAGGATCGCTCGTGAACCCCATGGTGAAGGGGATGATGGGATCAATTCGGAATCCCGTGGTCGAGTTGTCGATGTTGAGGCCCGCTATTGGACGTTGCAGTACGAGCCGCCGAATGGATGCGGGATGCGATACAGTGTGCTGGAAGTGTAGTGGTGTGGACATGGATTCGAAGGTTCTCAGATTGGGGAGAGCATAAAGGGCGTCCACAACAGGTACAGGCGGTGGTGTCGGCAGATTGAAAGCCACCGCTTCCAAATTAGACATGTCGGCAAGGCTCTTTGTTAACGACACCCATGACGCTTCTGAATTCTCGACGCTCGAATGGATGTCCTGTTCATAGAAAAGGTATAAATTCCTAGGATAATAAGCCACAGTGAATTTAAACATAATACGCAATCACTAACGGGTCATGTTCGTACCTGACTAGACCTAAGATAGAGGTTGGGAGAGGATCGATGATTCTCTCTGTTTTGTCACCGACAGCTTCCCCCTTGATGGCTTTCACCTTGGGCCATTTGACGTGTCGCCAGCGTCTAGGAGCCACTACACCATAGAATTCGCTGCAGGCGAGACTCAATGCCGACAGGTCAGAGGATCGCGACGTCCTGCTGTCGAAAACAGCTTTAATAACAAGAAGCTCAACATCCGAATTCAGCTTGCGACCGCATCCAACAGACAGAGTGGATCCAGGAGAAGCACGAGGCCTTTCGGTGGACATTGAGAAGGGTGGAGGTCGTCCTGAAGCTTTTTGGCCTGATGGACTACTGATACTAGACCTCGAAGCTGAGATCCACTTTCTAATGGATCATGTTATGGATATCGAAGTTATTATCTTGTTTTGGTGACGTGATGGGAACTGAGCGCCTCAAGGTTCGACGCACCTGAATGTCTTGGTGTGTCTGAAGCAGAGAAACCTGCTATGGCTAGACAACTCGGGAAAGAGGCCTTGGGCTGAGGGCAATCACTTGCCGGGGATCATCGACGCCCGGTGGGAAAAGTCGCTCCAAGAGCACGGTGTTGGATCATCATCAAAGAAAGTCCTCAAGATTCCATAAGGACGATGATCGGCTATGATCGGCGCAGAAAGTGTTGTACAAGCTCGAACACTGAGTACCGAGTACTGAATGTCGACTGAGTGTACTTATACCATCCCCCAGCGTTTGCTTGGTCTTTGCTCAGTCTTGTGCGCCGTCGCCACACCTCTGGATGTGGCAGGTGGCACGTGCGTATCCAAGCCGGCCCGGTCCCGGAGCGGTGTCAGACACACGCTACGGCCCTGGTCTCATGATCTCTTTCTTCTGAATTTCTTGTTTTCCTCGCTAAGTATCTTCCAAAACATGCTCTCGATTTTGTTCGTCTTTCTTTCTGCACTGATGCAGTAGAATTAGACTTAGTCAGGCGAGCGATCATAAGAATCAGTTTGGGCTGCAAATTTTCTCCTTATGTGCCCACCACGGACGATGTTCATTCGATTTGAATAGCACCATGCACATCGTCCTCCCACACAATACCATCCGGTATCACTTCTTGAAGAAGGACATACTCTTGCTTTTCTCGGTGCGCCGTATGAGTGCGCGATCACATGCTGTCGAGATATCGACCTCCCGCTGTTCACGGGATGCGGAAGGTCTTGCATGTCGGATTCCAAGGTCTACTGATGTCGAAAGATCTCCCTGATGATATCTCACATTTTTCTTCACCTTGTCGGGTTCACACTCACACCGCAACCACAGGTTGTTGTACTTGACGTGACACGCACGACAAAATGCAGAATCTGTGCTAACAGCTTCATACGTGAATATCATGGCCTCCTATTCAACAGCCATGAATCGAAGCTCTATGCGCATCAATGCAAGAGATTTAAGATTGGGTCCACAAATTCAGAAAGCCTTGGCCAACATTGCTTCACGATATCAGAGTGCGATATCGGGCCTCGCTCGAATGCATCCCCCGTGCATTGCCCCATTCCGAAATGTTCCAGCCGCGCAACGGGCCTTCCGTCACTAGACGTCGCATTATCCGGAATGGTGCATCGTGAGCGCGCCATGTTCTCCAAAGCCTCGATGTACTCCTCATACTCAGCCTCGTCATCACTGTCGTTAATGATGATAGGGTTTTCAGCCACATCAACGAAAAGTGTTCGAAGTGTAATGTTTTGATCTGCACTTCCCGTGAGCCGACCACCCTCGTCGAACTTGAATGTGAGTAGTTCGAGCATGTCTGTCCAGTCCCGCAAGGAGTACGCTTCGACTATTACAAGGGATGTCAACGAAGGCAGGCTAGTGATCAACTTCTTCGCCCGGGAGTCGGTGTATGGATTGTCGAAGTTGGTGTGAAGATGATTTAAGGTAGACAAACAGCTTGTCAAAAGACGTAGAAAAGGGTCTATAAAAAGCGATGTATGGTGCTCATTTTCGCCACTCACACTTCCAAACATACTGAGTTCCAGTGACGTCAAAGATGGTACGGAAAGCCCGCGGACCATATCGGCCATAGCCGTAAGATTTCCGCTGCCTATCTTGAGGGACAGAAGCTGTGGCAGAAGGGTTACTGTGCCATCGGGCGGCCATATGAAGCGAATCGTGCTTTCTAAGCTCAAGTCCAACGAGACGAGGCTGGGGCGTGCCTGCACAAACGACATGAGATTTGGCATATCCCAAGCCCACGTACCTTCAGAGAAGGAGTGGCACAATACCAGGTTCTGAATAGAGGCGAGGAAAGGTGGGCGTTCTGAGAACATAAGCATGGTGTTTTGCCAGTCATGTATCATCAGAGTCTGCAAATCTGGAGAGTATCTCAAGGTATTGAGAAGGTAAGCATCCCATTGACAGTCAGAAACTGAGGGTGTGCATGTGAGACTGAACCGTGTCAGCATCGGGAGTAGATTGCTCGTGCCACGGTCCTGCCCAAGATGGGACACCAGGGCGATGGCGGCTTCTTGGCTGTCAAGGCGAATTTCTACGTCCCGCCAGTGTGCGGAATGGTCACACAGCGCTCGGAAGTACCGGAGCTGCATTTCTGGAGATATTCTGCGCCACATGAAGGCGACGATCTTCAACGGAAGCGACTGAGAGCACGAAAGCCAGACCTTCAACGCGGTAGGCGAGAGTGGCTTCTTGTTGGACCATCTGACACAAATATTCGTCCATAATCGCGGTGTCCCTTGAGCTACCGTACGCCATTCCCTGCACACGCGAGTGAGAACGAGTGGCGCCTATGCGGGGTTGAACGGCTGGGCGAGGTCGGGAAGGCAACGGATGAATATGTCGGAAAGAATTTCTAAGGGGATGGGGAGAGTCTGCATGCTGAAAAGGAGTGTGCTCCTTGAGTAACCTGCAGGAATACAGCAGTTAATACTGATGCAGTTTTCAATCGGAGAAAATGTGGGTACGAGTGATAGATGTCCTAGAGGCTCGAAACGCTGAGGCACGAAGAGGAAGAAGATGTTTGCTCTTCCTCGTAGCACCATCAAATGTCTCGCAACTTATAGCGCACCAGACAAAGGAGCCTCACCTCAAAGGAACGACTTTTGATCCCGTCCTAAAGGCCTGTTTTGGGAAACTAAAAGAAACAAGACATCTCGCAATCGAGAGAAACAGAACCAAGCAAAGGACCCCATGGCACAGAAATATCGGAGTCAACGTTCACTGCTGTTTGGAGAAACAATAGAGCCCAGGCAGAGAGGGCTGATATTACTTGAATATTTATGTAGAACCAAGGACGAAGAGCATGAAGATCCGTCGTGGACGCGACGAGACGCGCCGCCGACGAGCAACCATTTTTGTCAGTTACGTAATTGACGTTATTTCCGACCGATAGTTTCGCAACTTCTTTCGCCACTCCGCCACCATCTTGCTATTCCAAAACCAAAGTAGGCTCTCCATATTGTTTCGAGCGTCCCAAAAGTTGACGGTTACGAAAAATAGTACAGCTGACTGTGATGACGACCTCGAAGATCACGAAAAAATCCAAGACGCCCGCTTCAACCATCGGTGCCCCAGCGCAGCACAACCAGTCGAGCCGCAAGGGCAAGAAGGCCTGGAGAAAGAATGTCGATATCGAAGATGTAGAGGATACACTTGAGGATATCCGGGGTGAGGAGCGGTTGTTTGGGTGCGTTTCATCCAGTCATAGCTTGTACGATCTCGACTTATTTTCGCTTGCAGAACGGCTCTGCACGAGCGCAAAAATGAAGACTTGTTTGTCGTCGACAAGCAGGGTGACGATAAAGGTCAGTACTATGCCTTCTTTGGTTGTTAGAATAGCTCTGTATAACCTTCGTTATATTTAGTCCGAAAATCACTCCGAAAATTCTCCAAAACACTGCTCACATCACACAGAATACTCTCGCAGCGCTCTGCTGTACCTGCCGTCCTCTCTCGCCCGTCTTCTTCATCCAATAAAAAGAAGCCTGGTTCAGTGTCTTACGCCGAAAAAGAGCGTCTTCTCAAGCTAGGGAAGAAGAATCGTCGTGGGCCACTCAACAGCGCAGTTGACCACGATCAGGTCGGAGAGGGAAGTGCATTGATGGAGGTCACTGAGGCGGTAAAGGAGAGCGGAAAGTATAACGTGTGGGACGCGGACGATGTGGAAGAGAATAAGTCAAAGTTCAAGGTGCGTTCCGTTTTTTCCGATGTTCTGTTGCTGGTGCTCAAGTTAGATATGGACATTTTCAGGCGCCTAATACGCCACACCCTCGCCAACAAATCACTATACCAGCCGTACAAACCCCCCATCTTGGAACTTCCTACAATCCCCCCGTCGAAGCCCACTCCGAACTCCTTCGTTCAGCGCACTCCATTGAAGAGCGCCGAGTCAAGGAACAAGAAACCTCGGAGGAATTCAAGAGCCGCATCATGTCTGCACGGAGAGAGGCTGGTGCCGTCGACGGTGGTGTCGAAGGCATGTTGGTGGACAAGCCCGGCGAACAAGACGAGGCAGAGCTGGACGCTGAAGGTGAGCCAATTGTGAAGAAGATGCCCGCGCGGAAGACGAAGCAGCAGAGGCGGAAGGCAGAAAAGCAGCGTGTCGAGGTTGGTCGAAATTCTCTTCTTTCTCTTTTCTCATTAGCCTAACCCTTCTGTCTGATTCTCAGAAACGAGCTCTCGCGGCTCGCGCGCTACGCAGGAAACTCCTAGCATCAGTCGATTCGGTGAAGACATTCCGCAAGGAGGCAGAGAAGACTCTTAGTGCTCGTGAACAAGCTGAAGCTCTCCGTCGTGCACGTCAGCAAGAACAGTTACGCAAGGGGTTGGCCGGGCAGCGGTTGGGAAAGCACATCGTCAAGGAAGGTGAACTCGATGTGCAGCTCGGTGAAGACCTCAGTGAGAGCTTGAGAGGGTTGAAGGTGCGTTTCGTTGTCTCGAATAATGTGCCTCGTCCTGATATGGGTCTCTTTAGACGGAGGGGAACTTGTTCCGGGACCGCTTCACGAGCATGCAACACCGTGCACTCATTGAGCCACGGGTTCCTGTCCTGTACGTTCCCATCCGCATACATTCTCTCTTTGAGTCGCCCACTGATATTGAACCTTTTTTCAGGCCAAAAAAGCGGAGGGGAAAGACAAAGGAGGTCGAAAAGTATGCATGGAAGCGATTCGAGTGAACATCTTGATCCATCTTCGTTTGTCTAGAGCTCCACCGTCATCTTCCTTGATCTTCCTGTCGGAACAATGCCTGTCGTCTCGGGCGTTCCTCCTTTGTATCCTTGGATTTGCGCCGTATTGTCATTCTGCTTCGGGGAAATGCAGACCATCGTGGCTTATCGTGCCCCTTTACGCTACACGAGCTGCCGCCTCGCAAGAATCACAAAAGTCCCTTTCATTCTATGCGGTCCAGGTTACATGAGGTCAATGACTTTCGGGTTTCGCTACAGGCTAAGTTTTGTTACATATGTATTTCGTCTAGATGACTTTGATTCTCGAAACCGAACACAGTCCATGTGGGCTGTCCGTTCTGACAAGATCTTTCAAGTCAGAGTGCTCTCCGACACCGATATCGCTTTCTGAACTCATCTGTTCTCTACGTGCTCCACAGCTGGTGCCCGTGCTCGTTCAGAAGTTCCAGGTATGGTTCTGCAGGCGTCCCCAGACCAAATCGGAGTGTGTGTGCTCCTCTGTCCCCATGCGTCCCCGAGCCCCAACGCGGCTGGCCTGAGCCATCGTATAGAACCTGCATAAAACAAATGATTTCAACATCCCGACCACCGTGACCCGCGCAAGATACTGATAAACCACGCGTACCAAATGTCCGTCTCCTTGCAGCACCAACGTCGCATTTCGATCATCTACCTCTGGTCCCGCCTCCGCATCCCCAACACTATCGCACACGACCTGGAACCTCGACAAATCCAGAGGCCAACGCAATGGCATCTGCATCTCATCGCGAACATGCAACACCACGAACCTCCTATTCGGCGCCAGAGTCCAAATCAACGCTCCGCCGCCCGGAACATCAGGTGTCGGTCGAGCGACATATCGTCCAAACTTCCACTCTCCGAAACGGCCGGCGGTGTAGGAAGAAGCGTAGAACAGGTCTCCCGTAGGGGAAGTGATGCTGAGCAAGGGCTGGTCTTTCGAGGCGGAGAAGAGGAGGCGCGGGGTCGATGGACGTTTGGAATCGGAGGGTGGCAGGTGCGCCGGAACGTGTGGCGTGAGGTCGTACCAGATCGAGTGAGGATTGGTAGAGTCAACGACGCAGAGTTTGCCGCTTGGGGTGAAGTGGAGCATCAGATTCTCGAAACCTGGTCGTCTGGGGTCGATGTGGCGTCTGATACCAGCTTCCCAGAGGATCTCGCCACCGCCACGTTCGTGCTCTTTCGTCCTGAAGATGCAGAGCTCGGCGTCGTCGCGAAAGGTTATGCTTATACCCAGGAGGTGCAAAGTCTGGCCGCGATGCAATTTGAGGCCACCGCCATCGTACGCGAGGACCTTGGATGGACCGGGTTCGATGCGAAGTAGACCCCAAACTTTACCCTGGACGAACTCCGGCTGCAGCCTCAACGTGCTCACATCGGCTTCGTGGCCTTCCGAGTTTCCGTATGGGTCATGGATGAAAGGGCCAGGACTGGCATTAAGATATCCAGGCAAGGTGCCAGAAGTATCGCCACGGTAGATGACATTGGGATCAGAGACGTTGTCAATACACGTCCAATGGGCAATGTCGCTTCCGACGGGATAGCCGTACCCAACTGTGCCCTCGCCAAGTCCATGACCTGCGCCCGGAACATGGGAAAGATCGCGGGTGATGAGGTTGTGCGAGACGGTACCGCCATAATTGATCTGACGTTTGTCGGGAGCCCACCAGACGGAGAGGCCTTGACCGATTCCGATCTTGAGCATCGTCCCGGCGGCGACGATGGTGTTGTGGGTTACCCGAGTAAAGTTGTAGTTGCCGTCGTCTGAGTGGATGCAGATTTCTCAGTATACAGTTCCGGACGTTTGAAAGGATACTCACAAACAATATGGTCCACCATGTTGATGGCGCCTAGGCCAAGACGACTCTTCGTGACCACGGTGTTCGAGGTAACGAGCGTTCCGGTTGCGTTGAACAGCACTGCGGTATTGTGAGAATCACCGCGCTTCGGTCTGTCGAAATAAGCCTTACCTATACCTCCGTCCGTAGTATCGGTGACAAGATTCCCCGCGACCAACCCATCTGCAGCTGCAAACGAAATTCCATCCGCCCAATGACCCTGCTCAATGTCACAGCCGACACCAGCAGGACCAATGAAGTTGTTCGTGATGCGGACATTGTGAGAACCGTCAAACGCTTGAACACAAGACCAGTGTCTTGGATTACGGATGACGCAGCGATCAAGGACCTATAGTCGCAATGAGCATTTGATGGAACGTCACAGGCAAAGAAAATGAAGAATTAACCTGATTGTGAGCTTTACCACCGCCGAGTTGAATCATACAGCCTCCCTTGTCGTCCCACCCATATTTCTCCTTATTACCTTCAAGGATCAAATTGCGGATCCGAATACCAGATTTGTCGAATGCGTGAATGACATGAGGAGTGCAGTCCTCCTGTGCATCTAGGAGCGCCATATCATCATGCGAGGCGGGATAACCGAAGGTCGCGATTTCTTGATATTCTTGAAGAGTAATGGTCTTATGGATCCTCCACGCCGTCCTCGGAGGTAGGTATACCGTAGCTGAAGGACCGAGCTCGTCAAGAGCCTTTTGGATGGTCGTCGACGTATAGTCATCCGTGGATGAGGGCTCCAATATACGATATCTATCGACACAAATATGTTAGATAGTGCTGACTGAATGAGAGCCTTGGACATCTCAATACCTCTGTAAAGGGTACTCAGGAAGCTCCGGGGTAGGAAAAGCTCCTGGAGCGTAGATGGCGCCAGCGTCAAAACGAGCACTACGTGATATCGACGGCGGACTCGGATGGCCGATATCATCGAAGCTTTTGCTTCCACCGGGGCGAGGTGGAATCGGGGGCGGCGGTCCATGTCCTGAGTTGCTCCCTCCGTGTGAGGACGATTGCCCGTACTGGGATGGGGACGGAGAAGAGGGGAACGGTGGGGCGCCACTTGGCCCACCAAGACCAAAGCGATTCTTGAAGCGACCTGCGACGTTGGATATTTTTTCCTCCATTTATTTTGACTTCGGTGTGGTATTGGCGTCAAATGATGCAGACGACTGTCATAAATTGCCACGGCAGAATGGGTCCAAAAGTTCCAAGCGACGCAGGAAGCAAGTTCAACCTCAAGGCTGCTTTCGAAGTTCGTGCCAAAGATGATCAAGAAGCAATAAGTATTCTCTTGCTCAAGGCTGATCTGGGAGTTATAACTACTGACTTCGAGTGAGTAGAACACGACAGAAAGATGGTGGTTAGAGGGCACAGGACTGCGTGGCGCCTGTCTGGCTTGCGCCACACTCCACGGAGACGGCCGGGAGCGCAGGTTGAATTTAACCTGAAGGGACATTCCATTGTTCTCTCCTTTCTGCGACGGATCATTGGCCTGCCTTCGTGGGCGAATGATCGTCTTGTTTTTCCTGTGCTCCCGCGAAGGTCCGTAAACCCGGATCCTCCAGACATAATGTCGGTAGCAACCATGCAGTGAGAAGTGGCAGTGAGGCCGCTAGTGCGCTTCTACCCTCAACCCCGCCACCCTTCCCTGACAATTTGGTGCAACGAGTGTCTCGCGAAACTTTAACATTACCGTCAATTTCGTGATGAGATTACATAGACGAAGCAGCCAAGGCTTTCTGTTGGTGTGTGGGCATAGCGCTCACACTTCCCTCCTTCTTGCTTGCCTTCACCAACCATAACACGTCCTCTCCTTAAAGTTCCAAACGAGACGATGAGAGTGGGTGTATCGACTAAGCCTCTGGCAGCACTAGATCTCTTTCTGCTTCGAGTCCTTTTCCATGGATGTCTCTTAGTCTTATATCCCCTGATCCTCGTGTACCTCGTCATCGGCTTCAAACCGAACTCCTCCCAGTGGTCCATTTGGGGAACGGCACTGGCTGGACTCGTAGCAACTACGATAATACTGTCCTTACTCTTATTGTAAGTCAGCCACTTATATTATGACGAATGACCATAGACCAGCTTGCTCATCTTTACATCCAGTGATTATATGACCCTCAAACGACGACCATCACCAAACCTGGCGATCCTAGCAGACTTTCTGCTCACAGGAGCTCTGGTTCCGACGATGTGGAGTACGTTCCGTTCCCCTAGATATCTTACTTTCTCTGATGGTCATTGTATATGTAGTACTTCCATATATACCCAACATAGTGGTCAACAACGACTGGTTGGAGTCCACTAGCGCTCGTCCGGGGTGGAACCCATTCTTTCAGATCATCCGATTCGGCATCCCATCATTTTGCTTCCTGTACATGTTATTCATCGTCATCATTCCGCTAAGAATACCAGGCGCCATCGACACCTTCTTCGCCATACCGCCAACTTCGTCAGACCCTCCATCCTACGATAACGCGCCTATCTACAAGAGACTGTATGGCCCTCTCCGATGCGACACGGAGCGCGAAAGGCTTGAACGGCATTGCTCCTTTATCATCTTTAGACAGACGATCGCGAGAAAACATCCGTGCGTACATCGCTTTCTCCTCGTTACGAGCTCTGAGCAAGTATCTTTCAGATTTGAACCCGCTGCGCTCGGCATCATTCGCGGTCTTTTCGCCGTATATGCACTCCTTGGGCTCATCACGTATGGTATAGCGATTCTTGCAGACGTCAGAAAGGAGGCCCTCCAACAGGCGGGTGGACAGACAGTGGAACGATCCGTCGTTCCTTCATACGGTGCAGGGGACAACAATCTTCGTATCATCTCAGTGAGTACCCGCAGAATCGTCTTCAACCAGCAAGTTTGACCGACAAACTACCCTAGGCCAGGGCAGAAGCGCACAATGCGGTCAACTACGAGCTGATTAATCTATCCGTGACGTTCAACAACAATGGTCTGAACTTCGTCAACTCGTCTACCGGGATGAGGCACGACTACAACAATCAGACTCGTACCGATTTCGTCTACAGCTTCGACAGCTCCCAGTCCGGCCTCAGCACATACGATGCCTACCCAGTGACAGCGTGGTGTCGAAACACGACGCTGCTGCTCCCCCGTGGAGACAGTGAACTGTCAGCCGTGGATTGCCATATCTCTTCTGAAGGAGGATGTAAGTCCGTTTCAATCATCACGTATTCGGGCGATTTTCTGACTTTCAGCTATACACCATAGCTATCATCAGCTCACAACTATTCTTCTCATCCCCCGTTCGTCGGTATATGTGGGTGTTTGACACTAGCTCCGAGGACATATCCGATCCGCCTGCTACGAACCTCTCGGCTCCGTACATCCTCCCAGTAGGTGCGAACCTAGATGTGTACATGTCACCCGAGCAGAAGATTATTGGCGACACGAACTGGCTACGGTATAACTTTGGTACGTCTAGACACATCTTCTTCTTTCACTCAGGAGACGTATTTATCCATTCTCATACAACAGATACCATCGTACCCACTACATTCACAAACATGCCTACCGTCACGCTCACTCCTTTCTATTCTAACTGGACCACATCGGACGTCATGACTCCCACCGACCCTCCGTCAATGTTCACAGCTCTCTTAAGTGTCATCGGTAAACTTGGTGGGGTATTCGTCACCCTTAACGGGATCTTCGTTATCGTCTTCGGCAGGACTGTATGGGCCGTGGTCGCTGGTACGTTCGATCTACTCGCCGGCTACCTTAACATTCTTGACACGAGAGATCTGGGAACTGAGACTTTGTCTTCACAGGCGGTAGACCAATCACCCCCTTCGGCATCTTCAGCAACTTCGCGTGGTACAGGGCGTCGATACACCAACACTACCCACGACTCCAATCTGACTGCGAAAGCAACGGCATGGCAGGATTCCTCGAAGAGGTCGCGATGGACGTTGGGATTATCGAGCATAAGGATAATCACTGGTCTGATCCAAGGAGGATGGCAGGGGGGACCCCACGGTGGTCAGGCGAAGCTCATGACCAGGCTGCATTTATCGAGATGCGTACGCCTAGTCCGAACGTTACTGATCGACACTTTTACCCCGGTGTGGACAAGTAAACATACACGGTAGCGGTAGTTCGCACTGCACGGTACTTGATATATATTCGAACCGTAGTACTTAGTTTCATGAAAACTTTGTGGTGACAATACCTAAGGACAAGTGAGATGGTGCTGTGGTCGAAGGACGGGAAGCTACAGCCTGCTGAGGCAGAAATCGGGCAGAAAAGGTCGGTTTCCGACCGGCAACTCCCGACTGGTTCGCGGCTCGTTTCCGAAGCTCAACCAAACTTGAACCTCTTTCAAGTTCTGTTCCATTCATATTGCTCCCCCCAAAGTTCCATCACATCATACAACGCCTTGTGTTGTCTATATAACTTGTAACAGCGCTACTTTTCACGGTGAACTACATTCTCTTTCCTCTCACAGATCTCAACTTCGGTTTATCATCGAAACTGACAACGCCACCCTAAATATCAGCAGCTCAGGTCGCGAATGGCAGCCAAAACGATCAAAGTCGAGGCTGATACTCACAGTCCAGCCTACCGTCCTCCTCTTCAACCGCGCGAGCCAAACCATCGCGATGATGATGTCGACAACCTGCATTATCGTTTTTTTAGGCCACGAGGTAGAGAATGGTTGCATTGGCAGGCATTACGTCTCCGTATTCAGCTGTGTCGCCTTTTTACCCCTCACAATTCTGGTCTCGGGGATCGCACGTTCAGAATTGGACCACATACAGTCCTGAAACGAGGGTGGGCCATCACAGAGGCGGAGGCAGAGTCGATGCGTTTCGTGGCCGCACACACGACCATACCTGTTCCACGAGTTTATCGGTCATACACGATCTGTGGGATGGTACACATCGAGATGGAGTACATCAAGGGAAAAAACCCGTTGAAATCATGGGACCGAATGTCTCAAGACGAGAAGAGGAAAATGATGGATGAACTCGAAGACTACGTCAGACAACTGCGAGCCCTGCCGCCACCGTATCCCGAGGCCGTTTGCGCCGTTAATGGTGCGTCTGCATACGATCATCGCTTTGGAATCTACCCAGCTGGACCTTTCGAAACCCATGATGAATTCCATCGCTTTCTCCGAGAGGATACCGACCTTGACTCTTGGAACGAGGAAGGCTGGGTCGAGGTCTTTCTCTCACATTCGAAATCTTACACCTCGAAATTTACCCACGGCGACCTCGCTCCACGGAATGTTCTCGTCCGCGACGGGAAGATAGCAGCTATAATCGATTGGGATAGTGCTGGGTGGCGGCCCGAGTATTGGGAAGTGACGAAGGAGCGCTACTCGGATCTGGGCACGCCTGTTGAATGGCACGAAGCTGTGCAGCGAGGGTCGGGGCAGAACTACGAATTGCAGCTGGCGGGAGAGAGGCACCTCTATCGCCCAGGTGCTTTTACTGAGTTTCCCACTAATCCGAAGAAGTCATATCGGTGAGGCTGGCTCACTCGTGGTAAGTCACATTTTCTGTGCCACCGTGATAGACTGTACGCTGACAAGGAAATAGCAGCTATATGTGTCTTCTTTCCTTGTTCATCTGATTATCTTTTTCCCATATCGTTACCCCTCTGATGTTTTGTTCTCAATATGATCTCTGTGTGCGATGTGCTTCGTTGCCATACATCGAAGTCCCAAACTATCATGCGCTACTGATAAACCCTTTTCCTGTATCGTACAAAAATATAGACCCCTTCCAAACTATTCGTTCTCATCCTAGTCCTGTCTGGCGCGCATATCGATAATGGGGATCGCGCTCTTCTTGTCGATCGTAAGCTCACGCGCGATGATCCTCGCCATCACCCTGTTCGCCTCCTCGACCGCCCTGCTTTCCAATGCCGCCACGTTTGGGACGCTCAACTCAATCAACTTCTCAGCAATCAGCACATCCACCACCTGCAAGAGCCACGTCCCACAATTTAAGTCAGGGTTGCTATGGTCAATCGGGACCCGATCGACGGCAGCATCAATGCGTTGAACGATGGCATCGTGCTCGCTCGTCTTGAACTTCCCAATCATGATGCGGGCAATCAGGCTTATGCTGGCGAACATGCTAACATCGTCTCTTTCCAGGAACCAAGGGACCTGGACCATCCGCTGCCTGCGACCGTCACTACCGCGAGCTTGGTTTGTGAGATGCCAGCGTCTGGAGTCGGGTTTGTTGGAATTGTCCTCTTCGGTATTAGGTCGGTCCTTGGGAGATAGAACCAGGGCCCAGTGATAGCCTGTGTGGCGCAGTAGGTGGCACGGTCGTAAGTCTCTGCTACCTATTTATGAATAGCAAGCAGGACGGATGACGATGGCTCACCTCCTTGGTCATAGCGATGGTTAACAGTTATGTAGAGGCGTTCTTTGCCGCCACCGAGGATGGAAGAAAGCATGCTGCGAGGAGATAGATGGCTTTGCAGAATATAGGTGGTCGGTCTTTGGCGAATGATTGTCCTTTCTGAGCCAAAACCTAGCAGAATATATACTTCCAACCTGGGAAATTTCGTGTATTAGGGTTCAGAATGTGCTCTTCGAATTGGTGATGATCAACGATCCTCGCCACCCGTAGAGCTACTGGAGCTGAACAGTCCCATATCGGTACAATACCTTGTTTCTCGGTTCTTGAGGCTGATTAGCCTTCCGAGGAGTCGAAACACAAACACGAGGTGATTTATTCAGTCGGACATCGAATTCGGCCTCCTGTCTGTGCATCTAGGCTAGTAGGATTTACACAGAGCTCCTATGGAAAGCCGCACCCCCTCCGTACAGTGATGGAAAATAGGGTGCAAGAATGATGGCATGGAAGCTGCTTTTCGATAGCTTTTCGCCCGCCAAAAAAATGGACGGGCTTCTGGCAGGCGTCGTCAGTCTCTGTCCAGCTTCCAGGCATCGTCAGTTTCTGTCGACGTAGGCCTTGAGCTACAGTAGAACCGGACTTTTATTCATTTCAGCTTGTTTCTAATCCTATTGTCAGGTTCGCATGGTACTGGTGGTCTTTATACCGAAAATTGACTCAGACGCCACTTCAATCCGCCGAGTGGGGCCGTACGCTGCGCTGCAACAGCGGTACCTACTTGGGGTTCGATGATAAAAGACTTTTTTTGGTCCAAAAAAAAGTTGTACGGCATCTCGTTATCTTTTCCGCATGTAAGTACCACCCTTCTGGTGTTTTGTTCTCGTGATGGATCATTGCTCCTGTGCGCGATCTACCTCGTGGCCAATATCGCAGCCCCAAACGATCACGCACGACTTACAATCCGTTCCGTTCCGTGTTTTGTTGACAGGATAGAAACATTTCGTCGTTTCTGGCATGTGGCACTGTCAACATCTGTGGCGCTCTCTAACGAGGACGGACCCGACCCAATGGCGCGGCACCAGACCTTTCCTTCTGACGCCACTGCTATTTCCCGCGGGCTCTGGGCCACACTGAGCGTCGAACTCTTATTCACTCAAACTCTCATTCTCGTTCTCGTTTGGTTTTATTCGCACGAACACTACATTTTCATAGTCTCGTCACCTCCAAAAGAGTAGCGGGAGTATAATAAAATAAGTAACAAAGACAAACTTCCGAGTCGCGGGCAGTGATACTTCAAGAAATTGCCAGTAAGTATTGAGATTAGGAAGCCTCAAGGACAGGAATACTACCGACTAGGGTGCTGTTTTCTGTACGCAGTCTCAAGATATCTTCGTGGGACTCAAAGTACTGTGTGGTCCACTAGAAATCTAAGCTCGGATGGTACAGCGGAACCGGACCTCACGAACGGTGCGATGCCACGCCGGACGGGCAGCGAGTGTTTCTCGAAGTTTTGCACTGATGCGCACCATTCAGTGCCAGATTACTGATACTAATTTGGTGATCGAGACTCGGTCGTCAGTTTCCTTGCCTTTGGATTTGATGTACAGAACAATGGTGCAGCGATAGAGTCTAAACTGAAACGACGCCGGAGTGACAGGAACTTCCAGCCCCTCATCCGCTCGATTCAAGTTCTCCGCCCCGATTCGCCCACTGTCATTACCCTTGGCCATGTCAGTCATCGATGGCCTATAAGGATACTCCCCAGGTCGGTTGGACGTGGAACGGTGGATGGTGAATGTTGGAGGTTTGAGCAGCACCTGCATTTCGCGTGTACTAATAGTTTCGAGTCCAGACATCTAATACCCTCGGACGCCTGGTCCACCAAGCTCGAATCTACATCCGAATCCGGAGGAATACAGACACCTGCTCCGAACGAGGAACTCCAAAAAAAACCCCAGATTACGAGAACATTGACAACGACAGTGAGAGAGAGACGACTAAACCACAACGATGTAGAATAAGTATAACCGAGAACTTTTACCCTTACTCTGTCCACTCCTGGGCCTACGAAACTAGACAGCATATGCAGGTAACACACGTACGTACGTACTCTAAAGACAACGTCCGTCGTCCATCGTCCCTTTTCCCAACCCAAAAACCAAACCTATCCTCCTCTCCCTCCCTCCCTCTCACTCAATCAACTCGAAAGCTCGCAGGCTCGTTCACTCAACCCTAAAACTCCGATCATGCCTAACCTCCACATTCTCCTTCCTCGTCGATTTCTCGCTCATGCGCTCCCAGATCGGATCCACGTCCGGTCCGTCCAGGTCGCCGGCGCCGTCCCAGCCCCAGCACCATACTTCACGAGTGCAACGAGTGGGAAGGTAAGTTAGCGTGCGTCGAAAAAAAACGGATGGGAGTGTATGGAACGAAAGGGGACAGGTGTGAAGGGAACGAAGGGGAGGTTCGCGGAGGGGTTGAAGAAGATAAACGGGGAGAAGAAGGATAAGGGGAAGAGCATACCATGTTCCGGCCCCGGCACAAACTCCACCTCCTCGCTCTCCTCCTCCGTGAACAACCGATCATGCGGCCCGAACCATGACCTATCCTGTGGATCCGTGCGCGGATTGTCGGGCAGGCCGCCGAGGCGGACGTACCCGCGTATGGCGGTGAGATTGCGCCGGGAGGGGTGGATGATGTCGTAGACGCGCTGTTTAGGTGTTCATGGTTAATAAAGGGGAACATAGAGAGAGGGGAACATAGAGAGAGTGTGAGAAGGAGGGCACGAACATGATCATAAGCCAATTTAACCCTCGGCACCATCAATATCCTGCCATACCCCGCCTCCCAATAATCATTACATATCAAACTACACTCGCTCGCCGAACATTCTCCCTCCACCAACCTCGCCATCCGGAACCTCACATGCGGAGGGGAGTAAAAAGGAGCGGGATCGAGGATGGCGATGCCGTTCCAGCAGGATTGGACTTGGATGGGGAGGTGTCGTTGGAAACGGTCGGATGAGGGACGGTGGTGGAAGATGGATTCGAAGGGGGCGTTTTCGAGGGCTGTGCCGTTGATGTCCCGGGCTACCCAGTTGTCGTAGAATACTGGGGCGCCCTGTACACATTGTCAATGTCAGGTAGGATACAAGGGTGAGAGGGACGTACGATCTCGTCGTGGTACATATAGTCCGCGGCACAGGTGATGCCCGCGTTGTTCCTCCGACTCTGCCATATCAGCTCGAGGAGGTCGTCTAAACACGGCAGGATATCGTTCATAAAAATGATCGTATCGAAATACTCGCCCTCCGCATCCCTGAGCTCATGCAGCGGCACGAACGCCGCGTTCCTCACCTCGGCCAAATACTCAATTCTGTGATTGAAAGCCCCCCTCGTCCTCTGACTCGTCCTAATCTCCACCCGCATCCCGACGCTCCTCGTCAACGCATCGAATATCCGCAAGAGAGCCTTCGTCTGGTCCGTCGACCCATTCTCGTAGATCGACACGAACACGTTATGGTACCCCAACACCGCGGCCACCCTGAATAGCGTCGCGAAGAGGTCTGGAATGACGTCGAACGAGTTGTATAAGTTGATGGCGAAGAAGTATTTATGTTCGCCCTCGCTCAAATCCTTCCTATGTCGATAATACAACGCCTCCTCCATACTCTTCGGCCTCGGCACCGGATCCAACCCTCCCAATCCCAATCCATCCAACCACGACGCATCGCTCGTCGGATTATGTCCAATCAGCGGTGCGTACCTATCTCTTGCCTGTTGCGCGTAGAGCGGATTGGAGTGCCGCGTGCATTCGCGGGTGTAGTGCGGGGAGAGATGGGTGAGGAGGTCGAGGATGCGTTTGCGCTGGTCGAGCGTGGGAGGGGTTATTGGGGGGTATTTGGATTTGGAGGAGGAGCGAGAGGGGGCTTTGGTGGTTGTGCCGCGCCAGGGGAGGGAGGAGGGGGAGGAGAGGGAGGAGGAGGTGAGGAGGCGGGTGAGGAGGACGCCGATGAGGATGCCGAGGACGATGGCGAGCGGTGTGGGGATTCGGCGGGCGAGTTTTAGGGCGCCGGAGCGGGCTTGCATTGTGGTGAATTATTCTGGAGATAATCATGTCAGTTGTTGTGGGTATTGTAGACAGCATTAAAAGATGAATGTGACGGATTTTGCGTACAGTGTCCTACCTAGAACGGATAACTCAAGCCCAGAACAGAATTACTATGCACAAACAACGCGTCGGACGCGTAGCTAATCGTCGTCGTGGTCGTCGTCGCCGTCTGCAGCAGCGGTGACGGAGGGAATTGAGTGGATGTGGGGCAAGTCGTGTCCGCGCGCCAAGCACAAACTGGGTTCGCTTCCTTCCGCTCAACGGCCTCCTCTTCCTCGCCGCCGTCTCATCCCCGCACTCATTTCACACTCACACAACGACAAAGACGGCGCCAACGACGACAACGACGACGAGCACGCGTCCAACATGATGCAGCGACGGTCAGGCAGCAAGAGCCAGGCCCACATCGCGCCCCCAACACCGAACCTGGTCCCCATGGAGCCCTTCGCGTCCGAAAAGTCGCCCAGCCGTCTCAACCAACGTTCCTTCGGCGTCACCAATCGAATATGGCTCATCCTCTCTCTCTTCCTCGCCATCCTCCTCTTCACCCGCTTCGCCCTCCCTTCTTCCTCAACAGACTCGTACTACTCCCGCTCGCTGTCACAGGCATACACCTCGAAACTCAAGCCGACTAATTATTTGAACGTGTCGGCGGAGGTGGGCCCGTACCCGTTCGAGTTTTGTCCGACGTTTGGGCCTGGGGACGAGTTGGCGGAGAAGTATGGCGCGTTGGCGATTAGCAAGAGTTGGTTGCATTTGGGTAGCGGGGCGAGGGTGCAGAAGGTCGTTCATAGGGCGCTGCTTGGCCAGCCGGTCACTATCAGTGTCATTGGCGGTTCAGGTCAGTTCATTTATTTCTTTTTCGTTCTGTTTGTTTTCTCTACGTTTGGGCCACAACGCTCTTTGCATCAAAAGAGGCGTATTTCTGGACGTGGCCACTATCGTCTACAGTGACAGGAATATCTCGCGGTGCGGGCGTCAAGATACGCCGTGAACCCGCACTATACACATTCTGTCCTCCCGTCCGAGCCTACCGAAGGGGTGCTCCATGACAGGAATACAACATGGACTGTGTCCTCGTCCCTCTGATCACCCTTCCACTCGTGTGGCGTAAACTGTGGCCCACCACCTCTCCTCCATCCTCTCCTCCTCTCATATCATACCCTCCACTAACGCTCACGCCCACTCTATCCTCCACTCCCTCTCTCCTCCACTCCCTCACCACTCCAACCCAACCCATAACCTATCCAACCACTCCAACAGTCTCCGCCTGCCACGGCGCCGGCGACGACCCCATCTCGCCCACCTGCTACCCCTCCCGCTTCTTCGACTGGTGGAACACCGTCTTCCCACATCCCGCCTCCGAGCTCACAAACGGGGCCATGCGCCGTACAGGCTCCGAGTACTTCTCTTTCTGCAGCGCGCACCATTTGCCGGATTATACGGATTTGGTGGTTGTTGAGTTGGATACTGAGGATAAGGGGTGAGTTTCCTCCACGCTCGTTGTGCAGTGTGTGGCGAGGTTCTGATGTGAATGTGGTGGTGGTGGGGAATGTGATGCAGCGATAAAACGACACTAGAGAACTTCGAGCTCCTCATCCGCTCGATCCTTCTCCGCCCCGATTCGCCTGCCATCATCATCCTCGGCCATTTCAGTCCTCAGGTGCATACGCAGAGCGGATTTGCGGGGCCGGATCATTGGCATAGCGTTGTATCGCAGTTTTATGACGTTCCGCATATCAGGTGCGCTTCCTCTCCTCCCCCACTGCTACTCCTCCAACACACTGTGTGTTAATGTCTGTGTCTATGAATGTCTGTGTGTGGATCCGGATATGCAGCACGAAAGCATTCCATTACCCCGCCTACATCCTCTCCCCCCCCTCCATCGAAAAACACTTCGCAGACCCCGTCCTCGCCAACCCCTCCGGACACTCCATCCTCGCCGACACCCTCATCAGCTACATCCAGTCCCAAATCTGCGCGACCTTCGCCGCTGCGACGGGTCGTGCGTACGAAGGCGGCGGCGCGACGCTGCCGGTGTATTATGCGCTGAATGGAGGGTCGGCGCCCGGTGTGGTGGGTGGAGGAAGGGAAGGGGTAGATGGGGAGGGGGAAGGGGGGGAGGGGAGGAGTCCGAAGGATGCGAAGGGGTTGTTTGGGGGGAAGGGACAGAGGAAAGGATCAGCTGCCGGTGCGCCGGACGACGATGCGTCCAACCCCGCGGACCGAGGCATCGACTGGTCACTCGGCACTGGCTCCTCCTCTGGCAAAGGCGCAGGAGCAGCGGGCGCGGCGGGGCAGTTGGCTCAGTATTTGAAGGTGCCGCAGAGTAGGATCGCGAGCGTACCGGAGGATTTGAGGAATAGGGGTTTCCAGGAGATAGCGACGAGTTGTGTGTCCGCAAACGACTTAATCAACCCGTTGCCGCTTTCGATTTTCTTAGGTTCGGGATGGGAGATCTATCATCCTTCATCTCCTTATTCCTCCTCTTCCGCCTTCTCCTCCTTCTTTTCCTCCTCCTACTCCGAACCCTCAAGCGAAAGCGCACAGCACTACTGGTACGCCACGATGCCTACGTCCAGGCTGCGGATCCCATTGAGCATAGGCGCGGGGGATGTGGGGGTGTATTATGTGAGGGAGCCGAGGGCGGTGGTTGGGGAGGGAGCGGCGGTGGAGTGTTGGGTGGATGATAATTATGGGGGGGCGAGGGTTTTGGAGAATGTGGGGGAGGTGGGCGAGGCGGAGGTTGTGTGAGTTTTTTTATCTTCTTCCATCAATTAACCTTCCCTCCTTTCTTCCTTCTTCCTCCTTTCTTCCTCCTACCTCCTTTCTTCCTTCTTCCTCCTACCTCCCGTTTTCTTCTTCCGACTGCTTTTTGAAATCTGTTGGTATGGGAGACTGACTGACTGACTGTTTTCTGTGGGGTGTTATAGCCTGCAGATGATAGACCACTATGTCGCGCGCGGCGCGCATTTCGTGGAGTGTCAGCTTTTGGGAGAGGAGGGGCAGGAGGTGCCGCCGTTTAGGATCGTTGGGTTTTTCACTACGTAGGCGTAGGCATAGGTGGGCTGGAGATTTTGGGATATTGGATTAGGGTTGGGTTGGGCATAAGGGTGGACGTGGTGGGGTGTCGGTGGTGAAATGCAGGGAACCGACCGACCGGCGGAGCAGGACATACATATGACGTCAAAATACCTAGCTTATCATGTTTTTCTTCGTAACTTAGATCCTGTTTCCCCTTCTTCGACTTCAAGACGGTATGCGTTTGTTAGGCAGATCAATAACAGTTTGGATGAGGTGAGATTGGGGTGGGTTTTGAGTATAAGTAGCTTATTTATTCTATCCCGACTTTTTTTGACGGTTGTGTTCGTGGTTTCGGGTCGCTTTTTTCTTCCATCCTTTTCTTTTTCGTGGCAAGCTCTTTTGGGTGACAGAATGGTTTGAAATGATCAGAGCACGTCGTAGAAATAAGTAGACCGTGGGTGGCGTGAGAATGTTCGGACACGAGTTTGGAAGGTCTTTCTCATTCTCCTCGTGTCTTCCGAACAGTGCACTACCCTTCAATATCATCGCACGACTGAAGAAATCGTATCTTGATTGAGTGAATTCCAGTCTCCGGATTGTACTCTATCCTAACTGACCAATCTTGCTACTTTTGTGCGGATTAACGACGTGCTGGAAGACTGTCACTGTTGTTTAGATAAAAGACTCACCATTGCAATCGTACATCCTGCTTGGTGTGTACTGCTATGCATGTAGCTAAACTCATCGATCTCACTAAGATTATCAGTATCATTTCTCAGCACAGATGAAGACCCTCCCACTCCCACTCGAAATCGCACAGACTGTTTTCGCCTCTTGTTTAGACGATGGCCCCTTTCATCCCAGAAAGGCACCGCTTCTCCTTACGATGGTTTGCCGTGAATGGCGACGCGTGGTTCTCTCCACTCCAACCCTGTGGAACGACCTCCATATTCCAGTTGTACCTAGTGCTCACATCATTCCGACGCTACGCGCATGGCTCGACTATTCGCGACCATTACCAGTGGACTATGCCGTCGATTTTCGCCACAGCTACATCTCGTTATCCTCTCAGAACAGCTACATGAAGATGATGTGCGCTCATGCACAACGATGGCGCAATGTCTACGTTGGTCTAAATTATGAGCAATCGATGGATACTCTTGCCCGTCTTCTCAAGCCCGGGTCGCTCCCCAACCTACGGGAAATCAGACTTCGACTCAAACCCGGTTATATCAGCGCCAATTTTGAAGAATTGGCTCAACATGCGAGCTGGGCATTGTTCACCGTAATCAACTCCTGTGAAGCCCTTCAAACACTCGCATGGGAGTGTAGCGCCATCGAATCCCTTGCGTCCCTCTCGAGTCGCTCGATACGGCATCTCTACATATCCTTGGAACTCGAGGATGCACGGCAGCCATTCCACGTATCCACCCTGGAGAGGTGCTTTTCTCAATGCCCGAGCCTGGTTTCGATCAATATCCGTCTTTCCCTTGCGGCGGAGGCTATAGTCATCTCCGATAGCGAGTCAAGCCCTCCATTGCTTGTATCGCACGTGTACACCCTCTCCGTCGTGACCTCAGACTTCAATGTCCTTGCGTCTTTACTTGTCAGGATACGGTTCTCCTGCGTCGAAAACCTCCACCTCTACGTTGGCACCGGCGGTGATGCGTCTCAACTCGCTCATCGTTTCCATACACTCTTCCTCGACAGCAGTTCCTCTTTGAAGAAGGTCGAACTCGATTCCGATGAAGTCATCAGTCATCCGCACCTCACATCTGCTCTCACTAGCCTTCCCAACCTTACCTCCCTCATTTTCCACAATATCTACAACCCCACCTTGCTCATCGGCCTCTTCAAAGCCCTCACCCTACGATTCTCACCGTCTGGACGACTACTTTCCTCGCAGAACGTCGCCCTCGAGCATATTTCGCTAGAGGTTTGTTATACTACAGTTTTAGATGCGTTCGAGATCAAACCGGAGACGGCCCAGCCAATGATTGAGGATTTTTTCGCCGTGTTAGTCAACCTTGTCCTCTCGCGGCGGAAACTGCCCGAGAATGCTGTCTCGTTCGAAGGGAGTGAGGTTCATCCCCTCGTAACCTTCGAGGTAGGGGAGTTCTTCGTCGATATCTACAAGCACAATTATGCGTCGATATGGCCGGAGAGATGGCCGATTATCGAACAAGGATGGAAAGACATGGATGGTATAGTGAAATTTCCTCCGTCAGAGGATGACTCTGAGTAGAAATCCGGTCGACATGTGTGTGTGTATCTTTCCTTCCTCCTTGAACCTCTTCCAACTTTTTCGGCCGCTTTCTGATATCTACTCTTATTACAGCTCAGGCTTGTGATTTGACGAAGGCTGAACGTAAGCCAAGGATCCGAGAGCCACGGTTTCACCCACGCCCTCATTCTTCCATCTGTTCATACGTTTTACGAAAATCACGTTCATCTCCAATATATCTTTCGAGCATCCGCCCATCGTGCACATCCAAGCAAACTTCCGTAATCTCACCTCCCTCGTCCTCCACGATATCGACGACACCTGTCCGCTGGACAACCTCTTCCCAGCGTTAACGCTCCATTTCCTCACCATCCAGACGACTTGTTTCGCCTCCGAATATCGCTCTGCGGCACTTATCGCTAAGCATACAAGAAGATATGCCAGGGGGCGAAGAAGAGTTCCGATAGTTCTTCTCGATCGTCATCCTCTCACGATACAAACTTCTGCGGAACGCCACGTCGTTCGAAGGCCACAGCATCCATCCGTTTAGATCTCTCGAAGTAGGAAGGTGGTTCATCGCTGTTTGCAAGCATCAGCAGCCGATTTCAACACAGGCATCTGTCTTGAAGGGGTGGGAGGATCTGGTAGAGATCGTGCACTTTGATGTGTACTTACCCTACGGTGAGCAATTTTGGTCGCGGTGTCGCCGGCCTAACCATGTCTCATCTACCGAGGCTCATTTCGTTCGAGGCGAAGTGGCACGCTGATTCATGTTCTCATGCGTTCCCGTATCGAGATTTTCTGTTTGACTGTGTCTTGGGCACCTGTTGATAATGCGCATGCACCATGTGGCGTTATCCCAAATGTGCCGGGTATTGCGGCGGCAGGGCAGCGCCCTTGCCGCCCTCCAACTCTAGAGCACCACTTCGCGTTTCCTAAATGATCTTGACGACGTTTCCTCAAGGGCTCTACGGGTCTGCGGGCGCCGTATGTTGGCACCCCTAGCATCAAAGGCCCAAGCCTTCTATGCAATGCTTGTACAATATGTAAAGGTGAGAAGTCAGGTCCGAATTGAAGCTTCACAAAGCTTTTGTCAAGCGTTGGCCCCAGTGCCATACTACGCTTTGTTCCTCCGCCCGCCGAGACAATTATCTCGTTCATATGAGGTTTGGGCATATCTTTGTACACAGCGATCGAAATTGCTGATCTCAGTGCCGGTAGATAAGCCTACGCCTTATCAGGCCGCCCGCTTTAGGAACAATGACATCTCTGCCAGACGGTTACCGACAAAGCTCTAGCTGAAAGTCATATAAAAGGTGGGCATGAGCGACTTCTTGGACCCATCCACCCCGTCTCACATCTCTATAATCCTTGTACTTCTCCCTCGCTTGCTTGCATACGCCATCCCAACCACAACATACGCACCCAACGACAATTTCTTCAATATGCCCCCCTTCCCTTTTCCGGCCGAAATCACTATCCGCGTTTTCGCACTTAGTCTACCCGAGGACGATGAACCGTTCAATCTCGCGCGGACACGCATGTCCCTTGTTCGGGTCTGCCGAGTGTGGCGAGAAATTGCTACAGGTACCCCTCAGCTCTGGACGAATATCAGTCTGCCTTTCGTATACGTGGGCCGCCGAGCGCTCAGGCTGAAACCTTCAACCTTGTACACCTGGCTCCTATGGTCGAGCCGTCAGCCCCTTACGATCTCTCTCGCTGTTCCGCCATATGACTCTGCACAGTTGGAAGAGGCATACGTACAAGTTATTACGGCGTTCTGCGGGTACTGGAAGAACGTCACGCTATTGCTAACCCACGGACAGGCAATGGAAGCTCTATGTGTCCATTTCGATCGCGCCCTCAAACTCAACAACTACCATAACGTCCTGCCCAAGCTTAGCCAGTTCGTGTTCGACCTCCGAGGCGGGTTCGGCGCGACAAACCCCTATGTTCACCGTGACTCCCGGAGTGTCCCAGTGTACGATGCGCTTTCCCGGTCTTCCAACTTGCAGACTCTTTCGGTCGCGAATTGGGGCGCTCTCGACACCACGACCCGCCCATCTCTAGCCCCACTCACATTTGCACCAACACTTCGCGCCCTCAAGATCGTACACGACTATCACGAGATGCCGCAGGCCTTACTTGGATATGATCTTGGGGGTCTTTTGGGGCTTGTAGGCGGATGTGAACGTCTGGAATCTCTCACCTTGGCATTTAGCAACGTCAACTTTGTAGGACACTCAGTCTTGCCTCTACCAAAGCTCAAATCGTTGCGAATTTTGGCGGCAGACGTTGATACCCTGGCCGCCTTGGCCTCTTCCTTCCACGTCCCCAACCTGACCACACTCTCCCTTGGGATTGAATCGAGGGAACACGAGGAAGGTGCCGCAGATATACTCGGTCCGCATTTTCTTCGCCTTTTGCAGGACTGTGCGCATACGCTACAAGACCTCACTCTTCACGTAGCAGGCCTTTTTGAGGAGGATGCAAACAAAAGGGCTCTTGCCAGTCTTCCGGTACTTTCTTCTTTAGTCGTGGGCCACATCTACTTCTTGGACGAGTGGGCCGAGATTTTCAGGCTCCTGAAATTCGACTTCAACAATCGAAAACCAACCTTCCCGGAGCAAAACCTCGTGCTGCAGCGCCTTGTCTTCGAACTCGACGTGGTCGATCCCATTCCAGCCGACGCATACCCAGAGGATATCGAAGATTTTCTGACTTCTTTGGCAGATATGGTACTCTCTCGTAGGGCAGAGGCTATTCCGCGGAATGCGATTTCGATCGTCCGTAAGCCCATCCGGCCATTATCAGTCGTAGGAATGGGAAGGACGCTCGTCGGCTTGTATACACGCTCAGAGCCTTATGCAGCGATGCCTGTCGTGGGGAAGGCGTGGAGATCGCTGAAGAGCTTTGTAGACTGCAAACTGTATGACTCGCTTGAATGGCAAGAATGAGTACGGAGTGGATGGTCATCGAAACGGTTATAGATATTGTTTATGCTTACTTACGATCCTCATGTCCTCTACTTGTTAGACGTACCGTTCCCTCGCCGATTATTTTCTGAAATAAACATGATTTTCAACGCGTATAAATTCTGAATACAATAAAATGTTAGGTTCTTCACTAATATATAAGGTCTACTCTCTGATCGTTGGGGGCCTTGCCAGAAGAGCGACGGCGCGCAGCGCCACCTGTCAGAAAGATTGGGAGAGGGAGGTGCGTGAGATATGTGCGAGGGAGGAGGGGAGCTATGTATTCTATCTAGCACGATACGCGTTTGATACGACATGCATTGCACATGGTCATATTCACAGCGAGAATCACGCCTGTGCAATGTCCATTGGAGAAAAAAATGGGTTTGTGTAATGCAGAAATGACTGGAATACACCTAACCTTCGTGAACGCACCTAACTCCCTTCGCCCCCGCACCTGCTCCTGCATCTGCCGCGTATTATTCCTATACGCCGCCGTCTCATCCTCATATGACCTCTCATTACCCAACCTCCTCAACTTCGGAAACTCCTCCGCCAAACCCTCCACCAACTCTGGTCTCATCTCCATCGACAGACTCAGCATCGTTCTGAAATCATGCAACTTCCGCCCGGGATCCAAGCGCGGCGTTACAACGCTTTACCATCCTATACTATCCGTTATCGTACGCCGTACTAGGGTTTGCCGATTGTCGATTTTCTGGAGTAATCGGTGACTGGGCCGATGGGGCGGAATGGAGGGTGCAAGGGGTGCAAGAGGGGAAGAGAAGGCGAGGAGGATGGAGGGGAGGTGCATGGAGTGGACGAAGGGGTAAGGAGTGGGATATCAAAGCGCGAAGATCTCGACGTTAGGGAATAATCTAGAAAGAATGGCTCATAAGCGTAGGATCTTATCGTCTGAGTCCGGATGCGGATGGGGGGTTGAGGTGGCGCGGCGTCTTACATAGCGTCGGAATCGCGTTCAAAAAGTTGCCAATTCCATTTTTGCTTTGTCAAGAGGGCGTATCGGTCAATGAGTCGCTGTTATTCTGAATCGTCTGGACACAAAGACTGTGTAGTTCCAGCACAAGCAACAATCTCAGATTCACGGTGGAGCCCTCGTTTTCCAGTCAGTGAGAACTTGCAATGATGTGACGGGAAGTCGAGAAAGATGAACGTGTTGGAGCGTTGGCCGTTCCCCGGGACCATGATACCATAGCAAGATACCGATACAGTAGTGACCGTCGAACGATCTCCGGAACTGTGAAAGTGGTCGCAGTGAAGTCGGAGTCAGCCTAGATACTCGAGATAAGTAGTATACGCACATTGCACAACGAAGAAATACGTGCGTTAGGGATGATTATTGCATAGTCAAGGTCGATGAGCCGTATGCTCCAGAGCATATTCCAGCGTATCTTGCTGTCGAAAAGGTGAACAAATAGCGTAGAGTTGTCCAGAATAGAGCTATGGTGATGAGAGTTCGATACGTCGCTCGGTGTGGCCCCTGATGTGGCGAGCAGCAAAATGATGCGTGTGTCACGGAACGTGAGCGTCCAATGAGGATACCCTAACATAGATCCGATCCAAAATCGTGGAATTTAGACCTTTTTGTCCGGTGACTTTTCGGTGCAAATTGTACGCTCCAGGTTCGTATACTACACTTTCGAAGTTTGGAGGGAGAGCAGAGAGCGTCGATCGTCTCTTCCGAATCTGGGTCAGGATGGGATGAGTCGGGTAAGAGTGCAATGCGACGGGAGGAATGATTTGGAATGAGGACGGAGCGCTAGAAACCTGACCAGGGACCGCGTCGTCGTCTTCAGATGGGCCAGTCGGGGGGCTGAGGATGGATTAGAGCGAAGCTGAGTTTGCGAAGGTTACGCATGTTCATCAAGGTTGTCAGATCATAAGGATTTTCTTCGAATCCTGTTGGACCAGTCCCACCACTATAACACAAAGGACACATATCACAAAACCCAAGCCTCACTAGCTCCAAACAGATCTCCAAGTGGATCAGAGTGGTCGCCGTCGCCGGTGTAGCACAGATCAGAGACCGTCTGTGTTCGAACCTTGGCCGTCCCCCGGGATGACGATACTATAGAAGTGTACCCAATATAGCAACCGTCGACAAACGGCATCCTAAGCTGTGAACACAGTCGCAGGGCAGACTATCAGCGAGGTAACCCAGATACGTGCACGACGAAGAAAATCGCGCGCCAGGGATAATTCTTACATTCGGTTGAAGACCCAGGCGATGGGTCGTTTGCCAGAGAAAATGAACCGGTGTATCCTGCTGTCAGAGAGGTGCCTAGGTAGTGTAGAGCCGTCCAAAGTAGAGCTATGGCGATGGGAGTCCTCGACGTCGTTCGTTGTGGCTCCGATGTGGCCTGATGTGGCGAGCAGGAAGATGACGCGTGGGTCACGGAACGTGAGGATTTCGCGACGCGTCGTGTCACGCCGCTATCTTGTCACTCTTTCTCCTGAGTCGTCTTCGCCATTGCTGTCGTCGTCGCCGTTGTCTTCCAGCTCATTTTCTGCTTCATTATCTGGAAAAATGGAACGACCAGCGAAACGCCAGCGCACGGACTCAGATTTGGATATACAGCCAGATATACAATCACTCGACCCTAGTCAGCCGCCACCGTCGCGTACATCATCATCATCGTCCCGTCCGACCAAGCCAGCCTCGAGCTCAAGCACACAACAACTAGCACCTCTCCCCGCTCCACACCTCCTCATATCTCTCCCTTCCCTGCTCATGCATCCCCCAACACACCCTTTACACCCCACCTCACTCATGCTCTCCCTCACATCCGTCAAGAAACTGCTTTCCGCTTCCCCACAATCCTCTTCAGCTTCGTTGAATCCGGACGTGGAGTGTCGTGCGTGGGTATCGTGGGCCGAGATTGGGATGTGTGTGATCGATGGGGGGTGGCATGAAGTGGAGGAGTGTAGGGAGTGGGCCGGGGGCATCGTTGGTGAGGTATGTCTCTTCGTGGTGTCTAAGTTGTGCGTAGATGGTTGCTCACTATGTGGTGCAGGTTCAGACTGCTATTAGCCAAGGCGTAAGTGCGATTATATACTGTCCGTTGTTCGTCCCTCTAACGCATACACTCGCCGTAGTTACTCATAGCGCAGAAGGTCGGGCACATTCTCTGCATTTATACCAAATGATTTTCTTACAATTGTAGCGCTATAGAACGCTTCGTTGCGACTATATAAGCACCACCTAAACCTGCTCCACGCCCGTCTCTCGCTCTGGCAACACAACCACAAATTCGCACGCACCATTCTCCGCCGTCTCCTTTCCTCCTTCACTCCTATAGACCCTCCCTCGCTCATCTACATCACCCACCTAACCCTCATTCATCACCTCCTCGCCGCTCCCTCCTCCCCATCTCCTTCATCCGCACCATCGTCACCCTCCAACCCTCTACCCCAAGATATCCAAGCCGCTCTCGACGTATCTCAAGAACTCGAAGCTCTGGCGTTGAAGAACGGACACGTCCACGTCGTCCTTCTCGTTCGTGTTCTTAGACTCGGGACGCTCGTTTCATGTGGTCTATGGACCGAAGTCGCACGCGCCGTTTCCGAGACCGAAACCGCTCTCGGTCTATCTTACATTATCCCCTCCACCTCTCCTTCCGCCTCCGATCCCCCTCCCACCCATGGGACACCCAATGCAGGTAGCAAGCGAAAACGCGCCCCAGATTCGACTCAAGAATTCGTAGACTACGAAAACCCATTCGAGACGACGATGGCGATCCACACCCTCGTCTGGAGCATCACTTGGTTCCTCCACGTCGGCGACGCGGCCAACGTGTCCCCGCGGGTTTCCCATTTACATAGTTTTTTGGATTCGGGGGCGTTGGAGAGAGGGGGGAGGGAGGGGAGGGTCGAGGTGCGTTTATCTACCGTACCTTTCCTGAATCCATTCTTCTTACTTGCGCGGAGACGAGTGAATATATGCTGACGAGTGGATATATGCTAACATTACTTGGCTATTAATCGTGGCCACGAACGATAGATCGCCCTCCCCCCTGGCCCACCCCTCCTCATCCAAACAACCCACCCCCGCCTCTTCTTCTTTCTCTCTTTCCTGCTCTCGGCGGTCTCGAAGCGCGACGTCGTGGGACGGAAACCGAAGAGGAGGGTGTTTGCGAGTGAGGGGTTGAGGTTGCTTGAGTTGGATGAACGGAGGGGTAGGGCTGGGGGAGAAGGAGGAGAGAGTGGGGCACCGGATATGTTGCGTAAGTAGTATTTCTAAGTGGTGGGGTTAACGCATATATTGACCTTTTGCTTCTCTTTTCGTCTATTTCATCGCTCTTATGCTCATACTGTGTGGATATATGCGTTCGTACCCGGATATATGCGCCCCGTGATGTACAGTCCCGCCGTGGGCGTCATACGGCGAATTACACGAGGTAGAACAGAGATTGGCGAGGGTGAAGGCGGATCTGATCTCGGAGTTGGTCGCTGTGCGTGTTTTCTCTTTCTTCTCCTGTTTCTCTTTTCGTTTCCTCTGGTTCTCGTTTCCCATATTCGGTTTCGGTTTCTTCTCTTCTCGTTGGGTGTTCACTGTTTCCCCGCTCTTCTCTACACTTTCTGTCACACCCAATACCTGGATATATGCGTTTACCTGGATGAATGCGTGTAACTGACGGACACTATATGCACCGTATCGCATTGACAGGTCGCAATCATGCGTTCCGAGTTCGACGTCGCTCAGCAGGTACGTCTTACGATCCTGCGTCGCTGGTCTGGCTATTTTTGTTGGACGGATCGCTGACAATATTTTACTTTGTTCCTCCCTGCCCCAAACAGCACCTCACATCCCTCCTCACCCACACCCTCAACTTCTCCCTTTTCCCCTCCTACGCAGCCCGCATAACGCTCCATCATGCCCATCTCTATCATGGGCTGTTACAGTGGAAGGAGGCGGTGAGGTGTTATAAAGTTGCGGGGTGGGTCGCTAGGAGGGGTGGGGCGAGCGTTGGTAGTGCGATGGAGGGAGACGCGGGTGAGCGAGAGGATGGGGGAAGAGGGGGAGGGGGAGGGGGAGGGGGAGGAGACACCGAAGAGGAGGGGAAAGGGAAGAGAGGTAGAGGAGGCGGAGAAAGAGAATGTGGCGAATCGAAGTCGGAAAGGCAAGGAGAAAGAGAAGGGCAAAACCAAGGCCAAGCTAACTTCGAAGCAGAAGGATGAGCCCGAGCATGTGATGACGGAGGGAGAAAGATTCGTTTATGCGTCTGCGAGCGCGGGGGAAGTCTTATTGAGGATCGGGATCCGAGCGAAAGCGATAGCTAGAGCGCGTGCTCGACAACGCGAGAGGGATCGGAAAGGTAAGGGGCGGGCACGGGGGAGAAGCGAGATGACGGAGTCCGAGTTCGAGTCGGAGATGGGATATAGCGAGAGCAGCGATTATCCGCCCTCATCCCATTTCGACGAATCCGAATCCGAAGACGAGTTGGAAGGAGAAGGCGATGGAGGCAGAGGGCAGGAGGTCGACGACCTCGCGGCCGAGATATCCGACGAAGAGCTGGCAGAGATGGGCAAGGAGGCGGCGGAGGCGTGTAGAGGGCTGGGCGGGACGCTGGAGGCTGTGGGACATTTGGTGCTTGCGTGTTTGTGTGGGACGAGGGAGATTATTGGGGCGAAGTGAGTTCCTGAGGTTTTTCCATCATGTTATCATTCGTTCCTTGCGTTGTTCAATCCAATCTGACATTCATTTCCTCCCCTCACAACAGAGCTCACCTCAAAGCCGCCCTTTCCCTCGCCACCAAAGCACAAGACAACCACCTCCGCGCGCTCATCCTCGCCCTCGTATCGGCGCATTATCTGCATACGGCAAGCGAGCACGCGCAGGTCATGTTGAGGACTTGTGAGCAGCTCGCGGCGGGGTTGGGCGCGGTCGCGAAGGCTACGGCGAAGGGGGCGGGGAAGCCGGTTTCGAAGGGGAAGCCAGTGTCGCAAGGGAAGCCGGTCAGCGGCACAGGGAGGGCGGAGGGACAGGGTGCGAATGCGAGCGGAGGTGCGGCGTCTGGCGGCTCGAGTGCGGGCGTGAATGTGGGAGTGGGGCATGCGCCATTACGACTCTGGGTTGGTGAGAGGTTCGTGGAGTTGTTTAGGAGGGAGGGAGACGAAGAGAGAGCGAGGAAGAGGGAGGGGGTAAATGCGGAGTTGGGGAGGGTTGTGGAAGGGATTGAGCGGTGGGGGAGGGAGGTAGTTGATGGGGCTTCGAACAGATCATGACGGTTGGTGGTAGTGGTGATGCGTGATTTTCTTTTGCTGTGTTTACTGATTTGTTTTTCTTCTTGTTGTGATCATTGCCGTGTTCTCATCGTTTCTTTCTGTCCGCTCATTTCGCTTTCTCCCCTGTATAGGATCGTCTGCATGCTCATTTTTTTCAGGTCTCCACTTCAACGCATGAATTATCATGTGCTCAATTTTGTCCCCGGTTGTGTGTTTATCTTGTCGCGGGCTACGTCTGGTCTGAAGGCCATTTAGATCTTGTAATAAGGCGCCATGCGATTTCAGATCGGACCTAGGTTAGGGCATGCCACCCTCCTCGAAATCCTCACGTTTCGTGACACGCGTCGTCTTGCTGCTCTCCACATTGGAGGCCACACCGAGCGAGGCCTCGGACTCGCATCACAGTACCATCTATATAGCTCTATTCCAGACGGCGCCACGCTACATATTCAAGCAAGATATACTAGCATATGTTCTGGGGCAGACGGTCCATCCGATCCTGCCAGCGGGTCTTCAAGTGAACGCAATAATTATCTCTTGATTATCCCTAGCGTGCATACATATATCTAAGTTGATTCACCGGTAGATTGCCCTGCGACTGTCTTCACAGTTCCGGAGGTCGTTCGTCGACGGTCGCTATATCGGTAAGTTTCTACAGTATCGTGCTCCCGGGGGACGGCCAAGGTTCGAACATAAACTGATGTGCCAAATCTGGCTTAGTTCTTCTTTCTCAGCATCAATTCCCGTTGGCCGGAAAACGAGGAATCCACCGTGACTCCGAGCTTGTACTGGAACTATACAGTCTTCGCGTACAATGCCTAGCAGCGATCCGTCGCCCCACAATGCACGATTAGCACACCCTCCTGACGATAATGGCAACTCTTTGAATGCTGCCATGCAGACGCCGATCTCGACGACTACGAGGCCGCGCCACCTCAATCCCGACATCGAGCGTCTAATTCTCGAATGTCGTCTGTCCAGCCTGGCGACGCAGGACACGGAAGCCTCAGAGCTGGCTCTGATATGCAGATATTTTCACGAGATCGTTTCGACGTGGCGTTGGAGATACGTTCAGTGGCCTCGATATGTCGATATCGTTGGAAGGAAGAGCGTGAAGACCACTAGTAAGGGGGGGATGGTGGTTTGTAAGATTGTTCCGACGAGTGTGGCGCCGTTCGTCAGGTAGGCTTTGTGTCCTGTCATAAGTATTCGATCAAGTTAATGGAAGCATGTTGCTGTTACTGTAGGCACCTCTATATAGCATGCCATCTGGCCAGAGCCCTGAACTGGAGAGACCTCCTTCCTCTCATCTGTCAACTATCAAGTCTCACGACCGTAACATTCGACCTCGTCGTCCCTTCTCCGTCCTACATAATATCCGCCCTGCTTTCCACTCCTACATTATCCACCTTAGAACTCATATCCATGCCTCTCACCATGAAACCACCACCTGTCTTCCATTCGTCCGCCGCAAACCTCCAGCGTCTCGTCCTCACCCGTCCCGTCCCGTGGACATCCATCGACCACTGCAGTCCAGTGTTGGACCCAACATTATACTTACCGCACTATCATTCCCAACCCGCTAATTTCAAGGCGAAGCTCCGAGTTTCGGAGTTACTATACGACGAGGACACGGCGGAGGACTTCGTGCGGTCTCTGCTTTGTGCTACACCAGCGACGAGTCTGAGCATGAGATTGCTGATGCATTTGGAGGTCGACCTGGAGCTGGTGAGGTTTGAGGAGCTGGGGAGGCAGGAGTTTCCGAGGCTTGAGAGGCTTGTGTTTTGTGGGATGTGTCCTTCGGGTTCTGGTAGCGGGACTGGTACAACAGGATTCGGCGAGAATCCGTATGATCTCACAAACTTGCTGAACATGCCTAACCTTCGCGAACTCAGCTTCGCTCTCATCCATCCTCAACCCCCGTCTGGCGTATCTGACGATGTCCCGTCTCAAGCCACCAGCAGTCCATTCTCATTCCAAGTCGTCCCACCCGTCGCAATCCCACTCTCACCCGACTCGTTACATCCGCACCCAGATTCAGAAGAGACGATCGTCCGAGTGCGAAGAACGCTCTCCGCACTCTTTCCAAACCTCGAAATCTTCGCGCTTTCGAACCCCGATCCCAGCGACCTCATCTTCCACACCCTCCCACCTTCCGTCCACTCCATCCACCTCTCCACCATCCTCCTCGCCTTCTCTTCCCCTCTTCCCCCCTCACACCCTCTATTCCGCCGCGTCGGGCCAGTCACCGGTGGCTCCAGAACTACCGAGGACGAAGTACCGCGCATAGACGGTAATGGTCTCCGGAAGATCGTCGCAGCTCTGCGCTCACATCCCGAGCGGAAGTTGTATGATTTTAGAGCGATGTTGAGTGTGGAGATGAGGCCGGAGTTGTTGGAGTGTTTGGCGGAGGCGTTTCCCGAGTTGAGGAGGTTGGAGGTTAAGAGGTCGTTTGAGGATGCGCCGGTGAGGTATAGTACGCGGCAGATGCAGATGCGGGGGCAGAGCGAGTTGGATGCGTTCACGGAGGTGAGGGTGCTTTCGTATTCGCGGGTGTGATGCTCACTTTGGACTTGATCCTTATTGTCTATTGTGCTGAACGTGTATCGTGCTAGATGGAATACATAGCTCCTCTTCTCCCTCTCACGCATCTCACACACCTCCGTCTCCCAATCTTTACCCATTCCCTACCCGTCATTCAGTCCGCCACCAAGCCCCGTCCAGAAGCCTCACTCGCGTCCGAAAAGCTCGCCGTGATATCGATGCTATCTCACCTCAGTCCCTCAATCAAACTCCTAGGCTTCTACCGCCAGTTCACTTATCCGCACGTCGAGGAGTATGGGAATAGAAGTATGAGGACCGAGGATGTTCCAGGGTGGTCCGATTGGGTCGTTACGAGGGATTTGAACGTCGAGGAGGAGGAGGATGGTCTAGTCGATCAGGATCGAAAACGGAGACAGGGCGAGGTGAAGGAGGTGAGACCGGTGTGGCCGAAGTCGAGACAGGTTCCTGTGAAGAAGACTTGGCTGAAGATGTTCGATACGAGGAGTTTGTATTGATTGCTTTTTATCTGTTCGGCGATACTGCATCCAAAGAAACGGAATGATGAGACGCGGAAGGGTTGAATATCAGCAGATTGTGAAATGGGCTAGAAACGAAGGTGATAGAAAAACGAGTCGATGGAGAGAAAGACAAAGGGGATGGGAGGATCATGTGGAGGTGTGGATTTGAAAGAAGTCGGATAGTAGATGTAAGGTCCAACTATGTCACTAGTCGTAACAGGAGAATGCCCCTTAATGATCTCGCCGTCCCGTCTCTTGCTCGGGCCGCACGATCATGGCCGAAGGTTACTGCAACATCAGCCCTTTTTGAGCAGAAGTAGATTGTAACTATGGGGTGGGGTAGAGACTCAGAGGGGGTAGGGAACCTTGAAGGGTGGCGATTATAGACGATGAAGATAGAGAGCAAGTGAAGGGGGGTTATAATCGATCGTTCGAATCAGGCGATAGCGAGTAATATCGAGGTTGGCTATGATCTGAGATGTGAGAGGGTAGGGGCGTGCTTAGTAGAGCCACATATCCTGGAGGGACGAGATAGAAGGGATTAGCGTGCAAACTACGAAGGATAGATACATGGTATGACGAACATGGTTGCACAACTACAACCCTACGGTTGCAGAATGCTGATCATCCCCTCTACGGCCTTCCAGCCTTGTGCGACGGATGGCCATGTCGAAGGATACTGATGCTGGTAAAGATCGACGAAATGTTGTCCCACGTCGAAGGTGGTAAGAGGTTCGACCTCGTGTCCATCAAACGACAAGGCGTTGCGCGGAAGCTTCCAACGCGAGACTATGAGGCTGACCGTCGCGGCGAAGAAGTCCTCTAATTCTTGATGCGCGACCTCCGATCGGATGTTCATTGCATCTTGAACGGTATGGTGGTCGATTTCCAATGATATGTGACGTAGGCAAACATTCTGTGTTGAGATGAGTCGCCCAGACGGCGAGAAGCGAAGTGCCAGGGCCTTGAAAAGGTTGGTGAGCACGCCAGGGTAGTATATGTCGTGAAGGAACAGAGATGTCAGGTTCGGAAGGCCTGAGAGCGCAGGGGTGGTATGGGGGTGACGAAGGACTTGGTCGGAGACGAGTTCGATCTTCCGCAGCGAGGTACTGCAACTGGCTAAAAAATCATGGAGGTGGGTGGCGAAGTCCGCGGAATCAGCGTCACTGACGACATAAATATACAGCTCTTCTAGACGGGGAATCTGAATTCTGGCGAGTAGTGATGCCAGGACGCTGAAGTTAGCCGTGGTAAGGCTGAGTTCACGAAGGTGTGGGATGACCAGCGGAGTCCCTGCATCGCGGTCGTAGGTAATGGAGTCCTCGTCGACGTAAGGAAGGTACATCTCGAGCGAGGAAAGGTTTGGACATTGCGAAAAGCAACGCTCGAGCGTAGATACGTTGAATGGCCGCCTGACGTTCTCGAGATAGATGTCTATGCGGAGACAGCGGATTGAGTGACTCGAGAGTTGTGAAAGCGCCTCGACGGCACCCCTTTCCTCCCACGAAACAGTGTGCAGGGCTGGACAAGAGTTGTATAGAGCTATCAACGACCAATTTGGGTGCCGATCGGACTCCCCAAAATCTGTACTGAACTCGTCCCAGCCAGGTCTCAGCTGTATTTCTTGCAGCATGGAGAGTGTACCAGGAGAAAGAAGGCGAGCAAATGTGCTCATAGATTGCTCGTAACGCAACTTGATGATCGCTTTGCGCCACCTACTTGCATGAGTGCACAGGACTTTCGAGTAGCTGTTCTGGGTGTATAATAAAATGGGGTGGCTCGAAAAGTCCACCTCGAAATCGATAGGCAGAGTTTTCGAGGAGTCGAGCCACCCCCGTAGGGCAGGGATAACTGACACATTGTCTGTGACGGGCACACGGAGGGTGCTCCAGAGAGATGGTGTGGCAAGTGTCACACTCCGCCATTCGGCACATATCTGTGTGAGGAGTAGTGGTGCCCTACTGGGATGAAGAAGGCGTGTGTCTAGGCTAAAGGCGAATATGGTCTGCATGACCTCAAGAGGGAGAGGAAGGGTTTCCATTTCGAACGGCACGCTGACTTTAAACACAAAGTACCAGTGAATATGAAGCTTTCCGATAAGTTCTGACAGTTACGATAATCAGGAACAGTAATACGGACCAAGAAGGTTCTCTGCACCACTAGATCTGCCGTTTTGAAGGGCGGTGAACGTCCTGGATGAAACAACACTACATGGTGGAGGTTGAACGTTGAGTTCTGACAGCGCGATAACAGGTCACAACCTCCACTCACCGGTGAAGGTATCCTTGAAGATTCACACGACGATGACACGATCGATGGTCAAGAAGATTTTGTACCAAGGTAGATGATGTTCAAGGCCGCGATGAAGCAGTAGCGCGCGGGCCACTGCAGGCGGCGAGATCACACGACGCGCGTCAGAGTTCGGGTGGCGTGTGGCACCAAGAAGTCTGCAACCATACCATCATACGCCCAAAATGCACAGTCAGGAGGTGCAGAACCAGTCATCATCAGATACATGAGCGGAGAACGTATGTACAAAGTTCTTTACTGTCTAAAAAGATCGTAGTCGTAGAGAGCCTCGTAAATATCGAAGTCCACAAAATCAGACATGGAATCCCATGCCTCTCGGACACTGCGCCATTCAAGAGAACCGTAGTCCTGTGTATACGCCTCCACAATTTGGGTACCCAGTCCGAACGTCGACAGTGGCCGTACCTGCCTGCTGGTGATTTGCTCAGCGCTAGCATTGCCCGCAATAATGTGAGCACGCCGGGACCAGACCATCCTTGCCAACGAAGCCAAAAATTCCTTCTGTGCCAAAAATTCTCCTGTACCCTCGAGCAACTTTGCGTCAAACTCCACTCCTGGGTCTATCTCGAACACGAACCGCTCCAAGACAGGGTTCGGTGATTGTACTGTTTGGCAGTTGCTGGTGAAGTCAAAAGTGAGGGATTTGAAGAGTTCGCTCCATTCCCAGAGATCGTACGCGTGGCCGATGACCAAGGAGGAGAGCTTCGAGAGGTTAATTATAGCTTCGTGGGCGTCCGCACTGCCGAAGATAAAGCCAACGTGGAGGGTGAGGTGTGTTAGCGTGTCCGCGCAGGAGTCAAGGAATTCGAGGAATGTGGGACCAAATGTTTGAGCGGCATTTTCGTCGTCATAGGAGTCGCCACGGAGGGCGAACGAGAGTGATGTCAAGTTGGGTGCATCGAAAAGGTCGGTGAGACCGGCGAGGGTTGTGTAATCTTCGGCGCTCAGCTTCAGTTCTGTGAGGGAGGGGAGCTCAACCGCAGTAAAGGAAGGTGGCCATTGGAAAAGCTGTACCGAAGGGAATCCCAGTGTTAAAGAAACGAGGTTCGTGCAGCTTTGTACAAATCCGATAAGATTCGTAGGGTTGAACAAAGGAATCTGGGTGGGATAGTCGCAGATGAGGGTAAAGTGGCGGAGAGTCGGAAGGAAGAGGGGAGAATGGGGTGGACTCGGAGGTACGACGATGCTGTCCCAGCTCGCCAGAGAAAGTGTATGGAGATAGGGAGACATGAGCAATGCATTGTGGACGGCGGCGCTCCAGCTCGTCTGGGGATCGGGAGGCGCCCGCGCTCCGGGGCTAAGGTCGAGCTCGAAGGACCTGAGCACGGGGAACGTGTTGTTGCGTCTGAGCCAACTATTCAGGTGAGCTCCCAGGACGGCCGCTGACTCCTCATGGAGGAGCTGAATTTTCGCCCTCCTCCATCGTCCACAGTGCTGAGACAAGAGGTGAACGTATTCGGCCTCCATCCGTCGGGAGCGTGTGTTCGTATAGCGTCCAGCGCCAGGAGTGATTGTGAAAGAGATCGTGAGTGGGAATGACCCGGACCATGCGAGCCATTTTTGTACAGTTGAAAGAAGAGGTAACCCGCCGCCGCCGGACTGAAGTTGAATGTTCGTCCATAGTTGAGGAGTTGCTGTGGCGACCGCTCGCCACTCTTGACACACATGGGCTAGAGCCAAGGATGTTTGCGCGGGATGGAACGACTCGGTGCCGTCCTGAAGAGCGACTAAGAAGATGTAAGATGTGATCTCGAACGGAAAGGGGAGTGACATTCTGCAGGCAGAGGATACAGATGCTGGTCGCGTGGCGTATGCACCGCTAAGATGAACTATAGACTCATAAGTTAGAATAGAAGACGAGATGCACTATGGGCAGACACGTACGGATTGTTACGAACGGAGTTGATAGGGAGTAGGCAGTTGTTGTAGCTTGTTGTATTTATATCTTTATGCATGAAGGCGTCTAAAAAAAAGGAAAACTTGCTCCAACAAGCATACATACCCTGCGTCGCCAAGTCGACAATAAACAATGCGATACAGTTTGCCATTGTTTTACATTGCTACCCGTTCGAGAAGACATTGTTGCTTTTTCAAACATGAAATGGATTTGTAAAACTTTTGTGCCCAAATCAGGACTCCTGTAACCAAGTGGGGCGCTGTGTGCAAGGTGGGTACAAAACCTTCCGCATGCAGATACAAAGCATTGAACGAGTCAGAGTTTTGTTGTGTTGTGCGATGTGTATGATGGACAAATAAAATGTATCATTTCGTTGGGATGGGACGAATCAAGATACAACGCCACTGCATGCCCAAGCTAAGGGTTTGAACGGGACAACAGTGACCAGAAAAGAGCTAGGAGCGGCATTGCCTTGTAGCAGGAGATTCGCAGCTAGGAGCATCCGAGGAAGCATTTTGAGCTAGAAGTTCGACCAAGATAATCATGAAGCTGATGACGCACAAGATATGGCTATTTCTATCCATATGGCCAAGAGGAATCAGCATAAGACAGAGGGACTGGAAGAAAGTGTCAAAGCGCAGTGGACGAAAAAAGCCGGAAACTCCCGGGAAAGCACGCTTCTTTTTGGAACTTGGAGCCAGCCTCCCGGCCGCACGTCTTCCGAGGAGGGCATGTTTGATCTTCAAGTTATGACCGGTTTGCCCTGAAATCCTGTCGCTGGCAGTCTGACAATTTTGAGACGGTAAGTTATCCACGATAAAACCTATCTTTATTTCTGAACAACAATTGGCGAGGAAACAGTACGTTTAAGAAGTAGAGGACATGAGGATCGTAAGTAAGCATAAACAACATCTATGATCGTTCCGATAACCATCCACTCTGTACTCATTCTTTCCAATTAATCGAGTCGTACAGTTCGCGGTCTACAAAGCTCTCCAGTGATCTCCACGCCTTCCTCACGACGGGCATATCTGCAAAAGGCACTGAGCGTGTATACAAGCCGACGAGATTCCTTCCAATCCCTACGACTGACAACGGCCGGACGGGGCTACGGTCGATCGCCATTGCGTGTCCCTGGGCAGCCTTCGGCCTGCGAGAGTGGACCATATCTGCCAAACCAATCAGAAAACGTTTGACATCATCTGGTTCCGCGTCGTTCAAGGGACTGATCGTGGTGATTTCGAACACAAGGCGCTCCAGCACGAGGTTCTGCTCTGGGAAGGATGGTTTTTGATCGTCGAAGTTGAATGTCAAGAACTTGAAAATCTCTGCCCAGTCGTCTAAGAAGTAGGCGCGGCCGATGACCAGAGAAGAGAGTACCGGAAGACGGGCAAGAGCCTTTCTGTATGCGACCTCCTCGAAAAGGCCGGATACGTGAAGGGTGAGGTCTTGTAGCGTATGCGCAGAGTCCTGCAAAAGACGAAGGAAATGAGGACCAAGTATGTCTGAGGCACCGGTCTCGATTCCACCATCAATACCGAGAGAGAGAACGGTCAGGTTGGGGACGCGGAAGGCAGAGGCGAGAGTGGCCAGGGTATCGATGTCTTCTGCCGCAATTCGCAACGATCGGAGCTTCGGTAGATCTAAGGGCGGTTTCGGAGGTGAATGTTGTACAATGTTCATAGTGCTAAACCGCAAGGTGAGAGATGCCAGATTATCACATACGCCAACGAACCCTGAAAGACCCTCAAGATGATATGCAGGTAAGGCCTGCTGCGACTTGCGATAGTCCTGTACGATCTTGAGGATGCGAAGTCTTGGTGCAAATGTGAGTTGGGCGCGAGATGGGGGAGTCGTGATGTCGAAAGTGCCCCAATTCGCGACCGTAAGAGCCTGCAAATTGGAAGATCGGCAAAGCGCGTTGTACAGTGGGACACTCCAGGGGACACGGTAAACAAGGGGGTTTGTCGCGCCGAACCCTCCTCGGAGGTCGAACGTGAACTGGCTAAGGTTGGGCAGCACGTTACGAAGGTTGTCACGGTTGGGTGCGAGCGCGTGCTGGAAATGGGAACCCAGAGCTTCCGCTGCCGGTCTGTGGGCCAATGATAGTCTGACGCTCCTCCAGTACTCATAGAACGCCGTGATGACTTGTATGTATACCAATTCCAGCTGCCAAGGGAGATCATGTGGAAAAGCAAGAGTGATCGTAAGGGGCTGTCGGTTCGACCATAGTAGCCAAGTGTTCAAGGTTGAAGGTTCCAGCCTTAGCGCTCGGCGGCCCACGTATGCGAAAGGCAGACTGATGTTCGTCCAGAGCTGAGGGGTACCTGTAGCAATTTCTCGCCACTGTCGGCAGACCCGAACAAGGGACATGCGTGTCTGCGCGAGATTGGTTGGTTTATCGTCCTCGGGCAGGCTAAGTGCGAAGATGCGGACAGTGATTTCGGTTGGAAAAGGAAAGGGGGGCATATTGAAGAATCTGTCGTTGGGTGCGTATGCTACAGTCGGGATGGCGTATACAAGCAGGGGTGTGCGACGTGGTGGATGGGTCCAAGAGGTCGCACACGTCCACCTTTTATATATCTGGCAGAGGTGGCGTTGTTCCTAAAGTGGGCGGCGCTGACAACGGGTAGGCTTATCTACCGGCACTGAGATCAGCGACTTCGATCGCTATATACAAAGATATGCCCAAATCTCATATAAACAAGACGATTGTTTCGGCGGGCGGAGGAACAAAGCGCAGTATGGCACTGGGGCCAACGCTCGATAAAAGCTTTGTGAAGCTGCCAACGACCGTGCACCTCATCTTTACGTATTGCATAAAAAGCTTGGGCCTATTGCTAGGGGTGCCAACATACGGCACCCTATGAACCCGTAGAGCCCTGGAAGAAACGTTGTCATGATCGTCTAGGAAATCTCAAGGGGTGCTCTAGAGTTCGAGGGCGGGCGTTGCCCTGCCGCAATACCCGGCGAATGAACGCCAATGCACACGCATAATCAGAAGGTGTACAAAACACAAGTGAAGAATTTCAATACGAGGGACGAGAATATGAATAAGCGCGGTAGATGAGAGACATGGTTAGGCCGGCGAACGTCGTAGTACTGGATACATAGCACCTAGTGAAATATTGTAACAAAGTCGAGGTGATCAGCAAATCGAAGCGATCAGGTCAAGAGTCACCTACCGACAACCACAATGCTGCGATATTGTAAGAACTATCCACTAGCTCATCCCTGATGCTCCATCCACCAACTCCGCGATGATATCTCGACTATCCGCAACGTACGCTAACTTTCCCGACCATTTGACTTTGTACAGCTCCGGAAGACCTTCGAACACGAATGATGAAAGGCGATGAACCTTTTCCCCATCACTGGTCGTCGCTTCGGCAGCAAAATCTCGCCGCGAGCGAACGAGATCGATCACTGACTCGAAGAACTCTCGATAGAGAGGGGAACCTTGAGCGACGCGCATTGCGGCGGCATCGCGTGAGTCGTAAGACGCCAACAGTAAGTGTTGTAATACGACGTTTTGTGGCGACGAGTCGTGGCTGAGGTCGAGGATGAAGGAACGGAGGACAGGTGTGAGATACGGGGAAAAATACCGCAATCCGCGTATGGACAGGGACTGAAGAGCGTAGAGATGAGAGAAAGACGATCGAACACAGGGGTACTCGAACATATAATCCCAGGTGACATCTATATGGACCTTCCGGAGTGTGCGAGAACAGTTGGAGAAAAGTTCCGCTAACCAGTCCGCGGCAGGACCGTAGAAGGCGTTGTCTCCCGTTGTGATATAAAACTCTTCTAAGGACGTCGGTACTGAGAATGACAGGAAAACTTCGCAGAAGAGATCGAAATAACCGAGGGTCATCTTCAGGATACGAAGGTGCGGCAGGGCGAACGTTTGAGAGGTATGGGTTGGACGGGCCATGTATGTAAACGGTAGGTCGAGCTCTAACGATTCGAGCATCGTGCAGTTGGACATACACTGGACGAAGGTTGGTATCCGAAGTGGAGAAGCTCTGTCGCAGTGGAACGACAGGCAGAGATGACGAAGGGAGAGACTCGGTGAGAGCCGTAAGGAGAGAACTTGAGCCCAGCCAGTGAGAGAGAGAGACGTCAATCGTTGGCAGCCAGCGAGGCTCTCAAGAATATGCAGAGAGTCGTCGCTGTCAATGTCTCGGTTGTCGTTGCGATGAAAGCCTAGTGCCAGCTTCTTGAGAATGGGGCTATAAGAAGGGGAAAGGAAGTAGGAGATATCGCGGAGAGCACTTGAATGAAAAGGCCGCAGCTGTAGAGTCGACCATCGAGTGGCTTCGCCACATATAGCCTGTATGCATACATTCTGTGAGATAGAATGATTGCCGTTGGGTTTGGCGATGTCGACGTCGATAGTGAGCGGTAAAGTCTGAGAGAGGGAGAGCCACTGCTGAAGCGCAGAAACGATGGAGGGGTGATCGAAAGTCGACAGACGCAAGGTTGTCCATAAGTGCGGTGTCGCTAACGCTAGACCTCGCCACTCTCGACAGACACGCGTCAGCAATATAGGCGCATCGTCGGGATGTAAAGGCGTTGGAGGGGTAGGCAAGCAGAGTAGGAAGATATCCGTAAGTATCTCTACGGGAGGTGTCTTCATGTTCCCTTTTTTTTTTGTGGATCCGCCGACCGTACTCCTGTGATACAACGGAAACAGTAAGCGTATGTATAAACTGTATTCCTCTCAAAAAAATAATTTTCCATCAAAGCTTACTGCTGAGTACGTAGAGTCTTGCTGCTTTCGAAGTGATCGAAGTCGCGCTGAATTATTGAACGTGAGCAACAAGACAGGTTCGACTTGGGTACGAAACCCTAACCCCTTTGTTCCCATAGCCTCCTGTGGCAATGCGTCTCGGACTAGTGTGGCCTTGACCGTTCACCGCCTTTTTGTTCTCTTCCACCTCTGTTATCACGACCTCGACGATCCAGCCACGCTCTTCATACTTCTCCCCGACTACAAGCAAACCCGAGACTTGTCATCTAGTCGATACATACCACCGCTTATCCTGGTCGAATAGCTAGCGTACTCGCCATCTACTCAAGTACTAGCGCTCAACACAGCAAGATCCACCCGACGAGCACCTTCTTCGTATATAACCAACGAATAGCGCCCTTTTAAGTACACAGGACATAACCCTCATTCATCCACCCATGGCGCCTCAAGGTGCGTATACACTCTCGATGTTTTCTTGGGATGCTCGAACTGACGCCACCGGTCTCCGTATGGTGACATGAACAGGCAGTCCACCTCCATATGCCTTTGTGCAGAGGATGTACAGGTCGAACCTGAGACCTGTAGTTCTTGTTTGTACGTATATCTCTTTATTGTCACCATCTTAACCCATTCTGGCTCTTTGCCCTAGACCCTTCATGTTCACGCACTTCACGCCACCACTCCTCTCTCTTCCTTCACGAGCATCTATCGTTGCTCTCTTTGCATTGTACGATATGAACTGGTACTGACGGAATGGTCACTATTCGCATTGCATTCTACAGGTACACTCGCGAGCGCAGTTTGGACCCTTGTATGGTGCGATAATTTCCTAATACCTCATCCCTGTGTAATGATTCTGATAATGATCCACGGATACAGGGCTGTACGTCTCCTTTACTGATCTCTTTCTCCTTCGGTGTTGGCGGGGTTCTTCGCCAATATGCGAACGGGAACCGAGCTGCTGAACTGATCATCGCTTGGTTGTGCGGTGTAGGTTGGACTGTTCAAGGAGATCAGTACGGATAAATCAAGTACGTGTTTTGTCTTTCGCGGACTATCTCTCGTAGATGATGGCGAGCTGCAGCTCGGGCGTAGAGGGCTGATGAATCGCTTTGGCCTTTTGTCTACTAAATCAGATGGAAACACGAGACTTTCTGACTTCGCGATTGCGCTGGGTGTGATGTATATTGTGACCACGTTATTCGAGTCGGTTGGTGTGGTCGGATCGGCCCTCGTACGTGTCTTTCGTGTCTCTATTCTACGAGATTACTCAACTGATGTTTCCAACCGTCAATGTAGCAACGCGCCCCAGTTGTTAGACTGTACACCTGGCTGTCAATCGGGAGTGGCTTGCTCGTCTTCGCAGCCGGACTTGTCCGGGTTATTGTACATTTCATGCTCAAGGTGCGTCTTCTCCGGTCTCTTGCTTTTTCGCTGAACTCAAAACTGTGCGCTGACGACAATGTTACGATGTACGGAACTACTTCTAGGACGAGCTGATCACTGAATGTACGACTCTTGCCACGAACGGGAGCGTTGACTTCCGCTGGGGAATCTGGGGCTCTGAGACGACGGAGCAACTTAGCCCGAGTCAGGCATCCACTTGTACGTCTCCTTCTTTCCTAATAAGCTATGCGAAGTCTGTGCCGGAATAATAGGCTGATGGTATCGTCGACGCTGTGTAGGGTGCAACAAGGCATGGAGCCACGATTCGTGGTCCGAGATCATTTCGCTCTTAATCGAAATCGGTACGTTCTCTGCGCTCTCTTCACAAGTATCTTCGTCTCACAGACTTCATGTGCCCTAACGCATGTAGTTCTCATGGCGTCCCTCTCCTTCCTCGCGTTCGGCTACTATTCCCAACTCGTCGACCCCACCTCTCCCGTCAACAACCCCCGCCGCCCGCAACCCAACGCCTTCAACCCCTCCGTTAACCCCTATTCCGGTAACACACCTTACAACGGAGGCTACTACGGCTACAACTCTTCCGCCAACCTCAACGCGAACGCCGGCGCTCCCGGTGGGTACAACCCCCCGTACCTCGGATATAGCGATCCCTCGCAGAACAGGAGAGGGAGTATGGAAGGTTTCGTTCCGCCCGCTGGTCCACCGCCAGGATGGAAGGGTTCCGACTCTGATGCCGAATTGATGGCACCGGGTAAGGATGTGGATGTGGACAAGGTACCGGCGTACGAGGCGGGCGGGTATGGGATCGGAGTGGGCGAGAGAGACGCGAAGATGTTTAGGGGTGATAGTGCGAGTGAGAGGACTGTAGTGGCGCATGGTGGGGATGGGGACGGGAAGGATTTGGCCGATGAAAATCCATTCGATGATTTTGAGAGTGGGAGGCAGGAGAGGGCGTTGAGGGAGCATGAGACGGGGAGGTCGCAGGGCCAGGGGAGGTTTTGAGGTCTGGAGGTTCGGTGTATTGAGATGGACTTTTCTTCTTCTTGATTTTTATGCTCTCTTTGCTCTGATTGATTGCAGATGCGGATGGACAGACGCGCTTTTGTCTTGGGTTTCGCTGGTTCGTTCCGTTTGTGATGAATTGTTGTACCTCTGCATGTATACTTTCTGCCCGTGTCTCGCTATGTGGTTTCTTGCTGGGCGGAAATATAATATAGCACACACCCTCCACTTATTCCGTTCATATTCGCTAAAGTCTTTCGGTCAAAAGTCACAAAGACGCTGCGATAGGGGAGAAGGGCGCCACCGCCACTTGACCAGGGAGCTTGCGGAGTTTGAATCATAGGTTCCAAGTTCTTGTGGTTCAGTGGCCTCATCGTTCCTCGAGCTCTCGCCCAACTCTCACCCATCCTCCAATGTTCCTGTCGAATGCGGTGCCTCCCTCTTTTTCTTGTTAACTCCAGCCTCTTGTGCTCTTTTCTCTGACGTACGCTTGGAACTGGTAACTGCGAGTCTCTGGAGCTTAGGCTACGAATTCTTGACTTATTTCTTCAGTCGCCGTAAGTACCCCACCCATGACGCGTCATTATCTCCAATTTCCCATCATTTCTCCACACCCCTTCGGGCTTCTATATCTCCTTGAACGTATGCTAGTCTTGGCGGCGCTCCACATCGCCCGCAAGCTCTCGAAACAGGTTGTCCCGCTGCTGCTTGTGGCAGCCTGGTTCCTCCCCGAGGACGATGATGTCACTTCCCTCCGCCTCGATTCGCTACGTCAGCCCCTGTAGAGCGGTTTGTCTGGTATAAAAGGCCCTCTGCTCGCGAGTGTTTCCATCCATCAACTTATACTCAATCACTCAAGTTAACCCAACCACCCACCACATAACTCATCTACAATGGACTCTTTCACGAACAACGCCGGCTCGCAGGGTTTGAACCAGGGTACCCAGGCTGGTAACACCACCAACAACCAGGAGGACTACGCCGACAAGGGTGCGTGATCTTTCCTTCTACCGCCTTGGACTCTCCCTCTTCGTCATCCATGACATTGTACTGAGATTCCTGTGCATCGTCTTAGGTCTTGACGCCTTCGAGAAGAAGGAGGGAATCCCTCAGAACAGGAACCTCAACGAGAAGGTCACTGACGGTGCTAGGGGATTATTCGAGAAAGCTACTGGGTTCGTATTTCTTAACTCCCTTTCACACCCTCCTCCACCCGTTGCACCAATATATCCTCCGTTGTTCATCGCGCACACCTCCGTTCTGTATCATGGCGATGATATGGATGCTAACGACGAAACTTTCTTTGGGATATTTAGCAAGGACGTACCCGACAAGTTCTCGAACTGAGTATTCACCAGCCTGCCGTGTAGATGTATCTCTGCGCATTGATTGTCATGGCGCCTACATTACGAAGAATATTGTATGAATAGATGTATTTTGCATGCCCACTTGCCATATGTGCCTTCGCCGTGGGGTGTTCAAACGTTCATTGTCGTTCTCAATCATGCTCAATTAGCGTAAACACTTCGCCTCCCCAGACCATCTGTGTCTGCGCCTGTTATTTCAGCAATTTGCAGAATCGTAGTCGCTCCCACTTTTTCTCTTGATGGAGCGGCCAGCGTTTCTTGACGCAACCGCTTGCCATTTGGAGAAGCGAACGCCACCCCCGGCACATTTCAATGGCGTGGCCACAATTGACCACTGAGTAGCATTCCACCTCAGAGTATTGGAAAAAATCTGGCCGAGTGGGCCCCTGACTCGTGGGGTCTCGCTATACCAATGGCATTCATTGACAATGCGCAATGAGCTCGTATTGTGCATTGAGGGCCTGCAAGAGCAATGTGGCCCAGCTCGTGGCAGCCCCGTCGGGACCGTCGGGTAAGGCTTCGTGTGGAGCAGAGCTTCTCTGCGCGAAATCGAGGTGCGACTACGATTCTGCAAATCGCTGTTATTCCGACGGTCAGCACTGTGCAGCGGCCGTTCCGTCCCTCAAGATGCGCACAGAGCGTCACGGTCTCAAACTTTTCGCTCGGAAGTGAGCAGCATAATAAGTAAATCGTCTGGTGTAGTCGGCTGGATACGCGGTATCGTTGCAAAACACGCGAGCGACCCAGGCAGGATGATGATGTTTGGGTCGAGACAAAGAACGTTGCACGGTGTGGGTTTGGTGTGGTCAGGATGTTCGTCGCCACACTTGCCACAGGGCAGGATCCGAATGGTCGGGTCGGGTCAGCCCGGTGGTCGGGCCCGGAACATTCGGCGCTGTATTCTTTTTCGTTCTGTTTTCCTGACCATTTTCTCGTCGCCAGCTCGCTACCGCCCTCTTGTCGCGGGTATGGACCAAACGCTTTACTACTCTGCAGGGATACGCACTGGGCGAGAATTGTCCCTACTTGGTGCTCGTTCTTGCGGTAAGATGTTGTCCTATCATTGCTGTTTCAGGCTTCAACAAAATATTGGACACTTATAGTAGTCATGCATTCAACCGCTGAGGCTAAACCTCGAGGTTTAATGATCTTCCTTTGGCGGATGTTGTTATGCAAAGTTGGAGATCAGCTACTTGGGCATTTCATCTTGGTCTCTCGCGCGCGCTCAGCAAGCCGCAAGAGCGAGTTCTCTTCGATCCATAAACGGGCAGGTCCTTATGGCGCGTGCTGTATTGCCTATGTAGTACCTTACAGTCGATCCTATAAAATGGAAAGATGTTACCTTGGCATAGGTGTCGCTGGAGCTCATTCTCAGTACACCGATGTCTAATTGACCCTTTCCAAAGTTTCGCTCTGCACCTGGCGCACTAATCTTCGGACGATCTTGTGATCTGACCCTCACTTCAGTGATTCATGTGGTACAGTACGGTGAGAAGAGTGGTCTTTTTCTCGCTCTGTTCCTTTCGTTATGCCGAGGATAACGGGGCTTCTCGGGCGTCTTCACAATCGATGTCCCGGGGCGTGGCATCCATGAAGGCAGGTGTGAATCAGGTTTCTAAGCGAGGGCTGTATCGGATTCCGCACGGCGCAGCCAACCACCGAAACCTCGTTCTCTTTCCCCCCAACTGTCTTGCTAACCCACTTATCCAGCTCCATGTCAGACTTCCTAGCAAAGTGAGTCTAGTGCGTACATTTTTTGTGCTGACATGCTGACAATTTTGATCCAGGCCCAACAAACCGTCTAAAGCGCTTAGAAAAGACGGGGCGATGGACGGATTTACAGTGATATTATCGAGTATGTATCAGTCTTCTGCCTTCACGTCTCTCAGCATCTTGTTCTGATTGTCCCATCTTTCTTCTAGACATTGCAGTGATATCGGGTTTGAACGAGAAGAAACCGCCGACCACGTATATCGAGGTCACGATCACTGGAAGCACACCTGCAAAGACCATCATGGCAAAGAAATCGGCACACCCAAAGTGGCTGGAGGGCGAGGAACCGATGCGATTGTGCGTCCAATCATCTGATCGTAGTTCGCAGCCTCTCATCCCTTATGAAGCATACGCCTACGACCATCGTCGACATTGAAACTACGACTGTTCCGCTTGAGCCGCTTTTCGTGGAAGCGTCCTCATGTTATTGGAGAAAACGAACAGGACATCATTGAACTTTTCTCAGAAGGCAAGTCCACGTACAATTGCCTGATTTCGATTCCTCCTCTCATAAACGTTGAAGACAGCGAGTCGCGAACCGCTGAGTTAATACCCATCGAGCCTAAGGCGACTCCGATCATGTTATCCTTTCGAATAATCGTCACGCCTAGTGTTTTATCTTCGTCGATCAACGAGCTGGGTATAGACGCTGCAGCGAAGGCTCTCGCAGATGCGCGTTTGGCCCTCGCACGTGAGGAGCAAGGGTCGCTTATTTCCAAGATCTCTCCAGCTAGCGAGGACTTAGCAGTCCAGGAAGCCGATACTCAAGCACTGGCCGGAGGACTGACGGTACTCAATGGTGAGCAGGTCATTGGGGCGCTTCTTACTGCGCTCGACAATTTTGTGAAGGTTGGAGATGAGATTACTGCGGTATGTATCACTATCACATGCGACTTCTAGCGGTAGCACTAACTGTCGTTTGTGATACAGGCGCATCCGTTGATCAAGGTAGCTTGGGCTGTTGCGACTTATGCATATAAGGTGAGTGGAACGATCTTCAAACAAGAATATGGACTCTTAATATCTCGACGTCATAACTCCCATCCCACGTCATGTTTCTTAGGCTGCGAAAGCCCAACAACAGTTAGACGAAGAGTCGCGACAGCTTGCTGAGGATCTTTCGATGATGCTGGCCTATGCGACTGCTTGCCGAGATTTAGTACCCATTGAAGGGAGGGAGAACATTGTGATTCAGGTTGTTCGCTTGACTAAGGAAGGGGCGTGCATTATCGATGCTTGCATGGCTCATCATTTCGTCGGTGAGTAGTCTGATCGTTTCATTCATCGTTTTCCTCGACCGTCTGATTCTTTGAGAAACTTGAAGTACGTGCAGCCATTGGGCCCTTCACCGGCTTGAGGAACCGCCTCGAGGACTGTCAAAGAAGGGTTAAGGAAGTGAGAAGGGAATTCGACACTGCTGTGCAGGTAGATATACGTGACCGAGGTAAGTCTTCTAGTTTACTCCTCTATAACCTTCCAAAAACAAAAATCTCTCATACTTCGTGGCAGTCAAAACCATCGAAACCGAAGCGATTCTTTCCGTTCTTCCCTCCGCAAGGGGAGCATCGTGGACCCCAAGTCTCGCTTGCATGGACGGTACACGTTCCTCTCTACTCAGTAGTATTTCTTCGTGGATAAGAGCAGACAGCGAGACAGCGAGCATAATGTGGCTTACCGCTTCTCCTGGTGCAGGAAAAACCGCCGTTGCACATACGGTCGCTCGCAATGCGTCATCAGAGGCCATAGTGGTATTGTCGTTCTTTTTCGACCGCACAGTCGAACAAAGGAACGATCCTTCACTCTTCGTAGGCACCTTGGTTCGCGATCTTGCTGGGTACGATCAAAATTACAGGACGTCCGTGTGCGATATTCTTAACCGCAAGCGAGACCTTGCGTCAGCACAACCTTTGCGCCAATTCACCGAGCTGATCGTTGACGTCGCTACAACATTCGCCTCTCGCATCCTCGTTGTTATCGATGCCTTGGATGAGTGCTCTGACTATAGTGGTGATTTATTGACCATTTTATGCGAGCACATTCCCAAACTTCCATCATCATATCGGATTCTCTTGACCTCCCGCCCCGAGGATATACTCATGCGACGTCTACCAGGATATTCGCATGTTTATGCGACAAACATTGAACTTAGCTCGGACGATAACCACTCAGATATATCAGCATATGTATACGCGCAGCGGCTGAAGATCGCTTCTTATAGTGAGTTAGGGCCCTCATGGCCCACGGACGAACAATGCAAGGCTTTGACCAGCAAAGCGGGAGGTCTCTTCATTTGGATCTCGCTGGTCATGGACTTCATCGGAAAGGGCAATCTGCGAAAAAGAGACAGGAAGTGGAATCTAGAATCCATACTCTCGCAGGACGTCACAATTCTCAAACCGACGCAGATAATGAATGAGCTGTACGATACGGTTCTCTCTGCGTATGACTGGACCAACAAACGATTTGTGGAAGACTATCATCTTGTTGTGGGTACAATTATCGCTGCAAAGGAGCCACTGTCAAAGAGGAGCCTAAGATCTCTCTCTGAGGACGATGATGATATTATCGATGACACACTCTCCGTCCTATCGCCTTTGTTCATCAGCATTGAGGATGACGACACGCCTGTTCAGCTTCTACACCTCACTCTTCACGAGTTTTTGACTGATCCTCTCCGATCGAAGGATTACTTCATTGACGAAGCTGAACATTCGCGCTCCCTCGGGTACCGATGTCTAAAACTCCTCACAAAGTCACTGAGTAAGAAGATTCCTGGACTGGGTTGGTCGTCATTTTGGGATCAATACCAGTACCACCCTATTCCATCCTTTCAAGTCCCAGAGGCCGTTGCATACAGCTGTCACTTCTGGATATATCACATCATCAATACAGCAGATGAATCCAGGGTCAAATATCTGAATATTCTTGACACATTCACTCCATACCTTATTTCTTGGTTGGAGGTTGCATCTGCACGAGGTGAATTCCCGCCATTGTGTGAGTTGAGGTCCTGGATTATGGTACGTCTTTAGTCCATTTCTAAAATCTGATCCTGACAAAAAAATCTCACCAACAAATTCAGATGAACAGTCCTCTACGAATCTCCACATTTGGGCAAGTCATCTCATCCGAGGGGTTTGCCTTATCTCTGGAGACGTTGTCAAATCGTCTGAGTGATGCTGGCCGGTTGAGGGATGCTTTGAGAGCAATGGCAGAAGCCCTCCATATTCGCCGACAGCTCGCCAAGGACCGTTCCGAGACATTCACTCGTTACATAGCCACGTCTCTTTTCTCACTCTCTCGCATCCTTATGGATACTGGCCGTGGAGAGGACGCTCTGGAACCAATTGAGGAAGCGGTTAATATCTACCGACAGCTTTCCAAACGCTTTCCCGAATTCAATCGTGAACTTTCCAGGTCTCTCAGCGGTCTATCTCTTATTGCTACTAAGGCCGGTCATCCAGAAGATGCTTTGAAAGCTGTTGAAGAAGCGGTCAATATCAACCGGCAGCTTGCCAAGGATTGTCCCGGTGAATTTGATGCTGGCCTTGCCAGCTCTCTCGCCAACCTTGCTGCCTGGCTCGGTGAGGCTGGTCATGAAAAGGATGCTGCTCTTAAAGCAATTGAGGAAGCGGTTAACATCTTCCGACAGCTTGCCAAGGACCGTCCCGAGAAATTCAATGCTAGCCTTGCAAATTCCCTTACCAACCTCTGTGCCAGGCTTAGTGATGTCGGTCGCCGAACAGATGCTCTGAAAACAATTGAGGAATCAGTCAATATCTACCGACAGCTCGCCATGGACCAACCTGATGCATTCAATTCTGGCCTTACCACATCTCTGAACATCCTCTGTATCGAACTTCATAGTGCCGGCCGTCGAGAGGAAGCTCTGAAAGTAATTCAGGAAACAGTCAATATCCAGCGGGAGCTTGCTGAGGACCGTCCTGAGGCATCCAATGCTGACCTTGCCATGTATCTTATCAATCTCTCAGGCATTCTTGGACATGTCGGTCGTCAAAAGGATGCTGTGAAAGCAATGGAGGAAGCAGCTAATATCCGCAGACAGCTTGCTAAGGGCCATTCTAAGGAATTTAATCGTGACTATGCCATGTCTCTCAACCGCCTCTGTGAGACCCTTGAACGTGCCGATTGTCGAGAGGATGCTTTGAAAGTAATGGAGGAAGCAGTCAATATCTGCCGACAGGTCGCCAAGGACCATCCTGAGGCATCTATTCAGGTTCGCCTGGCCATATATCTTAACAACCTCTCTCTCAGGCTTAGACATGCTGGTCGTCGAGAGGATGCTCTGAAAGCAGTTGAGGAGACGGTGAATATTTACAGACAGCTCGCCAAGGGCCATCACAAGGCATCTAATCAGGCTGACCTTGCCACATCTCTAATGAACCTTTCTGTCATGTTTACGGGTGTTGGTCGTCGAGAGGATGCTCTGACAGCGATTGAGGAAGCAGTCAATATTCGCCGACAGCTCGCCAAGAACCATCCCGAGGCATCTGATCCTGGCCTTGCCAAGTCTCTGAACAACCTCTGTAATAGCCTTCGTGGTGTCGGTCGCCGAGAGGACGCTCTGAAAGCAATCGTAGAAGCGGTCAATATCTGCCGAAAGCTCGCCAAAGACCGTCCCGATGCATTTAATTCTTACCTGGCCAAATGTCTTAGGAACCTCTCTGACATGCTTAGTTATCGTCATCGAGAGGAAGCTCTGAAAGCAATTGAGGAAGCAGTCAATATCTACCAACAGGTTGCCAAGGACCGTCCCAAGGCATACAATCCTGACCTGGCCGCCTCTCTTAACACCCTTTCTAACAGGCTTCGTGATGTCGGTCATCGGGAGGATGCTCTGAAAGCAATTGAAGAAGCACTCGATATCTACAGGCAGCTCGCTAAGGACCGTCCTGGGGCATTCAATCATGAGCTGGCCATGTCCCTCAATAACCTCTCCAACATGCTTAGTGAATCTGGTCATCGAGAGGACGCTCTGAAAGCAGTTGAGGAGGCGGTCAATATCTACAGACAGCTCGCCAAGGACCATCACGAGGCATCTAACCTTGCCACATCTCTAACGAGCCTTTCTGTCATGTTTACGGGTGTTGGTCGTCGAGAGGATGCTCTGACAGCGATTGAGGAAGCAGTCAATGTTCGCCGACAGCTCGCCAAGGACCATCCCGAGGCCTCTGATCCTGACCTTGGCATGTCTCTCAACGGCCTCTCTTGTAGACTTAGCGATGTTGGTCGTCAAGAGGATGCTCTGAAAGCAGTCGAGGAAGCGGTCAATATCTACCGGCCGCTCGCCAAGGACCGTCCCGATGCTTTCAATTATGTACTTGCCATGTCTCTTAACAACCTCTCTGCGAGTCTTGTACATGCTGGTCATCGAGAGGACGCTCTGAACGCAGTTGCGGAAGCGGTCAATATCAACCGAGATCTCGCCAAAGGCCGCCCCGAGGCATTAAATCATGATTTAGCTAGGTCTCTGTACAACTCTTCTATCATTTTCTCGGGACTCGGACTGAAGGAAGACGCGTTACGAGCCGCAAAGGAGAGCCTCGGTCTTTATCGTTCAGTTCACTCGCAGAGGCCCATCGTCTTCCGACAACACCTCATTAACGCGCTTAAACGAGTAGCGCAATGCCTGTCCGCCTCAGATCAGGACGAGGAAGCCTCGAAATATAGGGAGGAGGCGGAGGCGCTGGAGGCAGAAGCAGCCCCGACGACAGTACAGCCCGACACATGAAGCTCTGGAAACGACGTGAGTTGACACCCATCCCCGTCTTCCCAGTCGAGAGATCCCGGCCATTGAAGCGTGTGAAGTACTCTGCTGACCTTCAGTGTTTTATTGACGTCGTCAGTCGAAGTCGCCTCTCTTTCGGACAATGGAGGGTTCAGTTAGATCGAAATAGCCAACGCGAGCTAGTGCTGTGGATTAGGTTGAGGGTAGGATGCCGAGACCTGTGGTTTGTAGTATTGACCGAACGTTCATGTGTATATGATGCTTTATTTTTCGGCCGGTCCTTTCGAACAACGACAATTATATTGAATGCGTGCAGTCACTGCCTAAGTGCCGCACCGTTCGCGCCTCCTCCAATCACGTCGAATAGGTCCAGTACTTAGTTGGATCGCTGATTCTTATATGTACTTTCAAGCGTGTATCACGAGCACTGTGATCTCATTACGCATAGTGGCTTTACCACAAGTAGGGAGATTGTACGGCATAGGGAATGAGAATACGAAGCCTTTGTTCTTCCGGAAACGGGACACAACACGTCTCGCGTCGCCCAGTTTTACCTCTCACATTCAAGAAATGTGTCTCAGCCTCTGATTTGGCACTGCGTCGTCGTTATGTCCGCTATATCACTATATTCTGGAGGCATCATCAAAGCAGCATCTGCGGCCCGCGACTCAACTCTAGATCGCGTGCAAACCAAATGAGCCCGCACAGCTAGTTTCCACCTCCTGTTCAAGACGAGGATCGCAAGCGCACAGAGTTCGAGAGGCTTAACAGCATTATCTGGCTCACGCATGGTAATTGCATGTGCGTGGATGCGTGGGTACATACATAGCGGCGGCGACAATAAACGGAGGGACTCAAAACAAGGCTGGCATAAAGGAAAGACACAGGGAACAACAACAAAGAACATTCTACTTGCGTTTCGTGGATTTCTGCTGCGACTAGGTGTCCGTCTTGACGACCTTGGCCTCCTCGATCAAGAATGCGCGAACAACCCTGCATGGGAGGACGAAAGGATGAGCACTCGAACGTAGGACAGGAATATCAGAGAAAATGAGACGGGCGGAAAGCCTGAGGGTGAAGACGAGGGAGTACAGATGAGTGAGTAGGGACAATGTACCGCGAACGCACGCAGGTGGAGCACCGCGAGCCACCGTACGCCCTGCTGACGGACTTCTGCGTCTTCGAGATGGTAGCGTATTGGCGTGGGCGAAGAGCAGGGACCTATATACACGCAGCAACCACCTGGCAATATCCCACATGCCACCAAGCCCATCCGTCAATCGTGACCAGCCGTCCCAAATGAATAATCGACAACGCACCATGGAGTCCAACCAATAACCCGTCTCGCGTCCCGTCCTAAGCCTCCAACACACAAACTATCCAATAGTTAGAACTTGACTCGTAAATTTCAAGTATGTTATGATGAAATGAGACGCACGTTAGCAAGCTTGAAGTCACAGTCAGAGCACTTGGGAGCGGTGGAGAGCTTTTTGACGTGTTGGTAGACGAGAACACCACCGGGGGTCTTGACAACGCGGCGACGGTTAGAGGTGGTGTTTTAGGGCTGGCGCTTGTGAAGGATGACACGTTGGGTCATTGTCGATTCTACGCAGCACTCCATGGTCTTTGGGATATTCACAGGGTCACAAGAGGTTTAGGCAGTCAAGGCCTGTGCATGAGACACAGCACACGATCCTCTTTTCTGCCACCACAGAACAGATATTGCCTTTGTCCGGACGAGTTCGGAGCTCGCAGAACAAAATTGATTTCGTTTCTGCCGGTGCAGAGAACTGGATCCGGCTCTGTGAGAGGTCTACGACAAGATACCTGAGGGCTATGTGGGACATATAGAGGCCGAGAGGGTGGAAGCAAAGCTTTCCGGCTCGGCAACAGACCTAATCCAGGAGTAAGAAGCGAGCCGCGAGAGCGAGTAAGCCCTGGCAAACACCAAAGCTTACAGAGAGGTTTGACGTTGTCGAGCATGGTGCCAAGAGACTTCCGAGCTATACGAGGAAATATAAACTGGGAGCGGCGGACGAGTGAAAGAAGGCCCTCGAGAGAATCGGAGAGAAGAGCGGCGACAAAAGGTGGCGACGTTGTGGCACTGGCAGGAAACGACGAACACGTGAGAAACCCTCCGCCGCTCGTTCCTCGCATACCCAATCTTGCGAAGGAACGATTCAGCGTCTCATACCGTCTCCCTTTTGCTCAGCCTCCCAGCTTAGTCTAATTTTTTCCTCCTTCCTAACCATAAATATTTCACACAATGCTCACACCTAGATCCCACTCCCACCGCAAGCAACGCCACCCGTCTGGACGAGGCCAGTATATTGGAGTCGACTCGTCACAAACTCGGTGCCCTCGTATCAACTAACAGGAAATCTTGCTCAATGCTCTGGGAGGCTCTGGGCTGCTCCTCTCGGAGGCTGTTGTTCTACTTGGGTTCTCATTGCTGCGGAGAACTCCTTGAAGAATTGTGGCATGGTCATAATGGATCTAGACTGTGCGTTTTAGTTACCGTCTCCCTCTGGCCGCGCCTGCTGACGTCCTGACGCCGGTTGTGTGACAGGCACGTCGATGGATCTTCAGCACATATTTGCTCGATAGAATGAGGCCAACTATATAGACTTGGGAAGGAGAATAGTGGCGGAGCAGGACATGGACCAACGGGAAGGTGAGTTCTTTCAGTATCTGTCATGGCATGATATGGCGGTACGCAATATCTCAAAAACGATGTTCTCACTGCTATGCGGTGCTCAGAAGTACGCAAACGCGTCGATTGTTCGTGCATTCCTACAAGCCGTACTTGATGTTCTGTGTTCGACTTACGAGTCACACAGCGTACCTCCTCCGCAAGCTTCGCCATATGTGCTACTATTGCATACGACAGTCCGATTGTAGAATGTACAGGAGCATCGCTGTCTTGAATTGTGATTCCGACGGTTCCGACTGTGCGTGGCCTAACTTTTCCCTCGCATCAACAGCTACAGCGGTCCACATCGTCATGCGTGGCTGTAGAGGCATTTATATTATGGGACCAGCTATAACACATTTAGAACTCTACGCACTAGTCTGTTCCTAGCGACTCTTACTCTCTTGTCGCTACTTCTCAACGCACCTACCGACCACCTGCTAGGCTCACTTGAACATATCTGGCCTTTATGCTCCATCACCGTCTCCCTCTGGCCTTGTGATACTCGTATACGATAAAACGTGCTTTGAAGTACGAATATTGCGAACTGTCTTCTCCGCTATCCTTTATAGACTTTTGTGAATCTCGAGCTGCACCTTCTCTCGAACCAGTCAGGTGGGCTGATATGACGCTTCTCCAGGGTTTATTGAATCATCGTTTATGCGTTTCTTGGGGGACTCCCGAAGAACGTATGGGACATTCAGTCCAATCCGTCGACGGTCGAGATCTCCACAGCCATAGGCTCTCCCAACAGGAAGGAACATTGGTCTTGTGACCTCAGCATCCGATATATCAGGCGTCATCGAACAAACTACTTGCTCTGCCTTGTCCTCTCACATAGCTGGCAATTTGCGAGTTCGCCATACTGGCGAGACGAGCCCTCTACTGTGTGCATCCCGTCATACGCCTTGACCTGGAGCAATCAGGGACTCAGTCTCGCGTTCTTCTAATCTTCGCACTGAGCTCTCTTCTATGGCAATCCTCGTATCCTGATGCACATTCATCGTTTCGTATTTTGCCTGAATGAAGTTCGCCGTTTCTTATGCTATTTTAATTAGCAGCAGTGTAGTTTTGGACTGCCTGACAAACACTAAAATATCCTGAAATAGAAGACTTGACGCCCAGTCTCCGCTTTAGCAGGTTGAGGCAGTACTTACACACGAGTACACGCGCTGGCCACACACCCGCACACACACTGCCCTCTACCCTCCTCGTCTTCTCTCCAACACTCACTATGTCCTATCGAAGGCTCTACATGTTGTCCAAACCCATGTCTCAGAGCGAATCTGCCATCGTCGCGAAGTGAGTTCGCTCTATAGTCTTTCTGTGAAGCCTTACTGATACTCTGTACTGCACTATCGATTGGATAGGTCGCAACACCTTTCGCCCCAGAGTGAGGGAGGAAACGACGGGTTCATAGCCATCCTTTCCAGTAAGCTTTGCCCCTCCAAGTTATCATTCGTACTCTATGTGCTCATATACTCGGTCTTTATGTAGATGTTGTGGTAGTGTCAGGTCTAGACGAGAAGAAACAGCCGGACACGTGCATTGAGGTCGTGATCTCCAGAGCACCGTCACAGAAGTCCGAGGCGCAGAAGGCGAAGGTGATCAAGAATTCAGCACATCCGAGATGGCTCGAGGGTGATAACAAACTGACAGTGTACGTCTTATCTGGAGATCAACATTGACAACCCTCTTTAACTTTGTTTTTCCAGAATGAATCTGCGCCCATCCTCGACCATGAGACTGAGACTTCTGCGTAGAGGTCTTTTCCACGGAAGAGTCCCTGGCCTGTCCTTAGATCTCATGGGAGAATACGAAACAAAGGTGGTTGATTTCGCCTCAGAAGGTACACCCTCAGTCGTCGTTCGTTTCTGCACTCGAAGTTGAAGCTTGAAGGACGGTATCAGATACTGCCGGGATCGAATTCCTATTGAAGCAACCCAGCGTCGATGATCCACTCATCAAAATGTCGATTTGTGTTACGATTACCCGTGCGACGCCTACGACCATCGCCGATCTTGGCATCGACGACGCCTCGTCACGCCTCGCAAATGCGTATCGTGCTCTCGCACGCCGACAACTTGGAGAGAATGCCTCTTCAGCCTTTAGAGCGGCCGATGACATCGTGTCTGCCGGATCAGAGGCCCAAGATGTCGTCGACGGTGCTCAGGCGTTGAGTGGTGAGCAGATCATCGGGGGCTTGGTCAGTGCATTGGATGCTGTGGTGAAGATCGGGGACGAGGTCTCTGCGGTATGTACCGGTACCAAAAACTCCATCATAATGCTCCGATGGCTTACATGGCTCAACAGACGCATCCAATAATCAAGATCGCCTGGATTGCCATCACCTGCGTCTACAAGGTGAGTGAACTCTGGGTATGATGTAAATCGCCGTGCCTAAAGTATTTGTCTTCTTCCAGACTGCCAAAGCTCAACAGCAAATCGACGAGGACTCTCGGCAACTTGTGGAGGACCTCTCTTCGCTACTGGCGTATGCAACGGTGTGTCGAGATCTTCCTTCGGTGAACGGGGAAAACATCGTAGATCGTGTGTTTGCTTTGACTAAGGAAGGGGCTTGTCTCATCGATGAATCTATGGCATATAATTTCTTCGGTAAGTCACATGGTTTCCAAACACCTATTCAGCTCGTATATCTAAGTCTGAAATATAACAAACAGGGCGCGCCGCCCTTGGGACTGTGAGCGGCATCGAGGGGCGTATCAAGAATTGTCGGAGCAAGACCCAAACGCTAAAAGAAAATTTCAATACCGCGGTGGTAGTGGATACACGAGAACGAGGCGAGTCAATGCTGCATCTCAGATGTTTCTCATGTCTGAATATGTGTGACAGTCAAAGCTCTTGAAACAGAGGCCTTAGTCGGTCTTCCCTATGCCAAAGGTGCTCATTGGAATAGGAACCTCGCCTGCATGGACGGGACCCGAACGACTCTACGCCAGAAGATTCATTCATGGCTGGATAGCGACAGCGCCACGACGAATATCTTCTGGCTGAATGCTCCTGCAGGAGCAGGAAAAAGCGCTCTTGCACATACTGTCGCTCGCGATGCAAGCGAAAAGTTTGATAACGTGCTAGTCGTATCGTTCTTCTTCGACCGCAAAGTTGATGAGCGGTGCAATGCGCGTCTCTTTGTGGGCACTTTGGTACACGATCTAGGCATCCAAAACCGTCATTTCCGGACAGCTGTTCTCGCTTCCCTGCAGGACAAACCTAGCCTTGCATATGATCAGCCTGCAGAGCAGTTCACTCTGCTCATTATGTGTCATGCCTCAGCTTTCACTAGTCGCCGAGTTCTCATTCTCATTGATGCTCTGGACGAATGTTCGGGGTATAGCGGCGATTTCTTGACCATTCTGTGCGAGCACGTTCCCAAACTTCCATCATCATTTCGGATCCTCTTGACCTCCCGCCCCGAAGATATACTCATGCGCCACCTACCAAAATACTCGCATGTCTATACGACGAGCATTGAACTTAGCTCGGAAGAGAACCACTCCGACATATCAGTATATGTATACACACAGCGGCAGAAGATTGCTTCCTATAGTGAGTTGGGGCCCTCATGGCCCGCGGACGAGCAATGCAAGGCTTTGATCAACAAAGCTGGAGGTCTCTTCGTTTGGATTTCGCTGGTCATGGACTTCATCGGAAAGTACAACATGCGAAAAAGAGACAGGAAAGAAAATCTAAAATCCATACTCTCGCAAGATGTCACAAGTCTCACACCAACAAAAATGATGGATGAGCTGTACAGCACGGTTCTCTCTCCCCATGACTGGACCAGCAAACAATTTGTGGAAGACTATCGTCTTGTTGTTGGCGCAATTGTTGCCACAAAGGAGCCACTTTCAAAGAGGAGTCTAAGGGCTCTCTGCGAGGATGATGATAATATTGTCGACGACACACTCTCTGTCCTGTCACCTTTGTTTGTCATTGACGTCGACGACGACGACAAACCTGTCCAACTTCTACACCTCACACTTCACGAGTTTCTGACTGATCCTCTCCGATCAAAGGAGTACTTCATCGACGAGGCTGAACATTCCCGCTCCCTTGGGCTTCGATGTCTTAAACTCCTTGTAAATTCGCTTAGCAAAGAAATATCTGGACTGGGTTGGTCGTCATCCTGGGATGAATACCAGTACCGCCCGATTCCAACCATCCGAGTCCCGAATGCCGTTGCATACAGCTGCCGCTTCTGGATAGATCACATCACCGATACAGCAGATGAAGCCTGGGACAAATACCTGGATCCTCTTGACACATTCTCGCCATGCCTTATTTCTTGGTTAGAGGTTGCAGCTGCGCTAGGTGAATTTCCGGCACTGGATAAGTTGCGGTCCTGGGCTACGGTATGTTTTTACCTTACTTACTCTCTTGGGCATGGATTCTGACAAAAAGTCTCAATAATCAAATTAGATGATTCTTCCTTTACAGACCTCTTCATTTGGGCGCACCCTCGCATCCAAAGAGGTTGCCTCATCTCTAAGGACATTGTCAAATCGTCTGAGCGATGTCGGGCGTCGAGAGGACGCTCTGAAAGCAATTGAGGAAGCTGTTTATATCTACCGACCGCTTGCCAAGGACCGTCCCGAGGCATATAATCCTGACCTGGCCGTGTCTCTTAACAATCTCTTCAACTCGCTTGGTGATGTCGGTCGTCGAGAGGAGGCTCTGAAAGCAATTGAGGAAGCGGTTGATATCCGCAGACAGCTCGCCAAGGACCGTCCTGAGGCATTCAATCCTGATCTTGCCATGTCTCATAACAACCTATCTAGCGTGCTGACCGATGTCGGTCATCGAGAGGATGCTTTGAAAGTGATTGAAGAAGCGGTTAATATCCGCCGACAGCTCGCGAAGGACCGTCGCGAGGCATTCAATCCTGACCTGGCCGGCTCTCTTCACAACCTCTCTACCGGGCTTCATGATGTCGGTCGTCGAGAGGATGCTCTGAAAGCAATTGTGGAAGCGGTCAATATCCGCCGACAGCTCGCGAAGGATCGTCCCGAGAGATTTTATCCTGACCTGGCCAGCTCTCTGAACAATCTCTCTGCCAATCTTACAGATGCCGGTCGTCGAGAGGACGCTCTGAAAGCAGTTGAGGAGGCGGTCAATATCTACCGACAGCTTGCCAAGGACCGTCCCAAGGCATTTAATCCTGATCTGGCCCGTTCTCTTAACAACCTCTCTAATAGGCTTAGTGATGTCGGTCATCACGAGGATGCTCTGAAAGCAATTGAGGAAGCAGTCAATATTTACCGACCGCTTGCCAAGGACCGTCCTGAGGCATTTAACCTTGACCTAGCAATGTCTCTTAACAACCTCTCTAACAGGCTTGGTGATGTTGGTCATCGAGAGGATGCTCTGAAAACAGTCGAGGAAGCAGTCAACATCTACCGACGGCTCGCCAAGGACCGTCCCGAGGCTTTCAATCATGATCTAGCTAGATCTCTGTACAACTCTTCTATCGATTTCTCGAGACTCGGCTTGAAGGAAGACGCGTTACGAGCCGCAAAGGAGAGCCTCGGTCTTTATCGTTTGGTTCACTCGCAGAGGCCCATCGTTTTCCGACAAGACCTCGTTGACGCGCTTGAACAAGTAGCGGACTGCTTGTCCGCCTCAGATCAGGACGAGGAAGCCTCGCAATATAGGAAGGAGGCAAAGACGCTGGAGGCAGAGTCTAAAGTAGGCCCGACGACGGTACAGCCCGACACAACCACTGAAACCGACGTGAGTTGACACCCATTCCCATCTTTCTGGTCGAGAGACCCTGGTCATTGAGGCGTGTGAAGTACAATATGCTAACCTCCAGTGTTTTATTGACATCGTCAGGGGTAGTCTCTTCTTACGAGGACGCTATCGGAGGATTCAGTCGGATCGAGAGAACCAACGTCGAGACCTGTAGATAGCATTAACCGAACGTTCATGTGTATATGACACTCTATTTTTGACCAGTTGGTCCTTTCGAACAACGACAATTGTAGTGAATGTACACTGTGTTAGATTAGGAGCCGGGACAAATACACCGTTTTGGAGCTCACGATGGCTTGACAGAGAGAAGACACGATATGACTGCCTAAGGACCACATCCCTCCGATCACTTCGAACGGGGCCAGCAATTGTCTCGCTCATTTCCAGACATAGTTGGAACGGTATATCACGACCGCTGCGATCTCAGTACGCACGGCAACTTTAGCACAAGCATGCAGTCTGTATGGCATAGGGAACGAGAACACGAATCCTTTGCTCTCGTCCCAGAAACGGGACACGACACGTATCGCATCAATCAGCACCGTGAACTCGGGTAGCCGCGAAGCTAGACAAGTGTACCACTCACATTCAAAAAGAATATCTCGGCAGAGAAAGGAGTTCTTGATTTAAACGGACTACGGCGTCGTCATATCAGCCATGTCATTGCGTTTATTTGGTATCATCAAAGCTTCTTCTACAGTCCGCGAGCCAATCTACAAGATCGCGTGCGAGTCCAACCAACCCGCACAGCTAGTTCCTAGGTCCTACCTCCCATGAAAGGCGGGGATCACAAGCGCAGAAAGTTCGGAGTGCATAACAGCAATATCTGGCTCAAGCATGGTGATTGCATGTGGGTGGCTGCGTGGGTGCATACATAGCGGCGGCGACAATGAACGGAGAGACTCAAAACAAGGCTGGCATAAGGGAAAGACACAAGGAACGACGACAGAGAACTGTCTACTTGCGTCCCGTGGACTTCTGCTGCGACTTGATGACCTTCTTGACGACCTTGGCCTCCTCGATCAAGAATGCACGAACAACTCTGCATGGGTAGACAAAGACGATGAGTATTCAACGTAAAAAGGAAAATCAAAGATGATGGGGTGGGCGGAAAGCCTGAAGGTAAAGACGAGGGAGTGAAGACGAGGGGGTAGGGACACGTACCGCGAACGCACGCAGGTGGAGCACCGCGAGCCACCGTACGCCCTGCTGACGGACTTCTGCGTCTTGGAGATGGTGGCGTATTGGCGTGGGCGGAGAGCGGGGACCTATATACACGCAACACCCATCCGGCAATATCCCACACGCCACCCGACCCATCCATAGATCATGACCAGCCATCCCATTGACCGATAGCACGCCGTAGAATCCAACCAGCCACCCAACCAGCCACCCAACCCATCCCAAGCCCACCACGATCCAATACACAAATCATCCCATATTCGTCAGAAACCGAGTCTGGGATAATTTCAAGAATGTGATGAGGGAATGAGACGCACGCCAGCAAGCTTGGAGCCACAGTCACCGCACTTGGGGGCGGTGGCGAGCTTTTTGATGTGGTGGTAGACGAGGACACCGCCGGGGGTCTTTACGATGCGACGACGGTTAGAGGTGGTGTTGTACGGCTGGCGCTTGCGGAGAGTAACACGTTGGGCCATTGTTAATTCTATATCGGCACCAAAGTTCCAGTCAGTTGAAAGCCCCTCGGAAGTGATCTGACGAGATTTCGGGGTGTGTGGTAGTCGTCGTCGACGGTGTGCAAGGTGTGGATGTATCGGAGTGTGGATGAAGTGGCTTACATGCTAGAAAAGAAAGACTGTACAAAATAGCAGACCGTCAGCACTTCTCCCATCTGCATTCATAGAGGATGTGGGACAATGTCAAATAAACGGGATAGCGACATACGTTGGGTCTTGAAGTCGTCGATGCCGGCGCCGTTGCTTGCCTGGGTGCTCTCCTCGATACTTTCCAAGGCGTGGGACAGCCACTCGGCGCGGGTGGCTGGTGGACTGTATAGTTCATCGGCTAACGCCGAAGACATTCTGCTTGAACGTGCTTACGTCAGTTATCTCTAATGGAATTTCCTGACCCGACAGAGTTCGACGCCGCCGACGACGACATCAGCGGCGAAGGCGGTGGCAATACTTTGCGAATAAATGTGATTTTTACCTCGCACGGATCCTGGCTTGCAGACTGATAATTCCCTGTCGCATCAATTGTTGTCCGCCGGCATCCCGCTCATAACTCATTACGTGTGGCGACGCGACCCACAGCGCTTGCCTTCGTCTCTTCACGTCGTCGTACGCGATGACCACTCGGCGCACCCGTACCGTCAACCCCAGCACTGCCATAACGACCTCAAACAACCCACCAACTTCAACTACAACCACACCCATCGCATCTTCTGATGTCGCCCCAATAAACAACGTGCCAGACCCTAATGCTCTGCCCGTGGCATATCCACCTCTGCTATTCTCTCATTCTTTGTTTTTGTTAGCTTTGGTGGTTATTTTGCCGAGATCCTCGTTCCTGATTCCGGTTATTGCAGAGAGTCTGCCGAAGAGGGATAGGGGACTGGACAGGCCGCAAGCCGCATGGTTGGGTACGTGCGCTTGACACGCTGTTCATGACCAACCTGTTTCACTGAATAAATCTCCTTTTTCATTGTACTGGTGATAATTGTATGTAGAACCATTAACTGCTTCCCCAACGCTCACTTTGTTCTGGTGTATCCTTGGCTCGGGCCTTCTCGTCAGTTGGTGGGCGGGATGGATGAGACAGTGGGTCAGAGAGGGACGTATGGGTGGTGGCGGTGGTGGTGTTGAGGAGAGGTTGAATAAGTTGGAGAAGGAAAAGGAGGGCGGTGAGGTGAATAAAGGGAGCGGGAAGGCGAGAGTAAGCCTCCTGTTTTGTGAGGCCGTGACGGTAACTAACTGGACTGGTTTGGAACCTAGGAACTCGTGAATGCGTGGATATTCACTCTCTACGTCTCAGTTTTCTACCATGTTATTCTTGTCCTCTTCGGGGCACCAATAACGACGTACGTTTCCTTACATTCTACGGTCCATGTCGCTCTTCTCTAACTTCGCTTACCTCCGCACAGTCACATCCCACAAACCTACTTCCTCTCCCTCCTCCTTTCTATCCTCACCTCTCTTACGCCTGCATATGCACTTGGCCCGCCGTCGCTCTCATCGTCCACGTTTGAAAGACTATCCCAGACAACCGTGTTTCCATTGTCGTTGCCCATCAGAGCAGCGTGTTTCCTGTTCGCTTTAGTCGATGACGATACTTTGAAGGGTAAGGAAGGGTCTAGCGCAAACGCGAGGGTTGTGAGGAATGATATGTGGGTCAGGTTATTCGCTGAGTTGAGGTACGTCTCGTCGTTCACCTTTCCTCTTACATCACCCTGACTATACATTCGCCTCTATCGTTTCTGATACTGACAATCACTTTCTATCACCTCAAATAGTCCCCAAACAGCCCCCTCAGCGGCCCTTCTTTTCCCGTCCTTGTCATCCCTCTCCTCCGCATGGCTCTGCACAATCCCCCTCGCACTCGATTGGGACCGTCCATGGCAAGCATATCCGCTCACGACAGCTTACGGAGCGGTCGTGGGTTACGTACTGGGCGGGTTGGGAGCGTTAGGGTGGAGCGGGATAAGGAGTGTATGGAAAGAGGTTAGAGAGGGAGAGATGGCGCAAAAGATGGAGGATACTGGGAACGTGAAGGGTGTGAAGGGCGGTAAGGTAGAGAAGAAGAAGGGAAAGAAGAATTAATGCGAGGGTGGGACGTGTGGGATGGTTGCAGTTGGACTGGACTTGGCATGGACTATATGATACCTTATACTATGGATCTGGATAATGCGTATGGCATATTGAGCGAGGTGTTGGAATGGGCCGAGTTGCTTACTCTTTGCTTGCGAGCCGTCTGTGCAACAATTTCAAAACTCAAAACTCGGTGGCCCTCCCTCGAGGAGGCTCGCCTGTATATCAGTGTAACAGTCTCGGCTTGATTCGTGCGCGCTTTCTCTCGCCCGAGCATCTTGAATCATGTAACTTATGATTAGATTCACCATTGGCTGAAAGCGTACGGCTTCTTGTGGCCCGCACATGTGGCGACCAATCAGATCCTTGCCACCCCCCGCCGATCACATTCAATCTCCGCCTCTCCGGAAAACTACCAACTAAAATCGTAATATCCGTCCCCTCTCGGAAACCTTCAAATACCTCGCCTCTCGCGCGCCCCGTCCACTTTTGACACCCACTTGCCCCCAAGTCTCCCGTCCTCCCGCTAATGTCAAGTTTATATTGCTCATGGAGAGTAAGAGCGCCCAGACGTATGTTTCTCTTCTCATTCTTCTTCTTCAGCGCCCTAGGCACCCAAATGGTCTATGCCGGAGGACACTTGTTGCTCAACGTCTCATCACAATTATAGGGACAAGTAGTTATAGTTGAATTGTATACTGACTACTATTATCCTGAACGTCAATAGATACGAGGCGCTTCAGGCCTTCATACAATCGCAGAAAACCCTCCTCGCACGTACCCAATCGGATATCCAGCGCCTCAGGGGGTTAAGAGCGGACGCCAACGCGGCGAACTCGAATTCGGAACTCGAGGGATTTGTTGAGAACCTCGATGACAAAGTGCGTTCAGTCTCCAGCTCCTCCGCCGAATGCAGCGGGACCTTGTCCATTCACTGACCACCAATGAATTCATGGTCTTAGTTGTGCGAAGGCGAAGGTGTACTTGAACTCAGCGAACAATTGAATGTCGCTGATACTATTACGAAGGACATTGACTGGCCCCTCTTCAAAACGTTTGGTACGTCTCCCACCTTCGCGTCCTATATCTCACAAGAACTTTCGCCCCTTCCACCTCGCCATACCTCAAACGCTCATAAATTGACCATTGACTCCACATCTAAACTCCCTAGATCCGACGCCTCTACATACCCTCACCACAACTCTCAACGCTGCACACGCCGCCCATTCCTCACAACCCCTTTTCCCGCCCTCCGACTTCGACTCGGACGTCACGTCACACCTCCAACCCAACCGCTTCCCACTCTCACCCCTCCAACTATTCGTCCGCGAAGCGCGCGTGAAGATCCTCGACCCCGTACTTAACTCCCCGCTTCTCCTCTCCGCCCTCCAACAGTCTCCCTCCGACGACGAGTCCTCTTCGTCCCTCTCTTCCTCTTCCTCCGACGAAGACGAGGACGTAGACGAGGAAGCACGTGAACGCAGAAGGGCTGAGCGCGCCGAACGTCGTCGTATAAGAGAAGAACGACGAACGAAAGAACAAGAGAGGGCTAAGATTCGAGAGTTGAGGAAGAGGAGGATAGGGGAGGGAGGTTTGACATTGCCGAAGGCTAGTAGGCTTGGAGCGGCTGGCAGACAGGGAGGAGAGGAGAGTGGAGTGTTTGTGAGGCGAGATTTAGAGGACGAGAGTGCGGAGGTAGATATCTCCATGAATGGTCTGGCTGTAAGTGGAGGGTCTGGGAGTGGTGTGGCGTCTTCATCTAGTAAGGGCGTAGCGGTGGCTTCGAACATCACGAAAGGTTCCAGGACGAGCGGAAGAAGAGTTACGCTGAAAGTAAAGCAGGAAACATCGCCAGCCTCAGTCCCCTCGAAGTCGAAATTTAAATCGAGCACGACATCAAAACGGCGGCCTTCATCTCCTTTACCACAGCACGATACCCGTCCTTCAAAACGATCCAAAGTGAAGGCGTCCACCACTATTATTTCCTCTTTGTCTATGTCTGCACCAACGCCCACCTCCGCTCTCGGTGACTCTGATGCTTCGGATGGGGAGGTCGAACAAGATGATGATGGAGACGAGATGATGGTGGCGGGTAGCGAAAAGAGCAAGACGAAGAACGGTAAACCGCGGAATGAGACGTATAAACAAGCGTGGAGTGTCGAGGAGCAGCATCTCTTAGAGAGATTGTTACAGGAGATCCCGGACGGGGAGAAGAATCGGTACGTTTTTCATTTCGTCACGCCCATCTGTTTCCCCACTCTCATCCTACGCCTTTCATTTCTTGTATCTCTGTATCCCGTTGGCACCAACTAATCATCAATTTTCACGATTTTTTAGTTGGTCCAAAATCTCAAAAGCAATGAATGGGAGACGGACGCCAAGACAGGTGGCCAGTCGCGTGCAGAAGTATTTCGAGAAGTTAAAGAGGTTCGGTGTGGATCTAAAGGCGAACGGCGCGGGGACAGCATTGGTCCCCATGGATTGATCTCATTTGCTCGATTCTTCCGCTGACTTCGCTCTGTTGAGTGTTGCCGATGATGTGGGAATGCATACATACGAGGGCAGCCAGACTGCGCTACATCTCTCTGAACCACGGTCCACGAATGGTCACACGTAAAAAATAAAATGATGAGGCAGCAGAAGGGAAACAATGGCTTCTACTCCGTCAAAACAGACAAAGATCAGTCTGGAAGCAGTAAAAGTGCACCAGAAGACCACGAAGTCGAAGAGCTGCTGAAAATTGCGCCAACAGCTGCCCTCCGAGTCGGCCCAATCCGGAACTTTGTGGAGGACGGCGCGCCACTGAAGGTAGCCCTCAATCAGCGCTGGTTGCTCCGAATTCTTCAATGTCCGTTCATCTACGGGCATACGTGCTGGAGGACGGAAGCCCACAATTCTGTGCGTCTATGTTCACCCTGCGTACTCAATATTCGCTGCCACCAATTGTCACTGTGGACACAAGGCAGGGCCAACTGCCGCCTTGGTACTTGTGCCCGTTTGATCTTCAACATGCAGCCGATGCATTCGTGCGATACTAATATCACATTCATCGAAATCATTCACTCTCTTTGATGTGTACATTTACATTAACGCGTGCCTGGACTATCTACCAGTATGTCCCATCGAATTGTTCACCAACGAGCCACGACAGTTTCCTTACACCATCTTACTCTGAGGAAACGTTCTCACCGCACGCTCGTCACCTTCAGCCCCATCCAACCTCCAAGTTCTGGATGATCCTTAACCATAGGCATCATGATTCCCGTAGGCTTTCGCAAGATCACCATTTCCTTGGCGTTGTCTGGCAGGGCGAACTCAAAGTTCTCGATAAGGTCGGCGATCATGGCCTGCATCTCAAGGACGCTGTCGGGACGTCCAACAACATAAGCGTGTGCAGGTTTAATCATATATGAGTGACTTACGAGAATCTCCAGCTGGCGAGTTAAACGTCAGTGCACGAAGTGTGGTGGCGTAAGCAAATATGACCTTCGACTCATTTTCAGAAAATTGGGCTTACCCGATGCATGCGCGGAGGCCAGCGGCTACAGAGAAATCAGATACTATTCAATAACAAGCAAATGTGTACACTTACAAAAGTTCATCCTACGGTATACCATCGTCAGTCGAACTACCTTTATTCCGTCGAGACTAAGAAACTCACAAGTTCGCATACATGCCGACCGACACCTGGCTATCCTTATCCTTCTCAAGGAACCTTTCGGGCCTGAACGCATCCGCATCTTCGCCCCACACTTGCGGAATCCTACATTATGAAATGACATGAGAATAGTTCAAGTCAGTCCTGAGACATTCTGTGAGTGTTATGGCAGAGAGCTTCAAGAGGACCCACCTATTGTAGGCACAAATCGGGATCTGGATGTTTTGGCCTTTACTGATAGGTATCGCGGAGATTTGCTCCCCAGACTTTGTAGTGATGGGATACGCCAGAGGAATTACGTCGTCTCTACCAGCTGTGCGACCCAGATTCCAGACAATTGGATGCAACCGCATGCCTTCCTAAAATTCAGACCAAAGCTGTATCAAGTGCCTATGACCTCTCAAGGAAAGATGAAATATGTATGGTGCATACCTTCAAAACGGCCTGAAACATGGGCAAGACTTCGAGGTCGGTTGTGCTGAAATCACGATCGCCGCGAGCGGTGGCCTCTGCCCTGGCGACAGATAGCTCCCCGCGAATCTGGACCTGGTACTCGGGATGTTTGGCCAGCTCCCACAGAAGCCATGTGATAGATACCGCTGTGGTATCGTGGCCTGCCAGCAACAGAGTCGCTATTGGGGTGATGACGCGTCAGCAAATCTCGTCCGTGGAACGTAGAGCTCAAAAAACGCAGCACAAAGCGGTTGGGCGTCAGACTCACAAACTTGATCGACAACCTCTCGATCCGATAGCTTCGTCTTTGGGTTCTCGGACTTATTTGCCCTAAGAAGAATACTAATGATATCCTTCCCATTACCTGTCCCCTCGCTCTTCTCGACAAGTTCCTTGGCTGCGCCTCTCACATAGTCAAGGTAATGACGGAAGCGGGTGTATTCACGGCCTGGAAGGTAGCGGAAGGCATGGAGGAGGGCCTCCGGAAGGACGCACCATGTTGCTTTGAAGACCGTGTCAAATTTGGACGGGTAGAGGGTAGAATCGATGCTATGACAATATGATAAGTCAATGTCTGGGGTAGCAGGGACGGATGCAACTCACAAGAGGTTTCTGTACACGGCCGCGAGGGGACTGTTCGTGTTATCGAGTGCACCAAAATTGTAATCGAAACCCGCTTCACCGATGACATCGAGCGTCATACGAGAGATCCATTTCGTGATGTCAATAGTGGGAGACCCGGTGGGGTCGGATGCCATCTCGTCTTTCCACTTCTGCATCAACTATGTATGGGATGACAACACATCAGAGGACACTCGTACGTATACATAAAATCAAGAGGTCACAGAATGGGCCGAACAATGACATACCTTGGCAGCAGCCCTATGGAAGAGTGTCGCAAAGCCTTTCAATTGTGCTGCATCGAACGCAGGATTCATAACCTTCCTGTGGCGACGATGGTCCTCACCTATGATAATGGGATCACATACACGACCACATTGTCGACCTAAGTCAGCCCAAGGACAACAAGAAAGAAGGGCCATAAGTTACACACCCTCCGTCCAAACGAGTCCGTCGCCTGTGATAAACCGCACGATTGCCCTTATATCCTTGCGTTTGGAATAATGGTATCCTGATGTGTGCAGGACGTATTGCAGGGCCTTGGGATCAGCGAGTGTAAGGTATTCCTCCTGTCCAAAATGAACGACATCGTTAGATATGGAGAGTAAAACCATCACCAGCCTTGTGCGCGACGTTGACCACAGCCCAAGAGCATCAACCATTAAGGGGGGAAACATACGCCCATGATGCCCATCGAGCGCCAAGCTGTTCCATACTGGCGAAGCCACTTGAATTCGACGTCGCCCACTTCGTTCTGGTACCTCGTGTCTTTCTCGTTTCCTAAGACAGCGAACGACGAGAAAAAAGCAATAGACACACATGGTGAGCAGGAAGATAACCACAAATGAAATTTATGAAAAGATTCAGACGTACCGAGCCAGAAAGAAGTGGACGGGGGACCTTGTAAGTCTTTCAACGTCCGACGACGAAGGTAAGTTACTGCGATCTTGACGAACGCCAATAATAGGAGAAGCGAGGAGCCAGTGAACAGCAAAGACATGTCCGCCATCCTGATATTTTCTGAGGCAGAATCACTCAAGAACAATGGGACGATGAGGTCTGACTGAAGCATTTAAACGATACCATCAGCAACTTTCTTAGGGCCAAAGCCTATTCGTTAGGGCCGAAGTGTAAGACTGGTTCAGGTCAGCAAAGTCACGCAGCGCAACTCACCTACTTCGCATTGCCATAACCATCTTCCTATGGGAACGACATGGATGGATATAGATCGTCGAAAGAGAGGTTGTATGGCACGGCCCACCCGACAAGACATGTTATGGGTCAACAAGCCAATCAGCGTAGGATTCCGGACTCGAGGCATTGCCTCAGGGCACGTACAGTACCACGAGGGGAAGGAAGTTAGTGGGCCCGAAGTAGGAGGGGTAAGGCTCTGCCAGAAGCACAAAATGTCCATATCAAACAGCGATGCTGTATGTGAATACGTGTCAAGTGGTCTGTTTTACTGACGAAATTGACAACCAAAGGTAATATTGTCGATACCATTGGTCGTGTGGATGAGTTGCGCCTGGAACTCAGGTAGAGCTTTGATTTTCTTTGACGAAGAGAAGTCGATGCAAAGTGATGGATTGATACTGCCGGGAGACCCGAACAACATGCAAAGAACATCTGTATGTACCTATGACTATCGTCTTTCGACCACGGTAGTAATCGCAGGATTGAACTACAGTTTGGTTCTCAAAAAGCGAACAGTGTGGCACTGATGGCTTGAATATTGTCCAGAGGTAGGAGTGAAACTGAACGGGGACGTCAATTCCTTGAAGAGTAGGATACGTAACTGCGAGGCAAACAAAACACATACATCCATGGAAAGAACGGAAGCATGCTCAACCGTGTCAGATGAACTGCTCATGCGATGTACCGCATAATGGAAACCCACTCAAAGTGGTCCACGGTAGCCATCACCGATCTTTCCATCCGCTGTTGTCTCCCAAGGGCTGCAAGGTGAAGCAACTAGTTCTACGAATCTGGCCATGCTTTCTGTACACAGTGACCCAAATAGAGCGACGCGGGGCCCATAAACTTTCGCAGCCGGGAATCACGAGCAAGCATAAATGAACTTCTCGACCTTGTGACAAGGCGATTGACGACTCTAAGTCGACGTCCTCCGCTGAGGCAGACAGGCCCGATGGAGGTCAAAACACAAGGCGTAACATTACACACATACTGGACAATGTGCTGCTTCCAAATCGGATCTTGAAGTTCGTAGCTTTGAGTAACGGTGTCATTCATTTGGTCTACGATGACTGTTCCATGTAGGTGAGGCCTGGAAGCCGGTTATGTTGGGAACGAGCTGAGGCCGTTTTACCAAATCAGAGACCAAGTAAACCGTGATTTTCTCACTGTACAGCTCCGCAAAGTCGTAATGCCAGGTGAGGACGTAGACATTGAAGAGTATTGAGTCGAAGCTGGAGAGGACAAGTATGCTGCGGTGGGGTGGATGCTGGCGGATGTTCAAGTTCAAGAGTTTTTGCGCGACGCGTTCAGTTGGCTGACGGAGAACCCGTAATTTGGCGCCACTACCGCCACCGCCACCTTCAACAAGTATATGTAATCGCTGCACAATTGCGGGGGTGCAGCATCTCTTCTGACGTCTGACAAAAGTAGGCGTATTGTGTTTTTGCAGAATGACTTCAGAGGATTTACATCAAGAACTATACACATAGGATATCGAACCAACGAGCATTGAGCCAACAAGATGGTTAAGAAAGCCACTTCGGCCGTCCGTGATACTCCTGCTTTGCAAAGTCGCGAGCGTAGTAGATAAGATACAAGAAGGCGTCAACAGAAGGCTCGTATGGGGAATCCTGGCAGTGGGTAGCACAAGCAACGAATTTAACAGATGGTGCCACAAATACAATATGAGGGGGCGAGCACCGACAACAAACGGCAACCAAACAAAACATCATCAAAATTCGTTAAATCAGTAAGCATAAGTACGTCAGTACTCCGTAAAACTAATCAAGAACAGGACATAGTAAGCCTCCAAAAAGCTGACCTCCGCCTCCTAATCAAAATCGTGTCGCATCTTACGAAATCCGAAGTCATCCACGTCGGCAGAATTCCCCTCCTCAAACGGCGCGCACAGAAAAACAGTCCTACTTATCCTGATCGAAAAACGCGACCAGATCTCCCACAGGTACCTTCTTCTTCCCCACCAAATCCTTAACCCCCGATTTCCTACTCAAACTCTCCAACGCCTTCGCCCTCCTCTCCTGTTTCCTCACCAACAACGGATCCACGAACTTACCATCTCCTCTCCCCGATGGTGTCGTTGGCACGCTCTCGATCCCACCACCAAAACCACCACCGCTGATACCCAGCCCGACGTTCAGGCGTTCTGTGGATTTCGAGCGCACGCGGGGTCTGAGGGGAGTGATGGGTGATGGAGCGGCCATGGAAGGTGGTGAAGAGACGGTTCCGGCGGAGAGGTTGAGCGTGCTGTAGCCTGCTATGGGACCGTAGGATGACTGAGCGCGGATGCGAGAACTAGAGGGTGACGTTTTCTGGTTCGAAACACCTTCCGTATCGCTCACGGCTAACAAATCTCCCGCCCCGCTGCCATTGCCGTTGGAAGAAGCCTGAGCCTGCGCCCTCGAGAACTTCAAACTCCTCGACGCAGACTTTCCGATCGTCTCGTCGTACGCATCATCCCTCTCGTCATCCTCAGACACATACGTCCCACTCAAACTTTGCGAATCAGACAACTCGTCTGCATGGATAGGACCAGGTGAAGCGGTGAACGGATCGCCGGCGCTGTCTGAGATATCGGATTCCCGACGTTTCGTGAGTGGAGCGCCGAGAGCGACCGTGTATCGTTTTCGAGGCGTTGGGCTGACACTCGACGGCCGTGGAGGTTGGGGAGGTTGTTGGAGTCTGTTGTTGGTGCTATTATTGTTATTGTTATTACCGGTGATGTTCGTGGTGACAGCGGCGGTGCTACTCCCACCACTGCCTACGGGTGTCGGGCTCGGAGATGCAGCAGGTGGCGACATCGATCTCGGGAGACCAGACGCCGTAGCGAGAGAGTACGAGTTCGTTGGAAGACCGGAGACAGAGACGGGTCGGTTACGAGAGGCGGTGTTGAGGGAGGATGGTGGGGAGTTGGTGGGCGAGAACATGCCTTGGTTGAGGATGACGCTGTCGGGTGGCGTGGCATAGTCGCCTGTAGGGTATGGGAGGCGACTCCGGGGAGTGTTGGAATGCGAGGTGACGCCAGCGGGGACGAAAGGCGGGCTACGAGTGTCAGACTCGCGCCGAGAGAGGGATGGCGTTCGAGATTGGGATTGGGTAGGGATGGGTTGGGCGGTTACGGGGATAGCCGTACTAGAAACGACGCGGGGATGTGAGGTTGTTGTGACAGGTGTTGGAGCGGGGGTTTGACCGTGAACGACGATGGTGGAGTTAGTCGGCGGTGCGGATGAGACTGGGGCGGAAGACCGTGAAGGTCCAGAAGAGAGGTTGGAGGGGGCCGTAGCCATCTTTGCCATTTCTCGGCCAAGCTCGCCGATCCGACCTTGCAACTCAACCATTTCATCCCTAATCTCGCTTATGGCCTGATCGGGAGAAGTCTCGTCCTCGCCTTCAGCGGCTTTCTTCTCCTCCTTCTCCACCAACCACCGTTCTACGTCGCTCATACGGTCCTCCAGAGCCCGAACATGGCTGACCGTCCACTTCTCCAATTTCTCGAATCGTTTGGCGATGGTGAGGAGGGTAGTGGGGACGTCGAGAGTACCTTGAGAGTTGAATTGGGCGTAGAACGGAGGTTGTTCTCTGGACGGTGATGCAGGTTGTCCGTCTTGCGGCCGGGCTGGTGAAGGGGCGAGACTGGGTGGGAGGCTCATAGTACGCTCAGCGCCGGGTGGCGTGGACGGGACGGGAGACGACGACATAGGCCTGCGGGGAGGAGGGAGAGGAGCAGCGAGGTTGAAGAATGCCGGATCGTTGAACTTGGCATCGCTCGACGCAGGCCACTCATTCAACGACTCTTTCGCCCTCACCTTCTCCTTCTGTTTCGCCATCTTCTTCTCCTGCTTCTCCTTCTCCTTTGTCTCCTGAATGACCTGTTGGGCAGGCGTGAGCTCTTTCGTAGGAGTCAACCTGCTCTTCGCGGCTATCCACCAACTCGGAACACCACTCTTCTGCGAGGCAGATGGAGAGGGCGGATCGGGCATTGCTGCAGGCATGGTCTGTGCGCGTGTAGGCGATCCGCGAGGCGGGATCTCGAACATAGCCATGACTCTCTCCTCCATCATCCTCCGCTCCTCCGCTTCTTGGATCAATATCCTCTCAGCCTCCCTCCTACTTCGATCTCTCTCACGTTCCGCTTCGGCCTCGAGTTCGGCGTCGGTGGGCATGTGGCCTGAGCGTGGTGATTGTATGTTGTTGACGAGGGTGCCCATGCGTTGGGCGAAGGTGGAGGCGAGATTCGTTACGGAGGCGCCGGGTGATTGTGTTGTTTGACCCCAGGGGGCATCTTCGTCGTCTTCGTCGTCGGAATCATCTGAGCCATCTTCACTTCCACCGCGTCCAGGGCTGCCAGTTGCAGAGGTAAAGCTGTGCCGCAGAGGAGATGGGGGTCGGAGGGCTTGTTGGCTGTTGCCGAAGACGGGTTCGGGCTACGTTATGATATTAGTGTAAGGCCGATCTGAGGAACACGAGGATAGAATATATGTACGAGGTTAAGATTGGCCGGAGGTGGCAAGGAGGGAGAAGTCATACGCCTCTGCTGTTTCTGGCTCAGAGGCGCGTTCGTGATCGATACTGCAGAATGAGGAGAAGCCATCGCTGGCGACTACGAAGCGTTCGAAATAGTACAGAACGATGGTACAGATTATTCTTGGAGCTTGATGTTTACCCGTAGACGAAGACGTTTACCGCCCGAAGAGGCAGTGTGACTTCGGACCTACAAGCCCAAGACGAACTACAACGATTATCTGTATTATTTCGTGGTAGTACAAAAGTACAGACTCACCTGCGTCCCCGTACTTACCTGGTTCGTCCTGGTCGTTAACAAAAAGGGCGTGGAAGCATAGAAGCCTCGTTCGCACAGGCTCCCAAAGTCGAACACTCTTATCCCGGCAACTCCCGGTTCGTCTTCACCGCCGACCACGACGAGCAAAAGCCTGCCCAAGATGGATAGCGCGTCGGCCCAGCTTCAGCCTCTGTTCAACTATCTCACATACTCTCTTTCTAACTTGGAGACTAACTTCTATAAGATTCCTGGTTCTCACGTCGTCGCCCGCTATGTCAAGTCGTCGTACCGTAACGATCCTGGCCGTAGTCTCCTCGAGCTCATTCTAGTCATATTCGCTATCCGCACGCTCTTACAGGCTAGGACGCGTTCGGAAACTGGAACGAAACACTTCATCCAGTTTTCTGAGAAGGTCTGTGGTTCAAAGTCTATGGATACGACTTACATTGCTCATAGCAGGGACCCACATTCTAGGAAGTCGATGAGCTTGTGGATGAATGGATTCCGGAGCCTTTGGGAGCAGCGCTCTCCCCTGAAGAGGAGAATGAACTTGCTTCTATCCCCGTCATCGTTGGTGCGAATGGTCCTAAGCCTAAACTCGCCAGCGGCAAGCAGGTCACCAACCTCGCGAGCTACAATTTCACCGGTCTCGCTGGCAACGAAACCATCAAAGAGCGTGCCATCGACGTCCTGCGCAAGTATGGTGTGGGCAGTTGTGGGCCTCCCGGATTCTACGGTACTGTCGGTACGTGTTCCACTCTGTGCTCTGGCGATGTCCTCGACGGCGTCCGGCAGTTGTGCTGAGCTCATACCCGCTTTGTCAGACATACACATGGATCTGGAGCGCGATATTGCCGACTTTTTGGGAACCGAAGCTTCTATCCTCTACTCCCAGGACTTTTCGACCATCTCCTCCGTTATTCCGGCTTTCTCCAAACGTGGAGATGTCATCGTCGCTGACCGTGGTGTCAAGTTCGCCATCCAGAAGGGTCTCCAGATCTCCCGTTCGACTATCCGTTGGTACGACCATAATGACCTCAAGAGTCTCGAGGAGGTTCTTGAGAGTGTCGACAAGGAGCGCAGGAAGAAGAGGTGGCCTCTGACACGTCGGTTCATCGTTACCGAGGGCATCTTCGAGCAGGATGGCGCAATGACTGACTTGCCTAAGATCGTACGTCTATCACTTGTCCGATATGTCTGCCCGAGTCTCATTTCTGACATTAACTTCTTAGATCGAGCTGAAGAAGAAGTACAAGTACCGTTTGATCTTGGACGAAGGTATCTCCTTCGGTACTGTTGGAAGGACCGGCCGTGGCTTGACTGAGCTCTACAACGTCCCTGTACGTCCCTTACTGGTACTGCCGTTCACTTGATACTGATATTATCTCAGGCGACCGAGGTTGACATGCTGGTTGGTTCCGTCGCTAATGGTCTTCACGCCTCTGGAGGTTTCTGTGCAGGTGCCACCCACGTTGTCGAACATCAGGTTCGTACTCTCTTCCCCTCCGACTCCATCGCAAATAGAACTTATACTGACCCCGATATTCCTTCACAGCGCATCAACGGTACTTCCTTCGTCTTCTCCGCCGCCACGCCCGCGCTCCTTGCCGCGAGCGGTTCCGAAGCCATCTCCATCCTACGCAACACCCCCTCTATCCTCTCTACCCTGCACGAAAACATTCGGACCATCCGCTCCGTTCTCGAGCGCATCGATCTCATCTCCGTCCCCTCACACGCCGCCAGCCCCATAATCCTCTTCACCATCCGCACCCCAGCCGAACTCGCCTCCTCCTCGTCCTCCAGCACCCTCGCGCTCCCCACCGCCTCGCACCACGGACCCGGAAAACACTCCCATTCGAACCCTACGTCCGTCCAGCCCCGCGATGCGCCCGAGTTCGATATCGAAGCTGAGGAGAGGTTATGTCAGGAGGTCGTGGATGAGTGCATGGCACAGGGGGTGTGGATTAATAGGGCGAAGAGGTTGAGGGGGCAGGAGTGGTTGGAGTGTAGGCCTAGTGTGAAGATCTGTGTTACGGCCGGGTTGAGCAGGAAGGAGTGTGAGAAGGCGGCGGGGGTGATCAAGGCGGCGGTTGTTAAGGTTTTGGGCAGGAGGCGGTGAGTGGTGGGAGGCTTGTGTATACCCGATCGACCTAGTAGGATCTCGAGCTTGAGTTTCTTTTTGGTTACTCGTTATTAGACGTATGTTATTTTAGTTGGCTGATTAATTGTTGATATGACCTCGTTTTGACGAGTGTCCTCTTAGCCGAACTGCCTTTGAGAATGAACACCCTGGACCATGACACCGAAAATGTCGTTGAAGGTCTATCTAAACGCCCTCGTAACTCTACTTTGACCACTGCACATATCCTTGGCTTTATAGAGTCGCTTTATCCTTCACTTCTTCGGAGATCGGAGCAGGAGCGAATATCCATGATGCTGTCGTCCTGGACGCAGCTGAAATGGAGGATGGCCGCCGCCATGGGCCGTTGTTGGTGGGTTTACATTGCGCGGATACATCACCAGCACGCATTGAGCTCGTCGGATGAGCCGGTCATACCTAGCGCTTGTCGTGCACTCTGTCCACCTTCCGGTGCATATACTTACAGCGTTCTCATTGGCTTGACGACGTCCACTCATGCCTCCTTGCTCGATCGGTGGCATCCACTCTGCTGCTCACCTTCGTTCAAACGTGGACAACGCTCCAGCGGCCACAGCTCTTTCGCTTGAACCAGACTGAGACGCGATCTAACATATTCACGCATCGGCTACATTGTCCGGGGCTGTCCAGCACCGACGTCAGTCCCCTCTTGCGAGCCACCTACATTATCTGTCCGGATCATGAGAAGCATGAGGTCGGTTGGTCCGTTGATAATCTGCTGACCGCAGTCCGTTTTCTGTAGATGGGATGCCACCAACTCCTGGAGCTCAAGTCTTACAAGGGCATTGTTTCCTTTGACTTTGACTGGCACCCTCAGACGAGGAAAATTATGGCTGGATTATCTCTGTTGCTCACGGCCTTTTTGTTGCTCTTGTTGTCCGCGTTCATCAAGAATATCGTGACTTACCTTCGTCGCCGAACGTTGAAGGACTTGCGGGGTCCCCCGTCTACTTCATTCTGGCTTGGTACGTCCCCCCATCTCGTACTCTTGATTACCATTTATTTTGGTTCCTGATTTCTTCTCCCGTTCGCCGTCGTAGGCAACGAGAAGGATGTCCGCTATCAGAATGAAGTGGGTGATGTCTAGTCTCGTACCAAACGGTGGATATAACCGTTTGGTACGAGACTAGGTGATGTCGAGTTTAAGTGGCTTCGCGAGTATGGGATGGCCTGGCATTCGACGGGCGTCATGGGTGTAAGTTTCTGACTATGATCCATTCTCACCTTCATCACTTATGATGAGCTCCTTGCGCACTGCGAATCCTCTTCTTTCTTTCTGCTTTCGGTATGGGCGGACGATCGTGTTTGCAGGAGGAAGACCTTACCCTCGCAGATCCTAAGGCCATGCAGCACATCCTCCATGTATCAGGATACAACTATCCCAAACGCAAGGATATGAGGGCTCTAGTGAGGCTTATCACAGGCGATGGGATCATTTGGACAGAGGGTGTGTACTTTCCGAATAGATTCCTTTGTTTTATGTGATCTTAGTTTGTTCATGCGCCTGTCTATGTGGTCCCATTTCTACAGGGGAGGACCATCGTCGCCACAGGAAGGTTATGAACCCTGCGTTTGTCACAGCCCAATTAAAAGGCTTTCTACCTCTGTTCCACAGAACTACGGAAAAGGTCTAGCATTCTTCGTCTCCCTCATTCTGTGTGTCCCTGATACTCATTCTATGTACGCAGCTGACGCAGAATTGGAAGGATGAGGAAATCGCGACCGACCCTAATGGTTCCCCTACCATAGAGATCACGAAATAGATGTCCCATACGACGCTCGATGTTATCGGCGAAGCGGGCTTCAACTACAACTTCGGTGCGCTTGACAATTCGGGCAGTGCTCTCTCGGCCGTATATAAGAATCTTTTGTGAGCCTCACATCTCGTACTACAGTACTTCCTCCTTTACATCGACATCGCAGGCTGACCGGTGATTCGTGTCCATCCATCATCTAGCATCGACTCTAATCTCTACCCCTCTAAACTCGACATTGCTTTCAAGGCTACATGGCATTATATTCCTGAGCCTATCCTGCACCTCTTTCGCTATCTTCCGAGAAGAGAATACACACGCTTCCGACATTATCTAGACTTCATTAGGAACATGGCCAGGGATATCATAGGGAAGGGCGAAGAGGCGGGGAATCGGAAGGATATTATCAGTATTCTTCTGAGGGCGAATCGCTCAGAGAACCCGAACACAAGGTTGACGGATATAGAGGTCGTGGACCAGGTGTGTGAGTGGCAGGTTTTACTCCGCTTTCCAAGTTGTAGACAAGTTGCGCTAAGGACTTCACTATCTAAATAACGACGCTGTTGCTGGCGGGCCATGATACCACTGCGACGTCCCTCACTTGGATCTTTTGGGAGTTCGCGAAACATCCTGAGTGTCAGATTCAAATCCGCGAAGAGATCGCCGTCGCCAGGGCAGGGGCCACCGCTCGTGGTGATAGTGACTTGAGCATAGCCGACCTCGAAGGCCTCACTCTGCTTCAAGCCGCGCTGAAGGTATCTTCGTCCCACCTGAGAAGCCGTGGTGACCTGGTACGACCTTGGTCTGGTTTCTAGGAAGGGTTACGTTTGCATCCAATCGCCGGTGCTTTGGTCCGCACGGCGGGTGGAGACGACGTGATTCCGCTTGCATACCCCATCACTACGAAGTCTGGGGAGCAAATCTCCGCGATCCCCATCAGTAAAGGGCAAAACATACAACTCTCCATCCATGCCTACAACAGGTAAGCCTGCAATACATGTGGCACTCACAGAAATGTGTCTTTCTTGGCCTGAACTGACACTATATTACTACGTAGATCACCGCAAGTATGGGGAGACGATGTAGATATATTCAAGCCCGAACGGTTCCTCAACAAAGATAACATATACTACTCATTTCCCCCGCCACAATGTGACTGGCAGCTGGAGATTCTCGTGAGCTTCCGTGGCATGCTTACTTCCATACGAAACACTTACATTTGACGAATCGACAGCGTTCTTGAAATGCAAACCATACTCGCCGGTCTCCTCGAAAATTTCCACTTCGCCCTGCCCGATAACGCCAAGGAGATGCAAATTCTGCGCAAGCCTGCTGGGGTTATGTTGCCGATGGTAAAGGATCATTTGGAGCTGCCAGTGGGGTCATGGATGGGCTTGAAGGTGACGAGTGTGCAGTAACGTCATTGCAAAGTATCATACTGTAAGACTGTGTTCAAGGACTATATACTATACATGTTCGTCAATCTGACAGAGAGACGGTCAGCATAAGTATATCACTGCAAAATCGGCGACTCAGTGGTGTCATGATAGATGGGCCAGAGAGATTGCATAGTTCCACTATGGACATCTGGTCTACTATACTTACTCACCTTACTGTTCCACAATATTTGTTGCCCTTTCGATCAGCGCGACGTTCGATATCCGAGAGGAATGTGAGGCATGACTTCACGATCACTAGAGGCGCCACCTGGACCCGATTATTTATAGCAGGGATAAGGTGCAGCCATAAATCTTGTATTTATTAGACATGGTAAGGACCGCATCTCGCGCCTGAGAATGTGGTATAACAATGAGACTTATCTCATTCACCTCTGTGGTACTTAAATATTTGGGTGCCCCGAGTGTCTGTCTGTGATTGGTGAGAGACGGATGTGGCGTTTTGGTGGCGTTTCTCGCCAAAGTTCTGGTCCTACGCAAAGCTCCGAGCGCCGTCACAGCCGACCTCGCCGCCTTTGTCCCCAAATCGCGACCACCGCCGCGCCCACCACGCTCTGCAAGCTGCATGAAATCCTGGTATACCTCATGCCTCTTACCATTGACGTTTTCTGCAACCAGTGACTGACTCTTGTAACTCGTTTGACAGTCACCATGCCCTCTCTCCTCGACATGCCCAACGAGCTCGTCTTGATGATCGCGGAATCGTTCGATTATCGAAGCACCTTCAGCCGTCCGTCAGACGACATCGTCGCTCTTTCTACTGTCTGTAAGAAATTGCGCGAAATTACAGCATCGTTATGGCGTCGAGTCTCGCGCCGCTTGTCAGTGCCGGCTTGCGAAGCCACCCTGGCAGATTATAGCCTCTGCCCCAATGCTGCGACAGTGTGCGCACACGAAAAGGATCTCGATGGGTTCTTGCGCTCAATATCGTATCTGCGTCTGCTATTGCCCGCACCACACCTTTTCTTTGCATATCGACAGGATCGTTCAGGTCAAGAACGTCCACTCCAATATTGTCCTTATTGCACGCGTCTCGCAGCCCATATCTTTAACCTCCAACGCGAACAGTTATTATATATTCCCCTACGGGGACTCTGGATTTCACTTCCCCACCATGATGTGTCCAAACAACACCCAGGCACCGATGTCGCGTGCAGAGACTTCCTCGTACGGTTAACAAGTATCTCTTCCCTGCGGCATATCTACATAGTGGAACACCTTGATTACAAGGATCGATCGCACGCAGACTTTGAGACATCGTCATTGTTTTGTCCGACAATCCCCGCTAGGTTGCCTGTGGAGCTCCTGGTAGTCGGGGACCGCTTTCCATCTCGCAGACTTGATGCGTATCATGAAATCATCCCTAATCTGCGGAAGCTCTGCAGCAATGGAGCGCGCATGACGACATTCCCAGGGAAATGGAGGCAGTCGTTACACACGCTAAACCTGAATAACTGGAAGCGCGTCTTTCAATCTCTTGCTCAGGTACTTTTTAATCCAATCTACGCACTTTCTCGCACAGTACTGACAGTATATTTGAGTCTTTCCCTTGGCCTAAGGTCGACGGTTTTAATCTCGACATACCTGAAGATGATATTCTCGCGACTTCTGGCTGTCGTGCTATCCATGTGGACTTCGAGCTTTGCCAAATCTACCTTGGCTTTCTCAACAGTCCAGATACAGTATTTCGTTTACTTGCCCCCCGGCTACCACGAATCATGTCGCCAGTGAAGAATTTAACCTTATTTATGGGGTGCCAACGTGGACACATTCGTAGCAAGGTTGGGATGTCACTTGTTAACGTGGTAGGTGTTTATATCTTTCTTCAGTCAATATAGTTATTCTCTCTGACCACTATGCACTGCAGATGGCTCTCGAATCAATATTACCACAACTTCCATGTCTCATACAGCTGGAAATAGACCTCGATGGCTCTTCCTTGGTGAGAGCCATCGCTCCATTCCGTTTGAAGCAATACACGAACTCGATGGCATCTGTGTCTCCGAAGCTACGATGTATCAGGATGCACCTCTTCCTGGTGAAGCCAGACAATAAACCGCTGGAACGTGGTATGGGCTTCCTGTGTCTTTTCGGGAGGTTCGAGGTCCAACGACGCGATGGATGCGTTTCGGTCGAGGAAGTATGTGCGGTTTGATTGAGTAAATTGCACCCCATGCCATATTTCTTGCTTTTGTTTTCGTAGATGGAGATAGGAGAGAGTCTTCGCATGGTGAGAGGTCTTGGGTGACTTACTGGTGAGAATGAAGGCGGTCTTCTTCTATTCTCGCTCCGCTGTGTCCGCACGATCAGTACAGCTTAAACTCACCTTAATCATCTTCTATAGCGTACCAGCACTTCCTTCTTCGTCTTCTCGCCGCCACGCTTATCCTCCTCGACGCCAGAGGCTCCGAAACTATCTCCATCCTACACAACACCCCCTCTATCCTCTCCACCCTGTACAAAAGCATCCGGACCATTCGTACCGTCCTCGACCGCATCGATCTCATTCTACACGCCACTAGCCCTACAGAATTCTTCACCATCAGTACCCCAGCCTCCCTGGCCTCCCTCGCCGCCGCCTCCTCTTCCCCCAGCACCCTCGCGCGCCCCACCGCCTCGCACCACGGACAGGGAAACCGCCCCCATTCGAACCCCCCGTCCGTCCAGCCCCGAGATGCGCTCAAGCTCGATATCGAAGTTGAGGACAGGTTGTGTCAGGGGTTCGTGGATGAGTGTATGAGGTGGGGGCTTTGGATCGATAGGGCGAAGAGATTGAGGGGGAGGAGTTGTTGGAGTGCAGGCCGAGTGTGAAGGTTTGTGCTACGGCGGAGCTGAGTAGGAAGGAGTGTGAGAAGGCGGCGGGGGTGATCGAGGCGGCTTGTCCCAAAGCTTCTGTGAAGGAGACGGTAAGTGGTGGGAGGCTGCTGGTTACCCGATTTACTCAGTAGAGGTTTCGAGCTTGAGTCTTCCCGTTATCAAATGCATGATATTCACATGCTGACTGGCCATTGGCATGACCTTGCTTTGATGCGTGTCATTCTAGCCGGATTTCCTTCGATGAAGGTCACATTGGACTGGAAGAATGAAATCAAAGTTGGATCTGAATAGTCTGAAGCTTCAAGCCGCGGTTCTGCACCCAGGCATCTTATTCCACTCTGGTAGCTCGATGACGTCTTGATTGAGAAATCATGCTCAAGGCTGAAATCAAGCGAGTCGTCAGCTCGATGCGTTGACCTCCATCGAGTCCGCATGGCTCAGTGGACAGATTTAGACGCCTCCATCGTCTGTGCTCCACAGCCTGGGCTGCCCTTTCGTTGCTGCTCGTGGCCGTCAGCTGTGCAGGTTCTACATGGCTTTGTTTGAGCAGTGGCACACGTTTTAGCCCTCATAGGGTCGCGTTATGCTTCAGCTCTTCGAAGACCGGAGCCATCGGGACAGCCTCTGTACTTTTTCCAGTACGGTTTCAACATCTGGGCAGCATTCATGTTGTCGGTGTCATACCACAGCTCTCTCAATGGACCGGCCCGAAATGTTGTCGATAATCACGGAACGACGACCGTGGTCGAATGAGGAAGGTCATGGGTGCAGCTGTTGTTTGTGTCTCACGACCACGGTGGTATGATGACCTCTCTCGATGAAAGCAAACATGGTTCGATGCGTGCAACACAACACATGCACAGCCAATCGCGCTCCAACGATTTGCCTTGATTTCAATACACACCCGTGGCATAGATGGAGTTGCGTACAATATCGCTGTTTCCGTTGCGATGTTGTACCTCATACAACCGCCCACGCCGAAGTCCCTACGTCCCTCCCTCGGCATGCATGGACTTTTCCTCCGTAACGGTACGCCCTCTGGGTTCATATCTCCTCAAAATCTCACACAAATTCATTTTGGCTCTGTTAGTGTAGATCGAGGCTACCCTTCGTCCTCGCGTTCGGCGATATCCTTGTCGTTCCCATAGGAAGAGGGTTCTGATCATGAGAAGAATGTTGTTGTTTGTTCCGTCGGTGTCGTGCTTACGCGTCCGTCTTACGATTCCAATACGATTCGGCCCTATGGAGTCTGTAGTTGGTATTAAATACTCTTGCTCAGGCCGTTTGGTGTCATTGTTCCCTTTCGCTCTGACCAGTACCCTTATACGAGGAGCACTATGGCGGCGGATATGTCTCTGTTGCTCAAGGGCTCATCGCTGCTTTTGTTGTTTGCGCTCGTCAGGACTGCTGTGACTTATCTTCGTCGTCGAACGCTCAAGGACTTGCAAGGCCCTCCGACTACTTCATTCTGGCTCGGTTTGTCTTCCCACCACATCGCGTTTCGATATTCTCGATTCTCATAGTTTGGATCATCACTTCTCTTCGCCCGTTTGCTGTCGTAGGAAACGAGAAGGACGTCCGCTTTCAGAATGAAGTGGGCGACGTCGAGTTTAAGTGGCTTCGCCAGTACGGTACGGCCTGGCGGTCGACGGGCGTCATGGGGGTAAGTTCCTTACTATGACCTAATTTGGCCCTTGGGGCTATCAGCTTCTTGCACACCGCTAATCTTTGTTTTCTGTTCTGCACTATTCGACGATCACTTTAGGAAGAACACCTTACCATCGCTGATCCCAAGGCAATGCAATATGTCCTGCACACATCAGGATACCACTTTCCTAAGCGCAAGGACGTGAGGGCGATTGTGAGGTTTATCACTGGGGATGGAATCGTTTGGACGGAGGGTACGTACTCGCCGAACCCTTCTTCGTTATTGTCATGATCTGGCTTAGTTCGACCCTGAAAATGTGTTTGTGTACGTAGGCGAGGACCACCAACGCCACAGGAAGGTTATGAACCCTGCGTTCAGTTCTGCACAATTGAAGGGCTTTGTGACACTCTTCCATAGAGCTGCGGCAAAGGTTTGTCGCTCTCCACCCCATTTTGGCTTCGGAATATATGAACGTCTTCTGATGCAACGTATTCTATGCAGTTGACGCAGAAGTGGAAAGACGAGGCGATTGCGACCGATCCTAATGGCGCTCCCACCATAGACATCACGAAATGGATGTCCCGTATGACGCTCGACGTTATCGGTGAAGCAGGGTTCGATTACAACTTTGGCGCCCTTGACAACTCGGACAGCGCTCTCTCCGCCGTATACAAGAATCTCTTGTGAGTCTTCGCCTCAGACCTCCCGACGATTCTGTCAACATCTCTGCTGAAGGGTTGTCCAATGCATCCATGATCTAGCATCGACTCGACTCTCTATCCCTCCAAATTCGACATGGTCTTCAAGTCTACATGGCGCTACCTGCCGGAGCCTATCCTCCACCTCTTTCGTTACCTTCCAGGCCGTGAGTACACCCGCTTCAGGCATTATCTCGACTTTGTCAGGAAGACGGCCAGGGAGGTCGTCGAGAAAAGCGAGGAGACAGGCAACGGGAAGGATATCATCAGTATTCTTATGAGGGCGAACAACTCTGAGAACCCAAAGACGAAGTTGTCTGATGTTGAGGTTGTCGATCAAGTTTGTGAGTGTCATGCTTTCGTTACCTTGATCTATGTCATAAGAATTTATAGACGAGTTGCGCTAATATCACCTCAACAGCGACTTTGTTGCTGGCGGGCCACGATACCACCGCGGTTTCTATCACCTGGCTTCTTTGGGAGCTCGCGAAGCATCCTGAGTACCAGATCAAGATCCGCGAAGAGCTCGCCGCTGCCAGGGTAGAGGCCACTGCTCGTGGTGATAGCGACTTCAGCATAGCGGACCTTGAAGGACTCACCATGCTTCAGGCTGCATTAAAGGTATGCGGCCAACAATTTCATTTATCCTCGAGAACTGACGACGGTATGATACGTCCGACCTCCAGGAAGGAATGCGTTTGCATCCAATCGTCTGGACGTTGGTTCGCTCTGCAGGTAGAGACGATGTGATTCCGCTTGCATACCCCATCACTACGAATTCTGGGGGGCAAATTTCTGCCATCCCCGTCAGCAAAGGGCAAAACATCCAAATCTCTATCTGTACCTACAATAGGTAAGCACTGCTTGCTGCCACTGCGAAAATATCTCGAAAGACTGACTTAAATGGATGTCGTGTCAACGCGTAGGTTGCCACAAGTGTGGGGCGATGATGTGGACACGTTCAGACCGGAACGATTCCTTAACAAAGATAAAGATGGACAAGTGTCGGTCGGCGTCTACGCGAATTTGTGAGTTCCTGTTCTCGACCAATATTGGAACATGCACTGACGGCGGCATTTGGCAGGCTCAACTTTTGTAAGACTATCCTTCTCATGGTTCTTCAGTGATACGTTTTGGCTAATGTATTTCCATAGCTGGTGGTCTCCGCGGATGCATTGGGTAAGTTCATCTTACTAAGCCTGAGTCTGAGTGACACTGACTTACGGCGTCACACGCACATATGTCAATCACACTCGATAGTTGGAGATTCTCGTGAGTTATTCATAACATGATTACCCCATGCGAACTGCTCACGCTGAACGTGCCGACAGCGTCCTTGAAATGCAAACCATGCTCGCCGGTCTCATCGAGAACTTCCACTTCACCTTGCCTGACAACGCTAAAGAGATGCAGATTTTGCGCAAGCCCACTGGGCTTATGGTGCCAATGGTGAAGGATCATATGGAGCTTGGGTCATGGATGGGCTTGAAGGTGACGAGTGTGCGGTGAATCATTTGTAGGCATTAAGTACTGTACGATGTTCAAGTTGTAAGGATCGTTGTTCATCTTGCTCGTTCGGTGATGATGCGGAATTTATTCGATAACACAACGATAACGGATTGAATAGTGGTGTAGTAACGACGTACAGTACTAGTGACACAAAATATATGTCACTATGAGATCGGTGGATAAATTGATCAGGAGGCCCATCGTCGTTGGCACGCCAGCCTGCAATTTCGGTACGGATCTGTTAATGATGTGTCTTGGGTTGCTTTGTTCCTTTCCGGTGGTTGGCACAAACATGAACGCGTGGCGAGACACGCGTTGTCGACGCTTGGCCTCTAATCGATATCGGTCCGCTCCCGGGCCGCGCACATTATAAAGGTTGCACAGGCCAGGGTCCTTGCCACCGTTCGTCTCTCTGCTCCCCCAACTAGGGCTCCGACAAAAAGTCGGTTGTTAATAACAGCTGTAAAAAAGTGCTGTTAATAACTGTTTATAACTTGTTATTAACAACCCTCCCAATACACTGGTTTATAGAGCTGTAAAAAAGTGTAAGAAATCTGGACGTCCGGAGGAGTAGATCCGCGTTCAGGGAAGACACTTTCGAGTTCCTGATCACTCCCCGTCGTATTCCATCCTCTCGAACCCCTAACCCGACCTAGACAGACCTTTACCCGAACCGATTCCCACCTCCACAGTCCGAGTCCGTCTCCCTCGCCACCGTAGCTTAGTCTCGTCCACGTCCAAGATTAAGTACGGTGGGTATTTTCGTCAACGACCTCACATACCACGAGCGTATGTGTTGTAGAACTTGCTCCGAGGGTTCAAATAGTGATCAAAAGCGATCAAAAGGACTCTTAGTGCTCTGAAAGCCCTCCAGGCCAGTCGAAACTGGCAACACCTGGGGACAAAAATAATATTTAATTCGATTTAAATAATGTGTTTTTAACTGTTTTTAACACCTGTAAAAAAGTCCCTCGGGGGCCACCGAGTTAATAACACGGCGTAACATCCGCTGTGGACTTTTTGTCGGAGCCCTACCCCCAACTGCTCCCCGCTGTCTCTTCGTTCTCACTCTGCTGCCAGCTCACTTGCTCTGTCAGACAAGTGTCGATCTAGGATCTCTCTTGCTTCTCACCCACCCTTATCTTGTCGACTTCTCACAACCGACGATCTCTCGAGGAAATGTCTACGCTCTCCGGCAGTTATAATCTGCTGTACTGCGGTCGTCCTCATCACTCCGACTTTGGCTTAACATCCCCAGATGAAATGGCGGCTCTCGAACGATATTACAAAGCCTATGCGGGTTCCATCAACATAGACATCGACGTGATAGACTTGCCCCAAGTAGATTACATCAAACAACTCAAGGATGCCCAGGACCGCGCAGCGACGATCACTTTGAGCGAGTTAGAGAGAAAGGCATCAACAGGCGATGCGGAGGCGATGATTGAGTTAGCATTAAGGTGCGTAATTGTCTCGTTTTCCATTGTTATTTACGGTCATTCATGGTGTATATCTCGTTTCTCCGCCGTCGCGTTCTGTCTCCAAGAAGTATGCAGGATACACTACCGACCTGAACAAGGACGCAGCAATGGAACTCTGGACCAAGGTGTTTATTATGATTAGCTTAAAGCCAACTCCGGAGGACAGAGTGCTCGCAGCGACGGCGACTTGCTACAACGCTGAATACTACTCGGCCGCATTCGACGAAGATCCTAGTACTAGCAAGCTCTGCCGTGCAGTCGAGTGTGCGGACTATGCAGTCATTTTGGGCTGTACCGCACCTCATGTGCTGCACGTCGCCCAACTTTATAAAAGGATATTATCCAGGCCCGATTTGGACGTGCTGCTCCCTCCCGAGGCACTGGCGGATCTCATCTCGCTACGAACGGAGTGGAAAGATCTTTTCGATCTATATGATAGGAGGGAAAAGGTATGTCGTGAGGCGAACGAACGTAGGGAGGCACAGGAAAGAATGAACCCGAACGCATACCGGTGCGCGAAGGATGGATGTCCAGTGCGAGCTACGTCTCATATGGGGTTGAAGAGGTGTTCCGGGCCGTGTCCTGAAGAGTACAAGCCGTCGTATTGTAGCAAGGAGTGTCAGCGGATCGTGAGTCGCCGAACACATTCTCCCTTCCATACACAGAAATGTGCGTACTAACTCTGCCTTGGCATAGGACTGGAAACTGCACAAGAAATACTGCAAGCCACGGGAGGATTCCACATCCGCTTCCATCGAGAGCTCTACTGCATTGTCGCCTTCGCCGCCTACGCCGGAAGAGCCCAAGAAGACTAAGAAGAACCGGAAGAACGTCGCCGACAAGGAGCGAAAGCACAGGGAACTGACGCTGAGTATTGCGGAGAACCTGGAGATCTCTTCGAGCCGTCTGAATGCGAATGAGATGAAGGCGTTGCACGCGTTGTGGACCGACGAGAGATATGAGGTACGAAGGCTGGCGTAGTGTATGGACTAACCCGAGTCCACGGCTGCACCTGATGAACTGGCGGTTCTGTGTCCAAATTCTAGTTACACTGTAGAGAATGATTTCGTATACAATTTCATTAGAGTCCGACTACTCTGCTTTGAAAACTCCACAATGATCGTTTATATGGGAGCAAGACTCGAATCTCCCATTTACTAGCCATTTTGACGTCGCCACCGCCACACAAAACACCTAGGACGGTTTTCGAAATATGAATCGCGACAAATTTTGCCTTCCTTTCCTTTTTTTCTCTCATCCAAACAGTGGATGCTGGCGCTCGCTACCTCCGACAGATCGTCGACCCAACCGCTAGCTATAGCCACGAAATTTGCCGTAGTGAAATCAGGATACTCTCTTAGACTGGCAGCGATCCTTGCCGGCCACTTGACGAACTCCTCCAGGTCCAGTATTCAGCCTCTCTTGCGCTCCCGTTAAGCGCTATCACTCGATACTCTCGAAGGATTCTCTATTCAGATTCATCAAACCGAGATGTCTGGCTTTCTACGTGAACTTAACATGGAAAGGGAGGAGGTTCCCGCCGACTTCGACTTCGGTGATATCGACTCTGTAGAAGAACTGAACACCCTCCTGCGATACTGTCAAGTTTATTCATGCGCTGTCCCTATCGATATAGAAGACACCGATACACCCCCAATGAACATCCTCAAATCCGTGCAGGATGCTCAGAAGCGTATTGCGAAGACGTCTCTGAGAGAGTTGGAAAGGAAGGCAGCGGCTGGCGATTGGGAGATGATGACAGAACTGGGCTTGAGGTGCGTCGCCGTCCATATCTCTTCTCGTCGTTCAATTGATTAAAAATTGTATCTTTTTCTTTCTTTTTTTGCGTCAGGAAGTATGTTGGTCTTGGTACTCCGCCAGACGAGAAGGCTGCAAATGTACTTTGGTCAAACGTCTTGAAGTCCGCCACGGCGGCTCCACGGATCAAGCGTCTCACTCAAAAGGACAAATCCATTGCAGCTACGGCAGCTTGCTACAATGCAAATCACTACCTTGAACGTTTCGACAGAGAAGAAATCCCACATACTTCCGACATCACCAACGCCGCTCTCTACGCTGATTGTGCTGCGACTCTGGGGTGTACTGCGCCCTCGGTTCTACATGTCGGACAACGATATAAGCAAATCCTATCCCATGCTGACAATATCGTCGACCCCGAGGCGTTGCAGGAATTCAAGTTCATGGCGACGAGGGTGGATATGCTCTGGGGGATGGTAGAGAGGAGGGATAAGGTGATGAATGCGGCAAGGAGGAAGAGGGAGGCTAAGGAGAGGAGAAAACCGAATGCGTATCAATGTGCGAACGACGGGTGCCCTGTGCGGGCTTCGTCGCAAATGGGTCTGAAACAGTGCGCTGGCCCGTGCCCCGAAGAGTATAAGCCGTCATATTGTAGTAAGGAGTGCCAACGGAATGTGAGTTGATTTCTATCTCTCACACAGACCCCGAGTGGCTGATTAACTCCGTTCGGTACCGAAGGACTGGAAGATTCACAAGACAGAATGCAGGCCACGAGAGAAGACACCAGACATTTCACCCCCACCAGATAACCAGAACGGCAGTGTGCTCCAGGACGATGACGACGACAGTGCTGCAGAGCTCGACGCGCTCAGCAGCAAGACGAAAAAGAATCGGAAGAAGAGTCTGCAGAAGAAACTAAAGAAGAAGGAGCTAAAGTTGAGGATGACGGGATCGGGAATAATCGATGATATGGAGGTCACCTCGCACACCATGGGCGTGGAAGAGATGAAGGAGTTTCACGCAGCCGTAGCTGAAAGGGAGGCTTGGGAGGCGCGTCAAGAAAATGCGGGCACCACAAGGTTTATGGAGTGAGGTCTATACAAGATTTGTATGTAAACAATATTTATATCCCTTGATATAGCCCAAAACATTCTTGAAGTCTCACTAACTGAAGACAAGTCGACATCGTCGCGGTAAGTCTACAGTACACCAGAGGGAGCAGGAACTAACCTTGCGTGTCAGCCGTCCTCGTCGTACACTGCCCGTTAGCTCGCTACGCACTCAAACCTAACATAATCTCCGGCTCATCTTCCTCCATCCGACTTTAGAGAATGGCTTCTCTGTCAGTGTTCTCTCACAACGTCTAAACTTCTTTCGCACATAGCAAGCGATCGTGTCACCTCAAGGATCTCGAGGGGAAGCAAATGTCGCTTATATTCGGTGGGTTGTACGACCTTGTAAAGAGTGACGTAGTGTTCGCTCTGCCTGGGGAGAATGTTGGGCGAACCTGCGTCGAGAAACCTTCTCTGTGAAGATATTGTGGAGACGCTAATCAACTTAACGTCGTCTGCAGCGTAGCGGATGTGTCTCTGCGAGAGTAGGCAGTTCATCCAGCCATAATGCCGCGATCCAGACTCGACGTCTTCACCTCAAAGTCCCAAGTATCGTTCAGTATTACTTAGCGTCCTCGACGCCACATCTGCCAACTGTAGACCCAGCACGTTCTTCAACAAGACGGGATGGTCGTGATACAAGGCGCTAATCCATCCGACCTTCGAACATGGTCTTCGTTATGTCGGACGACTCAAAGTTCCGATAGAGTGAGGCGGAACGCGTCGATGAGGTGCTGTATGTGTGTGCGGGAGAGGTTGTTCGAAGAGTGATGATGAACAGCGCTCCGCGGGTTTCACCCAGATTACGACCTTCGCAATCAAGGACGAGCGTTTTAGATGATTGAAGCATGGGCAGTGTATCCTATAGAGAAGCATCTGCATTGTCGTCACAGAGTACGAAATCTGTCGTAGACATTTATCTATCGAAGCAGAGTGCGACAGAGGGCAAGAGTAAAAGAGCCAGTGTTTGTAAAATATACGTACCAACTCGGGGGCGCCACAAGAACCCGAGCTAAGAAAAGACTGAGCATTGTACCCAGATATGGATACACTTTGCTCTACTTATTCTGAGCTGCGCCGTCATGAATGTGGTGGATCCTCCCAGTTCGTCTCCATATAATCACAAAGGAGCACTTATCTAAATGGATTGCGATTGAACAACGACTTCACCCTAGACGGTAGTCGCACAGAAGTGAAGTGATATCGATGCCATGGTTTGAACTCGTCGTAGCGCGAGAAGCAAAGTGGCGCGCCACAATAGCGAACGGAAGCAAATTCTGAAACATCATTTTGTTTCCGGTGTCATTGTTTCACTACGGCGAACTCAACTTGGAATCACGAAGAGCTGATACGCTCCACAGCGTAGTCCGTCTTATACTCTGCAATGCAAGCTATCACATATGTGCATTAGAAGAAAACCACTCGCGCCTATGAGCGACGACCAAAATGGGCCCTAGAGGTGGCCCCAGAACTGAGTACAAGGACTGCCATTCTCGTCAGCTTCCCAAGTTCCTTCCAAACACCGGGTTGAAACCAAGGCTTCAAGCTAAGAAAAGTCAAACTCCGCCTCGATGGAACGACCTTACCCTCTTAGTCGTACGCCGTCGAGGCCTAGTACATACAGTACAGCGAGCCCGAGCAAGTAAAGTAAGTATATCATATACCAGATATCGGTGCCACGCACCGTCGAATGTCCGGAACCCTCAAACTTTGACTGGCGCTGATAGTATGAAGGAAATTTGAATGGATCGGCATAAGTATGATGAAAAACACGCGGTGAAATGAAAGGCACGAGATCTCGGACAGGCCCAACTTGAGATGAAGAGCGTAGAAAGCCCCGATGTATGATGCGAACATCGTATCGGCTTTCAAAGTCGAATCACTTAGCGGCAAGTGTATAATATCAGGACAATGCGAAGAGTTCAGCGAGAGCAAGCAAGCGTCCCACAAGACGGAGATATGTTCCAGCGAAGCCTACAGCACTAGAATATTCCACATAGCGAGTAGAGAAACACACAGCTTAGGACGTCGACGTACAACGTACGTGGACATGTCTGACGTTAATCAGGAATTGAATGGCGCCGCGAGGGTCCCTTGAACTTAAGGGATGAATGAGCCCGGACGAAGAGGGTTCCTCGAAGTCGAGGACATCGCAGATATTGCCAATGACAGAGGCTATGAGTCAGGTACTTATCTGCGCACAAGCGCATGATGGCGGTCGCAGACGGTCGAGAACATTGAGCGATCGTGGCCCCAAATACTTACCTCCAAGTTTGCGAGGGTGGCGCATGTAGAATGGAGAGTTAATCGTTCTCGAGAATCCCGAGCGCCGGAGGTTGATATGATTGCGTATGTCGGGGCTCGAGGCCCCTGGCCGCCTCGAAAATGCGGGAGTGATCTGATATGTTTTGAGTGGAAAGAGATCATGCCCGGTGCTTGAGCTTGGGTGAAGCAGTCGTCGTGTCCGAGATCAGAAGTTAGCGCCGGAAAACATACAGCGACAAATTTGTCTCGAGCGCAACGCCAAACCTTCTCCGCAATGCCAATAAGTACCTATGATGCTACCGGTAAGCCCACGTACAGTCAAGGCACCATTCCATGCAAGGTTCGAAGCAAAATTCGTACCTCGCTTTGAAGGCAGTTCTGGACAGCTGTGCATCCTGCGCAAGTCGGTCGACGTCGCGAAAGTGATACGTGCGCCACTGTGGCCCGTTATCTTCAGATACGCAATTTTTTGAGCCCCACGCCCTCCAAAGCCTTCCCACGACTGGCCAGTGACTTCAACACGCATCGAGGCAAAACTCTTAATATAGCAGCCCAGGCCCCGAGCGACAAACCAACATTCGGTTCTGTATACCAAAAGCGGCAGGTTGAAAGAGATGAACAAGGTGCATCGAGATCTGCAGAGATACCCAGACGGGGCAGCGTGATCCAATCGCGAAGTGCTTTCTCGCTCTTCTTGCGCTTTGCTTCCCTGCTTTTAGCATCACGGGGCCACAGAAAGAAGTTCAGAATCGAATGCGCACGAGGGTTCTTCGCAGGGCATCATCGTTCGCCAGACGGTCGTTTGCAGTGGCGTCGGTGTTGAACATGATATTTGCAAAGAGAGGCCAGATCGGCAGACGATTCGAGGCATATTCGGGGGTGCGTGAGTGGGCTATGCCGTATATGGATGGCGGTGTAACGAGATGGGTGGAGGACAGCTATGCGCAAGTACAGTACTCCAAGCAAGCTGTGAGTGAAAAAAAGACATGTACGATGTCGATACTAGGAAACAAAGACGTTCAAAGGACCGGTGGAGCACATGAAAAAACTGAAGTTACAGCATGGATGACCGACGCGAGGAAAGGATCCTAATGAGACATCTGGCTGGGAGTACAACGCGCTCCATGTACGGACTTACTGTACGGGGAAGTCGTTGTTGGTGAAGGTTTGAGTCGTGATGGAGACCGAGTGGAAGGGTGAGAGAAGCAGAGAGATACTGGCTAGATTTGGGACGCGTTTAAGGTAGGAACACGGAAAGGAAGGGGGCCTGCGCCATACACGCGACGCGCCTCGACCGGATTAGGAAGGCTGCACAAACGAGCGTCCCTTTGCAGCGACATTGAACGGGTCTTCGATGGAGGCTCGCGTATATAACATTCCTTTCCTCTTCGCTCCTTTGCTCGTCAACGCCATCGCCTCCATTGTTCCGCTTTCAGCACACACACAAACACCTTTCCTCTTCCTACTACAAAATGCTTCAAGTCGCTGCCCGTCATGCCGCATCTCAACCCACGTACGCAGAGAGCTCATCGACCAATACCATGCAGCACCACCACCACTCCGCTTCCCTCCCCTCTCTCAAACTTCCCCGAACGCTTTCCAAGCCGGCCTTCTCAGAGGTCAGCCGAGACGCGATCTGTGCGGTCGAACCCAACCTCGCCACCGTGCCTTTCGAGTACATCCGAAAGGGTCTCTGGGCTCGCGCAGAGGAGTGCGTCCCCTTCACATTTCTATATACGTTATCATCAGCTAACTTTCATTTGTAGACTCACCAGCTCTCTGTCACGCGTACCTATCCCACAAACGATGCCAACGCACCATCTACCCCCGTCGTTCGAGTTCCCGTATTCCCCATCCAACCCCACATGCATCCTCGCCATTACATCCCCCTCTTCTACATCCAACATGGCCTTCCTAGTCCCTGCCCACCACATGGTGCTCGTCGCCAACTGTGCAGGCTTCCCTCGTCTCCCACCCCCACGTATGCAACCACGATCGAACGGCTTGGTACCCACCCCTGTCATCCCCGTTCAAGTCCCAGAAGAGCACGCCTTCATCGCCATCCATACCTTCCTCGTCTCGCGCCGGCTGGAACGGCTCGTGCATCAGATTCTTCCCGTGCCCATGCAGATGATCACCCTCTCCTCCGGTCGTGCCGGGAGCTCTTCCGCTGGCCCGCTAGCGCATCTCTCGGCGGCACATTTCGCGACGTACTTAGCGCAAACCGCGCAAGGCGACAGGGTTAGCGCGTTGATGGGCCTGGCGAAGTTCGCAACCAACGTCTGGAGGACGGCGTGTTCGTTGGGTGTTTATGATAGGGATCTCTGGGCCGCGATGGACTTCTCGTGGGAGGTCATCCTGGGCGCGTTGAACATGGTGCTGTCGGGACAGGTGTAGATCGCCTGGTCCTCGTTCCCAAAACTTCTCCGGTTTCTGCGCTAGATAAAAGGAAGGATCGGTCTCCTCCAATTGTATGTTTATTCTAATCATTTCGCTTTGGGTTCTCTGTTTCGCATCTTGTTTATACCTCCCTATCGTCACCTTCCTATTCACTCTAAAAGGTTCTGCTTTCCTGCTTTTTTCTCCCCTGTTTTGCTCGCAATATTTCCTTTCTCGACAGCAACATCTTTCTCCACTGCTTCATCATCTGCTTCGGCTTATTCCCTTACAATCTTGACCGGACGGATACCATCTACCTTACGTCTGTCGTCGCCTCTGTAATCTAGTCGTTCCTCCTTTCTGCAGCATCTTCCCTTCTCCTCCCCTTCTCCCAAAACATACCAGTTAACCTTACTACCTTCGTGGAACGAACTGTGTTTGTCGCTTCGCTTTTACAACTCTTGTCTAATAGTGTACAAGCCGCACTGTAGCATGTACACCACTCGGACCATTCATCGACATCACCATTCTCCTATCCACCGTCCCTAGTTCTACCCTTCCCTACTTCCTTACTCACATCGCTTTCGGAACACATATTGTATGTATCGCTTACCGTCAAGATCGCTGCGCGTCGTCTGTTTTTGCCTCTGCTAGTTCGTTCGCTTTGCTCTCCAATCCAATCACAATCCAATCCAATCCATATCTGACCACACTGGCGTCCGAGTTCATCACGCGGGCATCCCAATCACGATACAGAAGAAGCAAGAAGCGAAAGTGAAACCGAGAGCATACGGTATAATTGCGCGAATCCCTCGCTGGGCTGGGAAAAGCGACAGAATCTGCCAACGTTACGCGTACTGTACCGACGCCTTCGAATTCCTTTCTCTTCTTTTCTCTCCTTTTTTTGGTTTTATTACCCAACGGGCCCGCTCTCGGTCGCGCATCCTGATTGGCTCAAGGAGATGTCGCGTGGAGGTTCGGACTTCCGCTTCCGAAGCGTGTTACTGTTTGCTTCCGTTCCGAGTTTCCGAGACCACATGGACGCCACAGTGCTTTGACAGTGCCACTTGCGCTTTGAATTGCTTTGAACCGCGACGGCCAGATGCAGCTACTTTATTGACTCCCGAGGAACAGCTCACAAAGTACTATTACGTAGTATTAACTCTAAGGTATGCTCTGAGCTGGAAGTAAAACGAGCCCAAGGCAGGGCAGTATCGCTCCTGGTCAGATTATGGACAATGACAACAGTTTGGAGATAGTTTCTATCCCTGGTAGTATATCGGATTAGTACACGCGCCTGTCATCGTTACGAGCGTAAATCTTGTGCGCGCGAGAGCGGGGTTCGACTCCCCGCCAGGGAGTAACTGTATAACAGGTATGACCGTTTTGCTGTTCTGCACATATATTTTATGTAAATCAAAACTGCGATATCTTACATCGTTATTTTCTTCGCTCAGGGTGATATGCCATCCCTTGCGGTAATGTTCGAGATGTCGTGTACTGCCCTTGCTGGAAGGAGGAAGATCGAACAGGCCTCATCCTGTGCTGGGGACTTCGAAGAAATACGCCTCGACCCGCATCTGAGGCAGGCTTCACATATACGTGAATATGGGCTTCGGTTCACCCTAGCTGTGCAGTAGATGCCACACAGCTACGCTACTCCCAGGTCTCGGACCATCGGCGACATTCCACCACGCTTGACTGAGTAAAGATCTCAAGGCCCGAGGCAGCGACGGTATGATTAGGAGCCTGGTGGATATTTTGGGTAGTGCGTTCCGATGTGTATTAGCACTAGGAAGGTGTGTCCACCATGAGCGAAAGTCAGGACGGCCGACGAGACGAGATATCCAGAACCCTTCGAACCCAATGTGCATAAAAGTGACGAATAAGGAATACAGCCAATAAGTTGCCAATAAGTACACCATTCCACCACCACCAATGACTGCCCGGGCTCGCGATGTCGCTATCACGTTTTGCACTTCCCCCTTCATCTCCTACAACGCACACCTGGCACCAGTACATCGCCAACGGTCCGTCCTCATCCCAAGACCGAATCTGGTATTTAGAGGAAGAAGTCGAAGGACAGGAGGGTATAACGAAGTGGGAGTGGGGGGTAGGCTGGAAGACGAGAGCGTTATGACGCCTTGCTCTTCTTCTTCGCAGCTTTTGCAGCCTCTTTCTCTTTCTTCTCCTTCTCTTTGCGGGCTTCTTCTTTTGCAATCTCGTGCGCTTTGTCGTTCAGGCCTAGACGGTTGCGGGCGATCTGACGTGGCAACGGACAAGTTAGTCCAAGTATGAGACGCAACAGCAGTCGAAGATATGCTTACTTCGATAGCGTAGAACTACATGGGTACGACAGAGTATCAATAAAGGTGCCAGTGAACAAATAGAAACACCGTAGCATACCTGTATTCGTGTCACTGAAAGGTGAGGTTGGAGTAACAATATCAGCGGGCACTTCATTGGTGATATAACCGTGGATGGGCGGACTCACCGAAGATAGTGTTCGTCTCGCTATACTCATCCTCACAGTTCATTCGGATGAGCGAGCCAAAGTTGTGGTCCTTCACTTTCTTCTCGTACCTGATCATCCAATTGAATCCCAAGCTTACCGTGAGTAAACCCATCGAGCACAAGTGACGCAGGTATTCAAAGCGAGGGGAGTGGAGTTCGGTACAAAGGGAGTAGAACGCACGAATTGATAAATGTCCTCCACTTCTCCTTCCCGTCCTTGCTCTTCATGGCATCCTCGTCCAGTCGGATGAGCTTTGCGTGACCTTCCTCCTCGAACTCGGGGAACGTCTTCATTGTGTGTTCGTAGATCTCATCATCTAGTCTAGATAATAGGACCGGAGAGAAGAGCAGATGTCAGATGGCGAGGTATGGTGGGTGTAGAATCAGGTGATGAGAGTTACGGACTTGGTGAGCCTGAGTTCTCGCGGTGAGATCTTTTCGAGGAGATTCCAGTAAGTCTACCAGTCCAACCAAAAGTGAAGCATTAGTAGACATAGAACATGATACGCAGCAAACGGAACGTACCTGGGCTTGCTCAACAGCCTTCACAGCGAACCTTCACGACCGTCACCACATCGCAGACCCCGCCGTGAGCATTTCAATAGCATCACACATCATAATATATCCTAGACTCACTGTTTCTCGATCTGTTCAGATTTACAATAGCGTCAGCCATAACGGTTTACATCCCATACGCCATCCGGTACACCAGGTAAGATATAACGCACCTCGACCGCATTTTGTGCGTTGTTGGGGTCAAACTTCGAAGTAGCCACCGTTGTCATTTTGCTCCACTAACACAATCAAATTTTGACCTAGTTTTTGAGGCGTTGTACGTGGAATGTGTGATGAGCTGGCAAAGCGTGGGGGATGCGAAGGCGGATGGGTCTGGTTTAGCTGTGCGCACACGCCGGGCAAAGCATTGTTACGATCGGAATTCGCATGTGGCGTCAGGTGATCGTTTCTCCGGCTGGGCCGCTTGGCGATGTGGCACAGTGGCGAGCGTATATGTCGCACCGATGAAAGTTGAGCATATGAAAGTACTCATGACATGTAGGTTGAACGAGGAAGATACCAGCCAGTCTGGACAACACCAGTAGTTGGATAGGATAGTGAAGAGACCCGGTAAGATAAGAATGATTTCCGCGATCCCACGTCGTACTCTGCTACTCATTGACAACCAAAAACACGTCGACGTTGAATGAGCCCACACAAGCCTAACTATGCAGATCCCTCTCCCTCATAGGCACCTTCCGCTCCCCAGTCAATTTCGAATCCAATTTCGTCGGCACCGGCACCTTCCTCATCCTAAACGTCCTATGTTTCTCCACATTCCCCGGCGTTCTCTGCCTCGCGCTCATCTTCTGCTGCGTCGCCGCAATCTTCGTTTTGTCTTCTTTCTTCGACTTCTTCCGTTTGGGACGGACAGTCCATTCACCGAAGCCCTGTTCCCATACGAGCTTCCTTTTCCATTGAGCATTATTGGTAGAGATTCTGCCAGGATTCTCGAAGGGGGCGGCGGAGGGAAGGGTAAAGTCGGTGAGAGAGCCAGGACCGAAAGCGGCGAGGCGACCAACGTAGTTGCTGGCACCTATATGGCTGTCTAACTGAAGAACAGCGCGATAGGTGAAACGGTAAGTGTTAGGAGAGAGTTCGTCGTAGGCATATACCTCTGGCGAACGGAGTACTTACATTCCGGTAATGTTTGGCCAAGGGGATTGGGTCGGCTTCGGTTGTAGGCCGGGGGCTGATCGCAGGGGGAACTGGGAGAAGAGGCGGCATCGTGGTTTGCGGACTTGTTGGATCCTGCAGACGGGATCAGACTTGAGTATGTACAACACCATGGTTGTAGAAATTGTGAGATTTACATTTCGTTTTGGGTACTGGAGGGTCCGTCCGAATTTGGCTTCAAAGACCACGGCTTGTCTCTTAAGTGAGACCAGTGCCTCGCGTACCAGCTCTATCATCCTCTGAAGCCCCATGAGGAATACTTGGTTCTTCGGGATGAACACATACGTGTAATCTAACCCACAACTTAGTCAAGCACACCGACCAAAAACCTCCTGATCGAAAATGTCAAAGTAAAGGATACGCACCAGGGATCAGCCACTTCTCCTCACCCGCATCGTTCTCATCAAACACGACCTTCTGCGCTCCCAGTATAGCCTCCCCGTACTGGCCAACCCCTTCCTCAGTACACCCGGTATTCGCTCCCTTCGTCACTATCAACTCCACCGCATGCTTCAACTTCCTTTTCATCACCGACCTCCTCACTGCGTCCACTTCCACCCACTTATTGAAAAACGTCGTCTGCATCGAAAAGTTGATCCTTCCTCTCTTGGAGCGCCCCTTCTGCATTCTTGGCTGGTCTGACTCCGGGGGGTAACGTTCGACGTTATACGGTGGGAGGTGTTCGTCGTAAGGCAGGTCCCGCTGAGATAGTAGGGCTTTCGGATATGCGTTCAGGGAAAAGAGTGGACAGGACCATTTCGGGGTTTTAAGTTGCCGCAGAGGTATGCCTGCTGCAGGATGGGAGGAGTCAAGGATGGGAGTGTTGCTCCGTAGGGGGATAACGAGTGGAATGACGGATCCAGGTGTGGTTCCGGCTGTCTGACAAGATATGGACGAGAAAATCAGAATCGCGAGAACGATCTATTGAGAATTCAAACGTGCTGTCCAGCAGAAGTGCACTGCTCAGGTAAGAAATACAGTCTTCATTGTTGTCGTGATGGAATGGCATGCGACAGTCTGAGCATATGACTTCTGCTGGGGTACGTGACACGAGAACAACGAAATGGACATCGCCTTGAAGATATGGTCCACAATGACAGCTCTATGTAAGACTCTTAAAAGATGACAACCTCCCAAGTGTTCATAGCTATATATTCGACCACGGATACACGACTAACTGTGGCTACCACCAACCATCCGTACGATGTCCACACCCAAACTGACAAATACAGAGCAAGTAAGAACTCACCCTCAAGCTCTTCGAATCCTTCTTCGATTTCGGTACCCTCTTCAGTTCGGGTGCCCTTTCCCTATAACTCGGAGTGCTATGGTTCTGCGCCTTGAGACATTGCAGGTCCAAGTTATGGGGTGTTGTCACTATTATGAGAGTCGACGTGGATGGTGAAGCAAGGCCGGCGCGAGGAACGGCCAAGCATCTCCTCAGCATATGAACGTCGTCGGAGACAGCTTGAGGTTCAGTTAAGAGGAAAGGTTGGATGTGGCGAGGGTCCAAGTGAGAGTGATGAACGGCTATCGCGGGTGAATTATCGGACCGATAAGCGTCAAATTGGTGTCAATTTCATGTGTGGCGTAGGAGAACAACAGTGTGGCGAGCCCAGCTCGAACTGTACAGAGCATAAGATAACAGACATAACAGTAAAAGCATATGTACGGAATGAGGAGGCATAATGAGTATAGTACAAAGCCACAGAGGAAAAAGAAAATAAGGGAAAAACATAAAGGGTAAATCTGACTGAACGACCCTCAAGGCCTCATCGCCCACTGACAGAGGCCTGAGCACCATCTTCCTTATCTGAGCTCTCAGCCTTCATCCTCTTCTTCTCACTCAACGCCTTCCCTAAAACCTCCCGCATACCGTCCAACTCGATCCAAACCTCCCTGCCGTAGTACCCGAGCAGGTCCAGATTCCCTTTGAGTTTGTTCAGTCTTCCATAAGTGGTGGATAGGTCGTCACGACGTGCGGCGTACGGGACCAGGCCTTCGATATTAATGAGGTCTGTCGCCACAGATTCGACGGTCCTAGCAGCTGTCTGTGTTGGAAGCGAAGTGACTATAGTGAGATCACTGTCCGGAGATCCATTGCGCCTGCGACGCCTCGCCGTGCGTCCTCTACTAGAGGAAGCTCCATTGATACTTCTAGACGAACTAGAAAGCGACGAGAGCAGAACCGGTGAGGTCGCCGCAGCTGTAGCAGATTTGAACAACATAGGCAATGGATGCACGACATCGCGTATCCACTCCGGTACGAGCGCACGGAACAGAGCCGCCTGGTTCTTGGTATGCAGATAAACGACCAACGGACCGAACGTCTCGAGGTTCTTCACGCGTAACAAGACTCGAGGCAGGTCCCTCGGCAAGCGGTGAGGAAGCTTCTTGCCAGAAGCCAGGTCAGGGAGCAGGTTAGGACAGTTAGCGACGAAGAGAAGATCGTTGATGGGGCATTCGAGGATTTTGGGATAGACACCTGAGAGGGGTTCAGTGGAGAAGGCGATGAGCATGTGCGTGGGGCCGAGAGGACGGGGAGAGATGAGTTGGTCGGTCGTGCTCAGGTTGTATATGTAAGTGGCATGGAGTTCTGTAGGCGTTTCGAATGTTGGCTCAGGCTGGAGGGACAGCTTCCGGGATACTTCATAGGATAGGTGATTCAGCTGAGTGACGGACATGGAGCGACGATCCCGGGTGTTGATGGGGACAGGCTCGGGCACGGGCTCAGGGTTGAGATTGGCGACACGCACGGCGGGGTCTCGCACCCTGGTATGGAGACGCGTACGAGCCTGGAGTAACCAGTGACTGTACGAGACAGACTTAGCACAGAGAGATCGGGTACGGGGAAGTGGAACGGACTTACTCTCTGTTATGCGCGCGAATCTTCAAAGCTTCCCTGATATGTTCGATCGAACCGGCCTCCAAGATAAAGTCCTCGCGGTCTGGGGCAATATCAACCAGGTCCTCTCTCTTGATCACGCGTTCAACGGGTATTTCTCTTGGGTCTTCGCTAGGAATACTCTTCGACAACGACAGGCTATGAATGTACGTGTTGGTCGCCGCCGGCATGAGTTGAGATGACCAACAAGGTGAAGACACAAGTTCGAGGGCTGCAGCGAGGGCGAGGAGAATAGGAGAGATCGACGTGGGAGAAGCTTCGGAAAGCTATGGATCGCGAAAGACCGAGACAATACTTTATATCGTGGTTAATCGGTGCCAGAGGAGAAGCGCAACAGGGGTGAAACCATGCATGCAGGCAAGAGCCCATTGTTTTGCCGAATCGGTCCATGACGCAATGTGTCACTGCCGCCAAGAAGCGCACAAATGAACAAAAGCCTGTACCCATCACGATGACATGAACATCGCTATGGAGATAGGACTCAGTCACAACACTGATCAGTGCATAATGATGGAAAATGGAGAACAAAGTGCGACAATGGGCTACTGACGGACCTTGCAACTGTCTTCGCCTTGTCCGAGTGAGTAATCCAAGATATGGGAGCAGAATTCGGCACCCTTACGACTACTAGTACTTTAGCAGCGCCTTATTGAAGATATGCATTCAAAGTACAATCGTCCGTGGAATGTCCTGCGACGCTGCCTTGCTCTCCTTCCCATGAAGGCAGAGGGTCCGGGATACAGTCGTGTGCGTTCGGTTTCCTGAACATCGATGATTTGTGGGAAAGCCAAATAGAGGGCACCATAGGTAGTTTGTAGTGAATGCAAGCAAATGATTTCGAGCCCAATTATAGTCGCCGAATGATCGTAGCCAAAACGGTAAGGCAGGAAGAGTCGAGGTGAGTGCTGGTGAGTGTTTGCTGCAAAGAAAGGAACGGCAGTTGCCGGACCAACTTGTCCACCAACATCGACATCAACCGAGTCCAATCCTCAACGCGTCAACTTTGGCTGTCCATGTCTTGACGCTGAACGTCCCGACTATCCTTCTGATTGATCCAATCATGGATAAAGTGTGCTGGAATGATACTACCAAGAGCCCAGTGGATTTTGTCATGTCGACTCTGCCAACCCCTCACCAACTCGGTGCGCCACACCATGTCCTTCCTCGACGACGAAGAGAACGATAGCTAAGGCGACTGTAGGACTGACAGACGCTCCTGATTTATGATGTCAAATGGTATATAATCCGTACGGCTTCATAAAGCAGAAAAAACCTAATGCCAATCCCCAAAACTGGTCGAATTGACAGAGGTCTGGTCCTAGTGAGTTATACACCGCGATATCATACTCGCAGCCCTCAATCGTCGTTACACAGCTGATTTTATTGCCTGTGTTCATTTCTTTTGGCAGCTTCATGGACTGGAACGAGAATGTGTTGGAGGTGTGGCACCGCAGGCTCTACCACAGAACACGCACCGGCCCCTCTTTCCTTCTGTTTACAATAGTAGCCTGCATTTTATGCTGGCTTCGTCGTTCAAAGGCGCTGCATGTTTTGGACATTTTCATGTCGCTTACCCTCCACTTGGTATTCGAAGCGATGTGGGGGGACCAGCCTCCTCAAGCGATGACTATCAAGAGTTAACCACGCTCACGACCAAACGTTGCAGTTTCGATTTCAAGATGGTATCCGACCCTCTAGATTTAGCTGGGGCACTGCTTGACGTGCTGACCGTGGGTGGTACAGTACTGATTACCTTCAACAAGGACGCAGTGTATATCATCAACCTTATACGAAGTTCTAGATGTCCCTACGGTCATAGGTCCAAGGACTTATTCTCTCGAGGCGGTCAAGGGCCCTCGTGGCCAATGACGGAAGGATGGATGGATGGATGGATGGATGGATGGATGGGATATGAACCGGTCAACAAAATTCCCGGATCGACACTGGTATAGTGATGCAAAACTTGAAGGAGTGAGATGGATCGATCGAGAGCGTGCACATGGTATGTCCTCGATGTCGATGATTTGCGTGCATGGCGTTGTACATACTACGTTGTGAATGAACAACGTCGATCACGGTGTATTCCTCGAGTTCTGATACCACATTGAATCGAAATTGATTATATGCACGCGAGCACACCGTGTCGGTCCGATCGATGTTTGAGTATCTGTGTCCTCATGAATTTTGATCATGGAGCGGGTCTGTCCACTATGTCGTGGCGAATTTTACAGCACCGGTCCTTAGTCGGACCAATGTTTCGTGCAAAGCGACATTCTAAACTGGCGCTCGATGCGAGACTCTGAGGGAGGTTCGATACGGACGGTCGGGGTGACGGAATGGGAAGAAGGTAGAAGAGCTACCAAAGGGCCACGGATCACGAGTTGTATAAGATATTTTCGTAGTTCTCGACTGGACTGGGCAATTCGAGTTCGATTTCGTTGAGACCTGTGGATATGATCACGCCATTCTTCTGTACGGATCATGAGCAGTCGATAGTGGAACAATGTAGACGGAGAGGGGTTATACAATGGCACGCGAAGCGGCCTTCAAAAATCCTAAGGATAATGTTTGTGATTTCTTCTACCTTTTATAGTACAGCTTAACACTGATACATGTGCGATGGGTCCCCTCTATATATCTATTAATATGTCCGCTTCTTTAAGAGAACACCAATCAGCAAAGCCCTCATGACGGTTCAACGATAAAAGTACTCACATGTAGGGAAGCTGCCTGAACCGATCTATTTTGCACGTTTCTAGACATTCAGCGGTACCTCTATCGAGAGTACTTTACTTCTAGCTCGCAGCACGGAGATCTCCCAAAGAATCTGTAACATAGTCCGGTACAGTAGGGGAGGGGTTAGGCCCGGTCAGTTCGTCTTCAGAGGTGATACCTGCCCCAAACGTGTGAGCACAACCTCTAACCATGATCATGAAGAGATACGCACCCGACAGGACAAGAAGTGTGGAGAGTCCACCGGCCTTTCCAAACTCAATATCGGTATTCAACCTATCACCGACCATGATCGTACGTTTTGGGTCAAAGTGGTGCCTGCATCACGCCGCTGGATGTCAGAAAAGAACAGGTACCAGGGTTCGAAGGAGAAAAACCCCACTTCGCCATGATACAGTCAAGCATCGTCTTGCTGGGCTTCCCGATGGGCAATGCCGTCCTCTTTGGTCCCAGGGCGTACTCGAGAGGAGCGATGCAAGACCCGGCGCCAGGAAGGAGTCCATGGCTTCCAGGATACGTCGAGTCCTTGTTTGTAGCAATGAACGCGCAGTCCGGGTTGGAATGAAGGTAGCGAAACGCCTTGCACATCTTCGTGTAGTTGATGGACATGTCGAGGCCGATGACCACGGCGCCAACGGAGAAATCTGGCAAGATCTCGGAGGGCGGTTCGAAGGTGTTGTCCGCAGGATCCTACCATGTTTCAAGGTCATGGGCGTCAACGTGAGCGTTCGTCGAGTGAAGAGAAGTAGAATGGACTGACGGTTCCGCCGATAAAGTCAATGCCCTCGTCCCTGAGCTCCTCCTCTAGTCCGTCCATGCCAATCACATACACCTTCTTGCCCTTTGGGAGTTTCAGAACAGATGAGAGGTAGACAGCCGAGGCATAGGCCGAACCAAAAACTTCATCCTGTAACCCGTTTGGATGATTTCGAGGTGTGAGTTATACTGGGTGTTACGCACGACTTCAGCCTGAATTCCCAGTTTGTCGAACTTCTTCTTGTAGTTCTTCCGCGACTTTGTGGCGTTATTCGTTACGAAGAGAATGTGCTTGCCTTGAGACGGGAAGCGACGACCAGGTCAAAACCGTATGAGCTGAACATGAGATTGAATCATCACCATAGAAAAGTTTCAATACGGACCTCGTTTCCTCAGAGTCTCCAGAACTTCTACTACACCGTCGATTAGTCGATCACCGTGCCACAGGACGCCATCGCAGTCGAACAGCCAAGTATCGTACTTGTCCAGCAATTCTGAGTACTTCTCCTGGGTCGACTGGGCGTTTAGACGGACACTCATAGTGTAAATCCCGAGCAGATCAACGTAAGAGGCAAGAAAAGAGGACTTGGCCGCAGACAACAAAGACGTAGAGCAGCTTGGTCATAAAACGATTCTCATCAGGCAGTGCTCGCGGCCCGCCACATCCGCCAGGTTATGGGGGAAACGGACGCACAAAGTGCGGTGTTCATGCTCGTCGTCGTCCACAACGACATGCTCAATGAGTCCGAGTCCCTCGTACTAGTCACCGCTCGCTGCCATGCTTATTATGTCCACCGAACAATCGGTAGAACTCCGTCTGGACTTCTAGTATCTATATTGGTTCTTCAATGAGGTTCGTGGCATCCCATCCCAAAAATTAACATCAGTCTCTTGATGTAGATGAACCTCAACCCAAGGAGCAAGGCGGCCTTTCCGTGGCTCTTACTTCGTTCTTTTGACTTTTAAGTATGGCGTATGTCCGCTGTGTCCATCACAACTATCATCCGAGGAGATGCAATTCTTCTCGCGAGGCCTCAACGCAAGAATAACTGCCGAAACTCCTTTTGACTTGAAGGCGGACATCACACCCTTGCGCAATCTACGTCGCTTTGCGATCACCGCTCTATGTCAAAGCGTTGCCACCTCTACCTGTACTGGTCAAGACCATTTATATTTTGTTGTTCGCAGCAGCGAGTATCGGAGGATTCCGCTGATATCGTTGGCCGTATGGTCAGGGACAACACGGGCGACCCAGACAAGACCCACCTGGAAGGCCGAAGTACTGTATATCAAGGAAGGCGAGTAAAAGCTAACCTTGACGGTGACCTTTGAGTGTGGAGTGGGGCCAGGTTCGTCCATGACTTATTTTCCATGAGGTGGAGGTTCTTCGCTCACGAATACCTCCGCTCTACCCACTTTACAGACGAAGTTCTAAAGTGAATCTGTGGGCATACCGGCCACGCCGCCCGTCCTGACTTGTAAGACTCTTTCCTTCTTGTCTCTGGGTGGAACCACGTCTAGCTGTCCAAAATACAAGTCATGGACCAAGGCTGCAAATTGCCGCTGCTAGCGTCTACTCGATTCGTCTACTTTGACGCCCATTAGGGCGAGGCGCTCTTCTCATATCCTTGTTCATTCAGCGTTCTGCCTTGCTTCTCTGGTTTTAGACCGCCGTCGAATCATTGCGACTGGATCCGTCACCTCCGCCCGGCAGGAGGCTCCTTCGAATTGCCATGCGGCAGTCGCGTTGCGGAAGGGGTTTGCTGATTCACAGACAAGACATGATTTCTCGGTCGATGGAATGGTCATCTGCCACTACTATTCATCTTCTTTTGCCCGGCACGTTTCGGCAGATTGGGGAGTTTGACAGTCTTTCCGCGGTTGCTCGGTGTGGCGAGCTTGGACCTTGTAGGCAGACGATGGTACCACAAGTTGGGGCTGGCACTGTCCTGCCCAACGGTGATAAGTTATCATCGGGCTGCCCGCTAAGACATATACAGGAAGTTATGTTCCCAGCCAGCCTGACTGGTGGGTGTTTGCGTACGTCCTCGGATGCAGGCAAGCGCCTTGTTCCTAGTTGAGGCGGTGTGGATGAACTTTCCTAGGCCTACGTTTGGCGAGACCGCTTGTTGCGATAGCTGTAGCACAGTTCATCTCCGTCAATGTAAATTGGCGGATGATAGTCATGATATGGATTCCCTGGAGAGTTCTAGGTTATCATATCAGTGCTTAGGGTGAGTCGTGCACGCGGTATAACATTGCTGTGGCGTTGGTGGCGTAAACGACCCCTTCATACATGCTCGTTGAACAGGGCCCACATTAATCCACATCCTCGTTACATGACACGTACACGGCTAATACAATATGGTCCATAGACTATCCATCCCTGATGGAATCGAATGGTGCTGACACACCTCGCCTACTGTCGGTGGACTACATACATTCGAGTTCTTCCAATGTTCGAGCTTGAAGTAAGGAATTAATCCTCCATCGTTTTCCACACCGTCGTTTTTGGAGCGGGTCCCTCTCCTCTCGTCTAGCCTTCTCCTTGGCTAGAATAAGAGCCTCGTGTCTCGTCGCCTACAACATATCACTGGCTTTAACGCATCTTCCTCTTCTTAGAAGACCGCTCAGAGCTTGGCGTATCTTCAAAGGAACGCTTCGATCCGTGCGAGTGTTCAACAGTGCTGGAGACGGCATATCGTTGGAGGACCAGTTTGGAGCGGATGAAGTTGGCGATGGCTTTGATGTGTTTGAACTCCGTCGAGGTTTCAGAATTCGTGGAGATGTCCTCATAGATTTCGAGTGTCTCAGAAGATACGGCCTCGGGATTTGTACCCGGGTGGGGATACTCAAAGTCTATAGGGGACGGAAGCTTCTCAAGGAATTGTTCTGTGGAGTCTGAGCAGCGGGCGTCGAGCTTGGGGTATGAGTTCCATTGCTCACACCATCGACCTTGTCCGTCTGTGAATGCAAGCCCGTCCAGGGACGCCAATGCACAAAGCTCGCGAGCCTAGATGACCGGGTAACGTCAGTTATGTGCTATCAAAAAATCTCACTACACCCAAAGACTCATCTCTAGCACAATAGAGCATTCTGCCTGACGAAGGCGTAACTCAAAGGAAGGAAGGGAGGAAGGACGACTTACATGCTCTGCTGGTCCCGCGATCACCATCGTTGGTATCTCATGCAAGGCGTAAAACGCCTTTATCGCCCGAATCTCTTCCAAAACGGGTCCAGTCATGACTTCTTTGCGCCCTTTCTGCCTACTCGTCATCTTTAAATATCACCGTCGGGTACACGAATGTCAATCAGTTGAACTTTGTTCCACATCGTTAGAGAGCACCGTGAACACTGACCTTTGAGATAGGGACTGTGATCGCCGTTGCTCCAGCTTCTGCGCAAGCAGCGGCGTGGATCAAGCTCGATATTGAGGTCAAGTTTACGTGGATATCGTGCTGGTATTCAAGTATCTTGCAAGCCTCGATCCCCTCTCGCATCGCTGGTATCTACTCGAGGTGCGTTATTTCGCTAAGGTGATGATTTCGGGAAGGATGCATGATTTGTACTTACGCCAACGCAGATCGCATCACGACCCCTCCCCAGTTTTCCGAATCGAGAAACGATGTCTTGAGCGGCCCATACTATGCCCTTGACGTCGTGGCTCAGATGAGCATCGATGAAAGTGAAGTGGTGACCATGTACTTCTTCCATCAGCCGGTGCCCAAGTTCAGCCAGCTATATTATGCAAAGAATGGCATTGCGCTTAGCACTCAATAAAAGAAAGCTGGAGAAATCGCCCACGATTTGGTGTGTCACTTCTTGTGTCACTCGTCGCAGCTCTTCCTTTGATTTCCTATGTTTATGGGAGGTTATGGTCAACATAGATAGCATTTGTCAACGTTGCGAAAGCACGCCACATACCATCCGCTCTCGCCCATTTTTCTCCAGGTTATGTACCACGCGTCTGCTCTCATATCCATATCAAAGTTATATTTACTAGTAAGCCCCCCGCATACCACATCAGGCGTAACCATAGTGGCATTGAAAATTTTCGGGCACGCTCCTACGATGCCCATAGCTCAGTAAAGTTTCACGCCGATCTTCAGAAGATCTAATGACTTACTGTCGAATCGGACAGTGTTCGCGATTCGATAAATACGACGCTTCTTTAGAGCATCGAACAAGTAACGCCGTTTGGTTCGGGGATCCTTTGGTCGCTTGGGGCTTGGAGGAGGTGAGGGATTCGCTCCCTTGCCTTGGTTTGGCGGCCATTGAGGTTTTGTATCTCCCTTCGGCGGGGAAAGAGAGGGACCAGCAGAGCTACTTGATAGTGATGATGCTCGCGGCGGGGTTGACGTGTCGACGCTTTGACCTTTCGCAGGGCTCTCATCAGTTCCTCCATCTGTGCAGTTTCAACCTGACTGACCTTGTTCATCCGCGAGACGTGCCATTGTTTCTTTTTGATGGAGAGGATTTCGATGAAGTGTCGACGATAATGTGCTGGTAATGATAAAGGTTTTCTGACAGGGCTTGGATCCCCGCGCGTTGGCCTTTGCTGTTGATTGTTCTTGTTTGGTTGGTGTTTTGTGCAGACACGAGCGACTTTCTTCCTTGTCAACATGGGCCACAATAACCTTTGCCCGCCTTCGCGTCACGCCGTGTCCTAGCTCACGTGCTTTCGTTTCCAGGCTGTTCGAGAATCCCAAATTCTTGCGGCCTCCGCATCCCTTCATCGCTATCCTCCGAAACTGCTGCGCCCATAATGTCTGTATCCACTCACGGCTCGCTGACGCTGCGTCCTCTTCCCCTTCATGTTCCCGACCCTGCGTGCAAACATATACACATCCCAATCGCAAACTCACTAACGGGCATCACTGCGCTGTGACAGTGCTACAGCCTTCCACGTCGGACGGGGCCACCGAGACTGATACGCGATAACTGCTGGCGACGGAGATGGGACCACGCCACCGATCGATAAAGTTCTATTCTTTCAAATCTGAACTCTATGTTCGTTCGCTCAACTACGAATCATTCTGCGAAACTTCGTCAAGGCCCAACACTAGAAGCGTCGGCGCTCGGTGCGCTCAGGATGTCCGTGAGTGCTGACCGACCGTCCTTGGGTCACCTCGTTTTCTGTTCTGTGTACACTTGGCACCAGTTTTCTCGGGTCGAAGGCCTAAGCCTACTGCGGCCGTCCTTGTGGGGAAGGTAAGTAGGCCCATGTTTGGCATTGACCGGATGAAACTCGTGCTGGTTGATCAGCTTCTCGGGCCTTTTGACGGCCGACGACGAGCGATGTTTTTTTTTTTCATTACGGGGTATGCAAGCACTTATCTGCGGAGGGTCTAGCGTAGAAGGGCATGACTGGAACGCGGTAATCGCGGTGACAGGTCCTCCTGTCGAAAAGGCTGTGGTCTTGTCTCTCTGTGCCTATCCTCGTCGATCATGGTTTGCTGCCCTTTTGTTTATGTGTAGTGACGACTGTCGACGGACGTATGCACCAACAGATGTCAACTTAATCGCAAGCCGCCCCTGGATCGCAGTGATAGAGGTTCACGAGTATACTAAAAGCCACCGTAGCAGTTGCGTCTCTGTCTTTAGGCTCTCCATATAACCCACCACGCAGATCAGGCTAACCCCGACCGTTTAGCTTTATGTCTTCTAGGTTCTGTTCTTGACACGGTGACACTGTTCGGAGAAATGGAAACCGAACCGTTCGCTCATGTTCTCCCGGTCATTGCGTACATTATCACGGTGTCCAAGGATGCCTACTAACGGACTAGGGAATGGGGGCGTGGCCCGTATCGGGTGGCGTGGCACGTCAGTTGTGGACACTTGCGTTTTGGAGTTTGTCCCCTCGCGAATCAAACATGTGTCCACTTGAGCACATGGTGAGTACATCGCTTCCTGCAGTCGTATTTTTCTCCCTCCTGATCATGATCCTCCGGCAGATCAATCAAAAACCGCGTATGTACACCCTGAAAATGACTCTTCGCATGGATGCGTCGTTGCGGTTGCGCCCCTCCTTGCAACTGCCGGCAGATAACTCGTCGAAGGGCCTTAGCTGCGTCCGGTCCCGCATGGTCGGTATCCTTGTGTATTATACCGCCGGCATGTCTATACCGTGTAAGTACATGTGGCAGCTCATCCACGATCAAAGCGGTCAAAGCCAGTTAAATTGAGTTACAGTAAGTATCCGTGCAATATCGCCGTGACCTGTCATTGATCCAAAGCGGAACCCCATTGGGGAATGGTTGACGGCTCATCGGACTCGGTTTGAGTCCCCAAACCCATCCGATTCAATTCGCCGTCGATGAGCTCCGGGCCCAAATCCTGTTCGTTCCCTCCGTTCGTCGTCATAAGTCCTTGGAGAATTTAAGCACTCACAGAGTTATAAGTTTAGCTGCAGCATTCAATCCATTCAATTCAATCGCGTCTTCCGCTACTGGCAGTCGTGAGAATCGGGTCGGCGATCTATCTATGACTTACGGAACGTATGGCGTCAAGCAAGAAGACCGGCCAGTGACGGCACCTCATCGACGCTCAGCAGTTCCTACCCCTAAGTATGGCCTGAATATATCACTCGCCCCTCTCGCCCCACTCGTCTTGTTCCCTGTCCACAAGACACAATCGGTGTCTCGGCGAAAGGTTCCCGCGAGCCACGACTGGCTAGAACGTCCGAGCGAAATCGTGCGAGACTCGAGTCGAAGTCGAAGCCGAAGCCGGGCTCCTCTGTGGGGTGGGTTGGAAATGGGTGAAGTACCGATACGAGGGGAAATTCCGAATGTTCTGATGGATGAAGACGCATCCCTCGCTGCTCGGAGGACGCAGGCGAGCAGGTCGCTGTCCCTGATTTTGTGGGTACGGTGATGGACGGACGGACGGATGGGGACGGATGTTCGGGTTCTTTGCAACTCTAATGGGAGTCGGAAGGCCGCGGAGGATGAACTGAGGCGGCGAATGGACACGGCGGGATACGGCATGCTGTTACCGTGGTCTGAGTGATGCGCCACCCAGCGAGTCAGTGGAGATAATTGTCCGCTAAATGAGTAGGTGTCCTGATGCACACATGCAAGCCCGTTGAACATGTCGGATTCGCCGCGGGTTTTACGAGTGACAGCGAGAGGAGAAAAATAGGTGGCGCGACAATTGTATCCAGGGATGAAGGGGCCAGTGCTAGAGCCATTGGGGATAAGAAGTAGTACAACGGGGTGATATATACATACACGAGACCACGGTTGAACGTTAAGACAAGATCATGAACGACATCTCGGACACAAGACTGCATCAGACAGACTAGACGGAGGCGGAAGACCTCGGAGAGAGGAAATACACGATTTCTATGGACAAGACGAAGCCAAACCGAAACGCAAATCTTGAGCGATACCTAACGCTAAACGCTACTTTCGGTCTGGGTCTAATCGAACGAGACCAGTCGTTGATAGTATGAGACGTGAAAAGCCCATAGCCCAGATGTATGAGACCAATGATTCAGATTCAGAATGCGACCACGACGGACAATACTCGGATGCTGGTAAGTAGTAGGGAGAGTGCAGAGTGATGAGTGATGAGCAAGATAGAGATGAAGAAAGGGTCGTGTAACGGCGCCGGGACAAGGCAAAGCAGTGTACGAGAGCAAGGAAACAGTAAAAATGTAAAGGACGTGAGATCGATATGCAGGTCGAGAGGAAAGCGGAAGGTGGGTGCGCTATCGCGACAAGAACATGAACAAGACCGCCGGCCGGAACCGTTCGGCCCTCAATGGGTGAAAGGGAGTCGATAAAGGGAAAGTCTAGGCATGAATTTGCGTCCGGTCTGAGGAGTAGGTGTGCTGCCAAGAGTTTAGCTCAGGCGCATGGGCGTGAGCGTGGGTAGTGTATGGAGAGATGGCGGGAGTATTATAAGCTAGATGTTGTGCATGTTCATGCGTAGGAGACTGGAAACAAAGTGAGTCAAAACTAAATTTAAAAAAAATTAGGGGAAAAAAACACCCACAATATACGCGTCTTCCTCCACCTTCACAATCCCATAGGTATGTGAGCTCTGTTGAGACCCCAACACCTGACCGTTCCCCAGTTGATGCGACGCTCGCGACTGCTGAAGAGTTTGGCCGTTTGAAGCGTAGTGCTGGGACTGCGGAGTTGACGCCTGGCCTGGTTGCTGTAACACGCAACGTCACTAGGATCCAGAGCTCGAATCAGACGCAGTTTCGCTTAAAGCTAAACTGGTCTTTGGAGGAAATTGATACTTGCCGAGTATGTGGTAGGGCTCGACGTCGCCGAGGTGTGGACAGAAGGGAGACTCGCATAGCCGGGGAAGCTATGGACACCATTGGAAGGAAGAAGCTGCGAGTTGTAGGAAGACGTCTGTGGCGTTGACGAGGACATGTAGGAAGAGTGGTTGATGGGAGGGAATTGATGCGGTGGCGCGAGCGCTTCCGTTGATGGCGGCGTGGGCGTCTCTCGTGGGCTCTGACACGCAGGACCGAACAACATGTTAACAGCCAACCAGATCGGAAGCGCACTGGGTCCACTCACGATGTAAACATCCTCGTCCGACATCCTCCGCTTTTTGGTTTCGCGTCCGTAGCCGTCGTTGGATGATATCGAATGTAGTGACCCGCGGCGGTCGATGTCGTCGAGCATGGAGGCCCGTCGGCCCGTCATCTGAAGTTGCCGCCGGAGCTCGTTGTTTTCGTGCAGAAGCTTCTCGTTCTCCTGCTCGAGTTGTCGAATGCGAATCGACGGCGGTGGCAGGGCTGCGACCTGCTCTGGGGAGAGAGCGAGGACAGTCTGGAGTTTGGTCACGGTCTGCTCGAGCTGAGTAGAACGAATACAACGTCAAGGACGCGAGGCGTCGGGGTCAGAAATTTTGCTTCCGTCGCGGCGGACGACGACGAAACGCACCTGCTCGATGTAGGCCTTGCGCTTGGCGCGGTGGCGAGCCTGTGCCTTCGCGTTACGAGAACGCTCTGGTCGGTCAGTGCTAGAGGCTGTAGGAGACGCATTTCCTCCAGAGTGGGCCATGGTCATTGGCATGTAACGTAATGCTAGGAGAAGAGGACAGGTATGAGGTTATCGGGGTTGGAAATCGAGAGAGCTCGGGAGGACTGATGGATATTTAACTCGCGACGCAAATGCGCATGCTCTGGACTCGTTTTGTTTAGCCGGCGTCTGCGCGTCTTTCGTCAGCCGAGTCGAGCCTTCCGCCAATCCGTTTTCCATCCTCAAAGGTCCCCGTCAGTCCGTCCCTCTTTTCTGTCCCCGCCCGCTCCTCCCCACTCCTCCTTTCTCCGCGGCATGCCCGGCTAACACCCTTCTAACCTTTCTCACCATCACTAGCCACCATCCGGTCATCGGGCCACGACTCCTGGCCGCTTAGGCTCAATACATTCGAGCAGCAATTGGTGACGGCAACCTCCTTTCTTGTCTGCTGTCCCTCGTCCGGCAGCACGTCTGGCTCTCGAATTCATCCCGCCTTGCCTTCCCGTTTTGACGTCCGCTCTTTCAGACGGTATCTAACCCGGTCTCCTTTCGCCAACGGCAGTCACGCACTTTGTCCGGCCTTCTCTGTACGCAGAGGCTTTATATCTGTCCAAGCCGTGCCCACACTGGGCAGTGTCCGATGCGAAATGGACTTTACGACCCATAGAGCCGACCATTTCAACCGACGGCATTCTCAGAGTCCAAATTTGCCCGACGCAATCTTCCGAGCACTCCTACATGTCACCTGAGTTTTCTCTATGTCGCTTTGCGTTTCCGCGCTCGATGGATGGCTGCTTGGGGATAAGTAATACTCTCCCTCATGTCCTCCCACGAGTGCTCCGTTGAGCGTGCTGGCTGACTGCCTCTGCTCGCTTCGGCGTAAATGGAGAAGGTATACATCCTAATGAACGTGGCCGGCCTAGCTCGGTTTGAGCGAGATATAGAGGAATGGAGACAACTTCCCTTTCACGTTCCTTGGCGTCTTGTCACAGAGCATATCTATCATCGTTTTCGGATTTCTGGATATTTTCTGGGCCCTTCAAAAGCAGAGGAGATGATCTTCCGACAGCCGCCCTGGTCAAAGCAGGAATGAGTTCCCGGTACAATTTTACCTCCGCCAGACGAGTCCATGGGGAGCGTCGCGGGGTTCTGGCACGGCTCTACCCGCTGATCTGCCTCCGGGCGGCTAGTTTCCGTGGACCTTTGTGGACCCCTCTGCGAAACCGCACGACCCCTTTTCGAGTCGTGCGTGGGCATCCCTTCGCTTTGCCACCCCTTTGCAATATTCTGAACCTTCCATCAGCAACAGTGGGCCTTTGTATTTCTCCATTTGTTATCCCTCTCTCTTTTTCTTTGGCCTGCCCCATCGTGTTTTTCACCTGCATGCAAAAGAACGCGTTCTACTCGCATCGTGCTCAGGTTGATCTGTATTTGCTTGGCCGAAGGTTCGTTCAACAAAAACTCACTGTCGTTCGATCTTGGTCTTTTTCTGTAAAATCACCTGCTCTCGGCTGATCGTGTCAGTTCTGGACGAAAGCGGCGATGGCATCACAGAGAACGCCTATGTCCTCAATTCGGTTTAACTTGTGGACAAGATCCAGATCATCTAAGGGATCGGTGTACTGTATCCGTGGTCTTCTCGTCTAACGCCCCTGGGTACAAGCAGCAATTACTTATCTTATATCACACGCAAGCACAGCACATGGATGCTTTGCCACCGTGGCAACTCTCGCTCACTCTTCTTCTACTCAATCTCTCCGCCTCGAACTCCTCTAGTGTTAGCTGTGCTATTATATGACCACTATCGGCGCAAACAGTACTCAAATGAAAGTCTATCTGCATTGATAAATCCGTAGATTTCAAAAACGGTTCAGAAGAATGCCCACGGTTCGACGTATTGTACGTCTTACTCGTCAGGTTCGTCAGACAGAACAAGGCGCCCCTTGCGCTTGACAATTCCCGCCCGTGAGCGATCCAGATTTGCGTCGCTCTCCTCCGCGTCTTCATCGTCCGAATCATGCTCGGCTGTTGCCTGAACGTCGCTAACTAACTTTTCAGTCGAGGCGTGGGCTGCCGCCTCGCCGACAGAAGAATTGGGTGAGCGCTCGCCCTCTATCGCCGTCGGCGAGGAATCTGCTCTTGTTGTTCGGGTCTTTGGCCGTGGGCGTGGACGTGGTTTAGGTTTGGCTCGAGCGATAGGTTCGTCGTCGTCGCTGGGCGGCGCGGAGGACGCCGGACCCGCTGGTAAAGGAGAAACGGCCTGGCTGAAAGGTGACGCTGGTGAGACGCGATCCTCGAGCTCAGCGTCCGACGCAGCAGAAATGGATGCCGCCGGGGATAGTTCAGCCGCCAGCATGTTGTCGTCTCCTCCACCGTCATCGTCATCGTCACCAGTCCCCGCTCTTCTCCGCTTCAGATCGCCCTCCTTCCCCAGATTCCTACGACGGCGCTTCTTCGAACCCGTCTTCTTCATCGTGCCAATGCCTAGTGCGTGATTAGCGGCAGTCAAAGCCGCCCGCTCACGTAGCTGCCTCTCCTTTTCGAAGAACGCATCTATGCCCTTGTCGTACTCCTCGTCGCTGTCCTGCACGAACTGTGCTGACTTGTAAACCTGTGTCTCCTTCTTCTTCCGCTCCTTTCGCTTTTTGACCCGAGGTTCGTCCTCATCGCCGTCGGAGCCCTCTGCGTCTGACCCCGAAGGCGCGCGCCTGCGCTTGCGTCGTCGTGTCTTCTTCCTAAGCAGTTCCGATGCCCGTTTACCACCAAGGTCCAAGGGACTGTTCTGGAACTGCTCGATCACGTTCAGGCTCTGCTGGAGATCGGACACCAGGACGGCCGCAGGGATGTACCACTCGAGCTCTTCAGCATCTATAAAAATAAGCAAATAAACGCACGCAATGTCAGTAAGCCAGTCAGATCTAATCGCCGTTTCATCTTCATCAGAAAACTGATGCTCGAGTCTTGCGGCGTCTCGTGTGGGTGAGGATACTCGAGCAGTTGCGCCCGACGGCGAAACAGGACCGGAAACGAACTCACCTTCATCCAGTATGAAGAACTTGACCAAACGGAACATCAATTTGAGCTGTGCGTTCTTCGTAGCCGCTTCGGCTTGTTCATCGCTGATGTAGGGTATCACTGGAGAGGGAGAAGAACAGTTCAGCGACCCGCAATAACGCCAAATGGGACTAGGCTATGAAAAGAAAGGCAAGTGAAGAACATGGAACACGCACAGTAGTCCGTTATCTTGGCCAGTGCTTCAGCAGACGCCCCTTTGGCCTGCGTGCGGGCTTTGAGCTCTTCGTCGTCTTCTAACTGAGACTGCTCGTCCTCCGCGGCCTCGGGGTTTTTCTCGCTGTCGCCGTCGACCTCTTCGATAATCCGTCTTCGCTGTGCGATGACAAGTGACAGGATCTGTTCGAGTACGAGTGCCAAAGTTTAATGTTCAGCCAGGTTCACGGGCCGCGAGGGAAGGGTGATTGGAAGGATTCAGACGTAGCACACGCACCACTTTTACCCAGTCAATTAATTCTTCTTTCCCATCCTCTGTCAATGCAGCCATGGCGATGGCGAGTTGCTCGCTCCATGTGTAGCCCTTCTTGACTTGCACCTCCGGAGGGAATTTCGACTCGTCGACAGTAGCTTTCGGTTTCTTAGTCTTCGCCTCGGGCTCCCAGCTCGACAGCTTCTTCCACTGACCACGGGTCTTAGGAAAGAATGCCTGCTCGATTTGGAGATGTTATGAACGAACGTTGGTGGGGTGGGTCAGAAACCTTCATGCAAAGAAGCGAGGACGAGCCTGGACATGACGGGGTATTACTTACCTCGATGAGGACAAAGGAATCCGCCTCGACCGCTTTGAAGAATTGTCGAAGAATGTAGTTGATAAGGGCCATAAGATCTTTGTAGGGCTGATCCTTTGGTAGGCTCCTTTGGTTTCCTAGAATGGCCTTAAAGAGCTCGAGCGTCGAGACCTGCACAGAGCATCGCGAAGTCTATCCTTGAGCAACGCCAAACGCCGCGCATCTTATATGAGAAGGAGAACACACCTGAAAGTAAAGGCCTTCGGCCTTGGCTCGTACGGCTTGACGATGCATCAGACTGACGACTTGCTTCATACTGTCCGGGGATTTGAATTCCTCATAACGAGCGAGATAGGTGACGAGAGACGCGGTGATGTTCGGGTCAGCGAATTTCTGTAGTCCAAGGGTGTCAACAACGGGCAGAGAGGAACGTCAAAATGCTGTCGGACTCACCGCCTCGAAAGCCTCGAACGTGAACATCGTTTCAGTGATCTCTTCCTTCTCAGCTTCGGCATCCTCCTCCTCGCCGTCAGGTACGCCGGCGTCTTCCCCGCCGTTCTTCGCTGTTGATTCCCGTCGTCGTCAGTCCCTGTACGCATCACGACGAACGAATAGAAGGAGGCGTACCTTTTCGCTTCTTTGGTTTACTTCTCCTCCTAACGTACGCCCCATCACCCTTGTTCTTTCCCCACCTCTCCAACATCCGCATTAACGCATACGCCAAGCCCACACTCGACTGCAAGAATGCGATCGCCTGTGTGCCCTCCTTGTACGCTCTGAGCCCCTCCATTGCTGCGTCCATAATCTCTCCATTATAGATCAGCTGTTGTTGTAAAACCTCAGCGGCCTCCTGCAACGCCGCCGCATCCTCCTCTTCCTGCGCATCTAGCACTGACTGCGGATCGAAAGGGTCGCGCGTGGCGGTGGCGATAGTGGAAGAGGACGATTTCGACGCGGACATGGCTTCGATAAGGGCCAGGAGTTGGGTCAGGCATTCGATCCCACCTTGGAGTTCCGTCCATAATTTCGGCTGTCATCCCGAAAATGAATGATCAGAACTCATAGCATAAAGACGGAGGGCATGTAATATAGACGTTAATATAGCAATGCGGATGATCTCGTGGGGGCGGAGAACAAGGCAATGCGATATGGACACGAACGGACAATATCAATAAGACCAGAGGGCGGAAATGGTCATGAGAGATCGATGAAAAGCACCGGCGAAGGCGAACGTGTGAGGCAGTGGGATGAAGTGGAAACATAGCCCCTATCAGAGACTTACCTTCTCTTCGACTGCGCCCCTCATTCGCTTCAGCACCCAAGAGATCCAAGCACGTTCTACGACCTCGCCAACGAAACCGAAATTCCATTGTTTTTGAGAGGGAGCCAAGACATCGGCGGTAGTGGCAGCAGTTTTTTGATAAGATCGAGTGGCAAGGAAGAACTCGAGAAACCACTTGGTCACGAACAGAAGCCGAAGGTTGTCTTTTTCGGTGATCTTCGCCCGTTCTGACTTGATGTCCTTGAGTAGAGAAGCGAGGAAGGCTACAGCACGGCGGGCGAGAAAGTGATAAACATAGGACATGAGTAAAAGCCTGGGTCAGCGACAACAGAACGATTGGGAATAGGGAAAGTACACACGGTTGAAGCATGATTCTATGAACGTGCTCGCAAGGTCTTGCAATACAGACTTCGCTTCCACGGAGAGATTATCCTCACGACCAAGCTCGTCCAGCTTCTGGCCTTTCCGAGCCTTCTGACGTTTAACGAGATCGATGATACTCCCAGCCTCTTTGTTGAGAGCTTGCTGGCGATGAAGAACGAAAGCCTGCGACGAAGACGAAGGCTCTGCTGGAGCGGGAGTGACGCCGTTCTCTTCCTTCTTGCCGGACTTCTTGGGATTGAGCGTGACGGAGATAGTCGTTCCAAAGCGTGAGTGGCGAGATGGCGCATTACGTTGCCAGTCACGACGGCGTTTATTCTCGATGGACAATAGAGTATGAAGGTTCTTTGTAGCTTGCTAAAACCCAAGAGCGTTCAGTTTCGCAATAAGTAGAAAAAACATCAAACTCGCCTTTGAGGGCTCGATAATCAGAGCAGCAGGCCTGACGCCACGGAAGAGGAGGTAAAAAATTTCGAGTACGAGCGTATTCCAATTATTGAACATTTTGTCCGTCGCCGCGTTCGACGCTATAGTAGTAAGAAGCTCCAGGTAGTGGGCATCGGCGAGCGTACGGATCAATTTGCTCTGTAGAGAGGAAAAGTCTGCTTGGTCGGCACTAAGATGGACGTTCGTAGGCAAGTCCTTGATGAAGGCCAGATTTCGTACAAGGTGAAGCACGACGTTGATAATCTGCTCGTCGCGCTCCTTTCGCTCCTTTTTGTCCTTAGCTAGACATGGGAGCAGGATGTTAAAGAGTGCCTGCAAGACGCCAGGTCTCAGAAGGGCGGCTTTGTAGTGAAGATGGCTTTGGAGGAGCTGAGTGTAGTCTGCGCCGCGATCGTACTCCTCGTCGAGCTCCTTCAACTCCTCCGCAAGGTCAATCGGCCAAGTCATAGCAGTCACTAGATCAGCGCATGCAATAGCACGCTTGTCCTCTACGTGGCCCTTCCCAGCAGTCTCGAGCAAGATGGGGATTAGATCGTTAGGAAGGACGCGCGTCTTCCAGAAGATTCGGGCGACAGTGCGCTCGTCGTCGGTATCGTCTTTCCGCCAGTACTTCTTCAAGTCTTTAAGACACCCGTACGCCTCGTCGCCCATACGATAGGTATGCCCCTCGAACCCACCGAGCGACTCCACGACGTTGCTGATGAGGGGTTCAAGAATGCTTTGTCGTTCAACATAATCGTCGTGTTCGCGCTCGTCCTCCGACGAGATGGAGATAACGTCGTCTTGGTCCATAAGCTATGGTATCCGTGTTAGTCAGACAAGAGAATATTGAGCAGACGGACCTACTTTGCAATGCAGGAGAGGACTGACGAACTGGGTGAACGCGTCGGGACGCGACTCCAAACGCGACCTGACGCGCCGTGTCACAAAGATAACGACGTTACGTGTCGCGCCTACCAAGGATTGCGTCACGCCTCAAGTCACGCTACCTTTCTCCTCTTTTTTTCCATCCACACCAAATCCAAACCCTTCGCTAGTCGACTATCTATGCTGGCAGCTGGACCATCTTCTTTTGCATGAGTAGCAGCGCTTCGGTAAGAATGACAGTTTATCCATATGATGGTCCATGTCAGTAAGTCAAAGGACTGATTTTCGAGTCCTCGCGTTGATCTTGCGCCACGTTGTGTATTATGACCCAGAAGTACCGGCCACCGTCGTAGATGAGACGAGTTGAACAGAACCATGGAGCAGATAGTTTGCATCGCAGTAAACCCCGAGCGATCCTACACCGACTGTCCTTTGACTCTCACTCTGCCAGTAGTGATTGGGCGGCTGACACTCGGCGTGGTGTGGATATCGATACCCTCCCATATTCAACAGCCAAGGTCTTCTCGTTTCCTCTAGGGGTGCCGATGGATTTTCAGCGTAACTTGGGCCACCCTAGGTTCAGGGCAATGCATGTGTTGTACATATGTTGTGCGCGGACACAGTGGTGCGCCTGGACCATTAGGATGTTCATGAGTGGACTTCCTGATGTCTCGATGGTAATAACACAATGATCTCACTGTGACGACCGTCATGGTAGGAATATTCACCCCACTTTTGTATGGTCGAATGGCGCAGCTTACCACCCGGTAAGTAGGCTGGTTTTCCAGCAGGTCCTGTGCTGTGACCGGCGTCACCGTGATGCAGCCCTACCTTGGACGAAGTTTATACTGTTACTGTACTAAGCGAAGCCGAATTAATGACATCCCCGTTAGGACCAACTAGAGAAACGTTAAAAGGTTCATTCTCTCTACGGAAGAAACCATCATCATCGCTTCGATTGTGGTCCACTGATCAAATTTCCTGCGGGTATCGAGGACAGCAGGAAAGTTTGAGGCGATCCCTACGCTTCACGGGCGTCGGCGGTTTTGACCTATTCAGTGGACTCATCGATAGATACTACTATTAGACTGAAAGTCTTACTCCCGCCATGGGCGGACTGTCTGTCTTCGTTTCGCAAGCGCTTAGCTGAACCCTAGACGCTCACGCTCATCTACTGAAACACCTACAATATCGAGGACTGCTCACAGCGTCTCGACCTCGTTCCTGTGTACCATCTGCGGAAAACTCGCGCCATGTCTAGTGCAGGCCACAGGACCACGCTCAGAGACAGACGCTGTATTCTAGTCCCAAAGCGGACAGAAAAAATAGTGCTGTCCAAGTACGGATACCGTGTATGCCAGATGGGACTCTGTGTGCTTCTAAGAAGCAAGCGTCTGCTATGTAGTTCAACCACACGACGAGCCGCATGGCCACGGTCATTCTTGTCAGAGTAAATTTGTTCCTCTCTTTCGCATTATCCCCTTGGACGACGCGAATGGCATGTAGTCGGTCTTCTCATGCAAGCCCCCATCTCCCCATTTACTGCGTTTTGGTATCCCAGCGGAAGACGGGCATAGCTTAGCACCGGTAGGAGTCTGATACCGGTACTTCGAACATCGGGCTACGTCGCTACGGTTTGATCAATCGTGGCAGATTTTTTTTTTTTTTGGCACTTTTTTGTGTCATGACCTCAAACCCCAGCGTGTACTTTACAGTCACTCCTAATAACGGGCCACTACGGTGAGTGAGGAATCCTGTAGTACATCCTAGTACATCGTTCTGTTCAACCTGGCGCTAAGTTCTCGTAGCCTCCAAATATAGAGTACCACCATCAGCGTATCAAAACTATCTGCGGGTGCGACTATGTGGGCGGCTGAGCGGTGACCGAAAGCGATTTCCTTGCAGCGAGGCCTAGTATTATGTCCTGATGTCCATCTCAGACGACTTCGAGGTTAGTCATTCGTCTCAAAAGCTTCGGTTTCGAGGCGGAAAGTTCTGATGCAAGTCTCTCCAGCTCCGTGATGAGACCGCTGGTATGGTCCAGGACGATACTTTCTTTATTTTCTGGATACGGTTGCTTGGAACGTATCACTCAGTTAATCCACCAATCATCGAGCGTTCCGCAGGAACCTCTCCGGTACAACCGTCGATAAATCAGCGTGCACCATACACACTTAGCGATCGGAGGCCTGTTCCGGTCCTAAAATCAATCATATAGAATGCGAAGCACCTTACATGTAGCCGGTCAACTTGCCTTTAAGATTGGTTGACAGGACAGCCCTTGTTTCAACCGTCTTTCTTTTCTTATCATGTCAACGTGTCCTGTCAAAATTACTCCAAGGTTTGCCTGCCATTCCTTCTACAGATCCGGTTGCACCTCTCTTAATCTCCTCCTGCCAGCAATGGAAGTTCAAAGCTGTCATCAGACATAGGTCCTTCCAGCTCATTTTCGAACAAGCCCGGTCATGCAGTTATGGAACGTCTATATGGATCGTAGGCCCGGGTTGACTTCGTCAGTCGAACAACAGCCGACTTGTCCCACGAACGTGACGGGCGTATATCGGCACCGCGGTGAGACTTCCTTTGAAGTCCTGCCCAGATGACACTTACAAGGCTCTTTCGTTAGATAGAATATGCGCATAGTGGTATACGATATATCTGTCGCATACTAGTCGCACACAGCGATGTATGTTATTGGAATGCCATTATGGTATCTCTTCAACCATTCCTGGCTTCAATATGAGTCGTATGTTTAGGCGTGCATCATATCCAGCGCTCCGTGAACACGACGATGAGGCGTGTTCGAAGTGTTCGAAGCTGACATGACACCAATTTGGTGCCCTCGTGCATCTCTTGGAGTAGCCTTCTATTCTCGACCTGAGCTCACCGTTCACGCCGAGTGCGGGTGTTGTTGCCACACATTCGAAAGAATGGAATGACGAGGCCGTGTTCCACCGTAGGGGCACCCGCTCCCTCTCTGCCGACGAATCAGTGGTTTTATACTTGGAATGTACCGGCATGCGGAGGTTCCGTACTCCTCGGACTAAATATAGGTGAGTAGTGTTACACCAGCGCCGCAGTCTAGTCAGGGACAAGCCAATTGAGCAAATCACCAAGATTCTTTGGCCACATCTCACCAATACCATAAATGTACAGCAAAGCGTGTTGTGTTACAGAAGATACACTGACAATGGCCACTGCTCCTGTACAACCACCCCCTTTCCTTCAATGCCCTGAAGCTGACACCAACGCATTAACTCGCATCAATTGTGAGCACGCTCACGCTGAACCCAGGGGCCGTGAAGTTGAAGGTCGCTCCGGTCGTAATTGCACTCGTCACAGGGACCACATTCGCCGGACTCGTCGTCGGAGAGTTACTCGCCGTCTGGGCTCCGGTAAGGATCTGAGCAGTGCCGCTGGAGGCAATAGTCTTGAATGTTGTGGGCAGGATGAAGGTAAGGGTATTGGATGTGGCAACGGTGTTCGAGATCTATGTTGATGGCATTTCAGTAATTGTACGTGAGCTGTAGCGAATATAGGTAGTGTGTGACAAATCAAACAAACCTTGATGAGAACTTGAGAGGGAGAGTTACGCTTCGTGACACTCCAGAAGATGGTACCGCTCGCGGAAGGAAGCGTGCTCGGTAGGTACGAATCACCTTTGTTCAAGCTGAACATCTGTACGCATGTAAGCGGAAAGTTTCATGGACCAATGTTATGCGGCACGTACTTGTTGCGCGTAGAAACTCGTAGAGGGCCAGACGGTCAGCGAGTCGAAGGAGACGAGGTTCGGTGTCTAGTAAAAACGAGCACAATTAGGACCGACTCTGGGAATGAGCAATGAGAAGATCACCCATTGGACATTGTCAACATGCTGGAAGGGAGTCGGTCAGAGAAGTTCAGGACATAAACAAGAAAACGATCCTCACTCCCAGAAGAGGTGCATAAGACGCAGCGAACACGATATCGCTGTTCCTCTCCAGACCAGTCATGAACGCGGCTTCGCCAGTAGAGCCTGATAAAGCATCGTCAGTGTCCGCATCAATGAAAACGAGGGGATATCCCAGACTTTGCATAGTTGGGAAAACCAATCGTCCGTCCGAAGGTGAACCGAAAAGCTGTTGGGCACAAAAAATCAGCATCGAGGTATATAACCAATATGGAACGATGCGATCCGTACATCGTTCGCGTTCGTGCTGATCGCAGCGTACTCTCCCTACAGACCGCAATACATCAGTTTCCAACTACACCACAAGGAGTATCAACAGTGCTGCTTACCTCAAAGTACAAAGTCCCATCCCTGGCGAAAGAGTCGTATATGAACGAATTGGTGGCGAACCAACCTTGCAACCACATACTTTCATTAACGAATGGAACGTATGTATGTTCGAGCAGTAGGCCAACTTACTCGGGGTCTGGTACACATGAACATCCCACTCCTGGGGCTTCGGCGTCAATGCCGGAGAATTCACTGTGGATGTGGCGAGGAAGCCTATGTGGCCAAAATACCGAGATGAGAATCTATTGAATCCGTTAGGGAGTAGAATCTTACGCAGTTGAGGGAAGGCAGCGCTCAGGTTTCCGTGGAAGTCTGGCCAGCGGTACGAGGCATACGTTGACGAAGCCGTAGAACTAATGAAGTCCTGTGTGCGCGTAAGACCGTCAATTATACAATAATGGGAAGGGGCAAGAGTGCGCACTTCGTTGCCAATCTCGATATGATTGATGACGAAAGGTTCGGGGTGGCCGAGGGATGATCGTAATGCTGCAGGTGCGCTCGTAGTGGGGTCTCCGATGGCGAAGTTGATCTGCATCGCAGTAAGGACTTTGTGAGAGAACTGGAAGTACGATGCACCTACCTGATCGATTGCTTGTTGGATATAGGGATCCAGTTGTCCTTCCGCAAGTGCTGCGCCATTTAGGGAGTAGCCTAGACCCGATTGCTTCACGTCAATACCTCGAAATACTGCCACAGTCAGTGCTGAAGATGATCTACCATCCCAAACCGCCAAGATAGGCTCCATATTCAGATCTTCGCACCACTCCAGATACTCGAGCAATCCTAGACCACTATGATAGATTCAGATGAATCAGTCCCACGACAACACTTTTATCGAACAGAGGTCAGAACTACGAACTCAGTGTTAATATATCCCCAATCCCCAAGCCGGCCGGGCCTATCGACCAGGGGACCAACCGTAGCGTTCCACTGCCATCGGGTAGCAGCCGTAGTTCCTTCCTATTGCGATTCAAGATGTTAGTATCGTGTATAATTTATGCAGCAGCCGAGTTTATGAACTGACGAGATTGTTCCCTCCAGGCAGCCTGAAGAACGAAGGTGCCATCGATGCTAACGTCTACGGCACGGTTTACTTTAGCAAAGTTCACAACCAGACAAACACAAATAGCCAAACCATTCCAGGCTTACCTCCGCAATATCCATCCTCATGCCGTTCACCCTACCCTTGAACGTCGGCGGGAACAGCGAGAACATCGCAAAATTGACGGTCCTCCCAGCTGCCTGAGCGCCCGAGAACGTAACGGTAAAGTTATTGTTCGCATCACTCGCGCTTGCAGTGGGCTTGATCCTGACAAAGACCTGAGTCCATGTCGTGGAAGGAACGAGAGCGGCGGTAGCAGTGCCGAGGACGGTCCCCGATGAGGTTTGGAGGTTGATGGAGGCGGTGAGGTTCGTTGAAGGCGTAGTTGAGGGGAAGCGGTAGAAGAATGAGGCGTTGTATGTCCATGAAGAGTTTATGTTGATACCTGAGGGACGACAATGGTGTAGGTAATTAGATGTGGCGTAAGGTGTGGCGTAGGCAAAGAAGTAAAGACGCATACCGAAGAACCCAGAGTTTCCAAACCCAACATTTCCCGAAGCTCCAGCCGGAACGGTCAATTGCAAAGAGTTTGGAAGCGCGCTGGAGACAGGGGTGGTGTCCGCGATAACTTCAATAGTGGCACTTCCGACCGGAGCCCATGCATTAAGAGCTGCGGCAGTGTCTGATGGGCAACGGCAGATTGAGCAAGTGCATAGGAAAGGGGTCGAAAATTCTTCTGAAACGATACTGACTGGGAGTGACCTGTTGGAAGGCCCGATTTTGGAGCAATTCTGTAGGTGAGGTAGAATCATGAGTACGACCCCAGGCACGTTGAGTTGAACAAGACCAACCTGCATATAGTCCTCCGTCACCACTCTGTGATCGTTCCGAGAGCTGAGTCCTATGCTACGAAGCAAACGGATTGACGACAAGCTTACATGCTGTAAAATAGCAACTGATGAGAGCCAGATTCATGGAGAAGGAAATATAGCGAAACTCACACTGATATCCTACAGTGTCAAGAGTGCCATCCATAGCCGTATGCATTAAGCCTCGGAATCATCCAGCGGATCAATGCGAGCGAAATGAACGGACCTCAAACATTTGTCCAACTGGTACGGCGCGAGTGAGTCCCAGGCATGGTGAACCAAGTATAGAAATCGATACTCACAGAGAGTAGTGGGTATAGCATGTGAAGCCGTACCATTGATGGTGACGCTCACCGCATTACAGGCCGTCGCACAGATCGAGAGTAGCAAAGTAGATTTCCAAAACATTTCCGCCCAGTAGCTCCTCGAGACGTCCAAGAGCGTGTCAAGGTGAGGTATCGATCTTCAACGCATTGAAGCGTTGAAACGTGACCTTTATAGAACTTTGTGAGCCGTGGATAACCCCTGGAGTCCCTTAGCTGACGCACCTTCCTTCGAATCCCTCCCGTCTCCGGCATTCGTATATAACAACGTCGCATGGCTGGACACCCGCTGACCGCCAAGTTTGTCTACTGTTCGCTCAAATACAGTGGCTCCTGGAGATCAGGGGAAATTGTACGCAGGTACAACCGTCCTGGCGCGAGAAAAGAGTCTCATTCCATGGATATAGCTTCTGGAAATAGGAGATCCTTGCGGATGTTGCTCCTCGAGTGAGCTCACGAGTCCGCCCCGCGTGCCATGACGCGCATGTTTCGGGTCCTGAGATAAATTCAAAGTGTAGGTACCCAGTGAAGGAGTATGAGGATCAGGGGAGGTACCCAACCTTTTCCCGTATTCACGGCCGAATGACTGCATCGATGGTCGAAAGTAGACCATCGCGCACACGACGACACAGCGAGAGGAGTGCAAGTGACCGCTTTCAATCCAGAACCGGGCCGTCATCGTGAGAAGGAGGGACGAACGCGGTTGTACGGAGAGGGGGGAAGATCGGCAGCATTGGACCGTGATGAGGAAGAAGAGACAAACATGGGCGACATGGCGTTTTATTTACGCATGGAGGCAGACATTGGCCGACTGAACGGTGTGGCCCCACGGTGCCACACGAGGTTTAGTACTTGGAACGAACGCAGATCCGTAGATCATTTCGGCAAGACATAACCTATGAAGGAGGAGGATCAACGTACAATTATCCGGCAAGTCCGCGAGATCAGACAAAACACCCTTCGCACAACAAACGCAGAACGGAGGACGAAAACGGCCTAGAATAGGGAGCTCGGGGGGAGTATAACGACAAAAACACGGAAAGAACAGAGCGAAATAAGAACCTATAGCTGGTATTGAGCTGGTAGGTCCTTAGTTACATCTTCTCTTTCAGTGATGGAAAGACGTTCATGAGAAATTGTTCGTAGATGACAATCTCCGTCGTGTCCGTTCTCGGCCTGCTCAGCGCTCAGTCTCGACGCGATGGCTGTTGACTCGTCGATCTCCACGACAATTCTGCACGCCACATTTGAATGGTCAGATAGGAAAGAGCGACCCGCATAGAGCAGCAAGTACAGCAATCGCTTCGCCAACAAATAACGGATGAAGAAAAGGGCGGAAACCAAAGACTGAGGAGCGAAGGTTGATCTCGCCTGCGCATTAGATGGCCAGTGGGACAGTATTATTTGGAGCAAGAGAAGAATATATGGATCCAGAGGTTAGACCTTCGAGCAATGTGGCATGGGAGACATACACGCATCGTCAGCCTCCTTCGTCTTCCGGAACACCCCTTCACTGCTCCTTCAATGAATGGAGACCCTTCTTGAAATCATGTCAGTGTCTACCGAGATATGATTGTCTTTTTGGGTTGTATCACTTCGTGAGGACTCGATGGTCGTCCGTGTTGAGACCGATGAAGGCGTTAACAGTGTAAAGAGAAAGATTCGTTGTTTCGGCGCTGGGTTAGGTGAAGTACGTGCTGAAAGCGCTGCAGACGCGTCGAGGGCGAAGGAGGCGCCCTGTTTGAATTTACCGGATTAGGACGCGATGTGGCGTTGTGGAGTTGTGGCACACTTCTTGGACGATAAGGAAGTAACAACAACTCATTGAGTCTTATATACAGTTATAGGGCTAATGTACCAAGACACAAGATACACGACGTTACATTTTAATCTGCAATGAACGGGGCTGTGTCCATTCGTACTTGAGGCACGCGCGACTTGATACTGATAATTCGACCTTCAGCCATCCTCCAAAATATGTAGAGATTTGCACATCCCCAACGCTTTCACCCCCCGTGCCTTCATCTGCAGCCTCCCGCTAGTCCATCGGCTAGTCCTCCTCCAGGGCCACACCTAGTGCCTCCAGGATATTTTCCGCCTGGCTGACCGCCAACTTGAACCGGAGGTCACGGTGGGCGAGACTGGATTGGCGCAGCCTGCGTATACCTCTTCTTCCCCGGTCTCTGGGGCAAGTTATGTAAAGATGGCTGTATGGGTGGTCCAGCTAAATAGACGATCGCGATGTATCACGGTATAAGAATCGTCACTCTTTCAACGTATGAATCCTAACGAGGAACACATTTTGGCGACTCACGATGCTGCGGCGGCACTACGCACGTATAACAATTCTGCGCGGGATAACCTTGATGGTAAGGGCAAGGCTGAGTGGGGGTGTTGTACCATACGGCATGCGGGGTAGGGTGCCCAAGTTGTCTTGGTGAGGCAGCTGGTGTATGCGGAGGTCCTGGATTGCGAGTACACTTAACGAAGCTAGTACATGGCACACGTAAAGAGACAGAGCTTACGGTTAGAATGAGGACCTGGAGCAATCTGTCGAACAGGCACAGGCTCTGGTACAGGAGACGGCGGAGGCAAAGGCGACGGAGGCGGAGAAGGTTGGTACGCCTTGCACGCCTTGTACGTGGTCATCTCTTTGCCCTTTACGATTGCCAGGGAACTATCAGTCCAGATGCACAGACGCCTGTTGAACATGAAGTAATCTTAGGGGAAATAGTCGACTCACCCCGCGATCAACCCTCGTGCATAACGTTTCGCGCATGCCCTTCGAGTTCTTTGTCATGCTTCTCCACGACTCACACCGTTGGTCCGGGTACAGCGTCGTACGGGTATACTGCGTGAGGTCGACTCGTTCGTCGTTTATGGAACCGACGGGAGGGACAGGTGTGCAGTAAAATGAACTTGGTTGACACCATCCACCTTGACCAGCGACGGATGTTATGGCTTTGGGATCGTTCGGAACATTGCCAGGGTTTTTGAAGAATCGAGCACGCTCGTCGTCGAACATCTGAGGGGTCAGGTGCTGGAAAAGGTCGGGATTGTCGGGCATGTAGCTCTGCGAGGGTGGAAAACACGGAGACGAAATGAGCATGGTGGCGATTAATGGCACGCGGGCAGATAGAAAGGATGAAAAACCTAGCAAAAGCGATTTGGAAGGAGTGGAGGAATATCGCGTGTGAACACCTGTCCTCGTTGACTTTTATAAGGCCAAGCATCGCGGGCGAAAAAAATGCCAACCCATGTGTGGCGTCCACCCGCTACTTCGCTGAAAGTTTCCCATTTCAGCACATCCTAGGAGCCGGACTGTGTGAGTTCAACCTTCAACTTGAAGATTGAATCGAGAAAATGCTCAAAATCAGCGGGAGAAGGGCACATGAAAGAATACCTTGCAAAAGAAGGGCGGGATTGCAGTCAGGTCCCCTGGACTACATATGGGGATGGATTAGAAAAGCGCTCACCCCAATGGTCTTTAGGATGCTCTATCTTTTGCATCGCGCTGGAAAAGATTGTCCAATTTTATCGATATTTGTTGTTCTTGATGTACTTTTGCAGAGTCGAGGCCCACCAAGAGTCGTCCAGGATCGTAAGGTCATAAAGAATATAATCATCAAACTCGTTGAACATGACGTATCCGCATAACAAGGCAACGTATCAATAACAATACAGTCATCATGCGGGAAGAACCTCCATTATCTGTGTACGAGTAGGAGCCCACGACGAAACAATCGAGGAGAAAGACCACCGAGACTCGTTCGCAAGTCCGCGACGCAGGACACCTAGTGGTCGATCAAAGCACTCGTTTCCCTATCCTCCCTTCCGTCGAGCCAGCTGGTGCAGTTACAGCATCTCTTGGCCTGTGTGCCAAAGTGATGAGAATCAGCAATCACGAATAGTCAACACCCGTCCGTTCGCCACAACCAACTGCAACAAAAAAAACGAACGCAGACGTATGAGCGAGGCAGAGAAGATGCGTACCTTCTCTGAGATAAATTTGCGACAGTAGGTACACTGCACGGTGTGTTTGATGATCGCCCGATGGGTAGTGGCGGTATAAATCTGCGCAACGATGTAGAGGAAGGCACCAAGCGCGAAAAAGCTGGCCACATTGTTGACAAAAGCTCTGATGCACGAGGAAAACACGTCATTCCGCAGCGAAAGGTGTATCAGTACAGCGGTAACGCGACTCTGGGAGTGGGTGGGCAATCAAAGCGCACCCATAAGCCATTATGACGGCCCCGTCCTCCATCGCTTGGTCAATCGTGTTATAGCCATGTCCCTTGTCGGCATGTGGTCCCTTCCTCAAAACCACAAACTTCTCTTCGAAGTTTCTATTGATGAAAGGGAACAGAGCGATGGGCGGGAGGAGGATGTCGGACACGAGCGAATTGACAACTTTCGTGAAACCCTGGGCGATACTACATTACCAAACAGCATCAGAGCCCGAAGCTTTATGACAAGAAAAGAGAAGACCGCGTACATGAGACCAACAGCGACTTGGAGGACGCTCTCACTGGCGACAAAGTCTGCGAGTTTTGTATTAGCCAATATTATTGGTCACTGCAATATAACCCGAGGCAGCTCACCGATAAAGTCGCTCCATACCGACTTCATACGTCTGATGACGGACGGTGCAGAGTCGAGAAGTCCCAATGTGCTCATCTCAGAATGCGTTGACGAAGGGGAGATGGTGGTGGTACAGAAACAAGAGTTACTGTGCAGCCAAAAGAGGGCGACATGCTGGTTCGTCGACTTCAACACAGTTGACACTGACAGCGTCTAAAGAGGGGTGTTGGTCAAGCTGAATGACCCCTAACCCTACGTCAAGGCAAAGTGGCGATCGGCCGTTTGGCGCCACTCGTTCCTGTTCTAACTTTCCGTTAAATTTATACCGAAATCCCAGTGTCCAGACTCTTCCTGGGGATAAAAGAGAGCCACAGCTTGTGAAGAAATTGAATACTTATAAATAAACGAAGAAAAATCGCAGGACATATATGGAAACGCTCCGAGTCTGAAGGATCCCCAAAGGCTCGGGAGCAGCTGAAATAATGCAAAAATAATGCATCCGACAGACTCGAAACACTGAAAAGTTGAAGCTTCTACCCAAGGATTTCAGGCTCAGCGGGATCACCTTAATCCCAATATCGACTCCACCGGTCTATCAATGCTCCCCATGACCGTCATATAGACTATAAGACTCGTCATCCTCCCGGTTCCTGCCACCACTGTTGTTGTCCTTCCTTGTATTCTTCTCCTTGTCCCACTCACCCACCTCATCGTCATCTCCGCCCCTCGGTAAACTCTCAAAGTGAATTTCTACCAACGCCGCCTTCCTCAGATTGTCCGTCGTCGGACTCTTGACCGCAATGACCTGATCCTGCGCCTCGCTTCCTCTTCCAAGTAGCCAGATGAGTTGCAGAAATCCGACCATGCTGAGGTTGGGGTCGATCTTGCTGTGGTCTGGACGTCGGACGATGAGGACTAAAAGAACGAGGAGAGCGAGAGAGGAGACGAGACCCAACAGAAGCTAGTGAAGGAAGAATAAGAGTGGAAGATCAGTGGCAATGACAAATGTACAGTACAGACAGCGAGTGTCGCGAGGGAGAGAAGGAATCACCGGGAGTACATTCAGCTAGATCGAAGGTTTTTCAATCAATCGCGGGGCTATTACATCAAGTGCAAGTTAGACTCACATTCAACTGGTCGTTCGGATTATACAGCAGAACTCCTCTCATCTCGGACGTGGTGCTCGTCAAGAAGGAAACACTCGCCCCATTCGATGGGATGGTGTTGGCGGCTTCCATCAAAAATGATGTAAGGAAATGCACAAGGAATCCCTCAATATAAGAGCCCGAGTGAAGACCAGTGAGACCACACATACCACTCCAGTATATCGCTGCCGTCAAGTTCTCCAGTGCCATCTCGAGTTCCGCAAGTGAGATGGAGGAAAGTCTGTCCTCGCTGTTGACGAAGAAACTGCGTGGCGGCCCAACGCCCAGAGCGCTATTAAGATACCTACGTAGGGCGCGAAAGAACATGTCATTCTTCCTTCCTTACAAAGGGACCACTCTCTGGAGTCTGAACCAAGTAAATACGGAGAGGAGGATCAAAGTACTAACCTTTCTGTGACTGTCAAAAAGTCGCTATACTGACAGGTCTCGCTTGCGGGATCCGGATAAGAGAACCATGGGACATTACAGGTCGTCGCCTGCACGGTGCTCATAGAATGAACATTGGCTATGGAGGACCACTGGATATACAGCGTGGTCAAAAACATTGGGCCGGATGTCGCCACAAAGCGAGCTCCGTGGCGTATGAGTAGCACTCACCGAGCTAATCAACGTATCGTTCGTCTCTGAAGGAGCTTGCCATTCTCTCCATGTCGTTTGTGGCGTTCGATCCGGGATGCTGTCGCTGGTGATATTTCGGCTTGAGGGATCGAGGATCACATTCCTTATTTCAGTATACATATTGCATGTCGTGATCGTAGGTTGCCATGTTTGAGGAAGCCATAGATAGTCGTGGCCATCGCTGACTTGAGTTGGCGAAAACAAGATCTCAGGGTACTGGAAGTGAGATCGAGCAGTTGGGATGACTCACATGCCATCGGAGGATCTAATTCGAGGTGAGTTCCATTGTGTCCTTGGTCGTCGGTGATATTGAGGGAAGCGTATAACATCATCGATTGACCTATCTATCGGCAGGTCAACATTCAGAAAATCGGCGGAGTAGATTGCAAGGCTTACAAGGACTGACTGTACTCCCGCAGCAACTGGTAGAAAGCGAATTCCGTACGGGTCTGTCGAGAAACATAAATGGGTACTTGGAGGCGAAATGCACAAGATCTGAACGCACAGAGCAAACGCATGGGTACAGTGGGCGAGGTACTCCCATCCGGCACCGGTGTGGTGATATTCCATTCATTGAACGATCCGGTCCCGTTCTGCGTCGCACCTGGAAGAAGGGAACAATTGACGTGGAAGACGGTTGCGTTGACCTCAAACTCTTGGAAGATTGGGAGTGGGCCGTCGATATGTGCAGCCCTCGCATCTGTGACGGAGGCAAAAATCACGTTTCCTTGAAGGCCTATTGTCGTATTTGTGTGAGAAAGCGTCTTGAGCATGGGCAGTACCGCAGATGCATCTTCCAGATCCAAGTAGCTACAAAAGTCGTACGGAACCCTCCATCATCTTCAGTCTGCATACGGTATAGGAGTGGATAAGTAAACGAACAACGCACTTAGATCCAGTAGGCCCTATGTCCGGGATGTTCGAAGTCAGAGTCACCGTGCCAGGGAAAGACTCATTGAACGTAGCCAGCGAAAACGTGGCTGGTACGGTGATATGTAGAACCAGGATAGACAGAAGGTATCCGGCGATAGCAAAAACACCCCAGACCGCTGTAGGAAGCTTGCGCTGGTTCAGGACGGTCACTAGCGCGGCGCCGAATCCGCTCCAGGCTGTATGCTTGTCGTGAACCTCGGTCAACGTTTGACGTCGATGCAGGGTCTTACGGAGGGAAAGTTGTTGGGCTAGAAGAACCAGGGCTACGAGGTAGACCTGAGAAAGTGTATCAGTCCAGTTGAATGAAAATGATGGCTAGTGCTCAATCGAACTTTGACTCACCTGATTGAAGACTTGAGAGACAACAGTAATCGCAACCGTCACGGCGTTCGCACGAGGTCCCAATGGTACAGTCACTCGATGCTCCAGATGGCCTGCGGCTACAACTGCGACTAGGACCAGGTGAAGAAGAACCAAGATTATGTGCAATAACATGGCAAGTCCATAGGTACGTCGAATTGATGATAGCGGCGGTGGCTTGCTGGGTAGAGACTCACTAGCAGAAGGCGTACTGGAGGGCAAGTCGTGGTTGAGCAAGTTATCCGCGCTAGCACGGTGACGATGCTCGTTACTGCTGCTCCCAGTAGATGAGACCATGGTATCCGACAAGCCGCGTCCTACGGAGGATGTGATTGAGGGAGCTGATTGAGGGAGCTAGTAGCCCACAAGAGCGAAGACCATGGTGGGTGTTTATGAAGCAACCGTCTCGCTATCTCTTTGATGAGCGCTTTCAACAGAAGGCGGGCTCTAACACAGCCGACGAGCAAGAAAGTCCGGCTCGCAACAATTTTGTGTATAAGGTGTAGTTTGTAGCATCGCATCAACATGCTTTGATGCCACGCAGCCGCTCCTGATGCCGAGCCAATCGACGCCAATAGCCTAGAGGGGTGTGAATGCGCTGAAGAGCAAAAGGTGACAACCATAGCCTGAAGCTACCGAAACAGAACTACTGTATCTCAGACCATCATAAGATCGTCGAGCACCTTCAACGAAGCCCTACGAGGCCCTGTCACGGTCGAGAGGAAAAGGCAAGGAAAAGGGCGAGAAAAAATCAACGGCAAATGCCGATTCGCGGTGTTGCACACAGGTGCCACCAGCCGTGGCGCCCAACTCTCTTTGAACTGAACACTCCGAACTCGAAAACTTATCGTCTTGCACAGATCTATCCAAATCACGCCCATAATAATAATACTCTTAGTATCTTCGCTACCGATTCTTAACCAACTCACTTTCAGACCAAAATAATGGCCCCGTCAGATCTTACCGTGGGCTTTACCTATATTATCGGTGAGCTGCCTTTACTACAACTTTGTCTGAGTATTGACGATAGGACCGTTTGTACGCGAATGGGGTTTACTTGTCCTAGAGCACATGGAAGAAGATGATGAGACGGCTCGTGCCTTGCCCCGATGGGTTGAACTTGAATACAACGTGTGTTTTCACTACTTTTACCTGCCGACAAAGCCTGACCCAAGCCGTCTTTTCTTTCGTTTCCGTAGCATATGAGAACACTTGCCGGTTCAAAATCCACCGTCAAATTCACTCATCTATCTCGCACCGCATCAAAATCTCTTTCTGACGCGTTCCTCGACCCCTCTTCCCCTTCTCAACTTCTCTCCTCGGGCGATGCATCTCCACAAAATATCACGGGGCCAAAATCTGCGACGATTGGATTGGCGAAGGCCAGCTGCCTAGAGGAGGGGATTATGCATCTGCTTAACGATTCGAATTGCGAGTTACGGCTAGAGAATGTGTGTTTATTGGATCCGAAGGCTGAGACAGAGTTGAGTCCGGAGGATGGAGATGGGCGATTTGCTGGATTCTTGTTTGGGGTGAGTGGTTCGCCGAACGTCCGTTGCATAGTTTTGTTTGACGAGTTCAACTCTTCCATGTCGTACAGGGCATCTTGGGTGCGTGTCCGACCGACTTCCTCCTTTTTGCTTGATATTGAAGTAATATCATCTTTCATGCACCTGTCACCGAAGGCGATGACCCACCCCGCGACCGAACATCGGAGTTGCGTGCCCTCGGCTTCCCAGGTAGGCGTCTAGGACCTGTACAAATGACGACCGATACTGCTCTTGGTGTCACGAAATTGGTCGTCCAAGACAAGAGTACGTCGCATCCATAAGATCATTTACCCACCACGATCAAAATATTGAACAATTCATGATTCGGCAGTTCCACTCGACAAGATCCCCTACGTTGTACGTGAACCATAAACTCTCGTCGTTGCGCCTGCGTCTTCACACTTTGTGCCTGTATAGGACTTTCCTACCGTCACATTCAACGCCAAGGAGAGTGTAGAAATGCCGTTCCGTACGTCTTCTTCACTATGATTCTACCCGGGAGCTCAAAATAATCACTCGCGGTGTTATTCGCATCGTACAGGTTATATCCTCGAAGCGGACGGTAAGACACCAAAAATGCCCCCGGGGATGAAGGAACACCTATACGAGGACTTGAACCAAAGCTTCGAATTTTGAGGCTAGGATGTCACACGCTCTTGACGCATGTTCTATGCTTGATGCTTGTACGATTGTTGAGAAGTATTCTGAGGCAGTTTGTACGAGGCCGAGATGGTAACCAATATTGTGGCTACCAATAAGCCACATAGTGGCATTAGTTTGGCGTCGACGGCCTGGCTTGACCTATCGATGGTCTTCTTATTGAAGGGACGTGCCCACTTTCTTTGCCTCGATACTCTCTCGTAGGACGCGTCTCATCTCCTGCTGACGAGAACAAGTGAGATATCTCCTGATGCCTCTCGCACAGTGCGTTCCATCTCCAGGGCTTCGCTTATGGCGCGATACTACACGTATCGAAAGAACCCAACGCCGTACAGCGCCAGTCCAACAAACAGACAGTGTTTCAATATGCACGTTTGATTTTGTGTTCAGCCTTGGACTCTATCATGCAGCTCCGGCTTTCGTCTTATGTACGGCTCAGACCTACAGGAAGGGTCAACTTTTACGCAGTCCTGCAATACCAAAATGCCTGCTGTCTCTCGCAACCTGCTAACGCGTAAGTCACCTCCTTTTGACTGGGATTGTATGACTTGCAACGAGGGATCCATCGCGCCTGCCGCATGGTAGCGGCATTGATCAGACATGATTCGGGTGTGGCGTTACCTGTACTAGCGCCACCTACCACCGATGAATCTGCCACATTATGATTGTACAAAATGGGAATGGTGGGATGATGGCCAGCAGAATTTGTGCCTCTATATTGCCGCTCAACCTTGCCACATTCTCGCCGAACGATATGTGCGTTAACCAAAGCAGTGAAGCTACGCAAAATCCAACATTTTCGTCGCTTTGTCCTTTGTCTAATGCCGAAACGGGCACACAGGCCTCACCGCTTTCCGGATTATTCCGCTACGATCCCCTTGTTTTCTTGTGCCAGAGCCGGAACAATACATTCCAAATATCCTTGTTATTGTAATCACCAGCGCTACTGTCCGTGTTCTAGGCCGCTTCAGCCATCTTATAAAAGGCGCGATTCTGACCCTGCTCTTCCCAGTCCTGCCGAAGTCTCTCAGCCTTTCGTTCTCACAGTGCCGAAGATTGGTCCTCTCGACATCCACTCCAGCTGCATCATTCCTTAGTCTCTAGGATTCTTCCCTTCCGTTGCTATCCCTTGATCAGTCTGCCGTCCATCGGTTATGACACGCAATCGAATCAAGCCTGAGGACAAATATTCACGGTGACGCCACAATCTTCTATGCTCTGCAATCTTCGGTTTCTAACTATTATGCATATAGTTTGGTCAACCTATTCGGTCGAAATGGCTACCAGATAGAACGCCTTCCGGTCGAGTTATTATCAACGATATTTCTAAATACCCTCCCCGACGACATATGCGCCCCTCCTCCAATATTTCTGACCCTTGTCTGTCGCCGATGGCGGGAAATCGCGATCTCGATATCCCGACTCTGGTCCCAGCTGACACTCCCGAAAGCTCCTTCGGGCGAGGATTGTCTCGAATCCTTCTTCAAAGTTATTACAGCATGGCTGTTATTGTCGCGCGACGTACCGTTGTCCATAACATTGGACATCTCGGATGAAAGTCGGACACATGTGGTCGAGCGCTATCTGCGCCTCGTCTGTGATCATTCTCCCCGCTGGAAAGCCGTCAATTTGTGTTGCTCTCCTCTTCTCTCGCAGGCAGACTATCCAGTCCTCGCGCCAAAACCGCACCCTTACCTGAAGTTCCTTCAGTTGCAGACAGAGACACCGGTGGAGGAGAGATCGGAGGGTGAAGTTGATTGGGATCTGACATGCACTGGTCAAGCTCTGGAGAACGCGCCTAACCTAAACCAAATTGCCCTGACTCATTCAACACTCTACGAGTTAATGCTGCCATGGGCCAATATCATTTCCCTCTCCTTGACCATACCAGATACCCGCGGTTCCAGCCATCAGGACATCCAACCCAGATCTTTCGACCTTGACCGGTTTGCAAGCGTCCTAGGCCATTGCGTCAAGCTGTCCCACCTGTCCCTTGAATTCGATGGAGAGTTTTCTCACCTACACCCTCGCAACCTGCCCTCTATGAATGCATGTCCTTTGAAACTCAGCCAGCTTTTGATCCTCGAAATCATCTCATCGAGCTGGCTCCTCACAGCATACTTCCTCACCGTTGTCGATGCACCCATGCTAGCCTCGTTCATCCTCGACGCTCACGGTACACCTCGTAGATCCGCCGCGATAGTTCTCCACGAACGATTCTCCGCCTTCCTCTACGCTCGACGTGAGACGCTTGAGGCACTGTCTCTCAGACACATCTCTTTTGCTTCGGAGGAGCTCCTTTTGGAATACATTCGATCCTGCTGGCGACTCAGATCCTTCACCATGGTCGATAACTACGACGTCCTAGGTGGAAAGATGTTGGAGTCTCTTACATTACACCCCTTCGAAGACCGCCGTAACGATTCCGACTACTCCAACCCTTTCCTGGAGAACATCAGCATTTACCGCCACCACGAATGCCTTGAGAATCCATATCCGAGACAACTGTACACTGCGCTAGCGAGTATGGTCAAGTCGCGTTGGCGAGTTCCGAAGGATGCGGTCGTGGATTCGAGAGCCCACAGTGCATCGAAGCTGGGTATGCTCACGTTAGGCTCGGACGATGCGAACTGGATGAAGGATAATCTGCCTGAAGAGTGGGATATCATCGAGAAGTGTAGAAGTGAAGGTTTGACGGTGGTTATCAACGACGATTGGTGGTATTTCTGAATGCATTGCTGTCAACTATCGTAGATTCATACCATTAGTATGTGAACATCCACCAATATATCCCTAGTCGTGACTTGTATGATCCAATGCCCATGTAAAAGAATCTACGGAAACTCGACTTCTACGAGCTTACTAGAAACGCAGTACTAAACGGGGGGGTACTAAGTACCTCGGAGACTCTCCCAAAAAGAACTCTCATTCCTGCATCGAATCATCCACGGCGGACTCGAAGACGAGGTATAACAGTGATCGATTTTGATCACTATAAAGGTCTGTAAAGGAGACTAAAGACCGCGAGGGTTCTTCAAGTTGTTCGAGCGAGATCGTCTCGGCGCTTGCTTGGCACTGTATAAAATCGTGTTTGAACCTCGCCGGCAATCCCCGCACGGCCAACTTTCAACTTTTTCACAACCTTTTTCAAGACGTTGTGCTTCAAATCAGTACCTGACCACCATCCCGATCCGAACACATGGAGCAGCCGGCGAGTGGCGTGCCAGTACTACTACTTACCATTATTCGGCGTCAGGCCCAACTTTTTCACGAAAGTGGACAAAAGTGACATCGTTCGAAATGCATGTGACCACCATAGGGGTCGAACCTGAAATCTCCTAATTTTAACGAACAACGGATGTGGTATATCGGGATCGTAGTCAGACGCGATGCCATTTCGCCAGGCGGCCACTAGTCGTACACTGGCAACTGCGTGTGACATGGGTAGGTCTATGATCCCGTTGCGGGTGCTACTTCCAGGGGTAGGTTGCAGTGGAAGATGAAGCAAAGATATTTCTCTAAGGAAAAAAACTTTCGCGCGATGCAATCGAAGATATCTATTGGCAGGTGAAGTCACCTCCTCACCCCATCGTAAGTAGTTGCATAAGGCGACAGACGAGAAATATAAAGCATCAAAGAGCTCACTCGGAGCTTCGATGGCAGAAAACAGAAACGAGTCGACTTGAGCCTTGCCTGCCTGAAAATAGCGATAGGCATGATAGTAGGACTGAACGGGAAAGGGGCCGATGTCTATACAATCGTTCCCGTGCAAGTGACCAAAGATACAGCGAAGCAACAGTACCAACCTGAGGTCCACACAGAGCCACGAACGGCTTGCCAGCGGAAGCCGAAGGACAGAAGACAGTCAGAAGTGGTTAGAGTGAACGACCCCCGGATAGTCAAGAAGACTTCCTCGGCTCGGACATAATGCATTGACAGGAACCCCTGAAGGGGACTCATGATCAATGGAAGCTCTCTGTGCGAAAGGCACCAAACCGAACGTCCACGAGACGCGGAAATGGGGACCCACAACGATCTATAATCCGAGAGAAGGCCTTCGTTCCGACTCGTGATCCGAGCGTTCAGCTGAACGCGGGAACGGAGAATACACGGGTTCAGAAGGTAGAAGCCCCTGAGCGTTTTCGCACAGACACAGCGCAGTGCGGCTGTCGCATTGGGAGGAAAGCGATCCCTGGGGATTACGCCAAGAAGGGCGCAGACGACGCAATGTTTAGTTCAGACCTATACTTTGAGATCCGGGACAAGTGAATGTATTCGAGGAGAATGTATCATCTACCGTCGACACCCGTAACCATGACTAGACGACGAGCTCTGCAGCTCAGATCTTAGCCAGTCTACAGTGAGCAGTAAGAGGGGGCGAAAGTGCGTTCAACATAAGCCACCAAGAGATACAATCGATCAGCGGTGTATTCAGATACTTACGCCCTTACCATAGCACAAGTCGTCTCAGGAAGCAACAGGGATCCTCCATAGAACTCGTGGTCAACCAACAATGTGAAACACTCTTCGAACCCGGGGGCGCAAAGCCTCTAATCTCCTACAAGTGCCCTGGCCGAAGCCCTGAAGAAAAAGATCTATCCCGTTTGGACTCGGACCCGCGATAGGATTGATCTACGGCGTTTGCGCCCGCCCATATATAACTTACGCATGAGCCCTAGAAAGAGAGTCAGTGATGCTGGTAGGGGATATGAAGCTGATAGATCGAGTCAAGCCTTCGGCCTCAGAGCCTGAAGCTCTGCGTCGTGCCTCGCTGTCAGTACGGGGATACATAGGCGTCTTCAGAACCGTGGTCGTGACCAGAGGGAATGAACGGTCAAGAGCGCGCTGACCGAGGCGGACGTATTGTAACCAACGAGTTCCGAGATGGGGCGAAGCGCATGTCGAGCCTGAGTTGTGAGTTTCAGTAATCGGCTTGTCTCACGGAGATAGGCCATAGGGAAGCGCAGCATACGAAGAAGAGGATAGCATACATCGATCCAAAGTATCAGTGCACCCATCCAGACCTATCCAGGCCGAACCCAATCATCCAAACGACCACGTTCGGATTCAAGTCTAAGACAGAGTCACAAGCGCAAACCACCACATTGCCCGCGAATCTTCCAGCTCTTCATCTCCTCTGAAATCTCGGGAGCCCGCTGACTATACGGATGGGATGGGCGATGGTCGAATCAAAGCAGAATACAGTACCGCCGGCACGAATGACTGGCCAGCCAGCCTAGTGCAGAGAACTGGTCACAAGCAAGGGTCCTCGTTAGTAGTACTCGACACAGACAACCTATATCGAACTCACGGTAGGCGACGGGCGCAAGGCGTTACCTCTCTCGGACGAGGCAGATCCGGGGAAACAAGCGTTGCCGATGCGGGGTGAAGGCGAGGATAAGTGTGGGATGGGACGAGCTTGAAGAAGATGGTCACGAAGTGGCCGGGTCTATTGAAAGGGTGGGACGAATGTTGGAAATGAGGGAAGGTGGGAAGGGAAGAGTCAAGTTTACTAACCCTCGAAGGGAGGAGAGCGGCAAACGAACCAAAGAACCACTGGCAAAGCGTAAGTAGAGTACGTGTCGAGATCTCAAGGATCCGGAGGCGTTAGAAGGCCTGTGTTGCGCTGTGCAGCCGCTTCCTATTCCCCACTGCGCTGTGCAGCCTTCTGAGCCCTATTCCCCACACAGAAGGTCAGATCCCGTCAGTAAGTCCAAAACCGTCCCAAGATCCGCTACTTATCGAAGATACTGCTTACTGTAGAGACACTTTGCGCGCTGCGAAAGGCAAGAGATCGGGCTCCCCTGTGTATCGATCACCAATGAGGCCAGTGTACAGATCGATTGGGAAGAGAAAACCGACCATGTTACCACCGTTCAAGTTTAGCCCAAGTCACCGAGGAACGATTGTGGGTCCATCCGAGCATCTTTTGTTGCCAGACTGGCGTTTACAGTAGAGCCGGCGTTTTTGTTTTCAGCCAAGTCAGAACCTGTGGAACACACCGAGATGAAAGACCACCCGAGACGCTCGAAGAAGTCATGATATGAATACGAACCTCTTTGATCCTTGACCCGTCATCAGCAAAGTTGGGAGGCTCTTGCTAGCTCTAGCAAGAGCTCCAAGAACGGCAAGTGACCCTAGAGACACCCCCTCTATTGAGAGCCTCCTAGAGAGCTCCGAGACGCGTCAAGACGCGTCGCAGAGCACGCGTTATTCATCCGATCACTCGTCGATCGCTGTCCTTGGCAAAAGAGAACACTCTTTTTGCGCCCGTTTTCTCGGTTGGTTTTCTATATCTGTCCGAAGGGTGATATTGGACATCTCGACTATATTTGTGCGTAGTTATGATATGTACAGAAGTGATACATGTTCGATGGGGAGGGCAACGGGTAAAAAAGGTGTTGTGCCGCGAACGTTCGAGGGTAGGCTATAGGCAGGCGAGTCATGAAGCAGTGGTAACGTAGGCGGATACGGTGGAGGGGGTGCATGGCACGAACGGAGGAGATAGAGAATGTATCGGACCGAATAGGTAAACGAAGTTAACGAGCGGACTGAGACGGTTGTACTAGAGTGTCCGTACTCGTTTGCACGATGCGGCAAACGAATAAAAGTCGAGGCCAGCAAACGTCGATAACCACAGGAGGAGATCGCGAGAATGCGGACTGATGAGGTAGGTATGGGTCAGGGAAACGCAAGAACGCCGTTTCGGAAACGGAGGTCGCTGAACACGATGAAGTGAATGCTGCACACGACGTACGAGATATGCATGTACCTAACTACCAAGACTAATGGTTACTGACCTAACATTCCCTTGAAGTTCTAGCAAGCACTGACTCCTCTCGTCCAACGTCCTCTGAATCCGCCACAACATAGCCTCAATGACGGCCATGTATAAACTCAACGATAGATGAACGAGAGCATACTTGGCGACTAGTGAGCAACACGCACCGGATACATTGAAGCCACCTTTGCTGATGGCAATATCTGCCAGCTGAGTAGATGCGGTTGAGAATGAAGCTCGCGAGAGCCGGTTGCGGACATGTGTGGTGGCCAAGGTGGACCAGGGCAGCACCACAGTTGTCGAGACCTGTTGAGACGCGTCACGCTAACACGCCTCCGTGCTCAGCGCTCAGTTTAGGGCAAGCTTGAGCAATCTTCAGGCTTATCCTTCCTTCATATGTCCAGGCCAGCATGTCGCTCTTGGCGAATGAGCTGAATGATGACCGATGCGGTTGCTGCGTTTCATGTCTTGATTCTTTCAGACCGGTGCTCCCAGACGTCGGCAAGAGAATAAAATACTCTGGAGCCTTCTGGGATCTCTTGCCGCCTCGAGCTCTCTAGGCGGGATTTGCACCTTTGCTGATGGTATGTACAAAGCGCTCGACTTGTTACGTTCTGCGATGTATTGATTCCGTTCAGTCACCTACATGGGCCAACAGAACCACCTACACAGATGAGAACGTACAGAGCATACCGACACAACTCGTCGAGTGAGGCCCGACCGACCCAAATGTAAGCCAAGCCAAGTCAATCAACCTCACCTTCACTTATCTCGAGAAACTTACAGGGAATTCGCCTTTCCGGGCGCTTCCGCAGCCGTCGATCGTATATTGATCGGCCGGCCGCGGCACGGCACAGCCACTCCACGTGCGTCCACCTGCCTCCGTTGGGCGTCGCGCTTCGCGCGCCGCCACTTTGCTTCCAGTGGTCGAACTTCTTCGCTCTCTTCTTTCTCGATGCTTTCGAGCTATATATGCTTATATGATATGTGTTTCTCTCCTCATTGCCTCGAGCGATCTCTCATAACTGCAAGTGGAATTTATGTACGAGTTTTTCCTCATTTTGCTCTCAGTTCTTGTGCCACAGTACTTAGCTTCAACAGCAATTTCTTGTCCAGCACCCTTATGCATAGCTGTATATGTGTATGTTACATCTTGAGTACTTGATTCCCCAATAAATTAAACTATATTATTCCATGGAGGAACTTGAGTCTGGAGAAAACTATGGGAGCAAGAGGCATTAGATGTATGGAATGAGTGCCACACTGTGGCCCAAAAAATGCATCCCGTGTGCTACGAAGGAAGGCATGGTGGCGCTACGAGGCTTCAGCGTAGCGAAAGGACTCTGATGACGAAGAAGAGACCGAAAAAAAGATCGCGATCATGAGTGCAAAGCACCAGCGAAGGGGCTCATGTGTTAACGAGGCATGCCGAACTTACTGGATAAGTTGCCAAGGTCTGTCGTTTGGCAGCAATAAGTGCAATAAGTTCGTGCCGAACTTAAACTTACTGGAAACTTACTGCAGAAGGCTTCGAAACTTACTGGCGATCAAGTCCAGTAAGTTTCTCGCAAGCGAGATGAGTCCGAGAAGGTGTGGCACAGCTTCGCACATGCCGCTCGCCCCTCTTCTCGATTTGGACCGCTCAACGGCCGGATTTTATGCTCAAACGTTGCTTGAAAGAGACCTTCGGGGCTATTTTCTCGGGCCTGCGGCGCGTACAATTGTCCTCTGCGTCTGCGGTCCAAGTATCAAAGATGTTGAGCACGCTAGTATGTATTAATGTAGTAGTCTTAGAGTATCTAGCAGCCAGTTGTACTTTTCTTAAAAATACTCTATGAGTCGGCCCCTTCGTAGGCACGACGAGGCCTTCCGAGTCGATGCTGTCTCGCACAGACATCAGCGTACACACTCCGGAACCGGGCGCAAGACCACTGGCATAATGCCAGCCGCTGCCAGCCGCTCTCCCCAGCTCTTGATGCTTTCCTCCGGATATCCCGTCGCTTACCAAATCCCCGTCGACTCGATCACCCGCGGCCACTTACACGAAACTTACCAGCCGGTGTAAGTATTCCTGATTATACTGACTTACGTCCAACCACAATCCTTCCATCCAAAACCGTTCTATCACACCCGAGATCGGGATCACGAGGCGGCCGACAGTCAGCCACTTTGAGCAGCTCGCTCTCAGCTCTCAGCGGGTCACACGAAGCTCTCGAATCCCGAGGGTCCCTTCGCCCCTATAGATAACTTACCGAGCGCAGACGAGACGAGAAAGAAGAACCACTCGTGCGCACTGGAGCCCCGTTACGTCCGGTTCCCAGATCTCGTCCTTCCAGAGTCGGATCACGAGGGCGAACGGGCGTCCTATATTAAAATTTAACATACCATACAACAGCGGGAAGAACGCGCATGCATGGGGTTGAGACAGCTACGGATGGTCACGGTCTCCGTTCAGCATTGAGCAGAAGGTCAAAGGCCCAGAGTCGCCCGTCCAGAGCTCAGCATTGAGTATCTCGATGCAAGCAGGACCACAGGCAACCACCCCAGAGGTCCGATCCCGGTGCGTATTAATGTTTGGCGGCGCAGGAAACCTCTGAAGCGGACTGGACCTCTGGAGGCCCTATACAAGCCAACGGAGCATGGTACCGTATCTGTTGTAGGCGGAAGAGTACATGAATGAGTAAAGGATGCACGTAGCCTGTAGGAGGAGCGTTGATTGATGCGCCCGAGATGAATTAGAAAGTCTGGAGTCCACACCTTTATATTACAGTATTGCCCTAGATTCCATCAAACGGGCCACACGACTCTCGATGTTGAAGGACGAGAAACGAAACTTTCATTCCTCGTTTATGTACACCTGTCTTTTCCCTGTGTAGCTCGATGACGGCGACCTGGCATGAGCCAGCCGAGTCTATGTAGAATGGATGATAAGTGGTCAGTGAATAAATTCGGACGCTCATGGTCTGTACCAACACGAGTACTTCACGCTTGGAGGAGGTGGAGTATTTTCGAACCCGGAGCGAGCTTGACCGGAGTATCATTAAATGAGTGGCCAGGACTGAGTCGCGCGGAGCGATTCTCAAGGTGTTCAGGTACATGGTCGACCAGGCATTTTCGAACGTAGAGTCAGGCAAATAGGAGATTGAATTAATCCACTCGGGCATTATGTATGTATCATGCCATGATATATCCTGCAGAACGTACACGATCAGCAACGACGAGCGAAGGAAACCACTTCCGCGCCTCCCACAACGAAAATAGGACTCAAAACCCAACAACGAACAACAAGCAACGTCAAAACGCAAATGCAAACGCACCTTCCTTCTCCTCCTCCCTAATCCACGCATCCGGATCGATCCCCGCCCTCCTCTCCAACGCCCGCTCCTCCCTACCCAACCTATTCCCCTCCCAAATCACCCTCTCCCTTCTCTCCTCCCTCTCCTGCCTCTCCCCCTCTCCCTCCCCCTCCCCCTCCACATCTGACTTCCCCACCCTAGAATTCCAATCCCAATCCTTCCAGTTCCTCTTCACGTCTTTCTGCAAGTCGGCTAATAATGTTTTAGGGTCGTCCGTGCCGAGTTTCGCGATGCGGGAGGCGATGGCGTTGTTCGTTTGCGTTGCGGTGTGCACGAGGATGCGGAGGCGGATGCCTTCGTAGCCGAGGAGGGAGGAGGGGGTTTGCAGGAGGTAGGGGTCTATGCCGCCGTACTGGAGGATGGATGGGAGACGGTGCGTGAGCGGGGGTGTGGTGCGAGAGCGGGTAAGTAGGAGGTGGGTGAGTGGGATGGGAGGGAGAGGAGGAGGAGGAAGAGGAAGGGAACACACCTTGCGAATCGTCTTCAACGCCTTCGTGCTGACCTTCACTTCTACATCTTTATCCAGCGCCTCGCTCCTGAATGTCTTATTCTGCAGATTCGGGAGCCAGAACCTATTTCCGCCATCCCATCCGCACCACACCACACCAACACCACACCACACCACGCCATCCCATTTCATCCAAACAACCGTCAGCCTTCCTTCCTCTCTGCGTCAAGTACCATGAAGAAGAAGAATGAAACCGCACCTCCGCGTCTTCTTCTTCGAAAACGGCACGCTATTCCCATAAATCTTCATCTTCCCATGAAACAGGCCATTCTGCGACCTCTTGAAAGGCGCGGAATGCGCGGGGGTGGTGAGCTGGATGGCGCGCGAGAGGGAGGAGGCGAGGGTTGGGAGGGTGGGGAACATTTTGTTCTTGGTTCTTTGCTTCCCTCTTCAGGCTTCGGTCTTCGTCTCTTTTGCAGTGGGTCTTTGGATGTTGGTTGGGTTGGTTTGAGGTTAGTTTGGTTTGGGCTGTTGGGTATGGTGGAAGAGAAGGTGATGTTGCAGGCCACCGTGAGCCGCGTCCGGAGACCAGTCGACTCTCGAGATAAAATTCGAATTTCGACGCGCTTTTCGGCCAGCTCGGAACGGCACGGTGCTTTCGGACGGATAAACGGACCGTGCGTGCCGTAGCCGTCGCTTCTGAATCCCTCCTTCCGAATTTGCTCCCGTAAAAGAGCTCGAGGACTCGGAGGAAGAAAAGGTGAGCGCACTGTGCGAGTAATGATTAATGAACGTCCTGGCTGGGCTGGGCTGGAGGATGGGACGTAAGTAAGGAAACATGTCTTTCACCTCTTTTCCATGCTTTTCTTTACGAGGATTTTTGTACTTGAACTTTGAAGTCGTGCGCGGCTGCGCCGACCATCCACTAATTCTGACTGCACTCTCCTCCAACTCTCATCCCATCGCTCGACACTCGAGCGCTTCGACAATGGCATCCAGCTGCAGAGATCCCGAAGAGATCTTCACTAACACTCGGTACTCACGCCCCGTGTGTTACTTATGGGATTCAGAGACAAGAGACGCGAAGGAGGGGCGCAAAGACAGAGGCGCAATCTTCCTGCCAACTTCTCAGCTTGCAATTGATCTCTTACATACAACGGTTACTCGCTCCCACCCGGCTTCGAGCAAGCTGAATGTTCAATAAGCTCACGCAAGATCCGTGAACGAGCGGGCGAGCCGCGCAATGATACTCTCACCAAGAAAAGCAAGAGAGCAGAGCGTCGGTGCGCGGTTACTTGTTGGGGTGTGCGACGGTCCAGGACGTGAAACAGTGCATGCAATCGTTCGTAAAAGCGGGTGCGTATGAACGTGTGCATACTGTCAGATGTAACGCCCAGTCAGCGAGAAGGAAGAAGGACGTCTAAAAGCGCAAGCTTTAGGCTTATGTTTGACTCGTTATAGCGTGGCTGCAACGGCCTGGAGTTCACGATTGGTGCACACCGGTCGAAGTCCTTCTCGTTCGACCAATAGCATGACCTCTTCCACCAGACATTGCATCCAATTCGCCCGGTCACAAAAAGGGATGAAGGCCGGCTATAACGCGGGGAAATAACGCGTTCCCGTCCGGGTGCCTTCCTCTCCCCGATCGAACCCCGCATTTCCCGTTCCGTGCGCTCGTGGCTCTCGTCCAATCACAGGCCTCCCGCGGATAATCCTCATTCACGTACATATATAAGTTGGGCCGCGTTGCGTGCGCTTTTCTGTTTTCTTCTCCTCTCTTCTCCCTCTTCCGATTTTCGTCGTCTTATGCCATTGCGGTGTTCGTGTGAATTATCGTCTTTGAGCTTAAACTCTATCGTAATATGGCTTCACCAACGACGACGACGACGCCAGGCTTGCTCGGCCTCCCCACCTCCGTCCTCCTAACCATCCGCACCCACCTCTCCTCTCCTCTATCCCACCACCACCACCATCACCATCACCACCCAACAACCACCCTCGAATCCCACCTCTCCCTCTCCCGCACCTGCACCTTTCTCCGTTCACTCTACGTGTTCGGAACACATGCAGAGGAGGACGCGTTCTGGAAGACCGAGTGCAGGAAGGCTGGGTTCGGGAGACCGTTGAGGAGGGTTTGGGTCGATGAGCTGCAGGAGGAGGAGGAGGGTGTGCTGAGTTGGAAAGAGGTCGCGATGGTGCTTGTGGCTCATAAGAGGGTGTGTGAGGTTAGGGCTTGTGTGGATGCGAATAGGTGGGGTGGCGATGTGGCCCGTTTTGAGAGTATGTACTGCGCTTTTCGTTTCCCCAGTCTTAGTTTATGGTGTGTCTATATCTGATATTATGTTTTCGTTTCGCAGATCCAGATATCCCGAACTTCCACCCACTCTACACCTACCTCCACCACTCACACTCGCACTCTTCATATTCCCCTACCCCTCTCCCCGGAAAATCATCCGCAGAGCTCGAGTCCTACATCCCTCCCCGGCATCAACAGCCCTCCCCCGTCCCCCCTCCTCCACCCCAAAACACACCCCAATCTTACTCCTTATCTCCTTCTCCATCCGCATACCCACTCACGTCGTGCACCCAATCCCACGTTCACAATCTCCTCGCTCCGTCTCCGTCCACTGGCAGCGTTCACGGGCGCGCTACGTCTACGCCACTTTCCCACGATTCTAATTCTACGCCACCCCCAACTCGAACGTCGTCGACTACCTCCTCCTCCTCCTCATCCAGCTCAACAACTCTCGTCGAAAACCCCTACCCCTCTCCTACCCCCTCCCCACCCCCATCCAAATCCCACTCCCACCCACCCACCCACTCTCCTCTTCCTCCTCACACAAGGAACGAAACGCTCGCCCTAGACCCAACCCAAATCCTCTCCACCTCCCTCCCCACATTCCCAGACTGTCGCCACAAATTATTCGCTCCCCTCGCGGCGCACGCGAATGCGGCGTGTGTGTTCGTGACGGAGCCGGTGGTTGGGAGGGTTAGGCTTGTTAGACGGCGGGTTGGCGCGCGTTTTGATGGAGGTGGTGCGAGGAAGAGTGGGAGGAAGGAGAAGGTGCCGATGAGGAGGGATGGGGGGGCTGTTTGGGTTGGGCGGACGTTGGTGGATGATTCGGACTCTGACTCCGACTCAGAGGAAGAAGAGGATGATGTGTATGATATCGCGGACGAGGAAGAGGCGGAAGAGGAAGAATGGACCTGGGCGTGGAAAGTCGATCGGCCGCTCCCGTTCGATTCTTACGCCTTCGAGGCGGGCGAAGAGGGTAAGGAAGGCGAGGAGGAAGGCGAAGAAGATGAGGAAGGTGAAGAAGGTGAAGAGGTGGTAGGGAGCGTGTATAACCCGGATGGAGTCACCCTCCTGGATCTGAACAGGTTGCTGGTTGATGTGTACGTGTTTCTTCTCGCTTTTTTCGCGGTATTTTTGGTTGGATGTTTTCGTCGTCTGTGGGCGCATATATTCAGTCTTTTTGAATTTTCTATGCCATCCCCGCTCCTCCCCCTCACCCCATCCTTCCTTTCACCTCTAAACTCGCAGTATTATTCCGTCCGTTTCTAACAACCCTCCCTCCCTCCCTCCCAAAAACAGCCTCCCCCGCACAGAAAACGAAGCTATACAAGCCCTAACGGTCTACACCGACCTCGTCTCGTCACATGCGTTCCCTGATCTCTTGGACCATCTCGACCACGTTACCCTTCCCTCTCCTTCGTCCGCCCCCTCGCATTCCCAACTCTCTAACGCGGGCACCTCGCCGCCACCGCCACAATCCACACACGACCTCTCTAACGCTACGCCCAGAGTATCACCCTCGTCCACGTCCACGTCCACTGATACGGGTATGGGAGATATCGAGACCGAACTCGATAGCGCGCTGCATACTTCTTTGTTCGCCGACTCTGACTCCGATCCTAACACTCCCGCTCCTGCCCCTGCTCCCGCTCCCACCACCGCCACAGCCACCGCCACAGTCGGGATGGACGGCATGACAATAACACTCGAATCCATCCTGCGCACCCGAAAACATCGCGGATTCATGGCCGACCATCGATATCCATACGTTGATTTATTCGAGGGGTGGTATACGGGGTTGAGGGAGCGTGAAAGTGAATGCGAGCTGGCCGCGGCTGAAGTCAAGGCGGAGGCGGAGGTGGAGGCGAACAGGTTACAGGAGGGCTCGGCGGGGTTGGATGGGAACGTGCGGCGGGGACGCGAGGAAGAGGAAGAGGTGCAGCAGGAAGAGCAGGGAGAGCAAGAGGAGGAGGACCAAGAGGACCAAGAAGCACTCGAGATCGAGATCGAATCCCGCGCATTACCGTCCTACCTCCGTCGTCCGCACGGCGTCATGGAATCACCGAGACATGGACGGGTATATACCTTCGGCACGCATGCACATGCCCCTGGCTTTGAGGAGGATTTGGAGGAGCCTTTTGCATATCGAGAACGGGAGGAGTCTTCCGCGTATCGAGAACGGGAGGAGGATGCGTTGGTGGAGGCGAAATCGTCGAGGATTAGGTCGGGATCGGGATCGGGATCGGCACTGAAGCCACGGTCGGGATCCGCGCTAAGGCCACGGTCGGTGGCGTCTGTTATGTCGTCCTCAGAATCTTCGACACGGTCGGGGTCTGTTATGTCGACGTCGACGAACGATGGTGTCAGCGGCTCGATATCCTCGAACGACGGCATTGGCAGCTCGATATCCTCGAACGACGGCGTTGGCAGCTCGATGTTCTCGAATGACGGCATCAGCAGTTCGATATCCTCCAACGACCGCCCCATCTCGATGCCCTCTTCGAACTATGGTGTGAGCGTCACGGACAGCGAGACGGAGGGCGAGACGGAGACGGAGACGGATGTGTTGCCGACGCCGGAGGACGAGGAGGGCGAGTTCGTGTTTACTCTTGGGATGGGCATGGTGGGTGGGGGGACGGTGAGGGCTTCGAAGGGCCCTTACGCGCATGGGCAGACGTATCATCATCGGCAGGCTTACGCACATTCACACCATCAACGCCAGCACCATCATTACCCTCAGCATTATCATTACCAGCCTCAGCACGACGCGTGGAAAGGCGGTCGTGTGACGGTGACGGAGGATGATAAAGCGTTTGAGGAGCGGATCGAGCATGTGGAGGTTTTGTTGACTGGAGAGGGAGGAGCAGGAGAAGGAGAAGGAGAAGGAGGGGTGTTGGAGCCTTTGGGGCTTGGGCTTAAGGTTGGGAGTTTGGGGTTTGAGACGGAGATGGGGACGGGGGGTTCGTTCGCTTTTGGGGGATGAGAGACGTTTGTGGAGGTCAGAGGGTGATTGACCGGTCGGGCGTCGAGTCTATTGAGGGTGGGTCGTGGGCCGTGGGAGTGTGGCATGGGCGAGTGTGTTCGGGGTGGTGTATGATTGGCTTTTCTCTTCTTCTTTTTCTTTCTTTCTCAAACGTCAATGCTTATTTGTTCCCCGATGGACCTTCCAATTCTCGGTGCATCTCCTAGCACGGGCTTGCGCTCGTCGCATTCATCCCCTATCTCTCATCTCTCATCCTTGTCACCGTCGCACTGCCTGCATCCACGGACTGGTGCCTCCCACCATCTCCATCCCGTCCTTCATTCCACCTTACCAAAACAATGCCCGCTGTCGTTGCGTCTTACTCATACCCATTCTTCATGTACCCATGTATCATCTTCACTTTCATCTTTTTTTTTCCCGTTGTAGTGTATAATTAACCGTTCATCCTTCTCCCGCTATTTTCTTCATTCATTCGTTCATATTGGGCTTTACTCATGATGGCGGTGTCCTCATTCTTCCTCAGCTCTCACCCCTCACTTCTCACTTCTCACCTCCATCTTGTCTTCAGTTTCTACACTCATGCTCTGCTCTGCTCTGCTCATCGAACTCTGCATCTGCATTGTTACCTTCCTGTGTTTCAGTAGCGTTGTTCTGCCATTTGTTTTGCGTTCCTGTTTTCGTTTCGTGGCTCATGTGGCGTTGCCAGTGTACGATACAGACAGTCGCCGGTATTTTATCGTCGTATTTGTTTCACCTTTTCGCCTTCATCTTCCCTTCATCCACCTTGTTCCATCAACCTTTTCCTTTAACCCACGGGCCAAACCACTGACACTGTACGATAGCGCATACTCATTCGCCATTCCCGCCTGCATCATTCATCATACACACGTGATATCTTGCATGGGTCTCGGTTTTTTTTGACACCAGCAGAAGGAGAAGAAGTTCAAGAAGAACATTGAAATGTAATGTGATTTGTTTGAACGTTTTGATGCTTGTATGGCCTCCGAGGTTGCAGTGGTCTGCGTGAGTGCGGTCGAGACTAAGACTTGAAACTATGCAGTCTGTGTGATACGATGGGATTGAATGAGGACCCAGTTACGCTTCGTTGGCCTCGTAATACATCTTTCGTGGAGCTGACATACAGGGAGATCTCACTACGCCTTCCCCTGCATTGAACCTAGCCCTGGAGTGGGAGTGGCACACGCAACGGAATGATATGCCTATCCAAGTCACACTTGAGTGCCAATACACCAGTACCTAGTGGCCGCCTGGCGAAATGGCATCGCGTCTGACTACGATCGAAATGCTTCCGATTCCGAGCGTTACTCGCTGAGATCAGGAGATTGCAGGTTCGACCCCTGCGGTGGTCACATTCACTCTGAAGTATGTCTACTTTTGTCGGAAGGTTTGGCCTGATGAATAAGTAGCTCATTTGAAGCAGTGCAAGCTCGTGGTGACAACATGAACGCGAAGGATTAATGGATGTACCGGTGCAGACTATATTACTAGTACGAGGCTTTAAGAATAAAAGAATGAAAGTATTCGAAACTTGATGAAACCGTGGAAAAGCGGAACCTTAGAATGTGTAGTACTGTTCTCCGACCATTACAGCCATTTCAGAGCACTAGATCAATGTTTTTAGTCACCAACGCCAATCCGTCCTCTCCGCATCCCTCGAGGATGGCCCACTGCTCAGGCAGATTCTCCTTCATCCAATCCGCGTCATCGATGCACAACGTCAAGACATCTAGCCTCGATGTATGGGTCGCAACAAAGGACTTGTGAGCGACACTGTCGGGGTGGTCTTCGACGTGGGACTCTTCCGAAGAGTAACAACGCGACTTGACCATATCCACAAGGCCAACGTAGAACTCTCTCGGGTATATATCCCCAATATCAGAGTCGGCAATGCCTAGATGGTCGCGGAAAATCGCAATCTTCTCGAGGAAGGGGTTGGAGCAATCGGGTTCGAGGACGTACGTTCCGTGTTCGGAGTCGTTGTGGCGAGTCACGTTCGAGCGTAGCGTAAGGGATTGCAGGAACAGGCTACCTATAACATTCCAGTCGTCGATTACGGTGAGAGACCGAAGTTCCCGGCAGGCGCGAATAGCTTCCACAAGAACGGCTTCCGAGATGAAGGAGAGAAATCTGAGCTCCAGATTGCGGAGCGTATGGCGTCGAGATCGCAGGAAGGCGGACAATCGTCCTTGAAGGATGCCCATGTCGATCGAATCTTCAAGATCATAGCGAGAGTCGAGAGTCAAACAGGCCAGTTCAGGTGCGTCGAGAACGACGAGAAGATATGACTCGATGAACAAATTTGATGTGACGATTTCGAGTGATGTGAGTCTCTCGAGCTTCAAGTGGGAGGCGTTCGGTGGGGGCCAGTGGTCAGGAAACTCTAAGTGAGAAAACTCGCCATCGAAATGAAGCCGGAGGAGGGTTATGTTGGGGAAACGGCGTAAGGTGTGGACAAATTTATCGATGTCGAACGGGTCGGCTAAAGTCGGTCCATGGGTAGATTCGCTGGTATCGGGAATCCTCAGATCTATAGAACTGAGATGGCCCCATGGCAGTGATAGCTCGCCAAAGTTCGAATGCGTGATGGCAAGTTGCCTGAGATTCGGGGCGTATTCGAGAGCTCTCAGATCTGCGCGTGTAAGATCCCAGTGGTCGACAAACTGCTCCTCCTCCCATGTTTCTGTCTTGATTCGAATGGACTCCAGATGAGGGTGCGGTTCTGGTGAAAGAGTGGGATACAGTCTCTGTGAGAGAATAGGTGGACACCGCAGAGAGACATTCTTCCAACGGGGGGAATGAGAGCAAACAAGATGAAGATAACGGGCGACCACGTCTGGCCGGTCTTCATGTAAAAGGTCCAGCGAGATAGACAGTGGTGCGGAACGTGACAACGCGAGACAATCATAGACGGTGAGAAAAAAGGTGTCGAGGAGAGCCTCGTCCACAGGAGCTCTTGGAAGTATCAGATCGGACCAAAGTTGGGATGTTGAGATTGCGACGTCCCGCCAGCGGCGGCAGACGTGAGTGAGGACGATGAGAGAATGTAAGTCACAATCGCCGTCGCCGATGAGAGCGCCAAACAAGGCCAATAATAACTCGGTAGGAAGATGTTCTGTTTCGTCGCCTGCCTCCGAACCTGGGCTCGACCGAGAAACTAAACTGTGTGCACAACAATCAGAAGGTTTGCGATCACATAGTGTAGATGTATCATGAGACCCACTTTAGATAATGATGCTCAATGCGTTCTCTATGATTGCCATCCATATCTCAAAGAGAAAGAAGACGCAAGAGGTTGGTCAGAGGAATACTGTTCAAGTTCGAGGTGTGGTGTACTAAGTGACGAAGAGACGGGAATGAGAAAGTCAGGCCACAACAGCATCCTTTTATGCAGTGGTGCCACCATGGTCAGCCAGCGCTAAACTGGTCACCATGGCGAGGACAAAGAGCGATAGCGATATGTTTGGACACGGCACATGGATGTTAGGGAACAAGGGCAGCGTCCGATGCAAACACGATCTGGACACGTGTCGATCATTACCCAAGTTGCGAACGCACGGAAACGTCCTGATGTTTTTGACGCTGTACTCGGGCATTTTCTTCCAGAAATTGTCTATCCCAGAAAAATTTTCATTCGTAAGTGAGTACATAGATGAATAGTATGGCATTGATATGCGGTACAAAGCGGTACCAAAAAAATTGAGTGTCTGAGTGAATTGAACAGAGTCGCTCATAGCAGATTCACGACGTGACGGGAGATGGGGGAAACAATATTAGGGGGAAGGCATACAGGAAATGTGGCATACTAGTGAGGAAGTGAGCTCTAACCAGGAAGAACTTGGAGGACATAATGATGTGCAATATGTAGGAGAGATGAGTTGGGTGACACGCCAAAAGCAGACAAGATGAGATTAAAATCGGGGAAGAAAGAAAGAAAGATCACATATTCATGGGTCTTCAGGCCTTCAGGCCATGGATTGCGTTCCAATGACCGGATGCGCCCCGGCCGCCACCGCCACCGCCACACCGCCACCTGAACCATGTCAGGAAGACAGAGACACATCATACATCCTCTATTTCTAGCTTCAGTCCCTCGTCGCAACACCTCAGAATCCTCGTCCAATCGTCAGGCCTCCTGTCCATCATCCAGTCCTCGTCGTCCTGGTGCAACCTTAAAACCTTCAGCTTCGCCACCGGCCGAGGCATCAAACCATTCTCCACATCGCAACTCGTCATTGCACCCTCCGGACACCACCAGCGCGACTCCACCATGTTAGCCAGCCCGCTGTACATATCATCCGTGTACGCCTCTCCACGACTGGCGTCGCGAGCCAAGTCATCATGATAGAGACCAATATCCTCGAGGAATGGGTGAGAGCAACCGTGTTCGAGTCGGAAGGTGGAGGTCGCGTCGTTGGGATCAGGATTGACGAAGCGGTATGTGAGGGACTGTAGCGTGGTCGGGCCTACGACATTGCGACTGTCCACTATCGTGAGGGAACGAAGGTCGTCACAAATTTGGAGGTTCTGCATGAGTTGGCCTTCATCGACAAGAAAGTTTATGGACCTCAGAGCAAGAATCCAGAGAGTATTTTTGTGATAACGGAGGAAGCAAGAAGATGCCAGACATAATGTATCGAGGAATGATACGCCAGCGCGGAATGTTCCCCATATAGTGTCGAGATTGAACGATGTCAGGCTGGGCGCCTTCAACACGGGAAGAAACATCAGGATGTAAGGGCATGTGCCGACGAGTGTAAAGTGAGTTAGCTCCCCAAGTATACGTGGTCCCCATCCGGTTGTAGCGATCGAAATATTGGAGAAGTCGCCGACAAATTCAAGCTCTAGAGTAGAGAGGTTGACGCAGCATCCTATCGCGTTGACGAATCGTAGTAAGTCGAATGGCGTGGCGGAGTCATGCGGAATTTCGAGAGACAGATAGACCATATTCGACCAGCGCACAGAGAGTTGATCAATATTTGGATGGGTCAGGATGAGAGAATCCAGGTTTGGTGCGGAAGAAAGCACGTCATTGAGATTGGCGATATTCCAGTGGCAACCCTGATGCCCGTTGTCGTAGGAGTTCGTCATGAACTGGAACGCCGCCAACTGTGAAACTGACCCATGATTGAGAGTTGGGTAATCTGCTTCGTGCGCAAAGGTTCTGCAGTCGATATTGATGATCTTCCAACGACTCGAAAACGTAGATAGGAGATGCATATAACGTGACGCCACGTCCGATCGCTTCTCGCCACTAAGATCAAGACGAATGTGCAGCGACGGGGAGCGAGTCAACGAGAACCAGCTTTCGACTGTCGCAAAGAAGGAGTCAAGGAGTTGCGCATTCTGAGGAGGTTGAGGTAGGAAGAGATGGGACCAGAGAGCTGGAGTCGAGAATGCCACCTGACGCCACCTTCGACAAACACAGGTCAGTATAAGAGGCATTGTTGTCAAATTTATTGGTGTCAAGTCGTCATCGCAATCCGGAAGACCAAGAATGAAGACCATTGACAACATCTCATCAGGGAGACGTTGTGTCATGTCGATGGATAGTCCTAAGTGCTCTGGCTGAGACGAGGGTGAGAAAAAGCTATGCAGGCATCAAGATCGGTCAGTTGGGGGAGAATCGGTGAGCAACTTGACACTGCACATACCGACGGCCTGCGATATTTTGTTCGCGTGACATTGTTGAAGTACAGTATATAAGTCGCTATCGATGCTTGAGATTGAACAGTTGGAGAGCCGAAGCACGAGAGCGAGAGCGAGATAGATGGATGGCTAATGGAAGAAGGGCAATCGCTTTTAACTGTTGGGAAATAGGCGTGCCAGTAGTACGTGTCAGCATGTGATCGGGTGTCATGGCAGTCATCGCCACCTCGATCATCTGTTATGGGACAAGGACGATTACCTTGCTGGCAAGGTCTCTCCCACCCCGGTATTAATTGTGGCTGAGCGACTTTTTCGCACACAAAGCCAAACAGTTTGCGTAAGCTTTTCTCACATTTCTGTGGCACCCCCGGGCCTCACTCAATGCAATCGCGTACTTGATTACCATCACGAGGACGGAGCAATTTCTATTCGCCCTGGATATACAGTTTTTGTACATGCCCAGCATGTTTCGCGAAAGTATGCTCGATATCTGCGCAACGCGCTCAGGCCTGAAGGGCTATCGACGCCACAATGAATCACATCAGAACTCTTGGAAATCCCTGAGAGGCCCTGAGAAGCCCTGAGCGGCCCTGACGATCCGTTCCGCAAAAGCCCGTGAGGTCTCGAGAGCGCGTCAGGGCCTGTCAGGGCTCTCAGGGTGCGTCAGGACGGTCAGGACGATTCTGGTCGTTGTGTGGCCCAAAATGTATTTCTATTCACAGAACAATGTATATAGTTGGGGACTCCGACAGACAACAACATAGATCTTACAACCACAATACAATACACTATACTATCTTCATGAACACAAAGTCCGGACAAGCTACGAGACGGCGGAAATGAATCATCGCCGTCATCGGGTTAATTAACGGCCTCAGAGACGTCGGTGGTGATCTCTGCAGCCCGTGCATCCGCAATTGCACTTGTAGTTGCGCATGCGACTGCGACTGTAGTGCCACCGACGCATGCATCAGTAACCTCGACTTCTCCAAATTAAGATTCAGCCATTGCACGGGGACGAAGACGAACCGGGGGAGGGCGAGAGTGATTTGACGCTGTTCGAACTCGGGGAGGTCGCGGACGTCTGTGCGTTCGAAGACAGTGTGGACGAGACGGGTGGGAGTTGTGGAGGGGCGAATATCGAGGCAGAAGAGGGAGAATGAGGGGGAGGGGGAGGAAAATAGAGGGAGACGAGGTGGGTGAGCGTTTGGGGTGGGGAGTGGGAGAGAGTGAGGGCGAGGATGTACGTGAAATAGTTCGTTCGATGTGTGTTTGAGGAGGTGTGGGAGTGGGTGGTGGCAATGGAGAGGAGATGGGAGATGTAGGATGCGAGGATGGTTGAGGATGCGGGGTCATGTGCGTCCTCTGCGAGGACGGTTATGTGCCTGCCACCGTCGTCGTATGAGGAAAGAACATAATGCAAGGCCGAGACACAAAGCGGGTGGAATGACAGTCGACCAGGCCAGTCTGCGGCATTGATCCCAGCGGCGGCCAACATCTCTGCGCTGGGACGCCTCAACCAGGACAAAGCACGTTCGGCACAAGCACAAGATGAACGTGTGAGCAGAGTCGAGATGACGGTGGCCGCGATGGCGAGGCTGTCGAGCTGATGGTCTCCATACAGCGGCAGGAGTGCCTTGTCGAGGTGTAGGAAGCAGGGCAGGATGAGCTCGACGGCCCGCAGTCGTACCTGAGTAGAGCTTGAGGCTAGAAAGGAGAACGAGTAGTCGACATCAGATGCCTGCTACCCATCCACGCTAGCATACCACTCCCGCAGATGCACAGGCCACACGTCGACGATGTTGCGCCCCCGACCTTAGGGCACTCCTCCCTCATCGCGCTGACCTACGCATAATACCGCTGCGCCCCGAGCACGAACGGCTTCCCCCTCCTCTTTATCCTTGTCTTCTCCCTCGCGATCTCCTCGACCGCGTACCCCAGGATCGCCTAGTAGTCAAGATCGACCAAGGCGAGCGCATCGACAAGCATGCTTCGCATCCAGGCGATCGCACATACCCACCTCGAGCAAGAAGACCTCGACTTCCAGCTCAAAAATAAGTGTTGCCGTGCCCATCAGCAGCTCAAAACCGCTCGCACCCGCGCCATGCTCATCGCTCGCCTGCCTGACCAGCCGCCATGCCTCACTACAAGCTGAAGACATACGACGAGGCTCACCTTCACACTTGCAGGATTCTTTACCAACATTTACTTTCACATTCGCAAACTCCAAGTGCAGACTCGGCGCTCCGGGTTACGAGAGTCTGAGGATTCAACCGACATGTGCGTAGCCCTAGTGTGGGCCGGTGTATGATGCCGAGTCGGGGAGAGGGTGAAGGAGGGTAAGGGCTTCGACACTTCGACAACAAACTCTGAAAATGCCACGTCGAATTTGTTGACGTTTGTTTGTCCTCTGTTCAACTCTTGCGTCGGGCGTCGTCCGGCGTCGTCTCTGTTCTGTATTCGTACCTCATTTGTCTCTGTCAAGCATTCCCTGTGCATCGTTCTATATTCCCTCGGTAAGGACCCTGTTATGGACCGGGCCAGCGAAATAAAGGCGCTACAATCCCACCTGTACGTATGTTATCTTGATCCCTTTTCTCAATCCAAATCACGCAGTTACATCACATCAACAATTTCATTCACTGCAACGTCAAAGTGGCCGGCCTTATCGACAAGTCAAGACAACGGCATTATTTCTTCTAGTGATCTCGGCCTCACCATACAATCATTGTGCTCGATGCAGCGGCTGTGAGTGTAGCACCGAGGAGAGCGATGATGAGCAAGAGGAACACGTTACTTCATTGTACGTCCTCGAACTTATACTTCATTTCGTCTTGTTATATTCTTTTTCCTTCATTGTCGCTCGGCCCTTGCAGGGGATAGCGGCGAGGTTGAGAGTCGTCGCATCTCGCCGCAAGATGTCGTTTTTGGCGTGAGTTCATTCCTCCCACCCCTCTCTTGCGATTGTGTTTTTGATTCTGGATATGTCATTTCTGTGCAGATGTGCATCGTACACGGTCCAAAACACTACGCCAACGCTCGATCGCGATGGAAGCATGCATGCTTCCTTGCGTGTGTTTCAAAGCGTCATGGACGACTGGTTTGCTGAAGATACAACCGGATAGTACGCGCTTCTTTGTTCTTCTGTTGACCCCCAGCACTTCGTAGCTCATCGGCTCTTCTACTTCTATCGCCTTCCCCTTAACATATCTACTTATCTATTCAACCTCCACCCTTACTTGGTTTGCATAATCTCATGGAGTCAAACAAGTTTACCCGTTTTCGCAGGCCATGTAGTCTATCAGAGCAAGGAGTCGAGAGAGTGGGGTCTGGGGCAGTTTAACGTTTGTGTAGTCTCAAGAACAGTGTGTATAACACGAGTGACTGTTTTGAACATGAAGGAAAATTGGTGGACTCGAAAGCAGAGCCTCTGTAGACCTCTTTATGTAGCTTCGCATGTAAATACGATTATTTATATGAATTTATGATCATTTTTCTGGTGCCACACAACGACCAGAATCGTCCTGATCGTCCTGACGCACCCTGAGAGCCCTGACAGGCCCTGACGCGCTCTCGAGACCTCACGGACTTTCGCGGAACGGATCGTCAGGGCCGCTCAGGGCTTCTCAGGGCCTCTCAGGGATTTCCAAGAGTTCTGATGCAAGCCGATGCTTCTCCTGAGGCCTACGTACGCTTCGAGGCGCTGCTGCGGTCAGCGAAGCAAGAAATCTGACATCAGTGGCCATCGGAACGTGGATGTATTGTGCAGATTTAAAGGCTGCCTCTAATACGACTTGAATACGAGTTTGCGAGCCAAGAAGAACCATCTGTGGTGCGACTCTTGCGTGACCATCCAGAAGTAATTTCCGGTACTGAATACTCTGCAGTATCGCTAACAAAGTTGCTACTGCAAACAAAGTGCACAGAAATAGTGAGCATTGGTAGATACGTATGCCATTGTCAGAAGAGGTCTCTCAAGCAAGGTCAGTGCCACAGCATGTGGAGCTTCCCTAGTTACTTACTTACGCATTAACAGCCCCATCCTGGACTACTAGATCAAGGGAGAGTGCAGGGAACGCAACGCATCAGCACCTCCCTTCTCACCAACATTCTATCGAAACCATGATTCTTTCAGGAAGCGAGACCTTTGCCAGAGATGACGCAGGCCTTGTAGTGACCAAAGGGCGCTTTCTCAAGTTTGTCAGCTGGCGTTGCACTTGTTTGTGCTTATTAGGGTCAGAAGCTGTTTGGCACTTGTGATCCGTGCTGGTCCGTGCGCGGAGTGGTGGAAAGCGCTCAGCGCTCAGCCCTGACCCTTCATGAATCCATCCAGTGCCCTCACCAATGCTCTCGTGGTTGCATTGCCGAAGAAGTGATCAAGTCACTGTTGACGAACAGGCCTAGGTTTTAGTACAGACACCAGAGACCCAAACAGGACTTTTTTGAGGTCGAGATCAGTCGCATTCGCTACTAGCAGAGTGAGTGCCACTCACGATATGCCAACGATATGGCTGACTTGACAGTGGTGCCAGAGTTGAAGACTATACATGAACATCAAGTGGTATGTTATTCTGCTACTATAGTCATTTAAAAGTTGTTTTGCTTTGCATTTGTGGGTGGTTTTATTCCATTTCCGTCTCGTTTCTACGCTCGTGGCGAGCGATTGTCCCTAAAGGTCTATCCGTGTCGGGGCGGAAGGCACGATGCCTTTGCCCACAGTGATTCAGAGTGCAGGACACCGATCGCCTTTGTTTGAGTCTCCTCGTCATGTTTGCAAGAACAAAAGTCGTCACCTTGAGATGATGTGGCACGCATGCCGCTGTGGCATCCTCTCGGAGAAAGATATCGGAAATACTGTTTGCCGCATCGGCTAATGTTGGTCGCACGAATCCCGACGGAGCGATATCGAGCCGCTTATCTGCCTCGTGCCTCGCCATGCTCTGATTCTTTGTGGGTCCCAGTGTGTCCCGTCGCTTCGTAACTGTGGGTCCCAGTTTGTTCTGACCAAACAAACAACATTTATTACCGGAGATGGCAGGAGAATGTTGTTTGTCCTTGCTTTAGCGACGACGGCTTCGCGGCATCCCGTGCCCGCATGGCACCCATCGATTTCGCATATAAGGCCTGCGTGCCGGCCCTTCTCTTCCCTCAGCCCACCCCGGACTACCACCAACACCCCCACTAAAGCACCCCGCTAAAGCCTAACCACCCAACCCCCGTCTTATCCACGATCAATCATGTCTCCCAAAACTGCTACCCATCGCTCTTCTCGTCGTGACGCTCGTCGTCGCAGCCTCTCGACTTCATCTACGTCGTCTATTACTGTCTCCTCTGATGACGAGAACACCTTCACGGTCGCCATCATCGATGAGAAGGAGAACTTAGACCCTAACAATGGCAAGAATGTGGCAGTCCCGAACAAGTCCAAGCGCTCCAAGCGAGCACGCTCCTCCAGCTCATCCACGCCTTCGAAGAAATCGTCCTCCCCCCAGACCGTCAAGGACGCCGCATGTCGCCGCACGAAGAGAGCCCTCTCTTCGCGCAAGGCCCCGTCAGCGGAAGCCATCGAAGGTGATATGCCTGTTCCGGTTTTGATGGACGCCACGGAGGCCTACACTGGGTTCGCCTACAGGTGCGCCTCTTTCCTTCTCTATGTCTCCTTACTATGCATGACCATGCTCACGATGGCCTTTACTTCTTACAACAGCGGCGCCCACTTCGAACTTCCTCCCGTCTTCGCTGTCAACACGGTGCACACCATCGGCGATCTGTTCTTCGACTCCTTTGCGTAAGCCCTTACAGGCCCTTCGTCACTTTTTCTCTTCTCTCCTGTGACGTCGAAGCATCCATACCATGATACCATTTCTTTTTTCCGTATTCACATTCTATCCCCATTCCATCATCACCCTTCTTACGTCGCCTGCATTTTTTTTTCTACTGCACGCCGCCTCCCCCCTTCCCATTATGCCAAGGTTTGTCTCATCGTCGTCCTGCTGTATTATTAAATTTCTTTTTTGGATGGATCATCATTCAATCTCCTTTATATTCTTTCATCTTCTTTATCTCTTTTTATCTCTTTTATATCCTTTCCTACAGTACCTCTCGTATACTCCGATACCACTGCATATCGTTTCGATTACGAGTAGTTCTCTGCCTCCCCCTTCTCCTTCTTAGGCTCTTGGTTTCCCAGTGACGATCATCATCGCTATGCGTCCCGTCTCTGCATCCCTTCGAGTCATCGCTGCGTTCTCTCATCGGGGCTCAGTACTTTTATCTCTTTTTTCTTCTCTACACTACATCCTTCGTGTCGCCTGTGTTGGTTGTCTCGTCCCGCCTTTCCTCCAGTTTGCTCATCTTGCCTGTATTGTCTCGATGTCTCGGAGTTGACCTGTATTTGACTGTCTGCATGTATTTACCTGTACGAGTGCCGATTCGCGGTGCCGCTTAGAGTGTTGTGTTGCCTTTTTTCATCTTCTCTAAGTACATATTACTTTTATTTACCAAGGATCTCGCAATTCAACCCATAGGAATATTTCATTGCGTTCTCCTATCGTCGTGCACTGGAATGGAGGGATTTTTTTCGTTTGTCTCAGCGACGGCGCCCTCACCGGTGCCAGCAGATTTGGGGCCTGACACCGCGCATGCCGCAGGGACAATGACATGCGCGATCATTGGCTGATGGACCAAGCGACATTTTCTTTTGTTCTCGAGACGAACAAAAGGATACTGGGCGTCGGCACAGTCGTCGGCAGCATCGGTAATCGCTCGGCCTCGGCACGACAAGATAACCCATGACACCACTCCCCCTGCTGACCTTGGACTCTTATCGAACGTTGTCTCGCTTGCCGGTCGCGCACACATCATCGCGCTCCACGACGTCGACTTCTCTCTCCTCAAATCCTCCTTACTCTACCGTATCTACATGCAAGCGCACGAGTCTTGACGAATATTGTTTTGGAGAGGCGGTCATGGTTCGCGACGGCGTGAAATTCATGGTGCGTTCGGTCTTCAGTAAATGCAGCGAGCACCGAGACATCGATAGAGCGTGCGTTCGTCGAATGGGTGTTTAGACTAGCTACTCTATACGACGTAGAAGATCGCAGTTCAAGATGAGATGGATGCTGGATATAAGCCTCACTGGCGAGTGTATATCAAGATGCGTCATCTGGACGGGTACGAAGTCGAATTAGATATATGATACGCCTTCCACAGAGAAGTGGAATAAACTTACGCACAAGAGGGCCAGCGTCGTACCCAGAACGCACATCTCACGAGGATGTAGGCGAAAGGGTCTCTGACGTGAGTTTACGATGGACAGGAAATCTTCGTGGCAGCTCGATTGTCGGGAACTCGCGCTCTCCTGTATCCAGCACTCGAAACCCACACGTCAGACGATGCTCTTTCCAGTCACTGCTTAAGCATCAGCAAGATAGAACAGGCAACGAAATCTGAAAGGAAACGTCTCACAGTCTCTGATATTTCTTTTCGCAATATTCTTTCGTCTTACAGCCTTCCTCATACACTGCTTATGAACTTGACACTGCGTCTCAATCTCACTCCAGAGCAACGAGGGGCGAATGTGCACGTCGAATGTCGCAGAGGGTTTGATGGTGTATATGAAGTCGCCATAGATGGACTCCTTCCCCGGAGGCATGTACGTGTGGTCGAGAATAGCTCGTAGAATGCGTGGACGAGGGAGGTGGACGCGGAGTACTTGGCGCAGAGAGGGTTGTAGGTCCATCGCTGAGAGAATGGCCGACATGATCTTGTTCAGTTCCTCTGCGCGAGAAGAGACCAGTCAAGGTAAGATAAGGGGATGGAGATGGAGAGAACGGGACCGAGGCAGGTCAACGTACTGGAGACCTCTGGTTTTCGAGAGCTAAAGTGTGGCAGCGTTATATCCAGAGCGTCTATTGTTCCGGCTCGAACCAGAATTATCACCAACTGGGGTCCTTCGTTTGGTAGAGATTGCATATGTCGATGGAGGAATGAGCCGATGAGGGCTACGATACTTGTATAGAGAGCATATCCTGAAGAGTCTCCTTTCTCATCGTCTTTTACGGTTCTGGTCATGAGGAAGCAAAGAGTCGTCCACAGATTGCTAGCCCTCACAAGACTTCGAATAAAATCGGGTTGTTCTCCTGGTTCTAGCGAAGTCTGAGCCCACCCGTAAGCCACCAGACAGTCGAGAAGGTCTACGGCCTTCGCCGCGTCTTTACCGACGAGCCAACTCAAGGAGGATTCAATATTCGAGAAGAATTTCCGGAACGATCCCGCTCCTCTATGGATGTCGCGAAAAAGCTTGTGGAGTGGCGGATGCGAAGATTCGTTGGCAGCTACGTGTTCCGGAGATATGACGAGGACGAGGAAATGTTCCAGAAGTCCAAACTCTGAGGGAGTGTTCGAGTGTGTCCAGTATCGAACAGCGACAGAGAGGGTGAGATCATTGTCTTCTCTCATTAACTACTACCGTGATCAATTATCAGTTCACTCTCCGCCAGTTCGTAGAAAGTGGACAAGACGAACCTCAAGGAAAGAGGGGTCAGAACAGGATATGGAGTGTACGATAAGCTGTATTATCATACGCTCGCTGACCATGTCATCGTCAGAGTGGGCAGTATTGGCAGGATCGAGCCAGAGCTGTGACTGACAATTAGCAGAGGATCGGGGTTTCCAGATCAAAGGACACGTACGCGCACCATCATCTCCGACCAATATTTACGCAGAGAAGATATGTAAAATGTGTCAACCGCTGATGGAGGGTTCTTCAGCGTTAACATCCCGGTATACAGGATGTGCAGCGCAGTATCGTAGGATGAATGCGGCTGTGTGGGACGTGGCAGTCAATCAGATTTCGCTCCAGTGGAGCTTCTAATAAAGACTTGCCACAAGTCCATCCATAGGAGCATGATTTCCAACCCTTATAGTTCGACTGAGGGTATTTCGTTTGGCGGTGACACATTCGCATACCCGATCCACGATCCCGGCACGAACTAAGGCGTACCACTGCAAGCAGGGACCGGGGCTGTTCAAGTCTGAGAGAATGGCCACTTCTATACAGTACGCTGCTGGTCCGATATCCTTTACGCATCATGAACAGACATGTGAGACATAAAAAGACATAAAAAGACTGGTATTAGTCACATCGACGACGTCCCCAAACCGATTGGGTTTCCTGCCATCACCGGAGTCAAGGTCGAATATGCCAATGACGCGGTGAGGATCAGTTTTGACCAGTCCAGTCCATTTCCGGACCAGCGCTGTATTCATATGGAAGCACCTATAGGAAGAGCGAAATTGTGGCTTTGCGATGTGAAGCTATGAGTAGGAAGTGAAGGGGAAGGGCGGAAAGGAGGCCGAAGAGCTTCATCGTGATGTCGGTCAAATAGAATCGGAGTTCCAAGTAATCGACACAAAGCCTGCGGCCAAATGAAGGAGACCCATGTCCAAATAAGTCGGTCAGCATATCAGAAGTTCGTAGGGAGATGATGCAGGATCCTATTCGGCAGCCGCATAAGTAAGGATCGCCGACTTCTGGGGTATGAAGCTTTACGTCCTACAGACACTAAGGGTCGGATTATAGTGAGCCCAATATCAGCAGCGCGCACGAGTAAGATCAGCTTCAAAGCGCACCTTTTTGAGAAAAGGTTTTCTTCTTACCAGTGAGTCGTATCGTCGACATTCAATCGAGCGTCAGTGCTATACGGCCCAGTTCCAGTGCTAGCTTGTGTTCATCCACATCCGGGCGGGGCAGGCGGATCATCTCGAGAAGGATGCAGAGGATATTGAGATCCGAGTCCCATCGACTCCTTCACCTCTGAGTATGAGATGTCTAAATCTGAATAGATCGAGGCATGACTTCACTTCGTCGAAACGTTAAAATCGAATATAATACAATGAGCGTGTCTGAGTGGCCCACGGATATTGGACGAAAGAAGAAAACCACCAAGCAAACTGCCATCGTCAATGACAATGCCGACGACTATGCAGTCAAGGTGGAACTAATAAGAGAATGCATGTCGCCCTTGATTATACCTGCGCCTCCTCCATGTTATTTGCGCCCTCCAAATCACCTCCCGAGACTTCCCTCACCTCGGCTTCCACGGCCATCTGCATGGACTCGAGCATCATGCCGACCTCGAACGGATCATCAGCCATCAACGTATCTCCATCCATACTCCAGTTCGCATTGGCACCGAGATTGGCACCGTCGGTCCGGCATTCGACCTCTTCTGTTTCATTGCATGCATCCACACGTCGCGGGGATTTGAGGCATGAGCCAAGGTTTCCGATGGCCAGTGCCACAAACCTACTCCCGTTGCTCTCGCCACCGGGTTTAGCGTTGTGCGAGACATTGTGTGGATCGAATTGTGGTGTCTCTCCGATCTTGAGCCCAGGGGGAAGTTGAGAATCGAACTTGGGCGTATCTGGTAAGGATGGAAGGGACGGGAAGTCGACATGCTCTTGGGGAGAGCCATTGGAGAAGCAAATCGAGCGGAGATTGAGCATGAAGCGGCAGACGAGGACGACACGTAGACTGGATATTTGGTGAATGGTGAGTGGCAGTCAAGGTTAGATAGGGAGTAGAGAGACGCACGCAACGAGGAGGTTCGCGACGAGACAGAGATTCTGGACAAATTCTGTAGCGGGGCCCTATGGGAGTCGAATATGAGAACGTGGCCTTGACAGGATGATTGCGGGGAAATACGGTAGACTACGCACGAAGTACGATACCTGTGTGAATGGACGATGGATCAGGCAAACGGAACGACATTCTGGTTTGAAGTACTGACCAGGACGAGCACCATGTCAATGCTAGCAAGCACGACCAAGACGCTGGAGGCGGCCTTTGTCAAGCCCATAGCAGTTTTAAAGAATTGACAGACCTACAAGAACAGCAAAGTTCCTGGAATAACAACGAATATCAGCCTCATCGATACCACAGTGTGCCACGACCGTGAATCTTACCGTCGCGCACAACGAGAGCACTCAAATCTGGGCCACTGGCGCCTTGACGGTTCCTGAACTTCCACGTCTTCTTGAGGGTGACGGCAAGAACAATCCCCTCGGCAAGGATCATCGTGGCGTCTGCGAGAGCTTGGACTATCCAGAGGGATCATTAGCATGAACCGTCGCTGATTAAAACAAACGGCCTCACCGCTGTGAGATGCGATCATGGCGTGATGGTCAGTAAACATGTATTGTCCATTGCTGCATGAAGGGCGTACATCATTGACGCGAAGGCGCTGAGAGTAGGGTCACTCGCGCATCCGGTACTCAGGGGTTCCTCAACGAGAAGGGCGGTAGCGAATTGATACTGTAGTTCACTGTCACGTAAACAATTAAAAGCACAGAATGTCCATACACATACCGTGTTGATTCCGATCGGCCAGACAGAGAGGAGCAGAACGATGGAGAACAGAAACCAGTTATGTCCGGAGAGGGCCAGCACCCGCAAGGCTGAGAACACTAAACGGTACAATCAGCTCTGCAGAATCATACGAAGAACACGTATACACACGTCCGACACCGACGATCCTGACAGCATCAGGGAACGCTACCATATATATGGTGGCGAGACAACTAGAGGAACGTCAGTGCTAATACCTCGGTTAGCCAAGAGACTACGAACCCCTTCAGACAACGGATTAGAATACAGTCATAAATCCTTGAGCGAGATGGGATTTACCTGTTTACTCGTATTGGGTGCTACCCCGACACTCTCCAGAGCATACTCGAAGAGAGTGCTGTACCGGATAGTAAGGTACAAGATCGAGGATCCAGTGATCTTGCGCTGCCATATCTGCCGCCTTTCGTCACTCAAACACAAGAGGTTGTCCCAAGTTAGGAGAGCTATCACGATTGATTCGAGTCAGAACATTTGGACTAGAGCCCTATCTAGAAGAGCTGGCCACTCACCGAGGCCCGAGATGACTGAAGCATTGTCGGCACTATGACGAGAAAAGTAAGTTTTAGCGATCTGTTACGATGTCCGACGGTATGTGCCACTGACATGAGCTCCGAGAGAGACAAGCTATCATTATCAGACATCGCTGGGGACCTGACTTGGGGATATCCCTGACACACGAAAGCCATCATCAAGCCTTTTAAACAAGGCTACCGCATCAAACACCAAGGAACCGATGGAGCGACAGGGATAGTTGAACTCGAGGATCAGGACATGTCTGATCCTGAAGATGCAAAACACCCGTAGTAAAGCTGTACGAAAGAGTGCCTGCGAATCCGCTGTGGCTTGTGAGAGGAACTTGACCGTTTGAGTCAACTTCGTGAGTGGCGTTTAACGTTTTTGAGCCAGTATCATCCTTCAGCACCTGGTTATGAGTATAGGCCATGGTGACCCTTGGGTCAGCGGGCCAGACCGCTGAGGATTGCAAAAGGAGCGAGGAGCAAGGCTACAAGTATGCTGATGAGGAAGCCAAGTAGGTAAGGTTATACCGACCATGTGGGTCAGCGGGAGCAGAGCTCTGAGGAACGACCCCCTTCCATTGATGAGTGGGCTGTGGCACTCCAAATCAACTCTATCTGGATATTCGAGAGCTGTCAGACCCTGTCTCGTACGGTGATATGCCCGAGAACGACTCACCTTACTGCCCTCAAACGCTGTACCTGTCGGCGTCTGGCATCACCTTGTATCAATGGACCTGGGAGAAACTTCGACTTAGGACCCTTGGTCACAGCGGGAGCTGCGGAACGGCCATCTTCATCTGATGAAAGGGGGTCAGTTTGGAAGCCGACCAAATACTCCTCTCAGAGATATATTTGTGGCCCAAGTCAGAATACCCAGGTCGAGGATGAAATTCACACCGACCCAAGCAAAGCAGCGCCTCAGACACCCCAGCTCTGAGTCTGATGCTCGGGAGAGATTCAAGGAAAGTATAACCAAGTTAAGACCAGCGTCAAACACGTTGGATTTGTGCCGCCGCATACGAACGTTACCTGGTCTGTGAAGGAAAGAAGGCGTCAGTATCGGTTCTCGTGATACCTTTGGCAGCCACTCACCTTCTTCCAGATAAACAAGGTCGATGGGTTGAGACGACATCACGAACGAACAGTCCATTAAACCAATCTCTAATAGCGACGCCACGAACCATACATAGTAAATACAGAGAATGAGTATGAGAGTCGGATGATGGGTGAGAGGGCAGGGAAAAGCAATGAAGTAAGAACTCCGATCGGGCAACTTGGAGGGCAACAATCGTACACAGAATCAGATGGACAGGCAGAATAAAAAAGATCACATAATGCAGTATGAAGAACGGGAATAATGGACATGAGGTGGCGACGTAAATGGAAAGGTGAGAAAGAAGTACCGTAGAAAGAGTAGTCCCAAGTCCCCCTAGCGCCTAGGAGGACCATTATAGATATGATTACAGCCGAGTCAAAACATGATGATCAGGGAAACTATATCAAGACAAGAGGAGAGGGGAGGGGAGGAGATATAGGGGCTGTTAAAGATACAAAGAAAAGTACAAAACCTAACCTGGAGAGCGACGTGATTGATGCAAGAAAAAAGGAAAAATAAACAGCCGAGAAGAAACCACAAGATCCCAGACGAGAAAGGTCACACTCTCACCACGCAGCCAACGCTGCCGTCCCCACTTCACGTCCCCCACGCACACTACAGCGAACGCCAGCGCCCCAATCATGACTGCTTCGTCGGCGAACCCTCGCCCGCAGCAGCTTTCTTCTGGAACTCTAACAGCGCCTCCGCATCCCAAGGCGCCGGTATCCGTGGCACATCATCCAGGTTCTTGTCCGCCCTTGCGTCCTTCAACCGATCCCGATTGTTCATCGTCTTACGCGCACGACATCTAATGAGGCGGAGCTTCGTCCGCTTGATCCCTGTGATACCGGACAAAGGCGTTGAGTGATTCGTCATATATGACCGAAGCAGAGGTAGAGCAGGGGCAAAAAGGGAGCAGAAGGAAACGTACAAGTCGATATCGTCTCCCGATCCTCCTCCATGAATGGATTATCCTTCTGCAGCAGATCGTCCTGCAGCGCATACAAGCACCACAACGACTCGACGTACAACATCTCGCATTCATCGGGCGTGGCGTGCTGGTCCAAGAGTTCCTTCTTCGCCGCTGTTCGGCTCTGTTCCACAAGTCAGACCGTCGCTCGCACCGTCCAGAGAGGTGTAGCGAAGGAAAGAAAACGTACGAGTGTGAGAGCACGATTGTACACGAGCTCGTCGACATAGGTGCTCGGCCCGGTGTATTGTGCGGGTAACCACGTCTTGACCATGACCGCCCGCTCGCTGCACTTCTCGAAATGCTCCATGAACCACGTCAGCGCTACAAAACCGCCCCCATCAATCAGTACATTCCATTCCACTCAACCTCAACAAGCCCCCACAAAAATGAACGAAAAGGCGTAGTGAAATGGTGCAAGAAGAAGAGGAAGAAGAGAAACACACCTTCATCAAACCCCTCACTCGCCTCAAAATCCTCATCCGGCTCCCGCATCACACAATGCTGCTGATACCGGCTCAGCTCCTCGATCCCCTTCTGCGAGAACGACATGACGAGCATGTACACGGCGACGCAGGTCACCGCGTTGTATTCCGCCTGGAAATCGGCGTGCCGCCGTTTGATCGCGGTCTTGGTCGGCTCGCCTTCGCGGGGCGTGAATTTGGCGGGGTCGGGGAGGGGCTCTGCATCGAAGTAGGCAGTTAGGAAGGGATTTGTTTATGGAGTGAAAAAGGGAAGGGAATGGAAGGGGGGAAGGGGGTAAGGGAATGGTAGGATACGCACTCTGCGGTATCGCCTTCACATACTCATACATCTCGTCCGCCCACCGCGTGATCACATCCGTCTTCTGCGCCAACTGCTCCAACCGCTCCAACAATTCGTCCTCCATCGGATCCACTCCCCCACCCCCACCCCCACCCTCGCCATTCTCACCGTTCCCGACCTTCCGGCCCCCATCTCCGTCTCCATCGCCTGAGACATCATCACCGGTGGGATAATTCCCCGTCCCCCTCGACACAATAATCGGTCTCCTACTCGACACCACCCCAGCATCCCCAACAGCATCCCCACCCTCCCTTTCCATGGTAGTCGTACCAGGCGATGCATAATCTCGATGACTAAAATGCGGCACCGCAACACTCGAAGCCGGCCTCACCGCCTGCCCAAAAAGCTTCTTACTCGCCAAACTCAACGCCCTCGCCAACGCGTTCGTCGTCGCCCTCGAGACCGTATTCGCGCCCCCTGCTCCTCCTCCGGGTGATGCGGAGAGACCGGGGGTCATGGAGGGGGGCGGGATGGCGTGGAGGTTTGGGGGTGGTGGGAATGTTGCGTTTGCGTTTGTGTTTGTTGTTGGGGTGTGGGAGGGATTGGCGGTGGAGGGGGTGGAGGAAAGGGGGTAAGGTGTGTAGGGCGTTTGGGCTTGGATTTGGGCTTGTTGTGCGTATGTGTATGTTGTGGGCGAGGAGGAGAGAGGAGGGGAGGATGAGGTGGTGGTGGTGAAGTAGTCCGTCGTTGTTGGTGTTTGTCGGGATGGGGTTTGGCGGAGTGGGGTGGGTTGGGCACGAACGTCGAGGAGCGGCCGTCTCCGCGAGTTGATCTCTACAACACATAAACAGACATGAGAACAGAGCAAACAAAAAATGAGAAAAAAATACGAACCATCGACAGCCCGATTAAACTCCACCGCCCTCACATCCCCCACGAGCACATACTCCCTCCTCAACAGTCCATCTTCCTCCGTCTCGCCTGGAATCAACGAAGCTTCGGCCTCTAGTGCTCGTGGTGGTTTCTTTGGGTTTGGGTCGTGACCATGACCGGGATTTGGATTTGATGTCGGGGATGACTTTCGTGCGAGATTTAGGGGGGTGGGGTCGTTTGGCGGTCTATCATGTCCAACATCCAGATCTAATCAGCCGAGGACAGAGAGCCAAACAAAAAAGGATACGCACGTCGTCCCAACACCTCCCTCCACCCCCGGACTCCCCCTCCCATTCACCCCTCCACCCGTCCCTCCACCCGTCCCCCTCTCATTACCAACCCCATTACCAATCCCAACACCACCCCCAGGAGACCCAGCAGCAGCACCAGCAGCGCTCTCCCTCCTCCGAAACTTAAACCGACTCGGCGGAATCATCGCATTCGCATCTAACACCTCCGGCGGTATCCGCACATCCTCTCCCATCCCTTCCTCTCCTTCCCCTTCGCCCTCTCGCTCATTCCCCTCCTGCTCTGCGTCTGCCCCTCGACTTCGAGGTTCGACGTCCATCTCCCGATCATAATACGATAACCTCCTCTGCGCCTGACCACCCCCATACCCCGGCCTCCCCCCAGACATAGAAACCGTCCTCTCACCACGTCCCTGTCCCTGTCCATGACCGTGCGAGTGAGACGGCTCCTTGCCCGGCCTCGGAAATTTCGAATTCGCCAACGCATGCGACTTGAAGAACTCGTCGAAACTCGCGCGTTCGACCGGGTTTCGTTTCAGCAGGACTCGAATAAGCTTCTTCACGTCGTCTGGGACTACTTGGACTGCTTGTGTCTCTCCGTTCGTATTCCCAGTCCCATTCCCATTTACATTTGCACCCGGCGTAGTAGTGGTGGTAGCAGAGGACGGAGCAGGAGGAGCAAGAGAAGGAGGCTGCTGATTCCTCGGATCCTCATCCGGAAACTTAATCCCCCTACTATGATCGATCTTCTTCAACAGCTCTATATGGTTCTGTGCGCGGAACGGAGGCTTCCCGACGCTCATCTCGTAGAGAACTGCGCCGACGGACCAGAGATCGGCTTTGGCGTCGTATTTCTGGTAGGAGAGGATTTCGGGGGCCATGTAGAGGCTGTTTGGGGGTGGGGTGGATGCGTAGAATGGTGGAGCATAGAAGAAGAAGTGAAGAAGAGGGGAGGGGAGAGGGTGAGTGAGTATGATGTAGACGTAGACAGAACATAAATGCAAGAGAGGAATTGTGTAGTGTAGAGAAACAAAGAGGGCGAGGAGGGTGAGAGGTAAGATAGGATAAGCAAAGCACGTACGGAGACCCACACAACGTCTCCGCCATCATCTGTTCAGGCAATAGCCTCGCGAAGCCGAAATCGGCGATCTTGAGGATGGGGATGCCGAGCGGGTGGCCGCGCGCGAGGTCGTCTTCGGCGGGCGGTTTCAGGAGGAGGTTCTATGTCGCCACGCCATGCAAAAGAAAAGGTGAGTGGGTGGGTGAAGGGATGGGTGGATAGGGGTATAGGGAAGATGTGCGGACGTACCTGCGGCTTGATATCTCGATGAATAAGATTCCGTTGTCGAAGGAACTTCAACGCCCTCGCTAATCCATCCATCCACCATCAATCAACCATCCTCGCTCCCATAAAAACACAAAACAAAGAAAAAAAAAGAGCGTACCCAACTGCCTCAAAAAACTCCTCACCACAATCTCCGTCAACCCTCCCGTCCTCGGCTGCGGGAAATACTGTGGCGGCGCTCCAGGGTGAGGAATGTACTCGAGCCCTTCTACACGGCCCCGCTTCTTGATGTAGTTGGTGAGATCGCCGCCGGCGCAGTATTCCATGATGAGATAGATGTTGCGTTCGGCGCGCTGGTTACGTGCAATTCGGTGATGTCAGGGCGGGTGGGAAGAAAGGAACAGTGAGGGAGGGAGGGAAGGAGAGGGAGGGAGGGAGGAAGAGAGAGAGGGGGACATACGAAGACGTCGATGAGACGGGTGATATGTCGATGTTGGAGGGATTTCAGGATGTCGATCTCGGATTGCAAGTTCTCGAACAGCTTGCTCGACAAGCCACTCCGGCTAACAGTCTTGATCGCCACTTCCCTTCTCGTTTCCTACCGCATCCAATTCCATTCACCGTTAAATCACACGCAAGGAACAAAGACGGAGCGGAGGACAAAGGCGGGAGACAAAGCGCACCTGATGGTATCCCTTGTATACGGTCGCGAAACTACCTTTCCCGAGATCGCCTACAATGACATACGGCTTCAACTCCTCGTCTTCTGGACGTTTGCCGCCGAAGGAGGTGTTGCTCGTGCTCGATGTGCGGTGCACCGGGGGCGCGGGGGCGGGTGCCATCGCTCGTTCTCTCTTCGAAGATGGTGATGGTGGTGATATGACTGGCAGTATTAAGAGATGGAATGGATAGGTGGATAGGTGGGTGAGAACGAGGTGTGTGTTATCTATTCGGATGCGGCCTCGAGGCTCAGGTATGGATGATGAATGGATTGAACTAGTCCAATAATCAAGTCGGTCGAGAATCGAGATAATTAAGTTGTACAATGTGCGCTGATTATGGGGGATGATGAGGGTGTAGATGAGGGCAGTAGAGTAGAAAGGACAGTTCGCCGTCTCAAGGCCCTTCGGGCGTGACTAATCCACTTGCTTCAGACAGGGGCGGGGTGTGACCCGTAAGTGACCTTGGGGCGGGAGGCGGGCAGGGTCACTCGGTCACAGCTGCTCGAAAGGAGCCTCGTGCTCGCAACCAGCGAGCCTGTTCGAGCAGTTCGTCCTCATTGTTTTGCTGACTCGGAATCGCACTAAGACCAATACATGTAGACACCAATATTTGACAACATTTCTCGTTGATTTCTGAATTTGAAGCGTGCTTACCACGTGGATATCGGCAACTCAAAGGCGTGTGGCGTCACCGCTCTTTCCCCGCTCTCTGGCTCTTTCACAACTCCTCATCGTCATCCGCTTCTTGTCGTGTCACAGTCTTGCTCGTCGTCGACGACAGCGACAACCGTCCGCTTCACGATGGACACAACCACCGTCCCATCATCCCTTGCCAAAGACAAAGGCAAAGGTCGCGCACCCGTCTCCGCCTACGACACCTCCCCCTCCGAGACCACACCCCTCCTCGCCTCCTCCTCCTCCCGTGGTCCTTCCTCCTCACCATCTCGTGGGGACAACCCGATTCACGATGAGGAGGTCTCCATCCTCCAAGCGACGAGTAATTCTCGACGCGCACGTCTGATACGAACGCTATGGACCGTCTTCTTCACGACGCTCATATTCATGCTCCTCGTCCTCCTCTCCCTCCTCTTCCTCGCATATTCCTACCAAGCTCGCGCATCGTCCATTTCTCTCGATGAGGAGACGCTAGCGAGGTCGGTTGTGTGGATCGGGCCGGAGAGTGTGGATGTGATTAATATTACGAAGGATGAGGGGGTTTGGGTAAGAGTGCAGGGTCGGGTCGGGGTGGACGCGGGTGGTCTTATGGGTTTTCATGAAGAAGAGGACGAAGACGAAGATGGGTGGTTACGAGGGGTCTGGAAGTCCATCGGACGGTGGGGGATCGATACCCTCGGCGAAGTCTCCATCGAAGTTTCCTCCATCACACTCCGCTCTCTCCCCTCCTCCTCCGCCTCCTCAGACCCGAACACAAATAACACGTCAACATTCCTCGCCTCCATCTCCCTCCCCCCAACCTCCATCCCCCTAACCTCTTCCCCCCCAAAACACCCCTCCCAAAACCTCTCCTGGCTCACCCCCCTCTCCCTCCCCCTCCACATCCAACCCACAACCAACACCTCCATCTGGCTCGACTTCGCCAAATCCTGCTGGCGAGACGGCTCCATCAGCGCTAGTGTCCATGTCAGTGAGGTGACGGTGCGCGGGGGCGGCGTGGGCGATAGAGGGTGGAGGGGAAAAGTGGAGAAGACGGTGGAGGATGTGAGGGGGGTGTTGAGGCAGAAAAGTGAGTATTGTTCTTATTGGGGACGGTGGGGTGCGATGGGCGGGATTGGGATGGCGTGGATGGCGGTGAATTCGCCGTTGGGGGGGTTGTTCGCTTCCGGGTAGGCAAGCTGGTATAAAGCAATGTATTTTTTTTCACCAAAAGTATTTTTTCTGAGGCGGTGGGGCTAGTGTTATGATATCTATGAATATAACCTCGGACCGCATCCCCATCTCATCTTCTCCTCCAAACAAACCCAAAAATCTAAAACTAACACTTCCCTAATCAATCAACAGTCCCCCGCATACCCGGCCTCCCCACCCCCGGCCAAGGCCAATCCACATCGTACCCAACACTCGAACACCTCGTCTCCCTCGAATCCTTCCACATCTCTACCGTCGCTTCTCCACCTCCTGCACCACGCTCACCACGATCGCATAACGCCCCGTCATCTCCTCCTTCGTCATCATCACCACCGCATACAGACCCACCGACCCCCCTCCCAGCCCATCTCTTCATCACAGCTCGCGCGACTGTCCTCAATCCCATTCCTGCGCTCGCTAATACTACTGGATCGGAGCTGCCGTTCTTTAATTTCACGGTTCCGTCGTTACCGTTTATTATCGCTATTCCGTCCGCTCCTTCCAACTCCAACTCCAGCATCCACCACGCGGGACAGAACGAGGAGGGGTACGAGAAGGGACAAGTGGAAGGAGACGAAGAAGACGACGAACCGTTAACGATCGCCTACGTCGAGACTGCACCTCTGCAGGTCACGTCCGCCTTCGCGTCTGAGCAGGGAAATTTCACGTTGCGGATTGAGGGGTATTTACTTCCGCTGCCTGGGGCGCTCGCTCAATCCTCCTTGTCCGCTGTCGACTCGTCCGCCCGAGCGTCGAACTCAGCCGCAGATGGAGATGGAGATGTAGATGCAGGTGTGGATGCAAAGACAGGTGTGGATGCAGATGCGAAGACAGGCGTGGATGCAAACGCAAGGAGCGCACACGCATCCAGAGCCCTCTCCGCTTTCTTATCCACCTACCTCTCCTCCCAACCTTCCCTCATCCTCATCTCTTCGCCGCTCTTTCCCTCTCCTTCTCCTGGCGATCATGACCATGGCAGCGGCGGTGGAGGTGGGAATGGTGGAGGTGGTGGGAATGGGAAGAAAGGAAAGGGCAAGAAAGCGAAGAAAACATGGATAAAAACGACATTCCCCGCTCCAGTCCCGAAACCGCGCATATTGCGGGACGTGACGATTAAAGACATGGTCATTCGGCCGCCTGGCTCTCCTGCCCATCTCTCCTCCCTCGACTCCGACTCCGACCTCAAATCACTCCCCCCCTCCGACGTTCGCCCCGATGACGACGTGAGCATGATCTCCACGAACTGGGTCGTCAAATCCGGAACCGTCCTCGCTAAGGTCGTCCTTCCCAAAGGTCTCGATGTGCGTCTGGACGTGCGGGGCGTTTTGCCGGATCTGCTGATTTTTGATGGGGCGGTTCCGCCTTCTTCGGTTTCGGTTTCGTTCGATGGTCATTCCATCCCACCGGCCTTTGAGATCGATGCTGACCCCGTCGAGGCAGCTTTTGACTTCGACGGTCAGGACACTTTCGAGGAATATCTGAGGAACGGAATGAGTGCGAAGGACACGTTAACGATGATAGCGCCCCCGTTACCCCCCGAACGACCCCTTCCGAGCCCGATCCCGCCGAACGCGTTCGCGCATATCAGGCCGGGGGAGTGGTTGGTCGCTTCCTCTAATTCTAGCATTGAGCAAGGAGATCGTCAGGTCAGAAATGCGGACGGGGGGTATGGGGAAGGTGGAAATGGGGATGGAGAGGAAGAGGAAGAAGGAAGCGTGACGTACGTGAGCGCGCAGATTGTTGATGTGCCGTTGGAGGTCTTGCCTGGCCGGGAGAACGATTTCGGGAAGTTTGTGAGGAAGGTGGGTTTCTTCTCGTCATGTCCCCTCCTCTTTATCCATGTTGTATCCGGGATTTTGGCGGGTGGAAAGATGAGATGCTGATGTATGATATTGATATTCAGGTCATCTTCGGAGGCTCAGAAGGCGCACTGGCGGGCATTCAGGGCGTAGCGGGCGTGGTTGTGAGTATCGACGGGCTGTTACTTAGTGAGTCCAGCGACGCCCCCAGCGACATGAAAGACAAGGAGGGTGATGGACGGGATGGAGGAGGGGAGAAGGAGATGCGGGGGATGGTGTTGCAGGGATTGCCGTTTGAGGGGAACGTGCGGATCGGGAAGAAGAGTTTGTGATCCTTTCGGGTATCTGAGTATCTCTGGTGGGGCGGTAATGACAGTTGGATAGTCGCGCGGAGGGTAGGTGTAGAGTATTCGTGTAGGATTTTTTTTGTCTCGCGGTCTGTGCCAGCGCATGGTACGAGTAATATCCCCCTCTCATCCTTGGAACGTCTGTATGTATTGTATTTTTACGCTTACGCTCGTTGCTCGCGTCTCTCATTGTAGTGTATATAGAGTTGGACATTGGATGCTTTGTTTTTGCTGTCGTGGTCGTGTTTGTTTGTGGGCTCCAGAACAGTGGCGCGCCACATTCTCTCATCGAGCTCCCGCATGCCATCCTCGAGATCGTGGACCCTCGCTCATTCAAGCTTCATGTCGACCACGACGATCAATTCAGTGGCTGCCCTTCTATTTTTTCCAACGACCATCCATCTTTATATAGAGACAGTACACATCTATGCACTTGAACAGGATCTTGTAAGGTCAAACGATGATCGCAAGTCAAGGCAGGCCCACTTTGGATGAGGATGCTCCCCATCCGCTTGGTTCATTTCTCTGGTATCAGACTTCTATATCAACTACTCAGAAAACGCTTGAACTTGCCTATCCCATCTCTCGGTTCGCTTTCAACGCGTTGAATGTGATGGAGCGCGCCTACATCCTTTGACGGGGTATCTCAGCAAGGCTATCGACAAAATTTCCACTACTCTTCACTCCCCAAACTTTCCGGGCAGCATATGGATCAAACTTGTGATCGAATGCTCGTACGTGCCTTTCTATCTTTCATGTCTCTCGAGCTGATATTTTATACCGCTCAGGCTACAACACAAAAAAGATAGCCACATCGATATCCACTTCCTGCGCTCATCCCGCCTTCCCTCGTACCTTCTCAGCATATGTTAACGCCCTTTCTCGAACAGTCTGACCCCGTCCATCAGTTCTCACCACCTCGTTCGCCTCCGAGTCGTCAGACAACGCCTCCCAATCGTCTTCGTCAAGGAACTCCTCCAGTTCCTCCCAAGCCTCACGTTCACCGATCGTCTCCAACTCCCACTCGTCGCCCAATCCTTCACGACGATTCCTTCCTATCCACTCGAAATCACCATCAAATTTCGATCCCGTGGTCTTCTTCTCCTTGCGGTGAATACGTCCTCGAGGAAGGTCAAGTAGGGAGACCTCGTATGAGTCGTATCGTCTTCGCTCCGCCGAAACCTCGTCTGCTACGCCATGAGCGATCTCTGCCTCTGCCTCCCTCTGCAACTCCTCTTCCCCCTCACCCTCGAGCGTCAAGTCCCTTGGATCGTTGTCCAGCTCAGGAAGTAACTCCGAATCTGCGTCCCCCTTACCGCCCTCTCTCCTGCGCGCCGCTTCTGCTCGTATCTCGTGTGGCGTCGGAGGCTTGTTATATTTCGGATCAGGAGGAATATAAAACTCGTCTACTGCCGTCCAACGTGCTCGTGTCTGTGCAAGAGTCAGACCAACCCAGTCAGTCTCGTGGAGAGGAAAAAATGAACGGAGGGCCTTAGGCTCGAAACGGCGGATACTCACATCTCTGATCCTCGCCTTCATAGATATCCCAGTAGGCTTGTGCTCCTCCGCGACGTGGAAATTAATTCTCTGGCGATACCTATCCAATCGGTTTCCCCGCTGTCTTACGCACTCCCAAGACCAGGTGTGAGCCATCTCGAGTTTTGGATTGTGATGTTTGGAGCGAGGCATAGGTGGCGTTTCGAGATGCGCTATGGAGTATGTGTGGTTGATTTAGGAGAGGTGTAGTGAGGGATGTACCAACGGGGTTGTGACGAAATTATCTAGGTGAAGTGTGGCGGTGCGCGCTTCGGTTCGGTTGCTTGGCGGTCAGAGTTAGGTGGAGTCATTGGTGTATCGCTTGCGAACTCTGGACACTTGAACAATTCTGACTCCGGGCGTTGCGAGCAGCCGACACAGCGTCGGCGTTCCCGAACCAGTACTGAGGCCGTGTCATGGGTTGAGTATCCGTTGGAACTCGACAGGGGAACTTGCACGGGTGGTCAGGATTGTCATACGAGGCTATGCTTCACCGCACGAATCGCCTCTCTTTACTGCGGCGAAACGTTATCGGTAAGGCAAACATTACTTCTTGTCGAAAAGACTGGATAGTGAAGAGGGTAGCAGAGACGGTTCGCAGATCATTGACACCTACGCTCAGTCGGTGCCGAGAACGCATGTTACGCGGCACATCCTAGCAAGAGATCTGCGCAAATATTGTTTCGATTTGTAGCAGTGTGGGTCGGACCATTCTCGATACGCTATCGTTCTGTGACTTCTGATATTCGACAACAAAAACCTTCACCATCGCACCTCGCCGCCACGGCTCCCGCAATTCGGTACCGGGTCAGAAGAATATCAGAAGTCAGGATAACTAGAGCCATAGGCGGGCTCATGACTCGGAGCAGGCCGAGCAAGTGGCGGAGGACCATCCCATACGAACGGTTCAAAGAGGAGAGGCTCCATGGAGCTCGCGGACGGCATACTGCGTCGATGGCCTTTCGAAGGCTGGAAAATAGTGGGTTTAGTTCTCCATATTTCCAGCACCGATAGATGTTATGCTCGATGTACGCACCATAAGCGGCACCGGATTTGTTTCTTGGATATCGGCAGTCCCGGACTCTTGGTCCAGTTGTGGTTCAGCGACAAGTTCGTCAAGATCAGCACCGTCAGCGACGCGAAGAGGGGCCCCGATATTTCCAAGGAACCTGTTCTGTGCAAAGGTCGGCTCGGTAAGGTGATCTTCATCGTATCTGCGTCCAGCACGCCGAAAATGAGACGAACGGGGACCGACGGGTCCATCTTCATCGAATGTTCTTAGGTTGAGTACAAGACGAGAGACCAGGACGTTAGGCAGCCTGATTAGAACAAAGAGTCTCAGGTAGGGATTATGCAGTGGCCAAGGTTCTGTAGCAAGAAAGTTGTAACTCACACTGAGATAAATGGTGCAATCATCCCGATGAAGTTTGAAGTTTGAGACGACAGCTAAGAAATAATGTACGTGGAGTCAATTGAGTACTGTATGGGTGAGGTCCGCAAAGTTAAGATGCTTACCTCGCCATCGGTGACGGTCGAAATCTATATTCAAAAGATGAAAGTGAGACAATCAGGTGATCCTTGACTGTCACCTACGATGTTTATGGCTGCATTCAAGCTACCGATCATAAACATGATCCTACGACCATCGACAGCGTGAGCATATCAGAACCCTGGCATATAGAGAAATTTCCGCTGCTCACATGAAATATAAAACGCCTGAAGATATCGATAGAGTGGAAGTGAGCAAATCATCTGATGAAATCTAACTATCGAAAAACTAGTTCACCATCACGGAGAAGTATCTCTGCAATGCTCACTTGATTGGAGCGACGCATTCGCATTGCATGGCCATACGTCTTCCGTAGTGTCAGGACGAAGATCGAAGCGTCAAAGGCGAGGGCAACGAAGTTGTCTCCGAGTTTGACTGAAAGCATTTGTGAGGTCAGCTCCGTGACTAGAAATATATGTGCATGTCGATAAGCCTACGGCTGTTGCAGAAAAGTATAATATATCAGACTTTCAGGACAAGGTATAACACAGTCTGCAGGACATACTTAGAATGTAGTTGAACGTGGGAGACGATGTGGATCAGGCATCGAGAGAATGTTTCGTACTGAGACCCTTTCGTAGATGCGCGATCATCCAAATGCACGCTCTACGAAGAACTCTGATTGGGTATCTGATACCTCAATACAGGGGTGGTAGAAGTGCTCACCAATACAGCCAATGTCACCCTCGCGGATATAAAGAGACCTGCTGCGTAAAGAACACGGGAATCTCGTTCGTATATAGCATACACTCTGAGAGAGAAAAGGGCTGTGAGAGTAGCTCATCAGCACAAGCTTGGATAAGATTATTTGCTGATGTGTTGAGACAAGAACATACCAGAGGTGGTGCAGATCGCCAGGACGTCGCAGAGGAATAATACAATCAATATTGCATTGCACCTGTTAGACACGTTTTTCAGTCAACAACAGTCGGAGCTATAAGAAACCGAACCACGCACTCATCATCGGTGGAAGAACCAGGAAGGCTTGACAGAACCATAGATACCAAGTAACCGACGAAGATATACCTATTCATGAGGAATAAGACCGTGGTTGCGGTCAACCTTCTGCGCCAAATAGTTCCTATTTCCATGTGTAGGGTCTGAACGTAGTCTAGGAGCCAAAGAGCTTTAGTCGTACCAGTGAGTAGGCCTTCTCTGTAAGTCCAATATTGCCGGAGGAAGATCATGAGATACGTACCAGTTATTGCAGTGCTAGCATAGTTCGTAATCAACCTTCACTCCAGATAATCAGCCCTTGATTCAGACAGAAGCTTCGACAGACATACCACAAATCAACCTGAAAAACGACTTCTTGAAGGGAAGGTTGATCAGACATATGTGGGGAAGGAGATGTACAATCGAAAGGGAGGTCTTGTATTTCTTATAGCCAGGGACCCGTAAATCATCGGCTTCCAGCCTCTCAGGGGATAGGCTGCTCATCGCCTTCTCTTAGGTGCGATAGCCATCTGATGGCATGCTTCTCGAGTCTCATGGCCGGACATTTGAGCATGAGCTTGACTAGACGGTGAGAGGGATGAGCCGTCTATGGTTCGAATGGCAACTAGAGCGTGTCTGAGAAAGACAATCGAGATGGAGCGCTGCACAGCCATGCTGATACAGAAGCATGACCGTAGGCGTAAACAGCACCGTCCTGGCACCTGAACCTCACCATCATAGATATCTGCTGCATCGATGTACCGATGATTGGATCACGAAGAAGACGACGTTGACGAAGCGCTCGTAGTTCTGATGAAGCTTACCTGAAGGGAAAGGAACCGGACACTACAACTCACTTATTGTATGGTGCTAGCGGGTGATATGAGAAGAAAAAAGAGTGAGATTAAACGGGGCTATTCATAAAGTTTGAATAGAAAGTCATCACCAAGAAAGTATGTCGTTCCATATGGTCCATCTACACGGCAAACAGCCACCGGGAGTTCGCTGATGAAGTTTCACTGCGCTCCAAGCGCTGAGAAATTGTGTGCTAATTCTCGAGAAGCGGATGCGAGGTGGCACTGCAACGATATCACGGCCCAACTGCACTGATTATTCATGGAGATGAACAGTAGACATGAAGTCCACTGTCAATGAGCAGCATCGATCTAGGTAAAGGACGAGAATCAGTGAGAATATACCGACATGGCAGTAAAGGGATCAAAACACAATTGACGATAAGAATTGGATAAGGGCCGTGCGCGTACCTCGAATGCGTACACGCGTCTGACGCTCAAATACGTGTGAGCACTGAGCCAAGGTCCTGCTCAACCCTTAGCTCCTCCGGTATGGATTCATGACCTGCTCGTACAACTTCCACCAACTAGGCGTATTCAGGCTCCCAGAATAACTCCGCGTATACTCCCAATACTCCGGAAGCCATCCTGCAGTCTCCCAGTCAATGATCGCGGCGATCTTTCCGTCCTTCCACAGAATGTTGTGCGGCCCAAGATCTCCATGCGTAAAGACTGTCCTATAGACCCTCCCAGAAGTTTTCTCAAAGCTTTTGTGGTACTTCGGATAATGCTCGCGCACATAATCGTGGCCGAAAAAGGTATGGAAGTCGCTGATTGTATGGAAAGGACCCCAAGGCTCGCTCGCCATTCTCGAGTCAATACAGCCAGTGCCATCAACTGCCTGCACCTTCCCGGGTTCGGGAGGTTCGAGAGAGCGTAGCTGGTCGATGTAACCCTTCAGCTGCTGCATGGCGCTAAGTCTCTCGTGCTCGCTTAGATTCCGCCAAACCCTGATGAGAAGGGGGGCATCTATGTACTCCATCACAAGCCAAGTCTCTCCGCGAGCAGAGAAAGCATCATGCACACGAGGTACGGGAATGGAGGTGTGTCGTGCGATGAAGTCCATAGTAATGGCGTCGGTGAGCCGCACGCGGTTCGCGTCACCACGTTTGACAATGACATTCTGGTTGAGTCGAATAGCGGTCGCCGACCATTTGTATCGTTTTACCCCTAAGAAGACTCTCGCGTTGAACAAACACAGTTCGAGCCTACTGAGCTTCTGCAATTGAGCGAGATTAGGTTTGCCCTGTATCGCACTTCGGGACTCTGACTCTGCTGTACTGGGATACCTCGTTCGTCAAGAGCATTGTAACAGCACTTCATGAAACCGTACCTTTTGTATGGCGGCATAAGGAGTCAAACCGACAGTGAAGCGTGATGATTGTCGTAGAAGTTTGGAAGGACAAGGAATTTTAGCAGCTCGCGGAGTGCGAATTATCGGCATCTCCCATGGTGGGCTCCTGAGTTTGCACAATGATGATGCTCAATTACTGCATGCTCATCATGATACTCAGCCTGTACTAGCCGTCTAATAGATGATAGACCCTTATGTCTCTGACTTACGCTTTCACACAACCAAACTCGCCTCGGGTCCGTGTGGCGTACATCGAGATCCGTGCTTTGATCGTGTCAATAATGCCACGTTCCGTGTCAAAGCTGTAACGAACACAGCCCTGCTCGTTCTGCGGACCGCCCTTCTTCTCTTTACGTCTATTGTCTCTGTCACCCGAAACCATCCCAGTCTAAATTCTTGTTAAAGCCCTCGCATTGGTCGTATCTACCTTATCCGTCTCTTCTGAATCATGAACAAATCACGACAAGCACCGTCTCCTCGAGCCATAATGGCAGGTTTGTCTCCGACATTACTCTCAAGTTTTTTTTTGCCTAAAGCTGAAACACTATCCGCTCGTCCTTTCGTATAGCACTCGGAGTTGACAAGTCTCGTCTCTACTTGGCCTTTTTTGATACAGAACACGACCTGCCTCCAGTGGCCGAGCCTGAAACGAAATATGATACTGCTCTTCTTCGGATCTCGAACGGAGCATCATCGGGTGGCCCAATCCCTAACAAAGCATTCATGCGTTATGGGATTCAATTAGCGACTACTCTCAAGGACGAAGACGGTGACGACGTGTTCAAATACATATCCTGCGATCTGTACAAGGAGAAATGCTGTCCCAGAGAGGAGAGGCTTCGTGCAGTGGTATATTTGGGCTCCACATACAAAAGCCGAGTGCAAGTGGAGGGTTTATTGGATAGTGTGCGCGTGAAGCCAAGAATGGGCGCTGTTCGGTTACATTATTGGACCTGGGACGCCATGGAGGTAAGTTCTTCCCCCGACTGTCTACTCAGAGCCATTGCGGGCTGAATGGCAACTATTCCATCTCACACAGCTTTTGTCAAGGCAAGGCGCCATCAAGCCACTATTCGGTACTGCAGAGGACGTTTGGAAGCGTGGGGCTGCGTTCGCGGACACGACTGACGAACCCTCCAAGACGCGGAGTCCTACAGGCAGGCAAGAAATCCCAACCTGCAACACAGACGGTGGGAAATCCAGGATGACGATCGTGCCTTGTATCTAGAGGTTGGCCCAGGAGAGACATTTACCATAGACTTATCATAGCTTTCAGTTTTAATTCACCCATAGAGGACCGTATCGAACACTGATCTAATCATTAACCTAGTCGTGTTTCCAAGCGGGTGGCTTACAGAGTGGGTCCCTTCAAGGGTCTTCTGGGGCGGCGCGGCTCGGCTCGAAGGGACCCCCCACTCAATAAGCCACCCTCTTGGAAAGCAGACGTCAGACAGAGTGATCCTCGCACCCGCCGGTTGAACGCCGTCTACTCTGCTTAAGGAGACTACATTAACCCCGAGGTTGGATTTCACGCCACCGGGCTCGTGTGTCTTCGGATGCGAGCCAGATACAGATGAAGGCCTTGTTCTTCCGAACACGTTTGTATTGTGCCCTATTCGGTGTTAATGCGTCATATAGACAAGCCTGTTATACCTTCTTTTGTTCCGACCATGTTTTTGTTGTTGATGTGGCGCGCAGCTGCCTAACACCTATAAAAGCGCTCGTGAGGGCGTTTCTGCCTCTCACCGCATTCTCCCCTGCCCAAGAACCACAAGCACCCTATTTTGAGTCCACTATGAAATGTCTGTATCTCCTCTCTATCATATTATATGGGTTCGAAGATCATAATCAATTGCTCACGCTTCAATGTTGTCAGATCCTTGCCTCACCGACGCCACCAAATCCTGCCTCTACCTGGCTTTCTTCGATTTTCTTCGTGACATACCGGGAAACCAAGAAATAGAACTCAACCCAGAAATGGTATCACACTGCCCATATAAAACCTCTCTCTTATATATCTCTGGAAACCCCTCCTCCGCCACCGACCCACTGGCACCCCAGACGCTCGTCAACTACGGAAAGGATGGTGTGCACGAAGGCTCCGAGTCTGTGCTGAGCAATGTACCATACGATCCACGGAAGAACAGTCTTCTTGTTGTAGTAGATCTCGGTTTGAAGGATAAATTGAAGGACCGGGGGGAGCTGGAGGAGATACTGCAGGGTGTGGCCGTGAAGCCGCGTCTAGGCGAAAACAGCTCCGTTTGCTGGTTATGGGATGCGATGAAAGTGAGTCCTTTTCTTTAACTTCGTATTCTTCTCAAACCAGACCCTATTCTAGTGCTGACCGAGTCTTTGTGGTACCAGTGTCTATCGGAACAAGGCTTGATTGACGAGTTTCTTCTCAGTTCAGAAGAGGTATTCTCCCGTGGTAAGTATCATGCGGACATATGGGAGCCGCGATCGCAGAATTCCGATAGCATGCGAGAGGTCCGATTCATCGGCGCCCTCAATAAACGGATTAGCATCAAGACGGTGCGAAAGCTGTAGTCGAGGTCCTCATCGTTGTCCATACTTTCAATGAAAAATGCATTCTGACTGTCAAATGAACTATATCGTGATAACCTCAAAGAAACAACATTTACCATGGATAAATACGCAAGACAGAGCGACCCAGTCGCAAGCACAAACAACAGTAATGTCTGTACGACCTCGCACGACGACCTAGAATCAATAAACAATTCATTATGAGACTCACAAGCCCGAAAGAGGGGACCTCTACAAGACCCACAGCCTCCTGCCCCTACAAACCCACGCCACCGAACACACCAAACCCGAGTACCCCAAAAGCACAGCCATCGCCTTCGTATCGCTGGCATACATCGTCGACATGGTCATATTGACGAGTCCTGTTGCGAGATTTGCCTATAAAGTGCCACATACGTCGATTAGACACAACCGAACAAAAAGAAATGCGAGGGTGGCGCGGGAATAGGGACTCACGAGCAAAAACACAGCCAGTCCATTCCTGTTGATCGCCTCTAACAACGTCGGTGCCCCAACCTGCACCTGTCCCCACGCCATCCTCCTCAATCCGCCTTTTCTTCCTCCGCCACCCACCATCCCTCCTCTCATCCCTCCCCCCACCAACACCGGCTGTGGATATTCTTCGACCGACAGCCTCCCTTCGCTATCCTGTCTCGCATACCGTGGTCTCGGCGTCGTTGTCTGTGGCGCGGGGATGGGTGATGTCGGCCGTTGATAGCCCGACACCACAGGCGTCCCCGGTATGTGGAAGTTCGGGCTATTATGGCTAGGGCCGTGCTGTTTCAGTTTCGAAGTCGGTGAATATATCGATTTGAGCATCGGGGATGGGAAGAAGTAGAGGTCGAGGAGGAGGTATCCAAGGATGAAGGAGGTGTTGTACGCTGCGACCCACGCGACGTAGGGAAGGTTCGCCTGAGAAAAGACATAAAAACATGTTAGAAAAAGATGGAAAGGGGCGAAACTAAGAGAGCAGAGGGAATTGTTGAAGATAAATCATGATGGGACATACCATCCTACGACTGACTCCGCCACCGACACCCAACAACGAACATGCGCCCAAAAGCGTCCACCATATGAACGCATACGAAGCGAGCTCTGTAGCCGTTCGATCGTTCTCCCTATATGTCTCTCCAACCTCGTCTCCTACGGCTTGGCCTACTGCTGACCACGAGTCGGCTGGGCTATCCGGCCCATGGGTGAGGTAGTCGGCCTTCTCAATTCCAGCCGTGACGTCAGAACTCGACGTAGAGAAACTTTTCGCCTGAGAGAGGGATTTCGTGTAGGATTGTTGACGCCTACGGAAATACGAGGGTGAGGGAGGGAGGAGGAATGTACCGGTTGAGAGCCCGAGAAGGTGGATCGCGAGGTATCCTGTTGCATAGTCAGATGTTTTGTTAGAGACATGCAGAAAAGTGAACATGATATATGGGAAAAATCTACCAGTGAGGGACACGATGCCTTCTTTGTTGGCACTGATGATCCCTTGACGGGGTGCGCTGAGCACGTAGTTCGTAAGGCCAGATGACAACAATACTTGATCGGCTGTGGGAGTAGAAGTTCAATAAGGAGGGTAAATACGGATGAGGCGGAAGGTCCGTGGGTGGCTATGGAGTGAGAGGGCGTCAGAGACAGAACCACTTACCGACAGCAACAATAACCCCAAGAAGGGAGATAGGCATGTACATAATGAAAGGATGCAATAATATTTGCAAGATAGGTATTGTCGCGAGAGTGAGAAAGAAATTCCAGTGGACGCCGTATTCAGTGACGTGTTCCTGTCGGAAACAAAGCCACAGTGCCACACAGATCAGCAACGTACCACATAATGGATAGTGACGCAAACAGCTCCGTTCATAAACGCGAGAAAAGAAAACATACAGGGTATTCCGTCCCCTTGACCAGGAGTACTCGTACGAGCCCAAGAAGAATGATGGGTGCACATTTACGCGTCGTTCGTACGAGTTTTGGAAGAAGTGGAGAGGAGAGGTAAGATGGGTCTTTGAGGAGAGGAGCAGCGGAGACGAGGCCTTGCGAGAACACGAAGGACCCTACGCCAATGTCCATCTACGGAACTGCAATATTAGTTCAGCGTCGCCGACACAACCAAGGTACACGATGGGGCATGTAGCCCCCAGGTACTTGGAGGAACAAGATAAGTGACGTACGAGCGATACACCATAAGTTTCGCACTTCGCTAGCTCTCTTGGGAATACGGGAAAGTCGACGGCCAGAATACAAATGATGGTCAACAGCATCATATGTGCTCTATATGTGCTGAGCGCCGGCAGCGGAGTAATCGCCACACCACCCTTTCCTTTTCTGTTTCCCTTTTCCTCGCCCCCAGTCACAATTGCACTATTAATTCTTTCCAGCCTACTTGTCTCCGTCTCGTCTTCAAAGTGTACATGCCTAGCTGGACTAGAAGGATTCGATTCGTCCACGACCCCTACCCCATCCAAACTGCTCCTCAGCCCTCTCGAGGGAATTGTCGGAGATGGCCTGGGCGACACGTCCGCATTTGAGGGCAATGGTGTTCCAGATTCGGCTCTGGGTACGAAGAAGAGCACAAGGACTGCCGGGATGAGCAGTATGGAGGACAGAAGAATGGGTGAGAAGGCGAAGAGAGTCGTGGAAAGGATCAGGGGAACGATGAGGAGGCAGAATTCTGTCAAGAGGGGAAAGGGTAGAAGTTTGTTTGGTGGCAGTCGAGAGCGAAGTGCAGAGTAGAGGGCTATTGAAGACTTCATGGTTCTATTATTTCGGGGTTTCTCGATGCGTTCAGCGTAAGGATAGTGCGTACGAGAGCGGCCAGAGAAATTAGGTTGATGTGCGTAACGGAGGAGCCTGTCATGCCAGAGACAAATGCCTCCTTCGATGACTTGTAGTCATCATGACTACTCATGTCAGTTTAGAGTCGTTTATACAACTGCGTTTGAGTATGAATCGAAGACTCGGGCTATTGGGTGCTGGAAAGGACAGAGCCTGTATGGAATATTAAAGTATGGCCCTAATGAGCGTCGATCGCAAAGGTAACCAAGGATCACAATATTCGTATCGAATTGGTACTACCTTACAGACCTGAGATGTGAAAGAAAAACGACAATGAATGAGGGTTGGAGAATTCGCACTGGAGGTGCGTCGAGACAGAGGATGCCAAGCAATCTTTACGCGTTCAAAGAGCGTGTAACCACGTCTTCAGGTTAGGGTACGCACTGTGTGGCACCAATCGTGGCGACACTCATGCTCTTCGACCACGTGGGCGTCTCCTGTTCCTCCCGACGACGATCTCTTCCTGTCAACAACGTTAACAATGGCTGGTCTGTGGTATACTCTATCATTGTTCTTCAAAGGAAAGATAATATTGTGAAGGTAATATTGTGACCGAAGCATCTCCCCTCGATGGAAAGCCTACACAACCTGACTTCAGCCACCGATCGAGACAGCACTCGCTTTTTACTAAATCTCTTCGCACACTTATTTCCTACGTCTCGTTTCTAACCTAAAAGGCTTACATATTTCTCCCGTCTCAAGACGCTATGGCACCATATAACCCGATCCAGAATTTCTAGTTTCTTTCTTTTGCCTCACTTTTGTGGACCACTCTGGCGTCGCCACTCCTCTTGGCCTGTGCCAGTGGCTCGAGGACGTTGTATACCTCACGCGACGGTTGCCTTGTGTGAGCAAGCAATAGTATCCACAAGTCATTCTTCTTATAGGCCGGAGCAGACGTGGGTCAGATGTGGGCTACACCGCGTTTTTGCGTGGTATATATTGGGCGCACTGCTCGAGAACTCAGCTAGCGCTCGTATTGCAGCTCCTTGGTGGATTACTTGTGGGTGTTCTTCCCATCCATGGTTCATCCGTCTTTTCCCGCTTTCGCGAAATGAGCCCGTTCCTAATCCACATCTGCCCGTCTCGAGATCCCCGCTTGCTATAGAATAAGTATCACAGGAGGGCTTGCTCTGATTCCAAGGTGGGATGAGGCATTGACATGAGGATCCACTTGGCGGCGACATGTCGATCTATTCACTGGCTAGATTGGGAGCGGAATCCGACCCACTCGACAATAGCTATCTCTGAAAGGTAGAGGGAAGGAAGTCTAATTTCTTGTGCTACTGGTCGACCTTCACTTTGAGGACTACGGTGGCTCTCCTCTCTCGGGCTGTCTACCATCAGATCACCCTCTGTCTAGTCGGTCATCGCAGTCATGGACACAATCCGCGAGTCACCTTTCGGCCAATTACTCCGTCTTTTGACCAACAATCGCGTCCTGTTGTATCCAGAAGAACGAGATTCAGATCCCTGGTATTCCTACATCATCACCGACGGAAGCCCTAGCACCCCAGCGGTGTTTGAAGGCAAATACTCAGCTCCCACTGACCTCGCTCAGGCTCCAGCTGCGGACACAGCTCCAGACATCGCACATGGCGAGCTCGACGAGATTTCACCCGAGGCAACAGACGTTTCTCGACATCCGTTCTCTGGCATGGAGTCTAGGAACTTGCTTACCACCCGACGTATTTCTCCTGAGCACGGTGAGAGGGCAGTAAATGGGAGGATAGATCTCGAGAAGGATATCATTTTTATTGGTTGGGCTGAGGGCGATCCTGCAGTACATCTCCTTCCTTTTGCTATAATCTCCCATGATCTCTCGATCATCTCAAGTTGATGCATACTGCGTAGAACCCGTTGAACTGGTCGACAGCGAAGAAGTGGACCGATACGGCCCTGATCTGTCTGTTAACAATCGCAATCTCTATCGGCGGCGCGATTTATTCTCCTGGGATCCCAGACATCATGGTCGTATTTGGCGTCAGTCAAGTGGCTACCACAGTCGGACTTACTCTGTTCGTCTTGTGAGTGAACCATGTCGGTACTGCTGTCTTCACCAGTCGTTCTTACCAAGTGCTTCGTCATGACCACCTCGAACAGCGCTTACGGAGCCGGTGCAATGCTGTGGGGCCCGATGAGCGAGATACCCCAGCTAGGCCTCAACTTGATCTACATCCCGACTCTCACCATATTCGTCGTCCTCCAAGTCCCCACTGCGCTATCCGTCAATTTCGGCATGTTGCTTGCGTTCCGATTTCTGACTGGATTCTTTGCCTCTCCTGTACTTGCCAACGGTGGCGCGTCGATCTCGCATATGTTCTCTGCTCGAAAACGCGCACAGCCGCTCATTGTCTGGGCAGGTACGGGGCCGTGTGGCCCAGTTTTGGGTAAGTACTGCTCTCCGACGTCTGGCATCTCCCTCTTCATCGTCGGTCACGTTAATATATTATGTGTTTACTTCGTTCCAGGTCCTATTATCGGAGGTTTTGCCGCTCAGGCGAAGGGATGGACATGGACTATATGGGAGCTCGCATGGCTCTCCGGGTTCACCCTCGTCATCATTTTCTTCTTCCTCCCGGAGACAAGCCACGCCAACATCCTCTATCGCCGCACACGTCGTCTCCGCCGACTCACCGGTCTCCCTAACCTCCGTCGCCAGACTGAATTTCTCACCGAGCAGCATAACCATCTCCTGTACGACATCGTCATCTCTACCGCACGCGGATTCGCGCTCAATTTCCAAGAACCGATTGTTCTTGTCCTCAATCTTTACATGTGCCTCGTCTATGGCCTGCTCTACGCCTGGTTCGAGTCCTTCTCCGTCGTATTCGGTCAGATATATTGTTTCTCGCTGCCCATCGAGGGATTGAGCTTCATCGGCATCCTCGTAGGATCGCTGATGGCCATTCCGCCGTATTGCGCGTATGTGCACTACGTTCTTGGGCCGAAGTTCAATGAAAAGGGGGAGATCAAGCCGGAGGAGAGGATGCCGTTCGCGTTCATAGGCGCGTTTCTGATTCCGGTGGCGTTGGTTATTTTCGGTTGGACAGGACGAGCGAGTGTGCCGTGGATCGCGTCAATTATCGGGAGCGCGTTGTTTAGTATGGGTGCCTTGTATCTCTTCGTGGGTTCCTCCCTCCCAAGTCCATCGCGTGGTGAATGATTTATACGTCTTTAAACAGTTATTATCGGATGCCCGCTTCTAGGTCGCAGTGCTGAACTATCTGAGCGACGCATACCCCACCTACGCTGCTTCCGTCCTCGCCGGCAACGCATTTATGCGCTCCTCATTCGGCGCCGTGTTCCCGCTCTTCGCGACACAGATGTATCACAAACTGGGGTCGGCTGGGCGAGCACGTTGCTCGCGCTGCTGGCTGTGATATTCATTCCGATTCCTTTCGTGGTTTATAAGGTATGCCCTTCTTTATCTTGCTTCCATTTGTCTTTGCATTTTGCTTGTCCGTGCTTTGTACTGGATGGATGCAGTTCGGCGAAAGGATTAGACTGGCGAGCCCCAGGGCGAGACATGACTTGTGATCACCGCCTACCGATACGATGACCGTAACATGAGTTAGTCCGTCTCGCACTATACGTTCGCCTGCATGCTGACGTATTACAAGGAAGGATAGATGGGAGGTGATGCTGATACCAACTTCCGTTGATGAACCATCAGGGTCGTCGAGATGTACACGAAGAGAACAAAAAATGATAATTCACAACTCATCTTTCTATGGAAGTACTAGGTCATGATAACATTCATTGTCCTTCTCGTCAAACAAAAAGCGGTCGCGTCTGTGGATGCCAACGTTGAAAGGATGGTAAAGCTCGTTTTGTCTTCCCCCTTCAGTCTTTTCTATCTTTCTTTCCTTTGTCGTCCGAGCGAACAATAACCGCATCTCGTTCACCCAAATTCGTCGTTCAACACCGCCCTAAAAAAGGTATATAAAGCGCCTTCACTTCCAGCTCTCGTCTCTTCAGGTTCCCCAACCCAGATCCGATAAACTAGAACATCCACCGCTCTAACACTCCTTTTCACCGTCTTCAGAGCCCACCTCCACAGCTACATCATACTCGCCCACCCTCATTGCCTTCCTAAATTCTCCAGACTCCCCGCGCCCGAAGCCCTGGACACATATCCATCACCGCTCTCGACGACGCTCCCGAACTCCGCGAGTCGATCTACCCAGCGACCCCTCTTCCCGCTCCATCAACCTCGTCCCAAAACCCCCCAAGCCGACCGCTACGTCCAATCCGAACCCGCGACTGACCGGCTCTGGTGCTTGACGGTCTGGGACGAAGCCAGAGGTACACGGAGATACCGACTCAGAAGGGGAGGGTGAATGGAGAAGGAAAACCTCTGTGTCCTCGTTCGTCGCCCCTCAAGACCCGGATCTCCGCATCCCAAACTCCCAACTTCAACCATCCCTATCGCGTCCAGTGCAGGCAGTGGCACCGAGACGAGGACGACGCGGCGGACACCCTTCATCCACCGACCGTACCCAACCAACGCCCAACCCACGTAACCACACCCGTTCCGCCAAAGTCGAATGAGTTTGAGGGCGTGGCCTTTGACTCGTACTCTGAGTCGCATTCACAGCAGGCCGCTGGCTGTATCCAGCTTCCTCCCATCCCATGGCCAACGCCTTCGTTCCATGACTCCGCGATTTGGGGTTTTCCTGCTTCCACTCTGAACGACCGCTTTAGTCCCCAGACCACCAACGCTTCGTTGACTCCTCCACTCGCGCACGGGAGCTCGCACGCAGAGTTCACCATCCCCGATGTGAACGAGCAGGTTCCGTCTGGCCTTGCGATGCCCCTCATCGATGACAGTGGCGTCGAAGCTGCCAGGTTTGCGGAGTTGGATTTCTCTGCCCCCTTCGAATTTGGCTATGGTCGGTTCTTCGAGTACGCCTTTGAGGATATTCGCCATTGGTAGTCATTTCCACCACTCTCAGAGAGACAACCTTCCGCTTCTTGGAGTATTGACCGAGAGGTATGTATGACGATTCTCCTCTCACTCGCGAATGCGAAGAGTAACGTCACTGACTAAGAAGTGCTGATTTAGTGTGTCGTTGGCTCCGGAGCGGTATAGACTGGACCAGTCGCAGGCGCGGGGGTGTGGACAGATGCAGGCGGAAGCATAGGAGAAGCAGACGACTCAGGCGTCCACCGACCCCCCTCCGACCACGACGAATAGTCAAACACTCCGAACGACGCCAACATCGAACCCGCCGTCGACGACCTGTAGCCATCGTACGAGCCCATGCTCCTCATGCGCAGCGTGGCGAGCTGACTGGCGTAGCGGGGGGTGAAGTCCGTGTTGGCGACCCTTTGAGGCGAAGGTGCATAAGGCTCGGAGATCATCATGGGCGCGGGAGGGTACGAGTGTTGCGGCGGGGTCGGCGAGGGTGGAGGGTACGAGCGCTGACGCTGCATCGACGGTGAGAATGGACGGCGTGTGGGGAACGACGACGCGATAGGGGTGGGCATCGTAGCCGGAGTCGCCTCAACACGGTAGGTCGTGATGCGACGTGCAGGTTGGCGCGATGAGGAAGGATCTCCCTGCCCCTGTTGGCGACCGAGGCGGGGTACCTTCGCGAGATGATCGGTGGGAGATACTCGGGAGCGAGGGTGCAGAAGTGGAAAGGGGCCCTAAGGCGGGTGAGTGGGCACCTGGTGGTGCTGGGAGCTGGGATCGCTGTTGAGGCTGCCGAGGTTTACTGGTGGACTCTTGTCCGCTATTTATAGTATGGCGGATGGAGGGTGGACAAAGCACTCGAGAGGATGGGAGGGCGGGTGTGGACAGTGGAAGAGCGCGTGGATATCTGATCAAACATTCCTTTGTGACAATCTTTTGAATTTTATTCCTTTCTTGGATGTGGAGTTTGGTCCGTCAAAGGAAGGACACGAAAAGAAACGTGCCTCATACGTGCGTGCTGTGACCACCGCTTTGAATTCTTCCTCCTTTGTCGTGCTCCTTTCTCCTCTTCCTTTCACCATCCTCTTCAGTCGCGATCACCACATCCGCGTGTCTCACTCCCGATCATTCACTGCACATTCGTACCGGCGCCTTTCACTCTCCAGCCTTCCAACTGCGAGGGAGTCAAGAAGCCCAAGAAGCACAATCATGGTCATAATCTCTTTGTTCTTCAAGCTCACGCTTAAGCGCTTACGTTTATCCCAGATCAAGAAGTCGAACATACTTGTGCCACTCGAGCGCCACACTAAGCCACACCTACCTCGCACTTTGTCCATCAGTCCCTTCTTTTAGATTTCGTCCTGCAATCGAGTGCATGCCTTTCACACTGAAGCTTGAGAACTGCGAACTGCATCTATTCCGGAAGACAGGATGAAAACTACTTACTTACTATGTACATAGCCAGACGGGAATGAAAATTAGATACGACTACCGACGAGGGACAAAGGAAACGAGCATCGACAAACGAGGAAGGAACCGGCGGCACTAAGTCGGCCTGGCAGGAGGCGATCAATCGATGGGATTGGGAGCATCGACGACAAGAAAGAAAGGAAGGAAGGGGAGGCGTGAGAGGATGCGAGACAAGGATGGAAATCGGAGTACGGAAGAGGAAAGTCAAAGCGGCGATACGGAAAGGAGAGGCGGTGACACGAAAAAAGGGACGACACGGAACGGAAAGAGGTGACCCGGATGAAAGGGAAGACACGGAGGAAAGGGAAAGAGGAGAGCCGGATGTGGATGATGGAAACGAGAAAGGAAAAGGAGGTCCTATGATGTCATCGTACCGTTGTCCAGAGGAGCTTGGCTGAAGAAGTTCGTTGATTGACAGAGAATAAAAAGGTAATGGAGGAGAAGAAGAGGAATCACGCATCTAGCGTGCCTGTCATGTAATCCTCAATAATTCCCGATCGGAGAGGGGGGGGGGAGAAGACGAGACGAGACAGGGAAAAGGTGACGCTGGCCACGAGATAGAATTGGAAAAGAAATAATAAAATATTGATACAGACAGAGACAGAACGGCATCATGAGACGACAGGTCGGATATGGATCAGAAGTGTCGGTGATGACCATCCAGGTCGATGCGATGTGCGATGTGCGACGTATGTATGGAGACAAATAGAGTGAAGTCCAGGAAGAAAATATGGACAGACGGAGAGTGACTTCTATGGACGAGACCGAGGCGGAGGTTAGTGCTACGGATAGACGGATAGCGAATTCTACTGGTGAAGGATCAATTCAATACAATATCGGATAAAGAAGGAGATAAAGAACGCACAAAGGCAATAGCCCAATGCGTACACATCCCACGCTCTCATCGTCCCCTCGCCACACGCATCCCTCGCGCACACCACGCCCCTCCATCGCATCCTCCCTCAATCTCAATGCGCCTGTCCCGTCAACGCCGCCGAGACCTCATGACTGAGCGGACTATCCTCCCTCTCCTCATGATGTGCCGCAAAACTCCTCACAAACTCAAACTGCGGGCCGGTCTCCGGCGAGCACGGAAACCTCCTGCACTTCTCCACCGTCTTCCACTCCTCCGCAATCATCCTCAACGCCTCGTCCCCGTCCTTCGCCACCCCGCACTCGACCAACCAACACCCAACAACCAAGCCCGTCCGACCGATCCCGCCTCGACAGTGCACGACCGTGATCCGTCCCCGTTTCTCGTTGTCTCGGAGGACGTCGAGGATCTTGTAGACGTAGTCTACGGACTCGGGCAGCGAACGATCGTGGATTGGGAACTGATGGTATTCGATCCGCTGTGCCGGGTTCGAGGTATCGATATTTGCGAGCGAAACGTGCTCATTGAGTTGATGCGGGAAATAAGGCGAGAGTTCGCCCGCTTCGGTTAGGTCGATGAAGGTGCGTACGCCTGCTGCTAGGAGGAGGTCTAGTTTCTGCGTGACGGTTTGTGGTTTGGAGGAGCATTTGGGGATGAAGCGGAGCAAGGGTGGTGTTGGGGCCCATGGGTATTCGCAGGCGAGGAGGAGAGGAGTAGCCCAGTAGGAGTTTGGGATGGGTCGGTCGATGAAGTGCGTTAGGGGTGCTTTGGAGAGGTTGTTGGAGATGCCGGAGAGGGAGAGCGTGGGCGTCGTGATGTCGTTACGGCGTTGCGAGTCGCTCGTGGAGTTCATCGAGGCAGTCATGTGCGGATTATAATTTGTTACGAAATTTATTCGTGGGATGTGCGTTATAATGGTAATTGAAGATTGTACGCGGGAGTATGCGACTGTTGTAGGCAAATCGTTGTGGGTAGACGATGATGGTGGTGGTAATGTAATAGGAGAGAGGGGATTGGCAAGGACGGCTGGGCAGCCGTTGCGGGGGCGCTTCCAGTGGCGTTTTCTACCCAACCGCATGCACAGCCACACCCTCTTCTTCTCATCCTCGAGGCCGTCACTCCTTCCTCCCTCCCTCCATCGCTCACACATGCTCCCCTAAAAATGCACACTCGGACCAACACGGTTCTTTTATAAGAAACAATCAGCCTGCGAACGCCGAAGAGGACGAGCTCGAGCCTCGCCCAGCAGTCGTGCCACACTCAGACTCGTCCCATTCTAGATCTGGAGACTCGATCTCATCCCGATCTGACCCGGCGTTTAGGTGCGCTTTTGTTCCCCTTTCGCTCGTCTTTTCATTTGCTGTGCACGGACGAGTGACAAGTCGACAATTCCGTAAGCCGGCGTTGTATGGGGAAGTATAGCCTGTTGACAAAACTCAGATCACAACTCGGACTGTGGTCTCACGACAGCGTGTCTGTTGGGTGACCGGCATCGTGCTCAACAGACATTGCTCGTAAAAGGCAAGCCCTCGATCCTGACACTTCCTTCTTTGCAATAAGTTGGACAGTCCCTATCTAAATCGCCCTAATCTTCACCTATGCACCTCTGCATCACTCCATTGCGGGAACGAGGCTCCCTCACCGCACACGAAACTCTCGGTCTTGTCACTTGCGAGAATGAACGTTGCTCACTCCCGGAGTATTTCTGGAGATAGAAGTTCAGATAACAGACTGAGTATTGAGTGGCGTTTGCTGCGTGTAGGTGGCGTTCGAACCTTCGCTGCGTGTTGGACACGATTCCATGCATGCCTATCTTGCTCTCGTTCTTGGCGTTCACATCACCAAACGCTGACAAGGAGGAGACTCAGCCGTGTTTAGACGACTGCTCACAGCGAACTGGGACTGAGTCTCTGAAGCTGTCCAGTTTGGATGGGACTTCCATGCTCCCGACAACTTGTACACAAAGCTGGGCTCTTCGATTTTTGTTACATTGGCCGTACTGTCGAACCAGTGTCGTAAAGTAGTGGGCGGACTGTGACTTTCCTTAGGGGTCTTGTGAAAATCCTAGGGGCCTCGATGGGAGGCCGAAGTCGATTCTGGATTGGATGCGAGCCTTTGTGTTTGGGTTTATGTGCATATAGAAACGCTCATAGACTGCTACGGATAGTCACCCACTGTGTGACTTTCTGTAGTAGGTTTGCGTAACGTTTAGAGGCCTCGGCGCACAGCAAGGAAGCTGGAGTCGATTTTTGATCGGATGAGAGCCCTTGCGTTTGTGTTTCTGTGCATCAGGAAAACCATGCATTCTGGAGTTCCTTTTCTGTTGAACAGCGGACCGAGAAACGAGTGCAAAAACAGCCTAGAAACGGGCCTCCGAACTCACCCATTTGGCACGAAAAGTCACCGAGATTTGTTTTACTCATCGTCCAGTTCACTGTCTTCGTGTTTTGCATGCACATACTATAGCATCTCAAGCACGACTGTGGATTTTCGATTTTTTTTCGGAGGAGAGTCAGTCTTCGCCATTGTCAGCGGCGACGAGCCTAGTTTCTCCCGCACCGATTTAGCGCGCGATCAGATCCGTCCTTGACGGTCTGCTTTTTCGTACCTCAAACCTCCCTTCTCTCCCCTCGTTATATTAGAGGTTTTAAGAAACGGGCCCAGAGTTCATATCTGTCTGGCCGGATTTTTGCTCCACCTGGAGCGCCAGCCCCGCATACGACGAAGGCAGAAGCATTCAGACTATTCCGCCTCGATCCCTCGGATGCTGCTGAGGGTAATAGATGTTATCTCCAGCCAGAAAAATGGACTTTTGCGTTGCAAAGCGATGAGAATGAGTTTTAAAAGTGAGAATTTCAAGTGAAGGTTCATTTCAAAGGGGGATGTGTAGGCCGGCAGTGATTGGCTGATCACCCTCCTTTGGCCTGCGTCGGCGCCTACCGAGGGTTTAGAAACGAACTATTACTTGAAATTTGACCTTGCCGACCTTCAGATTCGCCGATCCGAAGCTCGCAGAAACTCTTACTTTTAAGGCTGCAGATAACATCTAATACAGCATCTATCTTCCTCTAGCAACTTCATGCTATGTTTTGATGGCACAGGTACACTGTATCCCGTGAGGAATAGAGGAAAAACTGGCATAGAATAAAGAGCGGACAAGGCGCGCTCTATGCAGAGGCGGCGCGAAGTCGCTGATGTGGAGCATGGAACCCAGAGCCACTTTGATCTCTGGGCTCTCCCAAGTTCTGTCCCCAAACCGCTGAAGCGCCCGTATCTTAAAACCTCTATTAGACCTTATATGTTTCAAGTTTACTTGGAACTCGTTGGCAGAAGATCTGTCCGATCCGCCAATGAGATTTTGCAAAATGTTCCAAGTTTTCACTAACATATAAGCCCTATTGTGCATCATGTTGGGTAGTAATTCGACACACCCACGAAATATCTCGAGGTCATACCAGAGGACGCGATGATTATCGATTTTGCATGACTGCCACTAATAACTGGGTGCATTTATAACACTGTTCAATTACCAATATATGGACTTTGTGTCGTGCATCATGCTACAATCCCGGGCCTGCCACTGCATCATGCGCTAAAAGACGGGGTATGTGAAAGCCGTTGAGGCTCTTCCGTGGGATACAAATTCCTCGAGGCATTCGCTATTAGGGCTTGGAGATACAAAGCTACAGAAATAACATGTGTCAGTCATCTCCAACATTTGTGTCATTCCAGAGTAAAAGGGGACACATACACTTGGATTTAGGTGCATGCGTACACGACGTATGAATCGAAGTCGATCACGCAACTCGTATTCCACGCGATCTCTTGTCTGACCGGTTTTTTTGGGCACTTCCGTCCTAGTACCGATGTCCAACTGAAACACGCCACTGCAATATATGCTAAGTTGTGCGTTGTCAGCCAAGTATGTGCCCAAGACGATGTAAGGATAGAGTTGGGATATAGGTGACTGACCACTTGATAACTTGCACACACGCATACATCCTTTTCCGCTGGCAGCGATTTATAGTCAGGCATAAGGGGCACCTCCTGGACTGGGGACTGTGTCCATTGGCGTCATCTGGGTATATAATGGCGCTCATGTAAATCGTTATGCCAGGGTGTATGTAGGTCCTCTCTCTGGGCATGACAGTAGACCCCTTTTCGCTCTGCAACGCAAACTCTTCAGTGTCCAGATAAATCCTAGTTCCACCCTGGGACAATAACATGTAGTCCTTGCACTGAACTAAATCTCCTCCAGCTTTGGCAGCAAAGAAAAGTTTTAGATATTTGTGCAATGTCTTCCAGTTCATGAAAAATACGGACATGAACTTCATTTCATCATCATATAGTATTGAAATCGACAGACCTCTTCGGATTCACAGAAGTTCATTGGCACGACGTTTTTCTCTCCGAGGAGGTCAACGAAGAATAGAGATGATTGAAGGTCGACAGGATCGGCGACGTTGTGGATATGGCGCAGGAATAGGTTCTGGAAGACGGCGATGGATTGAGCAATGTCGAGGATGGTGGCGTGCATGGACGAGGTGGATTGAGCTATTCCGATGGCAGTATTCTCGATGGAAGACGTTGTCTGGCGGATTGCACCTGTAGTCGAACTGTCCCCCATAATGTAGACCCTGACGAATCAGAACTCATAAATGGGGAGAAATAACGCAGTGACGCACAGCACCTGTTTGAAGCCTCGAGAATGGTGTTCATGCACGCCCACTGCGACGAAAGCCTCCTCTTGTACTCTTCCACCTCCTCTTTGTTAAACAGAACCCACCGCACTACTCGTGGCAAGGTCAATACCCTCCACATACCACTCGGTTCTTGTCCACTGAATCCTCTAACACTCATCGTTTTTTGCTCCATCTCTGAAAGGATTTCTTTACAACTCAATACTGACTGCATCAGAGCACGCCTCGCCGAGTTACTGAGAGTAGGTGACTCAAGCTCACGACGAACAATCCTGAGGGTATCAGTGAACGTCGTGAGCTCGGCAGCGAGGAATCTGTGTTCGTTCGTCGAGTCGGTACTCTCGGCAAGGACCTTGGCTATTTGTGTTGCGAGAGTGATGACTGTGATGATATCGTCCAAAGATCCAGCAGTGAAGGCGAAGATGGGCATAGCTGTGTGTAAGCTCAGCTATCGACGACGGGGTTTAAGGCAGAGTTGGGGGGATGCAAAGCCAGCCCGCAACGGCCTGTATATATCGCCCATGGCAACGAGGATTACTGTGTCTGCGTATTCTGCTGTAACGTTCATCAGATAGATGTATTCAAGCACCGGTGCCAGGCGAGGTGGGTTATTCTTGTCGGCGCTCCGCTGTGCCACACTCACCGAGCTTCCCACTGGAGGTACAATGGACGCCGATCCAATTTCTATTCTACCAAGAACAAGAGGTAGAAGGTGTTATATAATCATATGCAGAGAACTCGTAGCAGGAGTTTGTCGAGGCAGCTGATAGAAACTTCTTGGTAGTTTTGCCAAACAAATCAGGAAGGAGAGGCTCCATGTCGACGAGGATATAACACCATACCGCATGAACTCAGCGCACACCTACACAATTTACCGCTCCAGATCACGGCGTGAATAGAACCTTCTAATGGCCTATGTTTGGCCTTCTAGTGCATGTACCTAGAATATCTTTGGACTGCTGTGTGATCTCGCAAATCTCTGAGGGCAAGGCCATTAATATTTTCACCGACAGAAGAACAAGATAGAGACTGACTCTACTCGCTCCAAAGATGCATGGACATAGCCCCCCACCATCACTTTAAACACCTACCAGACCGTTCTGCTTTCGCTCGCTCACTGTTGCAGTACTGTGATGCGCGATACAGCCAAAGGTATCGGTGGTCCGAGTGCAAGGGTGTTCAAGCAATGCCGATGTGTTCGCTCGGTGATCATCGAGGACTCCGAGCGACAATTTGAAAGTTTTTGAGTAGCACGAGAATACAGCTTAGGTTAGCAGGAAAGGCAGCGAGGGATGCACGATCACGATGAGAAACTGGTACAGCCTGAGAGGACACTCGGAAGCTGGAATTGATCATTGCACTGCCTGGCTAGAACAAAAGGCTAGTTATACGGCGCAGTCCCATGAGGATGCAGCCCATGGAATAGCCGGTTCCAATATAGCAGCCACCCTCAGTATAGTTACTCGGGGAATGTAAGGCAAGTCCCAAGCCCATGATGCAAAATATCAGGATGAAGATACATGGCTCCAGAGCGTTCTCAAAGAACGCAACTGCTTGTCTTCCTGACAGTGCCAGCAAAACGACGAAGACTGACGAGTCTCAGCAAGGTCACTCGAGTATGTATGGAGAGTACCTAGCCGTTCACCAGAAACATACTAGAATCAAGGCGCAGGGATCAAGGCGCGAGGCAGTCCAAACAGATAGATGAAGCGCTGAAGAGGAAAACTCAAGGAAAACGGCGACAAGAGGGCCGAGTTTGGAAAATTTGAAGGTCCGCCGCCCGCGTGGTTCGCCACACAATGAGTTCGACATTGCGCCACACTCGCATAACGGAGGTCCCTCCCAACCGCCATCACCCTCACCCCGGTCATTCCACACAAACGCCAGCGAACTTGCTTTCATCGTTGTGAGGGTAGCGGCTATACGGCTTTCCATCAGATCCCAAGAACATTAGGATACCCAATGCTGGAATCACCACTTCCGTCCGAAGCGTCTTTCATCATGGTACCCGGCGTGGAGTCGTCTCAGTTTATGAGTCCTGGCGAACAGGACGCGAGGAAAGGTTCTGCTTCCAGCTCTCCTGAAGAGTCTCACCAGAATATCAAGGTGGGCTTACGCGGCTGCGCGTCAAGTATTGAATACTCACCGTTCAACGTCACGCGAAATAGTTTGGGCCACACCCATCCATCAACAAGGATTACACTGTCGGGTCGTCACCTTCATACGCGCATGACTGGTCGTCCGCAGGCATTGGTGGAAAGATACGAACACACGGACGACACTTTGTGGACGCGTATGGACGCGTCTGTAGCTTGCGCGGAGTAAACCTCTCTGGGTCTTCGAAGACGTGCGTACAGCCTTTTCCTCACTTGACTTTTCACAGTCTCCAGCGAGAGATTTGACAGAACCGTGCTGACGTGTGTTGGTGAAGTCCAGCGAACGGTGACCACTCGACATTCCCCGCTGGTCATGAGAGCGTCACGTTTGTCGGACGTCCGTTCCCTCTGGAAGAAGCGCCCGAGCATCTCGCAAGATTAAGGAGATGGGGTCTGACGCTCGGTGCGCACTTTTTCTTTGTACCTTGGGCAAGCAGATCACTGAAATACATCACAGTTCGCTTCCTCGTAACATGGGAAGCAGTCGAACACGATGGCCCGTACGCCCCTTCTCCTGTCCGTTCCCATCACTTCCCTATCCACTTACATGTTTTGCATTATAATTCCCTAGCGGCATCTACGACACCTCCTACGTCACCTACCTCCGTTCAATCCTCTCCCTCCTTCCCTCCTACGGCCTGACCGCCTTCGTCTCGATGCACCAAGATGTTTGGTCTCGCTACTCTGGAGGTTCTGGTGCACCAGCATGGACACTCGAAATGGTCGGATTTGACCTACATGCATTGGAGGAGAGTGGGGCGGCGTGGTTGTTAGGTGTGAAGGGTGGTGGTCATGTTGAGGCTGAAAGGGGAATATGGCCGTGCGGGTACCAGAAATTGGCAGCGGCGACTATGGCGTGAGTCTTTCGACCTTTCGTTTCATCTTATTGAGTTCTGTGATCTCGAAGGCTTGAGGGTGAAGTTGAGGATGTGCGAAACAAAACTGAAAGTGGTTCTACGGACGGTGCAGGACATGCTTCTGGGCTGGCGACGTCTTTGCGCCCAAGCTCAAAATCAAGACTCGCGATGGATCGGAGGTGCCAGTCCAACAGTTCCTGCAAAACGCGTTCTTGGGCGCATGGGAGGTCGTCGCACGTACCGTCGGTGACCTGGAAGGCGTCATTGGGTTTGAGGTGCGTATTATCTCTCCACTGAACGACATATCAATTTCGCGCTTTGGGATTAATTGATCCTGATTGCCATGTATAGTTGATGAACGAGCCGCATAGAGGATATATTGACCTCCCTTCGTTGCATGGATTTGACTACAACACCGACTTACACCTTTCTCACGTTCGTACGTGCCCTGTCTTCTTGCATTTAAACATCCTTTATCTTTCTAATCCTCCGTCTCCTTCACAGCCTCCGCCTTGCAATCCTTCCTCCTCGGCTCCGGCTACCCAACCACTGTCCCACACTACACCCGCTCCTTTCCCCTCCCCACCCGTCTCACTTCTCAGTCCGTCCTCAATTCATCCTCCCGAAAAGCCTGGCGTCCGGACGGACCCACGTCCGGCAAGGACATCTGGGAGATGCATGGCGTGTGGGGGTACGATACGAATAAGAAGGAAGGGGTCGTGTTGAGGGAGAATTATTTCGTCAAGAATCCGGAGACGGGGAAGAAGGTGGAGTGGTATGAAGATTTTTATTATCCATTTTTGCAGAGGTGGACACAACGGGTGAGAGGTGTGGGGAGAGGGTGTGAGGAGAAGATGGTGTTCTTGGAGCCGATACCTAATGAGGTGAGCTCTCAGTCTTCAGCCATATTCAGGAAGCCACTCACAGCCATGAACTTTGCGCCCAGTTTTGCCCGGCTTCGTGGACGCCGGAACATCAGCCTGAGAATATGGTCTATGCGCCTCATTGGTATGTCCCAGCTGATCTGTCCATCCTATATTGACCGCCATGCTTACCATTGTGCACGCTCAGGTATTGCCTCAATACTCTCTTCAACAAAGCCTACGGAGACTTCTCCGTCAACGTTCAAGGCCTCTCACGCGTGCGTTTTGCCTCCTCTCTCAAAAATCCACTCCCTCCGCCATCGTGCTTGAGAGGTCATAGGCACTAAATCGTGATGATGTGCACGCAGGGTATGTTCCCCCTGAAAGCGTTCTACTGGGGCCACCGTGGCGCGCGTGAGAACTTCAAGCTTCAGATCCGGAATATCGTGGAGAAGGGATACGAGGCATTGGGCGAGAAGCCGGTCGTGATTGGAGAGTGTGGGATTCCGATGGACATGAAGTACGTCTCTTGCTCTCCCATAAGCCATGTTCTTCTATGGGGGATTTTGACGATGCTGATTGTTCGTTGTGTGTTCCAGCAAGGGAGAGGCGTTCAGGACGGACGACTGGAAGTGGCAGAATCGGATGATGGACGCTATGATCACGGGCTTAGAACAAGCTCTCGTCGGGTTCACGTACGTTCCCTCTTCTTATCTTGTGTGTCATCTCGCTCACTTTCCCTCTTCATCCAGACTTTGGAACTACAACCCCTTCAACGACGATGCGGCGGGCGATGACTGGAACGGCGAAAACTTCTCCTGGTTCAGCCGTTCACGTGCTTTGCCCGTCTCCGAGTCCGATCCTTCATCGCTCAAACAGACTTCCAAGGCCTTAGACGCAGGGGGCCGGATCCTCCAGTCCATCGTGAGGCCGTATCCGGCGAAGACGGCAGGTATACCGCTGAAGTTCGAGTATGAGATGACGACGGGGAAGTTTGTATACGAGTGGGCTATACCCGGCTCTCCAGCCAAGGAAGAGAACTCCTCACTCCCGCTGGTCAACCGTCCTCCTCTCGCGCCTACTTCGAATCCAATCCTCACATCCCGCGAAACTCTTATCTTCGTACCATCCTCCTTAACTGCCGGCCGCCAACTTGTCGTCACTGGCCTCAGCTCCAGCGATACTTATCGTTACGATATCGAGAGACAGACGTTGTTTGTGTTGGTGGGGGAGAACGTGCCGGGAATGAGACATAAGATCGAGGTGCAGGTGCAAGGAGAGGGTGAGCAGAAGTTAGAAGTGTTTAAGATCAACGGATTTTGGGAGGACTGGAGCTGGGCGATTGTGTCACTGTTGGTGGTGTTGGTGGGGATTTTGGTCATGCTGTTGAGGGGGTAGGGACGGGCGGACGGAAGGATGACGATACCATTGGTTGCGAGTGAGGATAAATTCGGGTAGCGGATCTAGGCTGCGAGGTCGCGGAGATTGCGGGATGGGGACGTGTGACGATATACGAACATAGACATACGATTGTTGAGATGTAATGGGTGGATGGATGGAGAACGTGATAGATGGGTAGCTGAGCGCGAGCGGGTAGAGGAAAACGCTCTTGGATATTGCCCTTTTTGCTTTGGTACAAGATAGATACCATATACTTGCCGGTAGACAAGGTCATTGTTTACGCACTCTCAAAACGCCTTTCCTGGTGCACGACGTGCTTATGGGGCTCATGAGGTGTGCATTGGAAACCACTGATTTTTTCCTAAATCACCAGGACGGCCATAGCTTGCAGCATAGTCAGCACGTACTATGGAAGTCAACTTGGACGCCTCAGTTTGAGTTTGTAACCACATTAACCTCTCGTCCTATAAACATTCTATAAATTGCTTTCGTTGGGACCGGGGTGGGTGTAGGACGAAGGCGAGTCCGCCGTGAGTGTCGTTTGGATCTTTCCCGTTTTGATCCAGACGTCTGACCCTAATCTGACCCGCTGCTCGCTTTCTCAAACCCGAACTCGATGCGCTGACCCACAGTCATCATGCTCTCCGTTGCTCTTTCCATCATAGCTCTACTTGAAAGTCTCCGCGAGAGAGCAAGTGACCTAAACAGTAGTCATACCATGAGTTGAGTTTAAATCTCCATACTATCGCGCAAAACGTAACATCGTCGCCTGCCAATCCCAGACACCGTCGACTTTCTATCCACCTTCTACCAGCAGTCACACGTCTCACTCTTGATGTGGTCTCTTCCGTCGCTCCGCTGTACTCTTCTCATCTGCACCGCCATCCGCCCCACCGCTGGTGTCATTCCTCCTTTTAACACCATGTATGATACTCGGGCCCGGCACGTTCTGGTGATCCACTCCCGTCAATTGCGTCACAGCGGTCGTACGAGGCTGATCAGGAGAGGAAGTTATCGCGGGTAGGAGCTCTTGCCACTTCTTCACGAGAACGTCAGCGCGATGCCGGAAATTGAATTCATCATCGCGAGGTATAGTTTGAGGAGGTTTCTGTGATATGTGGCGCATAATATTGCCAATTTTGGTAACCTGGCATGGCGATTATGTCGAGTCAGTATAAGGGATGAGAATGGGCGGCGGCCGCCACAGTATGACTTAGAATCGAAGTGTAGGCCAAGAAAGACAGGAAAAGTGCAGGATCGACAAATGAACAGGTCAAGGGGAAATTGAGAGGCGCACTTGAAGGTGTTCGACGGTCATGTCGTATTGCTCGAGGGCAGCGAATATCGCGTCACATATGGGCATTTCCTATGGATTGTAGATGGACCAAAGTCAGACGCAGCGCGGAAGCATGGAAAGATGGTTTCAGGCGTTCGTTACCTCAGGTTTGGGTGGTCTTGCGTCCGTGAGAAAAGCCTTCTGTAGTCTACATCTCGATAGGTAGACCTTTTGCGCTTCAAGAGATAGTCCCGCGGCTGCAAGATTACTAGCTGTCAGTATTCGGGCCATATGTTTCAAGGGGAATTTAATGATACAAGGGGACAATACCAACGAAAGGAACCTGCTATGACTCTGTTCTTAACGGAAGAAGGATTCCGATCGTCTCTTGTCGTTGCGCCCGCCGTTGTTCGGCACCCACAACTTGTACTCTCTAACTGACGTCTGAGCGTAGATACCTTTCCTTCATACTCATGCTCAACTGAATTGAGCTTAGATTCCTGCTCCAGACGAAGCGCTTTGATCTTCAGTTCGGTTTCGCGGAGAAGATGTTCGATTCGCGTTTGGAACTCGCGTTCGACGTCTTCTAGTTGTAAGCTGAGAGACGCGCCTTCAGTGCAACTCGTCGTGTGATCCAGGTTGTTCGAGATAGGCATCAGAAACGTGAAGCTTAAAATTGGTTGTTACAAAAAGCATCAAGTAGGACGAGGCTTGGAGGGGTGAGCTCGGGGGAGCAATTCGAAAGCAAACTCATGCCGGTCAATTTCATGATCACGGAGGTTTGGGCCCCATATCGAGTGTGGCGTCGGAGTTTGCCGTCGGGAAGCTTCGCATGATTCCGCACAAATCAACCAAACTGTTTGGACCTATTTGTACACAAGCATCAAGATATTGATGAGGTTTCAACGTTTCAACTTCAATGCGTCTCGACATGCTTTTTGTGGCTGCCCTACTCACAACATACCATCTCCATCTCTCTAATTTCCATTACTTCCATGGTAAGTGTCTACGGTTCTGGTCTTGTTCTGTCATCGCGGCTCCGACGAGTCTCCGACTCTGTTTTTGTCGCACGTCGCACGCTTGCTATTCCAGAACAACTGGACGCTATTCCAGAGTGACGGTTCTTGTCTTACTCTAAGTCCTCTTTTAAATACACTTCAGCCTTCCTAATAATAGCGGTTGATCTCTGACGAGAAAAAAGCCCGAGGGTCATCTATTGTTCCCAGACGCTCCATCTCCACAGAGGTTATATTGGCATTGCGTCCCCGTGTTTACTGTGTGGTGGCAAATATTGAGTGTTTGCCACGTATATTTTCCCATTCCGTGCTATCATTTCGCGTTCCTTAGCAATGCGGACTGCTATGAATGTTCGCGACGAGACTACTTAATGTGAGTCAGGTTTTGGAGTGCCAGACCTAATTTTGCATTTCGGCGAAAGACACGGACATCTGCGGCATCCTGACGGTGCATCAAAGCGTGCCTCGCAATACGTATTTATATTGTAGGCTACCTACTCGGCGAAGCCTTCGCCAGGGAATTTGTGGGGATAAAACGCTACATACCAGGCTCAACAACGTTTCTTGCATCGTGTTCAACTCGTATCTTGACTTCAGGTATTATGCGCCAGGTCAATCAAAATGCACAAAGAGTCATATAGCCCGACAGTTCGAGTACAGTTCGAGTACAGTTCGGCTTATTCTACCGAAGAACACAATGCATCTTCACATTATACACAGAGCTCCATCGTGATTCGCAGTAGTCCGTGCTGCATCGGTTCTGTTTTCTGGCCGGGAATAATAACAATGCTGCGTCTACACAGAATGTAAATTCCACCCGAAGTAGAAGAACAGGTGTCATTCACAAAGATCAATATCTATTCACAGAGCGAGAAACCATCGGAATGCGGACTCTCCCATTTAGTTTGAGAGCGTGCATGGATGTATCATTCTATTCGTGCAATATCAGCATAGGCTGACTAACGTGATGGGGCATGATAGGATTCGTCCTATCCATAGTTATCAAGGCCAAGCCTGCTGCTTTTTTCTTTGATAATGCGTTGACCGATTGCATGCTCGGTGGACGTTCAGCATAGTACCTGAAACAGTTTGTGGTTTTATAATACAATGCCCAATTCTGGCGAGTCCAAAATGGCTGGCTTGCCACTCGACTGCGTACGGCGTGATGGCGGTTCACCATAATTTGGCTCGCAGATGGGCACGGCTTGTTGGTCGTGGTGATGTTGTGAACAGGTGGGGTCGGACCAAATTATCCCAGTCCAACTTCAGAAGCGCGAATGGAAGTTTCTGTACCCCAACTGGACACGATAAGTTTAAAACTAGGGCGTTGAGTTCCCACTATTTACCCACATATAAGTAGGTGGATGAACTCTCTTCGAGGAAGACCACTAGGTAGCTTACGGCCCCTCTACTTTTGTATCATGCCCACTGTTGCCGCCACCGCTACCGCTCAGTAAGCCCCGACGCATATACCATCCGCGTCCTCATATTCCTGACCCACCAATTTCTCCATAGCTTTCTTAAATTCAGGATGCAGTACTCCAGCATTGGTGGGTTCTTACATTCTCGCGTCCAGCTTGATTTTTTGCTCAAGCTTTTCGACTATACCAGCAATGCTATACTACGACTACCTGCTCACCTTTCCAGACGAGCTGCGCTATATTTGGCGCCTAGACTCGTTGAAACGTGTGTCGACCCTTCTCTACATATGTTGCCGCTACGCCATCCCCGGAAATCTCCTCTATTTGCTTGCTGTTGCTGGCACTCTTGGAGGAGAATGCAATGCATGGTATCGGTTCGTCGCCGCACTCAGCGTTACAGGACGTGCAGCCATCATCAGTGAGTGACACCCCTCCCCTTCTGTCGAGTCAATTTGATATTTTCTTTGGCGCTGATAAAGACCACCAGCCGTGCTTGGTATGCGGGCCTACGCTATGTGCGCCCGAAGCAAGCTTGTGTTGTGTGTCTTATTTCCCATCGGGATCATGATTCCTGCACTCGATATCGTACGTACTATTTTATCATCACGGAATAAGGTGCTCTAATCAGGATGCTCTGTTTCAGTTGGAGAACCTAAAGTTGTCCTGCACTAGCTCCGCCCAACGTTTCCCGATGTAAGTAATCCTATTAGCCGTCCTACACAACATTACAAGCCCCCCTGATGCCCTTTTTTTTCGTCATCGTAGCCGTGCGTTCTCATGGCAGTCTGCTAGATTGTTTTGCTTATATGTCTCCCAGCGAACGATGTTCTTTCGATTTTGATTCCCGTTTACGATGGCCTGGCTGCCGCATTCACCGTCGTTCGAGGAATTCAGTCTCTGAGGAGTATGCGCGTTGGTGCCACGCGAGAAGAACTCCAAGATACGCTACAGTACCTTCTGGTTGAGCAAGGTATGAAATAACTTTTCGTGTCTTCGCCGACCCTGACTCTCTCTGGGGCACTTGTGAACAGGTATTCTCTATTTCGTGTACGTCACAAATTTGAGTGAACAGCGATTCGACCACTCGCTCACGGTGTCAATTTAGAGCGGTATCGGCTATCACAATCACAGTGTCCGTGCTGGATTTCGTGAGTTGACTAAATCATTGTCATCCCCTTGTCCCGTAATGTATATTCACGATCTATGACATTGGTATCAGCACACCCCGACAGCAGGAGCAGTGAGTATACGTCTAGTCTCTGTCGCAAGGACCAGTCGCTAAAAGTATGACCAAGGCCTTCCTCACTCGTCTCAACGCATTCGCGGTCCCGTAAGCATGATTCTCTCCTCCTCCAACATCGTTTCAACGCGTAGTTCACCTCTCTATTATTCACAGGCTGTCCGGTATCCTTACGGCGCGTTTCCTTCTCCGCATCCGCGCCGCCGACCGTGAGACAAACATGATGAACAGAACGAACGTAGAGGGTGGACTACCCTTGACTGCAATCCGGTTCTCCGACCATCATCACCCTGCTGGTACCAGTACTGGCTCTGACGGTACTTGGCGAGCAGCCGTCGTGGGTAGTGTTGAGGGCACTCCAGGTGACGGTGGCTCTCGTTCCACTTTCCAAAGGGTAGTAGAATCGGTCATCGACGAGTTCGGAGACGATCCCGTGAAGAGAACCAAAGAGTTGAGGGAGATGACGTCGACCCTCACCGAGGAAGTCACTCCCGACATTCTTCACCGTAGTCCCTCGCTTCCACGCACCGCTTGAGGCTTGAGGCAGTCGTCGACATGAACATGTGTCAAGTTGTTGGGAGATGTCGCATGGGAGAAGATGCCATACCCTCACTGACCGCGCGGGGACAAACTTATGACATTGTACAGCTTTCAGTATCGGTGGCTTGAGCCGTCATTTATATATCATCAACGAACCTGGTTGTTTGGGTATACGTCCCGTGGAAGCAAATCGAGTAAATAGTGGATAGCGAGAAAGCAGTGTAAAAGCGACGTGTGTGTAACCAGAAAATAAGACCAATAATATATAATCCAAGGAAAAGTTCCGTAAAAATGTTGATAATCATGGCAATGTCTCGTAAATCAAGGCTCAAGCAATTCCAAGAGTCTTTTCAGCTTCTCTGGTCCGAGTGGTTGCCCCCTCCGTCCCCCGAACGCAGCCATGATTTTCGCAGAGTCCGATAGAGAGGGCATGGCAGGAACTGGTTCGTTGAGCACGGAGGCAGCATTTGCTATACGAAGGAGTGCAAAATCAATACCCGAGGAAACTTGATCTTCGCATGGCTTGTCTGGAATGGCTGACTGGAGATGGGTGAAGTTATGAGTGGAATAGCCTGATGCAGCTGTCTCGTCTATGCCAGACGAGGTTAAGGTGGCGGCGGCGGTGGTGAGGGAAGAGGAAGAATCGCGAAGCTTCTGCGAAGCTATGCCTTCCAAACAAGCACATTCCTGGGAAAGGTCGCGCAAGTACTGGACCGACTGTGGATCCACTTCATCCATCTCCGCGAGCTCCTCTGAGTCTGATTCTTCCGAAAGGATGACCGTCTCATGCCTCCCCACTAATCTTCTTGGGAACACAAGCGACAACGTCTCGGGAACCTCAAACCCCTTCAACTTTACTTCTCCCTTGGAGACCAAGTAAATGCCTATCTTCTTCACGGCGTCGACGATATGTGCCGGTTGGTATGCCGAATATTCCGTCTTGGGTCCATTTCCAAGGACCGTAGCTCTGATCTCGTTAGCGACGTCGGCGCTGACCATGATCTGTCCTCCATCGGCCGCTGAGTTGATCCTCGCAGACCTGTTGACCATGGACCCGAAGTAGTCCATTCTCTTCGTGATGGCGTCGGGCTCGCAGGCAGGGGTGCCACAATGAATGCCCATAGTTACGGATAGGCCGCGCATGACGATCTGTCCATCCCAACCAAGAACCTCCCTGCCACCCTCCCATTCCAGGATCTCTCTCGGCCAATCCGCGTCCATAAGCTCGATCTGAACCCTGAGGCACCAGAGCAGCGCGGCCGATACCGTCTCGAACGCCACCATGAATGTGTCGAATTCCCTCTTCACTTCGTACCCGCCACACGAATGAAGCTCCCTCCTCAGAATCTCGTGGTGCATCCTCGCCGCCTCAGGCATACCAGGATTCGATTCCCATAGGTAATCCGAGTGTTTGAGCTCCGTGAAGACGAGAGCGAGATGGCCGACTGGGGCAGTAGCGTCCTCAAGGATCGTTGACCGATCTATTACATCCTCTTTCCTCTTCCATCTCAACGGTGACCCCAAATCCGACTCGCCGACTACGCCCAATGACTCGATGGTAGCTTGTCTGGGCCTCGGCTTGAACGCGGACGAGAGCGAGACGACCATGACCATTGAACTTCCCCTTGCCCCGTAGCTGATCGCAAAGTCCCTCAACTTCTGAGCGGCGATCATGGGATCAGCCCACTCTGAACGCGCCATATCGACTGCGGTCTGAGTGGAGATGAACTCCCAGAAGCCATTGTTGCCGAGAATGATGAATTCATCTTCGTCGGTAAAGTCGTATTTGAAGACGTCGGGGCGGGCGTTCACGACCGGGACTTGATCGAAGAATCCAAAGGAGCGAGAGACGTCTGTGGTATCGTTGACCAACCCACGCGGTGAGATCCAACCTTCGGCAGCACGAATGCGGTTGATTTCTCCCCGGTCGAGAGAATCGTGCTTCACCGATAAAGCAGTCGCTCGACCACCACGAGAAACAACGGCCAGTGAGCTCCCGACGTTGGCGAGGAATAGAGTACGGTTCTGGATGTAAAGAACAACGCCTGACGCGCCTGTCTTCATGGGATCGCTTCCATTTGCCACGAGATAAGGATGCTCCCGAATTTGGTTGAGCAGATAATGGTATGCTAGGCCGTTCAGAGTGAGGAAGGTCCTTCTCAGCGCATCTGGAACTCCCTCAGTCGTCTCCCCAGGGTTATATGGAGACGACCTCAGTTCTTGTTCGAATGTCGGTGAGAATCTATCCGACAGAAACTTCGTGAGGAGGTTGCTGCCACTCGACGCCTTAGCGTTCCCAAAGATCGCGAATATCGCCTCGTTCTTGTCTCGGAAGGACGGATGAACGAGGTCGAAGACGCCGAGATTCTGGGATAGCGAGAGCGTATCTGCGATGCCATACGCCATACCGTTGATCTCCGAGAGCGAAGTCCTCACGCGTCGCCCTGCGTGCCCGTCCGGGATAGTGGAAAAGACGGTGGTGACGTCCATGAGACCTAAGACTTCGAGACGAGTGAGGGCGGAAAAATCTGCGAGGTGCCTCAGGTCAATGCCCTTGTTATCCTCCGTATGGACCGGCGCAGAATTGGTGTGCGCGTGGGTGCTGTCGGGCTTGATTTTGAGGCGTTTGTTTCCGGAGAAGTTTAGGTATCGTAGATTCTTGTTGTGGTTCCTAAAAGTGAGAGATAAGACCGTGATAAGACAACACGACGCACAGAAACATAGCAAATGACGCACCAATTCCAGTCGAACTCGTAGTTGCTGATGTTGTACTTGAGATCATTACTCCCCACGTCCAACATTGTCAAGCTCGGAATCTTCCCGAGCTCCTTGGGAAGCGTCTGGAACCTATGGACAAATCATGATCAGCTCCGATGTCCCACGAAGTTCACAGGGAGCGGATAATACCTGTTACCGTTGAGGAACAGGACTTTCAGCCTCGTCAACTTCCACAAATGCTCCGTGGGAAGACTCGAAAGCTTATTTCCGCCCAGATACAACTCTTCCAACTTCACCAAATCCTTGAAAAAGGCTGGCGGAATCTCCTCCAACTCGTTGAACGCGATGTTCAATATCCTCAGTTCCTTCAGCTGCATGATCACATACAGGATACTACTCTCATACCGATTCTCGCACAGGTACACCTCAGTAAGTGAGCTCAGGGCAGGAGATGCGACTGAATCGACCGAGGTATGGACAGGCTCGGCGAGGGAAATCAAGTTGGACGCGAGTGTGGCGCGGCTGAGGCGTGGGCATTGGTAGACCGAGCGGGGTACAGCGGTGAGATTGTTGTCGTATACGTCAAGGCGTTCGAGTTTCTGGAGGTTGTTGAATCGATCTGGGAGAGCGGCGAGAGAGTTGACGGAACATGAGAAGGAACGCAGTTCGCGAAGGTCACAGATGGAGTCAGGCACTTGGCGGAGGCGGTTGTGGTCCAGGTTGAGATCTTCGAGGAGGGAGAGATGGGAGAAGAGGGATTCATCGAGATAGGTGAGGTTCGAATGGGAGAGAGTGAGTGCGGTGAGCATGATAGTGTCTTTGGAGACGATCGGCGGAATGACGATATCGGATATTTCAGTGTGAGACAGTGTCAAGGTGTCGACGTGTGGCCCGAGCGATAATTGAAGTCCATCCACCGGATTTCGACTAAAGTCGATGACGCATAATCCCGGAAGCGTCGACGCAGGTCCCAACTCCGAGATATTGTTCCGTCTGCAATCCAGCAACTGCAACCGATCCAACGCCGCGATGCTGTCCGGGAAACACGAAATGTTGTTGCCCACTAGTATAAGTTTCACCAGGGCGCTCAGATCTCCAATCTTGTCCGGCAACGTCGAGATCAGGTTAAACGAGGCATCCAATTCCTCCAGCACCCGTAACTTAGACACTACGTCTGGAAGGACCGGAAACCTGTTGTTGGACATGTTCAAAATCTTCAGCGACGCCATTCGCTCAAAATACGAGGGCAGCCGATTAAGCCGATTATTGTAGATCGCCAGATGCGTGAGATGTACGAGTCTGTCCAGGCCGGCGTCCTCGAGGTCACCAATCCGATTCCTCGAAAGGTCGAGGGATTGCAAGGCTGGGAGATGCTGGATGTTCTGCGAGACCTTCTTGATCGCCATGTTCGAAAGACACAGCTCGCGAAGGGAGGTACACGACTGGATGAAATCGAGCGGAATATCGAGCATTGGATTTCCAGATAGATTGAGCGAGACGATGTCCTTTGCGCGACGGTAGAATACGATGGGAATGACTTTGTAGCCCTGGTCAATGACGTTGATATGCTCGAAGCTAGCGGCCTCATCAGAAAGTTCTTGAGACTAGGCAGGAAAAGTAAGGAACGAGGTGATTATTATCACGTTGTGACGCAAGAGTATGATAAAGAAACTTACAGGAGGCCCCAAGACGACACTCTTGTACACAAACTTCAGGTAGGTGGACAGGTCTCGCGACACCTGCTCGCCGAGAGTGTCGGAAGGATCGTAGCCCGCTTGTTCGAGTCGATTTCGGACGATCTTCCCTGGTTTCTCGTTCTGCGCAAGTAATCGCTCTAGGTTTTCGTTAGCTACCAAAAAGAAAAAAAAGGAACGTCAGAGTGGCTCACCTCGTCCCCTCTCCCTCAAAAACAGCCTATGTATCTCCTTCTCATTCTCGCCCAACATCGTCACATTCAACAACTTCGTCAGATCCGCGACGGTAACGTCCACGCTGATCGGCAGGATCTCCCACGACTCATCCGCCCTATAAATCTTCACGGGATACGTCGTGCTCACGCTAAAGCCAAGGGACCTGCTGTTCACCGTGATGGTAGGCGAATGCGTCGACCGAGATCCTACTTGCCCGTGAGTTTGTACGCTCCCGCCACCGTCATCCCAACGTCCTGCTCCCACCGCCCTGCGATCTCGATGACTCCCACCCGATCCCGAATGCGACGAATCGCTCCCAATCTCCATATCGACCATATCCAACGTCTCCGGATCCGTCCCCCCACGCACGCCATAGCTCCCAAACTCGTCAAAATCGGCATCATAGCTCCCGTCGCTATCAGTCGCATAATCCCTCCCGACATCGTCCTCCCAATCGACAGCCCAACTGTCCGGGGCGTTCCAGTCCGCGTCTTCCGAGTCTGCGGGTACGGGATCGTTCGAGTGTAATACTCCATTGAGGGTCGATGAATGCGAGCCCTGTCTCTGGCTGCCATTTCGACTTAGGGTAGTCCGACTTTGGGCTTGACTGAGACTACGATCCAGACCGGGAGAAGGAGAGGGAGAGACCACTTCGCCACGGGCGGTATCGATGGTGGAGAAAGAAGTTGTGGAACCGTTCCAGTTGGCGATGGAGATGGACGAAGTGAACGACATGGGCGAAGCCGGCGACGTAGAGAACGGATCGCGAAACAGAGGCGGTCCATTCGGACTCGAAGGGCTCCGATAACTCTGTCCGTGCCCTTCCTTTTCCCTTTCCCTCTCCTTATCCTGCTCCTGTTCCTGCTGCTGCTGCTGCTGTCCATTCGATCGCTGCTGCAGACTCGAGTAACTCTGATTCAGGTGCAACCTCGAGCTTGAACCCGCACCCGCACCTGCGCCGCCCAATCCGAACTTCCCTCTATGCCTCTCCCTCTCCCGTCCCATCTCCGAATCCCTGACCACAGGCGCCCTACTGACCAACTTCTGCCCCGCCGGCCTCGGCACCGCGCTCGGTGCTAAGAAATCCATCGTATCGAGGTTAAGGTCAATATCCATATACGCTCGTTCGCGCTCGTGCGCTTCCGTCCCTCCATGGCTATTACTATTGCCCGATTGCGAATGTCCATAACCGTGCCCGCGCGAATGGTGGTGGTTGCGTGCGCGGTGCGGAAGGGGGAGTGTGAGTGTGGACGAAGATTCCGTGAGGTCCGTCTGGAGCTTGATGGACGGTCTGTAGGAAGAGCCCGAATTGGAATTAGATCCAGTCGACGACGCGCTGCCTTTTCCGCGTTTGAGCGCAGGTAAGGAAGCCGTGCGATCCATGAAATGCGAAGTCGAGCTCGCGAAAGACAGAGTCGAAGCCGAAGCGGCGGACATCGCACGGTCGGACTGATACTGGGATTGGTGTGGGTGTGGCGAGAGCGATGCGGAGTCGAATTCCGACGAGGACCGGCCTTGGACGTGCGAGTTGTGGTGGTGGTTGTGGTGGGCGAGATGCGTCTTGCTCTTGCTCTTCTTGATGATCCCGTTCAGGAGGTTCATAGCCGATTTGGGTTTCCGAAGCGTTTGTTGCGCTTGAGTTTGTCCGTGTCCGTGTCCCTGGACCGTCCCATCTCCACCGTATACATCCTGACTGCCTCCCACACCCGTAACCGGTCCTAGCCCTAATCCCAACCCCAAAGTCGAAGTCGAGCCATACCCGTATCCAAAATCAAGCGTACTTGTGCTCGAAATCGGCCCACCAGGGTACGCCGGACGTGGTAAAGCAGCGTTGGACGGACGCGGCGAAGAAGACGAGGCGTAGGACGAGAAGGAAGAGGAGGAAGAGGGAGGAAGCATGTTCGGGTTGAGGTCAGGGTAGGGATATAAATTCGACTGGGATCGAGAGGGCGAACGGGAGAGATTGAGGGACGATTTCGGTGTCGAGTCGGGCTGTGTGAAGATCATCATTCTTTGATCAGTATTTGATTGACAGACTGGGACAGGCAGGTGCGGAGGATCGGTCCCGTGGGGCGGAGAGAATGGTAATGAAAGTGAGAAACGATGGGATTGGAATGAACTGAGGTGCTGTAGTAGTCTGAAGTGCCACGACCCTGCGACGACGCGAGGTGAAACGCTTTGACAGCAAGGCAAAGAGCGCAATTCCGTCGGAGACTCGTATCGCAGGACGACTCATATGTCGGTGCGCTCTGCCTACAGCTACGATCCCCTTGATGAATGGTGAGAGAAAGTGATGGAGGTGCGTCGCTACCGTCGCGCATGATGATGGGAGACCCCGTGGATCTCACGAAGGGCGCTGGTCCGATAGGGTCCGACTCTGCCTTGTGCTATCATCAACAGCCTCTTATGTGATAGCCTTGTCGTCGCGTGAAAACGTCGAGACATGTGTCGAGAAATGGTCGCCCCGCACAAAATGATGATATATAACATATCACTTGACGCGCTCTATATCTGTTCGACTGATGCATGGGGAGTCCTTCCGCGAAACGCAAACCAGTGCAGTCTTTACGGTTGAGAATTCCATATATCACACACCGCCGGCATCAAGGCCAGCATAGATCAAAAGTCCAAGATGATCAACAACATCATTGGAGTCGAGACTGCCGGTCCATGCCTCATGTTCTCAATACCTATGTTCTTAGACAGGGGTCGGACGCAGACAATGGGACATCAACATCGCATCATGCATATGTCAGTGACTGAGTGCCCCGAAGAGTTGATCATCCCGACCGACTGAGCTATTTCTCTTCCGCAGCTGCAATAGCGTTACGCTCAAGGCGAATACGATGTCTTCTGTGTTTGTGTGTGTGTTGGATGATCATGAGGTCGGAAGAAGCTGCGCAGGGCTGAGCATGGCTTTTGACGCCACCAATGCAATGAGAATCCAGCAGAATCGCGTCTGCATGGAACGCGCACAGGAACGACATCGACGGCAAGGTTCACCATAGAGTTCTGGGAGGGAAGGATCGTATCTCAAAGCACCAGATAGACATGGTAATTCCCGATCAAGCGTGTCGATCACGGCGACTCGTCGTCGCGACTTTGCACTTGACATTCCTCAGAGAGATTCCCAAAGTCCGACATACAAGGAACGGATCGAATGAGCCTGAGAGAAACATGGACATACCAAATCTTCATCTAAACTCTTTCGGCCTCGACTGTTGGTGCTCCCCTCCGACTTCCTCTGACCCTGGTCGTTCGACGGCGTCCTTGAAGAGCTGCTGCGCGTCCATCCCGGTGCTAGATGCTGGTCGGAGTAGTTCGCCATCTCCGACAGCTACAGTGTTGTGTATTGTGGGTCCTCGAATGCTAATGATAGCAACTGGAGCTGTATTCGTCAAAGTCGTCGCCTCGTCGCCAAGAAGAAGAAGGTTGAAGATGAAGGGAAGGACGAAGTAACGAAGGCTGATGGGGGCTGCAGTTAGAGTTGGAAGCTCATCGACCTGAGCCTCAGAAGAGTCTAGATTGGGTTGGGCTGGGTTGTGGTTTCATGAAGACGTTTTGAGTTTGGGTCCGAACGGCTGCAGGGTCCTGAGGCGAAACGTGGGGAAACGTGCGGGGAAACGTGGATATTTTGTTGGCTATGTTTTGTCACTGCAAAGAAAAAAGGCTTCTTTGCCCGGTGAGTGAATCGCATCACTGATAACTCCAGAAATACTCCTCGTGCGAACGGAGGAGGCAGATATACCGTAAGGATGAGAACTCATCGTCTGATGAGCGCGCGATGGATTCCGTCAGGAGAATTGATGGCGAAAACTCAGAGAAAATAATGGCGAAATAATCCAGTCAAAGCGGGTCCTGACGTCATTGGGACCGTTGCAGCCTTTGGGCAGAGCGCCGGTGCTTGTTCGACTTTTCTCTGTTTCGTTCATTTCTTGTCGTGTGCCGGCCTCTTATTTGTAGATGCTCAGGCTACATTTAGCTCTTGTACGGCCAAGGCTAGCAACATATTATCCTACTTCAGCCACTAGACCTCGACTGTCACTACCTTCAACTGCACTTCATCCTCATGCGCTCTCGCGGTGCACAGTGTGCACCCGCCCGCACAGGCGTACTTTCACAACAGACACTCAAGAGGCGGAGAACCTAAATGTATCACACTCTAGATTTTTGGCGGAAAAAAGTAGGTCGGCAAAGTGGAAAGAGGACGATGAGGACTGGGGCGGGGAGACGGATCTGAAGGAAAGCGAGGATTTCGACAACCTTGCAGCAGGCAAAGGTATGTCGTATTGTCCTCAATCGACCCATGCTCTATCTTGTGTCCATACAGTTGGGAGTAGCTTCGAACCCCGTATGGATCGTTCCTGGCACTTTGTGTCTTTGAACCTGGTCGAAGTCGTATACGCGGCAGCGCCGTTGCATGCGAAGCTGCTCGCACACCGCACAGTTCAGGGTGTTATCGTACTTCTATCGTCAACTTGTTGAGTTATTCTGTATATCATACGGCGCTGTTATTTCTATTACACACTGCAGTTTTGATGGTTTGCAGGCGAATGCTTAACCGTCCTCGCCACAATATACAGCCACGCCACACTGCTCTCTCGAGATGTACATGTGTTCATGCCATACTACTCTTTCTCAACGGAGCGCCTTTAAGCTCGACGCACAAGGAATTGCTTTCGGGCTCAGAGGCATTATTACGGTGTATCGTATCCCCTCAACTGAGGCGGGCAACGATGGCGTAGTTCCATCTACTTCCATACTCGCCACGGTCCTTTTCACTCTTCGAGCCAGATTCGTTTGACATGGTTTATTGAATGACCTACCGCTTTTCCGTTATGTAGGAAAACTCTCCCCGACATCCTCCCATCTATTCAAGCTCATCCTCCCCCTCGGTGCCCTAACCTCCCGCATCCCCTCCTCAACCCGTCCCGTCCCATCCTCCTCACCACCGAACTCTCAACACTCTAAGCCTCAGCAAACCCAAGTCCCACCACCGACCGTCTTCCTCCTGCACCCGGCACAACCCCTAACTCACGTATCCCGCCTCATCCTATCTTCTTTCGCTCCCGCCCGACCCAGTGTCACGTTTCGAAGCGTCTCTCCTAGCGGTCAAATGCTGGAATGGAGCGAAAGTACGGATGTGGGTGATTTTATTAGGGATGCGGCGAGGGCTACAGAGTTCACCATCCACATTTCTCCCTCCCCTTTTCCACCTTCCACCACCACTTCCTCCTCCGATGATGGGCATGAAGATAGCGATGTCGAGGACGAAGAAACCGTGATCACCGTAGAAGTCCCGACCTTCGCCGACCGGACGAGGTTCCTGAGGCGGAGATTACAAATCGTCGAGGGAGAGCTGAAAGAGATGGAGGGCCTGAAGACGATGTGTGATCGGTTGGCGCATAAAGGCGCGAGGAGGATGGCGGTGACGGGGTTTGGGATTTTGGTGGTATATTGGGGTGCGGTGGCGAGGTTGACGTTTTGGGATTATGGGTGGTATGTCTTGGGCCGTTTCTGTCCTTTACTTCCTTGGAGTTCATTTTGTGATGGATCAGATGCTGACTGGTTTATTCTTGCGTTGCGGATTGTGATGCGCTGTGTACAGGGACGTTATGGAACCGATCACGTACCTCTCGGGATTGTCGACAGTCATATGTGGTTATCTTTGGTACGATTGCTCTCTCTCTCCCTCCCCTCTCTCACTCTTTCCTTCCCCCTACTTACGTTCTCACCTTCTGACCTTCACCCACACGCAGGTTCCTCTACCAAGGCCGCGAAGTCTCCTACTCCTCCGTCCTCGACCGTTCCGTCCTCGCCCGCCGCCAAGCCCTCTACAAGACGCACGGACTGGATATCGAGAGATGGGCGGAATTGCAGGCGGATGCGAGGAGGTTGAGGAGGGAGATTGGGGATATTGCGCAGGATTATGATCAGAATTGGAGGAGGGGGGCACCGCAGGATGGGGATGGGGAAGGTGGTGGGAAGAAAGGGGGAGAAGAAGTGGGCGGGGTGGATGAGTCGAAGGGGAGCGATGGGGAGGTGGGCGATGCGAGGGATGAAGGGAAGAGTAGTAAAGGGGACGAGATGAAGGGAAAGGAAGAGAGTTCTAGGAGTAGTGATGATGGTGGAGAGGAAGGTGGAGAAGAACGGAAGACAGAGAGGGAGAATAACGCGAAGCATGAGATGGAGAGGGAGGTGAGTGCGGAGGTTAGAGGTGAGGTTGGTGGAAGTGTGGCCGATGGGAAGGGTATTGAGGATGCGAGGGACGGTGGGAATGGCGGTAGCGAGGCCGAGAAGGAAATGAGGGGAGAGAAGGTCAAGGTCAGGCAGGATAGGGAGGATGAGAGGGATGGGAAGGGTGCATGAGCTGCTCATGCCTGCCAGAATGCTTAATTTGATTTGTGCATGGTAAGTCCATTTGGTAAAATTTCATACAATGCAGCTCTGAGAGGTAACTGTATGCCATTTCCTTTTATAGGACCTTGATTTGTATTTTCTCATTCTCGGTTTCGGTATTCCAGCATGCACGGACTTCAGACACGCGATGAACTTTATAACACCACAAGCTGTACACTGCACTAGCACATAAGCCCGTCTATTCCTTGCGAACAATATAGCATACCCATTTTTTCTTTTCGCCATGGAGCCCGAGCTGACTGTGTAGATGAATGTGGCGCGTGGAAGAGAACTGGGCTTGGGAACATCACATCATCTGGTCCTGGGCGTGAGAGAAGACATTTCCGGATATTCAGGTGAGACATCCTACACTGTAACGTATGATTGATTCTACTTCACTTTCATCCTCGAGCTCTAGAGTCTGGCTCATCACCGGTACGCGGCGTATCATCTTCATAACCTCTGTCAAATGCGAATATTGACCACAATTTGTGCTGTCTCGATGGGAAAATTGGTCATGGCAGTAACAAACGTACTAGGGCGGGCAGGGAAGGAGATTAAGTTGACGATGGTGACTTCCACGAATTTATAGGTGCTCGATACATACGTGATTATAATCTCAGGACTCGTATACTGTTGCGACACTGATGGTCTAGAAAAGCCTACTGTATGCCGTGTACAGGCTGATGTTACCGTCATAGGAAAAGCGGTTAGATGGACATGCCAGCTACTTTCACGACGTTCGCAGGCCGCGGGCCTTCACCTACATCACCCCGACTGGGCTGTATAGATCCCTTGAACATCGCTGGGTCGACTGAGCCTCCCATACCTGTCGCCATGCTTTCACGTTCGGCATGTCCTCGTGTCCCATTTAGGAGTCAAATGGACGTATAGGACTGTTTGTATGGTCTGTCGACATTGACACGTTGGCACATAAATTTGTTGCGAAAGATTTCGTTCCCTGTCCACCGTTGGGGAAAGCGGTCATTAAACTTATTTTGGAAGGACGGAAGATCTTTGCACAGCCTGTAGAATTGTGGTCAGACTCATCACGCCGCAAAGAACATAACTGACCATTGCATTTCCACATCAACTCCCTAGTTGGCAAAGGCGTCCACTCATTATGATATAGCTATGGGTCGGCGAGCCCAGCGCATCATAATGATTCGCATAGTCCAACTGCGACGTTAAGTATAGCGGAGTCACGACTTCACAGACATGTCTCCTGTGTATACTGCGGGCACAATCTATGCGAGTATTCTGACGGCTACGGGGGTGCTGACAATTGGACTGGTTCAGTGTTATACTAGGTGCAAATGCTCTGCAGGTAGTAATTTATCCGTCAACAAAACGTCAGTGTGACGGATTGAATATCATTTCAGAAGTATCAGAGGCGCACATGATGGAGAATCCAATGTGGAAGGTGGAGGGGAAATCTCGGTACCTTCGACCGGATGGGCTCAACATACTTATCTCCACGGAAGTGAGAATATATGATATCAGTCATAAGTCAATAGATCGGCGGAGTAATACTCACTTAGACCGTCGACTTAGCCTTCATCTCCCTTTAAGTGAACAACGCAGGAAGGCTAGGGAGCGACGAGTGTTGAGGTAGGTGGAAATGCGGAAGGCATGTCCAGCGGGGCCACCGTGCTCTAGGGTGGTAAGCGTCTTAAGATTGAAGCTGCTCCATTTGAGCACTGTGGACATCAGGCTTCCGAGGTTTACAACGGATACGTTCCAGTGTGTTGTGCAAATATCAGCAATACAACAGGAGTGGTCCTTCCTACATGATGGACTTCGCCCATTATCATGTTCAACTCAAACGGTATCGTACCCACCCGTTGACAAAGAGGGCGGCAACGTATCCGGCGTATCACCACACGCCACATCAATATCGTCCGTCAACGTCAACTCCACCGTGGATCCTTTCTCGAAAACGTTCCATTCCAGGAAACAGTTCGATTTCCATGGCGTCCCGTCAATCGTCACGTTCTGCAAATTCAGTAGCAAACAACATCAGTTATTACCGCAAAGATGGGAGAATCAGAATTTGCCAGGAGGAGACAAGGGGATATGGAATGACCTAATTACCTTGACGAATACAGTCCCACCCGTACCATTGGAAGGATTTCCCTGGAAGTTGACGGCTTTGATAGTGGTAGTAGTATTGAATACCGGATTCGTGAAAGAGATGGAGGGGAAGAAGGGAGAGGAGAGGAGGATTTGACGAGTGGCGGGTAGAGGATAGAGGCCTGCGAGGTAGAAAAATGCGTAGCTTCCCATGGCACCTGTTCATGATAAAGATTAGGGGAGGTCCAAGCTGGCAGACGTGAGCGAGGATGGGTGTTTACCGGAGTCTGTGGCACATAGATGGAGGCAATCGAGGTAAAGGTTAGTGATAGATAGGTGTTTACAGGCAGCAGGTGAAAACGCACCATCATTTCCAGGCAATCCTACATCTGTTGTGTTGAAGAACGTCGCAATCGTCTCTCTCGACCTCTGCGTGCTTCGACCAGGCTTACTCACGTAATGATACATGAACGGGATCTGCTGTCCTGGTTCGTCGGTCACGTCGAAGTAGCCCTACATAGGCATCATATCAAATCAGCGAGGACAACAGACTGTAGATTCAGAGGACGTACATTGTCAATGATGAAATTAAGCCTGTCGACAAAGCTCTCGTTCCCTCCCTGCAGTTCGATCAACTTCGCGTTGTCTTGCGGAACGTACTGCCGATTCGTTCAACAATCATCAACGATGATCGTCTTGCCTCCCGCCAAGACCAAAGGAGAACATACTTGACTATACTGTCGATAGGAACAGGAACACGATAAGCCATTTGTACACAGAAGCAAATAGACAGGTTGACGTACGAGAAGAGGCGACCCCTCATAGAATCCATCGTGGTTCGCTGCGTTCAAGAAACAAGTCGACTGGAGTGGATCGTTCACGCTACAATGTCTCGGATCCGTGAAGTTGAATGTGCCGTTCAAAAAGCGAGGCTGAATTGCAGCATTAACTATCGACTGTCCACCGTAACGGAGGAGAAGATGGAGATAAAGTGGCACACCTGCATCATTCCTAATACGTCATTTTTCACCGAGCCACCTACTGTCGTGTTCGGGTTCCAGACATTGACGAAGTTGCCAGCGCGGCCGACGTATTTTGTCGCGTCGTCGGATTTGTTCATGAGTTTGGCGACTTGCGAGATGGCGAAGTCACCGAAGGCGTACTACACGAACCAAATAATATGAGCACGGAAAACAAGATGAGTAGGCAAATAGCACTGAAAGTGGGGGGAGGGGAGTATATACGTACCTCTAAAGCTCTGGAGACCTGTTTAGAGTTCGTTCCTCCTGCTTCGAACAAGTCCTGGGGAAGATAACCTGCATGTCACCGCATCGATTAATATACATATATCGACTTTCAGAGATACACAAGTGCTTCATGTCGGGTGAGAAACAATGTAAACGCACCGTATTCGATCCACGCATCAACTTGTCTCCCTTGAACATCCCAATTCGGAGGTAAGTTCTCCGCATCGGCAAGGAGTGCGTTGTAAAGTCCATCTGGATCTACGCCCAGAGAAGAGGCTTGGGAGGCAAACCTGACCGGAAGGGTCAGCCAGGGTTATTATAATATGGAGGGTGAACGATAGAGTAGGCAAGAACGTACTTGACAAAGAATTCGCCAAGGATTGGGTCCGCGTCTATACAATATCAAAGTCAAAGGTGTGACCTATATTTTGTGAGGAAGGAAGGAAACGTACCGCTGCCGCCCTGGATGAAATGCATATCAGTCGCGCCTCTGCATTCTGGCAGCCAACCTGGTCCACAAAAGCATGTAAGAGAACATGAAAATTCGGGTCTGAAGCAGGAAAAAAATACGAACCTTCATGCTGCTGGATGTTGATCAGCCCCCTCACGATGAGTGAGAAGCGTACAGGGTCGTGCATGGCCATGAGCGGGTACAGTGTGCGGTACGTATCCCACTGTTCATTGGATTAGATGCTACGGCTGGCGAAGGGACCGGAAGGAAGTGCGTACGTTACAGTAGAAAGAGTCATAGTATGGTTCAGTCGAATTCCAGCGAGGATTTTCGCCCGTATCTGTGCAGGGTAGGTATCATATTTGGGGGCCATCAGATACCATAAACGCTTCGTTGTCGAGGCCAGGGATGATGATACGACTCACAGTCAGCAGGACTGATATGCGTACGGTACAGCTGTGGGGAACAAAGATGAAATCAGCCAAAAGTCGAATGAGAAGACGGAGGAACGTTACATAGATGGCAGACAAAGCCATAGAGAAAATAAACTGACCGAGCTATACAACAAAACCCTCATATCCTCCTGGTCCGATCCTGCATCCACCGCATCCACCGTCCCATTGCCACTCCCCGCCACAGTCCCATTGAACAACTCCACATTGACATTGCCCAACACTTCATTCCATGCACTTCTCGCTGCTGCTTGCGTCGCTTCGAAGTCGAAATCCGGGATCTCTGACTCAGCGTTGGAGCATGCCTGATCGGAAGATATGAACGAGACACCGGTGCGGACGAGGACGGAGGTTGTGTTAGAGGGCAAGGTAAAGAGTGTGCCTGCTTCGGAAGTGAATCCTAAACAGAGAGGGCGAGAGCGAGAGTCAGTATGCATCCGAGCATAAGAAAGGACAAAGGACAAGAGAGGGTGGGTGGCGCGCCACACGAGGCCACATCGTCCCCAAAGCCCGGAACACGTGGATCATAACGAGTCCACGTTATGCGTGAAGCAAGTGCATACCAGAAATGAGCTGGTGGTAAAGAGGCGGAAGCACTCACCAAAATATTGTTGCTGAATATTAGTTGTGAACTGGATTGGCTGATTACCCAACCAAGTTCCATACTCCAGCGGCTCAGTCAGCACGATATTGCCCTCTGTGTCGAGCGTGCGGAAATCGGCACAGGCAAAAATATGATACCGCCCGGGTCCGAATGAAGCAGAGAAGTGAGATCCGCCTGTGATTGAAAGCCACACGCATTAGCACGCCGCATCAGGCACGTAGTGGGACGAGGAGGTAATGAAGGGACAAGGAGATGGCATTTACCAACGACCCTCAGAGTTGTCGGGTCAAGCGTCAACTCCGGATCCGTTGAGCTCTGTTGCCCGTCATTTGTGAGATCGAACGCGATCCTAGGTACCGTCGAGTTCGCAGTCGGACTGAAGGTGTGGCGTTGAAGGGACGCGCGGCGGGTCGCAGTAAGTTCGACGCGGACTCCATTAGTCTTATTTCGGGTGAGCAGTCAGCTGGGATGAACAAAGAAGAAAAGGAAGCAAAGAGACAGGATAAAAGCAGAGGGAAGGAGTAAGTGGCGTACAAGGTTGGTGGAGAAATATCCGGGCGTGGCAGAGTCATCAGGAAGACCTAAAGTGTTTGCGCGTGAGCATTCTCGAGATACAATTCATATTATAAGATAAAGTCAATATATACCAGAGTCAAGGACCTTCCTCGGAACCGGTCTCGACTCAATCGACGTCGCACATTCCTCGAAAGAAGTGCAGTCCGGGAGGGCAAAAACTTTGAAGTTCGAGAGCGGGACAGACTGGGAATGACAATTTGGCAGCGTGAGATGAATTCGAGATGGAGTTGTTTTGAGTGTGTTAAACTTACGCCTCCAGTTCCATCGTCGTGCAGTTGGCTAAATCCAGTCACATTGAACTGCGGGTCTCGGTCGTAGCCTGCATGCTATACTCAAGATGTCAAGAAGAATGAGATGGTAGGCAAGTTCAGGTTCTTGAAAATGGCCGTCAGGACGTGATCGCACGTACATTTCCTGGAGAGTTCGTGTCCATTCCAACTTTGATCATCCCATGTGGGAGAGTGACGCCTGGTAGTAATTGGAAGATGAATGTTAGTCCTCCTGATATTCGCGAAAATACACTATCAAAGCTGCTCTAACAAGGCGCATGCTCAGGAACAAGGGGCGTGAAATCGCAGGTCGTTGATCAGTACAGGTACCCTGTGCAGGGGGGTTTCGTCTACTGCAATGCGAGCTTCAAAGGATGACACCCTCTAGCTCCAAAACAGTACCAATGAGATACGAATGCCTCATTGTGGCAAGTAGCAGCAACATTTGAGTTCAGTGGTGTACGTTGAAGGGGGGACGCAAACATGCATTGATCGTTTTGGGAGAAAAGAGCATACCAGGGAAGACATGGCCACCATTGGTTGTCCCGATGAAGAGGTTTACGAAAGATGCAGGATCACCATCGCTGCTGTTCTGCGCGGTTACGGCAGTCGAGCTCCCTAGTAGTAGAACCGTGAGAAGCAGTGGAGAGCTCAGCATCCGAGATACAGTCTTTGTGATACCACGGACGTTGCGGGGGTGACGAGACGCGTCGAGCTCGCGCCGGCCGCGATGGCGAGGGCTTATATACCCCTACGTTGGTATTTTTACCATTGTTGGATTCTACTATTGGAAAGGGAGGTGTCATGTGTTGAAGAGGACCGCGAGGATCCCTGGTGGGATGAGACCCTTCTGAGAAGCATCATGGAGTGAGCCCTGGTGAGATTTCCGTGAAGCGGACGTTCAGCCGCATCAGAGTAGAAAAATGAAGTGCGTGATCAAGATAAGTATGCGTTCAAGAGGACGAAAGGTTAGCCGACGGTCGACGGACGATATGCGGTCAAACACGGTCACCTGACCTTCAATAGTGACGCGTCGAATCAGGTCGAATCTCGTTCGCCTTGGCCACAGTGGCACAGCCTACGGCAACCACTCTTCCCCTTTTCATTCTGATGCTCTCGATAATGTTGGTTTCTGGTAAGCGGGACAAAGCGACATGGGTAAAACGGACCTTGTACTTCAGAAAAACTAGGCACGGCCAGAGGAAATTGTGGCCCTACCCACGGGGCGCACTTACTCCCTTGTTTCTCCCTCAAATAAATGTTGCACATCGATGAGCCATCCAGCTTACTGGTCTTGTATCGTGCAGAAATAAAGAACGACGAAAATCTCAGAACCCAATATTACATACAGGTGCGGGCGGTGATGATACAAGGAAGTTAATCCTACCGAAAACGAGAAGACCACCAGCGCAGGCCTTAGCATCTCGTATGCACACCGGGAATCATCAATCCAGACCTATAACACTGCTCCATCCTCGTATCGTCGTTGAGTGGCTCACATGGTGCCCCTGCGAAGAATGCTCCAGCTCTTCCGATCGTCCTCTACGCCTGCAGGAGTCATCGGTAGCTCTATCGGCGTCCCGTCTTGTCTTTCGCCGTCGTTCGCGGTAGTGGTCATTGTCATAGTTGTAATGTGCAGACCTCTTTCCAGTCGGGCGGTGGTCGTGTGGAAATCCATCGTTGACTGTGGTGCGTACGCAGTGGATTTGAACGCAGTACCATTGTGGACGCGAATGATGATGAGGTTAAATGAGATTCCCTGGAGGAGACGAAGGAAGGTGGTGTTCAGAACATAGTGCTCGACGTTCAGACAAAAAGAAAGAGTATGTTACCACTATCTGTACGATCTATTGCGATATGCGTCCAACGTACAGCCAAAAAAAAAAGACGAGGGGAACTCAGCAAGCGCAGCCAGAACGAGAGACGTACAGTGATATGTCACTCACACAGTCCGATATACCGTAGTATGAGTTGTTCCCCGCGAGATACGGTATAACACTGACGACAACTGAGATCGTGTACATAAGGCCGGATTCTATTATGATGCGCATGATCCTTGACAAGCGAGTGCCGTTGCTGTTGAAGGCACGGGATGGTTGTGTCGAACTGGAGGACGATGGCAATGTCTCGAACGCAGTGGAGTGTTGGTTGACTCTCCAAATTCTGTAGACGATGGCCGCTGAAAAGAATCACGGAGAAGGTACAATGTGCCGGTCAAGCGATATGACCAAGAACATACTAGACCGTGGTAGAAGGAACAAGGGCTTACATGTGACGATAATATTGAGAGCCAGAGTGAGCATAAGCGTTGAGGTGATTAGTGGGATGAGCTCGCTTGTGCTTAGCAAGGCGCTGTGTTGAAACGTAGATTCGGTGCGTAAGGTGATACAAGCGCCAACTAAATCCCAAGGGTCAAACCTTGCGCGTGGGGTTTGGTAGTCCATGATCAGCAGACATGAACGCACCGACATAACCAGTCCATAGTACGAGAGGGAAAATGATGATAGACCATCGCTTCCCATATACAATCCAGCATCGATAGATCTAATGCTCATATCACTTAGATCGCTGTTCTGTCAAGGAATTAAAGAGCTACGGACCAGCATTGCGTCGCCGATCGAGGTTTGCGCCAAAAAGTCAGCCGATTTCATCACGTTGACCCAGTTCGAAACGATAGAAAACTCTGCAACGGCACCCCCGTTACCCTTGTAATACACAAACGCATCGAGGTTGTGGACGAGACCGAAGGCCACGTCTAGAGTAGCGAAGATGAACATGGCTAGGGAGATGAGAACCATGTTCCATTTGATGGTTGGGGAGTCGCTCGTGTCTTTGAACATTGGGGTAGACTGCCTGGCACTGGTGTTGAAGAGCAGGATTCGCACGCAAAAGACCGAACGTCACTACGAAGATACCTGAACCAAGTGTGGTATTGGTCCTTGTATTCGATCGCCTCATCAATATACCACGATCTGCGCTGTGTCGACAGGAAATCTGACATGGCTGATGAGCGTGAGTACAGGACCAATAGGAAACGGGAAAGACGCTCACTGTGATGGCCTCAACTACTTTATAGACAATGTCCCCAAGAATACAGTTAGGAGATAGCGTGTTTGGCGGTATCAGGATTCCCCGCTCACCATCCTAAGTAGACAGTGGCGTAAATCATCATCACTGCGGGCTGCAATCGTCACAAAAGAAGCAAAGGTCCAAAAATTCAAGCCTTATTTGGAAGATTTCGCAGTTATACACAGTTTAGGATGCCAATAATAAGCCCATATAGTCTAGAACCAGTAACTGTGAGAGTTGTGAAGCACGATAGCAAGGTATGGAAGCCATCGGGTGCGAGAAAAGTGCATCGATGGGCGACGATAGCATCCCGAAGACCTTGAAATAAGTGGTGAGCAGTGTGTATATATCCCATTTACTCACAAAGAACAAGCTTCTAGCAGCACCCAGTGTTGCAATTGACTGCAAAGCACAAAGGTCACGGTTTGGCTTGAGAGCATTCGCTTGCCACTTCAAGAGTGGCACCGGCGGGGCGTCAATCGGAGTTTACCTGTCGGCCATCCCCGAAATACCAAAGCGTCGCGATCGATTGTTCGACTTTCTCTGACTTCTACGGCTCAAGGTGTCTTCAGACACAGAAGTGTTCTATCATTTCCGTACGTCAATGAATGGATAGCATCGTCTCTCGTCTATGTCATTGTAACAAACATATTCTCTAGCAGACCAGCCGATAATTGTGCGCCAGCTAAATCAACGACAAGTGGACAAAGGAACATTCACATAACAACACATCAACAGGTATGTATAATTTTGTGTGTCTCTTTTCTGTTCATGCTAGTTTAGGGCGCTCTTTTTCTCATCAACGTTGTTGAAACAGAACGTTATGTCGCCCATGATAGACGATGCTCGCCTGCACAACTCACAGCGGTAGGTGGCCATTACCCATGTCTGGCATTATCCGCAGCCTTTGAACAGACACGCTTCCGCCTACGTTAATAGCCCTGCAGTCCGACTGGCCCCAGAAATACTGACGTATATTTTCTTGTATCTCATCGACTGGCCGATATACTTGTCGGACGATGATGCGGCACAAGGTGAAATGGGTAGTAATCTTGTTGCTGCATCACAGGTCTGTTACGCTTGGCGCGAAGTCTCCCTCACAAGTCCACTGCTGTGGGTATTTATTGGACCAAATATGGGCCTTAACCAGATCCAGGAATTTTTATCTCGGTCGAAATCGATGCCGCTAGACGCTGTGCTCTTAAACCTATTCGATCGACCTAAGGCAGAAGCAGAAGCAGCACTCAGACGCGTCCTTCTCGAGACGTATCGCTCCCGCGAACTGCAACTGGCCACGGTCCTTGAGCCAATGATGGAAACAAAAGAGATATATGACATCTTATGCGACACACTCCCTGACGTGGCCGCTGATTCCCTCCGCTCTTTTACTCTTTGCGTTTATAAAGACTCAGAAACGCCAGATGAAGTGAACTCGAAATATGCCCTGAGACTGCCAGACTACGTGTTCAGAGGTGACAGCCACAACCTAAAACACATCTGCATCGACTCTCCATTTTATATTTCCCCAATATCCACACTGCTGTCGACTACCACATCACTCGAATTCACTGGCATCCACGACACGCTACTCATGGCCATCCTTTTCAACACACCAAATCTTGAGAAGGTAAAGGCAGAACTGAATCACGATTTCGATGGATTATCACGATTTTCGGATTTCATTCCACATCAAACTGACTCCCTCACTTTCCTGCAATCGATCGACATAACTGGGAGAGGCATCTGCCCCTACCAACTCTTCTATGTCCTCGGGCGGTCGCCACAGCTGCGCCATCTGGGTGCAGTATTCGATTACACGTCCGGTATTGAGTTTCCACCGGTTTCACTCTCTCTGCCGCATCTCGAGACCGTGTGCCTCGACAACATCACGGAGGAGGCGTTCCGTCTGATGCTAGCTTTTCCCCCATGGAAGACAGTGCAAACAACACCACATATTGATCTGTGCATGAATCTAGACTGGGATCTGGCTGAAGAAGACAAACACTTTCTCAGGTCGTTCTTCGACATTATCCCAGGCGATGGCATTTTCGAAGCGGTTCACCTCGGACTAAACCCTGCGGGGATGATTACTGTCAGTGTCGTCCCCGCTCTTGAGATACACACTGATATAGCCCGGGATCCGTTTGCGGCCGAGGACGCTCACCTTCGAATGAAGGTGCAGATCAATTCTTCTGCAGATGCTACACACGACGAACACTCAATTTACGCACTTTTCGATGATATGTTTTCTTCTCGCACACTGTTGACTCGTCACCTGTCGTTGTCGAAGGGCGGTCAGCGTTTTCCGGAGCTAGCGCGGTTCGCATGTTACGATTCGACCATGGAGTGGCGGCGGCTTCTTCACAAGTTTCCTAACCTCGAAACGTTAATACTCGACGTCGTCGACAGCTCGCCACTCCTCGAGGCGTTATACCCCAGTCCCCGAGACGATCGTTGTGAAATCCTCCCGAATCTTGATAAAATCGCCTTCATCTCTATGGAGATGGAGTTTGCGGAGTACCCCTGGATAGACCCAGAAGCAGGACGTCTCAGTCTTCTGGTCGATATCCTTCTTAAGAGGCGTGAATCGGTCGATGGCCACGCACTATCGAGTTTCACATTTTATAATTGTGACGAGGATGAGCCGTTTACCGAGTCGGAGATTATGGCTGTGAAGGGTGAGGTGCCGCTGGTGTTGAGGCTTGATTTCGATAGCGAGCTCGTACCGTTTCGCATAAGGACTGTAGCCACTGAGCTATAAGAGCATGTGAGTGTACCTATATTATCTGAAAGCTTTTTATATTTACTGTCATCAGGATCGTTTGAACCATACTTAGGGCTTGAAAACGAATGGATAGATGTATGGTAGAAATGCGGGAAAGGATGAATTTACAGCACTAAGACTTGGGCGATAGAAATACACCGATTTGTTCGACCACCGTTGTGTGCTTGTGAGACCAAGGCATGATGAACTTGATCAGGAAAATGTTCCCCGATCATGTGAACTTTGTCTGCCGAGTCTACATCTAGATGTTAGCGCTTAGCATCTCCTATTCCGTGTTGACTACAGTCACATCAACTTCAAGATCCTCCGTTGTGCAGTAATATTTACTAATTCGCTCAATAATCAGCTACACTGATATCTTTTCGGCCTCTTATCCACAAACATCATGCAGGGCGCCCCAATTACCCACCTTTCCGATGCCGTCCTCACCCGCATCTTCGACCTCTCCACCTACACCCTCTACACTTCTGATTCTCTCACTATCACACCACCAGACCCCTTCGACACCCCAGGAGGCAAGATACCCAGCGTTCGCCCGAAGTATACAGACCTCATCACCAACATCGGCACCAAGCGTTCGATATCCCTGGTCTGTAAACGATGGCACGCACTCATAATACCACTGCTCTACGAGGTGCTGTTCGTAGTAGAAGGGAGAATGGACCTTTTGCGCTGGGCGTTGGTCGAAGCGACTGATCATCCCGTTGTTTCCCAAGGAACGACGGCCCCGGCGTCCAGTGCAGCGGCAGTCCCGACTCAGACGCCGAAATTAATAGGCTCCTATACTCGCTGCCTCGTCATAACTTCCTCTCATCGTACTCCTTTCTCCAGTGTACCATCTTCCCATCCGCTGGCTTCAGACGATTTCTGGTCTCCGTCCACACCCACACCCGCGATCACGATATCGGATATTACTGCAGAACGCGAGCGCACCGACCACACCATCGCCTGGATCGAGATCATATTCCACATCGGCCCCTCTCTCCTCGTCCTCCATTCATTCTCCAACCATCTCTCAGCTGGGGATCTCGGAGAGATCATCAGAGGTAGTCCAAGCCTGAGGACAGTCAGTGTCGAGTATGCCGAGGAACCGCGGTTTACGCGGGAGAGCTCCTCTGATATGAGGATGTCGTACCCCCATCCGAGCGTTTTGCTACGGCGGGGTCCATCTCAACCTCAGAGCCTCAGTTTCTTGAAGATGACGATTACGACTCACGAGAGCGATGCTCATCTTCCTCTTGAACTCGAGCCTCAACCGATCCCTTCACTTCATACCCTCCACCTCGTGTGGCGCGAAACGGATTACCCACGTTATCCCTCAGAAACCAATTTACAAAAGCATTGCACCTTCCTCATTCATTTCCTATCTATCCAAGGTCCCTACCTTCGTAGAATCTACCTCGAAGGCTTCGATAAACAGTACACGACAGTCCTCCAACAGGTGCTCGCCGCCCTCGACTCTCATTGTCCGAATCTTCATACATTGGTGCTGCAGCTCGGTTCATGGACGAGTGTACCGTACGACCTTGCTCTCCCCTCGAGTGTGGAGAGATTAGGCCTGAGATGTGAGATGGCAACAATTGGCAGTGTGTACAGATTGAAAGGGGCGTTGAAAAACGCGGCATCGACCATGAGTTCCTCGATCGGAGGCTTGGAGGTGGTGAGGTTCTTTATGTTTATGAGCCCGAGCCGGCCAAGGGGACAGTCCATGGGACAGCAGCATGAGAACGAGGCGAAGGAGAGAGTCAAGTGGGAAGGGATGAAGAAGGAGATCGAGGCGATGTGTAAGTTGTTGTTCGGTGACGGTGAGAGAGGATTTAGGGTGGAGTATTCTGCTTAAGGAAGATGCCAGTGTGGGACGAGAGGATAACACGAATGGAATAGGTACCAATATAAGCTCACAGACGAATCAGCCAATTTGTAAGATTCGAATTTACTGTGTAAAAGTACACTTTGGATATGCATTCATGGAGAAGTACAACAAACATAGATCGCACATCGTATATCGCAAGCTGTAGACCGAACAAAAGACATGTCCTAGAACCAAGAGGAAAACACAGCATCCTACAACTCACAAATCAGCCACAACCGTAACCTTCACCACCATACAATCCCACCTCTTCTTCCTCTCATCCACTTCGACCCCACCCTCATCTTGCTCCAGACTTCTCGCCCTACATCCCTGTTCAGCGCACCCATCGCCCACGCCCAGTCTATACCCACCCATCCCTCTCCCATCCCCTGCCGCCCCATACCCCACATCCTCCTCCCACCCCTCCCCCTCCTCCACCATCCCCAGCCCCCCACCAAACCCATCACTCAACCCCTCGATCGACTCCGCGACCCAAATCTTAACGTATCCCGTATCCTCCGTCTCACCCGCGTCCTCGTCGAGGGTGAAGCTGAACGGCTCGACGCCGGAGTTGGAATCGCCTATTGTGAGAGGATGACCGGAACGGAGTGTCGGTGCTGTGGGGCCACCACCTTGACGGGCTGCTTCTACTTCCGCGTCTCCTCCACCTTGGTCACCAGCACTAGCAGACAAAGACTGTTGTACTTGCGCAAGAAGCACCGACGAGGCGACGAAAGACGCAGGCGGGGTGTACATCTCCGAAACGGTGTACATCGCCGGATCGAAATAATACATCGCGACGTAAAGGTCAACGTCGGAATGGTTGGTCAGGCGAAAGACGTATTCGGAGTCGTCGTACGGCAGTCGAGCGTGCGCTTGCTCTATCTCTCCCTCTCCGCTCAGGTCGTGGGCGGGGGAAAGATGATTTTTGGAGGTGACGGTGCCGGTGATAGGATGGAGACGGAGGAGTTGTATTTCGATGACGTTGGTGGAAGCGTTCGGGTTCGGTTGTGAGAACGGTCGAGCGGGGTTACACCGAGCGAGGTGATACTCGAATCGTAAGACCCGATTCAAGAAGTCGAGTGCGTCTTTCGAACGTTTACAGGGCCATGTCAACGTCCGTGTATGTGCATCCACGTCAGGACGAGAGTCAGGGATGGGGCGGCTGATTGTGAAGGATGTGTCGGATATGGAGATGAGTGGGACGGCGAGATTGGGTGCCGAAGGGTATTGGACGAGGTCGAGGACAACTTCGATGCCGTTCCTGATATCTTCGCGGTCGTCCTGGGCTTGGTTATGGATGGCTGTGAAGCGTTGAACTTTGTCTCGTAATTCCTTCTGACGCTGGTATCCGTCCGTTCTTGGATCGAAAGAGATGCGGATGGGGTGTTGCGAGTTGGACCAGTACGTCACGCCTGCCCATGAGCCGAACGTAGGTAGCAAAGACGAGGACGTATCCGAGATGATAGAACGTTTGCCCGCTATGGATGAGTTAGTGGAGGAGGGGCGGTTGGTTGCAGAGGGAAGAGGAATAGCAAGGCAGAATGTCGCATAGACCCGTGTGGCGACGACGAGAGTGAGCGCCGAAGATGCTTGCTCGTCTCTATCGAGTTTGGCTGGCCAGATAGCGAATTCAGTGCCCGGTGCGATGCCTTGTAGTTCGCCTGCTTCGATCCTCACCGCTACCTCTCCTCCCTCTCCTGAACCAACACTCGCATTGGGAGGTAACGCCACAACGGGAACTAAGCCCCTATTCACGCCCACCGCCCTCCCGTTAAAAATAGTCCAATCCTTCGCGTTCCGGCCCTCACATTGTGGATGCTGCATCCCAAACGGCATGATATGATTCTGAAGATCGTCGAACAATTCGGTGTAGGTGATGGTATGGAGGCGGGAACGATGCGTCTCTAAGGCCTTGAGGAGACCTTCCGTGAAGAGCCCGGAATTGTTCGTGCCTTCGTAGGCTACTTCGTCCTGACGGCATGCGGAGAGGAGGATATGGGTCGAGAGTGAAGGGTGTCGGAATTCAGGGAGGTATGCCATGTGTCGCGATACAGGGCCAACAGGTTCCGGAAGGGCTAAGAGAGCAAGTTCCTCGGCGAGCATTTCGGCCAGGATGTCTGGATCAGTCAACGGAGGCGCGAACCTGGGTCTCAACACCACGTTCTCCGCCTCAGACTCAGATTGTACCTCCGCCCTGACCGCTTTATGTATCCCGCGCGTCCCACTGCCGGAATGACAACAATCGAGGATGACGGTGATGTTGTTCCCCTTTGCGAGCGAGAGGTCGAGCAGCATCTTGCCTAGTGTCGAGTCCCGAATGTCCCTCACTTTTTTGCCATCTGGGTCGATGCAGCCGCGGTCGTGAGGACAGATAGCTTCGTAGTTCCCGTCATCTGTATCGTACTTCTCTCTCTCCCTCGGCCTCATCAGATAGTGCGTTCCATGGCCCGCGAAATATACCAAGATCGGGTCGCCGTGCTTGATATCGTCGTTGTTGAGGAGATGCGAAGCGAAGGAGGAGAGGATGTTGGAGCGGGTAGCGGCAGAGTCGAAGAGGGTGAGGATGTGGGAGGATGAGACGTGGAGGGACGTTTCGAGGAAATTGACGATTGACTTGGCATCGCTGACGGCACATTCGAGGTCTTCGAAAGAGCCTGAGGATTTATCGGCATATTTGTTTATACCGATGATTAGGGCGTGGAGGTTGAGGTTGGGCGATGGGAGGATTGAGGAGGGCATCTCTTGCTGGATGTGAGGAGGTAAGAGGCGAGGACAGCATCGAGCAGGGTGTTTTCGTACCGTGTGAGAGAAGGTATTCAAGGGAAATGTTTGGTGCTTTGAAAAACCCAGAAAATTTGCAAGTGTCTTTGCGAAAGTGAGCATGTTATCCGGGGACTCGAGGGGATGAGAAAGATGGACGTACGTTCCGTCAATGGCCTCTGAATCGTCTGCAAGCCATCGAACAAAGGGAAGAAAGAACGAAGGACACAGCCATTTCACCCATCCTATGATCATCTTCGATTGCGATATTTAGAACCGCAGAACGCATGAGTACTAGGACGCTGGACGTCCATTTGCGGGTTAGCGCTCAAAAGTTTGATGCTGAGCTTGAGGGAAGAGGAAGAAGGGCCACATCGTCGCCACCATCTTTCAGTAGGGGTAAGCAGTACACGTGGCACACGTGGTTTACACACTTTCACACAGTTCGTGTTGTTGAACTTTGAAGTTATCGTCGACATCGACATCGACGACGACGACAACCAGAGTAGGACCATTCACCCACTCGCGCTTCCTACCATATTGGTAGAGGAACAAAGAGACTCACATAACTGAACCCTCATTCCGATGGCTGTCCTGTTAGTTCTTGCTCTCCACCCCCACTTTCTTCGATTGCATGGCTCCGTTCTCTGCTCTGGCTGGTGTTTCTGCCCTCTCTGCCGTCTGGATCTACTACGGCGTCATCGGGTGTCGAGAACTTCATCAAGCAATTTGGCTCAGCTGTATATCACATTCGCATGGACATTCATCGCATCCTTTCTAATCCGCTTTCTCCATGCTCATACCGCGGCTCCCTGCGGCGCTTTGGCCCACTTTACACTACGACTCCGTCGACCTGTGCGTCACTGATCGCACAGCGACTTCATACAACCATGATTGTGCTTGTCGACACTCTGCTTTCTTGACCGAAACCCATCAACGGGAGCGATTTTCGTCACATCACGATCTCATTATACGTTTCCGCCTCGAACAATTCCCCCTGGGCTTTCGTCGGTGCCGTTTCATTCTAGTTTGTCCCAAGTGGACAGCCTGAAACCCTTGTATTACCCGTGCTACCCTTGGATTTGACTGTATCGACTAAGGTTAGTTCAAGAAACCACCCTTGCGCTGCGATCTTTCTTTGTCCCTCTTGACTAGGTGTCACTCTGAATACTGTAGCGCTTGCTAAGAGAGCGGTTTCTACGTGTCATCGCCACAAACCCATATAGTTGGCCTAGCCTACCTCACTTCCTGCCCCGCCCACTACCTATTTGACTACTTGAAGAGGGTCCCTGTCTCACCTAGGGGTTCCGATTTCTCTTTAGTGCGCTAGGTTAGCTCCAAAGCTGTATGCAGCGAGCGCGAGTGCGAGCCTGCACAGTTATGTATTTGGTGAGATATGGCGTCGTGGTCTATTCTTCCTTCGGACCTCCCTCGGGTTATATATGCTCCTTTGACGCTCTGGACATGCGCGTATAAGTATCGTGCCTCGTGGTCCTTGTAGCAGCTTTTTCCCGCTAAAGAGTCAGTGTATTGCTAGCGGAGGACTCGAGACTGTGCTTTGTTACTGGATAATTGGGCGGTCTTATCAGATTCATGTCTTCTGCTTCTTCATTGGCAGCTGTTATAACACAGGCTAGACTTTTGTAAGCCTCGTTTTGTCTTTTCCCACATATCTTCCTGTCGAGTCGCCGTCATGATTGACGACTAGCGTTCAGGCAAGCCACGAACTACGCAGACGTCTCCGCACTCGGTACGTCACTTCTCATCGTACCAATCAACGACACTTTACTGACATCTCATCATCTCTTCCGCTCACTCGTACCCATATTATCTTCATGCGTAGCCCTCTGGATCTACGACTACCTCCAAACCTTCCACTTCGAAATTACGCTTTTCTGGCTCGCAGGGAATTATCACAACCGAATATCCCTCACATCTGCCCTTTTCCTCCTAAATAGATATGTATTTCCTTTGTCGATGTTCCTGTTGGTGATCATGGCAGGACCAGGAAGGATGGACGAGAGCTCGTACGTCTCACACTAACTCATCCCGCTGAAATTGCCGCACGGGGTTCTCGGGGTGTTGCCTATACATGGTTTATGTTCTAGCTGTTCCGCGCTCGGGATAGCCTACTATATCTTGGTACCAATCACACTAGTCACTTCATCCGGTCAGTATTTATTATTCCATCCACCAAAGAGACCGTCACCTAAATCAGTATACGCGTCCTTCGCAGCTCTTCTTATAGTCCGCGTATACGCTCTCTATGGCCGACGCAAGTCGATTCTCGTCGTTTCGGGGGTGATCACTGCTGCTCGCCTGGCTTTGGACATCGTCGTAAGTTTGCCTCTACGCCATCTTCTTCTGATACCGTTTGCATTGGTGAAGGGCTGAGGGGTACACGTGATAGTGTGGTCTGTTCTGGCAAACGACGACATCGACGCTCGGGACGTCATATGCCCCATTTTCGCGTTGTCGAGGGGCGATTAAGACGGATGTGACGGCGAAGTATCAAAGGTACGGTTTTTGATTAATACCACACTCCGTTCTCCGTTCCTTTATGCATACTCACTCCCCTTTTTGAATTCTGGCAGCGGTAAGCCAAGCCTAGACGCTTTCGCTCGACGAAGCCGACATCCAATCCGAAAGACTCATGAGCACGCGCATGTATACAGCACAGATCGCTAACGTTGTCCTTGCGCTGATCTTCGACCTCGGCGTATCGGTGCTTACGCTGTTAAAGACTTATAGACATGCGATGGCGGTGAGGAGGAATGGAGGTACTAGTGTTACGAATATCATGTGGAGGGATGGTGAGTTCATGAGATCGCTCTTCTTTGAATACGTTCTCCCTATTCGCTGTTTTTGTGTTGTGGAGGGTTATCTAATTGAGGTGGTGCCGGATAGGGGTGGTTTACTTCCTGATTATGCTTCTCATCGCCGTTATTTCTGTTGTCGCTGTCATCGTAAGTTCTGTACTGATTCCCCTGGTCATGAATCCTAAACGGTCTTACTCATCATACCTGCATCATCCACTTAACGCAGCTTCCGACTACATCGAGCAAAGGCGTGAGTGCGATGCTATCATACAACCGATTGTTTCGCCGTCCCACCTAAACGTTCTCTAGCTCTCCAGCACAGGATCAACCTTCCTCACTCTCCTGTCCCCATTTCTCGCCACGTCGGTATTTTCTCTCTTCGCCTAACCTTGTTACATGCAAGCTTACTTACATTCACTTACACTCGACTTGATCCCGTCAGACTGCCCAATATCGCAATCAACCGCCTCTTCCTCAACCTCCGCTCCTTCCGTCCCGACTCTTCCGCAAGTACATCTTCAACTTCAGAAACCGTAACCGGCTTCGAGTGCTATCCGAACAGTACTGGAACTCACACAGAACTCTCTACGATGCCGCGAAGTCCTCGAAGACCGGGAAAAAAGGTACGCAGAGTAAGCTCGATGCATTTTGCGAGGGCACCGAGCGCGTGGGTTGGAAGTATGAGTATGAGTAGGGGGACAGGTACTTCGGGGACGCTTATGGACATTGAAGCTTGAAGAGTAGAGGGTTGATGTGGAGATATAATAGATGTAGCAATGAGAGACTCGGATCGTGACGCACAGAGCTCTGAGGTAGGAGCGAAGGGCAGGGGCTCAGGTACTTGGACAATTCTGGACCCTCAACTATTCCCGTATCCACTTATATTTTGAAAGCAACATGTATACGAGGAACAAACCGGGGATTTGTCAATGAACTCTCCTTGGTTTTGAGTGCATCCATCGACGTATGTAAAGACGGTGAAGTGTTCTGAGTTTCTGATCAATAACCAACCTAATTTGTCTCATCACGTGCGTGCAGACCGACAGGACTGCCATTATTTATTGAGAGAAATTTGTTCGGTGTAATAATGAAACTATCCAACAGTAGCTGGGATGTGCGGCCCGACTAAATGATGACATGTTCATGGCCTTCATCCTCTTCGGTACAATTCTTTGGCTTACAGAGCAGTTTCTGAAACTGGATTCGTCATCGCTTATGATAGCGAAGACCGTCTCTCCTCTGAAAGTTTGCAAAATTCATACAATAACTTTGTGGATCCTACTACAGTATATGTGAAGTTCAAAACCTGAAGATGATACACTGTCAACGAGCTAGCAGTGCGCGAATCTAAACTATCCGGCAACACTGTCCCAACGACCGTACGCACTGTGACGAGAATAAATACTTATTGCCCACACCACTTTGAACGAATATGTGGAATCTGGTGTTCAAGAACGATGCTTGACTTCCGTTTTTTACATCCATCATCTAACATGCATATATATAGAGTCTCTAACTTCGTGGCTGTAACGGGCAGGTCTACGGAAAGGCGAACAAGAATCCGGGCGGGAAAGGGACCCGCCCGAAACTGGTGTTGAACAGACGAGGTACAAGGACAGCTACGCTACAAGTATAAATACCAGAAAGTCGAGCTGAGTAAGGATAGGAGAATAAAATATACAGATAGGAGGAGAGGAAGGAAGGAAGGAAGGAAGGAAGGAAGGAAGGAAGGTATATTCAGAGTACAATATGGTCCCACGAGGAACAATACTCCTATCTGTAGCCAGGTACATGCATTAAAAATGTACTGCTACAGAGGCCATCGGATATCTCTAGACATCTCTACCGCTTTGACCCTACGAAGAGCATCTCACGGTCTCGGATTTCCCAAAGCCAAAAATCCATTACCGGAGCTCATATACCACCCACAGAACCAGAGGCAAAATCAGAACCTACGATACTACTGAATGACAAAAAAACAAATTGCTTCCGATACTAAACACTGCATCGAGATGAGCCTGAACCTGTGATGATGCATACAAATACCGTTTTCGGAGGCGGTAGATGATGCATTCATGTCTCGGCCTACTCACCAGTGTGTCGTCCTGTGTACATATACCAAGTAAAAGGAAGCAAAGCCAAAAATGTTTCAGTAGGTAACGGGTGTCTGGAGGTCCCTTGGTCAAGCGATGTAGTGTCGAGTCGCGATGTAGTACCTCAAGTGCGAAGAGTCCGAGTTTTTCGAGGCCAGAAAGCGGTGGCGGGCTTGTCTGAACCAATAATCTCTCCAAAAACCTGTATACTTAGTGACTACCTGATTGACGACCTTCGGAGACGTGTCAAATATCGAGCTAAGTAGTCAGTGCGAGGCTTCCGAGATAGGGAATTGCAGGCGGTCCACTACGGATAGGAGCGCATAGTATAACGTTGAGACAGATGGAGGTGTAACCTCGAACCCCATTTAGACAGCCCCATATCACACTTGCATACATTTCCACCATATAACATCGCAGTAAACTTGCAGTGGACACCTCTACTTGCTATATTCACGAGTTGATTTAGGGGATAAAAAAATAATTACTGTTAGCAAGCACAACCACAGCCGTCACAGACCCACTATAAGTATACACTGGTTCGTGTCTGATTTGAAGTGTGGCACGGGCGAAGGTTTATCGGAGCTTGATAATACCCGGGTGTTGCCGAAGGAACTGCTCGGTTCGTGTCGCAAAACCGGCATCGGCATTAACTGCCCTAAACGGCTAGGACGGCACCCCGGGGCGGTATAACTGGTCTACCCGGACTCGAAGCGCGTTGTAACGCATGCCATGAGAAGAAAGTCTAAGAGTTTTCAACCGGCCGGTAAATCCGGGGGTTACTTCCGGGGCTACACAGCTCGACCCCGCTTCCGCAACTTCCTGGAATGGGGTTTCCGTCAACAACGGGAAGCGGGGCGTGCAAAGGCTTCCGGACAGGCTTCCAAAAAGCACTGGAATGGAAAGACCCCGGAATTCTTCCAGCAACGATCTGGACAAGCGGGAAGAGCGCAGGAAGTGCTCCCAAGAGGGCTCCGGGAATCTGGACGGGCTTGCCCAGAGGCTGGACTGTTGATTGAGGTAGGAGGATTTTGGGTCAATAGCTTCGGCTTGTGCGAGAGACATGGCTACTTACCGTTGATAGTTGTGCTGCCGGGCGTTGAATACTGTACTTTTTCGCGCACAAGTTCACGCCACCGCCCCTCGGCCGTTGCCGAGATGACATAATCCATTCGTGTCCCGGTTCGCAAGCAGACCGGGACAAGGGACAATGTTCGTGAACATCGACGCTTTTGCAGGGACACGACCTTTCGTAACCGTTCAACAGGCATTTACCCTCTGAATTTGGGTGGAAGAGCTCACCCAGTAGCAAAATCTAGCCCAAAGTGTGTCTCGGAGGCCTTCCTGAGGTCAATTTAGGAGCCTAAAATATATTCACATTTTTGTCAAATTTGGGTCAAATTTTGGTTTGTCCTACTTACAAGTTCCGTGCACGTCAATGGGGTGGGACTGTCCCGCGGCACAAGTTCGTTCGCGGCCCCCATGGGACACGGGACACGAACTTGTGCGCGGAAAACTACAGTATGTCTGGCATGATGGTCTAGAGGAGCAGATGTAATGAATCAAAACGTGCTGCGCAAAGTCAAGCCATAAAAAGGCTCGTTATACCTGTTGGCCTGTTGGCAAGAACTTCAACGGGGCGTGCTAGAGTTTACTCCCTGCCTGAATCGCTCACAAAAGGTTTGTTAGAATGCTGCCTGAAAGTGCAACTCTTCCGTGTGTTGCTGAGAATGACAAGCGTACTAAGTGTAGATCAGCTTGCCTCTTCTTTTGGTTTACGAAGAACAGCCGGAGTCGATGGTCGACAGTCAAACAGGAAATACTGTACTATTTCGACCGTAGGCCATGGTCACACGTCACAGCGGGCATATGGCATGGCCTAAACACCTTTTGTCACAGGTCACAGGCCCTCTGAGGCATTATTTATTCGTTTTTTCGTCCGGGCTTCGCCCAAAACGGTAACTTACCTGCCTTTTAAGGCAAGTCGGTCACAAATTTCTGGGGCCGATGGCCTATTTACACCCATGGCCTAAGTGCCACCCTTGTCACAGGTCACACCCCGCTGGCCTACGGTCGAAATAGTACAGTAAACAAACAATACACGTGGCCGTGTCGCAAAAAGGGCTCCGGGGTTATACCGCCGGACCTGATTCGGACCGCAATAACGTGCGTTATAACGTGCGCTGTAACCGGGTTAGAACGACCCCAGTTCCGTTGGCACGTCCGGCTCGGCGAGATGACGCCTGATAAGATAATAACGCGGGTTATAACGCGTTCATCGTCCGTTACAACGGGCGGTATGTCGGAAAACTGAAATCGGGCCTATAAAGCCGGTAGGTGGCACCGTTCTGCTCCCCGATTAGGCATGCGCGCGTTGACCCACCCAACTCTAAAACACCCTCAAACTCACTCAGATGAACAGTTGCGATGTCGCTCTATGGCCACAACCTACGAAAGTCACCATCCATCCAATAACCCGTGGCCATCCAGCGAGGTTTCGACAAAGGGACCACCACAGCGAAATGTTCATGGATTGCAGGCAGGCCACACCGGCACATCCTGGACAGCGCCTGCTCAATGGACACGGCCTGATGACAAATCACGTTTAAATTGAAGAACCCTGGTCTCGCTTGTGTGATACCAGGACCCCCGAAAATTGGCTGAGAGGCCATTCGGAACATTCTGAGAAATCCCAAAAATCCCCGGACAGCATTTTGCCAGTTTTCCCCGGAAAACGAAACGGCCTCAGCGATTTCTGCCAAAATCCCCCGAATTTCCGGAATGGCCTCAGAGCCGAAAAAAATGCCAAACAATTCCGGAAATAATAATTTTCCTCCCAGGCGTCGGTATCGTGCTCTGGGAGGTCAAAAATCATGTTTGCGAAGTGAAGAACTCACTTTCCATGGCCAGAATGACGATGAGCAAACGGGCTGATGTGGGGGCCACACCGAACAGCCAAGGAACGACCAATTTTACCCGGAAAACGAAGAGGCCTTCGGTCTCTAGACTCATTTTACCCCGGTCTTCCGTAACGGCCTGTGGGCCCAATCTGGCCCATTTTCCCCGGAAAACCAAATGGCCTCAGGGGTCCAAAACCCAAAATTTCCCCGTTTTTCCGAATGGCTTCTCAGCCAGTTTTCGGGGGTCCTGTGATACCCGCGACTACACAGCCCGACGCGTCTTCCGGAACCCGCACGGAAACCAGATCTGCGAAAGCGTCTGGAAAGGTGGCTAAGGATTTCCGGACACAACACACCGGAAATCTTTGGAAGAAGAAATATACCGGAAGCCTTCCACACCCGCAAAGGGCAAGAGGTGATAGTGTGATGAAGGAGGCCGCCCTCTCGGACGATCTGAGCGTCGTCCACTTTCGGTTGGCTTTCGGTACACCTTCCGGTACCGGCATTTCAGGATTCCGATTCAATTGGGCCAGAAGATATTTAAGAATAAAATCATATTTTATTCCATCTATGCTACCATACACGCAGCAACACACTACAAGCTAAAGTACAGAAGAGATCGCAACCCTACTGCAGCCCTCGAGTGACCAGAGTAGCAAATCAGGTTAATTAAGAAACTCAGCCGAGGAGCCAAGTGACAAGACACCGGCCGCTGATTCAGGCTTAGCATCGTAACCCTTGGCTCGTCTGCGTAACATTGTTAGCTATGGACACTGGTGTCAGTAAGTAAACGAATGAACATACCATTGGGGGCAAAATATATGGGACAAGGAGGGCGGCGGGCTGTCAGCGCTATGTCAGCATTGAGTGCAATAGAGAGCGAGTAGAGTGAGAATTTTACCTACATGGATCTCGCAAGGGAAGAGGCATCCGACTGAGCGCCCTCTTCTCGTAGAGTCATTCAACTGGCCTACCTGGATAACAAGCGGCGGGCAAGGTAGCGGCGGGCGGTCAAAGGAGCGCGAGCCGTAACTCCAGGAAGACAGTCGGAGGGACATCGATGGTGGAACGCAAGAGGCAAACTGGGACAAGCGGCGCACCCAAGCGATTGCCTGATTCGGACGGAACCGCCCCGTTGGCTCACTCGTCCGCCACGCGTCTCGCGCGACTTGGAGAGCGAGAACGTCGACGCGCCGCTAGCTACCTTTTATCGAGCCTTTCTTAGCACACTATTCCCATCCATTTAAGCCTTATGCTGCACAGTAAATATATTCTAAACATGCATAAAGGTGGTCTCAAGGACCATGGACATTGTTGGAGCTGCAGTAAGGAGTAGCATGAGGGCCACATCTCTCGCCACCCAAAATACTCTGAGTATTGGCCGAATCTGGATGTCTCACATTTTTGGTGTTCCTATTCCTTCTCCTGCAAGGCCCAATACTTCTTTCAGATGGCTCGAAAATCCGCCAAACCTCGAAAACCTGTGGAGCCCGAAGCAATAAGTCAAGGTAGTCAATGGTTTAACACATCACCGAGCAAATACAATGGGAAGACGAGCTCCTCAATCGCCTCACCGAAAACGTCGTCGTCGGATGTCTTACCGTTACAAGGCACTACTACGCCTTCCACCAATACCCCGCAGCCCGAAACACCCATTCATTTCCCTACCCCTCTCTCTGCTCCTCCGACAAAATTCGTGGTCTATAAGTCCAAAGAAGCCAACGGAGACGAATCATCTGGCTTGAATGCCCATGCACGTGCCTCCGATATCCCTCTTGACCAGTTGTACATCTCCTCCCAGCAAGAATCCGAAATCCGGGCCCTCTACGCTCACGGAACGTCCGTCGTTGACCACATCTTCGATATAAGCGACAGGTTAGACCAGGCGGAGGCAATGCGACTTCTTGAGGGCTATGGTGTGGACGAGGCGTCGAGGGAGAACATGGGGAATCGCTGGAGCATTCGGTGGAAGGGGGAGGGGCCGAAGGTGGGCGGAAAGCCTTCACAACGGGTTCTCTATCAATGGTGAGCACAGTTGCTGATGATCCAGGCTAGAAGAGAATATTGATAATCGGTCAGTAAATGCGGGTACAACGAAGAGAGTCTTGGTTCGAAAAAACGCCACACTACCTTTCCCTTCACCTCCTGTCTCGGTCACTGTGAAGTTGTATACTCCACCAACATCGTATTGCGTATACGAGGGCTCTTCAATCACAACGATGCTTGCCGTTCTGCAAAGATGTCTCACCTGCCTGTATTCCCCGTTCATCCCGAGGTCTGGAAAGTCGCACTGCGTCAGCTACGGGATGGAGGTGTGTGGTCCGATATCAGGGAGAAGAACAGACTACTGGTACGCACTGGTGGATATCCCGGGATGTCCAAGGATTGGACGTCGTCACCGTACCGCTGGCTGCTCAAGCAGGGCGATTCACGCTCCTTGTATCGCCAGTTTCAGCGCTTGGGCGGCGTAGACGTCGATACCGCACCGCATCGCAACGTCGACCACTGGCTGAACCCCTCCCATCCCGAATACAATTCCACTCTCGCCGAAGCCGTATTCCACTACTCGGCCCGGACAAAACGAAGTGAGCGCTTCGAAATCTGCATCGCCACCCCGGAGATGAAGAGCGCTGCATGGAAGTACGCACATAACTCGCAGATCATTCTCGACGGTACTTTCGGTGTCTGCAATAGCAAAATCTTACTATTCATTGCCATGGCGCTTGACGAAGAATCGAGAGGCGTACCTATCGCGTTCTTCCTGTTCTCTGCTCCCTCTGGTAACAAGTTCACACCGAGCGGATACAACACCGAGATCCTCACACGCTTACTTACCGAATGGAGAAAGTCCATGGGCGAACAAAACGGGAGTTCCTTCCATGCCCTTGTCGCGATCACAGACACCGATACGAAGGAACGGAACGCACTGCTCAAAGTGTTTCCGGGCATCTGGCTTATCCTCTGCAAGTTTCATCTCCGTCAGTGCTGGACCAATCATCGCAACCATACCCTCAAGAGTAACTCACAGATCGTCGGTGCCTCTGAAATCATCACACGGCTCGTACGCCTCGAGGATGCCTTGGTGGCTTCACTGGTCCACGTAGACGCTATACGACTCGTTACGGCAGAGAGGGAGACATTGGAGGCCCTGAAAGCTTCGGATCCATCAGCGGCAACAGCAGCAGATGCCGGGATTTCTCACCTCAAATATCTCAGCGACAACTGGGTTGACGATGAGATGCTGTGGAAGTCATGGTCGAACCATGGCCGCCACGTCGCCGCGAAGATCCTGGGATGTACGTTCGAGTTCGTCCTACCGACCACGAATCATCTTGAGTCCTTCAACAACCTCCTCAAGAACAAGCACTTACACCGCTGGCAAAACAACAGTCGTCCTCTTCGACTTGATGTCCTCGTCAATCTCCTCGTCTTCAAGGTCTTTCCATCTATATTTGAAGAGCGGAAGATGGCCCATCAGCTCAAAATTGCTTGGGAAACGCGAATACGGCAGGCAGGGGGCGGTCACTTACTTGGCGCGCGTCGTACAACTCTGGAGCGACCAACGATTGCGCATCTGGAGCCCGACGAACGCCGTGATTCCGATGCACAGGCCCTGCTGGAGAAACGTCAAGTCAGCACCCCCGTTCTTGATCTGGAGACGAAAACCATCACCTTCCAATGCTATTCGGCTGCCGCTCTATCTGTCGACACGGAACCTGTCACATACACGATCATCATTGAGTTGACCGGCGCTGCTCGTTGCGATTGCGAAGACTTTCGAAGGCGTGGTGGGGCCTGCAAACATCTTCGTGCAGCACTACTTCAGCTCTCGGCATTAAAGCAAGCAGGAAAGAACGTACCGGCAGCTCCATCGATCCCTAAAACCGTTGACGAAGCGCGTATACTTGAGGCGAGCCTATTCGCCAACGCTCTGGCATCATCTGGAGACCTGGCTGGTACTACAAGCCCCATCAAGCGCGCGGTCGAGAGCGTTGACGACATCCTGAGGGAGGGCGAGGGAATCTACGAGGTGAATGATGGAGTGGCAGTAGTAGGCAATAGCCATTCAGAATCTCTTGGGGGGCGGACACCATCAGAGTACACGAGTGAAGCCGATCCCTCTGAGTATGCCAGCGCGGGAGACGTCGATGCAGAGGAGAGTCGTGTCGTGGGAGACACAGAGATGGAGGACGGTTCTGAAGAACGCGCACAGGTCGCCGTGTACAAAACTTCGGAACTTCACACGATGCCGGATACGGATCAGGAATCAGAAGCGCCCATGCCGGCATCCTTCGAGCTGAAGCCAGGAGACGCCAGAGCCACCGTGAACACACAGACGCTGATCCGCACATTCTTCGAGCTCGCAATAACTACTCCGCGTCTGAGCGAGTTCGCAGACGAACTGGGCCACACACATCTCGAGAAGGACAACCACAAGATCTATCAAAAGGCACAGCTGGCCTTGACACATGTCAAGGCTCTTTGTGACCAGCTAGAGCGTCTCACAACCGAGTTCACAACCATAGAAAGTCAGCCAGAGACAGAGGATGCAGGACCGCCACAGGTGGAGGCACCGACAACGCCACAACGCCCAAGCAGGACGACGTCGGCCCCTAAACGCAAGTTGAACAAGTCGCGTGCAAGGTCCGATTCAATCTCCGACGAATCTATACTCAATCCCTCACCTCAGCCAAAGCAAAAAAGAAAGAAATCCTTCAAATCAATGTAGTACTTTTAGCGGGCTACTAGACATATATTATTGTTTTATTATTGATAGACTATCTATCTACGATGAAGCTACAATGTAGCTAGCGGCGCGTCGACGTTCTCGCTCTCCCAAGTCGCGCGAGACGCGTGGCGGACGAGTGAGCCAACGGGGCGGTTCCGTCCGAATCAGGCAATCGCTTGGGTGCGCCGCTTGTCCGGCAAACTGGCGAAGTCGCGCTCGCATTGACAGGTTTTATGGGGCGGCCGCATCACGGATCCCCGCCGAGCCTTGCAAGCAATTGTACCGAATAAATGGTGGCGAAAGGTGGCGGTGGGTTAGGTGCAGTTATATTGCACCTGAGAACACTTATTTACGCCGAAACAGGTTGTTCAAGCTTAGAAAGCTACGGAATGTTGCATTGGCTTGGTATCAGCCCCATTTCTAGACCCGCCGAGTTCGGCAGGAATCGATGCGTCACCAAAGAAGGTGCAGTTTGGGACTCAGCGTGGGACTTGCCAGCGCACTCATCATTTTCTTGCGCGGGCTGAATCCCTTTCGAGTCGTACCACCATCATCCCCTCTTCTCCGAAGTTTGAAGCTTTCGCTGGCCACTTCGTCTTCACCCTTAGCATTTAGTCTACGCTGGCCGGAGCCTTTTTCTTTCACATGGCGCTACACGACGCCCTGGACTGTTCGCGAGACGAGCGCGCCGTGTCAGCGCGAAGGTGGTAGGTGACGTCCGTCAATGTTGTTGCATCCGTTTCGTTTCGTTCCTTTTCGTCTCCCTAGTCTATTTCCCTATTCGTACTCGCTTTCGTCCCTTCCCACATCCCTTCCGCACAAGACGAAGCAGACACTGTGCTTCGTCTTCGGACTAGGGGATGACATCATCAATGTGCGGCGTGAACTTGAATGTCGCACGCGACGCGCTGCCAGGCTGTCGTGTGCGGGCAACTACTTGTACTTACCTTAGTCCCTCATCTCGAGCACCTCTACGTACACTCGCATCTCCTCTCCGATGACCCCAGTAAACTATTATATTTTTCTTACTTTCTTTCGTCTCATCTCTTGCCTGCTGTCCCATCTGTATGACATGACTCCACCTGTAATTGCTACCTATATGCTTATGTACCACTGTGTAATGTAGCCCTGCTCAATACACGAAACGATTGTCCGTGAAAAGTTGACTGCTCGATTACGCTGTCAAAATGGGCACCCGGTGGGACAACCTGAGCTGAAACGATGAGCCCTTCCACAGATTTCGAGAGCATGTAGTAACTTGGGCACCCTCGCTATAGACCTTGCAATATGTGAATGAGCACAATAACCCATTTTACTTGTTGTAGTAGTATTTCAGCAATTGGATCTCATATATGACCTTGCGAACGAAATATATGAGCTTGTAGGACTCGGCGGTTTTCCGTGATGCGGTCCGAGAGCCCTTCACAGTCTGAGTCCAAGGGTTGTTCAACTTGAATTGAGCGAGCAGCGACTGCAGTATTCAGTTCAAGCTGAGTCCAAGCGCGACCGCGGGTCCGAATGGCCGCTGAGATCCTGATAAATATCTTCTCCCACCTCATCTCGTGGCCAATTGAGGAGGATGATAACGGTGCCAATCTCGTCGCGGCATCGCAGGTCTGCTCCATCTGGCGCGAAGTCGCCCTCGGCTGTCCACTCCTGTGGACGTTCATCGGCCCGACGATGAGCCTTCCTCGGATCCAAGATTTTCTTTCTCGCTCAGGTTCGGCGCAGCTAGATGCTGTTTCTCTGAATCTGTTTGCTCGACCTCAGGTTGAAGCAGCGCTTGAGCGCGTACTCCTGGAGACTCATCGTACACACACACTGCGATTGGCCATTACTGTACTTTTTCGCGCACAAGTTCGCGCCACCGCCCCTCGGCCGTTGCCGAGATGACATAATCCGTTCGTGTCCCGGTTCGCAAGCAGATCGGGACAAGGGACGATGTTCGTGAACATGGACGCTTTTTCAGGGATACGACCTTTCGTGACCGCTTAACAGCCACTTATTCTCTGCATTTGGGTGGGGGAGCTCACCCAGTAGCAAAATCTGGCCAAATTGTGTCTTGGGGGCCTTCCTGAGGCCAATTTAGGACCCTAAAATATATTCTCAAATATTCGTCAAGTTTTCGTCAAATTTTGGTATGTCCCATTTACAAGTTCAGTGCACGTCAATGGGGTGGGACTGTCCCGTGGCACAAGTTCGTTCGCGGCACCCATGGGACACGGGACACGAACTTGTGCGCGAAAAAGTACAGTACTCTCCCTACAAGTTGGGCTTTTCCAGAGGCATCAGTGATGAGACCATCGGAGCTCCATAGGATCTTACTTAACAAACTGCCAGATCTTGTTGCTTATTCCTTGCATGCATTTTCTCTATGCTATCGTACCAACCCGGAATCGCCAGGCACATTCGGCGCGGAATATGCTCTATGCCTTCCTGACCGCGTGTTCAGAGGCGAAAGTCCGAATCTTAGAAACCTCGTCATTCACTCTCCATTCTCCATTCTCCCTACATCCACGCTTTTATCGACCGTCACATCCCTCGAGTTCACCGGGATTCACGACATGCTGCTCATTGCGCTCATATTGAACTCGCCCAACGTCGAAAAAGTGAAGGCTGAGATCGATGACGATTTTGATGGGTGGTTGAAAGAACCAGTATCCATCCCACACCGCGTAGATGCCCTCCCTTCTCTGCACTCACTCGAAATTACCGGAATGGGCATTTGTCCCCTCCAGCTCTTCCATCTCCTCGAGCGCACGCCGCAGCTACGCCAACTGCACGTAAAGTTCGACTACTTGTCCGAAACCGACCTCGATCCCGCTCCGGTCTCCTTACCACATCTGGAGAGCGTGAAGCTCGTCTGCGTCGTAGAAGATGCACTGCCGCTCTTATCTCCTCTGACGCCATGGAGAGCAGCGCAGAATGTGTCTCGCATCGACCTTCATATTAAGCTGGACTGGACCCTCTCCAACGAGGACTGCTCTATGCTCAAATCTCTCTTCGATACCATTCCGCACGACAACGTCTTCGAGGTGATCCAAATCACTATCGTTCCTCATCACATGCTTTGTATAAGGGCTGGCCCAGCATCCTCATTGCATGGAGACCTTGCGCGTAATCCTCTCGCAGCAGACGACGTCTGGCTCGTCAAATTTACTATAGTATACGAACCTACTCAGGGGAACATCAGGATCCATAACCAGTCGATACCGGCGCTAGTGCAGCGGCTACTAGGCCCCCATGCCGTGCCACCTGGTCCTGACGAGACTCTCACCTAAACGACGCAAACAGCATCCGAGGTATGACATGGTGGAGGAATGGCGCGAGTTACTTCGTATATTCCCGAACGTCCAAGTCCTAGCGGTCGATTTACCCGATACCGAAAGGTTCTTCGAGGCGCTCCGTCCGCCACCCGGGGAGCATCATCTTCCCCAGTGGGACATTGTTCCAAGCTTGAGGAATATCATTTTTCTCTCCCTCAAGAACGATGGTGCGGACGCTTGGCCTGATGTTAACGCGCCTTCTTTAGTGGGACGAGGACGCCTAGGCCTGTTGATTGATGTTCTGAGAATAAGACGTCAGTTGCCCGGCGGTTGTGTGCTGTCGAGTGTTTCTTTTGCCCTATCCAAAATCTGCGAACGTCCGCTTGAAGAAAATGAGATGAGAGCTGTGAAGGCTGAGGCGGCGTTGGTAATGAGTTTGGAGCTCGACGATAGCAGTGGGACAGTAGAGACTGTGGTCAAGGAGCTGTAATCCTTGTCTGAGGCCGAGAGGCCAGGGAAGCAGATTCCAGGGTGCGCGTGGATTTGTGGAAGGAAGGATTTTATGAGCGGCATGAGCGCCCTATTCATGAGACATGATCGAAGGTAACAGTAGGACTGGGCGGACATGAATGAAATATTAATGAGAGTATATGGCCGAATGGGATACGCATGACTGTCGTCGGCTGGAATTCGAGTAAATATTGTCTAAGGGCGTTCTATGAGTATATGTGCGTAACCAGCCGCTGACCGTGACGACCCACAATGCAGCAAAGTTGTGCATAGCGCCCCTAGTGTACAGGTTCAAGCCAATGTCAATAACTTCATCGTCAAAGCAAAATGACCAGAGCTTTCTGCACCCATGCTTATCCATCATTATGTTCTCAACACATGTTTTCCACAAGTACTTAGCCCGAGCAGAACGCAGATGTACTCGAAACTCCCGCGAACGGTCCGCAATTGTCGATCGGGTCATCATGATCATACACCTGAGGCCTACATACACGACGAGCGCGGAGCAAGAATCGATACGATCGCGATCAGTCAAATGCTCATGCTCATCAAGGATCAGAATACTAGTACTAGTACTCGGAGACTAGTCAAAATGCGTAATGCGTAATGCGTATCGTGGATCGTGTATCACCGCAAGATGATTGATCCGGTTGACCAGGCTTGAAGGGGACACAGAAGGCAAATAGGAGGAGAGAGATGATCTGCGATATAGGCTTTAGACGGGACGCGAGGGCGGACGCTTTGAATTCGATGGGAGGGAGATTGAACGGAGAGAAGGATGCGGCCTGTGAGGATGGGATATCGGGATGTCGGTGCGAGGCAGGGATGAGAACCGTTGGATCTTTTATTTGAGCAGGGGGTGGCGGGAGAACGAAGAGTAAGTCTGAAGAGAGTGGGAGGAAAAAGAGACCGCGAAATGAAACGACCAGTAAATGGAAAACGAAGAGCATAGGAAAAGAAAACGAAGAGCATGTGATGGACGGATGAAAATTTAAGTGACGATTGATTCGCACGTTCATGGCGGACCTGGTGTAGCCTAGTGTTCGCTGGGGCGCTGTGGTGATGGTGAGGTCATTTAACACGGAATTTAAATAGAGCTCGCAATTTACTCCCTCGTTTAGCTGTTGTCGCAGTTTTTCACTTCGGCAGAAGGGGTCAGTCTTTTTTGGCCATGAACCCGTCAGCCCATAAATCGGCAAAAAAGCTGGATCAAACGACACAGTTTTATGAACAAAACAGAAGTATCAGCGCCAGTTTCGGCGTCGTGAGTTTCCCTACTAACAGCCTAAACCTCACCTCATCAGGCGATAAAGATCACACGTCGCCAGCTCGTCTCACCCATCCACATCGAGTTCGAGCTTCTAGCGTGTATAAACAACAGGAAGTATCCCACTCGGTGTGCTATCGGTCTCCAAAGTCAAAGTCTGATGACGCTACACTTCGCATACGGCAAACTGTAAACACGCGCCTACAACTCGTGCGCTGTACGGCCTACCGAATGGGTACAGATAAACGCCATATCAACTCGTTCAAAGATTCGGGAAACTAGCCATAAGCTGTTTTTAGAGAACGGCTATCGTAGGCGCTGAGAGAAAGGGAAAAAAGATTATCAGCCGCAGTCTGAGGGTGGGTGAGGGTGTGACGGGTGAGGGGTGACGAATAAGTGTATTATGACGTTCGATGGAGTGCACTGACAGAGCGAATCAGCTTGCATGTGTGTATACAGGAGCGGGTCAGGTTCAGCGTTAAGTAGAGGGTACAGAAGCAAGCAAAGCCATAGGTCATTAGGTGTTAGGAAATAGGCGTGAAGTAGGAACTCATCACGCACCGAGATGAAGAGCATCCACTGGCACTTTCTCATCTATCAATTTCGCATCTTACAATTTTATAACCTATACCTTTTCGGATATCAGTGGTGTCGGACGCCGACGTCGCTGGACGACCGATCATGATCGTATTCAACCGGGGTGAATCAGAGCACGACGCATAGCCTGAGCGAGCCGCCAGACACGGGTGGCGAATGCGAATGCCGATGGACACGAAGAACCGAGAGGCTGAAGAATCGAAGCCGAGGGTCCGAAGCTTGACGCCGCTCATGAGACAACGCTGCGAGAAGGAGTGAACGTAAGTGCACCGCAGTTATCTGAATCTAACAAGTGTCGAGCAGGAGGAAGGCCGTCGAGAAACGTGATCCTGACAGCGATAGTCACAACGCACATAGGAGAAGTATACATAGGTCCCTATTTACCGCGTTTTTCTGTTCTGGGGCTTGGATCGAATACATACATACAGGAAGGAAGGAAGAAGGAAGGAAGGTTTATTCAGGATACAAAGTGGGCCCTTAAGGACCAATATCCCTATCCGTAGCAGGAGTTGTTGAAACTTGATCATAGGCCTATATAGCGCTGAGCGGCTCGTCTGAATCAGTTTTCATGTACGGGTCAGGGTCAGTTCTAGGAGGGAGGTAACGTCATAAGTCATTCGCCAAAAGATGTAGCGGGGGCTCACCATGCACCGAGATGAAGAGCGTCCATTTATGAATGTCATTTTTGAACTTATCAGACTCGGGTGTCAGTGGCGCCGAGGAACGCTGAAGTGAATGAGAGTACTGTGCACAGCGAGCCGTCCAGGACGGATAGACACGAAGAACCAAGGACATAAAAAATGAAGGTGAGGATCCGGAGCTTGAATAGAGACGTTGCGCAATGGTGAATTTCTCCATTGGAGCGTCCGCCAAAGTGGGGCGGTCACGCGCCAAACCGAATGGTGAATTTCTCCATTCCGCAACGTCTCTAATGAACGTAAGTGCATCAAGGAACAACTGGCAGGTGTTGAACAAGAAGAAGAAGAAGAAGACTCTCGAGAAACAGGCGTGAATCTGGTAGTGTAGTGTAAGGCTGTAGGTCCCTATTTACCACATCCAGTGACGAGTCAAAAGGGAAAGGCTTGTAGCAGTTTGCATATACGGGTCAGGTTCAAGTCAGTTCTATCGGGAGCAGTCAGCGTAGTATGCGGTGATAGTAGGAATTTGTCACGCACCGAAGTGAAGAACATTTTTCTAAGATGTCAGTGGCGTCAAGCGTGTTCGGAGACCGACGTTGCTTGCCATTTTGATCGTATGGAATCGGGGTGAATCAGAGTACGTACAGTTCGTAGCAAGCCGTCCACGACGGATGGACACGAAGAAGTGAGGATCCGGAGCTGAGCACCGAGACAACGCTGAAAGAAGGAGCGAACGTATGATAAGTGCATCGAGGGTCGAACACAAGTCGAACACAAGTCGAACAAGAAGAGTCGGTCCAAAGGTACTCGAGAAACGTGATGCTAAAACCGATGGTGTACGGACCTATTTACCGCGTTTTTTTTCTGGGATAGAACAGGAGTTGTTGGCCACGAACCCAACGCCGAGCGGCTCGTCCTGCTAGGAATTAAACCTCACCTACGTACTAGGAGTTCATCACGCACCGAACTTTATGAGATATCAGTAGCGCCGACGAACGTGGAGTGAATTAGAGTACTTACTGTACGCAGCATACGCAGTAATCCGTTCAGGACGGACAGACGGGCGGACACGAAGAACCGAGGACACGAAGAACTGAAGTCAAACTGAAGCTGAGAATCCGGAGCTTGACGCCGCCGTTGATACATGGAAGAACGAGGAGGCGAACGTAAGTGCATCGAACACAAGTCAAACAAGAAGTCCTCGAGAAACGGCAAGCCAGAGACAGGCGTGTCTCCAGTGAGACACTGACACCGATACCTGCAGGTCCCTATTTTACCGCATTTTTTTCTGTTGGGTCAGGAAGGGTCAGGGGTCCTTGATCACAAGCCCCTGAGCGGCACGTCCGAACTCACGCTCACGCCATGTATCCCCGAGAAATCGAAATACACAAGCGTCCACAACTGATAAGGATTCGGAACGTGCCCATGGCCACTTCTGAATCATTCCCTGAGAACAAGAACGCGAGAAAGGCTTAAGCTTCTAATTCGACGAGAATGCGAGAAAGAAGAGGAAATACACGAGAAAGAAGAAGGAATACACGAGAAAGAAGAGGAAAGAATTCGAAGCGGGCCGCCATCAGTCATCTGCACATCTGGATCAACATCGATCGTTGGCTAAAGAAAGGTTATTTCAGTAAAATCCGGGATGCAGGGGAGATATGTAGATGGTGGGTGCGATAATAGGGATGGGGATGATAAAGCGAAACTGCGAAACTGCGAGGCTATGTAAGGTTGTGGACAGAAGACGAAAAAGGCTTAGGCCACGTTCTTTTTGTAGCGCTCGGGTCAGAAGAATCAAGATAGAGAGAGTCAGCAGGGACGGGCAGGGACGAGTAATTGTTTTTCGGGTTTCCTGGCGGACCTGAGGGCAGGAGGACGAAAGGGAAGAGCACGAGGGCGCGCTAGTGCTAGTCTCGTTTTCTCGCTTGCGGCTGCACACTAATCTAACTCACGCACGGACATACCACTACACACACTCCCCGCACCTTGTTTGCCTCCCCCCACTCAGCGTCTATCGTACCTCCTCACCTACACCACTACTCCTCGCGTTCACCTCGACTCAATCGACCACGTATACTACCTGCTTGCTCGCTCGTTCCATACCCTTCCACTCACTCTTCACAAAGGGAGAGATCAAGGAAGGTCGAAGAGAAAGAGAAGAAGAGAGAGGACTGCGTGGAAAGCTTCGCGGACCCGAATCAAAGCAGTCATCACATAACCTGTAAACTCTCACTCGATACCTCCGCGACACGACACGACCACGAATGGAACGTCTGCTTCCGGTTCAGGAGCTGATCCCACCTGGCCTGCCCGACGTCGTCTATCCCACCGCATCCAACCATACCCACCAAGACGAGAGGCAGGCGAATGGATACTGGGTGGCGGGGGATTACGTTTATCAGGGTGGTGGTGGAGGCGGACCCGACATGGATCCTTCTTTGAGCTCGACCTGGGCCCATTCGCACTCTCACTCCATCCCTCATAATAATATGAATACGGCATCGGATTCCCACTCCCACTCGTACTTCTCGCACCCCCATCCTCACCTCCAATCGCTCGACGAACAGCACGGTGCTTGGTCTGCACCCCATAGTCTGAATCAGATGGACGACGGCAACGGATACGCGTCGATGGATGTCGGTTACGACGATCAGGACCAGACGGGATACGCATATAACGCTATCGATTATTCGGTCCGTTCTTTCTCTCCCTCTCTCTCCCTTTCTCCCATCTCAATTTCTCCATCCCCCAACTTCGCTTCGTGATCCACCCGAAATTGACGCCCGTCCCTCCCTCCCTTCCTTTTCGCGCATCAGAACACAGATCCCCAGCTCTACTACGCCCAATTCCACTCTCCCACCTCGCACTCGCACTCTCAGTCCCATCACTCGGTCTACCATGATCATACCGCAGGAGATTATACCCAATCACAGCCCCAGTCCCAATCGCAGTCGCCCGCCTTGAACTTGCGCACGGACCCGAACTTTAGCGCCGTCCCCTCCCCCGTCGTCTCGCCTCAGCAATATTACACCCAGACTCAGTCGCCGTACCCTCAACCACAACCACAACAGCAGGAGGGTCAGCAGGGATGGTACACGAATTCGCTCTCCATGGGCATGGGTGTGCCCGTGGATTATTCGGCATATACGCATAACGTCCCGAAATTGGAGGATTTTACTATGCGGGAGCCGGTGGCGATGGCGGAGGCGGTCGCAGAGGGATACTATCCTCCACAGTCGCAGTCGGCGTCGCCTGAGTCTCCGCATTCCGATCATGGTCATCAACAGCCGTCGTTCTACGACCCCGTCCCCTCCTCCGTCGCCTCCACTGACGCCACCTCCACTGACGCATCCTCTACCAGTCCTAACTCCTCGGTCCTTGCTGTCCAGGATGGCGCGGGCGATATATCATCTTATTTCGCATCAGTGAACACACAATCGCGCGCTCAACCCCTCCCACTACCACTACTCGCCACTCTGGCGTCTCCTCCTTCGTTCCAGGGCGATATCCAAGGTCATTCGCACTACGCCGCGCACACGCATCCCGGGGCGATGCCGCAGATGTACACTACCCAACCACAACAGCCGCACTCGAATATGGCCTCGAACACGACGACGACGACCACGACCACGTCCCGACCTATCATCCTCTCGCCATCCTCAGAATTGAGTGGCGCATTGGACGAGAGTGCGATTCGGTCCGGGAGTCGGAGTGGAGGTGGGGGTGGGGGCGGGGGTGCGTATGGGAGGAGTCGGATATCAGTGCCAGGACCAGGACTAGGAGCAGGACCAGGACTAGGACCAGGACCAGGACCAGGACCGGTGTTGGGGAGGGGAACGGCCCCGGATGTGAGTTCGAAGGCTACGGCGGCGGTGACGACGAGTTCAGCTGCGAGCTCCATCGGTACCACGCTGTTCACGACTTTACCACTTGACGGATCTTCAGCACATTCCACCGCCACCTTCACCTCTCCGTCCATGCCCCATTCGAAATCCACCTCGCAACACCCTCAGAACGAAGTGTCAGGGCCGAAGACGCAAGGATCAGGACGGAAGAAACAAGGCGCAGGCCAAACCCAAACCCAAGGCCGGAAAAAATCGAAATCGAAATCCAAGTCGAAATCGAAAACTCCGAAGAGGTCCCCGACGCCCGTTATGGATTTTTTGCAGCCGCCGGGGTGGGTTCAGGATGATACAGACGATACAGACGAGTCGGGCGATTCGGGCGAGGAAGAGGAAGAGGACGGGGACGGGGGGAGTGGGCAGGAGGACGAGGACGGTGATGATGGAGAGCGTGGACGAACGCATATGCATACGCATACAGGCAGGGATATGGATATGGATCAGGAGGGCAGTAGCGGAAGGAATGGAAGGAGTAGTACTTGCGAAACCTCTCTCACTCCTTCATCCGTACAAAGACAAGCAGCCTCGGATAGAGCATACCTCATTTCCCTTATCCCTCCCACCTCGACCCTAGCGACAGGCCTGACTTCGACTTCGACCCCGGCGACAGCGACAGGACAGACGCCGTACGTGTATCATAACCATAACCGATACCCCGTCGAGCATATACTCCCGCATACACATTCGAACCCACCCCAGCCTCCTCCGAACCCGCTCATGCAGACGCTTGGGTATCCCCTCCCGCCGACGACATCGCAACAACAACAGCTGCCGCCGCCACCGCCACCACCGGTTTCCTCACAACAACAGCCGACGATTCAGCAGCAGGAGGAATCGAAGAAGACTGAACAGGACAAGAAGAAGACTCGACAGGACAAGAAGAAGAAGAACACACAAGCACCATACCCCCACGCTCACGCTCACGCTCAAGTCGCGCCTCCGCCGCCTGGGTTATTGAGACCGCCCGTGTTTGGACCTCTTACTGTGGTTTCTGTGCCTACGTCTTCATCTACGTCTGGACCTACGACGACGGTGGCGGAAGCGGCGGCGACAGGACCTATGTTCGCTCCTGCGCCTCCACCCACGTCTGCATCTGCGTTCAAACCCGCCCCCGCACCCGTCCCTCCTCTAACGTCTACATCCACGCTAACCACCTCCCCCTCCACCTCCACCTCCACCTCCGCCAGTAACAAATCCACAACCAAACCCAACATCAAATCCCGTCCCACCCCCGCTCCATCCACCTCCACCTCCGCCCCCTCCGCCCCATCCACTTCCACCGATTGCAACGCCCTCCCACCCGGAAGTGTCGGCGCAGGCGCAAGTGGAAGTGGGGGAAGTGGAAGTGGGGGAGGGGGAGGGATGCTGTTCGTGCAAGATGAAGCCGCTTTTCGGCCTACGAAACCGAAACCGCTTCCGAGGGCGCAGCGCGAGAAGGAAAGAGAGCGCGAGAAGGAGAGGACGAAGGAGAAGGAGAAGGGGAGGAAGTTGGCTGTTGATACGACTTTGGGGTCGGGCTCGGGTGGGATTTCACCGGTCACTGCGACGGCACATGGAAGGGGGAGATCACAGTCGAGGGCTGGTGGTTCGATGGGAGCAGGAGGAGGGGGAGGGGGAGGAGGGAGCTGGACGGACGCACCGTGGACGACGACGCCGTTGCCTGTTTCGCCCAGTGTAACTGTGTCTTCAGCGTCGGCGTCGGCTTCACAGTCGAGGATGCAGACGCCCACGGCGACCGTTCCATCGCAGCATCCTTTCGCTTCTCCACCAACTTCGACATCAACGCCGACGTCTTCGTTCGTTCAGTCAAATCCGAATCCGACTACGAATCAGGGAGTTCCTTCGCGGTCACAGACGCAAACGCAAACGAATCCATATCCACATCCACATCCGCAAACGCAAACGCAGACGCAAACGAATACACAGCCTCGGATCCCGCCCCCGCCTCCTCCGCCTGCACCGTATCACCCCGGCTCAGCATATTATATCCCGCCCGTATCGCGACTCAAGCCACCGAAACGCGCGCCTCAAGCCCCGCCTCATGAGCATCTTCACGAAGAGACTGCGAGTGCGAGTGGGTCTGGAGGGGGGATTGCTGTCGGTGGAGCGACAGGAGCAGGAGTAGGAGCAGGAGCAGGAGCAGGAGTAGGAGTAGCAGGGGTAGGGAGAGCAAAACGGAAAGCGAAGCCTGCGCTCGCGTGTCTTTTTTGTAGGATGCGGAAGATCGCGTGTGGGCCGCCGGTGCCGGGGAGTGGGGATATGACTTGCAAGTGCGTGTTTCTTGTCCTCCATTCCTGTCTGCTTTTCTGTTTTCTCCGTTCGCGTTCCTCCGTGGGGTAATTAGAGGGTAGGACGTTGAACTGATTTCTTTCTCTTCCTTTCTTCTTCTCCCCCTTCATGTCATCTATAGCCAATGCGCTCGGAGGTCGAGGAAATGCGAGTATCCGACCGAGAGCAGAAGGGGGCAACATAAGCGGAAGGAACATTCACATTCGACGGGGACGCCTGTTGTGCCACCTAATCTTGGGGCGAGCACGAGTACGATGAGCATGAGTATGAGTATGGGTGACGCTGGGTCGAGGACGATGGCGATGGAGGGTATCAAGATGGAGGGGAGTGCGGAGGGGATGAGTTGTGTTGAGGGAGGAAGAGAGGAAGCGATGGATGTTGATGGGGATGTGAATATGCAGGAAGAACGAGATGGGGAGGAGGGACGGGATAGAGTGAGGGTTAAGGAGGAGGGGGCGGAGTAGATGATGTAAGTGCTCTTTGGGTCGAGGGTAGGGGTAAGGGGTTAGGTTGGGTAAGGGTAGTGTTCCGGTTCCGAATTTCTCTGGTCTGTTTCTTTGTTCTTCGTCTCTCGATTCTCTCGATTTGCTTCCTTTCATTGGGTTCTATGGACTCACAGGTCTATACCCCGTCGTACATATTGTATCAATAACACCACTCTACTCACGTCCGCGTTTTCTTGGAGCTATCACAGAATCAGATATCGTCCCGGCCGTTTTGATATCGCCTGCTTTTTTCTATTTGTCTGTCTGTCTGTTTGTCTGTCTGTTTCTTGATTATTTTGCTTGCGTTCTGTTGTCCACACCATGGAATGTTCTTCGTCTACGATACCCTTCCGTTTCCGTTCTTATGCTCTCTTTCTTTGTCTATCTCCTAATCGTATCTCCCCCCTTCATTCCCGTCTCGTTTATTACTTATCTTTGGGGTCTGCTTTCTTGTTATGCGGTCGTAGTAGTTGAAGCTGAAGTTCTGCGTAGTTATATCTTGCTACAGTATGCTAGTGTTATGCTTTATGGTACATATCAATTTCGTTCTCTATGCAACTTAAGTATTCCAGTCTTGTTTCTCTGTACGCGTGTGCATGCCACCAGCTGGACACACCCTCCACCCAACACAACGCATGTTCGAATTCCTCCTCTTGCCCTCGCAGAAACGGATCCCAGTCAGTGTACTATTCTGTCGGCGCAGAACGCACGTGCACTCCTCCTTTGACTTGACGAATTCTGAGCGTGCAGGATGACTGGAACAGAGACTTGCTTAGACTCGTTTTCTTTCCGTGCAGGAAACAGGAACTATCGCTGTGTCAAAGCCGTCGCACCCAGCAAACAAACACGGAGATAACCCACACCGTACGGCGTTCTAAAATCATTCACGCGCGCGCTTCGAGCCGCTTCCAACGGCCGGCGTTCATGCACAATCCCGATCGATGTGATAAGAAGCCCGAGCGGCAACGGCTGGCCAATCGGCTTGCGTGGACGAAAGTCAGGGGACCTTGGTCGGGGTTTGTGCGGCGTCTAAAAATGCGGGAGGGAGTTACAAGTCACCGAGTTCTGACTTTTGAGACTTCCTGAGGTTGTGTTTGACCTTTTCCCCCTCGACTTTTGGACGTTGCGAGTGATAGTGCTATTGGAGACTGCTGCTTGACTGGGTCTCTATCTGCTTGATATCTCTGCTTGATCTCAGACGTCGAAGTCTCTTGGTTCGCCGTTGCATCTCTTTGCTTTGTGTCAATTTTGCGTCGTTGGGTCAACTTGAAGTTCTCACTCGCCGGATACTGGAAGTTGGAGCATTAGAGACATACGACCAGTTGGACAGTCAGTTTCCAAAGAAGGGCATCTGTCGACGTCTGTACGTAGTGCTTCCTCAGCTTTTATGCTCAATCATTTTTGATGCTGGTCTCCATTTAGCTCTTCGTTCTCCGATTGCTTTGACTGTTTGCGCTGCCTTATCCCCCTCGCATAAGGGCCGTAGCCTTCCTCATAACTTCGGGTTCGATCAAAGGTACGTCTGCAGGCATCATACATCATGATCGCACCGTCGACTCCGGCCATTCTTTTTTCTGCCGCTCATGCCGCGCCTCGCTGCTAACGAACCGCGCGTTGTTCGTCCAGGCCTGCGACTTGCATACATACGTACAACTACCGCACACCACAGCAAAGCGTCTGTTAAAAGTACTACAAGGGGCTGTACTTGACTCTAGCGAAGACGCTTCGGTGAATTCTTATCCGTACTGGTAAGTTTACATGACTTTATCTTGATTACGATCCACCCACTACGCGCCCGACTTCGCTGTCTCCGCTTTTATTCTTACTCCTATCTTTGAAGTTGTGATTTATATAAGTACTGAATACGTCCCTCTCTCTATCACAGTCGCCCGTTACCACCATATCCCCACTACCGAAACTTCACCAGCGTCAACGCCACTCCCCAGTGGACCACCTCACATCCATTGTCATCTCGTCATCTCTGCATTTTCCCGGATTCCCACCAGCCGACCACGTATCGTCATGGATCGGTTACCATCCGAACTCCTCCTTCACACCTTCGAACTCGCCACCGCAATCCCAAACCTCCCTCTCACATCCGCCTTATCCTCTTTCGCTTCCCCATCTCCCTCCCCATCATCGTCTCCGTCCTCTCGCACATTTCCATCCTCCTCCTCCTCCTCCATCTATTCCCCTCCTTCTCCTTTCGCACTTCCAAACTCTTCCTTCCCTCCCTTCGTCGTCTCCCCCGACTCATACGGTGGCACCGAAGATCTACTCACTTCTATACGGACTAGTCGAGCACTCGTGAGCGTTTGTAGGCGATGGCATGGATTGGCTATGGGCGGTCTCTATAGGGCCTTGCCGATCTGTATCGATGCGAAGAAGGACGGCGATGTCGACCTATCGAGGCTCATCCAGCTACGCGACACACTCGTACGATCAGCGCAACACTCCTCCGCCGATGACCATAACGGAGGTGGTACAGATCGACCTGGCATCGGCAATGGGACACCAGGCAAACACCTAGGCCATTATACCCGCTACCTCCTCTTTGCATCTCTCCCGCCGTACGAATTATGCAAGCCATATATCCCGACGATCAAGCAGCTGAGCTGTGATATTATCGCATTGCTACCGAATCTGGCGGTGTTCAGCTATAGGAGCAGGTCTACGATTCTGACGAACATGATTCCTGTGTTGCTCGATACTGCTGGTCGCTCACGAGGTTGGAGTAGCGACGAGGATGGAACAAGAAGGGAAAGGGAAGGAAACCTGAGGATGGTGCATAGCGTTTGTGCGGCGAGTTGGAGGGACGTGGAGGGTGGCGTGGGATGGGCATTAGGACGGGATGATGAAGGAGGGGATGGTGGATGTGAGGACATACGGGCGTGGCTCGTCGGGGCAACTACGGGGACCAGAAGCCTTTGCGCGGATTCGAGTCCTTCAGGAGGGGGTGGAGGAGGACGGACGAGGTTATGTCCGAGCGAGATGTTGAAATGGAGGAGGTTAACGTTCGCGAGGGTCGTGTTGAGCTCTGCGTGCGACTATTGTTGCCACCTTCAACCACTCTCATCCGAGCCCGGCTCGAATCCTCCGGAAGTACCGTCGTTGTCTTCATCTTCGGCTTCGACGTCTTCCCACGAGCCACAACCGAACCCGAACCTCACCCAACTCTTCCTACTCGCCACCCACCCATCTCACGTCCACAACTTCCCCGCGTCATCCGACCATTCCCTATACGCCAATAACTTCCATACCAACCACGGTCCCGACCCGATCGACACGACCCTCCTATGCGTCACCTCGCCTTGCACGCGGCGTTTCCTCCAGGTTCAGGGCCGGTACCTGAAGACCGTGTATATCGACGTCGATTATTTTGGGAAAGAGGCGTTGCAGGAGCTTTTATATCTGTTGACGAGGTATTCTTCTCCGTCTTCGGGTGGGAGTCCAGATGGAGAGGCAGGCTCAGGGTCAAGTTCTGGGACGTCCTCGCCTACGAGTTCTTTCTCTCCCTCAGGGTCTGTAACAGATTCGGGATATTACTCCGGCTCGATCTATGACGGTGTCGGAGGAGAAGAAGAAGGGAGATTGGGGTTGAACGTGATTTTGTTGTTGGATCGCTGGGACCAGTTTCCTTCGGATTTGCATGTCCCGGTGGGTATCAAGGCGTTGGGTGTTCATGTGAGGACACCGTGGAGGAGTCATCCGTGGCATGTTTCGAAGGGGTTGAAGAGTGCGAGTATTACGCCTTATTCTGATTCGTTGGAGCAGGACGGGGAAGGTGGCAAAGGAGTCGACGGAAGTGGTGGCAGCGAGATTGCGAGGATGGGTGGGAGGAGGGTGAGGGGAGGGTTGGAAGTGATTAGATTCTTTAATGAGGAGAAGATGCCGGGAGTGAAGGCTGTTTGTGCGAGAGTATTCGGGAAGGGGCTGCGAGTTGAGGATGTGGATGATTGGGGAGGTTGAATGCCGTTGTTATCTGTCGTGTCGGATTCTTGACTCTTTAGTATATTTGTTACATACATATTGCTACAGACATTACTACTGGCTTCAGAGGTTAGATATCCTCGCAATATTTGCACGTCTGCAGTATACTACTGCTTGCGATCCACTCCGACGCACCACACATATTCTACGCAGCTTGACGTTTCTTCATACCCTTTATGTTTACCGGCATTGCATTCTCCCTCCTACCAACAAATACATACAGGGGACAACAGGGCCTTACGCCATCCTGATTTTATTTTTCATCGCTTTCCATCTGAGCCTCAAAATCCGATAACTCGAGGTTATTCTCCTAAAGAATTACAGATCAGTTCGGCGTGGCTGGGTTAGCATGTTGTACTGACTGATGGAGTAGACATCGGTTCATTGCCCATGTGAGAGACATTAATATGTACCTCATGAGTCTCCGGCTACATATACCATTCATGTATCAGCACGCCGTATAGAGAGCAGAAATGAAAACGCTCACTTTAGTTGTTCTGGCTCCATTACTCGAAAATACGATGGTGGTAATATTGTTTGTCATGATATCGTTGGACGAGAAAAGGCTGGCACGACCGTTGAGTCTGCATGAAAATGATAGAGTCAATCAGATTCGGATGCTCGTTACGAGATATTTTGTGGCATACGAGGCCAATAAGGTGTTGGAGTATACTGTTCAATGAAGTGTGTAATGTTCAGTCAATCACTTCGGCTCCACGATGGCGCAGATAACTAACGACGCACAGCGGGGGCTTGTCGTCATAAAGAATAGGAATATCCCTGAGAGCAGTCCGAATGTGCATGAGTCGCTCATTCTTTCATTGTAAGCATATGATCGCACCACTAGTGGGCATGCTCGCAACCTTACAACGTGATATCAGGGTGTCAATAATGTGTTCAAGTAGAGATATTTCCGCGCTCACGAACCAGAGAGATCATTATCAATTCGGAGATGCTTGTTACTAAACTTTTAGTGACATTGTTCGCTTATAAAAGCTCTTGCAACTAACCTAGTGAGGAGTCCTGTTTCTGATACAAGATAAAATGTCAGACGTTTTAGTCAGAGATAAAGGTCGAGGAGAAGAAAGTCCGCGAACCTATAGTCCAAATGGCAAGCTTATCAAGAATTCTCTGCGTCCTGTTCTCATAATGAGTAAAGAATTATGTTCATATTGTGATCGACTCACTGGCGGTGCGGAGCCTTATTCCTGTATACGAACCAACACAAACAAATCGTATTATACGAGTCAACCGCCGCTCCAAGAGAGAGCACGACGAAGATGAGAGGCTGATATCTCTGTACCACCAACGCCAGATCGCCATCTTTGTACAGCACAGCACTCACAGGGATGGCCATTCCCATGTGCCCAAGGATCCCGACTCCTGATATGAGCGGTACCCAAATGCTGTGGGCCAGGGCATGTAGGCGTCTTGCAAAGAAGAGCTACGGTTGAGGGTGAGCCAATGTATGCGTTCTGTAAGGTCGATGGAACCGTTGCTCACTTGTACAAGAGATGCCAGGGCAACGGATATTGTGATGGAGAAACTTAGGGACCATGAGGCCCTGAGAGCGGCGGTGAGATCGCTGAAGTGGATGATTGTAGCTTGATAGATCGCAATGTATAGAAATACAATGTGTGCAGTATCTGCAACCCTATGAGTACGGGAAAACCTTTTTTAGCGTTTGAGGGGCCCCGAACAGATGATAGATGTACAGCACAGCGTGTAGCTGCATGTATGGGTGTTACACAGTCAGAGCCCTTTCGGAAGATTGTAATTGTGATAGATCCCTACGATGAGCCTGATGAAAAGACTGTCGTTGAATTTCAACTGATAGTAGTTGTAGGACTGCACAAGCATAACCCCATAGAGAATCGAAGAGCACAGGACACCAAGTTCAAAAGCCCCAAGAATCGGTCCAAGGGATGGTGTTACAGTGGCCATGATAGGGATAGAGCAAACAGGTGTTTGTGCGCAATCGAAGAGATTTTATACCACAGCTGTATCGCTCCAAGCAAACAGAAGGACAGTCCTCATCAACCAGCCTCAGGAAGATCTCGCGTCCATGAAAGGGATAGCAGCCGGAAATGATGCATCTGAATTTATCCCACTCGTCAAGTAAAAATAAGTAAGAGCTTGCACAGTGGAACGATGGAGCATATTTGCAGCGTGGAAGGCCTTTGAAATCATCTGCTAGCTTCGGCTGATGGAGTCTGTTATGTGGGTTGTTAGAATATTCTTTGATGAGGGGAGGTCATTCAAAATTACTGCCGCGTTCGTTCTGTGGCTCATTCAGTAATTCAGTATAACATTCGGACTATCCGACTAATTATCCAGGCCCACAAGGACTAAGATTTGTGCAATGCATCAGGAAGTTGATTAGTTGATAGGTGAGATCTTCCTCAAACGTGTCCCAAGTTTTTTTTTGAAACATATATGGTCTATTATTGCCCTTATGTCAGATGAGAAGACACTACATCTCTCCACAGATGTGATGGTCTTAGTGCGATGCAAGCAGGGAGATCACGAGTAGATGTCGGGGATCATACATATCAGCGAGGAAAGTATTAGACATACTTAGCCTACTGACACGGACACTCTAAGTTCAATGTTTTACTGAGATACCTTCCGAGACATACAGACCAATGAGACTATCTTCACAAGTACCGCAGAGAGCAGGACTTGAATCCGAGATGTCCCACAAGCGTCTGGAGGGGCAGACCGTGACGAAGGGTCGCTGCATGGGTCAGATGACGTCGCAGACGGCATTGGCATGGAAGGTTATTAGTTCGAATGCAAAGCTAAGGTAAGAGTATATTCCTCAAAGTACTATTGGTACCCACCGACATGTCTCTTCTCTGTGTTGTTGCCGTGGAGTAAAAGATTCTGCGGAGCTGTGGGCCTACATCTTCCAATCAGCCGTCCCTAAGCCGTGCCACAAGATCTGAATCAGACTCACACTCTGAACTGAGACGGGATCTATCAGACCCCCTTTTCCAACCCTTTTCCTAACATGATCCAGATCATAGTGCAAGCAAATATCGGAGCGCTATGGTGTTGGAACTCTACCAGGGTTTAGCGGTTGTGAGTTTTCGACGAGTTTTCGATCTGGTCCGCTTGACACAGCGGGTCGGGCCGCCAAAGCTACCGGCGTATGCCGCACGCCCATTCATGCCGCGTTTTCCTGCTTCAAGTCAATTTCATCATTTATGCATGTCGTGTCAAGTTATCTCTTCATCAACATCACACTCAGGGTTTTTCTTTCGCAACTAGCCTATACTCTGTACAGTATATGTTTGTTTTTCAGGGAACAGACCCCAAACAGACCCACTACGGTCCATCGCACCGACCTAAGGATGTTCACTCTCGTCCGAGTTCGCCGAGGGTCTACGGCGTCCGCGGACTATCAGATCACCCGCCGAACAGAGGGCCATTCCCCTTGTCACGGCTGCAATCATACCTTCCCGCCTCCATAAAAAGGTAGTCCGGACGGGCACGACGACCTGCCCTTTACATTGCCTTTACAGTGCCCTCACATCACCAGGAAGCCGACGGGTACTTGGATCAGCGTCGGACGTTTAGCGCGCGCTGAACCCCTCTTTGTCTCTATATATATACGCTTTGAGGGGTATTGTGGGTGATACCCTCTCCCCTTCCCCAGTTGCTCTCAACACTTCTCTGGTGGACGCTACGATCCTTTCCTGTAAACTACATAGAATCAGGTAGAGTAAGACGTTCGTTTCACCATGGCTAGTACGTTTGCTTCCTTCTCTTTGAACGATCCTTTTGAGGCCGGGTGCGACGATATGTTTACTGACCTGGTTGTCTGCTCATTAGATGAAACCTCCGCGATTGGTGATTCGCTGTACGACTACATACCCACCGAATGGGTCTGCATCATCTTTATCGCCCTCTTCTCAATAACCACGAGTACGTTCATCCCTCTGTTCCGTCTGCTATGCTCTCCCTTCCAACCATTCTTACTCAATCACTCCCCGTCCTCCTTGCTATTGTATGAGTAGTCATCCACATCGGCGAAGCCACGAAATTCCGCCTATGGTGGCTGTTCCCTACCGCCGTCGTCGCCGGTATAGCAGAGATCATTGGTTGGGCGGGTCGATTATGGAGTTCACACTCGCCACTTTCGTTGAACCCGTACCTCATGCAGTACGTATTTGCGCTCTCTTCCCCTTGGCTGGGTAACGAGGCGGATCTTTCTCCTGTGATGTACTAGTGCTGATACAGATGCTATCCATTTCCCTTGTGCGTGGGTGTGTGTGCATACAGGATCACGACCACAATCATCGCGCCGACACCCCTCGTAGCAGCAAACTTTGTGATTCTTGGTCGGATCATCGGGATACTGGGGACGCAATACAGTCGTCTAGGACCTACGCTTTGTATGTCTTCCCCTGTTGCCTTCATTTCTTCGAACGCTTCGCCTTTCATTTCCTCTGCCCGACCGTTGCTCGACCGTGAACATTCAACACGTTCCGCAGTCGAAATCTGCATCTATGTTGCAATCACTTCGCACTGTTATTCCTATCCTACCCCCTTTATTCGCAATTCGCATACATCGTACTCACGCTCACACATCCATACCAATACTCACACAACTTCGTCCCACCCTATGCAATAGATACCATCGTATTCTGCGCATGCGTACGTTTTCCTTCCCTCGATGTCGTACCATTCTCTCCCTTGCTCTCTCACACTAGGCGTGCTTTTTTTTCCCTCTTTGTGAAATCATCGACGCGGTACTTTGTAGGATACGATCGCACTGGTCGTGCAAGCAGTGGGTGGAGCTAGCGCATCTGCAGCGGTCAAATCTGGACACAATCCCGCCAAGGTCAGCCAGTTTTCTTCTCCCAGCTCAGTGTCATTCGTCCTTCGTGTATCTGACCATCGTCGCTATATTCACATGCTCCAAAAACGCAAACAGGGCGGAAACATAATGCTCGGCGGCATCGTCTTCCAGCTCGTCGCGATCGTAGCCTACGTCATCCTCGCCTCCGAATTCCTGTTGCGGTACTACCGCGACTCTCCCGTTCGCTATTCATATTCTACCACCGTCACGGATAAGGACGGGAACGCTGCGAAGGTGACGGGCGAGGAGGGGGGGAGGGGAAGGGTGGATAGGAAGATGAAGATGATGTTGTTGGGGATGGTGGGCATGACGATTTGTTTGTTTATCCGGTGAGTTGGATCGTTTTGGCGCTACGAGATACGAGAGGCGCGGAGGTGTCGGTGTATGGGAGGCTGAGTTGAGTTGGTTGGATGTTATTGTTATTGTTATGCAGGTCCGTGTATCGAACGATCGAGCTAGCGGATGGGTGGACGGGAAGGATCATCTCTACGCAGGTCTATTTCAGTGCGTGTTCTCTTTCCTCTCTCTGTCCTCTTGACCTTTCCCTCCCTCCCAAGCCCTTCCTTCCTTCCACCATTTCAATCACGCTCCCAGATCGTAAATGACGCTCATCGTCCACGTTACTAACCACCGACCACGACATTCTCTCCCTCCACCCTCACAAACCACAAACAGACGTCCTCGACGGCGCAATGATCACCCTCGCCATGTTCACCCTAAACCTCTTTCACCCCGGCTTCCTCCTCTCTTCCCCGCCCGCCAACGCATCAATCAAAGAACTCGACGGTGAGATTCCGGGAACTGAGGTGAATGGAAGGGTCCAGGAAACAGAAAAAGAAGGGAGGACGAGCGAGGAGACTGCTTGAGCTTTAAGATTGCGGTTGTGATCGAGGGTGGGGCCCGGTGCGGGATACGCTGAGTACTAGTTGAGGTGAGATCATCGCTCGGGCGTGTGGGATGATTATTATTATAATGATGCGTCGATGGAACGCGTTGTGGGGATGATGTGGATGGCCCGGGATCTGTCTCACCCTCTTCTTATCGTTCTCGTTTCTGATACTGTACGTAGGCTACGCTTATCATTCACTAGTTTCTCGGTATTTTGTAATATTAATGTAGAGGGGCACTTTGGAGGATACGTGCTTGCCGCAAGGCGCAGCTATTTAGGAGAAGCACCTACATAGTCGTGAGGAGTCCTGTTAGTGTATGCTCTTTTGACAACAGATCTCTCGCAGCCGAGGCGTAATCAATCAGTATACAGCTATGGGAATCGGCAGCGAGCGTAGCTTACTTCATGCAGAAATCAAAAGTTAAAGAAACATACGCGCACCGATTACACAGCAGCCACAAAGAATCGACTCAGAAAAACGCAACGTGACCGACACAATTAGCTACAATCGTCGTGATCCACTGAGTTCTTCGAAAAAGAAGGGGTTGTACTGTACACAACTGACGAGAGTGGGATTCGAACCCACGCCCCCGGAGGGACCAGATCCTTAGTCTGGCGCCTTAGACCGCTCGGCCATCTCGCCATACAAGGTTCATCGCTGAGATAGGCCACATTCGGTGACAATTGTCATACATGCGGAGGAAAACATACAGCCCCGGGAATCTACTGAAACGACCATGAGTCTTGAGTGATGAGAGACGTAAAGAATTCACCGGACGATCAGCGTACATACTCTACCACCTCGGAACGGGGACGCGTCTATATCTGGCGCTAATCACGTCTCAATCGCGACGCAAAAGCCCCTATTTGCACCATAACGTACCATAGCAGCGCAGAACCCACAAGGGATCGCGAACCTCGAAACCTAGCGGCGCAAAACCCTACCCTAGAAGAGCTGGGGAATAAAAGTGTATAGCTAGTATGGGCGGGATATGTGAAGATGAGAGTAGAAAGACTCAAGGACTCTTGAGAAGCCGAAAACATAGAGCACATCGGCCGCACGACCCGTCGACGGCGTCAGCATCAATCAGCGAGACCGGATTATGGTGACGAGTGACCTGCGGTCAGTGTGATTGAACGGCTTTCCGTGCTTGTACCGTCAAGTCCACCAGAGTATTCCACCTCTCAAACTGTTCGTATCTATCAAACACCTTTAGGGCCCCTTCGGCAAGTCGAGTCGAGTCGGGTTGAGTTGAGTTGGATCGAGTTGTGCCTCGTGACCACGCTGAGTCACCTAGTGACAGTGTGTGATGGGGTCCAGGGTCACCCGGTAAAACAGGGGCCGGTCTACACCGTGCCTATCTTCCCTCATCGCCGCCCGCGATGAGCTCAACGATGGGGAAGGTGCTTTACTTGTAGAATTCTGTCCACCGAATGAAACTGAACGAGGCAAGTATCATGGAGAAGCCTCAATTATTCCACACATTTCGATGTATTATTCAGATATACAGTAAGTGCACCTTAGTCCCATCCGGAGATGGTGCCGGTGCGTATGGGCTATCACGGACAATGCGCGGACATGGTCGGGAAATCACGCAAAGCACGGACGACTCTTCCTGAGGTCAACTCGGCTTCCTCCGTCCAAGAGTGACAACGGGCCTGTGATCCGACGGCAAGAGCAACTCGAGCTCCCACGAGAATTGGCGGGGAAGCCCAACTCAACCCAACTCGACTCGACTTGCCGAAGGGGCCCTTATCCAGAAAAAAGCAGAGAAGATTCAGGCCGCAAGAATGTTCAGGAAGGACGGTGAAGCGGAGCGGCGAGGCTTTGCGTGAATCATCCAAGAGAGAACTGCTCAGCGAGATGACGCAGAGCACGTGCCCGCTCTCCCAATCCAATCGATAACTCACCCACTTCGTCTCCATCCGATATCAATAAATACAACTCCCCGCTCTCCCTCTTGCCTTCTCCCTCTTCTCCCCCACCACCCACCCAACACCCAATCCATTTTCATTGTCATTTATCCATAAAGATGTCCCAGGCCACCCTCCCCGACCTGCCCTATGCCTACGACGGCCTGGAACCTTACATCTCCCGTCAGATCATGGAGCTTCACCACAAGAAGCACCACCAGACCTACGTCAACGCTCTCAACGCCGCTGAGCAGGCCTACGCCAAGGCGTCCACTCCCAAGGAGCGCATCGCTCTCCAGGCCGCTTTGAAGTTCAACGGTGGTGGTGCGTCTCTCTCTCATCCTTTTCCTCCCCTCGAGGTAAAGGGGAAATCGCCGGACTCGGAGTTCTGATGGCGATTCTTCTGGACTGCAGGACACATCAACCACTCGCTTTTCTGGAAGAACCTCGCGCCGTCTGCCGTTGAGAAGAAGGGCCACGGGGGTGAGCTCAAGGCTGGTCCCCTCAAGGACGCCATCGAGGCCAAGTGGGGCTCGCTCGACGTCCTCAAGAAGGAGTTCAACGCTGCCACTGCTGGTATTCAGGGTTCCGGCTGGGGATGGCTCGTGCGTTTCTCCTCCTTCTCTTCCTTCTCCTCCTACTCCTCTTCGCTATCGTATTTGTTTGGTCATCTGTTTCGTTTGGGACTGGGAATACTTTTCGGGCGTGATGATTTGCGGCCGTTGCGTTTTGCGTCTTGCGCTTTGAAAGAATTCGCACGCAAGTCGTCATCTAGTTACGCGCCTACGTAATCTGCATTACACCGCCTCCCCCTATCTAGATCTCTACCCTTCTCAAGCCCCTATTCCTCCTTCCTCCTTCCTTCCTCCAGCGCATTCAACGTGCTTTCTCGAATCTATGCTATATGCTGACTACGAACGTGGCACCAGGGCCTGAACCCATCGGACAAGTCCCTCGCTATCGTAACCACCGCTAACCAGGACCCGCTCCTGACCCACATCCCCATCATCGGCGTCGATATCTGGGAGCATGCGTTCTACCTGCAGTACCTCAACGTTAAGGTCGACGTGCGTACCCCTCTCTCTCCACTCTCCGTATCCTTAACTGGAGGTCGATATATGCGTTATATACTTACCGCGATTTTGATGTGATATAGTACCTCAACGCGATCTGGAACGTCATTGACTTCCAGGAGGCGGAGAAGCGCTTCGTCGAGGGCGCTTCGGCTAAGCTCTGAGCTTCTCCTTGAATCTTTGCTGTAGGATGGCTGTGGCTGTGGAATGATGATTCTTCATTCCTTGCTCACGCTGTACATAGGATGATGGAGAACGGAGAAGTGAAGTGAAAACGCGATGTATGCTTTTCGGATGCTTGGTATGCGGAATGGAATTATGATGTTTTTGTATGCATATGATGAAGCGGTAGTGCACACTGCAATGGAACTTGTTGGTGTTTGGACGAGGATGAGAACTTCGAGGAGAGCTACTCATACAGAGAGCGCGGTGACAGAGATAAGATCTGGCTTGGTTCAATGGTTGGATTGTCGTCCATGCACTGGCACATGCGGTGTCTCCCTTTCGGTGGGACGACCTACACGCGTACGCAGGACGACGACGCTCGTTCACGCCATTTACGCCACTGTGGCGTACCCTTTACATGCGCGCCATGCTCTGATTGAACTCTGACTTTGAGGCTCCTTCCGTTCTCTCCTGAGTCGCCTACACTCCACCGTCCGAGCTCCCGGATGCACTCGTTACCTCCTCCTTCACATTTTGCCTTCCGACTTTTCGCCTTCCGCCCTTCTCCATCGTGTCCTTTCGCCATCTCTCCCCTTTCGCCACCCTCTCATCCCTCCTTTTCCTCTATGGTACACTCACAGCGTGGTCCAAAGCGTCAGACTAACACTTGTATTGATATGCCGCACATCGCACCCTATGCAGGATTTCCATCCCATCTGATCTCGTCGCAGGTGTGGGGTCAGTCGTGCTTCGTCGTAGGATTATGGATGTTAGGGGATTGTTGTTGTTTTTTTTGTCATGGACGATGAATGTCATTGCAGACGTTACTGTGAGTACAATCTCAACCTACACTAGAGCATAGCCACTCCTTGGACCACGAACCACAACGATTCACCACGAAAGCGGCCTTGGAAATGTCCCACAAAACCTCAGCAATAACACCAACAACCCATCCTCACCTCTGCTCACTTCAACGCTCTCGCGTCACTCATCCCCACCCCCGCCCCCACTCCCACCCTAAGCCTAAGCCTTCCCCGCCTCCAACAAAATACAAATCCCCACATCCTCCTCCACAACCCTCACACTCCCCACTTCAAACCCTACCTCCTCCCCCTCAAGTCTAGCCCTCCATTCCTCCCCATCGACCGTACAATGCGCGCGGTCGTCCGTGAAGCCGAACCAGCCCTGGAAAGAACCCCAGACGAAGTCGGCCCAGATAGCGCCCGGACGGGGAACGGTTTCGAGGACGGGGACGGGAACCGGTGCTGCGTTCTCGTTCTCGTTCTCCTCCTCCTTTGCGGGCTCGAACACGACGCGGGCGGTGCGCGGGTCTCGAAGCGGGAGTTGGATGTGATCCCGATAGGCTTTCCCGTCCGAATCAACGACCAGTAACTTCCCGCCTGGTTTTAGGAGCGCGTATAAGCCCTTCAATGTTTCATTCAGGTCGGGGACGGCGTGGATGACGTTTAGAGCGGTTATGATGTCGTAGGACCCGAGGGGGAAGGATTGGGATTGGGAGGAGGGAGGTTTGGAGACGTCGTATTGTTTTGCGAGGAGGGTTATGTTGTTTTTTGGGCGAGAGGTGGTGGTGGAAGGGGAAGAGGATGGAGAAGGGATGGAGAAGGACGAGGCGAGAGAGGCGGCGAGGGAGTAGGAGAGGTCGGTTATTGTGTATTCGACGTTGATGGACTGAGTGTTCGAGTGTTGAAGGTCCGCGAGGGTTTCGACGAGGAATGTGGTCAGACCGCCGACGCCTATGTCAGTAAAGGAGTGCGGGTGAGCATGTGTGTGAGGAAAAAGGAGGAATGTGAAATGAACGCACCGGCGCCGACCTCGAGGACCCTGAGTGGCTCTGATCCAGAACGAGCACGGAACGAGGGAGAAGAGACGAGGGATTTGAAACGTTTGGTGGCTTCGATGTTGATGGGCATGAACCCGGGGTTGTTGAGGTACCAGCCGTCAATCATGTTGTCCGCATAGAGCGCTGCGACTGCGGCCTAGCCGATGCAACGGAGAAAAAATCAGTCCAGTGACAACGATGCGAGCGAAGGTAGGGGATACGAACGGTAGGAGACTGGAACGTCGATGCGTGGACGCTTCCGATCCGCTCTGTTGTCTCGAAGTAGAGCGGATATATCGACTTGAGACGAGTATACTCTTCTTCGGTCCAGATGGCTGGCTTGCGAGTGCGGAGGTACTCCAAAGTCTCGCGGTACAACCTCTGGCGACTGATCTGCTCGCCGTCCTCATTAGTCATAGATGACAGTGAAGAATGAAGAGCACTCACCTCCGAGTCAACGACCGGGTTCTGCTCAATAGACTCCTTCATATACTTCAACGCCATCGTATCCAAGATCCTAAACATCGTCGTCAAGTCATCCTTCAACGGATGATGCACCATCGATTTCCACTCATATTCGCTCTCCGCGCCCGCCTCGATAGCAGCATCCACCCAATCCACCTCCAAACTCCTCGAGAAATCTGACCTCTCAAAGATATCGAAATGCCCGGCCGGATACCTATACACCTTCGCCTTCCTCTCATCCACCCCAGCCCTGGGATCCCCAAGTCTTCCATCTCCGAAACATCTCCCGACGCCAAAGTCATTCCAATCATCAGGCATCAACGTTCTCAGTCCCCAATCGGCCACATACGCACTCATCCTGCACGCACTCAACCTCCTCCCAACGCTCCTCACCTCCTCAATCATCCGCACCCTCATCCTCTCCTCGCGTTCCGCGGGACTAAGACCAGACCAGACTTCGAACCCGCCAGAGAAGGCGATGGCCTGCCTGAGGTTCATGACTGCGATCTTGCGGATGAAGGTCCATGATTCGAGAGCGGTGGGTGTGGAGGGGAGGTTTTGAGAGGCTGAGACGAGGGCGAGGCCGTAGGCGCGACGGGCGGCGGTTTTGTCGCGCGCGCAGGAGTCGGAGATCATGTCGACAGTTTTGAGGGCGGCCAAGTGGCCCAGCTGGTAGAAGCGATGACAAAGAAAGAGAGGTTAGAGCGGTGTTGGGGAGCGTGAGGGGATTGAAGGATGAAAGTAGAAATCACCTCTTCGAACGACTCCGGTGTCGTATTGAAATCATGCAATGGGCTCGCAAACAACATCGGGAAATGATCCACAAATGTCAACTGCACGATCTCGTCCCCATTCTCCAGTAAGATTTCTGCCAACCTCAGCGTAACGAGACTGCTCGCGCTGAAGCCGGCGATTCTGTACGGACCCGCCGGTCTCTTCTCCTTGATCTTCCCAAAGTAATACTTCGCGAGGACCTCGACGGAATCCATGGGCGTTTCGGGCGTGGGTTGGATGGCCCAGAGGGGGGTAGAGAACTGTTCTTGGATCGCACGGAAGGCGGTTATGTCGCCTGCGCCGCCGTGGATGAGAATGAGCGGTGTGCCGGTGCTGATGACGAGCTTGAGGACGTTGTGACCCGGTTGATGGAGCGAGTCCCAGGCGAAGGGAGCTTCGGTGGAGTTGGTCGGGTTGGTGGCGGTGGCGGGGCCGTTGGTGGTGATAGGATCGGTGCCGCTGCGTTTGGCGTCTCGCATCTTGGCGACAAGATCGTCGAGGCTCAAGTCTCCGAGGAGCTGAATCTGTGTGATTGACATGTAGGGTTTGAGGGCGGTGGAGAGACGTGCGGCGGAGAGGGAGTCAAGCCTGGTCTCACAAGAGTCGTAAGCGATAAGATGGTGAGACTGAGAGACTTGTATCGTACCCATAAGATGTCAGAGGAACAAAGTGTTCAAATTCATCCGCGGAAATATCGATAAACTTGAGCACCATCTCCTGAAGAAGTTCTGCAGGGTCTTCGACCTCGACTTCTTCGCGTGACGCATCGTACTTGACAAGGTGATTGTACAGAGTCGAGTCGCTGACGGAGTTGTGCAGGGCGTCCCAGTCGAGGTTGGGGATGTAGAGCTTCATGGGACTGTACGCCATTCGAAGGAGTCCATCTTCGAGACACAAGCAGATCTCTGTGCTTTATGTGTGAGAACGATCGCAATGAAGAATCGAATTGTTACGCACCGTAGCTACTCATAGCAGATGACTCCCACATTTCGAGATGGGATGCCTCCGCCGTGAAAGAGTAAATACCGACGTTGGAGTCGCTGATGCCTGGAGCAGCAAACGACCAAGCGTTCGGATACTGCGACATAAGATACTCTACCGCAGTGTTCGCACTATCGCCAAAAAAAAGTTTTGAGCTTGCTGAAAGTTGAGAGAAATCACGCTGAACAGTATACCTCGAATAGTTCGTCTGACCGGCAGCACCAAACCCAGAGACAGACGTGATTGCAATGAAGAAATCAAGCTTCTCAATCGCGATAGCTTTCTCGATGACCCAAAACGCCTCCGTCTTGCCCTTGAATGGCACCGCGAACGTCTCGGAATCCTGCTTCAAGAACAGCCTGTCGAAGATGAGGACTGCGGAGAGAATGCAGCCGGCAAGGGGACGATCCAAGCTTGCGACTAGCTTGTCGAATGCATCTTGCGATGAGGCATCGCAAGCCTCAAGACGCAGTTCGAGGTCTGGGAGGCTCCTGAGGTACTCGACGGGACCGCGCAGAGATCTGGCTTTGATACCGCGAAGCGTGTCCTCGCCTCTACGAGAGGTCAGGATGATGTGTCTTGCTCCTTTCTGAATGCGTCGTGGTCGTCAGTCTCGGCTGTCAATATCCACGAGTATGCAAGAAAAAAATCAACTTACGCCGTACATCCAGATCGCCATCTGCAATCCTAACGAACCAATGCCACCCACAATCAGGTAATACCTGTCAGGCCTCAACGATACAGTCGAAGAGACCTGAGGAGTCGTCGGAAGTAGCTTGTCCGGGGTTTGAGACGAAATATTGGTTGCGATGTCCGATATGACACGTTCGAGATATGTCTTGAGGGTACTGCCGACGAACCAGGGATTGCGTACGATACTGGCAAGGCCACCACTCTCGGTGTCCAACCAGTTGTACACGGAGACGCCAGGGATGGAGGGAATCGTACGAGCTACGTCTTGGGGAAGGCCACATATAACGATGTCGCCCTTGTCCAGACGGGGAAGCTCTATCGGAACTGATGCTGAGATGGAGTCCGGGTTGAGGCCGAGACGCTTGAGGAGTTGGCTGATCTCGATGGACATCGCTCCTGACTGCAAGACCACGATCCTTGCCGTCTCCAAGGACTCCAGTGGTCGTGAAAGACCAAGCCCTAGGGCGAGTGTAGAAAGGATGAGCGGAAGAGCGATACGAGCACCTTTACCTGGGTCACAATCCCCGGGAAGGTGACACGCTTGACCTTCGTGTACAACGGCATAATTCGAAGCGGTGGATTCCACGACCGCCACCACACGAGTACCGACGGGCCACTTCGAGGAGCTCGTCCTGGCGATCGTACCCACGATGCCTCGCAACCCGCCCTCGACGTCGGAGATGGACGAAAGCTCGATAAGTATTTGACGAGCAACGGGGAGCGGGAGGGCAGGCTGCGCCACGATACCAGACTTCTCGACGACCCAATACCGAGAAGGGTCAAACGTCGATGGCCGTCGAGGAGGGAATGAACACAGGCGTGGAACCAAGACGACTCCAGCGCTATCGATCGCGATTTCCGGCTCTAAATAGGGGAAGGTGGATAGCTGTTGAATGAGGACGGCCTTCGATGCGTCTTTCCAGACGGGATCGAAAAGAACGAGGTTGACGTCGACAGAGACGAGCTCTCTGCGAAGGGAACGAGTGAAACCCATAGCTGCCGACCCGTCGAAGCTTCCCATCGTCGCCTCTATCCACAGAGCAGTTCGTCCACCGGAGGCGGAAGTTGTGGCAGCGAGCACCGTGCTTTGCAGGTCCAATGCATTCGCAAGCTTGAAGTTCACCATCATGGGTTCATCGGCATCGTGTATCTCGGCCGACTCCGAGAGGGTTGGTAGCCAGCCTTTCTGGGCCTTGAGGGTCACGAACAGAGACCGCACGTCGTCCGGATTTGCTGAAACATACTTGAAACCCGCTCGCTGGACGGACTCTTTCCAGGCACCCAGAGGCTTGGGGCCATGTAGCTTGCCATCGCGTATTCCAGACCAGTCGTGGTGTGGCGAAAAGACGCGCTCGATCCATCTTGTTCCAGGAACGCCAGGATCACCGTTAACCTCGAGTGCGAGGAGAAAACCGCCAGGAACCAGGAGCTCATGCAGCAATTCCACAGAGCGCTGCGTGTTGGAGGCGAAGGCAAGAGAGTGGATGGATATGATGGCGTCGTACGTGAATGAAGGTAGGCTTTGCGTATGAGACGGCGAACTGATGTCAAAGGAAATTGTTCGCACGTCCAAAGTCGCCGTTTTCTCGTGACCAGCAGCAGTGTAGTCGACTCGCAGAGTTGGATACTCCGCGAAGATTGGTAACAGACGGCTCGCCAGCGTTGCGGAAGCTACGATCCGAGCGTCAGAAATTTGAGATAAAGCACGAGGGTTTCGAGCAATACGAACCATCACCGATTTCCAGAATACGGACTATTCGTTTACCGGCCTTGAGAGCGTGTTCAAGAATATGCCTGGTTTCCACCACAAAAGGATCGAAAGACGACGCAAAGAGCTCAAAGACACGGGAGGGTTTCACCTACAGGTCGTACATCGGCAGTCAGTGCCCGTGGTAGCATAAAGGATCGAGAGTCAACGTACTTCGGAGGAACTTCCTGACATAAATCCGTCCGTGAACTTCCTGAACTTCCCTTCCTCCGAATTCTCCATGTCGAGCTCGACGTGATTAGAGATATCGTTGGACAGCTGATGTGTGATGCCATTCGCGAGACCATTTGGCTAAACGGGATGGGAAGAGAGATGAGAACAGGAAAAAAAAAACTACAGTTAGAACCACATACCTTCTCGTCGAACGGTAAAAGTACGTCAAGGAAGGAATGGTCTATGACTTGCACGTTGTGCTGAACAGGAAGTGTGTCTTCCGGCAAACCAAGAGGCTGGTAGAGAAGATCGTAGTTCGTCTCTGGGAGCGTAGGTACAGCTATATTCCAATGTTTCGAAGCCACACAATCCATCAGGGTGACGAGTCGCTCGCCATGCTCGTTCACGATGTAACAATCGCAATGTTGATCCTCTATGTATGTCGTTTGAGTAAGTGCTGATCCAAAATAGCTCGTTTGGCCTACCTGGAGACCAGTCGTGTGTGATGACATGGCAGTAAATAGTTTCCGGCAGCTCCTTCTCAATGGCAGCGTCGTAGAGAATAACACGTCCAATGTGAGATGGGAGAAAATAAACGTTACGATCAGCGTTGCCAGTGAAAACGGGATGAATGATCCCGTGAATGCAAGAATCGAGGAGAGCGGGGTTGAAGATGTATTTATGGTGTCTATGAAATCATTCAGCATCACTTCTTCGACTCCAACGTGTTATAAGGCACAAGAAAGCTCACTCGGTGAGGTCGGGTCCATTACCGCGAATCTCGAACAGCATCTCGTTCTCGCTTTCGAGGCACCCTTGAACACGGCGGTACAAGGGACCGAAGGCGATACTGGCGTTGATCCCAGTATAAAGATCTTTTTGGATGTAAGTAGGGAAAATGACATTTCGTAAAACAAGGCAGCACGTACTCGTGATATCGGATCTCTCACAGCGAGCTCTGATGGCAGTAAGATCGAGTGGCCCAAGATCGTTGTCCGTCACTTCAGTCGTCATGAACCCAGTAGCGTGAAGCCGAGGCTGTGGAGCGAAGTTAGTCGTGGCTCAGTAAAATATTCTCCCAAGTGAGTGTACTTACGTTGCGACCTCCGGACGAGGATGAAACGCTCCATGCATGTCCATCTGTCTTGATCTCCACCTGAAGTACCTTCTCCGGCAGTAGTGGCAGCATCCCGAGTAGCTCGATGTCCCAAATCGTACGCGCTCCCTCTTCGAAGATCTACACAATCACAACAATAAGAACAAGCATATCAAATGGTGGCGTCAAACGATCCTTACCATCTCGAAGAACCCGGTCGCCGGCAGGATGGGTTCACCCCTCACAACATGCTGAGCTAAGTCAGGATGAGTGAGCGAATTAATAGCCACTCCCTCATAGTTGAGCGGCCCCTTGCGAACCCTCTTCTGCTTGTGCGCCATCCTCGAGTTTTCGGAGTACATCGGAAGGACTTTCGGGACGAAAGGATATGCTGGTAGTGGTTTCGAGAGCTCGAGAGCGGTGGTACCGTTGACGGCATGAAAGTCAATGGTATTGACCCCTAGACAGGATAGCGCCCCGACAGTCTGAAGAAGCTCGCTGACTTCGTTGAATGTTCCCGGAGTTTTCGTACGACGCATCGGACAGAGAACCTTGTCCGCTTTTGCGCCCATGCCAGCGATGTATGACGACAGCGCGGGGTGAGGACTGATCTCGATGAAGATCGCCTCCGGAACCTCCTTGAGAACGGCGGTCACGGTCTGCTCGAATTTGACAGGAACGCGAGTGTTTCGCCACATATATTCGGTCGTGAACGCAGTATCCCAGCGAGTTCCTGTCTGGCTCGAGTAGGTGGGGATGGTCGGAGTGTAAGAGACGGGATGACGAGCAAACGCCTCTTCCATTTCTTCAATATATTGCGTTCGGCAGGGGTCGAGAAGGCTGCTGTGACCTGCGGTGCGCGTCTTGACTTTACGAGCCCAGAGGCCGCGGCTTTGAGCGATAGCAATGGCCTTGTCGAGCATAACATGATGACCGGAGATCGCAACGGCTTCTGGGGCGTTGAAGCAGCCGAGCTCAAGCACGTCGTCAGGTCCAGCCTCGTTGAGCGCAAGGTCGATGATTTCCCGAGCCACCGACGACGAACAAGAAACGGCAGCCATCCCACCCGAATTATCAACATGGGCCATCGCCCTCGCCCTACGAACTGAAATCTCCATCGCCAGCTCCAGCGAAGTCGCACCAGAGGCGTAAAACATGGCTGATTCGCCCGCGGAGTGGCCGAAGACGAGATCGGGACGAATGCCCATGGAGACGAGGAGATCAAAGAGAGCGATTTGGGTCATGTTGAGGGCGGGGACCAGCGTGGTGACGGGCCAGACGTCGGGAAGGGGATTCTTGGGCGGTAGGTCGCTGAAGAAGCCGAGGTCTTGGACGACAGATGTGCCGGTGAGCTCGATGTGTACTTTATCCATGCGAAGAATGCTCTCGCGGAACACAGGGTACGTTCCGAAGAGCTGACGGCCCACTATAGAGTCAAGAAGTCGTGTTAGATGAATTCTGAATAGATCATAACTTGAATCTCATACTTTCTACGTGTTGTGGCCCTTGACCGGAGAACACGAAAGCGATCGGTGGCGTAGTCCGCGGAACGAAGCGAGGTTGCGGGAAGACAAACGGATGGTCTGCACTGCTGACAGCAGCTGTACGCCAAGTCATCTGCCTCGAACGTCTCCCACTCACTGTCGAAAGCACGGAAAGCTCTCGGGGGATCTCCGTGGCGAGCTGAGTCACATCTGAGGCAATGGCCGTGGCGGTACGGGGAGACAAGCCGCCCGCAATGAGGAGGATTGACATATCGGCAGGAAGAGGTTCTGGAGCGGAGCGCGGGGGATAAGGAAAGCTTTCGACAACGCAGTGGCCGTTTGCGCCACCTAGACCGGAAGCATTGACCGAGACGAGGGATGCTCCGGAGGGAGAACTAGCGGTGAGGGGTTCGACCTTTGTGTTGGGGCGCATGTTGTATTCGGTCCATCCGATGGCAGGGTTCAGGGTCGTGACTCCGACTTGTGGAGGAATCAGTCCGGCCTTGAACATACAGCAGACTTTCGAAAGGGAAGCCAAGAATGCGGTGATTTCGGTATGACTGAAGCCAATGCATGACAATCAGTCGATGGGTCAAGAATGGCAGCATGAATAGGATGTACCCGATATTCGCCTTGACGCTTCCCACAAGAAGCTCCTTCTCCCGCTTGAAGTGCGCACCGACCCAGTTTACCTCAACAGGATCGCCGACAGAGGTACCTGTTGAATGACACTCGACGTAATCAACCTCTTTGGGAGAGCGGCCTGTACCCTCGTACGACTTGTACATAACTGCTGCCTGTGAATCTGCGATGGGTGTCTTGACCGGACCTGCAGACCCAGTCGAATTGATGGCGGTGTTCAATATCTGCGACACAGACCAGTCAGACCGAAACTCTTCGTTTGATATGGTGTAGAGGGAATGAAGTCACAGTGGCATAAATTTTGTCTCCGTCGCGAATGGCGTCTTCGAGTAGCTTGACGACGATGACGACCACAGCCTCACCACGACCAAATCTTTGTACGAGAGATTAACAAACGTGATAGATTTGAAGAAAAGTCCCGTACCCATCTGCGCTCGCATCGAAAGGGCGCGACTGCCCGCTTGGGGAGAGGATTGAAGCCTGGCTGTACCACACCCAATCGACGAATCTAAATAAAAAGGTGAGGAGGTGTGAGCGTCGATATCTTTGTGAAATGTTGGACTTGGACCGCACGTACCGGTGGTTGATCTGGCTTCCACCCACCAAGGCAGCCTCACAATCCCCTGAGCGCAAGCCTTGGATCGCAAGATGAAGCGCCATCAGGGAGGAGCTGCAGGCTGTATCCACGGGAAGCGATGGGCCGGTCAAGTCTAGATGGTATGAGACTCGGTTGGCCAAGGCTGCGGTGCCACCACCGAACGCATCGCGAGCATCCCATTCATCCTGTCGATACGATAAGTCCGCGAAAGTGATATGGCAAAAAATGAGAAAGATACGTACTGCGTCTGCGGCACTGAGAATATCAAAGGCAACACCGGAAGTGTACGCGCCAACGTTCTGAGAACGCGAATTGATACCTGAGTCCAGTAAAGCGAGGAAAGAGTGTTCGATCAGTTTCCTGGTGCCGACGGCCATACTGACTGCGTCTTTCGCGGTTATGCCGAACTCGAAGTGGTCAAAGGAAGTAACATCTTTCAAGAAGCAAGCCTTCTCTGGCAGGACTTGACCGATATGAGTTCCCTGCCACCTTACGAACGTGAAATTGTATTGAAGTCGTATCAGTCAGAGGCTTGGTGATTGGGGGAGGTGGGGAAATTGTCTAACCCATCAATATTAAACCTCTCCTGAGGGACCTTCTCAGACGCCTCTTCACCAGCAAGCAAGAAATCGAAAAACGACTGGTGATCGAAGTTAACGCCGGATAGTGGGCCAGAGGGAAACTCGGCAGATATCCCAACCTGGAGTTGATTCCTAGGGTCAATTGTGACAAAACCAGAAGGATTCGAAATGCTCACCACGGCCACGGGTTTCACAGTAGTTATTTGTGACATGGAAGAAAGACGACAGAACGGAGTAGAAGGTGAAGACACGTCTAGAGGCGTTTTTGTAGAAAGGTGCGAGTCAGTCGTGTGGTTGTTCGTGGTTTTTAGTTCTACAGTCTTTGCTGTGATGGCGGTCAATGGATGGCCTGTTCACCATGCTGAGATGCGCAGTCTTATTTGATGTTTTCGGTGGGCCATGGGCCATGAGCGGTAGACCTTCTGCTCGCCGCTCGGGCTTGAGACGGCTTGAATGATCCGCTTTCGTCCAAGGATGAAGAGAACAATTCTGAAACAGATTGGACAAGAGAATACGAGTTAATCACCATCATAAAGACGTACCTTGAAGTACACGATCGACGGAGTAATAGGACAGTACCTATCACCCGTTGCGACGAGGGCTCGCCTTCCAGCCCACAACAGGGCTCTGGACGAACGAAACTTTGACGATACCGACGGATCATGAGATTTGGTCGTAGATGCGATGATAATTCCACTGATGCGTTGATGGGTCTCTAGTAGTCAAAGCTTAGAATGGAACAGCGTTGTGGCGCAAAAGACGATGAACAGCGTTGAGCTCAGTGAATTTGACGTGACATGGTGCCGGCAAGTTCCGAACCGCTGCCGGCTTGAGCTCTCCTGAGCTGAGTTTACCGGCGCACCAACACCTTCCTTCCTTCCGCGCACCTACACCGTGCACCCTTCGCCGCACTGCGAACCAGGTTCATGTCAACGAGGTTTGCTCTGTGTGCTAATATCAAACCACCATCAAATATGCATAGCAAGGCAAGTAATCGTAGTCTCAGACCTCCCAGAAATGCCGTCATCTTCATGGTCTTGACAGTTCGCAGTAAACTGATTCTGATCCAAAACCTGCCTCCCGCAACCATGTCAAATAACAAACACAGCAAGACCCATTATCCTTTCTCCATCCACATCACAATCATATCCTCGCGATTCTGCGATCACGGCCTGATCGAAATAAGCAGGGGCCGTCAAAGATCTCCACCCGGTGTTTCTACTGGATGATGCATCATTTCTCCTTGCAGTGCTAGTACAGGCCAAGCATACACCTTCTTCCGGTAATGCATCTGGGCCCACCACCAGTGCCCTCATAACTAAGTGTTTGACTCAGATAATCATCTCAAGGTCCACCTGTTCAGACTCCAGCTCATTCTCGAGCATCCCTCTCCCGAGTATCACAATGATCACGACAGAAACAGCTACCCAGGATGGCTCAGACGGCATATACTGCAGAGAACGCAACTTCAACATACCTGAGGATATTACTTTGCCGCAGTTCATGTTCGATCATAACCACCCTTCGCAACTGCACCACCCGCCTCACCATCCATGGCTAATCGATTCTGTGTCTGGTCGTATGTTCTCGGCACGAGAGGTAAGTGGACGCTGCTGCTACTTCTGTTGATTAAAGATTCCGTCTAAAACAGCGAATAGCTCCAAGACCGTATTTGGGCTGTAGTGAACGCGTTAAACGTACGATTTGACTTAGGTACGTCCCGACCAAGACGCCTTCATTGAGTGTCTCAACCCTGATACAAATGTGGTACAGACAATGTGGTTGACCCTATAGGTTTGTTACTACATTGGCGGATATACGTTCTCACGCGTACTATTTCTGAGTCTTGTGTTATATGCAGTCGGAATCATCAGTGCAAACCATGTCGGTGCGTATGTCCATCGGTGTAAGTGCGGTATTTCGATATACTCATCGAACCTATCATTCCAGATTATCCTCTCATTGTCTGGGCCTCTCACAGAGCTGGCGCATCGGTGTTGTGAGTACTCCATCTCTCCGCAATCGGCATGCGATCTCTCCTGAACTGTCCACAAGCGTCACGAATCCAGCTTTCAAGACCGAAGAATTACTTCCGCAACTCCGCGAAGCCAGACCTCACGTCCTATTCGTGCACCAGGAATCACTTTCGAACGTCCGTGAAGCCTGCCTCGGATGCGATCTCTCACTTGATTCTATCATCCTCTTCGACCCGCCCAACAACGCCTTCTGTCCTCGAAGTACAGAGAACCCGAAGACGGTCGAAGATCTCATCCAGTTTGGCCTAAAACACGAGAAATGCCACCAATTTAAGGAACGGAAACTCTGTAAAGGGGAGGGACTCAAAAAGATGGCGTTCTTGTTCCCTTCAAGTGGAACTACGGGGATTCCGAAGTTGATTCAATTGTCGCATTATGCTTTTATCGCAAATGTGTTGCAGGCTGTGGTTCATGATGCTGGATCGGCGAGTAATCCTATACCATTTGAGCGCCGGCGACATCACCCTGGAGATGTCACTTGTGCTCGTACGTCCTGTGCCTTGATAGAACGCGGGATTAGACGACTGACGTTTACATATAAGCTCTTCCCTTCTTTCATGTCCTTGGTCTTTTGATCAATCTTCACTACCAGTTATTCTTCGGAGTGGGTCGCTCTTCGACTGACGTCAACATTCAACTGCTCACCATATGTGTATCCCAGATGACCGTTGTGGTCGTTCCCAAGTTTCACACTCAAGACTTCCTTCGAACGATTCAGGAGTATTCCGTCACCCACCTAACGTTCGTTCAGCTCATTCGTCATATCCGTTTATTCTGCTGTTTTAGCTTCACATATGTTGATAGACTTGTCCCACCCATGATCGTCCTCTTCACAAAGGTGGGCTAGCAGCAACACAACATCTCACCCGAAGGTGAATGCTGACATAGCTGTGTTCCTTCTACAGTACCTTGCCCCGAACGCCCGAGAACTTCGGACTGTCAAGGTGGCGTACGTCGGTGGCGCCCCTCTCGACAACGCTCTTGTCACTCGTCTTTCTGCTCTGATACCCAATGCCGTCATTGGGCAAATGTACGGTGCGTATCCTACTTTCCACTGCCAAGCTTTTCTTTCACCTCTCAGGCTTCACCTCTTACCTCAACATCCCACATCTATAGGCATGACCGAAGGAGGTGCCATGACGGGTCCCTCTCTAGACACTAAAATTCCCGCCCTGAGTGCTCCAGAGTCGGGAATCAGATCCGCAAGCGTAGGAAAGATGTTTCCTGGAAATGAGTGGAAGGTGATTAAGATAGACGGCTCACTGGCGAGGAGGGGGGAGAAGGGCGAGCTCTGGGTGAGGACGCCGGCGATGGCAAGTGGGTATAGGAACAACGTAGATGCGTGAGTCGTACACCTGCATCCATATGATTTCAGGTTTGACGTGATTTTATGGCCGTTGAATGTAGATCATCAGATACGTTCGTGGATGGGTACGCCTGAGAGGTCCTTCGACTCAAAGCGACTGGATCAGTGTACTGACTACGTCGACCCTCTTTTGTAGTTGGCTTCGCACAGGCGATGAAGTCTTCTTCGACCAGAATGATGAGATGTTCCACGTCCAACGTCTCAAGGTCATTAATCTCTTTTTCGCTCTTCGCTCTTCACACTTCGACCGTCTCTCCTGGCCTAACTAGTACTCTTTGCTATATCATTCAAAACAGGACTTTATGAAAGTCAAAGGCTTCCGCGTCAATCCCATCGAGATCGAGGGACACTTGCTTGAACACCCCGATATCCTCGACTGTTGTGTCGTACCCGTCCCCGACGAATTCAGCTACGAGCTCCCGAAGGCGTTCGTGGTATTGACGGAAGAGGCGAAAGAAAAGTTGCGAGTGGTGCGATCCGGCTCGAACGATGGGCAGGCCGCTGAGGACGCGTTGAAGGATAAACTGATACAGGCACGTATTTGTTTTCATTCTTACTACATACTTTGTTAACTAAACTCGAGCTCGAATGTTTGCCCTCATAGTACGTTGCGGACCACAAGATTGCATACAAGCATCTCGCTGGAGGCGTCGAGTTCTGCGACGAAATACCGAAGACGTCTTCAGGGAAACTCCTTCGCCGGGTGTTGCGCGACAGGCCCACGGAAAAAGTCCCGACTTAGACACAGTCCTACTGATGCTCGAGCGTGTAGAAGTAGGCAATCTAACTTGTGGGCAGACGTAGTAGCTCTTCAGTGGAAAGAGATCGCAGAGCGAACACTGAGATAAAATGCAAATATGATTCTACTGCATCCCTCGAGCGATCTAGGAGTAAAATATGTACAAATCTAGTCTATGGTCTCACCTTGTGTCTACGAATCTATGATCTATTTTTGCCGTTTCCTCTCCTCCCGTTCCTCCGCCCTCTTCCGCCATGAGTCACCCTTATACAAAACTACCAGCAGTAAGAGTTCCAGTACGACAATGAGGCCGGCCCAAAGTGTATACAGTCCCCCATCCCCGATCGCATCCTACGAAAAAAAAGTTGTTTGGGATATCAATCAACACAAGATATTGCTGACGGGGAATGGAACCGCGTTGAAACGACGACGCACCTGTATGGGAACGACGATCTCTGCAAACACGAATGCGCACGACCCACGAAAAGCGCTGTTGGTGGCCACTGCAGAGCCAGAGCGACCAACATTGGCGTCCACGATGTAGGAAAGGGTGCTCATGTATATCCATCTTTTCCATGCCAGAACCAGCGTAAGAAACACATTTAACGAAAGTCAGGAACAGGAAAAGTAGACGTACATTGAGAAGAAACCGATGAAGAACAACGCCACACATATAGAGGCTATGTGAATACGCTCCTCAGCGAGCCAAGCATAGGCGAGGACACAAGGAGGAAGAAGAAACATGGCTGGTATCGTGCTTCGAATGCGGACCTGGAAACTACAAATTGAATGACGGGGCGCTCAAGACGACGAATTAGAATGCTGACCTCAGGTGGCACCTGGCCTCCGTGCTCGATGCTGGGCTTCCACTGTCGGAGAACATGATCGGACCACCGCCCTCCGAGGACACTACCGAGTATGTTTCCTTGGGGAGAGAAGTATAAGTCAGTTGATGACTTAGGGAGGAGGCGAAATCGGCTTACCGACACCGTACGGAATGAGAACAAGCCCAGTTTGAAGAGCATTGTACTTGTACACGTTTGATAGCGTTAGAGCGCAGGTATATGAAATAGAGTACGCAAAGCCATAGTCCAGACCTAGGTCATGCATACACACAGTGAGTATGAGTTTTTTTTTGGCTGCGATCAAGAAGAAGTAAGCGTGGTACCACGCACCAGAAGCAATCAACACGATGAGGTTATTCCATCTTGAGAGCACGGAAAGTAGAGGTGGTATTGGGTTTACGTCCCGGATCGAGAGTTTGACTTCGCCGACATCCAGCGTGACTGTAGATGAATAGGCAGGCGAGGGCACCGGGTGAGGACTCGATGTCGAAGGGACGTCCAATGGCAAAGACGGAAGCGCCCCTATGTTGGATAGATCCTTGCTTTTCGGCTCGCCGGCACCAACTACGGTTTTGTCGTCCTTCTCGCACACCTCGACGACGTTTCTTTCCCTCTCACGCTCCATTTCGCTAATCACTCTCCCCAATGCCACTTGATACGCCACGCTTCGCTCTTTCCTGAAAGTGTCTCTGAATGCACCTACAAAAACTAATAGACAACCACCCATAAATATCGTCAAGAACCAGAACGTGGCTCTCCACGAGAAGTACTGGGTGAGCAGTCCGCCGATAATCGGGCCTAGTGCTGGGCCTAGGAGAGGTGCAGAGACGTATACCCCCATCATTGTGCCGCGAACAGAGGGCTCATAGATGTCGGCAAGGGTGGCTGCTCCGAGAGACATGACAGAAGAACCCCTTCAGCCTCGTGTAAGAGACCGAGACTTGATCTGACAAGGTATGTGAGCGTACCCAATGGCTTGTGCACATCGCATGCCTATCAGCACACCTATCGACCGAGCTTCTGCTGCCACAATGCAGCCGACGAAGCCAATAGAGACTGATATTATGTATACAATCTGAACGGTTGAGGCGAGCGCTATTAGGTCAGAACGGCTTCGTAGTGACAGAACACAAGGTGAGAGGAAGATGGCGCCGAGACCATACCTTTCTACCCTTGATCTCACTCAATGCACTCCATGCAATCGGAGACGTCCCTTGTATTAGAATAAACAAAGCGAGACTAAGGCTGAGTTCCGAGCTCGATGCATGGAGGTCCGATTCTATCTCGGAGAGAGCGGCTGAAGGCGTAGACGTCAGGTTATGAGTTCAATTCCGTTCTGAGCTCATTATATGACGGGATGCGAAACGTACGGTTATATATGTTGGTCCCGAGACTTGCAATCATGGCAGCGCCTGAAATGATGGCGAGAATAATGGCCTAAGACGAAGGCGTATGAGATCGACGTGAAATTTAGATATTATGCGAGCCATACGAGCCATACTTTTCTTTGCGAAGACCATCCACGAGGGTCATCCACGACGGCAGTATGCTCGATATCAACAACGATGTCGCCTGACACTGGCAGGCCAGGATGTTGACTTGCTGTTTCCAGTGCGGCCCCATGACTCGACTCCGTGAAAACGGGAGTAATTGTACCAGTTTCATGGAATCTAGTGGATGAAGTAGATGAAGCAAAGTGCGAGATAGTGGTAGATCTTTCACCAGGGGGTCCAGCAAAGGGTTCAACAAACTCAGACATAGCGAAGGGTACTCGAAAGACGAAGTGAAAGGGTGGATTTTCGAGCGTCCCATGGCTAAGCTATATACAAATTTTGTGCTCCCCGGGCTATTATTTAGTAAGTGTAAAGTCTCAGTAACGAAGCGGGTCGGAGAACGCGAGTTGGGGAAGGGATGATCGATGAAGCTTGAAGCTGAACCTCTTCAACGTTCCTCGCCGCCGCGTGCGGCAAACGCGTGGCGTACGCGCAAATAACCTCCAACAAACACCTGATTCGTCGCCACACGGATGCGTTTCCTGCTTTGAACTCAAACCACTTTCATGTTTGCACGGGCTTTCGCTTTTCCTCTGAACCCTGACCACACCCTCGCCTGACTAGCATCGTATCCTAAATTCATGCTCATGCTATAAAGTTTTGCGTTGGCCATATCGTGATCGCTGCATCTTATGTAACTTCATCCGGCAAAATGGGTTGCAACGTACATACATGGGAAAGGACTCGGATATTCCAGATCTGCAAGTGGTAATGCGAAGAAGTACACACAAGTCTCTGAGTGTTCTCATGTGTATGGACTCCTCCCCGAATTATCTCTTACATCCGAAATGTCGCAGCGCTAATAGTGGAATGTTTTACAATCTGAGTAGATTCCGAAAACTTATCCTGCTGAGTTTGAAGGGTCGGTAGCTTCCACTGATTCTCGTCTTGAACACTACCTCCCTATGGCAGACCGACGATCTTTCTGGACAGGGTTAAAGTAAGACCGAACCACTAGTCTTCACCAGACACTGACTTGCGACGGGCACAGGCGTTCATCTTGCCAATCTTAGGCCTCGGGACACCGGACATGTCTTCTTGTCCTATAACGAGCCCATAGTGTTCACATACTATCTTGTTCATTCGCTCTGGATTCACGATCGGGTAAAGGGTATAACGCAAATCCCAGCGGCCGTACATAAGGGAATACCATTGCAGCTGAAGTTCTCGATAGCGTGAGGCCAGCGCCACCAGCAGCTTGTACGGTCTCTGCCTCTCCAGCTACGCATTCTTCATGGTCTCTGGACCACAGAGCCTCTATACTCCCACAAAGCCGGAGATCCATGAAACTGCCCAACGTGTAGTCTCCATCCTCCGAAACCGTGGTCTCTCCTGTTGTCTCACTGGGAGCACAGCCTCTTCCGCCTGGGGAGCGAGCCGTACTCCTAAGGTCCATATATCTCCACAATCAGCGGCTCCTTTCAACTTTACACTGACGGAAGATATCCTGCAGGACATTGACATCGTCATTATGACTCGCTCCCACGACGAAGAAAGCATCAAACGCTTCATCGCGGGTGATGATCCAGCATTCTACTTGGTCTCCTCCACCAATCCACGCAATTTCTACAAAATTGTTTGGTATCGGTATCCTGGCCGCCCAGGGCTCGCCATAAAGATCGATGTTCTCATCCCTCCGACCATGTCCATTCCTTTCGTCGAATCAGATCTCATCGTCATCCGCAATTTACTCCCGCTTATGCCGTTACTGCCCCAACTATTGTTGAAGCTTCAATGCTGGGACGACCACAGACTTTCTCGGTATAGTGATAAAAGGTTGAAACAATATGTGGACGCGCAGGACGTAAGGGAGTTGTTGATCGTTGCGAACAAGAGAGGGGTAAGGGTCGGTAGCGAGAAGTGGTTGTCGGCAATTTTCAAGATGCAGGGAGAACGGAGAGTGAAGTCTTACGTGGTACAGTATCCAGATACAAGGGGCGCATGGAGCCGCATAGGGTTCCCATGTCCATAGAACTTGCGGTGTGTTCTTTTTTTTTAATAATCAACAAGACCGTCTACTTTGAGGTTTCAAGGCAGAGTCTCCTTCTATCGCCTGTCCATACCAGATACCACATCTGTCTCTTCTTATTGATATTCGTTGATCCTCAAGTCTGTATCCATGCCCACCTGAATTCGCACCACAGTCTCCTTCGCCAATCCAACGGGGGGTTTCTCATCATAACTGGTTCGAATTATGAGTCGGAGCTCTGTAGGTTCTCAGTGCTTGGTGCTTCGGACGCCGCAATTCGATGACACGAGCGGTGTAAAGTTTATTTGCAGGTACTTCTGACAAGGCTCAGCGCATTCTCATGCCTCGTTATGGCTATAGGACACTGCTTTCCTAACAAGGCCGTCTATGGTTTCTCCCATAGTGTCAACCAGTTTTGGGCTGATCGTCTCAGCGCCCAGTCAGTAATACACTCGACTTCCCTATCTTATCCCACGCCACGGTAACTCCCTACATAGCTTCCTCTCTTGTTCGCTCTCGAGCTGAATACATCAAGAATACCGCCGCATCGTACAGAGTCACCATTATCGCTGAGAAGGTATGTAGTACTTTTCAGCTGCAGACATCTCCCGGCTATACTCGTTGTCTCTTAAACATAAGTGTTCTCAGGCTATATCGCGCGCACCAAGATGTTTACCAACCTGGTCATGTACGGCGCCGGTGGTATGTTTTATGTATTCCTTCCGGAGTTTATATGAATTTGATGAACGGCTAATATTGTCGTGGTTGACAGACGACCAGCCCGCCGCAGGGGTTCACATGCACCTCCAGTCGTGCGCGATATGTCAGAAGAAATCCATAATGAAGGACGGGCGCAGACAGCATCTGAGGATGTGTCCATGTGCAGAAGCTTTCTACTGCGGGTTCGTCGCTGCATCAGTCTAGATTCGCGACATAATGTTATTGAACGACTCGGGGGCTTAGGACCGAACACCAGAATTATCACTGGAATACGCACAAGAAGACTTGTTACGACCGTCTCAAACGCAAACGAAAGACTGGTCCACCAACAGCCATCGAAGCCGCTGTTAAATATATCCTTCAGGTTCACGACAGCGCCATGGTGGATATCGGGACCTTGGCCATATATTGAGGGAGGATCCCTTCATCGACCTGAAGTCCGCATTGGAGGATCGGGCGGTATTGGTCAAGGTACAGCAGACGAGGAGGACGGGATGGGAGAGCATGGAGGACGCGCACGCGGCTGGGCGGATCCCGCCGATTGAGTTGTCGACGAAGAAAGAGGACGTCGTCGTTGCGCCACTGGGAGATCTGTGTAAGGCCTTGGAGTTGGGCAGGAGTACATTCGAGAATCCAGTCGATTTGCAGGTGAGCATCATGGATCAGACTGATTCCATGGCGCCTGAAAATGTAGATTGTGCCGTGTCTTCTGTGTAGTCTCGTCGCGCTCGCGGTGATTTCTGTATATCTGTGCTTTTTATGCCTCTGGCACGTCCAGTTTCTTTCTATGCACCCAAGATGCAGGCAGGAGCATGGGAGCTGAAGCAACGCGCGGAGCAAAGCAGGACGAATCCTCCCTATCTGTACCTATCGATCCACGCATTCAACAGTGCCATTTGCTACGAGCTCACCCAAGAGAAAGAGAAGATCGAGAAGAGTGTAAAGAGCGGGGAGGGTGGGGGTAGCGGGACAAAGGAGAAGAGTAAGAAGAAGAAGGGCAAGAAGGCGAAGTGATATGGGGCCATGTGTCACAAGGATGGAACAAGGATGGAAGTATGTGTAAATATTTCGTTGGAGAGAGAGGAAGCTTGTTGGCCACTTGACGGATATTTATTGGCTGCTTATCATGAACACGAACGTAGTGGTAGCCTGCCTTGAGTGGTATTTCAGGATATTGCATACCATGTCGGGACATATCTCCAATAAGGCGTACCCCTAACGAAAAGTACGGAGCATAGTTATCCGACTATATGCCACTCTTCCTTTTATATTGCCACCCCTCACCTCCTCGACCTCACCTCCCGCTCCTCAGCCTTTTCACGCCACTTCCCTCCCTTATAGAGTACCAACAGCAGCAGGAGTTCACAAATGATGAGAATCCCAGTCCATAACGAGTAGAGGCCCCCGTCTCCGATAGAGTCCTGAACCAGACGCAGTAAGAAATAAGTAAAGACTCAGTCGAGCAATGACGAACCTGCAACGGCACTGCGACCTCGGCGAAAAGGAAAGCGACCAAGCTACGAGCAAGGCTGTTCGTCGCCACAGCCGTGGACGAGCGACCGACGTTGGAGTCTACGATGTAGGCGACGGTGCTTGAGTATATCCATCTGTGATGTCAGAGGCATTAGGCGCTAGAATTTGATGTTTGCAAAGCAATGCAGATCCGGTTTTGTGGGTGACTCACATCGAAAAAAAACCGACGAAGAACAATGAGACACATATTGTGGCGATATGGATCCGTTCCTGCGCGAGCCAACCATAGGCTGCAACAGATAATGGGAAGAAGAACATTGCGGGTATACCACTTCGCAGGCGAACCTGAGTAAGTAGTCGACATTCATCAGTAATGTGACACAAACAATCAAAGGGCATCTGAACCTCGGGAGGAGGCCGACATCCGGGCTCAAGACGGGCTTTTGCATGTTTCAGGATGCGGTCTGACCATCGACCACCGAGAACACTACCGAGGACATTCCCTGGAAACATAGAACGTCAACTCAGCATACTTATACGGCTTATCGAGAACAGGATGAGAGTGAAAAAATATAACTCGCCGACTCCGAAAGGAATGAGAACGAGACCAGTCTGCAGCGCATTGTATCCGTACTTGTCAGAAAGTGTAAGAGCGCAGGTGTACACGATTGAGTATGCGAAGCCAAAGTCGAAAGCTGCTTAGTCCAGAGAGGTCAACAGGGCTGCAAAAAGTCGTCTGGGAGGTGGTAAGTATGAGAACTTGCCGTACCAGAAGCGATCAGAATCACTATGTTGTTCCATCTCGACAAGACAGCCAGAAGAGGGGGTACAGGATTCACATCTTTAAAAGAGAGATGGACCTCCTTCAAAACTACCTCGGCGCTCGGTTTTTCATGCTCGCCAGCTGAAGCAATCGATGCACCAGTCTTCTCGGAGTCTAATGGCGGGATCTCACAGGAAGGAATGACGTCCGTTTCCCGTCCAGATTGCGGGTCGATGCACTTCTCATCCTCGACATCCTTAATCTTCACACTTACCTTGTCCGCCTCCAGCGTCGAAACACTATCGCTCTCGCTACATCTCTTCTCTTCCCTCCCTTTCACAACCCTCCGCAACGCCGTCTGATACGCCACACTCCTCTCTCTCCTAAACGTATCCTTAAACGCGCCCAAAAACGCAACCAAACACACAGCCATGAGCACAGCCAAGAACCAAAACGTGGCCCTCCAGGAGAAATACTGAGTCAACAGTCCTCCGATAATAGGCCCCAGAGCCGGACCGAGAAGAGGAGCGGAGATGTAGATGCCCATCATGGTGCCGCGTTCGTGGGGTTCGTAGATGTCGGCGAGCGTGGCTGCTCCTATGGACAACACCGAAGACGACCTGCGGCAGGTTTCCTTTTCATACTAAGACGAGAGAGGAGAGGAGAGGAGACGAAACGTACCCGACTGCCTGGAGGACTCGCATGCCCAGAAGAACGCCGGTAGTTTTGGCCAGCGAGGCCACGATGCATCCTATCAGACCGATCCCGATGGAGAGTATGTACACGATCTTTACCCGCACGTCAGCGGGAAAATAGCTGTAGGAAAGGAAACAGATACGGTACAAGAAGGTCACATACCTTTCTTCCCTTGATCTCGCTCAAAGCACTCCATGCGATCGGAATACCCCCTTGGATGAGGATAAAAACAGCGAGACTGAGACTGATATCCGAGCTTGACGCATGCAGGTCTGACTCTATCTCCGGGATAGCAGCTATAAAATCGCAGTGGTGTAGCGTATGCGAACTCAGAAACCACACATGACGAAGGGAGTCAGACGACGTACGGTTATATATGTTGGATCCAAACCCAGCAAGCATCGAAGCGCCAGAGACAATTAGAAGAATCATGGACTAGTAGAAGGAAAATAGTATATCATTCAGATTCGAATAATACGCTCCCCATTAAACGTCTAAGCGAACTGAAGAAGACCAACCAACCTTACGCATCGACGACCATTTACGGGGATCGTCGGCAACGGCGGTGTGTTCGATGTCCACTTCGACTTCGAGGGACTCGTCGTGCTCGCTCTCGACAGACGGAGTAAAACTATGCCGGAGGGTATCTCTACCCGACGACTCCCTGAGACTGCGTTCGTCCTGACTATGACTTCGTCGAGATTCTGGGGGTTGATGTGAGGGTGTCATTGGCAGCGCAGAGTGTGAAGTATTTTGTTGCTTATTGGAAAGTCCATGGAGATGTCCTGCGTCGACCTCCTTGGACTACAAACAATGTAAGTATGTGGCCTGCTCAGTACTTACTTCCGAAAGTCCACACATGATTCAAGGAATAGAACTGGCTTACAATTATAATCTCTTCATGACGACCCTGAACCTCCATAACCACGTCCTTCAACGCCAGTGACCTAGTCCTACCAATACTTCCTCCTGAGTCCATCATGCCTCGGAATGCGGTAGACCGTGGTGGAGGGGTGGCACAAGTATTTCCTACACCGTTTTCACGACCCGGGAGTCATATATACACCGGAGACGGGAGCATATACGCCAATGGCAAACAGGCCCAGTTAGACGGAGAGGAAGGACAGCGGCGAGCCTCCGAAGCTGAATATTGAATTCAGACCCAAGAGAACTTTTCAAGGCGGGACGGATGCCGTCCCGTTTGCTAGAATTCAAATTCAGAGCAACATGAATTGGTTTTACTGAGGAGAGGACCGTCACGGCCTGCCAGCGCTTAAGGAGTACGCGTTCTCGCCACAAACAACTAATTCCGAGGACGAGGACGAAAATGCGGGTCGCGAAGGGAACTCGACGAACGCGAACGTAAATGGAGTTCAAAACGCTCGGGAGCGCTGTGGCGTCGGCGCTTAACGCCTACAGTGGGTGGCGTGATACGTTGCGGTGCATCGAGCGAGCCAAGTCAGGAAGTGCTGCGACTGCCGGAGAGAGCTGAGAGTCAGTCTATTCAGCATAAGGATTCATCGCATCCGGCCAATGTGGTGGAATCAGGCGCCAGAAGAACTTGAGAGTAGGCGAGAATGGCATTATGCCGTGTGATCATAGCATAAGACAGCAAAGCAGAAAAAAGACAGTAGAGGGTCAACACAAGTCTCAAATGGCCTACGATGAACAGTCCCATCAGCTTTCCCAATTCCAGACTTACATCCCTTCGCACTCGTACTCACCTTCGGCGCCAAACTCAAAATCTTGCCCCAGCCCTTCATCCTCAAATCCGCACTAACAACCCCTCCAATCCTCGTCCCCAACATCTCCCGCTTATTATTCAACAACACCGCCGCATTATCGTCGAACCGCACCACGCGTCCGTCCGGTCTCCTCACCGACTTCCGCGTACGCACGATCACCGCCCTCCGAACGTCTCCCCGTCGCACTTTTATCGCGGTCGCGGAGAGGGATGCGGATGCGGGGATGGGACGCGCACGTTTGACGACGCAGACGATTTCGTCGCCGACGGAGCCCCAGCCGTTCGTGACTTTGTTTTTGAGGACGTTGACGCATTCGACGATGAGCGCGCCGGAGTTGTCGATGCACTGGGTAGTAAGGCCGGGTTCAGGTTGTTAACTCGGAGGAGGAGTATGGAAATGAGGGAAAGGAACGGACGGTTAGTGTTCCTTTGAGACCAATCATGATGGGAGGTGTAGAACTGGACGAGGCGTTGGATGTGTTTTGGCCTGGAGGAAGGACTTCAACAAATCGGAGCAGTCTGGTCGCGCCAACGAAAGTCCCACGGTCCCCGAGACTCGATCGTGTGGCGAGACGGAAGAGGGATCAAGTTAATTGCTCGGCATCCTTCTGCCTCTGAAATTTATTGTGAGGGTCAATAAAAGTATTTATGTTTTGCAAAGAAAAAGCAGCCAGAGAGCTCTCGAGTGCCACAGAACTGCCTTGCCCTCGAGATCCCGTTCGAGATTTCGCCCAGTCTTCCACGTGGCATCACTCCCACGACCCGATATCCACAAGTCGCTTCACCGTTACGTGCCCTCGCTCTCTCCCGTCCTTCACCCAATTCCTTCAACTCCTTCGGAACACCGAACAGCCTACAGAAAAACCTAGTGATCATGCCAGCAAGTCGCAGAGGAAGCGGTAGTGTTACACTTCCGAGCGGGCAGACGCTGACGGTGCACACCAGGACGCAGGATGAGGAGGATCTCCCGCATGCGACCAAGAAGTGCGTTCGGATTTCACGTCTTTTGCTCCATATCTCGGTGCTCAACGGAGAATTCATCTAATTACTGTTGCTCCATGGCGCTTGCAGAACGATGGCGGACCATCTCCGCAAATACGAAGTGTTGTACGTCCGTCTATACATTCCATGCCCGAACGTACAGATGGTGGATTGATGGTTCAACATTTCTTGTGCTGGATCCGGATGTGGATGGGATACAGGTTCACGCTCACGCCGCAGCGTATGCGCATGATCGTCGAGGCATTCAAGGATACGCTCGAGCTCGGTCTCGAGAAGAAAGACCAGGTCGTGGTCCGTATTATCTTCTTCTGCCCCTATTCCTTCCTTTCCCTCTCCCTCTCCCTCTCCCTCTTTCTCTTTCCTTCTACCTTCCACCTTGCGCTCTTCGCCACACCGTTGCGCTCTGCACCACATTCGTGCCTTCCGACGAGTGCTCTCATGCACGGCGACGGAATGCTCGGAGTCGTTAGGACCGGACGGATATGCAGATGTCACATCGTCATCGCTCCGTTTCCGTCGATGCATGAATACCAATTTCGCCTCCCTTCGGCCCTTATCACCCCCCGGATCAGTCCTCCGACGCACGGAAGACTACGAACTAGATCGTCCTCTTCCCGCCCTCGACGCGGCCGTAATGGGTCTCGTTCCTTGTGCCTACCATGCACTTTGTCGTTTGATTTTCGTGTAGCTGGTCAAAGTGTGGCGTGGAGGATGTGGCGTTGGCGTTTGTGTGTCTTGAAGGGATACGGCCGTTGACGAGCCTTTCTTTTTTGTGGGCTGTAGCCTATGATCCCGACGTATGTCTTTGGTTGGCCGACCGGTGAAGAAACTGGCGACTTCCTCGCCGTCGACCTCGGTACGTCCGCCTTCCCCACTTCATCCTATCCCGATTCCCATTCCCGTCCCCGTCACTCCACTGTTTCACCTCACCAAACCTATTCCACCCTCACCAAACCCCAGGCGGAACCAACCTCCGCGTCTGTCTCGTCACCCTCCAAGGCGACGGCAAATTCGAGATCACACAGTCCAAGTACCGCCTCACGGAAGAGCAGAAACAGGAGGACGGTCAGAAGTTGTTCGATTTTTGCGCGGAGTGTTTGCAGACGTTCGTGAGCACGAATTTTGAGGAGGGGAGTATTAAGGAGGGAGAGTTGTTGCCTTTGGGGTTCACGGTGCGTTTCCCTTTTTCGTTTTTTTTTTTGCATGAGTGGATTTGGAGAGGGACTGATTGGGGTGTTGTCGGCATTTGCGGGTATGATGCGAGTAGTTCTCGTATCCGTGCTTGTGAGTAGACCTGTCATTCCCTCCATTGCTTCGCACGCATGTACGCATACTTACCCGCGCGTGATGAATAGGCAAGACCGGATCGACCATGGTGAGCTCATCCGCTGGACGAAGGGTTTCGGAGCGGCGAACACGGAAGGAAGGGACGTCGCGGAGATGTTCAGGAATTCCTTGAAAAAATACGTACGTTCAGTCTTCCCCACCACATCGCACCGCACTCACACATATTAACTCACCGACGTTATCCGCCCCCTCCTCCCATCCCTCTTCCCATCCCTCTTCCCATCCCTCTTCCCACCCCTTCCCCCACCCCCCTCTGCCCACCCCACCGCCCACCACCCAACAGAACGTCCCCGTGCAACTCACAGCGCTCATTAACGACACGACCGGCACGCTCATCGCGAGCCACTACGTCAACCCGCGCACGAAGATAGCCGTCATTTTCGGGACGGGCTGTAATGCGGCGTATATGGAGAAGGTGGGCAAGATCGGGAAGATCAAGGATCTCGGGATCGATGCGGAGGCGGAGATGGCTATTAATTGTGAATGGGTGAGTCGCTTTGTCCTCGGCCTTGCCTTTGCCTTTGCGTATGAGGGAATGAAGAATGGGAAGTTGACTTTGCGTGGTTGGGTTGGGTGGGCTGTGTTGGGTTGGGGGTGGTAGGGCGCTTTCGACTCGTTTGAGCACGAGCATCTGCCGAGGACGAAGTACGACGTGTCGATCGACGAAAACTCGAACAAGCCAGGCGAGCAGGCTTTCGAGGTGCGTTTCCCACCTCTCTCCGCTCTTCCCCTACACCTGCTCACCTTCCCTCACCTCTCATGGATGTCTTCACCTCACACCTCATGAATGTCTAGAAACTCATCTCGGGTCGCTACCTCGGCGAGATCCTCCGGCTCGTCATCTGCGAGCTCATCGACGACGGTGTGCTCTTCTTGGGCCAGAACACGTATAAGCTCGAGATTGCGTACGCGATGGACACGGCGTTCTTGAGTCTGATGGAGAGGTGCGTCCGTCGTCCTAGTCTTGCCACTTTGCCACTTTACCACTATGCGGTCCCCACGATACTCAAGCATCTTTTTTTTCTGATCACCGATCATCCACCCTACATTCTCTTCCGCGTTCTCTTCCTGCAACTCCCCTCGCACAACACACACCCACACTTCACGCACGCCACACAGCGACCCGACCGAAGAACTGCTCATGATCATCGGAATCTTCTCCCACTTCTTCGCACTGGAGACGACGCTCGCCGAACGGCAGTTCTTCCGCGCGCTCGCGAAACTGATCGGAAGGCGTGCGGCACGGATGTCGGCGTGTGGGATCGCGGCGATCGTTAGTAAGATGGGATACCTCGAGGATGGGTGCAGTGTGGGTGCGGATGGCAGTTTGTATAACGTTCGTTTTTTTTCCCCCTCGTTTGTGCGGAATTGGAATTGGAATGGGAATTGGAGGAGGGTGCTGATTACTGTGCTTTTTTGGGTGGTTGGATGGGATGTGTAGAAATATCCGGGCTTTGCGGATAGAGTGCATGAAGGCCTGTGTGATATCTTTGGGGACAAGGGGAAGTGAGTCGTGTCGTCGCTTTATGTTCTCTTTTTGATCGAAGTTGACCGGTTGTCGTGTTGGTAGGAACATCATTACACACCACGCTGAGGATGGAAGTGGTGTCGGTAGTGCGATCATCGCAGGTACGTCCCTTTTTGTGGTGCCGAGTGCAGGTATAGTATGCGAATCAGGCCGCTGATCACATTGTTTTACTGTAGCAATGACGAAGATCCGTAAGGACAAGGGTATCCACGTCCACGTCTAACCCGACTCGCGATCGATTCTATACCCGCTTTGCGGTGTACCACTACTACGAGGCGAACGACCACAAACGACGGGAGAAGAGAAAAAAGAGAAGAAGAAGAAGAAGTGTCACAGACTGTTGTTGTCTATCCATTATTTTCGGACAACTTGAAGCCGCTGTAGTGTTGTAGTTCCCCTTCTGTTTTCTGTTTAGGCATGCATGCATACGCACATATATACATACGTACATTTTCATACCAAGGTGTTCTTTTCGCTAGCTAGGGTCGAGGGTCAGCGGTCGACGGTGGTGGTTGTAGGATCATGGTGTAGGGCTGGTTGGTTCCGTAACACATAGAATTTCCCCTCTCTTATGCCCGAGTCTCAGATCTCAGTCTTGAATAAATCATAACGGGTTTTTATTATCTTGATGATACCTATATGTGCGAAGTTCGTCGGATTGGACGTGCGAAAAAGTGAATTCAGAACAAACTCACCCCCACCAAAACCAAAAGGGCCACACTCGCCACCTCATCCCGGCCGCCGGTAACTCAACACTCCCGGAGCCCCTCTTCGCGAAACCATGATCATGACCGTCTTACCCCGCATTCAGAACCTGAGGTCGACTGGTGACTGAGCGTGTGCGATTCTTGTTCTTGTACCACCATCACCATCTACATCTGCATCTCTATCTTCTGGCTACATTCTATACCAAAACTTGAAGAAAGGAATCTCTAGCTTGGAATAACTCCGCTACTGAGATGTCGACAACGGTCTCTGTGGAAGCGTTGAAGAAAGCGGTGGGACATATTTATCCGGACCAACCTGTGCGTGCATTCAGCAATGCGTGGTGCTGTTCGAGTTTTGTCTGCTTACTGTTTCTGTCGTTGGAATGCTCTCTATCGTGAAAATGTGGTCAGGTCGCATGGAATAAGCGAGACCTTCTCATCTACGCTATTGGCATCGGGGCGAAAGCGAATGACTTTCCTCTGGTTTACGGTGCGTCTGTCCACAGCTTCCTTTATTTCATCTTACATCGAGAGCTGTACTGAATTCTGGGTGTATGGTTGTTAGAGCTCGGTACGTTGGCCTGTTTTATGAGCGCCACCCAGACCTCAACACCCATACTACCCCCATCCTCATCCGACTCATTCCATGGACTTCTTGAACACTGTAATAACCTGAACGCCACGCACTTTGACAACAGACAAGAACTTCGCCGCTTTCCCAACGTTCCCTGCCACTTTCTTCCTCAAAGGTATGTCTCCTCTAGGCTCTTCTTCACGAACCCCGTACTCTTCACTACTACCACCACCCTTGCAATCTGAACTGTAACAATAACCCATATCCCTCACCCTCCACTCATTAGGTGCCGACCAGGACGTGAACCTCTTCGCATCCAGAGTGGCAAGCGCCACGTCGCCACCCGGTCTCCCAAAGTTCGATCCGAATCGCGGTGTATGTTTCACTCCCTCTGTTTCCTCCACTTCCGGCATTATCCCATGTTTCAGTATATCTCCGAGAGGGGGATATGTTGCTAACTGCTTACCTCACATAACCCAGGTGCACGCCACACAGACTATTGAGATCCTGAGGCCTCTTCCGTTGGTGAGTGGGGACGGATGGAAGATGAACAGGCGGTTGACGGGTATCTCGGAAAATAGTAGGTCTCTTCCTCTTCCTCTCCCTCCCCTTCATTCTTTCCCTCTCCTTCTTCTTTGATCTATTCCGAATGATCAACCTACTGATGCTCATACTGGTATGGCGCAGAGTCGGGGGTCATACTCGAGAACGAATACACACTCGTCGATCCTAAGGGTACACCCTACGCCAAACTCTTCGTACGCCCCCTTTCCTTCCAACCTTCCTCCCTTCTTGAATTCCTTTCTTATCACTTCCCCTCCCCCTTCCTCACCGACACTCGCAACCGCATTCGCACAGTCCGCCTCCTTCAACCTCGGCGCCAAACTCACCGGCACCCGCTTCTCGCACACGATCGCCTCTCCCCCAAAATCTACAAAATCGTTCGATCCGAAAAGTAAGCCCGACTGGACGATCAGGGATAAGACGAGCACGGAACAGGCGTTGATATATCGCTTGAGCGGGGATTACAATCCGTTGCATATCGGTGCGTGTGCCATTCGCTCACAAACTGACTATTCAACAACATTCTCCTTGATGCATGATATTTCGCTGACGAGTCTCATCTACATATGTGTGTACTCTACAGACCCCTCGATTGGCGCCCGCACTGGCTTCGGTGGCGTAATCCTGCACGGCCTCTCGACCTACGGTTTCGCCGCGCGTCACCTCGTCAGCGCGATAGGCGGGAACGACCCCTCGTCTCTGAAGTATTTCAGTGCGAGGTTCACGAGCCCTGTGAGGCCGGGGGATGAGCTTGAGACGAGGGCGTGGGAGTTGGGGGGTTTAGGTGGTGGTCATGGTGCGTTCTCTTCGTTTGTGATTTGCGATGACGATGTCTTGAAGGTGATGGGGGTGAGGACGTGTCGGAGGGATGCTGACTTTTTTGCCCTTTGTGCGTGTGATTGTTGATTAGGAGATGAGTGGAGGGAGATAGGGTTTGAGACGTGGGATTTGAGTTCGGGGAGGTGTGTTATTGGAGGTGGCGTGGCGTGGGTCAGGAAGAGTGCGAGTGCGGAGAAGGCGAAATTGTGAGGGTAAGGATGAGCCTGGTGGTTGTGCTCGGGTGCTGGGAGGAAAGCAGGGGAAGTACCGACATCTTTTCGCTTGTCTAGTACGACTTCAGTGGGCATGGTATGTACGATATATGTGCTCTGGATCTATGACGATGTGGTACAGATTTTGCTGTCTCACCAAATTGGAAAGAATCGCGATGTTTTCGTGGACCTTCTGCGAATTTTTGAGGTGCATAAGTTTGTCCATGTCGGGCCACATCGGGTGCCACTTAATCAAGTTTGAACCCTGGTTAGGGTCAGGGTTATTTATTTATTTATTTATTTTTTTTGAATCAATTGCATTTATATAGCGCCGGCGCAGGCCAGGGGCGCTGTGAGTAGGTACTGGACAACTAACTACATGTAAGGTAGAGTTGGTAAATGCTGTGGAACTCGGTATGCGGAGCAGGGAGTAGAGTATGTGCAGGCACGTCAGTTCGGAATACGAGTAGTATATGCAGGAAACGTGATGGTCCGTCTAATCGGGGGGTCTTGGAACGTTCGGGGTATGTAGATTGGCAGAGTCGAACGTGAAAGCAAGTGGGTTGTTAGTGAGAAAGTCCTTGAGTAAAGTAATGGGTCGGTGAGAGGAAGTGATGAAGGCGACAAAACCAGCTCTCCGCGGGCGTTGGAAGGGTCAGGGTTAGTTTGGCCGCTGTGCGACTTCAACACAAGTTGGTCGAGTTCTTTGTTCACGACCATCACCGCACCACCTTCAATTGAATCTCGAGTATTTACTTGACCAAATACGCGTTTGCTAGGACTCTCTGAACGAAGCCATCTCATCTGACCCCGCCCCACCACGCTTAGACTGCTGCAAGAAGTCTCATGACCGCCTTCAACCTTTCTCGCAGCTCTTCCTCCCAGGCTCTGTCCGTCCGCCTTCGCCAGTTTGATGTCGTGTTGTCCCTCTCAGATGAGCAATTTGTTATCTTTCGTACAGGCTAGGGAAGACCTATGATCGAATGTGGATAGAATGGGGCTATACCCTCGTCATGTAGGTCGTTCAAGGAGGACACATGACAGTCTTTTGACGGCGTTCATCACGTCGGTCTTATAATAGGCGAACACGCTCTTCCTCCTCTCCGTCTCTATCTTTCTCCTTGCTCTATCCCAGTCTCTTTCACTTACTCAGCCCAGGAGTCGAATCTAAAACACCATGGAAAAGGGCAAAAACTCGAGGGCGCAGGTCACGACTATCGAGAACATCAATATTGACGATGAGAAACGACTGGCAGCCGAGAGAGACCGTGACGATGGTTGGATGCTTGATTTTGGTGGTGATTCGGGTTTGCCTCCTCCGCCTGTGCTTACGGAGGAAGAAGAGAAGAGACTTTATCGGAAGCTGGATTGGAGGCTTATGCCTATATTGTCGCTGATGTATCTGTTCAGTTTCCTTGATAGAGGTGAGTGTATGACCTTGGGGTGCGAGATGTGTATTGATGAATTGTGATTATAGGAAATATTGGTGGGAATGACTTCGAATGGTACACGAGGAGATAGACTGAATCAATCGAATGATAGGAAATGCTCGTCTTGACGGCCTTGAGACGCAGCTCAACCTCATCAATAACCAGTACAACATTGCTCTTGTGCGTGTGGATACTCTTCGTACCTGTTCACAAACTCATGTCCTTCATTCCACTTCGTAGACCATGTACTTCATCGTGAGTACTAAGGTTCCCTCCACACGCATACCAAGTTATTGATCGACGGCGCCGATAGCCCTATTGCCTGTTCGAATGTCCAGCCAAGTGAGCACTTTTACTACGAGGACCATCGTCACCGTTCATCCTAATCCGTCATGCAGCCTTGTCCTCAAGAAATTTCGTCCCTCTCGCTGGCTGCCAGGCATCACCATTCTTTGGGGCACCATCATGACCCTCATGGGTCTTGTCAAGACGTACGCCTCATTTATCTTCCTTGACACCATTATCACGCGCCCCCGAGCCACTCGTCTGATGACTGCCGTCTATGTCCCTTAGTTATCCCCAACTCGTCGGAGTTCGCACTTGTCTTGGAGTAGCCGAGGCTGGGCTCTTCCCCGGTGTAGTGTACTAGTGCGTCTCCCTCCCCATTCCATATTTGAGCCACTACCCCCTTTCTCGTTCTCTGCCTGGCTGGGATATCATGCTAACCGTCATGTACCGTTCTGCAGCCTAACGCTATGGTATCCCCGTCAAATGCTCCAATTCCGCATAGGTCTCTTCTTCGGCGCCGCATCCCTTGCAGGAGCGTTCAGCGGCTTGCTTGCGTTCGGAATCTCGTTCATGGATGGCGTAGGGGGTTTAGAGGCCTGGAGTTGGATATTCGTGCGTCATTGTCTCACTACCATGTCCCTTGTGCTGCTGTCCTCCTATCGTTTGGAGCTGACAGCGGTGGTTTCTGAATTTTATGCATGGGATGGCGATCTTGATCATGTGGCGTGACTCACGGGTCTGCTTGTGTACACAGATCCTAGAAGGAATTGCGACGGTTCTAGTTGGAGTGCTTGCGCTTTTGGTCTTAGTCGATTTTCCGGCGACGGCCAAGTTTCTTACCCCGGAAGAGAAGGCGTATGTTATTTGGAAAAAGAGTGCGTTCTTTGTTCTTCGCAGTCACCTGCTCAGCTCACAGAAGTACTGCCTGGGTGGTTCGCAGAGTACGACAACTCTAGCGTCGGCGAGGAAGAGAGATTCGCACTTCGTCATTTGTGGGCAGCCTTAACGGACTGGCAAGTCTGGCTGCACATATTGGTGTATATATCGGTTGTTGGACCTCGTGAGTATCCAGCCGCCTACCTTGTGTAAGGTTGAAAGTTGACGAAGACGTATATAGTCTATGGAATTTCGTTGTTCCTACCGTCAGTGAATCTTCGACCATATATGTCCCCAGGCAGCTAAACTTGTCGTGATGACAGAACGATCATAAAGACATTCGGGCATTCAACGGCCATCTCCCAACTCTTGACAGTTCCGCCCTACGTTTTCGCCAGTACGTCCTCTCATTCTTCGATCACACTCTATCTTCTTCTCAACTTTCTTCCGCACTCGAGCCCTCTCATCGCTGACGCCACCCAAACTCAACTATGTATAGCTATAACCCTCCTAACCTTCGCCATCCTCTCCGATCGTACCGGCAAACGGTCGCCCTTCATCGTCCTCGGGCTCATCATGCTCCTTATCGGGTTCAGCATCAATATATCGGACACGAAGGCAGGAGTGAAGTATTTCGGGACGTTCTTCTGCGTGGCAGGCGCTTATGCGACGTTCCCCGGGGTGGTTAGTTGGTCAGTTTTTTGCATCTTGCTCGCCTGGGACCTCCCCTTTTTGCTCTCGGATTCTCATGTTAACTTCTACGAACTGCCGTGAATTACAGGTTGGGGAACAACCTCTCAGGCCAGTACAAGAGAGGTGTCGGAATGGCACTCCATATAGGAATAGGGAACTTTGCGGGGGCGATAGCCAGTAACGTATACAGAACTCAGGACTCGCCGCGGTACATCATTGGACGTATGTCTTCTTTTTCCGGTTCACCTGTCCTTGGCTTCTCACGGCTGTTTCGAAACCATACCACCAGACGGCATAATGCTCATGTTCGTAGGTATCGGCTTCATCTTCGTCCCGATCGTGGTTTTGCTCTACGTGCGTATAAATGCACAACGCGCCAGAATTATGCAGGCGTCGCCGGAGGGAGGAGAAGATGGGGGGTGGAGAGCGAAGTATACGGATAAGGAGCTGAGGAAGATGGGGGACCGAGCGGTTGATTTTAGGTATATGATTTGACGCATGGATGTACGCAGGACAGTGTGCGTTATAAAATTGGCTTTGTACGATAGACTAGGTGAGTTCTATGCCACTTGATCTAGGAATGAACTAATAAACTTTCGCTCGTCCTTGACCAGGCAGATTGTGTAGAATGTACGATCGATGGCCAAATATCAGGGACGCTCTAAGGATGAACCCCGATCGATATTGAGGCGCTATGGTACACTTTATTTGATGAGTAAATGCCGTTCGCTTTGGGTCGCTTTGGGTTGCCGCATAATAGCCGGGATACCCTCGGCTTCAGTGTCTCTGTGTTACATTTGTTCGTTGAGAACGCCATGGGGTTTTGGAACACAAACAACGGTCCGGTTGATGGTCTTACCCATTTTCTATCCCCAAGGACTTCACCACAATCACAAGGCAGCTGACTGTGTTCGTCATTTGGTCCCCTCGCCATACTATCCACCACAGGCTAATAAGTATCGCGAGCGTTATTTTTTGTTCAATGATGGTTTGTCGAGCTGTCAATGGTCCTTCAAACCTTCATCTCGCCATCCTCGTCTATTTTCGTTCCCTTTTCTGGGAAGGCCCGCACAACGCCTCGTAGGCTTCTCTTACATTTCTCCTGAACCGACATACCCGAGCTTATAGACCTGTGAGTCCGTGTTTCTTTTCCTCGCGCACTTGCCACCGAACTCCAAGAGCTTTCTTGTTAACCGGATGCGGTTTCAACTGGAGGTCTACAATTCTTGGCGTAACAGTCCTCTTCCGCTTGCGTTCAGCTACACCGCGCCTAATTACCTCCTTGGAGTATAATCACTGGAATGGACTTCGCTGTTCGGGTAGACCTCCGCACGTCTAACGTTCCGATTATAGCCGTAGTTGTTGAACTTTCTTCGACCCTAGACGGAGCGCCCGACTTAGGGGCCAACCACATACAATTGGCGGGCCGCGAGGCTGTGGGGCCCTTCCACCTCGAACCTCTGTCTGCGATGAACTGCGAGACGGGATTTCGATCTGTTTTTGTGAGGGTTTGTGTTTGTGATGCTACCGCTGTTCCGTCTAGTTCTGAAATATCTCATCCTACATGTTTCAGCTTGTCTTCTGCCCGATGCTCACACGCACCCGCAGAGGCCGCTTTGAACTGACTTTCCAGACGTTTCCAAAGTGGGGTCCACTCCTTCTCATAAGTGGGTAATGGGGAGAGTGTACAATGCAAGAGAAAGTGCAGACTTCTATACGGGTACGTACGCATCTACTCTACGCGATATCGTGCTAATAATGCCCTTGTATCTTTCCTAAGATCTTTTTCTACTTCATTTTGTTTATCGATGCGCTCGTCGGTTTTGCGAGCGGTTTCAAGTACTTCATCACATGTGTGCTGCGCCTTATCTATTGGTAAGTACTGAGGAACTTCTTCCTCGTGGCGCAATGTTTTTCTGTTCCACCGGCCCTGACTTGTTATGTCCCACTGTGACACTAGGGCCCAAAGGACCAAGGACCTTCAAGAACAGCAAAGCTATTTCTGTGGTGAAGACCGGTCATTCTGTCAGACTGCACTTGACGGCCATCGTGGGACTGGTAATTCTATCTTTGCTTTGCAACTCTAGTTCCAGATTGGGGTCGATTGAGGTACTATACAGTGCCGTACCCGGAAGAGCCGTTGAGTGATATCGCTCGGCGATTGGTGCTTCGAGTCCTCGCAAGGTACGCAGCGGCCAGGTCGGCGCTAGTGGATCGTGATGCACTCAACTGAACAGTTACGATCCTTTCGCCCTAGACATCCATCTTTGACCCGAGTCGTCTTGACTCGTCTGCGAAGTAGAACGCGTAGAGTGAGGCGATATTACTTTTGACTAGAGGCTTCCATGCGTGATAAACTTTTTGTACTCAGTTGACGGTCATTTGATGCTTCTGGGATGCACACAGACGCCCGCCTCTTTCCCCATGCGTGCCAGCCTCCCGAGGCGAGACGTAACCTGGTTACAAAGTCGACGGAAGCATCAGAGGCGCCCGTTCATATCCGTCGAGCACGTCGATCCGCTTACGAACCGACCTAAAGACACGCCACCCCACCTTAGCCTACCTTGTCATCCTATGGAGCTCTCAAGCGCCCTGGCCCGCACCAGCATTCGGGATCCAATTGCGTCGCATCTTCGCCCGCGAAGTCCAGGGAAACCCCTACAACTCCTCTCCTCCGACCCGGATCTGAATTAAATATGTTTCGACATTATATCTAAGCCCGCCTTTGGTCGGGCTAGGTAAGCCTTGTGTCTGCCCCTGCATCGGTATATATAGGAAACCCAGTCGGGGAGCGATACCGGTTCTTCGCGTTTGAACCCTTCGTGTCTTCTTGGGCCAGTCATCTTTGGTTCTGCATTGCATCTACATTCATGGAGGCATCTGGACAATCACGCAGGGGTCGAAACTCCACTCCGAGTATCGAGTCGGACGACACGATCTCGAAGACTGGCCTTCCGTCACCGCCCCTACTGTCGCCCGAAGAGACGAAGCGGTTGTACAGGAAGGTTGACATCAGGTTGATCCCTATTCTTGCACTCATGTACCTCTTCGCTGGGGTAGACAGAGGTGTGTGAGGCTCTTCATTTCAAACGACCTCCATCTGACACAGCGCTTATCTCAGGAAATATTGGTTAGTTTGCTCGTGCGTCAGAGTGCTGTATTACGCTTATCATGGGTGATCTAGGGAACGCTCGACTTCAAGGGCTTGAGAGTCAGCTAGGTTTGGTCGGCGACCAGTTCAACATTGCCCTGGTGCGCACTTATCACCACCGTTAGGTTCCCTACTGATACTAGCATCTTCTTCTTCCAGACGATGTTCTTCATTGTAAGTCCTCTACTAGGTTTTATCGTGGTGTATATCTGATGCACCGTGCCCGTAGCCGTACTGCCTATTCGAATGCCCTTCGAAGTAATACGCTGCTTCTTTGACAATGCACTAATCGTCACGGCTCTGACGTTCCTCATGCTTTTACAGCCTGGTGATCAAGCGTTTTCTCCCCTCCCGTTGGCTGCCTGGTATCACGATTCTCTGGGGAGCCATCACGGCCCTGATGGGTCTCGTAAAAAAGTAAGCCCTTCGCTTGAACCCTCAAATTGGTGGCTAACATCCCGTGGAACTAGTTATCCACAGCTGGTTGGTGTCCGTGTCTGTTTAGGTATCGCCGAAGCGGGCTTGTTCCCCGGGGTGGTGTATTAGTAGGTTTCTTCTGAAAGCTTACGTCCCTACAAAGTTGATGACGAGATTCCCCATTATGCCGTAGCCTTACACTTTGGTATCCTCGTTCTATGCTCCAGTCACGAATTGGCTTCTTCTTCGGAGCAGGATCACTAGCAGGAGCATTCAGCGGTCTATGGGCATACGGAATATCATTCATGAGCGGTGCAGGCGGCTTGCAGTCCTGGAGTTGGATCTTCGTGGGTTGTTCGTTGCCGTACGAAACGGCGCTCCAGAACTGAATTAGCTTGTTTAACAGATACTGGAAGGTTCAGCAACAGTGCTCGTAGGTATCCTTGGATTGTTCATCCTTCCGGATTTTCCGTACGGAGTCAGTTTCCTCACTCTAGAGGAGCAAGCCTACATTCTCCACAATCGTGGTATGTATTGGCGCTCATATACACTCATAATTCCTCAAACTATGTTCTCTCAAACTGAATATAACTGCAGGATCAGCCAATTCTGACGTTGGCGAAGACGAGCATTTTTCAAGTCGACACGTCTGGGACGCCTTGAAGGACTGGCAAGTCTGGTTGCAGATCTTGGTGTATTTCTGCATTGTTGGCCCTCGTAAGTCCCGCCTTTCTCGTCCTTACTAGGCCAGATATGAACGACGTCTATCACAGTTTATGGGATTGCACTTTTCTTGCCGTAGGCCTTCCTGTACTCACAAACAGGTGCCATGGTATGCTGATCGCGATGCCGTAGTACCATCATCAATGGGTTTGGATATTCGACCGCAGTCAGCCAATTGTTGACCATCCCGCCATACATTGTGGCTAGTACGTACCTCAACTCTATCTATAGGAATATCCTTCTTAGTTATGCTGCTTAACACATCCCTCTAGCCATCCTGATGGTAACTTTCTCCATCTGGTCTGACGCCGTGCGCAAGCGCTCTCCTTTTATTCTCGCGGGCTTATGCATGCTCGTCGTCGGTTACTCGATCAACATCTCGGCTGCCCCGGCGGGCGTCAAATACTTCGGAACGTTCCTCTGCGTAGGAGGCGCCTACGCCGCATTTCCTGGGGCCGTGGCCTGGTGTGTCATTTTCCTACCACTCGTGTATGAAACGAGTCAGTAATACGGCAGCTGGGCTTTTTGTTTTATCTCTATAGGCTGGGAAATAACCTTTCGGGTCATTACAAGAGAGCTGTGGGTATGGCGCTACAGATTGGAATTGGGAACTTTGGAGGGGCCGTTGCTTCGAACGTATATCGTAGCCAGGACGAGCCACGATACCTTGTCGGCCGTGAGTGTTTTCGCCTACAAGTGTGCTCGTACCGGCTTCAAGTATTGACCGTAACTCATTGACACCACAGACGGGATTATGCTCATGTTCGTGGGCATCGGCCTTATCACTGTCCCAACCGTCGCCTACATCTACCATAGGACCAATCAAAGACGAGCTGCGATGTCCATCCAGAATGAAGATAGCGATTCCGGAACTAGAAGAGACTTGGATCGGGAGTCGAGGGAACTGGGGGACAAGGCCTCTACGTTTAGGTATATCTTGTAAACCACGCGGACGAATCCATTGTGCATTCAAGCGCCACGACGAACGGTTTACGACGACGAGACACACATATCTGTACGACTAAAGAAGGGGGCACGACCACCCATCGTGTCATTTGTTACATAGATACTATACAACATGCTTGACCGCTCTGCGATATTGGAGTCTGAAGCGCTTTCTTCCCTGTGAAGATCCCTAAATCCTACACCGAGCCCACTCCTTGGTGTTTCAAAAGTATATTGCGCGGGTCATACCTCTAAAAGAGTTTCCGTATCCCAGCGCTCCTGCGTAAGTGCTCATATGAGGAGGCGATTTATTTGATTGAAGCTTACCTTCTGCAGCCCTAATAATTTTGGATAATTGTGTTTATAATACCGATTCTGCCAGTGCTTCAGAGTCGGATCCATATAATTGGTGTAAGCACCGAACTCGACTCCGGGCATCGCATCCTGAATGATAGCGATGACACCTTCGAGAAAGCTGTATCCTTCCTCGAATGGATAAGGTGGCTCGCCTGATATAGTAGCAGCGTAGAGCTGGATTGTGAACAGGCAGTCACGGAAGGGATATGCGGTGGCATTCCACATGGGAGCGTTGATAGCGCTTTGAGTGCCTCCGTAGAGCTCAATCTGCATGAACCAAGAGAACTTCGACGAGAGGTCGGCGTTGGCGAAGAGGTAGTCTCCCCAAGCTGTGTATGCATCCATGGTCAATGGTGCGGCCAGTGGGGTGATGAGTGATTTGGCTAGGAACGTATTGTGCTGTACGCCATTCAGAGCGTTGTTTTCTAAACGTTGTGGTCTCACAGCCAATGACGTACCTCTGGTGGAACACCCTCAGTGACCAAGGTGTCAACGCCTCCTATCCATTCCAGTGCTTCGATCCATCCGTAGTTATCCGCGCTCGCGAAAAGAGGCGGCCCAAGACTGCTCAGAACGGGCCGCATTAAGGAGTCGAAAGCATCTCGTTGGCCTTCGTACATGCCGACGAAAGATACGACAGCCGTTCCATTGACGATGTCTGCTTCCAAACCAAGTTCCGGCGGGGCCGAATCAAGAACCCAGTCTGTATAGACAGAAAGCACTCGAGAGAATTCGGAGGAGTTCGGCGTGGCGTAGGTGTAGTTGAAGCCGACAACGTTCATGGGTGCTTCATGAGTCTGGTACGTCCACCGCGTTATAATGCCGAAGGAGGGTCCGGCACCGCGAATTGTCTGATGTGCAGAAAAATGGCCAGATTTATAAGTGACTTCGGCAAGTGAAAGTCAACGACAACTGACCCAGAATAACTCCGTGTTTTCTGTGGCACTTGCGTTCACAATGCTGCCACTCGCTAAAACCACTTCTGCTTCTACCACCTGATCAAGCAGCAATCCCCATTGTCTCGACACGAACCCATATCCTCCAAAACTTGTCTGTCCTCCTACCCCAACCTGTGGATCCGTACCATGTGCGAGTGCTCGTCCTGCCTGTTTATAGATCTCCAACGCCATGTCTCCAAGTCTTATTCCACTTTGCACGTTTGCTAATCCTGAGCTTGGATCAACGGACACATGCCTGAGATTTGACATGCTGATCACCAGTGTACCGTTCGTGGACCCGTATCCGGACGCTGAGTATGAATGTGCCCCCGAGATTGGTGAGACGCGGACGTCATACTTGTTTGCGCAGAGGATGGCGGAGGATACCTCGCCAGCGGATATGGGGCAAGCAATTGCTGATGGGATGAAATGGCCCTGAAGACGAAGATTGAAGCTGAACGTACAGTGTAAGTCATCGAATAGATAACACGATTGAAGAGAGGCTCTCAAGCTGGACGTACGGCGTGATGGCCTCATTCCAGTCTCGTGATACTGGGGTGAGGATATCGAGGGAGGTCGACGTCAAGCAGGATATTAATGTTTCTACAGATCGCACATCTTTGGCTACCCCAGTGCTGAGATCTTCAGCGCACAAAAGACCTGCAACAACATAGATGGGTGATTTCCACATGGCGGTAGTGTCGGTGAATCTCAACGGCTGGGAGCCGGACGCAATGGATGACAGGCCGACGCTTTATATGTTTTGAAGCCACACTCAGACTGGGCGATAAGCTCACGGAATATCAGTCCGTCACCGTTTTAGCCAAGGATAGTATGCGCTCTACATCGGTTATCAGAAGGAGGACATTTAAATATAGACGGAAGACGAAACGCAGGGCCTTGTGGGCATCACTAAGGGAATAGAGCATCAATGCAAGCGCACAGTAGCTCTTCAACACAAGGACTAGGGTAAAGAAACGCAGGCGAGGGGGATTCCCATCCTGATCCCTCCAGTGAGATCAAAGACTGGGGCAAAGCGAGGAAATTTGTTGAACTCTGCTCTCTCCGAAATGCGGACTTCGAGAGAGTTCCCAAGTTCTGCAAGAGTGAGCGTAACGCCACTTTTACTCACTATGTAACTGTGCGAATTTGTGGTGGTGATTTGGCGGAAGTTTGCGGTCGAACCAGTGGATGTTCGTACTACAGTGTAGGCCCACTCCTTGATCCGACCCCGGTCCTTGATCCACTGCAAATGTGCTGCTCACAGCTCGTCCACCTTGGAGCTCGAGCATGAATACTGTCAATTATCAATATTTGAGGTCATGTCCAGTATATAAACCAACATGTGCCACTATTGTAAGGGGGGAATCGTGCGGGGTGGGGTTGGATCAAGGAGTGACTTTTGTGGCGATCGGGTGCCACATCACTGTTTGGTCTCCAGAAAGTGCATATTTGCCTTACTGCCGTTTGCATAGAAGACTGAACGCACCGTTTTTTTTCGCGCCGGGCGTCTGATCTCTACGTGACCGTGACGACGCGGTCCGTCAGGGTCCGTCGAGCGCCGACCATCTTTCTTGGGCCACAGTACGACTAGTAAGTTACTGCCGTTGTCGAGGCCGGTCAGTTTGTATGCCTAGTGAGGTAGGGAGCATGAGTTTAAGGACTCAAAAGCATAGAAAAGCTACTGGTTGCGTCGAAACCACTCAGACGAGATCACTTATATCCTTGTGGTTCCATACAGAGGTAAATTTCTACCAAAGCAACTGTGGCACCAATAGATTCAAGCCGACTCGCAACCGACTCGCATACTTACCAAGTCAACACGATGCCCTGAGATGAAGTAAATTATATCGCAATTGTCTGCATCTTGTATGACACTCCCTATCCCTCTGAAGTCGACACAGATGGCTCTGTAAATGGGCACGCTCTGAATTCTACAATACTCATCACGGCACCCCCAATCAGGCGCATGGCATATGCCTAGGGAGGTCCGATCCAAAATCGCCGGATTTTGCCCTTTTTGTCCGGACCGATTTGGGAGCGGAATGTACGCACTCGGATCGGGTGCCCTGTTTTGGAGGACATTTGGTACGCATTTCGTACAAATTTCGTATCGGACCTTGCCCAGCATAGAGCTCGAAAATATGTGTTTTATTTGTCATTATGTGCGCACCTCGTCGGCGAGTGTTTGGACCGGATCTCTCACGAGTCATTTTTATCTCTTTTGTGCGCACTGTGGGCTATGGTAGGATCGGACCTCGCTGCGAGCTCACCACTTTTGTCTCGTTTGGGATCGGACGTGGGGTACTTGGGAGACCGAAAATGTACGCACCATGATCAAACATGGAACCACTTTCTGACCCAAAATTGTCCGCACCGGGATTGGACCTCGCCCCGCATATGCCATGCGCCTCCCCAATCTCGCCGCATCACTCGGTGTCCTCGGACGGCGTTGTCACGGTCACAGAGCGCCAGGCACCGCGCGCACAAAAAAAGTGCGCGTTCAGTCTTCTATGCAAAGGGCAGTAGGAGCTTTGTGGATTTTATCCTGAGGGCCCTTAAGAACATTTCGAACCCCAAAGCAAACACCTTGCATGAGGATGTGAAGGCGGGTCAGAAAATAAATAATTTCGAAGTGGCGGATCAAGGAGTGGGCCTACACTGTACGAGTCGTGTTCGTACCACCTCCGGCTCTCGCAACCGCTGGCGACGAGTTACGATTCTGGCGGCCAGTTCCAACTTCTCGAGCAGGCCGCAGCTTCTCAAGCTCTCTACTCTTATCATCCATATCCCTTGCAATCCTCGACCTTCAGCCATGGCCACAGTGAACATTAATGGCAGACCAGTCGAGCGCGCAGCACTTTCGCGGGAGGCGGTAGGGATGGCAAGGGAAATGGCAGAACACACCCGTCTTCTCGACAACCCATTACCATCAGATACGGACCTTTCTCAGGAGGAGGACAAGGCTCTGCAGACTCAGGTGCGTAGTATAGGCCTTTTTCATCAATTTCAAGGTACTACGATCACTTCTGTGTTAAGTTGCATGCTTTGGCTATACTACCACGCGAAGTGCTCGACGACATCTATATTGCGTTCTCAGCACACCATCTACCAGCACTTGCGAACTCGTTGCGGAAGCTGAATCCGAATACTCAGCCCGTTGCGCTGGCCAATCTCATCCAGCTTATGTCCCTGCTGCCCGATCCAAAGCGTGACCGTAAGTCTTTCATCTTTGACGAGATGTCACTGTGTTCAATGGCGTGGTGCAAGTTTCGAGGCATTGAGTGGTACGCACGACGGCTGACCGACACCTCTTGCCAGCGTATCTTCGTCGATTTCTTTGCACGTCGTCGCAGATGACTTCAGTGCCCACAATTGTCGCGGCTGCATTTGTTCGTGGTATAGCTTGGAAGCGGCCGAGCGGCCCAGGATATATCTGCGCCCTCATCTGCCATATGCTTCAATGGTGCGACACTAACCTCGGCGACGACAAAAATGCCTCGATCGACTCCTCCACGCGGAAAGAACTCTGCACAAAAGTTGGTCTGCTATGCGAAGACGCTCGTTTCGCGAACTTCGATCGGACACAGCAGGTAGAGATGAAGAGGTTGCATGGGATGTTGAATTCCATAGAACATATCAAACCGACGGGATCCTATCTAAATTCGACAAGGCAGTATTTGGAGGGAAATTGCGGGGACGATTCTTGTCCGGTTTGTATGGAGGAGGCGGAGCTGCTGTGCTCGAAGTGCAAGACGGTAAGATATTGTGGGAAGGTATGCCAGACGAAGGATTGGAAGGCGGGTCATAAGACCAAGTGCTTCAAGGCGTTGTATTGATTGGTGCGTAGCCTTGTGACTAGTAATTGACAGAAAGCTGTCATTAACATCATTGGCTGGTGACAGCCCCCGTCGCTTCTGAAAAACCGACGTTGGAGTCGAAATCTGTATTTTGATCTGTAAATCACACTCTAGCTCTACCGGGTTCCTGCACTTGGGTATCGTCTTGCACCCCTGCTCGCAGCTGCTCGCTCCAGACTCTTTCTGTTCAAATAGGTTCACAACTTTGACCTTCACCCCCTTGCGTCCACCAACATATCGACACTTCTACTTAGCTGTCTCTATCTATATGTACCCCAACCAAATTACCCCTGTAACCCCCGCAGCAGCCAACCACACTCAGGACGGATCTCAGACTCCACCCACCGGATCACCCGTCTGAGTTGTTCCTGTTGAATTAACCGAACGATGCAACATTCTTGAAAAGTTACACTGCGTATCCCACCGATATCCTACAATACCTTGGCCGGAGAACGCGAAGGGTGTCATGAGAGCTAGGGGGCCAAGTGTGAGAATACTACAGTCCGCGAGAAAGAGTGTAGAAGTGCAGGTATGTGTACTGTTTTGGGCTGAGAAAAGTGTCCGCTGGGTGGTGAGATCATCGTCTTCAAGTTCGCACATCATCGTACCTATCCCCACGTGTCAAGAGTCGTTTTCGATCTCTTGATCCCCGCAGATTGCAACAGGCGCTCCAATTGATTTAGCACTCCACAGTGCACACATATGGTTACGCAATAGCCATGAAGTCACTGCGCCCCATCACAACTCTTTAATCGTCGATCATACCAGAACCCACCCTTCCTTCCATTTTTTGAGACCGGGACCGTGCTGCTTTGATGGTGTGTCTTCTAACGGTGAAGGCAACATGATGTGATGCAGGCGGCTGCCGAGGTAACAGGTAATCACTGCCAGTTGATTCATCTTGACGACTTCCACAAAAAGTGCACGACGCGAGCCTCATCCAGTTTTTCACTCTGCTCCCTCTTTGTCTGAGACACTGCATCTTCACCGGAGTCTACCGATTCTGCGTACACAGTTTCCCATGTCCGATCGAGGTCGATATCGGGAAGTAGAAGCTTTCGATATGCAGGTGAACGGGAATTCTTCGGTGAGGGCTTTAGTTGGAGTTTGCGATTACAACGTCGTTATCGTCGTGGGTCCTGACACCAGAATATTCTCTGCAGGTCTCGGATCGATTGGATCCTATGAATGCGGAAGCTACGAATAAATACGAAAAGTACCACTATGGGGTACGCTGCTTTATTTCTTGTTGAACACGGGTTAGACTCATAGCACCGTAGGCCGAATCAATACTACCAGAGGTCGAGGAGCCTGAATCGCCAGATGCTGGCCATCAGAGCATCACACTCTCCGTTGTCCTCTTAACGTCTTGTGCGATCGTTCCTGCCGTTATGGGTGCACTTTTCTATGTTTCCATTGGGTTCAACGCCGTAGATGGTGTTTATTACCCTAACGGCACCTTCGTTCGTCCCATCGACGAAGGTGCAATCATAGGTGGCGAGAACTCGTTTCTGACAGCTCATTTCTCACCTTTGTTGGTGTCTTCAATTGCCAGCTCTGTCATGTATGTATCTTTTCCGTGTTGAGCGTGTCGTATGGACTAAGTTCTGACACCGTCATATCCCTCCAGAGGGGTCGTTTCGCCTTTCGCCATGTGCCTCTTCGCGTACCATCTCGCCGTTTCGTGGCTTCGTGCCTCAGCTGCCCACCCAACCAACCTCCCCACACCTTCCCAGTACTATCACACACTCAATGTCGTTACCAACCTCTCACCGACCTCGTTATTTCTCCTCCTACACTACGCCATACGTCAAATCCGACCCTCCTCCTCCTCACCGCATGCCGTCCGACGTCCGACTCCCCCAATCCTCAAACTCGCAGCCGTCAGTGCCGTTCTCATTCTCTCCGTCACTTGGGCCATCCGGGTTATCGATATCGTTTTGCACGAACAACTCACCTCCACCATCCTCTACGTCCCGAATCAGGCGAAGACGGCTTATTTTGGACGAGCAGTCATCGCAGATGCTTGCCAAGCAACGGATACGGATAATTGCCCTGTCATCACTCGTACCAGCACGGCAAACCTTGGAGGCCTCAACGAATCTACGATCTTCAAGGTCTACGAACACGGCTCTTCCGACGCCTCTCGAAATCAAAGTGTAGCGTTCGTCGGTCCTTCCGACGTCACAAGCCACACCGACCTTAATTACACTTCTCACACCTACGCGGCCTCTACCGAATGTCAGGTCTATCACCCGACCTGCCTTGTCCAGAACGACACCATACAGACTTGTACACCAACCATCCCAGATGGACCACTACCCGCTATCGACGACTGGAACTCGTTCGTGTGGAATACTGGATTCGACACATCGGCCTGGCAGATGAGGCTTCAGACGTTTTTGACGTTGAAAGGTAGCTTGACAGAGTCTTCCAATGCGCTCACCAACGGCGCGAACGTGAATCCGTTTACGACTGCGAGTTTTGGGTGCTTTTCCGATTATGGTGCGATCCCCTACAACGATTCTCAATTCAATACCACGACCCCCTTCATGAATTGGTGGAGCTGTACGTCTTAGCAGTCACATCATCCTCCCGTCGGGTCTATGTAAGCTGATATGAACATGTTCCTCGTTATGCAGACGGCGCAGGACTCACCAACAAGCCCTACATTCTCTGTTCCATCTCGATTTGCAACACTACGGTCTACGACGCCGAGTATACGCTCTACAATGGTACCCTGACGCTCGATAACTCTACATTTACCGAAGCCAATGCTTCCGCTGCCATCGCTGTCTCTGGAGCAGGACTCTACCTCGGGACCGCCGATACAAGCTACTACCAGTGGGGCTCTCGCTTCCTCGACGACCAGATCCAGATGGACCTTTCGTCCGCCGGAAACACTTACGGCAACTCTACCACTCAGTTCGGCGCTGCGCTGGCACAAGCTTTCAGCAACAGATATCTCGGATGGTCGGCGGGGTCGATCGTCATGAAAGAGGTGGAGGCGGACAGTACGAGGGCGGAGCTGGCTATTTCGATTCCGTTGGGAACGTCGCACGCGTTCGCAATATTGAATTTTGCATATGCGTTAGGGATCGTGGTGTTGGGCGTCTCGTGCTTGATATTGCCGAAGAGGCAGGGTTGGGGATGGAGAACGTCAGGCGCGGGATCGACGAGATTCAGTGTGCAGGATTTGAAGTCGGCGCACGTGAGGCTTTCAGATACTTCGTTGCTTGTGCATGAGTTGGCGTCGAGACCGGGGCCGGGTTCGAGAGAGGAGTTGGTGAGGGGAGAAGCGAGTGGATATGAGGATGGATATACGGGACTGGCGGGTAGAGGGACAGAGTTGAGACGGATCTCAAGTACACCCTCGATGAAGGGTTGGCTGTGGGGAGGAGGACAGAGTGAGAGTGATGACCTGCGCGTGAGCTTGGAGAGGAGGAGCGACGGCGGACTTGGGTTCGATTTCAGGAAGCACATCTGATCTACCTGACTGGTGCCCTTGTGCTATGTACCTGTGATACTCTATTTATCGTTGATTCGAGGACGGAAGATAATCCGCTGAATTACGGATTTCAATCTGATATCAGCTCTATGACAGAGACCCTTCCCGAAACAAATCACCATTGTCATTGCCGAATCAAAGTCAGTACCAAAGCTATCTAGTCCATTGAAGAGAATCATCAGTAAAGCAAATGTCCATGAATGTAAAGTAAGGTAAAGCAATAAAGTAATGAGCGAGCGACGATAGATTATCGTGGATATATGCTGAGACGAAACAGAGGAGGTCAGCGTTCCAAACGATTATACCTCAAACGAAGAAAGAGATGAACATGCCTATGTGTCCCGGTAATCTTATGCGATCGACGGAAAAGGGCAGGAAACGTTAGTGGCATCCTCAAGCCGAGCCGATGCTCTGGTGTTTCATGAAGATGTTGCTCGGGTCGTAGACCTATCCACGCAGGAAATGCGTCAAGACAATTTCTCAAAGTACGACATGGAACAAGACATACCTTCTGCAACTCGACCAATCGATCATAGTTCCCCTTATAATACAGATCCTGCCAATTCTCCAACGTCGGGTCGATATAGTTGGTGTAAGCCCCAAAATCAGCCCCCGGCATCGATCCCTCAATGGTATCGACTACACCCTTCAAGAAGTTATACCCATCGTCGTAAGGGTACGGAGGCTGCGCGTTTGCCGAGGACGCGTACAACTGCATCACAAAAAGGGAGTCCCGGAATGGGAAGGCCGTGGCGTCAGAAGAAACGTTCATGATGGCGCTGTTGGCACCGCCGTAGAGTTCGACTTGGAGGAACCAGGAGAGGGAAGAGGTGGATGCGGAGAGGAGGTAGTTCGCCCAGGCGGTGTAGGTTTCTGCGGTGAGAGGGGCGGACATAGGCGTTACGAGAGATTTGGCGAGGAAGGTGTCGTGCTATATTCGAATTTACCAGTCAGCTTAAAATAAATGAGGCGATAAAGCTCGAACACTTTTCGGAGACGTGAGAAGTCAAGAAAGGGTAACATACCGTGTCGGGTGCTGCAGCAGTCGAGATGGTATCAGCGCCACCCAACCACTCCAACGCCTCGATCCATCCATATTCCTTCACATCACTCGAATCCGGCGTTCCCATACTATCCAACAACGACCCAATAACACCGTTAAAGCTATCTTGCGAGCCCTCATACAAACCAACGATGCTGACAGTCCCAGAGCCGATGGTTGCCTCCAGACCGATTTCGGCAGGGGCGGAAGTAGTGGCCCAGTTGGTGTAGGCGGTAAGGACGCGAGAGAAACTGTCTGCGTCGGGGGTCTTGTATGAGTATGTGAAACCGACGGAGGTGAGCGGGGCTGCATGGGTTTGGAACGTCCATTGGGTGACGATACCGAAGGAGGGTGCGGCTCCGCGAACAGCCTACATCAACGCGTAGGTACCAAATAACCCAGGTCAGAATTTGCCCAATTGAGAAGATAAAAGATTCTACCCAGAAGAGATCCGCGTTCTCGTTCGCACTCGCATTCACGATCGTTCCATTCGCAAGAACAATCTCCGCTTCAACAACCTGATCCATCGCCAACCCATACTTCCTCGACGTAAACCCATACCCACCAAAGCTCGTATGCCCACCAACACCAACATACGGACACGTCCCATGCGCCAACGCCCTCTCCCCATTATTAAACAACCCCTGCGCCACATCGCCCAATCTCAGCCCAGTCTGCACGTACGCAAGCCCGGAAGAAGAGTCGACGGAGAGAGAGGTGAGGTTGGAGAGGCTGATGACGAGAGTGCCGTTGGTGGAGCCGTAGCCGGAGGCGGAGTAGGAGTGGCCGCCTGCGAGGGGGGAGACGGAGAGGCCGGATTGGGAGGCGCAGAGGAGGGCGGAGGAGATTTTGGAAGGGGAGCTGGGGTAGACTATGGCGGAGGGGACGTATTGGTCTTCGAGGCGGAGGTTGTAACTGTATCGCACGAACGTCAAATTGGCTAATGGCACGCGAAATTAGGAAAGTCACGTACGGAGTGACTGCTGTGTCCCAGGCTGAAGACGAGGAAGTGAGGACATTGACATCATCCGCGGCGAGGCACGAAGCAAAGTCAGCACGAACAGGCAGTCGGGCTGCACTGGTCAAGGTAGTTGCTGACAAGAGAGCGACGGAAGAGAGGGCACGCCCACGGAGAGACCACATCCTGGAGGGTGAGGAGAAAAACGAACGAAACGAGGGAAGATGGGGGAGTAAACTAGAGGGCAACACAGGTTATATAGTAGCCACTATTGAGAACTTAGGTCGTACGTATTGTATCGCGATCATGCGATGAATTCATGGAAGCCTGACGCCGATCCGGTTGCAGCTCGACGCGATTTAGGTCATGGCGCCGAAACCTGAAACGCACTTGGCGATGTCAACCCTACCACTCCTCTTCGAGGTCATGAAAGCACGGGAGACAGTGTTTATGAGGTTTCCGTGGTTACAGCACAATAACATCGAGCATCCTGAGCAGAGCTCAGTAACAACATCACCTCTGTGCGCACCATCCACTCGAATAGACGATACTGTCAAGGAAAAAATGATCGAGCAGCGCTATAACTGTGCCACTATGTACACTAAGATGAGTGGCTCGCTATGACAGCACAGCACCGCTTCAGTCGACGGAAGAAAACGCACCATGTCACGGCCTACGCGTCTGATGCGCACATACAAGAGAACGGGCATAACAGGCCACCGGCTGCACTGCTCTCCTTGTCGTGATTGACGCCAGATCTCGCGAGTGAGGACGAGGGAGACATAGGAGGACGGGACAGGAGGCGGTGAAGCTGGTGCGCTTTTCTCCTGACGCGCAAGTCAAGGTCGGCATACTGGCGACAATGTCTATGTGCGCATCCGTAGAGGTATTGCATTACATTCCCGACGTTGAACCGTGTTGTACGGAGAGGTATAAGGGTGATAACGGTTAGAATTGGGGTAGAGTAAGCCCGACGTATGCCCGGGGGCCGAACACAGTACTCTTCGAGGGCGTTGATTCTGGACAGCTATAAGTGATTTAGTGGTCAGTATATTCCGAGACGAGTGAGATTGAGTAGCGGTACACGGTGACGGCGCCTTTGGAATTCCGTGCAATTGTTCCGCCTTCTCCAGGACACCCAAGAAAATCCGATCTCAGCTGAGTAGCTAGTCAATATGGATGTGGAGACGATGAGTTCCCACTCTGAGTAAATGATCCATAACCAAAGACAGCATGCAGCTATACGGAAGCCAGACGAAAAGCTCTTCACAAAGTTAGTCAAGATAGTTGCGTACCCCGCTACGCGAGAGACACATGTCCACTTTTCCCGACATCAAAGAAAACCGAACTGAAGGATGTACTCACCATAATGCTCAACTGACTGTCCAATGCTCTCGTATAATCCACTCATATTCACCGAGTGCTTGATTGGTACCCGCTTCTCCAGGTGCACTGTCCAGTAGATCCAGCCCGATGCGACGTCCCTCAGGCTGCGAGAACACAACCTCCCATTTCCCGTCGACCAGCCTCGCCCTCCACGTCCAGAACTCTTCCACGTTGGCGCCATTCTCCCGTCCCACACCCAACGCATCCTGCCCAATCATCGCCACCATCGCCCCGGTCCCTCTCTCCGCCCCCTTCTTCTCCCTCTCCCATATAGTCACCCGACTCCCTTTCTCGACCTCTAAACTCTTCCATACCTCTTCGTACGCCGTTACAGCTCCCGTCTGCGGATGCGGCATCTCTCCCTTCTCGAGGCTTAAAGTGGGATCGTTCGGATGTTGGGGGTGCGGTGTAAACATGTAGCCTTCATCGGTGCCCGGCTCAAGCGAATTAGAGTCGATCCAGTGCTCCCAGCGACAGAACCTTCCGGACGTCGATTGAGAGCTCGAGCGTTTGCCGGCGAAGGCCCAGTCGATTTGGTTGGATGGTAAGACGGTTGGGTTGACGCGAAGGATACGTTGGTCAACGAAATAGGTTCGGCCAGTGAGAACGAGGGTATCGGTGTCTTCACCAGAGACGAAGAGGGGCGCCCAAGCTATAGAAACGCGCTTGGATATGGACATGTCTAAACTATAGGACAAGAACGAAGCGTGAAGCGGGTGGAGAAAGACAGAGAAGCAGCGACGGTCATAGTCGTTGCCACAGGAGTCGACGCCACTAGTCACAGATTCTCTGTGTCGTGGTCACATTATGTCACCAGGCTTCAAAATTGTGACTTGTTGGGCTATCTGGTCACGCATCCCCCTCTGAGCTCTCTTTCTTCTCGACGACTACCTTCCTTACGCTCGCTGTGCTCTTGATCTACGGTCCAACTATCTGATTGTAGGACAAATGGACCCATTGTTCCTAAAGACTCTGAAGGCTATCCATGCAAATCAAATCTTGGAGATGTGCTGGCGCCTGCTCCAAGTAATGACCTCGAGTTGTACCATGTTGCATTGATTTTTACGGATAGTTCGTCATCCTTTTGAGCTATGCCCACTCTAGGCATGCGTTCAAAGTTATCCTGGTGAGTCGTTATCGTCTTTTTCTATTCTTTCCTCGCGTATCTCTGGTAGACAACCTTGTGGTGTCAAGATATTGATTGAATATATCATGTCCACAATGGTGCTGGCCCCGAACTTGCGGAAACATCTCGACTATCTACAAAAGACCTTATGCCCTTACCTCTGCGATAACCGCTGCGCGATGCTGTTCCTGCAAAGCGATTGCAACTTCCGCCACGGGAATAGGAAAATGCCCGCAATGTTCCTCTAAGGGAATGTAGCCATACGACTACGCTTTCATGCGTATGTGCCAGATAGGGATATAATTTACTTTCCCTTGATCTCACGTATAAAGTCAGGATCAAGGTGCCTCATCTGTTGTTCGTCGTCAGTGAGGGATGCACAAATGTCTTGTTTGCACAACAGACCGGGGCGGAACGGGCCATAGCCGTCACGAACAACCTGTCTTTAATCTGGTCTTTCCATCGTGTCAAGCAGTGTATCCAGCTTTAGCGTTGAACGTTGAATCAACGGTGTAGAATCGGAGTGGTCTTCGATATCCATAGCGCGAATGACAAGCGGACTCATCGATTAGCTCTCGTTCACAAACTAGCGCCACAGCGAAGCGAAGTGGTGTGCACAGGGGTGTTTCCTACGCATACACGCTCATACTCCTGCCCGAACGCCACCAAATGATGGACAGCCTTTCCCCATCTTTCGAGATACTGAGGAGAGACGGTAGATCCTCTGTCGCTCGGTGATACCGAGTCACTCGTGGATCGTCCGTCAGGGACATCTCCGCCGGTCAGCACGGTACGATGCCGACAACGGGAGACGCTTGGGATACTGCGGTCTCGTCTCAGAAACCCTGTGCATTTGCATCATCATTTGAATGTCTTTGTAGGTGTCCAAGTCCCAAAGGACTGCTGCTTTGAGCGTCAGTTTCAGTATACCGGATCACCCTTGAGGCTCGATGTCCATCATCTGTAAGTTTAGCCCTTGCATCGTTATATCCATCGCTCATGCTTTCCAGTGCACCATTTTATGCCAAGCCATACCGTGCATAGATTCCACCATTCAAAGGAAGCGCCCGGGAAGGTACCAACAATGTTGTATTTACCGCGACCTTTGTAGGTGGCCAGGTGATAGGACCATTGCAGATAGCAGCTCAACTCCCGTCGGATATTGTGCGTGCTACAGAGTACGTGTCTTGCGTAGGGCTACTATTCGCCTCAGTTGCAGTGTTTTTTGTAGTGATCTGGCGTTATTAAAGCTAACACGACGTACGTGCTACAATTCATAGTGACTCAAACGAAATGTACTGACCGTCAAAATGGACAGATCTCCCTTTGTCTCGCAGTGCGTATTATAGCGCGTTTACCTGCGCTGCAGAGCATCGGAGCTTGAAGCTACAGCGCCAGCCACCTTGCCTATGGGGAATCAAGCCCGAAAGTACGCTTTTATTCGGACCCTTTGGTACCAAGTGCGATGATGAGCCTTGCTATGCTCGTACTACCCCCGTTGGTTCGGTCGCATCAATGCGCGCAGGCACCGCATCATACCCAGAGGCCTAAAACAATTCAGGACTAGGCGCTTTATAGGATGAGCGACGGTATATAATGCTCTCTTAAAGTCACTACCTCTTCATTGTCTCTTCGGCGGCTACTTACTGTCATGTCGACGACTCTAGGACGTTACCGCCTCTCAATCCTTAGCTTATCGTTCGGTATTGCTTCCTCCCTCGCTGCACGTCTTCCTGTGCGCGATGGTTTTTCCTCTTGCTTGACTGGAGATGGCCTCGATGTTCTCACTGCGTCGTCGCCTGATTGGGACACCGCGATCACTCCGTAAGCCACTTCTTTTCTTCTTCGAGTCTTCGCTGCAAGGTATCATCTGACCATGCCTAAATAATCCTATCCAGCTTCAACCTTCGTCTCGAAGGCGACTTCATCCCTTCCGCCATGGTATACCCAACCTCCGCCGCAGAAGTCTCCGCTGCCGTCACATGCGCTTCACAATACGGCCTGAAAGTCTCCCCAATCTCCGGCGGACACTCCTACTCCGCCTCAGGTTTCGGCGAAGCCAACGGTACCCTCGTGATCAGCACGGCCAACCTCACCAGCGTCTCCGTCGACAACACCACTGGGCTCGCGTATGTCCAGCCAGGTATCCGACTGGGCCAGATGGCGCTGGATATCTATAATCAGGCGGGACGTGCGCTCGCGCATGGGACTTGTCCGCAGGTTGGGGCAGGTGGACATACGAGTTTTGGAGGGTACGGGTTTGGGTCGAGGAAGTGGGGGTTGATGCTCGATCAGGTTGTCCAGGCTGAGGCGGTGTTGGCGAACGGGACGATCGTGAACGCCAGTGCCACTGAGAATTCTGATCTTTTCTGGGTAGGTTTTCAATGGTGCCGCTTCATCATTTCGTTCTATTGGTGGAATTGCAGCGGCTGATCATCATTCCGTGTTCATTTCTCGACTACAGGCTCTGAGGGGTGCTGCGCCGTCGTTTGCGATCGTCACACAGTGGACATACCAGACTCATGAGGCGCCGGCAAACGTCGTCGGGTTCACCTACGAGTACGATACGACCAGCGCGGATGAGTTCTCCGACGTCTTGACTGCCTACACCAGCTGGGCTGTCAGCTCTGCGCCGGAAGAGATTGGTCTAGAGGCAAACATCCGCAACTTGACCATCTCCGTCACCGGTATGTATGAAGGATCCGAGTCTGATTACAACACCGTCGTCGCGCCGCTGTTGGCCGCCATGGGTACTCCCACGAATACGACCGTGAACAGCTACGGGTGGATCGAAGCTTTGGATTGGGTCGGCGGGGTTGACTCTATCGCAACGGATGGAGTTCCTGACACAGTTCGTACCGTTCTTCATTAGAAATCCAGCGCTCACATCACTAATGACCCTTCTCTCCTGTGACACAGCATGATACGTTCTTCGTCAAGTCCATGATCACGCCACTCTCTTCGCCACTCACCGCCGACACTTACACCACATGGGGCCAATACCTCCTCGACACCCAGAACCTCTCCTCCTCTCTCGCTTGGTTCATGCAAGTCGAACTCTATGGAGGCGCCAACTCAGCGATCAATTCTCCCGCCACCGACGCCACCCCTTTCCCCTTCCGCGACTCCCTCTTCACGATCCAACTCTACGCCTCTTCGGCCAACTCGGAGCCGCCTTACCCCTATGCCGATGGGTATTCGTTCTTGGAGGGCGTCGTAGACTTGATTGAGAACTCGTTGCCGGGGGCTGACTTTGGTGCTTACGCGAACTATATCGATCCGACGTTGGAGGATTGGCAGGATAAGTATTATAAGGGGAACTATGATAGGTTGTTGGCTTTGCAAGCGGTAAGCCTCCGTTACGCGCCTTTATGACCTTTAGACGTGTATGCTGACCTCGGTTCATAGGAATACGATCCTCAGGACACGTATTTGAAGCATCAGAACGTAGGGTCTGAGTGAAGCGGTTTAACGGACTTTCGAGGGACGCTTTATCCTACCGCTCATTTCATTGGGTTTCATGGCGATATCTATCTCTCCCTTCATACTATATGGACGCAAACCAAAGGACACAGTAATACTCTACGGGACACTGTTGCAGTACAATACAATTATCACATTTTCCGAGATCTCTGTCCGTTGAACTCGGTCTGATTTGTGGCCAAGGCGCAAACGAATTCCCACATACTCAAGCTTAGAGAGTTCTAGGTCAGTGGCAATGATACGCTGACAATAGAAGCGCTTGTTCGTGCACTCAGAGAAAACTATCCCTGCTCAACGTCCTGCAATCAGCTACGATTTATAGGTAAATAAGCCATCCGCACGTCGAAGTCTTGATCTTTACGCTCCTTCCACCGCCATTAGAGAGGTTGAAATCGGAACTCGGCACAAAACCGAAACTCGTGTTTTTGAGTGCTGCTTACAACAGATGTTGCGTTTTTTTTGTACACTTCAGATGCGTAGCTATCAAGCTATATTCCTATATTTTCTCACATTTGTTTGAGGACATGTTGAAGAGGAAACCCGAGTTTCGGTTTTGAAACGAGTTCCGGGAATTGCCGATTTCACCTCCCTATTCGGCATGCCACAATTCTGCGCCACCCGGCAGTTTCCGGTCTCAATAAGCCTGCTTCTTTTCCTCTTGTTTTTCCTTCCTTGTCGTCAATTTTAGTCCCGTTTCGCGTGGCCGGAAAATTGGGAGATACAACTCAAGCTCTCTGAAACTAGCGACATGGCTACTGTCCGTCTACTACAACATCTTACAGGGGAGAAATCTCCGATTTTGGAACAGGCGCGTCCTTCCTCTCCGAGCTGATACTGCAACTTGTTCGCAGAGGACCAACTCGAACAAGCCGTGCATGTTGCACTTCGCGCATTCCAAACTGGTAGCTCTGGAACCATACTGGCACATCCGTCGCACTAACCTGTCACCTGGGCTCGACCTTAGACGACAGTAGCACACAATTCCTGGTTGGCCGAGATACCCATCTCCTGGACCCCCTCTTCCGCTCTTCGATACGCGCAGCCGCCTCCTTCGGCGAATTGTATGTCGTTGAACTTGGATCAGGCGAGATTGTTGCCGTAAGTGTGTGGTTTAGGCCCGGTTCGCAGCTGTTTGAGAGGTTTGTCATACGAAGCTGTGTCGATCTTGAGTGCTCAGGCTACTGATATATTTCCTTGCGTTTGTGTTTAGTGAAGCGCAACGCTCTCTGGGCTTCTATGAGTATTCTAATCATTTATCTCCCGAGTTTATCTCGTGGAGAGACAACGTCGTAGGTTATCTTTTTCCCAGTCGATCGCGCCTTTTTCAACCTTTGACTGATCCGCCCATTCAGTACAATCCCCAAGCCTCAAAGTTAAGAGGAAACAATCTAAATGACGAGGTTTGCCCATGGAAGATATTATGCCCATGTATTCAGCGAGAATATTGTGACAAGCTAACTATTTCATTTCGTAGAAAGTATGCGATTCGTGGTTCTGCTATATCCTCGCCACACATCCACTATATCAAGGTCAGGGTGCAGCGACTGCTATCGTACAGGCCGCCTACCAAAAGGTCCGAGCTAGCTCGCACCATTCTTTTCGTCAATATCAGGCTTTATTATGTGCAGGACAGCATGGACTGATAGTTGTCATGGGCCTCCTTCATACGCAAACCCTTGGCCTTATGTTGCATGTCAGAGCGCAACGTACGTGCAATGAATCCTTTCTTCACTTCTTGATTCTCAAGAGCTCTCGTCACGGCTATTATAGGTCGTCTTTTATCGAAAGTTAGGATTTCAGGAGCTGGCTCGGATGGAACTTACGAACTACGACACGACAGTTCGAGTTTTGTATGTTTGTATGGCTCTGCAAGTTGATACGAGCACATGAGTCAGTATGCGAAGCCCTCTTCCCGCTGCACGGTAGGAACTCCCTTTTCTTTCCCGGGTTGTATTTCTTTCGGCGGATGTACAGCCTCCGTACACGTCTTGACACGTTGAACGCCCTATCTTCAACACCAAGGTCTGCCTGTGGGAGACTACCGCGGGTCGGCATTGGAGGAATTCCCTCTTTCCAAGAAAGAGCGCGCCAGGGACATGCATTAAGAGGGTGGCGCGAATAGCGTAGGAGACAAGTCATAATAAAAGGTATTCGTGTAGATGTTCCATCAAATGCGTTTCCGGAAATCGAACCCAAGGCCACCGTTGTCTCGCCTCTCTAAACACACGCGCAGGTCACCACTCCCACTCGTCCCTCGTCCCGAGTCGCTCGCACTCTCCATCAATCCGGTATAACCATCCGCATATCCACCCAATTCCCTCCGCCTCAACTCTCCACGTACAGCTCCTGGCCTCGAAGACAACTCGTGCACGAGCAGCGATGTGTCCGACACTCTGACCTGCGCTGACCTCAGATCCTGCGCATTGAAACTCCCCGGACTCGCACCCAACCTATTCCACCCCCATCTCTTGCTCTTCGGCAATGCCAAGCACGAAATACCCAGTACGACGATGCCGAACGCGTAGGCGAAGTGTAGCGCAGCGAAGGCATGTGTCGTCCCCAAAGGTATCTGTAATGCCAGTTCCGCACTCCTACTCTCCGCGTCCACTTTATCCATCGTGATTGCCCCTGCCGACCATCCGAGATATCTATTGCTAAAAGCTTGCGCCCATGCAGCCGGAAATTCGGATGTCGAATTGCCATAAGTGTTCCCTGCGGATGAAAGATCTAGCTGGATCTGGTCGTCGAGGAAGCGGGAGCCCCACTGGTAGTAGTTTGTATCGCCGGTACCGAGGTAGAGTCCGGCAGATGAGACCGCGATGGCGGCAGAGGCATTCGATTTGGAGAAGGTAGAGTTGTCGAGGGTGAGCGTGCCATTGAAGAGGGTATATTCGGCGTCGTAAACTGTGGTGTTGCAGAGCGAAATAGAGCAGAGAATGTAGGGTTTGTTGCCGATGCCCGCTCCATCTGTTCGACAAAAAATCGTAACTATATTAGTTCATGAGGAAATTGAGGTGTGGTTTGCAAAAATTGGAGCGTACAGGTCCACCAGTTAATGAACGGCGTCTTGAAGCTGCTACTCGTGTCGTTATAGGGTATGGAAGAGTAATCCGCGAAACATCCAAAACTTCCCGTCGTAAAGGGGTTCAAGTTCGCACCGTTTGTCAGAGAATTAGTGGGTTCCGTCAGATTGCCTTTCAACGTCAAGAACGTTTGCAGCCTCATTTGCCAAGCCGAGGTGTTAAACCCCACTCTCCACACAAACGAGTTCCAGTTGCTGATGACAGGCTCTGGATCACCGACTGCATAAGTCGGGTAGCAGTATTGTATAACCTGATTCTCGACGTAGCAGGCAGGGTGAAAAACCTGACACTCCGTAGAGGCAGCGAAAGTATGCGATGTGTAGTTGAGATCGGTATGGCTGGCGACGTCTGCGGGTCCAATGAAGGCGATACTTTGGTTGCGAGAGGGGTCGGAAGAGCCATGCTCGTAGACTTTGAAAATCGTGGACTGGTTTAGTCCGCCAAGGCTGGCTGTATTTGTTCGGTTGATCACAGCGCAGTTGTCCGTCGTCGTGGTCAGGCAATCGGGCGCAATGGAAACCCGTCCAGGATAAGAAACTCTGGAATGGTTCGGAACGTAGAGGATAGTGGAGATGATTTGTTCGTGGAGAACGATGTCTATGAGTCGTATGGCCCAGGTGACGGAGAGAACAACGATGGCGCCAACGGCCGCGATTTTGAGTACGGGGGATGTGGGTCGAGGAGTAGTCCGTGGTGAGAGCAAGAGGCGGATGTGGCGTATGGCATAGCTCAGGAGTGGAAGTATGGAAGTGGGTGAGACGTTGGTGACGAGGTTGAGCGTGTGATAATATTGCTGAGGTGTTGGAAGGTTACTTGGGTGCGCGAATGAGGCGATAAGCCACGAGACAGCGAGATGGTACGCGACCAGACACATAACGAACGGCGAAACGACGCCTCTGAAAGACGTAAAATTTGTGTCCAGCTTCGGAGTATACTTGATACCAATGAGAAGACCTACATTACGGAGCTGGCGATGGAAGACACCAATAGAGGCGAGAAGTGCGCTGTAATAAACGAGTCGACACCGCCGATGATAGCGCCTTCAGAGATGGGGCGAACGAAAGTCCCATTAGAGTGATATACACCATCGGGGGCCTTGAACCCGATGGATATATAAAACATTGCCCCCATGAAAGCTGGTATTATAGCGCATGACGTTAGAAGAATAACGGAGAGGGTAATGCCTGGACCCTGCTGGCTGGAATCGTTGGTTGCAGCAGGCTCCTCGAGCTCAGAGAGATTTGTTGCAGTCTAAGGTGCTATGAGTTCGCGCGCGCGTTTCTTTTTCCTAAGAAATAAAGCTGCCTACCCTGTAATTGTACTTGGGTATATCGTCGTAGTTCTGAGTGGTCGGTGAGCCTTCGCTGTTTAACCGATTCGGGACCTGCGGTAAAAGGTATTTCATGAAGATCAAGCTCAAACGAACGTCATTGAAGTTGCGAAACCCGCACCAAAGGTTTGAGCGAATGATCATACGTCTGTAAATCGATCTCCTCTACCTCTTGTATCTGGCTATGCTTGGCCATCCCCTAACGCGTCCAGGAGCCTCGCGAAGACGTGCTGGAAGTAACTGAAGACGAAGAGAGGGTACTCAGCGGGATTCGCGAAGCTTTTGTGGAGACCCTTTGTCATTGACAAAACGACACAAAACGGCTGACCCGTCGTCATGCCGCATTGCGTTGTCCCCCAACGTGGGATCTCGCAGGATCTCGCCTGATGTTGTAAATTTGATATACGTAACGGGACCGCTTGACTTCGTTCAGCAAACGGGAGAAGTCAGAATGAACTTGCTCTCCGATCTCCGGCGGTCGGAATTGAAACGTTGCGATGGCTTGGCAGTGATCTGTGGCTCTAGGGCTCGAGGATTGTTGGGTACATAAGAAATGGGCGTGGCGAATACAATCCGAGTCGCGATCGTACAGTACGGTTGTACAAGCCTCAAATCTGATGGTAGCAACGCCACTGATGCATAACAAAGTTTGATGCGCTCATGCATTGTAAACGCCACAGGGACGATTGGCATGTCTTTTGATCACACGACGGCGCGAAATACTGACCGCTATAGGGTACCCAGCGGGTACGCTTTCGGTATATTCTCCCCGTCCGGTGCAATGACCGGAACACCCCCATAACTCTTCACTGCCACGCTTTGCCTCGCAAACTCCGGCACCCTCCTCACACCTCCACCCCTGCTCGCGCTCACAACACCTTTTGCGATTCCTAACAACTTTCCCTCCGTCCACGGTCTGCCCAGAATCTCCATCCCAATAGGCACACCCAACGGAGCTTCGTTACTCGGATCTGAGAATCCAGCGGGCACAGTAACGACAGGTGATCCTGTCAGTGCGCCGAGGATACCGTTTCGTCCTGACTGGGATGGAGATCCGATTCGGACAACGAGGTTTTTTTGTTCGGGATAGATGATAGCGTCGAGATCGTTCGACGCGAAGGTGGATTGGAGTGTTGTGACGAGGTCTTGAATGGCGAGTTTGATGGTTGCATAGGTCGTGTTAGTGGATGGGGAGGTCGAAGAGACTAGGGTATTATTGACGTAGGTGTATTGCGCTGGAATGACGAGGAATTTCTTGCTGGCGTAGAGCTCGTTGAGCGTAGATGGGTGTATACCACCAAGCGAAGGTCGTTGGAGGTAGGCGTCCATTTCTTGTCGATATTCGAACTGTTGAACGTCAAGGAGGGCAATGGAAGTAGCGTTATAGACCGTCTCGTTGATGCGTAAGACCGTGGCCCCGGCTGCTGTTAGCTTCTGTGCCATCCTGTCCATGACTTCATTCACCGGCGTCGTCTCATCGCTTTCCGTTCTGTTGAAGAAGCCCTCCAATAATCCTAATCTTGCGCCGTTCAGTTTTGTCCCATCTCCCGACAAGAACTGTGAGTAATCCAACCCGACATTCGCTGAAGGTACGAGTGCGGTTGTGTTGTCGTCCGGATCGTAACCTACGCTTGACATGACTGTGAGTGCCACCGCCACATCTTCCAAGCTTCGTGCTATCGGTCCAATCGCGTCTTGAGTGAAGGATATGGGCACGATCCCGGAGCGGGAAATAAGGCCACGAGTCGGACGGACACTGAAGAGGTTGTTCGCCGATACAGGGGACCGCAGCGAATTCACTAGACAAAGTGATCAGTTGGGTGGTGAGGCTTTCGAATGTATCGACATGCCTGTATCGGTACCGGTACCGAAAACTGCAAACGACATAGCGATAGCGGCGCCAGTACCACCCGAACTACCACCAGGGGTACGTGTATGATCATACGGGTTGATAGTCTGGGAGGCATGTAAGCACATACTTTCCTTGCCCTTCTCGACGAATTCGTTCCAATGAAGGCAAACCTACCTGCCCACCAAGTGAAGACACAGACAGACCCTCCAACGCCAACTCGTGTAAATTCGCTTTCCCCAATATCACAGCTCCTTCCTTCTTCAATACTTGCACGACCGGTGCATCAACGTTCGGCACACTCCCTCTCAAATCCTCGCATCCTGCCGTTGTGTTCATCCCCACTGCATCATAATTATCCTTGAGCAGCACTGGGACGCAAAACAGCTGTCCAGTCGCGTTACCAGAAGCGAGCGAGGCATCGAGGGAGTCGACAATGGTGAGAGCGTGGGGGTTGAGGGAGATGATAGCGTTGATGGTTGGATTGTAGGCTTCGATGCGGGAAAGGAAGGAGGAAACAATGGTGCGGCAAGTCGTGAGGTTACTGAACAGGGCGGTATGAACACTTTGGATAGTAGCTTCGCGAGGATCGAAAGCTCTAACATTCGCGGGTCTGAGGAGCGATAAGATAGAGACGATGAGGATGGGTAAGGCGAAAAACTGCAGTGATACGATCGTTTAGAAGTCTTAAAAAACCAACCGCGAAACCACTACTTACCTTCATCATAACTTATGTAGACTGCTTGTTGATGCTCGAAGTCACAGTGAAGATGAAAAGTGGTTCGCCTCCGAAGAAAATGGGGGGAAATCGGGGGTTGACCCGCGAACGTCATAGGGGCCTCTTATCTCGTACGAGATGGGAATCGGGTGTGACTACCAGCTCCCTTTCTGGTACTCACACGGAGGGCTTACGAAGGGTCGAAGCAGTCGGAGACGGAAGGAAGGCCGAGGGACAAGAAGCAACAGATATTTGAGATCAGGAGAGCATCTGACTGCGAGAGGGTGAGTTGATCAGAGGGATAGCGCTAATGTAGATTGTAGGCTAAGCAGAAGTGTAGGCCACAGAGTTGCTAGCGAAGGTACTTATGCCGCATATCTTTGCGAGTTCAAGCCATACCAGTTGAGTCGAGAGGATGAAGATGTATATCGGAAATGAGTGATTGAAACACTTCTCTATCTTTCGATTGTGTAAACAGAAGACAGTTCGAACAGAGAGACAGCGGCTGGAGAAAGGCAGTGTGTCAGGCAAGCTATAGAAAGTCGTTGGATATATGCCCGGTTGAAATCTAGTCTACTCTGCCTTTGGGCGACTACTTGGAGGGAGCGTTGAAGAGTCGGAGCAAACACAGCGTTGTTTGTCCTTGTTAGATTCGGAAGCCTTCGGCATTCGGCACTGCGTCCCGTCAGTCTGGATTTTCAAAAATACTCGACTGAGCCCATGGTCGCTCTAATGGGACCTGGAAATATTGTAACCAACTGCTGGTTCTAACAGACTATTTACATGGGGTTTCCCTGCGGACTAGCACTGCCGCTCAGGACGAGATGACACAAAGTTCTTTCCTACCGAGAGTTTGAACGCTGCTTGACAGCCACATCGGGGGAGGGTCATTTAGAGAAAGCGCAGCTTCGTATTGAAACATGATGTTCAGGTGCTCAGTGTCTCGGACGTACAGTATAAGACGAATGAAGAGTCGTTTAACAGGTGTTGAACAGGTGTTACGGAGCAAATCGCGAAGAGGCGCCCAAACGGCATTCCACGTGGAGGATCGGCATTTTCCGCGCGCGCCGAAGTTTGTGCTCGTTCATCGCGGCGCACAACAAACAGACCGCCCCGCCCTCGACTCGCTGTAGCCCGTCTACTTTGAATCTCAAGTTATCAGCAATGGTGAGCACCCTTTCGTGGTCATTGGAACGTCGTGGAGGCATACAGGAACGCCAGGGTACTGTTGAAGGAATGGATGGATGAGTCGAACTTCGGATGGATGACTCAATGGAGGGCCTGCAGCTTGAGGTTGGGAAGTGATGCTGGAAATCATGACCCTCACAAGGGACTTGGATGCTACTGTCGTCGAAGGCAGCATACTGCTGTGCGATGGGCTAGTTTGTTCAAGAGGTGCTCACCGTGTTATTTTAATTGTACAGGCCAGCGCAGAACTCGCCGCGACTTACGCCGCTCTCATCCTTGCCGATGATGGCATTGAAATCACTGTGCGTAAATCCCTTGCACTGCACACTGTACCGAAAGCTTATTCGTACACATCTAAAACGCGCTCCGTATCCACAGTCCGACAAGATCGTCGCCCTTACCTCGGCTGCTAACGTCGAGCTCGAGCCCATCTGGGCTTCCCTCCTCGCCAAGGCTCTCGAGGGCAAGAACGTGAAGGACCTCCTTTCGAACGTTGGCTCCGGTGGAGGTGCACCCGCCGCTGCCGGTGCACCAGCTGCTGCTGGTGGTGCCGCCGCTGCTGAGGAGAAGGTCGAGGAGAAGAAGGAGGAGGAGAAGGAGGAGTCAGACGATGACATGGTGCGTTCTTCCCTTCTTTCACTCTCGGTCGCTCGGTTTCCTGATGGAGTTTGTGTAGGGCTTCGGTCTCTTCGACTAAGCGTTGTGTTCTCATTTGTCCTTGCTGCTCTTTATCCGCCTTTTATTCTCTCTGGTTCCACCTGCATGCGTTTGTATCTCTGCCATCTCCCATGCCCATGATATGTACCTGCACGCCATTTCCATCAAAATGAAAATATGACGCACATGCTGCGTGGATAAAAACATTCTATCGCCCATGTTCATGGTGGCACCCCCGCGGCCCCACGGTAAAGAGGTTGGAGAGCAGGAATGTTATCGAGCTACTGGGCATCCACTTAGCGCGTGTCTCGACCCCGATGTAGCCCGGTTCTGTTTCGTGATCGTTCACCGTGAAACATCGACGCGTGCGGTCTTCATAGTGCCCATGTTCCGTGGGTCATTCACAACATAACATCTTCAACCGTGTTTGGAATATTGCCACAGGCACGGCAGTAGGGAAGCCTTTGATAGGCCATAAGGATCCGGTCTCGTCGCTCGCATTTTCATCAGACGGGAATCGTCTTGCGTCTGGTTCCTATGAGCGCACTATACGTCTATGAGATCTTCCATTTGCCACCACTAATTCATTCTCTCGCCGCATACTCGTCGGTCATCAAAACGCTATTCGGTGTCTTTCATTCTCTCCCAAAGGCCAAACCATCGCATCCGGCTCATACGACCACACTATCAGGATATGGTACGTGAAGAGGGGAGTCCGACCCAGGGAATATATTTTCATGGGCCACGTTGGATGGATCACCTCCGTGGCGTTCTCGTCGGACGGGAGTCATCAGGCCTCAACCTCGACGGATAACCCCGTTCGCGTTTGGGACACGGACGAACGATGTGAAGTCATCCAACCCTTCCTCATTCATAGTTGCACGGTCTACGCCGTCCAATTCTGTCCGAAAGACAAAAGCGTTGTTTCACTTAATACATTTGGTGAAGTGCTATTTTCCAGCGCGATTGCTTGGGAGGTGGGGCATGGTTGGATCAATGATCGCTCACAGACCATGAGCGAGGTGCTCTCTCCAGACACAGAAGTTGTCTCGCCAACGGTGCTTCTTGGTGGGAAGGCCATTTTCGGTTATACTGGCACTGAACTATCCGTCGTTTTCTTCGGACGGTAAATACATCGTCTTCTCTTCAGATGATGTCCACATTCGCATCTGGGACGCGAATCGTGGTGGCGGGGCGTTTCCTCCATTTGCAAAAGACGAGCTGGGTCCGGGCGCTGTCCATACATCACCTGAAGGTCTTCACCTATCATGCGACCATGAAGGGACCTTTCAAATCTATGACTTACAGAAAGGCCCATCGCTCTCGACGTACATTTACCTCGGCCAGTCTGTCGCACCAGCCGGTACTGGTGCATTTTCCGCACAAATCGCCAATCGGGCCAGTACGATCCTCATCTTTACAGCACAAGAGAAGATAGTCGGAAAACCTTTGATTGGATGTAGGGACTTAATCGAATGTGTAGTGATTTCTCCAGATGAGAAATATGTCGTTTCTGGATCGTGGGATCAGACGGTTCGTCTCTGGGCGTAGAGAAGGGCGTGGTAGCCAAGTCTGTTATGAGGCACGACGGTTGTGTCATGACAGTGGGTTTCTCATCGGATGGAAGGTATATTGCGTCAGGATCGATGGACCGTACCATTCGCGTATGGAACGTTGACGAATTAATCGCGACAAATCTGCATGATACATCGTCGAACCGCGAAGAGAGTGCTCTCGGATCTCCTGAGGTATGTGTACAGAGTGAATGGTCAGTGGTAGCGTAACTCCCTGACGAAATTTCTTGTCAGGTCCGATAATTGATAATATGGGCGGCGGACGACTGGCGGAAGGCCGAAAGAGAGAGGAGAGAGGAGAGGAGATGGACGATGTGGCGAGGTGCGGCTGGAATCAGAAACACTTAACGTGTACGATGTGAGTCTCTGTTACCTCTCATATTCGCAGCATCCTGCAGCTCTCCGCGTGAAGTCGGGGACAGGCCTCTCTGTTACGGTTCATTTTCTTTAGTCGCTGCTGGTATCTGTTTCTTTTTATGTCCTGTTGTTCCGCTTAACTTTCCCTCTACGTCGGCTGGCGGCAGGAAGGTTCTAGCGAGGCTATGTAACGAGCGACGTATGAGGAAGACCTCTCATAATACATATATTCAAATAATACAGAAGGCATAAACTAGACCCACGAACACCCATGATACGACATAATATACCCAAAAAACCAACTAGAACCACAAATTCCTACTCCACGCCCCACCGCGGCCCCGGTTTGACTACATCATGATCCTCCTCTTCGATCGCACTCGCGCCCTCGCTCCCATCATGAGCCTTCATATCGACAGGATAGCCAGCATCGTCCTGCGTCTCCACGTATATATTCACGGACACCTGTCCGTTCGTATTGGTGACCGTGTTTTGTCGGTTTAGTCCGCTGTGGACACTGGGGCCGTGACGGCGAGGGCCACCGGGCGTTGTGGGAGTTCCGCCAATGGTGACGATGTCGCGTCGGTTGCTGGGATTGTGCGTGGTCCGTTCGGAGAGCTCGTGAGAGGAGGTGTTGTAGCTTGTGCCATCTTGGAAGCGATCTGATGTGGAGTAAGGAGGTGAGGAAAGCGATCGGAGTAAGATATGGACGGCAACGCACTTTGCAGGTTGAGGACCATTCGCGAGCCGGAGATTGTGATGATCGCGATGGCTGGCTGCAAGAGACGAGAACGTTTAGCACTCTATTTCTTTCGCCCAAGCGCGCGTGCAGCGCAAAATATAAAACCTACAGAGCTAAACATAGTCTAGGGGGAAGACGAGTTGAGCGTGCGGTAACACTGGTGCAATAGTGGTTTTACCTGTATCGATTTCCACGGCATGAAGGTGAAGGTCACAGCGAGGACGTTGATGAACGTCGCTACCATCATACTATTGGACGGCAAGTCAGACATATCCAAGTGGAAGGCGACGGCGGGATAAAGGTGAACTTACTAGATGAGACCATCATGGAACTGATCAACAAGGGGGAGACGTCAGTGACCGTGTTTGAAACGCCATATATGCGAGGTGTGACTCACCAAAGCTCGTGTGAACGAAAATGTTTGGGTCTGAGTGGTATTCACCCGCAGAAGATAGAACGAGGAGATGGAGAACACCACGAGGTCATACAACCTAATTTGCGTAGAGCGATGAGTTGAGCGGCGACCTCAAGCCGGTCATGATGAGTCGAGGACATGCTTACATCGTTACAAGGTAATACATCGCGGTGATACCTCGAGGAATGTTAGCCGAAAGGGCGCAGTTGTCCTACAGAGCCATTTTATGGATAAGTTTTGTGAAAGAAGATCCCTACGCGAGACACTTACGCCCGCTCGTAGAGCCGCTACATACGAAGTCGATGAGGCTCTCATCAAATTTTCGTGTCATGTAGAACGATCAAAAGCTTACGGATGATGAAGAGCACTATGGCGACTGTTTGACCCTGGATTCCAACATACGGAGTTAGAACGGTTCATTTTGGATAGGACAGACATATATACGCACAGCGAATGCAATAACAAATACTGTCAATAGCACGAGGAAAGGCGTCCTTCTGCGCCCTGCAATAGCCCACGTTCTGGAGAAATAACGCATATGTAGCTTATAAATAAGTAGAAAGACGATATCTCCTAGAGAACATACCGCCAAAAGAAAACCTGAGGAGCCAGAGTTGGAAATAAGTTCAATAAACGAACAGCAAGCAGGAATCGGGCGGCGACACTGAAGACGTACAAGCTGGGTCGCAGTCGACGAAAGGACTCTGAGGAAGACACCAAGGTTTTGAGTCATTGAGCTTGGGATAGAAGTGCACCATCCCTACCGTGTTACTGGAGCCCATGAGTGATACGCAAGGCAAGACCCACTAGAGTGTTGCGCCGCGAAGTATCTATAGATGAATAAGACCGAAAGGCGTAGTTTCGTAAGCTACTGACATTACGCAGCTGGAGGAATATGAACATACCCAGCAGAGTTACTTATGACCGCTATCGCGCCCAGGTAGCGAACTGCTATAAGGAGCCAGAACGCTCTTGTGTATCTCGTCTGCTGCATTTGCCTGCAAGGTGCGTAAGCACGATGACATGAAGGCTGGTCCATCTCGAATAAAGCATACCTCTTATACAGGCTAGCAAAAGAGCAACAGATACCGTTAGGTATATGTAGAGGTTACTGGACGCTCATTGGCTTCACGCACCTGTATTCAGCCGGAATAGTCAGGCAATAGCTGCATGGTCCTGTATGAGCGAGCACGATTTCGAACAAGTCAAGAGACGCGACTTACTCGTAGAACCAGATAGCCATCGAACATAGCTTTAGATACACAGAAGCAGTGGTCGCCGCGGTAGTGTCGATAGCCATGTCTTGGCTCTGAGGCCTGAAGGACAAGCAGACGAGGGATACGAGTGAGAACAGGAGGACACGGTTTGTGGTCGAGCGGCGGAAAGAATTATCCAGGCCACAATGGCCGTCACATTATAAGGATCTCGTATAAAAGCTGGATCTGGTGCAAAGTGCGAGACGTCGCCCGGGATTTCAATACCTGTCAAAAACTGAGCGATAAAAGTGCACGGGAACGATAGGAACCAACAGGAGCCCGAGCCATCCAAGCGAATCCTTTATTACAATGACCCGGACACTTTGATGGCGACCAAGAATAGATATACAATAGCCTATCGCCAGCAAATGAACAGTAGAGAGAGAAACCTTCTATTTTTCTGCAATTCTCCTGTTTTGCGGGATCAAAGCGTACGAGAGACGACCGCGAGTCGTCGTGGCTGGAGCGCTTTGGGTCCCGGCGGTATCTTTCATGCGCCGCCCCGGAGTTCTCCGTAATAAGAAATTTAGTTCGACTCGGAATTCTGGATATATATCTCCCTCCCATCTCCCTCCGGTGCCGAATCAATTTGTTTGTATTTCGTGGCCGAAGGATACAAATGGCGGGACAGAGGGAAACTGTTGTGCGCTGAGCGGAAAGTGAGTGGCTCGATCCTGTTTATTTCCTCCGCAACCTTTACTCTTCTGCAAAGCTTCTTGGAATGAAGTTTCGCGCAGCGTCTCCGTAGGATAGACGGGGCATGCTTCAGCTTGTCTATGGCGCATAGTACTCTATTGCTAGCGCCGTTCATCGTTGGCGTTGGTGTCTTCGCTAAATCTTACAGGCGGGATACGATCTACAAATATGCCCCACTCCACCTCTCTGGTACGAGGGGCATGGCCGCCCCGTCTCCACCGTTACTCAGGCAGATATCAATACCACTTCGCGCTGTCTTTAGTACATGCCCCGGTGGAGAAACGTGCAGCATGGCTGTGTTTTTAGCTTCCTGCCTTTGGTTGTTCCGATTCCTTGCCCAATCAACTATATCTAAATAAAGGACGCCGTGTCTCGTACCCTCTTTGTTCGTGCTTCTTAGCGCTGCACGGTAGCCATGTTTGGTTTGACTCTTGTGGCGTAGCGACCCGATGTCCCCTCAGTTTGACATGCGATGTACTCGTCACCTGTTGCACAGGACTGAAGTATCCCGGAGCTCAGACGAGGCTCTTGCTTACGACCGTCTTTCGTTCAATCGGGAATTTATTTGCTCTACCAATCCCTCATCACCTCGTCTAGGATTAGTGAAACCCTCCTTCTCAAAGAAACACAAATGGACCTTCACCGGTCTACAAATACAGCCAGAAATATCGCCTTCTTCGACTCCCGCGCCCACCGGGCTCGCTCCCATCAGCCCACCTAATTCCAACGCGGAACGGCGAACGCTTCGACGGCGACGTTCGCCCTCGTTCACCTCTGGTTGGCTCCCGACTGCTTCGGTCGCTCACGTTGCATGACGAATGCGGCGGTTTTCAGTTCGGGGAAACGAGATCTGCGTATCCTCTATGATTTGCCTATCGTCTTCGACCTTCTTCGACGCGCACCGCCTTGGTCAATTCGATATATTGAGTACGTCCGGGGGATTTAGGTTTTTGATGCCTTCTGAACATGGGTCTGGGTCTTATGTAGGCTAACGAAGATATTCTGGGCGACGGCGATCTGAATGCGAGATTGGATTATGTGTTTATATCATCGTACACATGTTATGCGGAACGACTTGTTCGCTCACTCCTGCTCCGATCTTCATGTCTAGGCATATGTTAAACAGCCCACAGGTCGTCCAGGTCCCGTGCAGGTGTTTGCGAAAGCTTACTTCACTCCAGTCTTCGTGCTCTTCGTGTGCGGCCCTTCTCGTTGTTTACCTCATGTTTATGTCTGTGCATACAGCTCCAACAGAGACGAAAGTCAAGGTTGGTAATCTATCCATCTTCTCCGTCCTCGTCAACACCTCCCATCCGCCAATGCCTGAGCCTGAAGCGTTCCTCGTTCGACACTTCCATGAACTGACACCATCCGCTTCGATACCATCCTTCAACGAGTACTACTCTTTGGGCGATCACAGTTGGTCTAACTTTTGACGACGAGGGTCTTATGCGAGGTTTGGGTGAGGATGTAAGGACCTGAGTCACATCGAAACATTATCTCTATTCCCCGCCCCCTCCATTCTCGGATGTCGTCTACTGATGCTCAGGCCATCTAGCTGCGACGATTCTCCCGCCTCGGATATAATGACTCCCTCTTTTTGGATCAGGACGCACGATACCAGGATTCATGTACTCTGACGTCCCATGGCTACGTTTTCGAAAACTTAGCCTTTGAATCTCCTTGTCCTTCCGGACGTGGACGACGAAGTAATACTGTTCTCCCGAGAGACGGCGAGCGAGTTCGTCAGCGTCAATGGCGGTGTCCCGGTAGCGTAAGGAAGGGCGGGTCCAGTGGGCTGTGAGTTCTTCGGTTCACATCCACATTTTCGGATAGAAGTGGACCAGAGTCGTCGTCGTTCTGGTCTGTACGGGAGATGTAGGTATGCAACGAACCCTCTACTTTAGACAGTCACCACCCTCGACACGTCTTCGACGGGCCCGTTCGCTCAGCCTCTTGTCCACCATCATGCCTCTTGTAAATTCCGCGCTCGTACGTACGCATTCAGACGTGAACACTGTTTTGGTCCATCACTATTTCTTGTCGTTGTGTTATAATACACTTGCTAGTGCACGGTTCTACTCGTGATCCAGCGGTAGTATTAGTATTGTGCCTTCAACCTAGTGTAGTTAGCAGCCCCAGCACATATAAATGCATGCAACCCGACGAAGAGACCAACGAACCCTCCGTACCCAAGAAAGTCCCGATGGGCCAAAGTCGAAAATACGAATTACAGTAACTTCGCCCAGCAAACGCCGCGCGCTCGAGCGGAAGCCTGGCCCGGAAATGAATTCGAAATGGGGAATATAATTATTCCGTCAAAGCGCGGAGCGTCCGTCCGGGAGCTGTTAACTGTTCCCGCCCTTGCCTGCATCCCTCCCGACGTCGTCAACGACAGTGACCGAGAGCATATCGGTCACTAACTGTACATATGCAAGCGTATGGGTACAGAACACGTCGATGGCCTCTTTCCCCTCGCCTGCCGATTCGGTGCGTACTCATTCATGAGCTTAGCCTACGTACGCATTCCCCTCCCGCCGCCACACTGACCGTCGGTGCTCCCGCTTGCCCATAGTCGCGACCGACCAATGGATAGTATCCCACTTTGACTCGTCCTGGAAGATCTCAGAGTTGAAGCAGTATATACTCTCGAGAGTGACGGCACCGCCATCGACACCGTCTACGGCCACGTTCACGTTCGCCACCCCCACGTTTTCATCATCTTCCGCCGGCGTTACGTCCAGCGGTGCTTATGACACGAATAATCCCAGCAACCACAACCACACCAGCAGTAACAACAATAATAACAATGCGAGATATCCATACCCGCCACGACATCGACCTGTTTCGCCGATCACCTTCGCAGCTGTGTTCAAGTCCCGGCCGTCGTTCGAGAATCCATCCGGAGCGGGGATATCAGAGGATGGACACGGCGAGAGCGTCGGTGTGGGTGCTGTCCGGGGTGCGTTTGGTGGTAGTGACGGAGGAGGAGGGCCAGGACTGGACGAAGAAGATTTCGAGGAGGACGATTATCTGGACATGAACGACGATTCCGACTTGGACTATCCCCACGACGGACCCACGCGCCCCGCACTCGCCTCCTACACCCAACAACCCTCCGTCTTCCAACCCTCCGCAAGCCTTACCACCGTCCCGTCCTCGCTCTCCCTCCCTCCGACGACGCAATACTCGCTCATCGCGTTCTCGACGGGCATGATCCTCGAGGACTCGTTTTCGATTGCATGGTACCATCTACGCCCAAATGAACTGTTGGAGCTGCATCCGCTCGGGGGATCGATCGCGGAGCTGAGAAGGGGAGACGTAGAGAGGTATGTGAAGCCGTATTTTGAGGCGAGGGTGAGGGCGCTGAGGGTGATTGGCTCGGCGGACGCGGTGACGTCTGTTGTGGAGGGGAAGGAGAAGGATGGGAAGGATGGCCGGGAGGCGTGGAGGGAGAAGGAAGGGGAGGATAAAGGCAAGAAGCGGAAGAAGGCAAAGTTGGAGTGGCGCGAGAGGTGGGTCGTTGTCCATCAGGGTACGCTCAGTCTCTTCAAGGACAGAGCAGTGAGTTATTTCTTTTCTGGCATTGATCAGAAAGTTATATTCGAGCGACAATTGTATTGACGATTCTCTCCTTCACAGGACTCCCACCCAGCCCACACCTCCGAGCTCGCCACCCTCTGTCAGCTCCGTGGCGCCGACGCCCTCAACGCCATAAACCCAACCTCGCCACCCGCCACCACCACTTCCCACTCCCACCCCCATCCATACGGTTCCCCACAATCCACCGCACATAACCACAACTCGTCAGCCCACGATCGACATGCAGAAACAAACAGCGTGCCCACCTATGTTATATGTGCCAAATTTCGCGCGACGGACGTAGAGCGCACGGAACGAGAGAGAGAAAAGAGAAGGGAGAAGGAGATGCGGCCAAAGACGACGCAGGCGGATGGGGCGCGATCTGCGCATGCTGCGATGTTTGAAGGATTTACGGATCCGTGGTCGGGGGCGACTATCGCTACTTCTTCCGGCGGCGTGGACGAAGTCGGCCCGATGATGGGTAGGAGAGGATCTTTGGGGCTGCCGACGACGAGAGAGGAGGGAACGAGATCGGAAGTGGGAGTGGGGAAGAAGAGGTCTGGAGATGACGTCGGCGCGAAGAGGAGGGGCTCGGTGGATGAGCGGAATGCAAGGCGGAATGGGAATGGAAATGGGGTGGATGGGGCGGGGTCTGATGCGGGAGAGGACGATGGCGTCTGGGTCGTGTTGGACATGGTCGACTTGGCGGGTACGTCGCATATCATTTTCTCTTCGTTATGACATCTCAGTTAATTAACAAACTTTCAGCGTTCACGAACCTCCTCCGAATCCTGCACCGAGAAGCCCCCCTCGCCCCCTCCGTATTCTACCCTCCCCCATCCTCTTCCTCTTCCTCCTCCAATCCGCTCCAAGCCTACAACCGCATGAACACAACCTCCCCACCCCTGCCCTATCCCGAATGGAGGACCGAAGTGGCCAGGAAAGCGCAAAGGGTGGGGATGGGCGAGGTCGGCGCGCCGATGGCGCTCGTCCTCTGGGGCCCAGACGAAGAAGACAGCGAGAGCGAACGGGAGTCGGTTTGTCCACCATCTACGAGGAAGAGAGGCGATACGGATAGTTCGGGCGTGGGGTCGTTCCTTCAGCTTCAGGAGGATGGACCGGGGTCTGCGCCTGTGACGCCGCTTGCGAAGACGGAGTCCGGATCGACTGCACGACGTCGGCCGCAGAATCAGAATCAGAATCAGAATTATGCGCAAGGGGTAGAGGAGGAAGAGGGAGAGACGGATTCGAGGGATGCGCATGCGAGTTTCGACCTCGACGAGGAGCTCGGGATGGCGATGGAGATGGTGACGGATAGCAGCGACGACGGACTCGAGAGCGAATGCGAGTGGGACGGCTGGGCGCTCGATCTTCCCCGTCAGGCTCGGAAGGTCAAGGATGCGCATAAGCGGCTCCAGATGCAGAGGGAGATGCAGACGATGAGTCTGAATCGACAGAACGGATATCCCACTACGCCGACTCAGTCGCATTTCACGCCCACTGCGGGCAGGGAACGGCTTGGGTCAGCGCCGTCGTCGATGATGGTGCCGCCGAGCATTTCGACGACCGTGGAGGTTTCGACGGCGAGAGGTGGAGCTGGGAAGAGGCATAATCATGTGCAGACAGCGAGTATGGGGTACGCGCATCGGCCGTTCGCATCCCCTTCGTCTACATCACTCGAATCGCCGAGTCGAATCCGGGCGGTGCACGATTCGTCGACGTTGTTCGCGTCGGGGTCGACGTCCCCTGCTACGCTCGAATCGTACTCCTATCCCTATCCTCCACAGGATCAAGCCGGTCCTTCGTCGACTCATCACCACCATAGCCGTACCTCATCCCGACCTCTCTCCCCCACTTCTTCCTCTCGCCCACTCTCTCCTACGGCTGCCAGTCTAGGTTTAGGCATTCCCATCTCCCTAGCTCCGCTCGACCCGTCGTACCCTGCGCTATTAACGGTTGACGATCAGGGCGTACGGAGCGGGACGACGACGAGTACGGTTAGTGTCGGTGGTGTCGTGAGGAATAGGAGTTTGGTGATGGTGGAGAGGGAGGGCGGCGGTGGGGGTGTGCCGAGGGCTTTGGGATTGGGGTATGGGAATGGGAAGGCGGAGGAGAGAGATGCGCGGAAGGCGAAGGGGAAGGCAAAGGCGAGGGAGGAAGCTGTCGAGGATGTTATTACGGAGGGAAGGAAACAGAGCTGGGTGGAGGAGCTGGGGTTGGGGAGGAAGGTGAAGGAGGGACATGTGGAGAAGAAGAGTAAGGGGAAGAAGAAAGACAAGGGGAAGGAGAAAGAGAGAGATAAGGTAGTTGATGGGAAGAAGAAGGAGAAGTCGCTTCCTGCTCTGCCGCCTGTGGACCCAGAAGACGATCTCCTACCCGCACCTCCTCAACACCACCCACGGCCCAACACGCACATGCATTCCTCCTCTACGAGAACACGACCCGTGGCCGCCGCCGTCCCGCCCCCTACCTCTTATACCTCCACAACAACAACTCCTTCTGCCAGTCTCACCTCGCCGTCGTCGTCCTCATTCGATCCAGCCGACTTCACGCAACACCCGACTTTCGGAATGAAGTCCAACGATCATAACGCTCCGCACCGTCATAGGTCGGGATTGGCGAAGACGGAATGGAAGCGGTTGAGCGCTGCGTTGGGCGGGATTGGTGGTGGTGGTGGTGGCGGTGGCGGTGGCGGTGGTGGTAGTGCGAATCGTCCAGACGGCGCATCCTCTTCGACTTCCCCGCCCTTTCCTCCCATATCGCACCGACCAAGTCGCGCAGACGAGGATCCAGTGCTGCACAGGACGGATACAAGGCACACGGTGCGGGAGATGGATGCGCGGAGCGAGACGAAGAGTTCGAATAGTGGGGGTACCGGTGGAAGTAGTGGACAATCGGTGGCCACAACGACGGTCCAGGTGGTAGGGGTGGAGAAGGACAAGGACAAGGAGAAAGGAAAGGGGAAGAAGTTGGTGAAGGGGATTACGAGGGGGAAGGCGTTTAGTCCGGAGAAGTGGGTGAAGGGGTTCGATGCAGCGTTGGACTTTGTGGATGGGGTATGATTCTTCTACCTTTGCCTTTCTTTGTGCAGGTTTCGCGAGCTTGGTTTCTTCGATGCATGTCTTGGATTATATTCTTGATATAATCTCTCTCAGTTTCTGTACGCAATGCCGCAGTCCCTTTTCCTGTTCTTCATGTTCTATCCCCCTTGGTACTGCCTACCACTCTTTTTTTCCCCCTTTGTTCATCCATGTTCGTGTTGGGCGATGCGATCTATGGTGACGGCGGGTACCACCCGCCACCCGGCGCTGTTCTTGGTGGGTTTGACCTCTATGCTTATTCTCCTTCGTTTTTTGATCTTTCCACCACTGTCGCATCAATGTTCTTACTATTTCATACCCTTTTCTCGCTTTAAATTTAAATGCTTGCTCTCATCTGCCCAGCCCTGCCATCTCGCGGACTGGCACCGTGTCAGCAATAGGCCCTCCCACACCGATACCCTCACTGCATCGAACAGCAGCCCCGATATCTTGTAGTTGCACTCTTTCACACTGAATACTAACTGCTGATGATACCAGCCGTCCAATAGTTTTCGTCCTGCCTTTACGAAAACATTAGTGCCACATTTGCAAAGCTAGTGCCACGCCTGGACGCGGTCAGTCGCGTGGCGATATTATGGCGTGTTTGGCCTGCCACGTCCGCGGTCGACGTTGCAAGTCGCGTTACGGGACTCATCCAAGCTTTCTCTATTCTACTCGTCTTCCCCGCCGTCTCGTCCGCTCTTTCTCTCAGTCATGAGCGGCTGTATGTCTTTCATTTCCGTTTGTGGGATATAGTTTGCTCAACCTATGTCTTTGTAGTCCGGTTTTTGAACCTCGTCCGTCCGTTCCTGCCGATCCTGCCAGAGGTCTCCTCGCCCGACCGCAAAGTATGTTTGTACTCTTATTTCGGCGTACTGGCAGTCACTTATACTCGCTTGTAATAGGTTCCCTTTAACCAGAAAGTACTATGGACGGCCGTCACGCTCCTCATCTTCTTGGTCTGCTCCCAGGTCCCGCTCTACGGCATCATGTCCTCCGACTCGTCTGACCCGCTCTACTGGATGCGTGTCATCCTCGCCTCTAACCGTGGAACGCTCATGGAACTCGGTATCTCACCCATCGTCACCTCCGGGATGATCATGCAACTTCTTGCCGGTGCGAACTTGATCGAGGTCGACTTTTCACTCAAGGAGGACAGGGCTCTGTTCAGCGGTGCTCAGAAACGTGCGTGTTTGACATACCTCCTGTTTTGTATTTCTGTTCTCCTGGCGTCGTGCACGCGTCTTCACCAGAACGAAGACAAGGAGATCAATTCTTCTGGCGCGTCCGTCGTGACGCCAAGTTGGGCCACACTTTGACGCCACAGAACATACTTCATGCTATCACATCTCCATAGCGTATTACTCCAGAACTTCTGCGTCGCTCTTTTCTCCGTTTGTGTCGTTTCGTATATGCAAAACTAAGAAACTGAATTCGTTATCCAGTCTTTGCCATGATCATCTCTCTCGGCCAAGCAACCGTCTACGTGCTCACCGGTCTCTACGGCCAACCCCGCGACATCGGCGCCGGCGTCTGTCTTCTCCTCATCATCCAACTCGTCGCCGCAGCCCTCATCGTCATTCTCCTCGACGAACTCCTCCAAAAAGGATACGGTCTCGGCTCCGGCATCTCCCTCTTCATCGCCACCAACATCTGCGAATCCATCGTCTGGAAGGCCTTCTCGCCTACCACGATCAACACCGGCCGTGGCCCCGAGTTCGAGGGCGCTATCGTCAGCTTGTTCCACCTTTTGTTCACTTGGAACGACAAGGGCCGTGCGCTGAGGGAGGCGTTCTGGAGGGAGAGGTTGCCGAATGTTATGAATTTGATTGCGACGGTCGTGGTTTTCGCTGTGGTTATCTACTTGCAAGGGTTCAGGTTGGAGATCCCAGTGAAGAGCAACAGGTTCAGGGGACAGAGAGGGTCATATCCCGTCAAGTTGTTCTACACTTCGAACATGCCCATCATGCTCGAGTCTGCGCTCACGTCCAACGTCTTCATCGTCTCGCAAATGCTCGCCTCGCGTTTCCCCGATAACCTCTTCGTTAAGCTCCTTGGTACTTGGGAGGTACGTTTTCTTTTTTTCAACGTCGTAGTTGCTCGCCACCTTACGCCACTCTTGTTCTACCTAGCCTATGCAAGATTCGCCCCAGCTCGCCGCCGTCTCCGGTATCGCGTACTACATGTCGCCACCGCACACCCTCTCCGCCGCCCTTACCGATCCTATCCACACCGTCATCTACATCGCCTTCATGGTCACCGCCTGTGCCGCATTCTCCAAGACCTGGATCGAAGTCTCCGGCTCCGGTCCTCGCGATATTGCCAAGCAGTTGAAGGATCAACAAATGGTGCGTCCATCCCCCTTACTCCTGTCCGTTCAGTAATGCTTATGACTGTGCTGTTCGTTAGGTCATGGCCGGCCACCGTGAAGGGTCCATGTACAAGGAGCTGAAGCGCGTCATCCCCACCGCCGCCGCGTTCGGAGGAGCCATCCTCGGCCTCTTGTCTGTCTCGGCAGACCTTATGGGTGCGATTGGAAGCGGGACGGGTATCCTGATGGCTGTCACCATCATTTACAGCTGTGCGTTTCTTCTCCTTCACCCTTTCTCTCCCCCCCAAATGTTGAATGTTGAACGCCCGATGTACTGACTTGTTTGATGATCTTGATTTGTAGACTGGGAGATCGGCATGAGGGAATCGGGTGGGCCTGAGATGCAGGCACTCGGGGACTTCATCTAAACCTGTTCCAACTCTCCTTTTACGGCCTTTCGTGCACGGACTCGCATCGCTCAGAGGCGGTCGGGCCGATGTACGACGGTTGGGGTAGCGGACGGTCTTGTGGTGGGACGGATGGGTTTGTGCTCGGTGGCTTGGACGAAGGGGCTCAAAAATAACTTAAGTTCGTGTGATTAGGATTGGTTGGCTGGTTGGCTGGTTGGCTGGGTGCCGTGGGTTTGTTACGATTGGTCTCGGGCCGCTTGATTGCGGTTCCGAGGGTGGATTGTTGACGTTGAGTACTGGGTGGATGTGGAGTGTGAAAAGTAATGGAACTCTCTTTTTTTCTCTGCATACGCGTAGGTCCGGAGGTGGGAGTGAGTCGGTGGAGGGGGTACGTGGCGAGGTTCGGACTGCTGGTGATAAGAGATTGAAGGTTAGAGCGAGCTGAGAAATACGAAGCTCGATTGAAGAGTCCGAGGATGATCGTGGGCCACAGGCGTAAACGTGTGGCATCCAATCGGGTGGTCCCGGTTTGGTCCTTACCTTCGTTCAACACTCGTTCAAAGGCCGCGCTCAACCTCGCGCAACGCTATGCTGCCCGTTTGCTACCCATGGGGCTGAAACGTTGTACATGTTATCTTCATCCCTCCCCTGGGTTGGCCGTTATCGACCCTTCGATCGCGGTGGTCATTTTTTACTCACTTCCGCTTCTTGCTTGATCGTCATCGTTCAAGTTGTCGAGGACGAGCCATATCATCCACGAGTTGTGGAAGTAACGCTCACGTTTTAGGTAGGATCTGTATATTATGTTCAGAGACATGCTAGTAAGGCTCCTGATTCTGCTGCCAGGCTCCGAGTTCTCGCCTTTCACCTCCAGCTCGTTGGATGTCTTCGTTCAGCTACTTGTAAATTTCGCACGATCGAGACCATGATATGCTCCTTTGAATGTCGTATCCTGTTTTCCTGTATCATCATCGGCCCGGCACTCGCTCCCATGAATGCGACGCTTCTGTCGAAACGTTCACCATACACGAGGGAAATATATATTCTGCGCATGTGCATCCCTGATTCCCAGTTCTACCTCCCAACGGACCCAAATATACGTTAGCGTCAACCCCATGAGATGAGTGAAGTACAGTGGGACAGCGAGAGATGAAAATATGATAGCGTGAGGTTTAGGATTGTAAATGATGGAATCGATACCGTAAATAGGGAGAGGGGAAAGTTAGGAGGAAGAAGTGGTGCGTGGAGTTGGGTAAGAGGAGATAAACGTGGAGACTCTAATGTGCGGATAGGACGACTATGGACATGAAGAGGAGGGCACGGGGATAGCTAGGTACAATAACACGACTCGGACAGTCCAGTTGCTGTATATCCGAGAGGTCGACGGAATACTTAGTGAGATCACTGCAGATAAAAATATAGAATGCCAAGGAACAGGTTGATCGGTGGTCAGTAACGTGCGCTCCATAATCGTGTGTAAGAAGGTTATAGGATGGGATGGATAAGTGTCTCGGTGAGAAGCAGGAAGCGAGTGGTGGGGTATGATTGTGGTTGGTCGGGAAATCAGCAAGAGAGATGGAAAGTACGCACGAAATCCCAGAGTGTCCCAAACGCGGGGATCCCAGCTTCCTTGCATCCTTCTTGGATTTCCTTGTTTCCGAGCCAGTTCGACGTGATGAACACCACTGTCATGCGTTCGTAAATGGCCAACGACAGTCAGTTCTTTGCGCTTCAACACGGCAGAAAAAATGCACAGTACCTTCAGCATTCCACTCTCGATAGACCTCTTTCAGAATCTTCATGGTGTCGGGTCTTCCACCCCGTACCTTGCTGTCCCACAGCAGCAGACGCTCAGGGCCAATGTGGCGGTGAATCAGGCCGCTGATGGTAGGTCCGAACGTCTTTTCTTGGTCGGAGCCTGTGGGTTCGTTCGCACAGTAGGGTGGAAAAGAGGGCGGGTCCAATCAGCACCATAACGGATATCGATTGGAAGAATGGAGCGTACCAATCCAAATTAGATACCTAAACAAAATTCATATGACGACGAGTTTGACAATATGCACCGTGTATCTAAGCAGTGGATATGGCTCACCAATTAGGGCTCTGCAGACAAGTGGAAAGCGCAGCGCCCAAGCCGGTACCAGTGCATATCCGGATACCACGCTTGTAGAGCGTGGAAGTATTCGAGACACCGGCGAACTATAATTGACAAGCGTGAGTGAGAAAACTGAAAGACGACGCCTATCATTTGCGAAAGTAGGACGCAATGGGAGAATGGGAGCAGTCGGGAGCGATGCGAACGAATCAGGAGAGTATCGTGGTAGTGGTGAAGACCAACCTTTAGCTCTCGCGTCCAGATTTGTCGGGGCGGGTCATTTACAAGGCTGCGAGTGAAATCGCCCTGCACACCGCAGATGAGGTAGTGGTATTTTGCGTGCGTCCCCTCACTGGCCAGGGAGCGAAATGTGAGAAGATGGTTCATGGATCCCAAAATAACAGACATACGATATGATACCAAAGGCGTGGTACTCCATGACGGCAGAGCGACTCACACGAGCAAGCAGCCCTTGCTGCATCCCGCGCTTGAATCGCAGAATGGCGACCTTGGGCGATGGCTAGACAAACGAGAATTGTTTGAATGGCTCAGTGGCGACGGAGCTCACAAAGCCGACTCACCAGTTCAATATCCACGTCGACTTTACGAGTACAGATCCATGGAAGAACGATGCTGAAAATGACAAGGTCAGCAGCCTTTCATGAGATCATGAGGCCTTATACTCACACCACGCTCATACCCATGGTGTACCAGAAGTCCTGCTGATGGACGATGTGCATACCATTGGAGTTCCATGTTTGCGTGGTAGTGTCGAATGAGTCACCAAGTAACGTGAAGATCCCTGCATAGAGGAGCGTCACTTCAAGTCACGACACCTGCGTGATCAATGTACGTACAGGTGAGGATGAGAGCAGTCCAGCCAACGAAACGATGGTGGCGTTCGAAGACGCTGAAAAGATGTCAGTTCATATTTGAAACGTCGCGAATCCGACAGAGCAACCTACTTATGGTGAGTGTTGCGTACCCAGGGGAATGCACTGATTGCCGCGATAATCAGGGAGAGGTTGGTGACCGTACCCATTACGAGGATAGGGTTGGGTTGGACGTCGCGATTTATCCAGTTCCGAACAACCTTCAGCAATAGCCAGGAAATTCCAGAGACAGCGCATCCGCTGTGAATACCGCCGAGATGCTGAGATATTCATTAGACTGGAAAGTGAACGGAAGAAAGAGAGAGATGGTACCTGAAGGACGGATGTGCAGCCCAGACGCCACTTTAATGGGGTCCACTAGGTAGAAGTAACAATTAACATAGAAAGGTCGGAGCGTATAAGAAGGAGACAAACCTTGGCGAAGAGAGTATTGACGAAAAGGTAGAGGAACCGACCAAATACCTCGTTACGCATAAGAACGGCAAAATTGAGGTTGCCAAGCGCCATAGCGCCATTGAACTGAATGGCGTATGGCCAGTGTCCGGACGCTGCTAGACCGATGCCGATCATGTTCAAGGTGAACACAAAGGTGAAAAGTTTCCTGTATGGGATCGTGAGCACCGAGTCGGAAAATCGGAAAGCAAATTGGACCATCTGAACCACATACCTGTATGTGTTGAACCACAACTGAAAGACAATCCAGTTTGACACCTTTCTTCTCTTTGAGACAGGCTTCGGGGCTGACGGCTTCGGCGGTGAAGGAGCTGGGATGACGGTTGGGGTAATCAGGCTGGGGTCCTTCTTCTCGTCCTTAGGATAGTCGTATTGAACCACTGTCATTTGGTGCTGCGGAGTCTCGTGCAAGCCCTTCTCTGCGTCGTCGTAGGCGGGAGCAGCCATCTCAGGATTGCGTGGCGTAGTCATGATTAAAGCGACGTGAATGAATGATGAGGGTCGCTAAAGGTCGTGAAGCTGCGACCGGCGAGAGATGCCTAACCGAGGAGTGGGCGAATGTGTGTAGGCGAAAACCGCAAAGCGTCTCGTCTGCTTAAATCCAGGACGGCATCTCCACCAGGGAAGGCGATATAGCATCCGCTCCGTGCACGGCTCCGTGTCCGTAGGGAGTACATCCCCACCTCAACAAGGGGATGGGCCAGCAGCGCCTTCTACCGCAGGTCAGGCTACAACAGACTGCCACCCGATGGAGACTTCGTGAACGTACGAACCAGCAGGTTGGCGGGTAAGCTTGACTGTGAGATTTTGCTCTCGACGAACCAAACACAAATATCTTACTTGCTAGACACAAGCGTTTCACCTCTGCTGCACCCATGGACCGTGGTAAGTGGTGGGATAATACCATTCGTTCGGGATTTTCGAGCGAATGTTCGTGCTAGAGACAAGGGCTTGTCAGAGTTGCCAGCAAATGCCCCGCCGGCCAAAGCTTCCGACCCACTGGAAGCTAATAAACCGCAGTATTATTCAAAGCCACATTATTTCCGGGTAAAATCGACAGCACAGCTCGCGACAAGGAACACGACACCGCCTGAACAGCCTTGTTACGTTCTTGCAATGGTTCCGTTGGAGAACAAGTCCATTGCTCCGGGCCACTGTCAGAGATGCATGATTTATGTGAGCCAAACACACAATGTATGGTCATCGTTCTCTGCGGTTACACGGTTGAGGCACGTTATAATAAGCACCAATGGTGCTCGTCATAAACGAGAATAACCAGTGTGTTTCTCAATTAGAGAAGCACTGTGCACATCCATCAGCAATTTGCACTTTCATGAATTTAACCATGCGGGAAAGGGCAGGATGGTTCCACCGACGGCATCGATACCGTGAAAAGAAACTCATGCGCCAATGGAACCATAGTACCTGTAGATGATCGATGCGAAGAAAGAACACGGCGGCATGCCAAGAGAAAAGGCTCGCCTTTCACATGGATCTGCGAGAGTTCTTCCTGATCTGTGCAAGGGCACGAGCACCGTATATAGATCGAACACGGTTGGTCCACAGCATGGGATCATGGAAGGCTCATCGCGAGCCAGTACATCCCGTCTTGAAAGTCCGTGCAATTCAAGCCGAAGCTCCAAACGAGGCACCAGAGCTTTAAGAAGAATATGAAAAGTTAAAGACCGTTGAATTGAGAATTGCCCTTCAAAATGATGCCCGACAAAGTCTCGGCAACAGAAGCTGGCCCATACATCGGGGTGCAATGTCGTCTGAAGACGATCCCGAGTCACGGAAGGTGGCAAGAGCCTGAGGATGCCTGCTTGGTGCGTCCCCGAAGACCTACCCGGTGCCGAGTTAGGAAGCAAACGAGCGACCGCACGTAGGAATCTGACGAGAGTCAACATTACAAGCCCATAAGGTGAACAATAGATTCTATGCTACGGGCGTAAGTTGGGCGTAAGGAACACGTTGAAATAGTATGATGGCGCAGTGAAGGCGCAGTTCTCGGTCATAAAAGTCAATGAAACACATCGTACCCATTATCATGCCGCGAGCTGATATGAACGGACCATATTAAAGAGGTGAAGCAAGTTTGTGCGAGAGTGTACAACTTTTGGTTGGCTTTTTGGTAGCTGCAGGAGTCAGGACTCGCTGTCACCACTCGGGACAAATTCGGGACGCGTTTGACCGAAAGACACGTGGCTTTATTTGTGTCCTTTATTTGCGTCTTTGACTTTCTGTGGCGTTTGGACTTCCCACGATTTCTCTGTTCGCTACTACTTCCATGATCCTCGGAGTCGCCGCTAATAAAGACCTTCTCAGCAGGAGGTCAAGACATCTTCGGCCGGTTGATCTTGGAAACTAGCCATGGCTGGATTGAAAAGTTAGAGACTGAGGATAACTCTCTCAACTTGGGTCAACGACTTCGATACTTGGAACATTGTGACTTGTATGAGGATCTAAAAACATCTTTCAAGGACGGTGCAGTGCAATGCGATGTACTTGCGCCACTCTGCGCTTTGCGGTGATGTGATCCCCAGGCGAAGACTATAAGGACCTGCAGCCTGAGCCCAGCCTCTCGTTGCGCTCCGTCTTTGTCCTCGTCTTCAGCGCGATCTCTACTGTTATCCATAATCCTCCTCTGCTCATATCCTTTAGCTATCACCATGTCGCCCATGACCAAGGAGAAAGCCTCCCGAAAGTATATCGACTTGATTAGGCGAGAGTGCTCTAAGTACGCTAACTGGCAGCCTTCAAAGAGGATCGAGGTTTGTCCTTCCCTTTCATCCTAAATACTCTGTTATATTTTTTTACTGACACCCTGCGCGACTCTAATTGGTATTAGGTTGGCGATTACGGAACAATTAACCACGACACAGGCGAACTAGAGATCGAGGGGAACGTTTACAGAGACTCATTGTTCGCCGACGTCCTACCAGGTCTGTGTGGCGTCCCGACTTCGCACGAGCCGATGCACCGCTACGTTGTGACCGCAAAGTCGGTGAAAGGCTACTCGTCTAGAATCGAGCCCGGGGTGTATGTGACCAAGTCCTATTCTTCCTCTCCTGGTGGTGTTTGCGTGGAGAACTGATGCCAATAGCTGTGATCCATATAGAGATGTCCTCACCTTCGGAGCTGCGTCAATCAAGGGTGAATGGGAATTTGGCAACAAACGCGGTGCTTTGCTCATGATGTATCGGCCTCGTATCTCGAGCATGTCGAACCAGCTCATTCAAGCGCTTTCGAAGACCCCGGAACTAAAGGAGAAGTCGCTTGTCACTGAGACCTTCTGCTGTCCTGCATATTCCATGTATCTTTCGACCCAACGTTTGTATTCTTTGTACTGTCAACTAGCGCACAGTATTCTTTCATATCGCTGACTGATACTCTGATACTATTTATTGAAGATAACGACAAACTCAGGCTCGAGCTGCGCGGAATGATACCCGCAGGGTCTACAGTAGTCACAGCTGGAGGCGGGGTAGCCATGGAATGGTGGTCCGACTACGGTGGAGGAATGTACCAGGACGCTTGCAACGCCCAGGGGGAGTACTCCTATGTTCCTCTCTATCATCTCAAGAAAATACGCAGACCTCCAATTCTCTTCCGTGAGAGTCCTGAGCCAGAGCCCGTCAAGCCTTTGGACCCGTATGTTATCCTTCCACCTTTTCCTTCTTGAGATCGGCCACTGACCAGCCAAATTCCGCGAATTTGACAGGTGGATCAATCAACCAGCCCCATGGGACATCCTAGATGAAGAAGGATCTGAGTTCGAGGACATCGTATGTGTCCTGTTGTAGCTATTGCTGGTGACGAGCTGACCCGACGCACACAGGTCTCTGATTGATAACCCGTCGATATGAATAGCGAACTCTTCATATTGTTCTTGATGTTTCTACTCTCCCATATTGTGCCTGTGCAGTCGCTCACTCTGTCAATTCGCTATGATTTCGCCGTTCGTTATCCCGGACCATGTATCCTGCCTCTCACACCGTGCAATAGTTGGCCCAATTGGCTATGAATACCTATCTGCTTCGCCATTGTAAGTCGTGAAGACCGTCAAGAACATGTTGATCAGGTAAAAGACTATCACAGCAGGAAATACGGAGAGGCTCGCGGGAAACGCTACATTTACAATGATACGTTAAACGATCAACACGGTGAACGATGGTCAGTCGTTTACATAATTCAAGACCAGAAAGATTGTGGTACATGATCGATACGTTCGGATCAGCACTGAAGACATCAATCGAACTGGGACGGATATATGATGGAGACATTCACAGAGGGTTGAAGGGTCTCTGCTCACGCTCTTGTATGAGTGACACCGTCCCGGTCCCGTATGTCAGTAGCGCCGAGGCCGATCCACTGCCAGACAGCGCGTCAGCGGGCGCAAAGATCATGATGTGATCCGTGTGCAGGCTTCGTCTCCGAATCAACAAGAGTACGACGAACGTCACTTACCCCTGAGTTCACAAATGAAGACAACCTCGTAGAATAGAGGGATGCCAATAACGTGCTAGTCTTTGGATACCAGAGAGATGGTGCGCTTTTGAGGAATGGACAACGATATTGACCAGAAAACTGTTCGAACGCCGTGTTCTGTTTCCATAAGGGACTCAAAAGGATCCTGAAGCTCCGTGTCGAGCGTGCCGGGCACGAGTGTCGCGAGATCGACGTATCAATGCCAAAACTCGGGTGGAAGTCCACCTTTAAAACCGGATTGCTCGGTGATGATATGATCCAGAGTCAGGGGGAGTTAGGATATTTGAGAGACAGTATATGCAGAGTACGCACTTTTCGAAGTGATGTTGACGTTGAGGCAGCTATGCTAACGGACAAAGACAGTTGCGACTGCACAATACAGAGCTTTGAAGATGATTAGCATAGATGATGAGAGAAGTGACATCGGGCAGCCTGAAAACACTCACTTATTATGAGGGATGTGGCGAAGATTCTTAGTGACTACCCGTCGTCCCGATTCAGAACAAGTATCCGGACTTTCAACAAGGTGTCGTCCTCTGCAGGAAGGAAGGAAAGAAGGGAGTTATATTCAGGGCGCAAAACACACCCATGAGGACTTTGCTAATGATGCAGCTCGACCTTCGCCGTAATCATTCTGAGCATGTGAGCGTTAGAAAGCATATTGCGGCGAGATAAACAGTACCAGTACCAGCAGTATGACACGAGAATAGGTGAAGCTAAAAACGTCTCGGTCTGAATTCTCGATAATGGGGTGGGCGTACTGGGCGTTCAAATCACGGGTCTAGACGATGCACCGTGTCCAGAAAAGCGTCCTTTGGGAGAGTAACTTTCATGGGAAAGCTTTGAGCTCGAGAAGGCTCTGGATTTGAGCTTGCCTGCAGGAAGAAGGGCATTGGTTAGCGCTATCATTTGGGGACGAAACGTGTTCGATGCAGTTGGTTCGCAAGTCGCGGTTCAACTTCGGAACGAGTAGCGAAAACAACATATACGATGCTAAAATTTATGGTATAGAATTACAGAGATTGCACCGCCGTCAATCCCAGAAGCAACGATTGAGTCACTCAAAAAGCAAATATCGAGAGCAAAAATGAAAGCAAATAACAGTAGTATACCTCCCAAACAATATCCGTGATATATATCTTCGCCCCATCTTTTCAAACTTATCTTCACGGGTCATGCGTCCGAAGCCGTTTCTGGACTTGTCTCGCGCGACTCGGTCCGGTAGACGAGAATATAACGAGGCATGACACCGTCCGCCTTGTGTGAAAAGATTGACCTCGATCGCGAGAGCTATCCAGCAAATGAACGTGAGTTCCTTGACATATCACGAAGGGAAAGGGAGGGAAGCACATACACGATGGTCTGCAGGTAATGCGACATCACACACTACCATCACCCTATAGGGTGAAGGGCTTGCGCACGTAGCGTATCGATGGGCCCGCCTGGGCTCCTGATACGTGTAGATTCCTGGACCCTTCCTGAAGCGTTCGCATTGGCTCCGTCAGTAAAAGGCGTTTACGAGATCCAGAACGACCGAGAGCGAGAAAAGAATATGACGTACCTGCCTACTTTCTTGGTTTCCCCGCATGCGAAGGTTCGAAAAGAGGACGTTACAGGCTGACAGATCCCGCACGACGAGTCTTGACAGAGGGAAGGACCAGAGATGGCCATGCCGCAAACGCACTCAGAGGCGAAGTACGTCTGAATGGTTTGACAGCCGTGACTGCTGCCAGTGAGCTTGCTTCTAAACAAAGTGTTGGTATGTTAGGATGATGAATAGTGAAGAGAATAAGTGCTGAATGTACGAACATATGTGCCAGGTACGCGGCTATGACGATGTGGGGGTACTCAACTTTGTATACCCTCTCTAACACTGGCTGCTCCTTCTTCCACCCAGCCGAAAATTTGGTTTCTGCAGAACGACATTGAGAACCAGAAAGAAAGACATAATAGCATAGAAGAAAAAGGAAATGGACGAACGAATGTCTGCAAAAGTGACGTCATCTGGCTCGACCTCCCTCAGATGAGCAGCCTGTGAGCAATCACTAAGGGCACAACTCCTGCTACAATCTGATGCCGCCGATGAGACACATGTAGACATCCTAAGAGCAACGAGGAGCAACCTACAAGGCCGTTTCATGCCATTCTGAGCCACAATCTTAGGGTTTTGACCACAGGCCTAGCGACCAGGGAAATATGCGGGTGTAGTCTTCAGGTCTATGCGATGCTCTCCTTCGGACTGATCAAGAGATTTGGCAGAAACTTACCTCGCACATATCAAACCAGCTTGCCGATTTCGGTGGCGTCTGTGTGGCCAGATGTGCGAACCAATCCATGGCAGAGCGAAAGCGAACTGTTGTCTGAGTCTCCGGTGTCAGCATTGAGCGTCAGGGAAGGTCAGGAACAAGGGCCGTGAGAATCACGCGTGTCACTTCTGGGCTTTCAAATTTGAACCCATCCGGAAATTGCCGCTTTAAGTTCAATGCCCGCCGTACACACGCCATCTCACTTCCTTCCAACATCCGGATCGTCGTTGCGGCGATGTTATGGGTTGGAATATATTCTAATTTATTCCGATATCATCCCATATCGGAAGGATTTCGCCTAAATTACTGGCCATCAATTGTCTACACTGATAAGTCAGTATAATCTTTCCCACCTACTGTACCTCCCAGACGTTAGGCGACGTCCGGTGTCCCAAGGGGCCCATCGCCCCCGCCAATTTTGCGCGAGTCTCCCGCCAAATGGGAGTTCCCACGTTATGTAAGCGTCGTCTAACTGCTGGGACGTACAGTATCCACACGTAGCATACAATCGCACTCTGTTTTCGCTAGTAAGCATATCCACTTACTTCCTCTTCGTATTTGGCTCATTTCACCAATGACGGTGGACAGTCCCCCTGACGGTGGTTCAGTTCGTCGACCCTGGTGGACCGGGGACGAACTTATGGTCGTAAATCTATAGTACTCGACAGAGCATGGGATGGCCGCTTGGGGTGGCGATGAGAAGTTGTCGTTGATGAGGATGGAAAGTGAAGGCGAAGCCGATTGCCGAGGCCCGGTAGCGGAGGAATTTGGTGTTGGAGTGTACGCGGGCGAGACGGACGAGGACGTCGTCTATACGGTCACATCGGTCGAGTGACTGTTTGAGAGTGTGATGATCAGTACGGTGAGGAACGAGTGCAGAACAGAGAAAAATGGCGGGAGTCAAGGCCGAGAACCGTGGACCACTCGGGAACGATGAAAAAAGAAGCGGCAAACCAAGCTCGTCGCAAAAGCAAGCAAAAGAAAGAAAGAAACGAGAAGTGGAAAACTGAAAGTAGAAGACCGAGACAGAATAGGTACGAACCTGATCATAAAGATGGACAACGACCCACACATCCCTTTTTTCGCCCTCCACCGCATTCACATACCCCTTCTCTCCCACCCCCCTCAAATGTCCAAACCTCCCCCTCTTCACCCCCTCCACCATCCTCGCGACCATCCCGCTCCCCATCCCTACCGCATAAAGCGAGCCCTCCCACTCCTCCTTTCCATTCCCACTTTCCTTCACCCGCGCTCTCTCCTCCTCTAAAAACGTCTTCCCGCCAAGCGAAGCCTTCTCCTTAGCCTTGTGAAGCGCATCGATCTGGCTCAACCGATGTGCTTTTCACTCACCACTCACCGCTTGGAGGGTGCCTCATTGGTTTTGACATCCTTGCCTTCGAGCGCATCCATTAGCATAGTCAGATGAAAACTAAAGAACAAAGGTTTCACTTTCTACAACGGAGGATGCGCAGACAGAGGAAGCGAGGGCAAGAATAGCAAGGGAATATATGAACTGCATATTGGGGATGAATACGCGATCAGCAATAGGTAGTCGGGGATGGGCAGACTATGCAGAGAGCAGCCGCCATTATATATGCCCATCCTGCTATGGGTCGCTGAAGAGAACATATATTGTATGGACGTGACTGCTCTCCTCAAGCCAACGGGTGTTTCGAATCGCCGCTCAAGTGAGGCATGGAAGTATGCAGGAGAGCGTATAGACAATTCCACAACGGATTGGTCCGAGTGGTATGGTTTGTCGACGCATGACACTCACATGGCTTGTAAAGCTGGGTGTCATGAGTACCAAACGAATGATTGAAATTGGAATCTCCTCATGAGAAAAACCACGTGTTCTCCACTCGACCCAGAGCGCTGGAAAGATGTGGGACAGAGAACGGAACCAGGGGATATTAGGCCCAATTCCATAACCGTCCCAGACTTTCGAGCTTGTTGGGACACACCAGAGGCCCTTGACGAAGGATATCGAACAGCTGCCTACGAAGTAGGAGCTTGGCCCCCTATTTGAGAGTGTGGAACTCTCCGAGAAAATGTCGTGGAGAAGTACTGTAAAGTTATAAACAGGTATCGATGAACGGAAATACTGACGCTCGACTGTGCCACAGAAGTGTAGGTATGGTACCGATCAAGCTAGTGGCTCGCATTCCAAGCCTTCGTCAGCTGGTTTTCTCGCACAAACCGGTATATCGCCTCCCAATCTCGACAAACGTGCTTGATCCCAATGCCAGCAGCTCCAACGGGCGTGCCGTCCACCGCGTAGTACAACGGATCGAGGGTCGAATCAGCTGAGCATAATATACCCTAGCACAGCGCATATTGAGCATACAGAAAAGGGGGAAGCAGATTGTGCGCAAACCTGGCGGAGCATATTGAGCCAGTGATGGACATGGACGTCCGCGTCACATCTGATAATTGCTCCGCGAACGATTTGGAGGCAATGCATTTGATGTAGCATGCTTACGCTAAATAAACGTCCTGTCAGGTACCCAGCACAACAGCAAAATTAGGCAGATAAACGCAGATATAACAGAGAAAGGATCTGACCTTTAGGCCCAAGTCTCACAAAACCATTGGCATTAGAGAACGCGTCCGTTGATCGCCATTCATTCCAAGCATTCAGATTCGAGACACCGTATCGCTCAGTCACCTCGTATGTCAGAGCAACCGGAGCCAGATGTATGGGAAGCCTATTCGGATAGTCGTCCTCTTCGTAACCTGACTGGATGTAAGTACTCACAAAGTGTTGAGGAGAGGAGGTGTAGAGCAGCGTACTGTATTCAAATTGGCGGGTGTCTCCCGATTCTTGTTGGAGAAGCTTGCGACAAACAAGTACATTGATGCTGATGCTGAGAAGAAGAGCTGTCAGAGCAAATATAAGAGATGCCTTAGGAGAGATCTATCGTGTATTCATCTTTGAAAAGGTGTATCGACGCGAGTTTGATACATCCACAGTCTCCAACAACGAGACAAAACTCAAGTGGGAGTTGCCACCCTGTTTCTCAAAGAGGTACAAACGCCTCGGAAAAACGGCCTAAGGGATGCCTTATTCGGCTCACATGGCGTCACACGTGTCATCACGAGAAAAAACTAGAATGGCCACTACGCTGAGACGAAATCAAAGGGGAGAGGTGAGGAACGTCACACCTGTATTTTATCGGGAACATCGAGGTACAGAATGGCGACTCCTGGCACGATTGGATGACGATGTCATCGCCGTGTCTACGACTTTTTGCGGTAAGGGTCTGGTGAAGTATGTGGAAGTCTAATTGGTTGGACGAAACAATAATCTGCAGTCACGCAATACTTCGCGAGGGGATGGGGTGGGTTTGGGCTGGGTGCGCTCTGTTATGGAAGGACCGAAGATGAGTGATCGCTACGCGTTGTTGACGCGTTGTTTGTCCTCATTGCCCCGGGACCACCCGAGCCTCCGGGCGGCGGCACCTACTTATACTGAGGCGATTTGTATGGGAGCAACGTAACGCGTAACGCGCCCTCCGTTCCGTTGCCAGAACAGCGTTACGTGACGCATAACAAGGGCTCCGTTGTTACGAAAAAGGCGTTATTTAATGATTTTTTGGGGCGCCTACGGCGCCACACCACCTGTGGTTGCAATCGTAACGCACCATCCAGAGGCCGTTGCTATTCTCCAGACCGTAACGCTTGACCTCATCGTTGCTCCCATACAAATTGCTTCAGTATAACGATTTCTTCTTCTTCGTCGCTTATATAAGGTCTGGTTAGAGACTAGGCGGCACCCCAGTCGCGACTCGGAGCTCTTCAAGTTAGTCTCTTGTGTATCGCCGTATGTCTCAATGTCGTCTCATACGTATTCCCTCACTCTTCACCAAAGCTTATTCCTGAATCCCTCCCTGCTCAATGTGATGAACTATGCATGGCATGCAGAGCTCTATAGCCTAAATTTCCCGCTCATTGTTCTCGCCGCGAAAACAACCCGCCACGCAACCTCCAGCTGAAATCGTTCGACTCCTTGTTATAGAGCGTCAAGATGAAGTTGAGCGATGAGATGTACTTATATCGGGCATCACTTACTCTGCTTCGTCGGATCTCATCAGTTTCTCAACATCTTCTCCAATCGAGGTCACCGTCGATGAATGCATAGTGACGTTCTCTAACATTTCTGATGAACGGCGAGCTCTAGAAGAAACGGAGAATGTCTCAGTCGTACGGAAGATGGACGGCTCCTTATTTATAGATCACGGTACCTAGAAGAAACGGAGAATGTCTAGGTACAACAGTAAATAATGAGTCCGATATGAAACGGTAAACGAGAGCGTCCGTAAAACTCACCTCAGTCGTACGGAAGATGGACGGCTGAGGGAAAGAGGAAAAACCGGACGAGAGCGAAAAACCGACGAGCCTACAACCCTAACCTAGAACAAATGCAAAGCGGGAACGATCGAGACGAGAGACGAGCGTACAAGCATAAGCAGTAACACGAGGCCGAGGCGAAGTAAGAATGAATATGAAATGAGAAGCCAAATACTCGGAAACTGAGACCAGAAGCCAGAACCCAAACCCGGTAAGCATGAGATGAAACATACACACAAACCC